AACGCACCAATGACGACGGCAGAGTGACGGAAGGTAGAGGGGGGGTGGGATGGGGGGGGGGGGGGGGGGGGGGGGGGGGGGGGGGGGGGGGGGGGGGGGGGGGGGGGGGGGGGGGGGGGGGAAGAAAGGGAAAAGCGAAGAGAGGGAAAAGCGAAGAGAGGGAGAGAGCGAGGTATACCTAGGTAGGTAGGTAGGGAGCCATGGTCACCTGACCAGGTGTTCACAACCTTACTTGGAACACCTGGGCAGAGCCTGCCAAATTGCCGTCCCCGAAGCTTCTGTAGTTCAATATGTTGTCTCGAGGGGGGGAAGGAAGGAAGGAAGAGAGAAGTGCTAGACTCCTGAAGAAGGAGCAAGTCATCTGAGTATGGCTCACTCTGGCCTCACAACATCTTTTATTGTCTATCTCATCGCCAGCGAGGAGCTAGCTCAACAAGATGTGAGATCTCTCACTTGAACTTTTCTTTGACGCTGTACTGTCAGAAATGAAGGTGCTTCCTCTTTCGGGGGACCCTTCATTGCGTCGTGGGTCCCTTGTTCCCATCTCTTGGCAAGTTCAGTTGGAGGGCTGGCGTCACTATCGATCATTTCTCTTCAATGGCTTGACTGGAGGGCGCATATCCAAGTCTCAGATGGGAACTGAATGTGGAAACCTTGATGTTCACTTCCTCAGGCCACGGTTGATGCCTGAGCATGCCTGAGAGGACTTATATGGCGTGCTACCGATTCCCCCAAGGTACCCCGGATTTCCCCACCGTTCATCTTCAACATGGATTTACTCATTTCTATAGATGTGAATATTAGTTCTTCTTATTTCCTTTTGAAATGAGAATATTCAGACCTCGGTGGTGAGGATCAAGTCATCGACCCCTCCCTGACGCCACTATGACGATGAGTCCGGGCTCGCCCTATAAAAGCCGATTCCCTGCAGCAGACATTCTCTTCCCATATATCCCCAACTTTTACCACAACCATCAAAGAATCCATCATATCATTCATCCATCATGGCTTGCGACTGCGGATCGAGCTGCAACTGCTCCGGCGGTGCCCAGAGCTGCTCATGCGGTAACACCTGTACCTGCAAGGGATGCGGAGTATGTGACAATCATCCGAAGACCATCGTCAGTACTGACATGTCCGATTCTTAGAAGTAATCACTTCCTCTGAACCCTCCAAACCAGATGCCCGGTGGCCTTTGAATGGAGCCTCCGCGATGTTGATCTCGGCGAGGACGACATAGGAACTTGACTATACAACTGGATTTTGAGTCCGTTTTCTTCTCCCTCGTAGACAGTCACACTTGTATAATCACGAAGCGTATATCCTACCCACGTGTAGTTGCTGGACTCACACAGTTGTGGGTGTAAGCTCCGCCGAATGGGATGATCTCCATCCGTCACATGTGTCCCAGGTGGGGGTGGGTTCGCGAGCAGCTCGAAGATCAATGTTGTGGAAGACATTAGTCTGAACCTTCTCTGTCGGAAACATCTTTTTCATCAGACCTGGCGTTCATGTCGTAAAAATTCCTTAATCGGGCGGAATAGAATCACCACGCGTATCGTGATAACTGCTACTCTTTCCTGGTTGCATTCCCAAATGCTGCAACTGGTGTCAAGGTCTCGCCCGAGGACAGCGGTCCACACCATCCATAGTTATCGCATCGACATTGCTCATAGACAGGACAGCTGGAAGATCATTAGCACAGAGCACACACAGGGAGTTTTCCAAGCGAACATACTGGACAGCCTCCATGCTGAAAACCACATGCCACACAATCTCGAAAACCCACCCAACACCATAGCTATTCACCGTCTGCTTGCTTCCCTCATCCACCCATCTCATCATCCGCTCATAATCGCTCTTCGGTCGTCGCCGTATTTGATCTCGACTCACTGCAAACTGCGCGCAGCAAACACCTCCAAGCACATCCGGTACTGCCTTCTCCGCCCCAAACAACTCCCTATAGATCTGCGCCAGATAGGCACGCGCATCCCGATTCTCGATATCACTCGCAGTGGGATTATTGGGGTGAGCATGACTAGGACATCCGGGCGAGTGCATGCATCTTAGATTCAGATAGCCTTTTGCTTCCACAGCCTCGAGACGCAAATTCTTCAGCACGACCTGGGTTTTCGGTCCAAATAGGTCATTATGGCGCTGCTCTTCCCCAGCATGGATGAAGATAGAGACCGGGGGCAGCTTTTCGTAGTAGTCGAGAACATATGAGAGATAAGCGGAGACTTCGCGGCCGCGAGATGACCGGGGAATAAGTAAATCCTTTTCGCGTCGCCTGCTCATGGAGTATATGAAGGGTGTAATGTGGGGTCTGGGGACACCTGAATGTCAGTATTGTGAATACCTAGCCTGAAGGAGTCTGCGTACTCGGTTTTTATGTATTTTTGAAGCCACCGTATATCGTCGGAGCGTGTTTTCGGTAAAACTACAGCCACATTCGTTGACGTCGGGTTGTAGTTTGTCATTTTGTTGACTAGATCTGACTGTGCTTTAATATGCTCAGGATCTCCACCTAAAATTTCATTCAGTATTAGCATCATACGTCGGTGATGAGTGTGCTCGTGCAAGTAATGATCTCGAGGTGGATGACTCGATACACGCACCGTTTAAGTAGATTCGAGCACCCAGAAGAGTTAAAATCGCACAAAAAAAGACTAAACAGCCGGAAATTATAGGTCGATGGCTAATCCACGAGGTAAATAACCTCCGGAGCCGCCTTAGGTGACCATGATGGTACCCGTCGCTGGGGTTCCGATCGAAAAGTCCGCCCATGGTTGATGAGGAGACCAAAAGACCCCCAGGAGCTGCAAGTATAGCGCAAAGAGAAAGAAGGAAGAAGAAGAGAGATGTAACCGTTGGACACCAGGGGGCCAAGGCCCAAAGTCATCCACAGTGCACCAAGGCATTATACACAACCAATCCCCATTAAATCCAAGCTTGCAGGCATCTTGACGCTAGACATTATTATCTCAAATAAAATACGTTTTACCGTACCCTTACCATCACGATAATCGCTGTCTCAACCTGGACATTCTACCAGTCTGGGATACTTGCTTCAGGCGTTTCTTGGGTCCTCTCAAAGACTACCGCGTGGAACAACTTTGATTGCCCAAATAGAGCTGCTTCGGTGATTCTTTCTTTCCATTTTGGGTAAATGTAAGGCAGATTGACTGGTCTCTTCTTGGCTTCACTCGCATGCATGCGTCCTCATTCCTTAGTGGTCAGTCTTTGTTGGCGTTAATTTGGGTCTGGAGACGGCGTGCGCAAGGGCAACTTCGTGATAAAAATGAATAACTCGGGACCATGTACGGAGCACGAAGTCCGGGGTACGAGTTACTGAGTGTTGAAAAACAGAGAGACTTGCCTCGAGCAATACTAGACTGTTGGGTACCAAACGGAGTACTGTACTGCCTACGGTAGGCGACAGTCCACATCTTCTAGTGCCGTAATTTCCGGTCCAATTGGGAATGGGAGCGTCTTTTTATTACTCAATCATGATTGAGCCAATGATACTCTTGTGGGCTCTTATCGACACTACTGTTGGTTGAGAAATAGCGCGGTAAGTAGCGCATCTAGGCGCAGGCAGATTCGTGATCTGGTTTTATATCCGCTTTTCGATGCTCCGCATTCTCGCATTTGGCACCAATGAAATTACACAGTTAAGTGGTTCATATGTACTACCTAGGTACTCGTACAGTATGTTGCATTGACTGGCTGTATTGTGGGACTGGAAAGACCAGCGGCTGAAACTAGCGAACCGGCCCCCGAAAATTCAATTAGAAACCCCTGCAAGGGTCTTGGCCAAGAGAGTAACCTCGTGACGCTTGGCCAAAGTGACTTTGAGAATACCCGTGGATTCCCCGTTGTGGCAAGCATTGACATTAGCCGATCGATTTTCAAAGCAATGGCGTGGGCCCCTGGGGCCTGGGGGTGGCTTGATCTCAATCTCGGTTGCATGCGGCTCGCGGTGCGGCTCTGTGGGGGCTTGAAGTGCCCCCGTACGCAAATTCAACGACCTGGGCAAATGGAGTCCCTAACTCGTACTGCTCACCCTCATTCATTTGACATAGTACGTAGTCAGTGATTTTTTCTGTTTGCCTTTATAAAGGCGGCCTTTACAACCAGCATGTATGGACAACTGGGCGAATTGTAAAACTCGCTGGAGAATGAAAGGCAACACGAGAAGAGCTACGAACAGGAAAGCATGAGGAATCGGATTTTCAAGGCAGGTTGACTATTCCATAATAAAGCAAAACACACGCAAGTGACCATCGAAAGGGGATGTTGACATGAAGCCGTCGCGTGGGGTAGCTCCGCCAAATCGCGTTGCTCGATATCCGCCGCAAATGGCTTCAAATATTGTACCTGGATGGGCTCTGGTTTGCGGGAAGCCATGGTTTTTGTTTCATGTTGTTGAGACAGGGCATGGTGGGATATACTACGATCGCATTCAAATGAATCTCTATTGCCGTGTTTGCGCACAAGCAGGCATTTGACATGTTTTCACACGTATTTACTAGAAGCGCAGGAAGTCCATCTAAGAACTAGGGCCAATCAACGACGAATGATGCTGCAGACGACATACCAACTACCTCGGTGTAAGTGCTTCGGGTTCTCGGGGAATTTCACCACCGAAGCGCCTCTGCGTGGGGGTTGCATGCAATTGCTGTCTGGACGAGTGCTTCATTACACACCTTGGGGTCAACGGACTATCGAATAGGCAAATGGCCGGAATGATGCACTTGGTTGAAAGAATTGGTGGTATACTCTGTAGCACCTCTGGATCAGAAGTATCCAAATCAAAGCGTTGGACTTTGGGGGTGGGGGATCCTCGGGTAGTCGGTCGGAGCAACACCGAGTACCCAGAACTTCTCCAACGCAGTCACCTTAGATTGTTTTGTTCATTTCATAACTTTACAACTCCTCATTAAACAAATTCTTCACTTACACAATGTCCTCACCTGTCACACTTCGATCAGCTCTGTCAAGCACCCCGGTGTCATACGGCTTCTGGTTGACGTACGTTGGACCCCGCGTTTCGGGAGGGGCACCCCTCAACGGGGGTGCTCATACCAAACAGCAATCCGGATAACTTCCAGGTCATGAAAAGATGCACGAAAGGTTAACAGTTGGTGTATAGTCTTCCCAGCGCCGGCGTTGCGAGGACCATCCTCCGCCGCAGCCCGCAATTCACAGAGGGCGGACTTAGTTGGGTCCTGGTCGATGCCGAGCATGGATTGATTGGTGACAGCCACTACTATGAGGTTTGTTGCTCGCAATTGAACCCAGGTATCACATACAGTTACTAACAGACCAAAGCTCAACAACGCCATTGGCCACGAGGGAGCTAGCCCTATTGTCCGTGTCCCTTGGTCCGAAGAATGGATGATCAAGCGCGCCCTTGATGCTGGCGCCCATGGAATCATGACTCCAATGTGCCACTCTGCAGTGCGTATCTGCCATTACACGGAGCGCCCACACGAGATGCTAATATCTGATCTTTTCACAGGAGGATGCGGCCAAGGTCGTTAGCTACTGCAAGTACCCACCTGTGGGAAGCCGAGGATTCGGACCCATGTTTGCGCCACACGCATTCCCCGGCGTAAAGCCAGAGGACTATAACGAGAAGACACACAACGATATCCTTGTGGTTGTACAGATTGAATCTCGACCTGGAGTTGAGAATGTAGAGAAGATTGCCGCTGTTGAGGGTCTGGATGTGCTTTTCATTGGTGAGTTGATTTGTTTCATCCCGTCTATTTATGGCCCCCGCTGACTATTATCTATGATAGGACCATTCGATCTCGCCAAGCAGATGCGTGTCACCCACGGTGGCGAAGAGCATGAAGCTGCTATCCAGCGTATCCTGGACGCGGCGCGGTCGGCAGGAAAGAAGGCTGCTATCTTCTGTAAGTTTCGTGACTCTGAATAACAGGCGCATTTCTGACATATCATAGGTTCCGGTGGTGATGATGCGCTTCGTCGTACCCAGCAAGGCTTTGATATGGTTTCGATTAACACCGATGTTGCTGTATTTGGGGACGGCATGCTGCGCGAATTGGCACTGGCCAAGGGCGACTCCAAGCCTGAACAAGGGAAGGGAGGTTACTAAATCATTAGAAACATTGGAATGATTTAGCTGTAAATAGAATGCATACATTGACTTTCACATATCCCAAGGTTTTGACATCAACTTTGCAGAAACATATTCAATGCACACAATTAATTTAGTCGACATTAGATCTTGAACTCCACTACGACCCTGAATTTGTTCGGAATCAAAGAACCGAAAAGAGCTGGAGGTGAGAGGGAATCATCCTGGCCGCGAAGACGAACCCCATCCCCATTGTGACCATACCAGTGAAGGCACACAGAAGTCCCAGGTGAGCTAAGCTTTCAATGCCAGGTCTTTCAAACTTCGTACTCCTCCGTTGCCCAAGACGAGTTGTCCCGGTGAGGCTGGGAACGTATTTAAAGTCGAACCGCGACTCCCCACCGAGGCCCATTTTCTCATCAAGTATCATCCTGTTGAAGAAATTGCGACGGAACTACGTAAAACGAGAGTCAGTAGGGGAAAAACTTTTTCAGAAATTGTGGTTCATACCACAATCATAGTTTTGTCCAGGAAGTATATCCTGGGTATAATGTAGGACACGGCCATGACCCAAAAGCAATAACCCCATATCAACAGGCGATAATAAAGGTTGGATTTAGGGATCTCAAGCTGGTCAGACAACAGTTCACCATTCAGCAACCGACTCATGGCCTCCATGAACTCTTTCGACGCATAGGTTGGAGCCGTATTCTCGAGGCCAAGAATGATGTTTTTCGCAAGTACTTTCCCAATCTCAGAGGGATCGATCTCGGAAATCAGAAGAGACTCCATCATAGCGCGAGCTTTGGCGGTATTTTCAAAAGGTTCGGTTGGCGTTCCCATATAATATGCCACGAGTCTCCATAATGCGATATAGTCCTCGATCTCTTGGTTGCTGAGATAGATTCCCTGTCGAGGCAAGCCTAGCCAGACCACAGAGCTGCAGAACGTGTTGATTGTCCCTATGCAATCGAGGTCGCTTACTGGAGTTCCGTATTTATCGATGTCGTAGTACTCCGGTTGTTGATTGACCAGACTTAGGATTTTCAAACGTACGGTGGAGTGCAGTAGTCGGACTCGAACTGACGAAATGTGACCTTCTCCACCCGGTTTGATTCCCTCCACGGAGTTGCTGACTTGAAGAATGTGCTGGAGGGTTTCGAGAAGTCTTCGGCGTACGACCTTTGCACCGAACCCTCCTGTCCGGGCGAGTGTCTCAACGACACGGGTCGCTCCCCTACAGTCATTAGTCGCTGTTTCGTATCATTTGGGGAGGAATTTGTACATTCCGCCTAGTAGACTTTCAAAACTGAGCTATGAGCGAGTCAGTACCTAGTTCATATGATCCGTGTACTTCCGTGGAACAGCGACTGACCGTGTTGAGAATCGGGAGCCCGTAGCGGAAGAAAACATCCTGGCCACGTTGGATCTGGTCCCAGTCTACCCAGTCGGGCACCGTGTTGATCTCGGTCCAAAGTTCCTTGAGCTTTGGGTCGTCATCGAAATGGTCGCGCAGCAGACCGTAAAGGTCTTTCTTGAAGGGTCGTTTATCAACATCGTCTCCCAGCGGGATCTGGTTCAGACGTTCCACACACTGATCGGCGAGGGTATCGCAAGTGTATGCCCGAGGCCGGAGATCGTCGGCAGAGGAGTGAAGATCGGTCCATCGGAAGGAGTAATTCCAATAGTGACACTCGGTGCTGTTTCCGCTCTTAGGACTTTTCAGTGCCATCTTAGCCACATGCAAAATGAGATGTTGAATGTTGAAGGACAACAGAAAATGTCCAGGTATAGTTAAATACGAAGTATAGACATCATATTCCAGGTATTTTGGCCGTGGCAAAGGTGGTTACCGTGGTCCACGGTCCGGGGGAGAGGGGTTAGGGCATTCGCATGTGAAGCCTGCCCCGGGGCCAGCCACTCAGATCATTGATCCCCGGATTTCATGGCCACGCGAACTGTCAAAAGGTTAATTGGGGGACCCAGTGCTCACATGCTGCCCAGGTGGAGACCTCGTGGACAAAAGATCTACTATCGTTAAGGCATGGGCCACCTTTGAAGGTAATGGAGGCTTTGTTGCAAAGAATCCAATTGTTCTTTATTAATCTGAAACATTCTTTGTATTGTTGGAAACACAATAAGCAAACGGCACAGGATCGCTGGCTATAAAGCCTTGTCCATACCAGTGCAACAGTTCTCAACTACTTCCACTCGCTTCCAAAAGACAGAAACCATGGATTCAAGACCTATCATCAATATTAAGCTGAATGGGGAGTCTGCCTCTCATTCCCACATTGATCAACTAGAACTCGAAGCTTGCTACCGCGCGCTGAGCAACTTGCACAACTTACTGACTCCAGAATCAGTATTAAACCTGATGAGTGACCAGATTGAAGAGGGGAATAGATACTTTGAGTCGCTAATCACAAAATCAAAGGGAGGATTCCGAGAGTGTAGAACATATTTGAAAGTCTCCGGTATCACGGTAAGAGATATGCAGATGACCACCAGCCGCTGGCTGCTCTGCCGGCCTCTGGAAGAATTGGCAGCCAGGTATGTACTCCCCACTCACCCCGAGCACTATGCAATCATGCAAGGTCCTGGGTCATCATCGAGAGATCCCCCAGACTGGGGAGTGGAGATGATCGGCGATCACATAGCCAAAGTTCGATACATCGACCTTGAAGACAAGGGGCAGACCATACCCAAGTGGTTGATGGCACAGAGAGATTGGAATTATGACATGGTAGAGTTGTTGGTCGCCAAGCTCACAAGCGGAAACATATTCTTCTATGTCATGAATGAATTCATGAATTTCGATGGTGGCTGTAAAGTTAGACTGCGAACATTTTTCCCTTCTGCGGCTCCTCGGTCTTTGATGGAGCAACATGCGCAGCACCTCGCGATCGAGTTTCGGAATTTGCTAACGATGGTTAACGAGACTGTCCAGGATTTAGAAGATGATTTTTGAGCTGCGAAGTGCGAGCGGATTCGAATTGCCACGGTGTCCAGTGGTTACGTTGTCGCACAAGATTCATTTCGATATCGATAGTTTTCTGCAATGCAAATGTAAGATCCTTGTTTATTCCATCCCCGATTCTGGATTATTGTGGAGTCGATTGTAGATAAGGTCCGAGGTCAACGCCTGAGCAGCGGTCTGGGGTTCCAGTCCCATGGGCCAACGGAGAGATCTGTACAGTGACGAGGGTAGGAACTGCGCGTCAATCCTTGTACGTAGAGCCCTGAGACGATGGCTTGGCGGCGCATGTACAATGAAAGAAGCGGATCGGTTTACCAGGTCGTGATTCGTTCCGCGGGGAAGGCAGAGGATTGGACGAATAGATCAGGGGAACTCCACGATGAGGGAGGCTTGGGTTTGGTCCAATTCAACCTCATCTTGATATTGCCATTCAAAGCGAATGCTAGGCTTGGGGCGTCCTCGATTAAAAGCGCGACCGTCCTTGTTGGAGCTAATCTCGAAGCATACGTTGACACTGCCATCACCGCCCGCCGAGCTGCCACCGCTTCCAGACTCGCCCTCCTCAACCACCTCCACCCTTTCTGTGTCCCCCCATTCCACACAGGCTTCTACAATCATGCCTTCAGACAGTTCTGAGAACAATGGCAAGATCTTCTCGGTCTCCGGCCCTGTGGTCGTGGCCGAGCACATGATCGGTTGTGCCATGTACGAGTTGGTAGGTGACAGCTCCGAGATCGTCATGAACCCATGCTGACTGCGACAGTGCCGTGTCGGACACGGCTTGCTCGTCGGTGAGGTTATTCGTATCGAAGCCGACAAAGCCACCATTCAGGTGTATGAAGAGACAGGTAGAGCTCCGCAGTCCCCCCGACCACGTTCCTGCCCATACCAAAGAGCTATGCTGACCAACGTCATTTCCACCATCTAGATGGTTTGGCCGTCGGCGACCCCGTCGAAAGAACAGGCAAGCCCCTCTCGGTCGAGTTGGGTCCCGGTCTGATGGAGACCATCTACGACGGTATTCAGCGACCCCTCAAGGCTATCTCCGACGTGTCCAAGGGTATCTACATCCCCCGCGGAATCACCGTCAACGCCCTCGACCGCGAGCGCAAGTGGGACTACAAGCCTGCCAACTTCAAGGTCGGCGACCACATCACCGGTGGAGATATCTGGGGTTCCGTGTTCGAGAACAGTCTGGTGAACGACCACAAGATCTTGCTGCCTCCCCGTGCACGGGGTACCATTACTCGCATTTCTCCCGCGGGCAGCTTCACCGTTGATGAGAAGCTGCTCGAGGTTGAGTTCGAGGGAAAGAAGACTGAGTACGGCATGATGCAGACCTGGCCCGTTCGTGTTCCCCGCCCGGTGAACGACAGACTGTCCGCCGATGCGCCCTTCATTGTCGGCCAGCGAGTGCTGGATGCTCTGTTCCCCAGTGTCCAGGGTGGTACCGTGTGTATTCCCGGTGCTTTCGGATGTGGAAAGACTGTCATTTCCCAGAGTGTGTCCAAGTTCTCAAACAGTGATATCATCGTCTACGTCGGTTGTGGTGAGCGCGGGAACGAGATGGCTGAAGTTCTGATGGATTTCCCCGAGGTATGTACCCTGCTCTTGCTTATTTGTACCGCTTGCTAATCGCGTTTTTACAATAGCTTTCTATCGAGATCGAAGGTCGCAAGGAGCCCATCATGAAGCGTACCTGCCTCATCGCCAACACCTCGAACATGCCCGTCGCCGCCCGTGAAGCCTCCATTTACACCGGTATTACCATCGCCGAATACTTCCGTGACCAGGGAAAGAACGTGGCCATGATGGCGGACTCCAGTTCCCGTTGGGCCGAGGCTCTGCGTGAGATTTCAGGTCGTCTGGGTGAAATGCCCGCTGACCAGGGTTTCCCCGCATACCTGGGAGCCAAGCTGGCCTCCTTCTACGAGCGTGCTGGTAAGTCCAGCGCTCTCGGTAGCCCCGAGCGTGAGGGCAGTGTCAGTATCGTTGGTGCTGTCAGCCCTCCCGGTGGTGATTTCTCCGATCCCGTCACAACCAGTACTCTGGGTATTGTGCAGGTTTTCTGGGGTCTCGACAAGAAGCTGGCACAGCGCAAGCACTTCCCTTCGATCAACACCTCCATCTCCTACAGCAAGTACAACTCAGTTTTGGATAAATACTACGAGAAGGATCACCCCGAGTTCCCTCGTCTCCGTGACCAGATTCGTGAGCTGCTGGCCAAGTCTGAGGACCTGGACCAGGTCGTGCAGCTGGTCGGTAAATCCGCGCTTGGTGACTCGGATAAGATTACCTTGGACGTGGCCAGCTTGGTGAAGGATGACTTCCTGCAGCAGAACGGATACAGTGACTACGACCAGTTCTGCCCCTTGTGGAAGACCGAGTATATGATGAAGGCCTTCATGGGCTACCACAACGAGGCCCAAAAGGCCATTGCCCAGGGACAGAACTGGGGCAAGGTCCGCGACGCCACTTCGGACATCCAAACTTCCCTGCGTGGCATGAAGTTTGAGGTGCCCGAGAATGAGCAGGAGGTCTCGGCCAAGTACGAGAAGATCCTCCAGTCCATGACGGAGCGTTTTGCCAGTGTCTCTGATGAGTAAAGTGTCATCGCAGCTTAGCATGTATTTTCTTTTAGATGTTTTTCCAGCACATTCCCCTGTAGTTATTGCAACTCGTGTTCATTTGGGTTTCGTCCTTGTATACTTCCGACGCGCACACCTCTATGGCTTGTCCGTCTTAGGCAGCACCAAACCGATGCACCTGATCAATCTGAGTAAAGACATTTGGGTTATTGGACATTAAATAGTAGGCAATGTAGAGTTAACTCCGTAGCTGATAACTTAGGCATCGTAATAACAGAAGTATAGCCCGGGAACGAAGTTGCAGCCTAAAGACCGAGACCGCTCTGGACGCCACTACGGAGTACATCATCACCGCCTTCCGAAGCCAAACAATCCTCCACTTGTATTCATCTTTCTCGCCAAGTGCTTTCGACCTCCGATCGGTTCTTCCTGCATTTCGTTCCTCTTGAATTTGCAACTGTTTCGATCGCCATACAATCGCCTGTCATGGCAAGCCCTACGTCAGGCTACTCGTGCGCACCCCCTGTCCCTCGCCGATGCGGTCTGGCTAATCTCCGTGTGCAGCATAAACGTCAATGACCCTAGCTTGATTTCACTTGTGAACAAGCTTCAGGATGTCTTCTCTACAGTCGGTGTAAGTATATCTGCTTCGTAGATTGTCACCCAATGCCTGTGCTAGGGGTAATTCGAATGCTCACATCGCTCGCTTTAGGTGCAAAACCCGATCGATCTCCCCCAAATTGCCGTTGTCGGATCGCAGTCCAGTGGAAAGAGTTCCGTGCTAGAGAACATTGTTGGTCGGGATTTGTATGTGTCCCATGTCCGAAGCGTGCGCGGCCGCCCATCCGCACAAGCGGCGGGGCATTGTCAAGTCAACAAAAGCTAATTCAAACCCCCTTGTATAGCTTGCCCCGTGGATCTGGAATCGTCACTCGGAGACCCCTTATCTTGCAGCTGATCAACAAGACCCCCACCACGAACGGTGAGACCAAGCTGGAAACGACCGACGCCGAGTCCAACGTCGATGAGTATGGTGAATTCCTCCACCTGCCCGGGGAGAAGTTCCACGATTTCAACAAGATTCGCGATGAGATTGTGCGTGAAACAGAGACCAAGGTTGGAAAGAACGCCGGAATCTCGCCATCCCCGATCAACCTGCGCATTTACTCCCCCAACGTCCTCACCCTGACCCTTGTCGATCTGCCTGGTTTGACCAAGGTCCCTGTCGGAGATCAGCCCAAGGATATCGAGCGTCAGATTCGTGACATGGTCCTGAAGTACATCAGCAAGCCCAATGCGATCATTCTGGCCGTCACATCGGCCAATCAGGATCTTGCCAACTCCGATGGTCTGAAGCTGGCACGTGAGGTCGACCCCGAGGGTCAGCGCACCATTGGTGTGTTGAGTAAGGTCGATCTGATGGACGATGGAACTGATGTGGTGGATATTCTCGCTGGACGAATTATCCCTCTGCGCCTCGGCTACGTCCCCGTGGTCAACCGTGGCCAGCGTGACATTGAGAACAAGAAGCCAATCGCATACGCCCTGGAGAACGAAAAGAACTTCTTTGAGAACCACAAGGCCTACCGGAACAAGGCTTCATACTGCGGTACTCCTTATCTCGCCCGCAAGTTGAACTTGGTAAGGACCGAATCAAGCCGTGTCAATTATTGAGCTAACCAGCCTTCATTAGATTCTTATGATGCACATCAAGCAAACCCTCCCCGATATCAAGGCTCGTATCTCCGGATCTCTTCAAAAATACACCGCGGAGCTGTCACAGCTGGGTGACTCTATGCTTGGCAACAGCGCCAATATTATCCTCAACATCATCACTGAATTCAGCAATGAGTACCGCACGGTCTTGGAAGGTAACAACCAGGAGCTTTCCAGCATTGAGCTTTCAGGTGGTGCTCGTATCTCTTTTGTTTTCCACGAACTCTACTCCAACGGTATCAAGGCAGTTGATCCATTTGACATTGTCAAGGATATCGACATTCGCACCATTCTCTACAACTCCTCTGGTTCTTCGCCCGCTCTGTTCGTTGGTACCACCGCCTTCGAGCTTATTGTGAAGCAGCAAATCAAGCGCTTGGAAGAGCCTAGCTTGAAGTGTATCTCCCTTGTCTACGACGAGTTGGTCCGTATCCTCAGCCAGCTTCTGACCAAGCAGCTGTTCCGCCGCTATCCCATGCTCAAGGAGAAGTTCCACGCAGTTGTCGTCGCCTTCTTCAAGAAGTGCATGGAGCCCACCAACAAGCTGGTCAAGGACTTGATCTACATGGAAGCCACCTACGTGAACACCGGCCACCCTGACTTCCTCAATGGTCAGCGCGCCATGGCTATCGTCAGCGAGCGCCAGCAGTCCTCCAAGCCCACACAGGTCGACCCCAAGACCGGCAAGCCTCTTCCCGGCCGTGCTCAGAGCCCCTCCCTCGACACAACCGGCGAGGCCACCAACAACAGTGGCTTCTTCGGCAGCTTCTGGGCCTCCAAGAACAAGAAGAAGATGGCTCTCATGGAGGCACCTCCCCCAACCCTCAAGGCCTCTGCCAGCTTGTCTGAGCGCGAATCCACTGAAGTCGAGGTTATCAGTACGTAGCCCCAATTCTCCCTTCTAAAAGATTATCGCTAACCCCAACACAGAGCTTTTGATCACCTCCTACTTCAACATTGTCAAGCGCACGATGATCGATATGGTCCCCAAGGCTGTCATGTACACTCTTGTTCAGTATGTGTACCAACCCCCCAACCTACCACACATACTAACCACCATCCCAGGTTCACCAAGGACGAGATGCAACGCGAACTCCTCGAAAACATGTACCGCACCAACGAGCTGGACGAACTCCTCAAGGAAAGCGACTACACCACCCGCCGACGCAAGGAATGTCAGCAGATGGTGGAGAGCCTCGGCCGCGCCAGCGAGATCGTCAGCCAAGTCCAGTAGGGCGATTAATTCACATGAGCGTTTTGCGCCATATGTTTGTGACTTTTGCAAATCTCGACTATACTGATCTCGTATCATGTCTTGGTTAGTGTGTAGATGCTTTTTCGGCTTTGCGTCCTCGATCATGGTGCGGGGGAGTTATTTCTCAGTTGTGCTTTCTTTGTCCCTTTTTTTCTTTCTGCCCCTTTCCTGTCCAATTTGAGAGCTCTATACCGTTTCCCTTCAGAATTGGTCTGTCATCTGGACTTGCCATGAACGCTCAGATGATCATGAATTCATTAATGATTCTGTCTGCTTTATGACTTAGCTTAGAATACCAGACTATGACTTTTTAATTTTCCTATTCGGAGTCCTACTAGGTACTCCATTTTCATCTATCCTGGTTTACCCATGGTTAAAACTCAAGAGCAATAGTCCATATCGCTTCGTAGAGTACGCAAGTATCTGGTTCGTACTAGGTAAAGTTCGAAAAGCCGAGAAAAGACAATCTCAAGCTCTCGAGTGTTGAAGCAAAGTGCCCTGTACCGTCTGGCAGCATGTCTTTTGGGTTAGTGAATGGAACCTGCCATCATCATGTATAGACTCTGGACGCACCAGAACCACGCCTTGCTAGCCCGTTTTTGTGGCAGATCCATACAAATACTCTCGATTTTCGGCAAGGTTTTCCTCAACGAGGCCTTTGATATGAGGATAACTATCCAAAACCTCACGTACCAGGGTTGACTTCATAACCAAGTTGATCTCCACGATGGTGGTGACTAGGGTCCTGATCGCTTCGCGGTCGGTGGCGGCACGACTGAATGGGTATACCTTCCGTTTCTCCTGGCAGATGACCGGTGGTGTTATTGCCCCCGGTGAAATCGCACACCTTGACAGGTAACGGCCATTGAAAGCTCGATTTGGACCCTCTTTCTTTTGGACGCGTGCATCAAAGTAATGCTGCCAGGGTATCTTGCAACAGGCCCTTCATTGTTCCCTTATTGTCACTCTGTTGGATTGGTGTAACCGTTTGCTGTTTTGTTTCGTTCATGCCCGGTGTAGCGTATATCATGGACGAGGACGGTTCACTGGGGCCACATTCACCGGGGTAGGGTAGATATCGCAGGCTTCAAAATTCGGAATGAGGCAGAAGTGAGCAGAAGCGAGTCCACAGTCAGATTTCAGAAAAGGCGACATGGGATCCCACAGAAGTGACCGTATAAGTGACACCTGAAAGGGGCCCCGGGGGAACATGGAAGGTTAAACGTACCTACCTACCTACCTAGATAGGTTTCGGTTCGATTTATAGATGGTCGAGGGAGGTTCGGGATTGACGATGGATATATAGGCATACAAGCATGCTTCTTTGCTGCAGACAATTTGTTTTCTCTTTCCTTCTTTCACTTTCAGAATTCTGACTGGATTTAAGCAAACCTGAGCAACAACTTGGAAGTTAGCGTGCAACTGTTTCTGACGAACTTCTGTACCTCGGTACGAGAAAATTAAGCCATCAGTATCTTCCACACTTATTATCATCCTCCATCTTACACTGGGTATCTCCATCTCCCTAACATACCAACGAGAATACCTAGATATATAGATAGTGATCAACCTATACCTAGGTATAACTATGCTGCTGAAGATACTGATGGCCTAATTTTCTCGTACCGAGGTCCAGAAATTTGTTAGAAACAGTTACACGCCAACTTGTTCCGAGTTACTCAGGTTTGCTTAAATCCAGTCAAGATTCTGAAAGTGAAAGAAGGAAAGAGAAAACAAATTGTCTGCAGCAAAGAAGTATGCTTATATATCCGCCGTCATCCCAAGTCAGTCCTGTATATTTGCCTGTCAAACACCTGGCAGTGTCATACATGACATAGTATACCTAGGTACCTACCTAGGTATTACCTGAGCACATTCTCTAACCTTCCAAGGTTATACCTAGGCAAACTTGAACTCCACCTAGGCAGCTATAATGATGCTAATCAATCAACACCTAGGAAGTTCATCCGTCGGATTTACGCATTAAGGTTAAACGCTAAACCGTATCTAGCCAAGTGTCGAGCCCCCGGGGCCTTGCACACGCGCACGTGACATACTCGATACTCCAATGGGAAGCCAGGATTGCCTTATATTGCACTATCCAGAGCCTTCATATCATCTTGTGTACACCTGGGCGCCTGGCACCAGCCTCGATCAACCGGTAACAATCTACTAGGTATCAGTTGCAATAAAGAGGCCAATCGTAATATCATGCAAGATAATGGGATATATATTCAGAACCTTGGACGGTGCAGGACCACGAGTGTACTTGCAATAACACTGAAAGACTCCCAAGGTCATTCCCTCGCGGTATGGCGATAAGTATAATACCAATCCTCCTTCTTCAAATCCTGACGAACCTTATAATTTCTCTCAGCAGCCTCAATAACCGCCATATCCAAATCAGCGACAATAAAGCCCTCCTCGGTACCCATCTTCGCGATCGAACCTGCAACCGGAAGTGCAATCTGCGACAAACCAAGGAAGTCCTCGGACGGACCAGCGGCATTGGCGAAGATAACACCACAGGTGTTTTCGAAGCAGCGAGATGTGATGGTCGTTTCGAGGAAGAGAGCCTCGCAATCTGGGTTATATGCACGAGCTTCGGGGGATGCGTCGTGGGGAGTCCCTGATGGAGTTAGTGGTGCATATGCGCATTGGTAGGATGAAGGGCGGCTCACAGTAAGTCGGCATGATGACGATCTGAGCACCATCGGCGATCAGTTCCCGGAATGCTTCGGGGAATGCTAGATCCCAGCAGATCAGTAGCCCGACGCGACCGATCGGGGTGTCGATTGCCACATGGGGTTCTAGAGCGGAGGAGGTCAGATGGGGGCGCTCGGGGTGCCAGATGTTCTTCTTGCGGTAGGAACCGAGAACCGAGCCGTCGTTGGAGATGAAGTAGGCCACATTGTAGAAGAGGGTGGTGTTGTTGGGGCCGTTGTGTCTTTCAATGATGGTTCCCGGGACCAGGCAGATGTTGAGTTCTTTTGCCAGAGCTTGGTAGTTTTGGAGGTATTTAGGTGATTCACCCGCTTGAACAGCCCATCTAGGATCCTGGGGAACCATGCCAATGCCATTGAGATGATATCTGTTCGTAATTAACATTTCACTCCAGGGCTGGTTCAGACTGCCGTCTGAGAGTACGTCATGGCTCTTACTCGGGTAGGACCGCGAGCTCTGCGCCTTGCGCCGCAGCCTGGCGGATGTAGTCGCATGCTGTTGTGTAATTGTATTCCAGATCAAGTTCCTGCATACCGTGAGTCAGCTTTAACTTTCCCCGGGGCCCGTACGCGCAGCCTGCAGGATCTCATGGTCCGTGAGCCGATGTTCATTGTCTACCACTTACCTTGATCTGCCATTGGATGACAGCGACGCGCGGTGAGGAAGCCATATTGTGAATAAGAGAGAGAAGTAGATTGAGGGAAGAGTCAAGTTATAGAATGACCCCAACGTGAAGTTGGAGAATGTGGGGACCAATCGAATGCAACCCCACTCCGATCTGTCCCAATCAGGCAGGTTCAGCCACATCTATATAGACATTATAAATTAAAGCTGGATGATCTCTCACAGAACACCTAGCTCCTCCATGAACTTAGGCTTCTGGCTCACTCGATAAACCAATCGGTCTGTCCAAAAATGAGAGAAAACCGCATGAATAGTGGGCACCGCACCATAGACGGTACCGGAGATTGGGAAACACACTCCCTCCAACAACTGCTGTGGTCGACACCACATGCGAGGCGAAAATCCCGTATCAGGAATATTAGCCTCGTGCATATCCTTCATCCGAGAATCGAGACATATGGCATGCCATCGTTCATAAAGAACGAGCGAAATGTTCATGCCGACGAATCCCAAAGTCCGCAAAGTATTAGTGAAGCCAAAAGCCCATTTCAAAGTTGGATGTAAGTTTGCCGCAGGAGTCCACAGGGTATAGAGGACAGAGAAAAGCATGAGGATCGTCAAATGACACGGCATGAAATGAGCTTCCCAGAGCAAGTGGAGAAGCGCGAAGTGGCGGGGACGCAGGAATAGACACCGTTGATGAAAGCGGAGATAGCCAATGGTCCGGCGGGCTGCAAATCCCGAGTCAAGCGCACCCCACATGTGTCGCAGAGCCTGGCGATATCGAGCAAACCAGGTATCCACCGTTCGTCGCCAGCCTCGACCTCGATCGCTGGCGACGTTGCACTGGCTGGCTGGGATGTAGACCACGCGCGAGATCAGGTTGCCGGAGGTCTCAAAATAGCATTTGAGTAGCATGTGGAGGTCTTCGCCGATGGCTGTCGGGTCACTATCCCAGCCACCGACTCTCTCTGCGAGGGACAAAGACAGTGTATAGACCGACGTTGGGATAGCGATTGCGGTATAGGGGTACATGGTGGAGAGTCCTGCGAAGCTCCACAGGAGGTCGGCACATCGTACGAGTATGGGACTCTCGTTGGAGTTGCGGTCGAAAATGATCGGACAACAGTAGATTGTTCGATCTGCATCAGTGATGTTGTTATAGTGCAAGTGGCGAATCTCAGTGAAGTAATCGCGAGAGAGATGAGTGTCCGCTGGTGAAGTTTAGCGGAGCATCTAGCAATTTTGACAGGACAACGCACCATCCATTACAGTAACAGTGACGTTGCACTGGTCCATCCGCAATAGCGGACGATGGACCTCAATTACCCTTCGGGCAGCAAATGCCACATTTGAGCTTTTCCCCGCGATTTCGCCCTGAATTTCGGGAGGATGAAAGGTCGCCTGAATATCCATGAAACTATTTTCGAATGCCGAGGTCAATTGGGCGGCCTTGACCATGCTGGAATCCTCTTTCTGCTCCATCGCGAGGTAGATCTGCTATGGGTCAGTACCGCAGCTTGGACGGAGATGTAAATCGTACCTCATACTGCCTCTTTGCTCTAGGATGACATGCCAACACCTTTAAAGTAGTCTCCAACGTGTGGAGATCTTCGCAGTAGTTGGGTATGATGATTGTTTGGATCAGCTCTGGGACTTGTGAAGCATCACCGCCGTTGCTTGATTTGACGAATGACGGCTCGAACCCCTCAACTGAGTGTTCGCCGCTTGTTGAATCTAATGGGACCTCCACTGGGCGCCGTTGAATGGCAAGCCGGGTCTGCTTGATCATGTTGGTGAAAGACCAGCCCAGACGAAGAGTGAAGGCACACATTTGTATGTGAACGAACGCATTGTAGACCACAAACAGGACCTGAGCAACATTGAGACCCCTCCACGGGTCCTGGAAAGGAGGAAATAGCGACGGTGGAAAAATGCGCAACCAAAGTGCCGAAGTCAGAAGGCCAGAGAAGGCAAAGACCAGCATCGCAGCCAATGCGAGGATACTGAACCCTGGCAGGCAGCGCGACAGCCATACCAGCATATTGATAAGATATTGAATCCGGGCCAACACAGAAGAAAGAGGATATAATCGATATGAGGACTCAAACAGACAGAGAAAAGTTGAGAGGATAGGCGAGAGTCGTACAGAATCAATAATGCACGGCTGAATGGCGACGGGGACTTGTAGTACCAAGTCTCTTAAGTTTGCCAATACCCCGTCCTCACCCTTCATTTCCACAGACAAGCGATCCTGCGCAACGTGCATAGTTCTATTGATCCTGCAAAGCTTGGCGAGGATCTACACAGTCCCCACTGAGCCAATGACGGTGTCACCCGAAAGAGCGTGGTGAACCCTGAGGTGCGAGACACATTTTGATCTAAACACCAACTTTGAGTCCTAACTCTCGCAGATCCTCCAGCCGTGCATCCCACCGCACTGACTGCCAGTCCCAGCCGTCCCCGACCAACCCATAACTCTCAACTTCCCCAGTCGGTTTGCGCGCGTTGAGCGCCCAATACCCCCAGCTCACATCGACAGCAGCAAGATAATGCATCAGATGATTCCAGTAGTTGCGATCTCCTGCGGAAGGTTGTCCTGGGCTACCGAACTCCCCAACCCAGACGGGAGCAATGTCTTCAGTCAACAGGTGACCCCAATTCCAATCCATGGCCGCTGCAAAATCTGGATAGGAACGATGGGAGAATGGATAAAGCTGACCCCAGCCAGACCACTTGTACACATGAGCAGAGTAAACCACCCTATTCACCCGCGTTAACCTGATAGGCCGCTTTCGCACACCAGACAGGTCATTCGCAGACGAGATCCCTTCGACAATCATCAACCAGCGTGGATTAATATCCAAAAGCCGTTCCGAGACTCTCTCTGCCGCCGTCGCCCAGTCGTCCCAGTTCAGCGTGCCCCAAAGCCCGCGCGGCTCATTCCGCAGGTCTGCACCGATAACAAGTGGGTTCACTGCCAGGGGCCGCATAATGGTCTCCCAGTTATGAATCCATTGCTCTTCAGATTGGGGGATACGACAGAAGATCCCACCAGCAAGCCAGTCGTTGTACCACACAATATCACAGGGGTCAATACCGCAGCACCAGGTCGCTTGCGTGATGTGATTATTCACAATGACCATGAGTCCGACTGCTGTTAGACTTTCCACAACGGCATGGAATACTTCTAGTGCAAGAGGCTTTCCCAAGTTACCGGAAGTGAATAAGTCTGCGTTTGCCGAAATGAGAGAGCTGTTCACAACAGGATTTCGCACAACGATTTCATCGGCGTAGGGTAATCTGACGCTGTTGAATCCCAGTCGTTTGATCAGCTGAGCGATGTCATCACGATGCTGCACATCTAGTCCTGATGGGACGAAGCCGATGTCACTGGCTCCATACCAGTTTATGCTTGCCAGTTTGATGGGCTCTTCGTTGGCGTCTAGGATGTGCCGACCGCTCGTATGGAATGGTGGTGTGAAATTGGTGGTCGCTGGTGATGAGTGAAGATGTGTGAACCTACCGTCTGGAATGATCCGTTCATTCTTCAGCAAGATGTATTCGATGATCGCAAAAGCGGCTAGAACGCAAGATATTTGTCGTCTCATAGATATTCTCCACACCCGTTTCATAGTGAATTGTTTGTGTGGCAAGTCAATCTTCATTTATGTTGCTACATAGCGGAAAACATATGAATTCATGGATATTGTAGATATGCAAGAGCCTGCTATATGGGATGGAATCAATGGCATGGAAGGTGGCATCCGTGACCAGTTGACAGCAGACCATAGCATGAGACATACAGCATATGCACAAGGGATCATTCGGGAAGCTTATATGCAAACCTTGGAACATTTTCCAAGATTAGAAGGCTAATGATCAGTATCGGGGCGTAAATTGTCCATACATATTCATCCAACGTTTTCTGTAGAATCTCTGAGATAGGACCGACCATCTGTTGTACACTTCAGACATCTCCCTCGAGAGGTCATGCGAGAAAGAAAAAAGGGACAAAAGAACGAGAATGGGAAAATGAAATGATATCGACGAGCGGAGTCAATGACTCTTGGCCGGCAGCATGAAGTCGCTGTCTTCGTGCTAACTGCTTGTTCAGCAAGATTCATGTCTTTCAGTGTATAGACAGGGAAAATCATCGGATTCTCAATGGCATCAGCCAGGTTGGTACATATGTAGAGCCCTGGAGCCCCACAAGGTGGATACTATGAGTATAGGAAGAAGTGGGGTTATATAGAAGAATCAACATCCTACTTTCATATGGTTCCTTGAATAGCTGAGTGGTCTTTGCGACCCAGAAGGGCCGCGGCACAAGTCGCGAGTTCAAAACTGCTCACTTTCATTGCAAACTAGAAATCAGTCGTTCCGTGGTACTTGCGGTAATACATGGTCTCAGGCTGCTGGCGGCGTGACGATCATCTATATACCCCTCGACCTTTGAAGGGACATTTTTTGTTGCCCCTGCAGAATAATACTATCGCGAAACTGGTTTATCGAGAGATTAGAACAGTCAGATATGTAACACTTGAATTTGAAGAGAGTATTTTGAGGTGTCGCTAAAGTTTGGCCTGAATTTGGCCCTACGCCCCCAATATTGCTTGTCGCCTGAGGCCTTGGGGCAGCCACAGGGCATCCGCAGGGCCATCTGCCATGCCATGCCATTGCGCAGACCTCCTACATACCAACAGAACTACAGAATCCAAGCAATGACAGCCGCAGCGAGGTCATCGAAGCCAAGACTGGCGACTCCGTGAAATCCGGGTCTCTTTCGGGTGGTCAACTGGCATTTCCGGGAATCCGCAAGTCCGGCACTCCATGCTCTCTCGCAACACCACGCCAAAGGACACAATGATCATCGAGAAAAGACATAAATGAGGACTGTCGCAAAGATGAGACTCAACACAAAACACAATCTTCAATCCCCATTCCAATCTCACATTCCCAAAACAAAACAAAATGGTTGGCTTCGACATGCGCGGTTTGACCCCGGCTCCGGTCACCCCCTTCACCGAGGATGGAGCCGTGGACTATGAAGCCATTCAGCGTCTTGGATCTTGGCTCGGCAGCATCGACGGGGTGAAGGGTCTTGTTGTTCTCGGCCACGCTGGCGAGGGCACCTTCCTCACCGTTGACGAGCAAGTCTCCGTCATCAAGGCCTTCGTCAAATCAGTTGACAACAAGGTGCCCATCATCGCCGGAATCACCGGCGAAGGTACAGAGGTGGCTGCTCTTGAGGCGAAGCGTGCCAAAGAAGCCGGCGCAGCAGCAGGCCTCCTCTACCCTTCTCACGGCTGGTTGCGCTTCGGATACCAACCTGGTGCGCCTCAGGATCGGTACCGTCGCGTCTACGAGGTCTCCAGGCTGCCACTCATCCTTTTCCAATACCCAGACAACACCAAGGCTACCTATAACCTGCAAACCATGCTCGACATTGCCGCCCAGCCTGGCTGCTTCGCTATGAAGAACGGCGTCCGCAACATGCGTCGGTGGGACACTGAAATCCCAGTCATTCGTGCACAGCGACCAGACCTCCAGATTCTCTCTTGTCATGATGAATATCTCCTGCACACCTCATTCGACATTGATGGATTCTTGGTCGGATATGGCAACATTGCCCCGGAGCCTTTGATTGAGCTTATCAAGGCCGGCAAGGCCAAGGATTACCAGAAGGCTCGCGCGATCCACGACCAGCTCCTCCCTGTGACGAAAAGTGTTTACCACCGTGGGTCTCATATGGAGGGTACAGTGGCACTGAAGCATGCGCTTGTTGCTCGAGGAATTTTGACTCACGCAACTGTCCGTCCACCTCTTCTGCCACTTGAGGACGGTGCGGAACAGGAGATTCACGCTGCTATCAATGCTGCATCACTGAGCAAGGTGGTTCTATAGATGGATACTACATGTTCAATACTGATTTTAATGTTGACATTGTTGGAGTGAGAATGTTCATGAATTTCATCGTATGTCAATTATAGAAAGTCAGACGCCCGCAGTCCATGATTAAAATGCTTCCCTTGATGATATCCTACTGTCATAAGTGGGAGCTAGCTGTTGTATGGCGCGCCTATGCGTATGTAGTAAATCGTATGTGAGAACACCAGTGGCCCCCGGAAGTCCGGCTATGCTCCACGTTTCCCCCGCAATCCCCCAGCCTTTCCCCCGACATTTCCGTCCATCCTCATCTCCGTTGCATACTGCACGCGACCCAGATATACGCGCGCGATAATGACCCCCAAGTCATCCCGGGCCCCATCGGCATCCGAATTACAAGTTACAGGCAAGCGTCCGCTGACAGGCAGTGAGGAAATAGAAGACGAAAACCGGAGGAAAGATCCCAAAATCAGCAGGGCATGCGACATTTGCAAGAGAAAAAAGATCCGATGCGATGGCACACTACCATGCAACAACTGTTCCAGAAGGAAGATCAGCTGCGCCTATGACGCCAAATATGGCCGAGGGAGACCGCCGACTCCTCAGTCCTCAACCGCGACCGATCAGCGCCAGGGACAACAGATACCGGACCGGATAGATGGACTTGGCGCATGGAAGCAGCCGCAACTTATAGAGTACGATGATCTAGCCCCACAGGTGCAGTCTCGGGCTTCGCTGGACCAGGAAGTGGAAGGTCAATACTTTGATCCTTCTTCGGGATTGAACTTTTTACACCGCGCGTGGAAAAAGTTGTTGGTCCAGAAAGATGAGTCGGCGTCTTATGATTCTCATGAAACAGGGCGAAACCAACCACTGATTTCGGCCGGAGACCGGCCGTTTCGCATTGATGGCAACACGTCAGAAAGCTTCTTACCAGATGCTTCGTCGGCTAGAAAATTACAATGCTTCTATTTTGAAACGTGTGTGGTCACCTATCGCATTTTCCATCAACAAACGGTGGAGCGATGGATGGAAGTGTTTCTCAAAGATCAACAAGATGGAAAGCCTTTGGGATGGTCGCTTGGCCATTGCAGGACTGCGATCCTCCTTACCATAATGGCCATCGCAACTCTGCGAATGGAAAAGGTGAAAAGGAACGACGCAGAAGAAAATGAGGCACACACCCTACAACAGAGCGACCGACTCTTCTGCGCTGGCATGAAACTGATCAATGGGGAAATGGGATTCCCGCGTCTCGAGTCTGCACAGGCTCGTTTAATCCAAGTCCTTTATCTTCTTCAAACAGCCCGCATGAATGAGGGATGGTATAAGTTTGGAAATCTCTTCCACATCACACTTTCGATGGGCATGCACAGGAGACGAGATCAGAAAAGGGACTTTCCTTTCAACAAGCGGCAGAACTACATTTCCTCTGAGTGTTTGAAACGCACATTCTGGGTTGCTTATATCCTGGATAAGTATCTGAGTGTGGTTTTCGGTCGACCGAGGCTCTATCAGGATGAAGATATTGATCAGAATTTCCCGGATAGTGTGAACGATGAGGATATGACATTCGAAGGACCTACTGTTTCGGACGATTCTACCGATTGCCATGTCGATGCTCTCATTTCCCATGCAAAGTATGTATTCCGTCTGCAATGTGAGAGCCTAACTTATTCAAGTTTGTAGAATTGCGCGTATAATTGGAACAGTGTCACGAGAAGTATACTCTGTTAACGATTTACCCCATCAACACCGTCTGGCAGCTGCCCATCGACTAGGCCAAGAGCTACATGAATGGCGCGCAAGCCTACCGCCACATCTGGGAACCGTGAAACCATCTACATTGATGCCCAGCTTCCGACGTCAAGCCATTGCTTTGCAGCTGGCATATTTCCATGCTCTCATACACACCAATCGGCCCTTTTTACTGAGTGAGGCGGCACCGGAAAGTGTTTCTGAGTGTTTGTCTGCGACCAAGGCTAGCTTAGAGCTCGTCAACAGAATGGCAAGTGACAGCACTTTGCTTTATTCATTCTGGTGGACACACTACGTCATCTTCTGTGCATTGGCGGTGGTGTATGTCTGGGAGATTCAACGTACCACACGGTCTACCAATGTGGTTGATGAAGAGAGCCTGGGGCCACTCTTTGAACTTGCAGAAAGATGTCGAGGTCATCTCAACCGCGCATCTACGGACGTGTCTCCGAACCAACGCTACAGCGTGATACTCGATGAATTGAGGTCCGAGGCTTTGCGATGTCGACTGTTAAGACACAACTCTCATAACATTGATCCAAACGGGATGCAACATTCCGAAGCAAACCCAGCTGTAGACTTCAGCTCTTCCATGCCAAATACTGACTTCGTATCTGATGCACACCTACTTGAAGAAGAGGCAATGACGAACGTACTAGACGGGTTTCTGTTCAGTGACTGGCAGACTCTTGACTCATCAGTATGTCTGATCCCGGATTGCATGAGACTGAGCTGACATTTTCCGAAGGCTTTCTTTCCATTGCCTGATCCTGATTCTGTATCCCCAACGTGTTACCCCGCATTCAATTAGGGTCGAGTGGATCTGGTCGGCAGTTGACATCTCCCCGGTGAGCAGCCGAGATCGGATTTCACGGAAAAAGGAGTGTCAGGATGCAAGAGTCCGGGGTATCTCGGATCTCACTAGCGCCCTTTCTTCGCTTACCGTTGCCATTGGTCGTTCTACATATACCCCACGGGGATACTTGGAATTCTGACTTGGGGCTCTGAGATTGTTTTATCGATAACCCCTGCCCTCGAAGCAATTTGTTCGATCACCCAGTTTGATCACTATGGCCGAAAAAGACGCTGCGGTAATGCACCTGGAGAATCAACCAGGCAATGGAATATCCGTCGAAGATGCCGAATTCTTAGCCAATTTCTCAGATGAGGCAAAGAAGAAGGTCATTAAAAAGGTGGGTACTGAGTACTCTTCTACTGCCAAATGGAACTAATTCTCACATCTCTCACGCAGGTCGATGTATGTACTCGCCAGGCTTAACTTCCGCGGTTCTCGGGCCTGACTGAATGGTAATCTAGATGAGACTGGTTCCCATGTTTGTTCTGCTGTATTTGGTGGCATATATCGACAAGACAAATATCGGTATGCTACTGAAGGCTTTGCATGATTTCTCTACTCACTCCTCGCAGGCAATGCCAAAATTGAGGGCCTGCTCCCCAGTCTGAATATGAGCGGCCTGCAGTATAATATCGCCTTGTCTATTTTCTTCATCCCCTATGTTCTCGCTGGTGGGTCAGAGCTGGAAGATACCCCTCTCACTCTCCGTACTTACTGACATACTGCAGAGGTCCCAAGTAATATCATCTTGAATCGCCTGAAAAGACCGTCGCAGTACTTGGGATTCTTGATCTTCTGCTGGGGCGTGATCATGCTGTGCACGGGGTTTGTTCAGAACTTCGCTGGCTTGGTGGTTATTCGCTTCCTCCTGGGTCTTTTTGAGTACGCGATCCCATCGTCTCCAACAATACCCACTAACAAGTATCCAGAGCTGGATTTTTACCCGGTGCGGTGCTTGTGATTTCGAAATGGTACCTCCCCAACGAGACACAGACCCGAATCGCAATTCTATATACTTCGGCTGCGTCGGGTGGTGCATTCTCGGGTCTTCTTGCATTCGCTATTGCCAAGATGGACGGCACGGCAGGTCTCGAAGGCTGGCGCTGGGTTTGTCTTGTCCATCTTCCCACATTCCAATACTAATTTCCTTGTCAGATCTTCATCATTGAAGGCCTTGCCACGGTTGCAATGGCTGTCGCATGTTACTTGCTCCTCTTAGACTCACCATCACTCTCTCCAGGCTGGCTTAGCCCTGACGAAATTCGATACCTCGAAGCTCGCCAACAAGCCGCCAACGGACACAGTCACCACGAAGGCTTCAACAAGCGTATCCTTTGGAGCGTCCTGGCCGACTGGAAGATATACCTTCTCATTCTAGCGAACTGGTCAAATGCCGTCCCAAACTACGCCCTCAAATTCAACATGCCGGACGTGATCCAGTCGATGGGCTACAAGGCAGCCAACGCGCAGCTTCTAACTATACCCCCCTATGCCGTCGGTGCGATATCAGCCTACACGTTCTCCGTCTTCGCGGATCGATATTCCTGGCGCATGCCTTTCATCCTAATACCCCAGTGTTCACTGATCATCGCATTTGGGATCCTATTCTCCAAAGCTGCCAACATTAATGACAATATCGCACTATGCTATTTCTGTCTCTGTCTTGCCTGTTTCGGAATGTATCCCATCCTCCCCGGCGTCAATGCCTGGAATGTCTGCAACATCCCGAATCCGCACAAGCGCGCTGTCGCCATTGGGTATTTGATTTGCTTCGGGAATGCCGGTGGTATCGTGGGCAGCTTTATCTATAAGGCTGATGAGAGACCGCAATATCCGACTGGGTATGGTACTTCGCTTGCGTTCACTGCTGCTGGAATTGTGGCTGCACTGGTCTTGGAGTTCTCTTTGTGGAAGGCAAATCAGAGAAATGCTCTGATGAGCACAGTGGAAATTGAGGAGAAGTATACTGAGGATCAGCTTCGGGATATGGAGGAAAGGAGTCCTTTATTCAAGTACACTCTATGAGATGGACTTCCATCGTTTGAATAGCTAGCACCGGGTTAGCTGATGATATCTAAGTATGCTGGCAGAGAACAGAAGAAGGATCTATTATATGCTTGTATGCGATTGTACCTAGGTAAAGTGTCTCGATTAGGAAATACGGGGCCGATCTCAAACGGGTTTAAGCCGAAAGGATTCCCTAAATTTGGACCCTGAGCTGAAACAGGTTACCCTTGCCGACTGAATAGAGTAGAGAACTTGGGATCGAGACCCTGAAACGAATCAATTTCGTCTGGCCTGGAGTTTCAGAGCCGTTCCCTACATATTCCTCCACGAATGCTCATCTCAATAGAAATAGTGCACTATCCCGCCTCGAAATCCACTGATCGACAAACAATCCGCTTTTCCACGAAGTACGGACAGCCTGGGAAGCCAGAAAAAAAATCTCACCTCTTCCTTGATCAAAGTACCTAGGTAGCCAGAATGTCTCTCTGGCGTGTGATCACTCTCCTCTTATTTCTCTTTTTCACACGGGCGCTCAGCGATGAAACCATCTCCAGCGAACTCGATCATGACTGGGGAAACAACCTCCTAGTCCCCCGATCCCCAATGCAAACCATCACCAGCCGACCCTATCCCACCATGTCCCCAACGACGAAACCCTATTGTTTCCGCGAACACAACGAAAACAAACACTTTCGACCCTTCGATATCGCGGAATGGCAAGATGCGCTCAATGCGCTCTGTAGCCAGGACACTTTACATCCAGATGATGGGCTGAAGACATACGTGTCGCCGAAGGGGCTTGTCGCGTGGGGATCCTATGCGCAAGACCAGTCGGGATGTTCTCCGAAATCGGCGTTCGAGTTCGCCGAGCCTTGTACGAGGTGGATGAAGGAGTTGGTGGATAAATGTGATGGGCGGATGCCGCAGGGGGGTCCGTATGGCTTTGGGGGAGGGTTTATTCAACCGGGGCCGAGTGGGTGTATAGAGATTTACGTCGCGAAGTCATGAACTAATATAATGTCTTTCTTATGTGAATAACGGTCACTTCGTTGAACCGTGTCGAATAGCGAATGTTCGGCTTTTTGCCTGCGCATCAGAAGTAATACTGATGCCACCATTTGTTGATATGCACGTGTCTGCATAGAGACGGACAACCTTGGAAGCTTGCACAGGGCTGCCTTTCCCCTGATCTTCACTGTGCGGGACAAGGGCTCAATTGCCCCGTAATTGGGCAGTTTTGTCCCCCGCTACGGAGTAGGCTCTGATAAGATGCATCTGAGAATATTAACTCGCCCCAATGCTTATCTGTACAAAGTTAAGGGGTTCCAGGCCCAAGGTCAATAGCGTACGCGTTCTGATCAATTGGGTGGGGAAAACCGGGTTTACGCAGTGGAGACTGGAATGCGGCCTTCTAAATGCGGAAACCCATCACAAGTCCAGATTGCAGCTGGGATACATAAAGTATGGGCGGCAAAAAAGAAGATATAATAGAGAGAGAAGGGAATATTCAAGCAAAAAAGCAATTCTCAATATGTAGTTGACGAGGTGTCCACATTAGTGCGTTATGCATATGCAGGTGAAAACCTGCACAGAGCTAAGGCACAGCGTGTCGGGCCACTACGGAGTACCTACGTAGGTATGGACTGGTTGGCCCTATCGATGCAATCGAAATGATAAGCCAGTGCAGCTACCCCTTGCTGGGGCCTACTGCACGTAGCCTTTGCATGCTTCTCATGATCATTCTGTTAGATACCGCTTTAGGCAGGTGATATCAATTGAAGCAACAAGCTGTGTTATACTCCGTACGGAGTACTTCTCTACGCTTTGGCCTTCGAAAGTATTTTTTATCCAGCTTGGTGGCTTCATTATGCCTGTGAGTCTGAGAAAGAACAGTTCCAAGTATGGCCCCTGCGTTTTCGAACAATCGCCTTAAATAGCCCTGGACCAAGTGTCACTTGTTCATGTTTTATCAATGCCATTTCTAGTTTTTCATTGTGTGAATTCCCTTTGGTTTTTCTTGGCTTAGAACATCTCACATCGTGGCAATTCCACGCCGATACGATATCCATTGATGAAGAAACGTGCGTTCCAAGGTCGAAGCTTTTGCAGCCATCGAACAAGGATGAGGCCGGCGCATACAAAGGATCATCGGCTCAGGACCCAAGGCACCGATTAACCTTCAAGCCTCAATAAGGCTGCGTATTAGCATTCAGTGCTCATGAACTAATTTGGTGCGCGTCTTTGTTCCAAGGCTCTACTCAATGGTCACCTTAAATACTCTGTATACGAACTAGAGACAAGCCACGCCGCCACGGCCGATATATAGTACCGGCTTCCATGGCACCGGAGCGCCCAGGGTTGCCTCACAAAGGCAAACCTAGATAGAATGGAGAGCCGAGTCGTGTCGTGAAACAGATACTCTTCTATACCTCAATGAACCCTTTTCTTTGATCCGAATTTTCAAATAGTGTTATCCGATGGAACACGGCAGGTGAGATAGTCTCATATCGCATCTATAGGACACGGCCATCTCATAGTATGAGGCTGATACAAACGTTGGTTGACAAACCTGTCCATTTGGACCGGTTGGATTGCGAATCTGACTCGATGAGCCCCGTAAGCTGATTCGTGTTCGAGACAGCCGGTAGCAAGCTGCAGTGATGAAATTAATGTGACTCGGTTTACCGAGATCAAGGTCATATTCCGCATTCGACGTGTCAGTTCAGCCACTTCAGCCACACGAACAATGAAGAATTTCGTTTTTTGCCTTTTCTTGTATTTTCCTGATTTGTGTTTACTTACCAAAGGCAAAATCGATCATGTTCTTACACCGCTTGGACAGAGCAGTCACCTGAGTATGAAAGAGAAAGTCAACCAGAATCGCAATTAAATCACATCCCGTTGTTCCCTCGAGCCCCCTCACATCCGAAAAGAGCGATATACATGCGCCTCTCAGAATGCCAGTCAGAAGGCGTGCTTTGGACATGAGGAATCATTGGCAACTGCAGCCAAGTATAGAAAGGTGCCAAGAAAAGACCAATCATTCCAGCCCTAAGAGCACAAAGATGCTAGGAACGGGCCACGACATAGCCGGAATGAAAAGTGGGCCACGATCTAGTTCCCCTATTTCAGGCAACCTCATTGCCATTCTTCAGTGAAGAGTTGCTTTTTTCTAGTACTTTGCCGTGTATCGTCTTACAATCTTAGACTTTGCCAAGGTCGAGTCATGGTCTAGCCTTTGGATGGTACTATAATATATGCGTCTATACACACTGAATATACTGTACAGTATGTAGATATGATGCCAAGCCCCAATCAACTAATTAAAAAACAAAGCTTGGCCAAGAAAAGGACAAATGACTTGCGATGTTTCAGGTTCAAAGGTGAAAGCGAATGAGCTTCGCCACAAAGCGATCGACAAAGCCCACGTTTCGGCGACAGATGACAGTACCGTACCGGTATTGTTTCCCGCATGCGTGATTTTTCGATTTTTCGACTTTTCGATTCCTTTGATTTTCTTGATCTTTCTTCTCAAATGATTCTCATCCTTTCATCGACTCTCTATATCAGGTCGGCCATGGCTCAATGCCACGTTGGTGGCGGGCTCTGACCTGCAGTCGAATCTTCTAAACTCTCCGCGATCGACAGTACCACATGTATAGTCCACGAAACGGGGTCGAGCGTCCAAAGCTAATAACTTCCAGGTTCGAAAAATTCCCTTCCTTCGAGCAATTCGACCCGACTCGCCGCAGAGTCAGACATCCGCGGTCTGGTCGAGTTCGCCTGCTCAACATGTTCTCGGCCTTCCTCCGTCGAGCGACGGCCATCAAGGAAAAGATCCCGATCTTGAACGAACTGCACCTCAACTTCATCTTCCTCCATTACGCCTATATTATCTCCTGGGCCATCCTCGGCTCCATCATCCTCTACCCCAGTGGCAACATCCGCTACATCGATGCCCTCTTCCAAGCGGCCGGCGCCGCCACCCAGAGCGGACTCAACACCGTCGATCTCAACGGACTCCGACTCTACCAACAAATCTTCCTCTACCTGATCACCTGCCTCTGTACCCCGATCTTCATCCACAGCGCCCTGGTCTTCATCCGACTCTACTGGTTCGAGAAGCGCTTCCAGCACGTGGTCCGCGACGCTCGGGCGATGCGACGCACCCGCTCGCGCATGGACACAGTCACCGAGGACCGACAAAGCGAAGATGTCAATCGAGCCGAGCTGGGCGTGAGCGGGCGGCCGATCGTGGTAATCCGGGATGGGGAGGGGGATGCGCGGGACGGCCGCCTGACGGATCCGGCCAGCAAAACCGTCGATTCCGGAATCAACACCCCAGCGCGAACCGCCAGTGAAGCGTCCAGCGACGAGGACACAGACACCAGCAATGAGCCACGCTTCGGTCTGGGCAGTTTAAAAGTGCCGACGCACCTCAATCCCGAGCACCATATCGCATTCCTGGAAAAGCAGCGGAAGGATAAGGGCGCGCTGCGCATTCCCAGTCCGAGGGAATACGATCGGGGCGGTGCGCCCGAGGCGCTGGAGGAAGATGTCGATGCGGAGCAGGCTCAGCCCGCTGATGAGCAGGATGACGTCGCTGATCACCCTGAAGGCCAGGACCAGCTTGGTCCCCTTGAGGGACCGCATATTACTATTAACGAGCCGGACATTCCTAGAACTCGGCCGCGCGGGAATACATTCCCGCGCTTGGATACTCGGCCCACTTTCCGGGAGACTAAGGATGGGAACGAAACCACGACGCTGGCACCGACTACGACTAAGAATACTTTCAAGGGGATCTTCCGATCTCTGACGCAGGAGCGGGATCTCAACACCGCTCCGTACCTCAGCTGGAATGCGACGGTGACTCGAAACTCCAATTTCGTGGATTTGACCGAGGAGCAGCGCGACGAACTCGGTGGTATTGAATACCGCGCGCTGAAGACTCTGGCTGTTGTTCTGATTACCTACTATGTCGGATTCCATCTCATCGGGTTGCTGAGCATGATCGGCTGGATCATGACAGAGAACAAATGGGGCGATGTTGTCCGCGACGCTGGAGTTGGCCGACCGTGGTGGGGAATCTTCACTGCGGCTTCTGCGTTCAATGATCTGGGCTTTACCTTGACTCCCGATTCGATGTATTCTTTCCAAACGGCTATCTTCCCGCTGTTGATGCTTTCCTTCTTGATTATCATCGGTAACACCGCGTTCCCGTGTATGCTTCGTCTCATGATCTGGGTCCTTTCGAAATTCACTCGCCAGGGATCTGCGCTTTGGGAGGAACTCAAATTCTTATTGGACCACCCTCGCCGATGCTTTACTCTGCTGTTCCCCCGAAATGCTACCTGGTGGCTATTTGCTATTCTGGTGGCCCTGAACGGCATTGATTTGATCTTCTTCGTGATCTTGGATGTAAGTTCCGAAACCCCTTTCCCTCCTGACTTCCAACTAATCCCCCTCTAGCTCAAAGATTCTGCCGTCACCTCGCTATCACCGGGTATTCGAGTTGTCGATGGTTTCTTCCAAGCCGCGGCGACACGAACAGCCGGTTTCGGAATCATCAGTCTATCAGAGCTACACCCAGCAATCCAGGTCTCCTACCTGATCATGATGTATATTTCCGTCTTCCCCATCGCCATTTCCATGCGTCGAACCAACGTGTACGAAGAGAAGAGTTTGGGAATCTACGATGCTGCGGATGAAGATCACGACGAGGAAACCAACGCCCCTACCTACATCGGAGCTCACTTGCGACGCCAGCTGAGTTTCGATTTATGGTACGTGTTCTTGGGTCTCTTCATCATCGCCATTTCAGAGGGAGGTCGACTGCAGGAGGATACGGATTACTCCTTCCAGCTCTTCACCGTCTTATTCGAGGTCGTGTCCGCCTACGGAACTGTCGGTCTATCCTTTGGCTACACGGGCGTCAACACTTCATTCTCGGGACAATTCAACGTCGTCTCCAAGCTCGTCATCATCGCCATGCAACTCCGTGGTCGTCACCGTGGTCTTCCATACGCTCTGGACAGAGCTGTTCTCCTCCCCTCTGACGCACTCAACCGACACGAACACGAGGAAGGCGAGCGTCGCATGCGTCGCCGAGCCTCGAATCTCAGTGGTGGTGGATCCCTCGGGCAGTCGAGATCGATTGGCCCATCTCAATCCCGGACCCTCTCTCAAGCAAGACACGATGCTGGCCTTTCTTCGGGTCTGGAGACCCATGATTGGGGTGCCAATCCTGCTCCTAGTGCGCCTTCTCTTGTTCAGCGTTCTGGAACTGTGCGGTCAAATCGGTAGAAATTGGGTGGGCTTTTGGCTTCTGTTAATGCATATACAGGCTGGGCGTTTTGCATATATTTTCTGGCGGATTGCTTTTTATTGCAGTGTGAATATCTACGCACTATCATTCTGTGAATATTATTGACCCTTTGGAATCTCGACCTCGCTGTTCAGGTGTTGTGACGTATAGTGCCAGTTCTGTGTGCCAGAAGGATCGCGGGTACTGTTCCTTTGGGTGGGATTGTGCTTGCCTGGGTGGACCATTGTTCATGAGCCCAAAGTTCGTAGTTTATGATGATAGACACCGGGCCTACTGATGCTTTCCTTCTCCATACCTGCCGTCGATGGCTAACTCATGCTTGTTTGCTTCCCAGCAACTGCTCTCGATACGGAGCAATGTGAAACAGAACCCCAGGCTCTTCTGTCTCGGCTCCACTCCACGTGTGCCCAGGTGGGGCCTTCAGATAACGTTGGCGCTAGATCGTTTAGGGCGAGGCGATCCATGGGTCTGGAATCGGCGCCCGTTTAAGGAACCCTCGAGAGTCGGTATTCATGACGACCTTGGAGCTACTAGGAGCAGGCTGCAGTTCCCTATTCTTCTAACTATACAGATTTCTTCAATATCGACAATATGGTTGAGCAAGATCCTCCACCCGCATATGCCCTGCACGAGTTCACCTATACCAAAACCCCAGAAGCGAATACTACAGACCAAGAAACTGGACCCGTCAAGGTTCCCTGGTATAATCCACGAAGCTGGCCCCCAGGCACCAGAGTCCGTCTACCATTATTGATCATCATCATATTGGTCATCACCGTGGTCCCCATCGAAGTGATCAAAAACCGGTATCCGAACTACAAATATCTAGAGTATAAACTTGTCGACGAATACTCTGGACCAAAATTCTTCGAAAAATTCAACTACTTCACCGAAGAAGACCCAACAAAAGGCTTCGTGGTCTACGTCAACGGAACCACAGCTACGAATCTCAACCTCACCCACGCCAGCGACACCGCAATCCTACGCGTAGACGCAGCAACCCGCAACGCGAAGGACGGCCGGAACTCAGTGCGCATCGAATCAAAGAAAACATACGATGAAGGCCTCTTCATCTTCGATATACTTCACACCCCATTCGGTTGTGGAACATGGCCCGCTCTCTGGTTGACAGATGGGTACAACTGGCCATCGAATGGCGAGATCGATGTCCTGGAAACAACCAATGGGGGAAGTCAGGGGAACGAAATCACACTCCATACTACGAAGGGGTGCTCGATGAACGTCAAGCGCAAGCAGACAGGACAAGTCCTAGCGAATAAATGCGATGACACTCAGCATGGAAATGCAGGCTGCGGCATCCTGGGCAACAGTTCCAGTTACGGGGAGGTGATGAATAACAATGGTGGAGGTATTTATGCGCTCGAGATACGCACAGAAGGGATCCGAGTGTGGTATTTCCGTCGAGATTCTATCCCCGCCGATATAGGGACGAAACCGGACCCGACGCGGTGGGGAATTGCGTTGGCGGATTTCCCGAGTACCAAGTGCAATGTCGGTTCTCATTTTAGGAATCAGAGTATTATTGCTAATATTGATTTGTGTGGGGAGCTTGCGGCTCAGGCTCAGTACTATGATACTATGTATCATTGTCCTGCTACTTGTCCGGAGTTTGTGGCTATGAATCCTGGTAGCTTTGTTGATGCGTTTTGGGAGTTCAAGAGCTTCAAGGTTTATCAGAGTTCTGTGAAACTGGCAAGGGATGCTAGGTTGGAGCGGGAGAGGGAGGAAAGGGCGCGAAAGGAAGAAGAACGGAAGAAGAAGCAGGAAGAACGGAAGAAGAAGCAGGAAGAATGGAAGAAGCAGCAGGAAGAAAAGAGGAAGCAGCAGGAAGAACGCAAGAAGCACGAAGCAGAAGAACGCAGGAAGCAGCAAGAAGAAGAAGCAAAGAGTCAGGCGAATGCTGGTGAAAACACAGTCTACTACGCCAGCAACCCTGGAATCCTTACACAGATTTGGTGTATCTTTTTCTGTTAAGTCTTGCTTGTGCAAGATGACGAGATTTGTTTTCGATTTGCTTTCATGATGTGTTGGTCGGAGTTGTTCTCATTTCCTTTTGCTTTTTGCAAAAACACAGGTCAAACCTGATGTCTCAACAGATGTTCTTTCTATTCGGTGATAAATCGTGAGATTTATCGGGGGAGGAAGTTTCCGAATTCGCTAATTCTTTCAGACTAAGGCCTGGACAGACCAAGAGCCTATTCAGATCATCAGATGGAGGATTTGCCAGCTGCCAGACTATCAAGTTATTCTTAGACAATTGAATTTGGCTACACATTAGAGAAAACAGCGGTGTGAGTCCTCGACAGGTCCTCGACAGGTCCCTGTTAAGAGGCGCCCAGCTCAGACCTCGGAGAAAAGTTAGATATGCATTACTTCCAACCTTGGACTCGGGAAGGCTTGCAATAAGTGTATTGCAAATGAGGCATGCCTCTAGAGCTACAAAGAGGTTAGTACTATACCTAGGTAGAAGACAAATCTGTGCCCGGTGAGTTCCTAAATTTGAATACTGATAGCATCCATGGATGCTCATGCTCCAATATATTATGTGGATACTGATTATGATAAAAGTGTGCATCTATGGTGCACTCGCCGTCATGCTACGGCGATGTGATATAAAATTCTGCACAGGTGCCCATTCACATTGGTATATGGATGCCCAACCCCAAAACAAGGTCGATCATATCAGGTATCTACCACTTTTCTCACCGTCATGCTCTTAGACGTAATTTTCGCGTTTGATTTCAGTCTACGGAGTTTTTTCCTTGAAATGATCCGGAGTGGATATATCAATTTCGTAGTTCTGAAAGTTGATAGCTCTTGGTGCGAATTTACGTGAAAGAAATCCTGGAGAATGACCTGCCCTGGTACACAACTTCCCAGCTAGCTGGCCTTAGAGAATTATCACCCTTGCTTTCAAGGTTATGCCCAGATGACAGACGCCTCCCATTAAGCTTTCTCCATTTATGCTTCCAAGGCAATTATGCATGGGTACTTAACGGACTTTGACCCAGGAATTGTTTATCTGATCGTACATATCCGAGCTTTTATCTATTCTTTCCTTCCTTTTTGATACTGTAGAGCCTTGGAAGCAAGAAATTATGTTGCACAAGAACCAAAGCTTCCAGAAATACTCTGTGCCAGACCCTCTCCAAGTTCCCCATGAAGCATATGAAAATAAGGAATACTTTTGCAAATTCACTCCTCGCATCAGCTTAAGGCTGACTACCTTGCTCGTGGCGATGCAACGAAAAGAATCATGCGATGGCTCCAATTGCTGGACGATGTTACAGCTGGGAATTTTGCTTGGAGCATGACCACTGCTCGCTACCACGAAGACGCCGAGAACGCTTATCCGGGGTTACGCGTGGAAAATACAGACCTTTTTCTGAATGGTGACTTCGGTAAACCAATTATTCCTTTGCCAATGAAGTCGGACGTGATAACCTCGGATTTTGCTAAAAGGGGCTTCTCGGACGACCGCGAATCCACATATGGAAGCCCCATCCTTGAGCCCACATGTCTTGATTCGGGTTGCAAACAGCAAACAGATTCCAGTCTAGTGTCTATCTCGGACTTCGAAGAGCTCAGTGTTCATGGTTTCCATGTCCCGGATACGCGTTGAGCATAATCTAGATTTCCTTGGAGCCCTACGTATATCAACAGTCTTTACCGTCCAAGGGGGTGTGGAACGCTGCAATTGACGGCCTTGACGTTTGGTATCAAGTACCTGAGCGATCTGTCCTGATCATCCAAGAGATTGTCACTCTGTTAGACAATTCCTTGCGAATGTATGACGATTTACCCATCCTTGCGCATTCTGACAATCCGGCTAATTGACTACAATCAAGGGTCTATGACACGCAGAATAGCTCCCCCCTAAGAGGTCGCTCCCCAGCTACGCACATTGTTTTCGGAATCGGCCAAACAATAAACTCGGCTAACATTGTGCTGCTGAAAGCCATGCAGGCTGCAATGTCAATGTCGCCCAATGCCGCGACTTTACTTACAAACAGACTTATAGAAGGCCATATTGGTCAGGGAGTAGATCTCCACTGGGCAAATCAGACAAAGATTCCGACGGAAGAAGAGTATTTTACTATGATAGATGGTAGTGGGTTCAACCATGCACTTTGCCAGCACTCACCGCAATGCTAATCGTCTGATGATCTCAGAAACCGGCGGCTTATTCGTCCTCGTGGCCGAGTTAATGCATTCCGAAGCAACGGAGAACAAAGACCTCGATGCCAAAGCCCTCATGAAGAATATAGGCAGGTTCCTTCACGTCCGTGATGATTACCTCAATCTCCGAGATGCAGATGTATGTATATCTCTTTCTTTTGGCAAAAATGCTCTATTGCTGTCTTTTCCGTCTTCTACCGCAAACAACTAACCTCATGCGTCAAAGCCTGGGCAGTGTTCCAAGAAATTTGGTTTGGCAGAAGATCTCAACCAAGGCAGGATCTCTCTGCCTCTTATTCACGCCTTGTCACGGAGAGGCCATCATCGTGGCCGATTGCTCAATATCCTGCAGCAACGCAAGCTTGGGAATTTCCTTTCTCCTGAACTACAAAAGCTTGCATCGGACGACATTACAGCCGCTGGTGGGCTAGAGTATACAAGAGGTGTCATATTGTGTTTACAGAATACGTTGGATGAAAGCCTGACACATACTGAAGAAAAGGCAGGGAGTAACTGGATTCTACGATTGATGAAGAAGCGGTTGGAGCTTTGAAGTTGGAAGATTTTCATCCCAAGGTCCTTCCAAGGTTGTCAAAGCATTGGTCGATTATGCGTTCTTGAAAGAATGTAGATCTATGACTTGAATATTGGATCAAACATAACATTTTTGTAGCACTAAATCAAATGAACTTGGGTATTTTAACGAATGAGTAGTCCGCTGGCAAAAAGAGACGTCGTGCCATAGCTATATCAAAGCTGCCGCAACAAACTGCCATCTGCGAAAGGATTTTCAGGCGCCATATCCAGTAATGGTTTCGTGGCATTTCGGTCCCCCGAAGCAACGCCATGGCCGGTCCTCTGCTTCCTAGGCGTAGTCGTACTAGCAGAGTGGGCGAGTAAGCTATTCGGCGTGAAGTCCTGCGGCGACGGCGCATCTGGAACAGGATAGGGGGCTTGCTCGCGCACGCTGCGGGTAGTGTTGCGGCGTTGAGGGACATCTGCGCGGCGCCAGGAGGTCGACGGTGGGATTGAGATGGCTCCTTGGGCTAGTTCTGGGCCGGTGGCGCCGTCGATGAGTTGCATTCCTGGTTGGACTTTGACGCCGTGGCCTTTGCCCTTGCGGCTGTGTTGGGGTGGTTCGGCGTAGACGGGGGTCAGGTCGACGAGAGGCTTGTGGAATGCTGATAGGTCTGGGGCTCGGGTCATGGTGTTGGAACGACTATTTGGGGCTGAGTCGAATTGGGTGCCAGCCATGAGGCCTGTTGTGAAAGGTTCTTGCCTGCTTCGCTTTTCTTGGTCTTCCCGTTCACGCATGGCGGTTTGTCGTTGGGTGTAGGTGCGACCTAGCAGGCCGGTTGGGGAAAAGGTGGATGTTTCAACTTCCTCGGGCGAGGTGCCGGTGACCAGTGCCTCGGTGTCGCTGAATGACCCGCCCACGTCTGTGTCCAGGGTTGGTGTATGTGGGTATGAAGATGGCGGGGGTACATGTCCACGTTGTGCTCGTTTTCGGGCGAAAATATCCTTCGAGCTTGATGGCCGCTGTTGCTCGGAGCTTCGACGCTTGGGGGATTCGGTCGAGCTCTGTCGGTCCAAGAGTGGGACGTCGTTGTGGACGTTTCTCTGCTGGGTGGATCTCCTGGTTCCAGAACGCTGGAGGGGTGCTTCGGCATCTGATCTCTGACTTGTTCCTACCTTGTTCACGAGATACCAGCTTCTCCACTTTTGCACCGCGCGATACCATTGATCTGCGACGGATCTGTCACTGGTCGAGAAGAAGTGCAGGAAGTTTTCCGTTGTAAGGAACATGGATGACTTCTGCTGGCTTTTGATCGCAAAACAGAGTTTTTTGGGAGGTTTGATATCTTGTTTCAAAGCCCGGGCGCTGGGGAAGTAGATGTCAAAGTCCGATATATGGCAAATATTGGTCTGTTCTTTCGCATTCTCCTTTTTCGCGACTGTCACTTGCCCATCCGTACGCAGGGTGACGTAGCGTTTGTCCCATTTCCGCGGGCGTTGGGAATAGTATATGTGGACATTGATTGGAGGCGGCTGCTCCGAGGGAGCGTGTGCAGCTTCGAGCTGAGCCAGCGCTTCCACACTCGAAGGCGGAATGACGATGAATCGATTTTCCGAATCATGAGACCAGGAGTTCATCACCTCTCTCAAAAGCTCGTACCGACGTAGGGGACGCTCGAGGCCGACTTGGGAGAAAGACTCCATCAGGATGAACTTCTCGGCATCAATGTCCCGGGACAGATGCTTGGTCGCATCCAGCAACAGATCCTTCACTCGCGTTGACGGGGTGATCGTGAGATTGGCCCGAGCATCACCATAGACCACAAGTGCGTGTCGTTCGCCAGCATTCACAGCGCTGAGGGGAGCATCCACGCCCGGAACGACACCGGTGCCGCCCACCCCAATGTACCTCGGAGCCGAGTCGCTCTTTTTACCATGCCCTCTGACTTTGGAGTTGACTTTCTGAAAGAACGACTTGCGACCCGAATCGGCGGACTGGGCGCTGCGCGGGGGATTCGTCGGATCAGCTCGGGGCTGCCTGTGTCGCGCGTCCACTTTTTGCGGGGGCGCTCCAATGGCAGAGGCTGGCGGACGCTTCTGGCGCGACTCGTCCCCCGTCAGCTGGGACATCGCATCCTGTCGATGGGCATCACGTGCGTGTCGGTCTTCGTGCCTTGCAGAATCTCGGGGACTTTCGCTCGCGTGTGGCCGCGGTGGAGTGGGTGTGTGGTCCGGGAACGCGGGTGTGGGAGGTGGGCCGTTTCCTGTTGTCGGTCGATTGCGACGGTATCGCGATCTGCTTCTGGCGATTGAGGGATTCTGTTCGGCCATGCCAGTCTGCGATGGAGCGGTCATTGCGAACTGCTGAGGATCAGAGGAGACGGCTATAGGACTCGTGAGCGTCCCGTTCTCACTAGTCTGAATGGGCCTGGGGGCCGGGGCGAGCGTTTCAAAGTGTCGGGGTTCCCGCAAGTGTCAGAATGCCAGAGAGGGTTGGCACGTATAAAAGGTCAAAGGAGATTGCGGTGCCCCTAGGCGTCGCGATCAAAACGTCCCGTTCTGAATTGGCTCTCTGTGCCTTGGAAAATGCGGGCCGCTCCGACGAATAAATGCGCGTTTCGACAGATCAGATTGGCATTTGGCACATTCGCGTCGATTCGTGGTGTTCCTTGTTCTGTTCCGGTTCACCTCGACACTGTATGCCCAGATGTACCTAGGCACCTCAGGTCTCTTTGTCGTGTCTTATACCTGTCTGTAGACTACAGAACAGTACTCTACTATTCAGTACTATACACACTCCCTGTAGATATTTCTGCATCTTATAGGATCGACAGGAACTATTGAATCTTGCCATGCACAATGTGATTCGATTAGAACAGGCCCACTGGACGATCACAGCCCTATCCGCAATCTATTCTACTCAGGCCGATATTAAATCACATCTAGGGCGTACTTCGTACATATTCTTTGCATCTCTGCATCTTTTGTGGCCCTCTCCACTGAGCCCAGCGGACGAGTGTGATTGATCGGAGAAAGGGAATGCCTTGGTGGCGATATGGTCGCCAGGGTAATTGGGTTCAATTCAGATTGACGTATCGACAGATGAGCTGAGGTATTTGTATTTGCTTTTTGATTTAGGCTCTCTATTGTCCCGCCGATGAATTTGCTTGTTTTCGGTTCGCGCCCAACTCGCGACGCCTGCCAGCTTGTTAGTTCATTCCAGGACAAAGAGACACCGCACTTACCACCACGCAATGAAGTCCATGGTGCGCACGTCGATCCCCAGCTCGGTCAATGCCTTGGTCGAGAGGTGGGTATCATAAGGCCGCACAACACCCGCATTGGGATCGTTGCCCTGCTTATTGACAATCATTCCAGGAGTCGACACGCCCAGCACCTGAGCCAGCTTCTGGCAAATCTCATACTTGGTCATGCGGTCCTCGGACGAGAATTGCAAGACGCGAGGCAGTTCCTTACGCTTCTCCTTCTCGCGCAGGTACTTGATGACAATGTCACGGCAGACTCGTGCCACGTCCTCCGTGTTGGTGGGGTAGCGCTGAGCCCAGTCATCCATGTTCACGCCGGCACCTTCCTGGGTGGACTTCTTGACGGCGTCGACGAGGGTGTTCACGGCGCTCTCGGAGTTCTCCTTGGCGTTGCCGTACAGCACGGGCACGCGCAGCACCACACCCAGTCCAGAGTTGCCAATGGTCTCCAGGACAGCCTTCTCACCATCCAGCTTCAATTGGCCATATAGGTTGGGAGGGTTAGTCGGGGCATCTGTCTCGTAGGGCGCGTCCCCTTCGGTGCCAGGGAACACGTAGTCGGTGGAGATGTAGATAAGGAAGGCTCCAGCAGATTGACATTGGGCTGCCAATGCCCGAGTGGCATCGACGTTGACTCGGCGGGCTTGGTCTGGGTTCTTCTCACAGAGGTCTGGAGATTTGTTGGCGGCGCCTAGGGTGTGTTAGATCGTGCGCGGGGTGGTTTGTCTTGGAGCTTACAATGGATGACAATTTGCGGCCTGTGGGGTAAATCATGGTTAGTAGCTGGCCATTTCATTATTAGAGTAGATTCACTCACTTCACCTCATCAAAGAGCATCTTAATGTCATCATGTTGCTCTAGATCAGCTTTCAGGATGGTCGGCGGGGCAGCGCGTGAGAATCCCTGCCCAACGACCAACACACCTGAGTGCTGGAAGGTGTTGAAGACAGCACGGCCAAGGAAGCCACTGGCTCCAGTAACAAGAACGGTGGAAGTCATCTTTGAATTGGGTAGAGAGTGGGAAATGCCATCTTCTTTTTTTTGGAGGGGCGGCCCATGACGTAACTGACTGTGACCGGTGGCTTGTTCCGCCCTCCGCTTGTGAAGACCCTGCATCTGTGAGTATGCACTGCTTTACTCATTGCAGCTATACGGTGTGCATTGGGGCTCTTCATATCCTGGTTTTGTCTCATCGCCTACGCTTGCTCATTGGCTCAGCATACCCCTGGTGAAACGTCTAGCAGATACCTACTGGATGGGCAACAATGGTCTCTTTGATGCCAAATCGATCGTCCAGATCCTAGTCTCTGCCACTTGTCGCCTGTTGTGTGCCAATGATTCCACAAGCCCTGATTCGAACATCAATTCAGTGAATGACATGCCCAACTGGGGGAACTCTGCAGTACAAGGCAGACTCTTGCCCCAATGAACCTTCAAAGATTGAAGACTACAGGTCAATGTGAGAGCGATGGGAGAGCCACCAAGGGCTCTAATGAGCCCTGGAGGTTGGTTGGTATATTGCTTGGCCATACTACGGGTACGGTGGGATGATCGGTATTACGGCCTATATCCCCTCACTGCGATACCACGTCGGAAACTGATCAGGAAATGAGGAAACCTGCAATCTTGAACTCGCATACAGTCACATTTGCTAGAAGTGATGGGCATTCAAGGTTGCGTCTTCAAGGTTGATAAGCGCAGCCCCCAGCCTGGAGATCGCCAATATATATACAGACCTCAGGACTTCTCGACGACATGAACACATCGTTCCAGTGGAATTAGCACCTGCCCAGATGATCAATGACTTGGGAGGTGCAAGCAAGGGGCATTCAACCTGTACGAATCGAAGTTCTTATTGGGTCGGGATGGTTGGCCCTCTATACATCACCGCTGCACGGTACGGGCGGGCTCATGCACCATGTTCAAGGATTGTATGTACAGCCCTGGAGAGTACATTTCCAACGTCTTTCGAAGGAGAGTGCTTGCCATCTGTTGCATGATCCACAACATATGCTCGTCTCAAGTTAGGGTTAAGGGACCATAGTAGACTTTCATCCCATTTCGGTGCGGTGATTCTATTGCAATATATTGAATACTCCATGCAGGGCAATATTCCCCACGAAGTACCAGGGTTCATATCGTAAAGTAGCAATAAGTACGGAGTATACCTTAAGAATACCCCTGCATGTCAATGAACAGAATGGCGCAAGACCGGTGTAGTAAATCGGCTGAAAGAATCGCCGACAAACACCGAGTCGGGGTCAGATCGGAGCGGGAGCTCCACCAGGATATTTGACCGGAAATTTACCCTTTCTTTTGTAACCATGTCGAGTGCCAGGAACCTCACAGCTGCTCTGCGGCGAGCACGCGTGCCCCGTCCGCGTCTTGCTCTGCGTCCCGTCCAATTCACACCCTTGACCTCAACCACCCGGACCTTTACCTCCAGCTCCACCCGCACCTCCGACTCGCGCCAGATTAAATATACCAGCGAAGCCTACAATGTCCAGCGCAACCCCAACTTCGCCGAGATCTCCGCCGAGGATGTCGCACACTTCAAGGAGCTGCTGGGCTCTCAATCGGCCGTGATTGACGGCGTGACCACCGACGCAGCCGACGACATCGAGCCCTTCAACAGCGACTGGATGCGCAAGTACCGTGGCCACACCCGGCTTGTGCTGAAGCCCCAGAACGCGCAAGAGGTCAGCAAGGTCCTCAAGTACTGCAATGAGCGCAAGCTGGCCGTCGTGCCGCAGGGTGGAAACACAGGACTGGTCGGTGGTTCGGTACCAGTGTTCGATGAGATTGTCATCAACACCTCGCGCATGAACCAGATTCGCTCATTCGATGCCGCGTCTGGCGTGCTGGTCGCGGATGCCGGTGTCATTCTCGAGGTCGCGGATCAATACCTCGCCGAGCGGGAGCACCTGTTCCCTCTGGACCTGGGTGCCAAGGGATCCTGCCACATTGGAGGCAATGTCTCCACCAACGCTGGTGGCCTGCGTCTGCTGCGCTACGGAAGTTTGCACGGTAGCGTGCTCGGCCTCGAGGCGGTCCTGCCGGACGGGACTATCGTGGACGCTCTGTCTACCCTGCGCAAGAACAACACTGGCTACGACCTGAAGCAGCTCTTCATTGGCTCTGAGGGTACAATTGGTCTGGTCACCGCTGTTTCTATTCAGTGCCCCCCTCGCCCCAAGGCCGTCAATGTAGCCTACTTCGGTCTCGAGAGCTTCGAGCAGGTCCAGCAGGCCTACCTTGCGGCCAAGGGCCAGCTCTCCGAGATCTTGTCTGCGTTCGAGTTGATGGATGGTCGTAGTCAGTCTCTGGTCATTGAATCTACGGGCAACAAGCACCCTCTCGAGGGCGAGTACCCCTTCTACTGTCTGGTGGAGACCAGCGGATCCAACGCCGAGCACGACATGGCCAAGCTCGAATCATTCCTCGAGAACGTCATGGGCGACGGAATTGTTGCCGACGGTGTGCTGGCGCAGGATGAGACCCAGTTCCAGGCCCTCTGGCGCTGGCGTGAGGGGATCACCGAGTCCCTCAGCCACCTGGGCGGCACCTACAAGTACGATGTGTCCATCCCCCTGGCCGATCTGTACCAGCTTGTGGAAGACTGCAAGGCTCGTCTAACCGAAATGGGCTTTGTGGGTGACGATGACTCCTTCCCTGTCCGCGCTGTTGTGGGATACGGTCACATGGGCGACTCGAACCTGCACCTGAACGTTTCCGTGCGTCAATACAACAAGGAAGTGGAGAAGGCGATTGAGCCCTGGGTGTATGAGTGGATCCAGCAACGCCAGGGCAGCATCAGCGCAGAGCACGGGCTCGGTGTTGCCAAGCGGGAATTCATTGGCTACAGCCAGAACGAGACTATGGTCAAGCTGATGAAGCAGCTGAAGAATGTTTATGATCCTGTAAGTGTTGGTGATAGTGGACTGATGAAACTTGCTGACTTTTTCTCTCCAGAATGGTATCATGAACCCTTACAAGTACATCTAGGCTGTGTACTACAGGAATATAAAAAGCAAATTAATCCTCACCGCTAGGACATCGCAATGCGTGTATAAGATCAGTAGAGTGGACCCTTGCATGATACCCCGGTTGGTGGCCTGAGGCAGCCCGTTGCCATGCGAGACGGAGCTTGTTTGGGGATTTATGCTCCACCCCTTTAGGCTCTTTAGATGATCGGGCATTCCTCTCTTTTCCTCATTGTTATTCGTATTCCTATCTCCGGTATTCTTGCGCAATCATGGCGGACGATATGTCGAGCCATTACCAGGTGATGGAGGAGTTGGGCAGTAAGTGTCAACAAACTGGCTGCAATGCCCGCCTAACCGTCTTCCGTTTGCAGGTGGCAGTTTTGGAGTCGTTTACAAGGCCATTGACAAGACTGACGGCGAGATCGTCGCCATCAAACACGTACGCTCCGTCCGATCCGACTTTTCGGCCCCATCATTGACATTGGCAGATCGATCTCGAGTCCAGCGAAGACGACATCCAGGAAATCCAACAAGAGATTTCGGTCCTGGCCACCTGCGCTAGCGCCTACGTTACACAATACAAAGCCAGTTTTCTCAAGGGACATAAGTTATGGATTGTGATGGAATACCTCGGGGGTGGCTCATGTTTGGACTTGGTATGATCCCTGGTTGTTTATCCAGGTTGCCCCGCTGACCTGTTCAGTTGAAACCAGGATGTTTCAACGAGGCCCATGTGGCCATTGTCTGCCGAGAGCTGCTGCAGGGGTTGGATTACCTGCACAATGAAGGCAAGATCCATCGAGATGTCAAGGCGGCCAATGTCTTGCTTTCCCAATCTGGCAAGGTGAAGCTCGCAGACTTTGGTGTCGCGGCGCAGCTCGTCAACATCAAGTCGCAACGCAATACATTCGTCGGAACTCCCTTTTGGATGGCACCGGAAGTGATCCAGCAGGCTGGATATGACTTCAAGGCTGATATCTGGTCACTGGGCATCACGGCAATCGAAATGATCAACGGCGAGCCCCCTCACGCCAGTACACACCCCATGAAGGTCCTCTTCCTCATTCCCAAGAACCCCGCTCCTCGCCTCGAAGGCAACGACTACAGCAACACATTCAAGGATTTCATCGCACAATGCTTGACCAAAGATCCGGACATGCGGCCCAGCGCGAAGGAGCTCTTGAGACACAAGTTCATCCGAAATGCAGGCAAAGTGGAGGCCCTGCAGGAGCTTATCCATCGCAAGCAGGACTTCGATGGAAACCGCTCCGAGCCCAAAGACCCCAGATACTACGCGGAGTCTCTGCATCCCATGTCCAGACCCGATGAGGAGGACGAGGATGACTGGGTCTTCGATACCGTCAAGGCCCCTCCCATGTGGAAGCCCAAGGGAGGCACGGATTGGATGACATTCGACGAAGAAGACGAAAATCTGCCCGACTCTGCACAAATGATGCAGGATTTGCATATCACACAACCACCGCCTCCACCCAAGCACCAGGCCAACTCCACCGTTCGCCGAGCCCCCACCGATCGATCGCCATCCATTCGACGCGCAAACACCAAGCGACGATCAAGTGGCGTCAAACAACCCCTTGGTTTGGACCTAAGCTACGGAAACAGCCCGTCGACCGTTCGACAGTTCCGCCGTGTCTCGGACAAGGTGCAGGAGCCGACTCCCATGAAGCAAGGCTACGACGAAAATGCCAGCCCCAAAGCCATGTCGACGGACTCCTCAAGCAAAGAGGCCCAGATTGGTCGGCGTGCGTACAGCAAAGCCGTGGGGCTCTCCTGCCAAGAGGTTCTATCAACCACGGGGGATGGCGACAAACGCGAAGCCATCTCTCGCCTCGCCGAAGCCTTCAGCGATCTGGAAATGGTCGACCCTGAAGGCCTGTATCACATCGTCCGAATCATGAACGAGAAACTGCAATCCGATTCCCGCCTCTCCACTCTCCTCCCCTCCACTCAACCCGACTCCCCATCTCGTCCTCGGCTCGTACTGGCCCAAAATAATCCCCACCTGAAGAGCCACCGCCGTCGACAATCCTACGTCCCCGAACCCACTCCACAATCACCCCCATCGAACAACCCTCCGGCACCGGGAATGGAGCACACCAAGCAGCTCACTGACGTCCTCTACTCGCGGTGGTCGGAAGGTCTCCGCAATCGGTGGGGCGGCATCTAATCCACTCCCATCTACGCGTGTTCCATCCACCCTTTTACCCTTCTTCCATTCCCTGTATAGACCCATTTTTTTGGCGTTCTGACCGGTTGTACAATCCCTTGCCATCGCATACTTGGTGTCCGTTCGCTTTGCTGTCACTTACTGAAGGACTGGTTTCCGGAGTTTCTAATGATCTGGCGTAATCTTGTTGCGTTTTCTCCTGTACTTTCTTTTTTTCGATAGAAACTCACTTCTGTCTGTCTATTGTTTGTTTGACATTGATTGTTGCACGAGTACTAGAATACATACAAGGCTACTTGACGATATTCCGTTCCGGTACTTTCGATCTGTGATGCATGTAAACTGCAATTTCTCAAATGAGTATATTACCAGCCCACCCTCTGCAAGAGATCCTGTCTCGTGTTGGCAGAAGGCACCCTGGGCATGACAGGCTGTTACTATATACAAGTTGGATCCATCAAGGAAACCACCATTCATCCCAAGGCCGGCTTAGCTCTTCCCCGAACCCAGGCGGCGTTTAGGCAAGCTTGGATGCCCGGGGCGCGCCATTAAGCTGATACTCCCTGATCAACTTCTCCGCACAGGTAACACCAGTCACATAAGCGACAGACTGCACATGCGCATTAACCAGCACAGGCACAACAGACATATCAGCAACACGCAAGTTCTCAATTCCATTGACGCGGAAGTCCTGATCAACCACAGCATCGGCATCACCCTTCTTGCCCATCTTCACAGTACCAGTCATATGCCAGCTAGACGAGATATTCTGCTGCCAATACTCTAGCAGCTCTTCATCAGACTCGCCCTTCGGCATAGCCAGCTCAGCAACATTATCCTTCTTGTAGGAAGCGTGCTTCGCGACACGGAACGAGTCACGCAGAGCCTCGATAGCCAACTTACGGTCGAATGGATGAGCTAGGAACTTCGGGTTGAATGAGAGAGGGGCATCAGGGTCCGTGGACTGGAGTGTGACTTCGCCGCGGGTCTGGGCGTTGAACAAGAAGACCAGTAGGCAGGAGTAGTTGAGGGCATCGGCTGGGAAGTCAGGGATGAACCAGTGGATTGGGAAGTGAGTCAGGATTTCGTAGTGAGGCACAGTCTCTGAGAGAAGGTATTTCTGCTCGTCGGCTGGAAGGGCCTTGAATTCCGGAGAAGAGGTGAGTTGCTCGGCGAGCTTGAACCAGCCGATGCCCAGTTCGCAGGCGAACTTCGCCCATGGTCCTGTGCCGTCCTCTTGCCATTGCTTTTGGGCGGCTTCCATGGCGGCCTTGTCGCCGTAGAAGGCTTTGCGGTCTGTGCTTGTCTCCGTGCGGGTGTTGACCATAGGCACGAAGCAGTGGTCGCGTAGACCTTGGCCGACGGCGGGGGCGTCGTGCACGACTGGAATCTGATATTGCTGGAGTTGGGCTGCTGGGCCGATTCCTGAGTGCATCAGGATGCGGGGGTCGTTCAGTGAGCCTGCGGAGAGGATGACTTCCACTTTGCCGTAGTCTGTGGACTTGTCAGTATTGATCTTGGTGATGGGATTGGCCTGTTTTGCTTACATTTCTTTCCGTTCGACTCGACACCCACGGCCTTCTTTCCCTCCAGAAGCACGCGCTGCACGGGTGCGCCAGTGATAATGGTCAAGTTGTCCCGCTTGTCTTTGGTCAAATCACTCGCCATGGAGCGCAGACCTCTGTGTGCGGAGTTGATCAAAACCGACATACCAATTGGGTTTCCAGAGTTGTGATCCGGGTTCAAAGGGAAGCCAGCTTCCTCAAAGACATCCAGCACATCGGTCAAATCACGCTCCCACTCGCGGGCAAAGCCAACATGCAAAGGCCCCTCGCTGCCATGATGTCTGGTCTTAGGATCCGCATACTTGCTATCGATTCCGTCCGGAATCTGACCATGGAAAGTCTCCAGGGCCTTGAAGCGGCGCTGAATACTCGGCCAGGCGAATTCGTTATCACCGACGATACGAGCCCACTCCTGGTAATCGTCTCGGGCGCCGACGCTGTAGACGCCGAAGTTGATGGCACTGGAACCACCCATGCAGCGGCCTCGACTGTAGTCAATTTCCCGGTTGGCGCAGTCCGGCTGCGGGGTGGTCTTGAAGCCCCAGTTCATCGACTGGTCTGTGAAAGTGGTCCATCGCTGGCCGTCCACGCGCAGGTTACGGTCCTCTTGGGCGTCTCCGGCTTCCAAGAGGAGCACACGAGGCTTGGCGGTTGAGTTGGCGAGGCCGGCGGCGAGGGCACTACCGGACGGGCCACCTGCCAGGAGTGTTAGACACAAATATGGGTGTTGATCATGACTACCCGAGATGGGTGGGTTGAAGTTTGTTTCTGGGTGGCATCTGTCACCCCGCACAGCAACTCCGGAGTGTCATGGTGTCAGGGAAAGGTGTCAGGGGTAACGGCGCTTACTTCCGACGACAACAAAGTCGAATGTGGACATATTGAAGTGTATACGAAGAAACCGCGAGGACTCAAAAATGGGCAATCGGGTATCTGACCTGTCCTCTGGGGTTCAATGGAAGTATAAATACGAGATATGGGGGAAGGGAATAATATCCAGACTAACAGTACATAAGTAGCCGGGGTCCAAGAGCCAAGGAGTCTAGCTCCATTCCAAGGTTGACACCGATTGACCAATGATCATCACCACTGCACAAGTTGGCTAGGGCTCGGACTCAGCCCGAGTGCGATCTCCACCGGCATGGAGACCGCAGGCGTGGCAGACAGTGACAGACCGTGTCGATGTAGATCGGCCTGATTTCACCCGTTCCCCGACTGGAACCGGTGGATCCATGGGTCCGGGTGGGGCGTGGCTCAAAGTCAATTCTATGGTTCTCCTGGCACTCGAAGCCCTACTTGACCCCATTGCTCCGCTGCTTTTCTGCACGCCATGTCATTCTTTTAGTTTCCGAGTGCTCTGCGAGACTCACGATGGCGAGCAACGTCGAGGCTTGGACTTTGCTGTCCATAGCGCTATTCACCATCATTGTGCGTATGGCCGTTCGATGGAAGCTGGTAGGACCGACCAGCTTCCAGCTCGACGACTATCTGATGCCATTAGCCGGAGTATGTCTATGTTCTTCGTCCTCGGAGTGAGATCCCTGTCTAACCTCCATGTTCTAGGTCTGCTTCATTCTCGAAACGGTAGCCGCATACCTCGTCGGGGCCAAATATGATGGCTTGACCAACAGCTTCATGACAGATGAGCAACGAGCAGCATTGGATCCCGACTCCCTCGAGTGGTCGAAGCGTGAGGCCGGCTCCAAGATCCAGATCATCGGATGGTCTTTATACGTCGCGATTCTCTGGTTGATCAAGTTCAGCCTGGCAATCTTCTACTCTCGACTGACGTATGTTTTCCCCGAGGACTGCATGGCAGATAGGCTGACTCGATGACAGAACTGGTCTTCAACACCTCCCAACCCGCGTGCGTGTGGCATACGTCATCCTAGGCGTTACATGGATCGCAACGCAGCTGTCGCTCCTTTTGTCCTGCCAGCCTTTCCACGCCTTTTGGCAAATTACTCCTAACCCCGGAAGTATGTTTGCCACGTTAGTAAATCCGCCGTCGCTAACCAGGCTTAGACTTCTGTCAACCGACAATCTCTCGTGTATATGTTCTACTTACTGTGATCCTCAACATCACCACCGATATCTACCTTCTTTCGATCCCACTTCCCCTTCTGTGGACAGTCAACATTGGCCTGAAACGCAAGATCCCCCTAATGGCTCTCTTTTCCGGTGCCGCCTTCGTCATCATTGCCGGTATTATCCGTGCGGCTACTATCATGAGCGTATGTCCCCACATGCAGGTCCCGCGTCATCCTTCCGTCTAACACGTACCACAGAACAGCCCCAACGGCGCCGTGGAGGGTTCGAAATGGGCCTGCCGTGAGACCTTCGTCTCAATCATTGTTTCCAACCTTCCCATCATTCAACCCTTGATCCGCCGAGGATTCAAGAAGATCGGTCTTTCCCAACTATTCAGCTCTTCGGGCAAGAATTCCCAATCATACCCTCTCTCCAGTCATGGTCTGCACACCTTGACCAATCGCGGCGATAAGAAAAGCAAGACCAATGCTGCCGGCCCCTCTCACCTGCAGGCATCTGCATGGGGGAGTGATGAGCATATTCTCGCGGAATCGGAGCCATCTTCCAAAGATATTACTGTGGTCTCGGAGACTGTTGTGCAAAGCGAGCCGTGGGCTGCACAGGCAGCGTCTGGTGCAGGTCACTCGACATCTCCGAAGGAGTGGAACAGCCGGTTATCTCACCGGTGAGAGCCTATGTCTACTGTATAATGCTGTGATTATTTATGAGGCGCGCTCGAGATATACTCCTAATTCTAGGCTGATGCCGGACTGTACATTATCAATATTGTCAACGTTATCAAATTGATTTCTTTTGGTTCTCATACACACATACTCTACTGTACATGCACACCACTGTAGTTTCCAAGGTTAGTACTTGGTACTCCGAGCAAGACCCGATTTCTCACGCTAAGGGACCGCGTTCGACGCCGTCGGTTTCTAGTTCATCCTTCTTTGTCACAGCCCCAGTGCTCCAAGGCTCCATCGGTATGCAGATACCCCTTGTCTCAAATTCAAGCCTCTGATTTGACGCACTGTAGATCAAGCCACGCACGACCAGGATGTTCTTTGATTTTTTCAGTAATTGAAATTTTTTTTCTTTGCTTTTTTTTTCTTTTTCTTCCATGATTCTAAGTTTAGCCCCCATCGGGTGGGCAACTTTAAAGAACGATCTGCACGCCAAGATCTAGTTCAAGATCATGGAAATTAGCCCGTCTCACCAGTCCCCACTTCGCGTGGCACCTGAAAACTCAGGGGATTTTCTTGAGAGACGGTGTACACGTCCTCGGGACTCCGTGTCTTCCAAGGCTGCAGAGCATGCACCTAATCCGGTAATCATTTTAGTACAAACTATGATGCAATTTGTTTATTTTAGGGCGTGCCAAGTGCAAGTTTACATCTCTCTACTAGTACTGTAGCCAGTAGTACTCAGCATATTTCTAATGTTGCTTGCAATTCCAAAAACGCTAGTGCCTAGGCTGAAGCAGAAGACACAATGTCAAATTCTGACAGTTACTCCGTACCGAGTCCTCTGTACGAAATACGAATAAGATTTAGGGATATATTAAGGGGCCACTTGTGCGTGGGAGCTAGCGAGACGTTCAAAGCACCGGCTATCAAAATTGGGTCACTTAACGTCAAAGCCCTGGAGCGATTGAGCGTTGTAACCCGACGTTAGCTTCCTTAAAAATGGGTTTCCATTTAAGTCGCGTTGCATCATGAAATGACCCACCAGCTATTGCCCCTAAGTAGTACTGACAATGTACTTTTGCACTCCAGACCCCCTTGTTAAGGTGCTGTCAACGCTGCCGCTGACGCTGTCAAATGATGATGGTGGGGCTGGTTGCATAGATCTACTTACGCTTTACTGCGTATGCTCTTCTCCTTAATTGAGGACTCCCGGACTCCGTGCCACAAACCCATTGTCAATCCCACACACCTGGCTCTCAGCCCTCTATACTCCGTACCATTTCCTATCTTGTAATTCTAGAGTCGCCTAGCCCCCGTGCGGTGCCGCAGGATTCATCTGCATATTGCTGTGGGGTTCGGTTCCAGTCTGTTGGTAACATGTGAAGCTTGATGTGTAGGAGAATGAATCCTTTGATCTACGACTGGTGGTACTAAACCATACTTGAAGTCCGTGTCCTAGCATGAAGTTTTTCTCTTCCACCTTACATGAAGCAATTGGGATATAGTAGCGGAAGAGCGCTCAAACTCTTGCCCATCACGCCAAACGCTTGTCTCCTGCAATATTTTCCTCGTGCATATCTAGCTCATCCTTCACTTCCTAGCGTATCCACAGTTCCCGAGGCCGAGGTCAGCTTCTTTTTCTCTTTTTTTGCTGCCTATCCCCGAATGCAATCCCCGAGTGCTGAGATATGATGACGGACGCTAAGATGTCATGTTTCGAGGCTTGCTTACTGGTGGAGTGCAACCTTCCAAGGTTGGAATTGAGAATCACACTCGATGCGCACAGCAACGATCCCATACAGAGGCTACCCAGCAGGCATGATTAAAATTTTTAGGGACGACAAGAAAGAACCTTGATTGGCTAGGTCTCTTGATTTCAGTTCACTCCATTCTTGTTCTCTGTTCTTGTGTTTCTCTTTTGCTCTACTTCCTGCTAATATCTTTTACTCCACTACTCCATGTCTTCTTCCACCCAACGTTGGTTGTTTGACATCGACAGCAATAGATATGTCCGCACAATTGCAAGACAGTTGGGAGATGGCCCCGCCGACACTGTTCAAGCATCTCCAAAACGGACTACAAGTATCTCCTTGGCCAGCGGTCCCTCGGCGACTTTGTAGCAACAGGAAACGTCAACGACAAGCGCAGACCCTGATACTTGCCTGAGAAGCCTCTCCTTTCTCATGAATGGAGGCAGATGCATATAAGCCACTCGCCCACAAAAAAGCCTTTGTGATACAGCCCGCGAAGTTGAGGGATGTGCTGTCTCAGCCAAACCCCCCGACGCAGAGCCTCGCGGGACAGAGTCATTTAAGTCCAAACGAAGACTGGGGCTAGCGTCAATAAGAGACTGGTCATGTCGTTTTGCTCCTAAGGCGCCCGTGATATTCTGACAATCAGGCATGATGATGCCTCCGGCTTTCAGAAACAAGCATGAGGAAAGTGTCTCACAGACCCAGTGGTTATATTTGGGCTACTCGCTACAGCCTCAGTGAATCAAGATTTTAAGACCTCTAGAGAGGAAGAGTGCGCCGCTCGAGGTAGGCAGCATATTGTGTTAATGTTCAAGACCAATTCACCCACAGAGCCTGGGGTTTCCTTTGAATATTCCTTGTACAATTTATTAACCCCAAAACTATTCATTCCGATTCCCGCGCACAACCAAATCAAAACATGTCCTAGCCAGTCACAGTATTGGCCTGCCTCTTTTCAGGGAGTGATTCGTCGAGCCTTCAGGTACTCATAATCCGGCATCGAATCACGCACGCATTTCTCAATTAGCTCGCCAACCTCTTCACCAAACTCTTCCTTCCATTTGATCGCCTCCGCGGTAATGTCAATGGCTTTGGGGGCCTTATCCTTGACAATACCCTCGGAGCTCTCAAGTGTAGAGAGCATCACCCCAGCCGCCGACTGATGAAGCTTAACCTCATTTTCATCTGCGTTCGGCTTATGGCACGCCCAGTGCTGGGACTTCTTCTCCTTGTCGGGCCATTCAAACTGCACCACACTCTTGTCTAGCCCAGTCTTCTCGCAGAGCTGAAGAACGACCTCTGGGTTGTGAATCAGATCATGAGCATCGACAAGAGGTGGTGCGACGGGCACATCGGGCTGCTCAAGGCACCAGTCGTAGAGCATACGAGTCCATCGCATGCTCATGTTCGTTACTGATGCGCCCTTCACGCCATCGTCGTCTATGACTCCCTGTTCTCCGAGCTTCTGCATCGCGCGGTACATGGATGGCCATGCGAGTGCGGGGTGACGGATGATGAAGAGCATCTGCCATGTGCGGAGGTATTCGTCTGGGAACATCGTTTCGTTCGATGGCGAGTATGTCTGAGTGGTGCCATACTTCTCTGGGGTATTGATACGGAATGCCTTGAAGAATTCCTCGTCATGTTGACCAGTTGTTGACTTGAGGAAGGTGGCTGGACTGAACATCCAGTATGCATGTTCTTTGGTGAACATGACTTGGTCGTTCTCTTCGGCCCGTGAGGACCATTCCTCCAAGCTGTCGAAGCAGGCCTGGGCGCTGTTTCTCACTGATGCCTTCTCGTCGTCGGTCCACTGGTCTGCGGGCCGGTGTTGCAGACTGCCATTCTGGGTGGAGTCGATGAATGCCGGGTAGAAGAAGTAGCCACCCTTAGGGGTGGTTAGTAGATTGGGCTGCTTGGGGATGTTCGCGATTCGCAGAAGAAGATTGGATGCCGTTCGGGGGACGGAAATCATCAACAGCCTGGTGGGGGTGGCTTTGGGCTGGGTTGTAATAGCCATTGTGAACAAAGATCCACGGTATATACGTTCTGCTGCAAATAAGCTTAATTCAGAGCAAAGCAATGAGCATGCAAGGAAATGGCTACATCCCGGGGGCAGATGGCGTGATTAAATATACTAAATCCCTGCTTAGATTCGGATTCGAACTAAAACAATAGGAAACAAACCACGCACAATGCACAACGCACAACATTCCCCGTTCTTCCGCCCCCTCCTGACAGCGATTGAGCCTCAGTGGTCTGACAGTCCACATTTTCCCGTCAATGTTGACGTAGTGGAGAAGGGGCGTTGGTAGTCTCGAATCCAATTGGGTGGCGTCGAATTGATATGCACGTTTTGCTTCTCTTTTGGGAGAAAACGACAGATCCAAGCACAAGGCTTTCGGGCAATTTATTCATCGAATTCCTCGCCCCAGACACAGCCAATGGCATAACAGCACGCCGTTGTGTACTTGCATATACTAATCCCATCCTGTAGTCGCTTAGATGTCCTAGCGGGTCAGTAACGGCTCGCTCGCGAATGAGGCAAGTTTGGCGTCAACTGGCCCCGGGGGCCTGTCAGTTGGCTCCACTCGGAAGGCTTCGGCGGGAAAGTATTCATGCACATCGATTCAGGCTTGCAAAAGATGGGAAACCGAGTACGATAGTCTTCAAAGTACTTGTAGAGTCCAAAGTATCAAGTAATCAAGAATCAACTCAGTAACTCCCGGCTTCACAAGATTTCTGTCCAATGCTCCGCTGGACCAGTCCTCAAGGGCTTTACTGCTTACGCCGATCCTTGCCTCTGAATGTCGGCTTATCCAAGTTGCATTATGCACATGTGCAGTCATGAAACCTTGATAAGAGGCATTGATCTAGGCCTCATGCCCTAGGCTCCAAGATAATACCAGAAAAAACATGGGCATAGGATCCGAAATTGTTGAAATGGATGGACTACAACGTCAATTTCAAGCAGGTAAATCGGATTTCAGGCTGAGGCAGGCGTGCAACCCTAGTTTCAAATAGAGATACTACCTATGCCATACTTGAATTAGGTCCACGTGGGTCACCGTCGTGTGAATGGCGCTCGCCATAGATATTTAGGGTGGTCAGCCTCACTGGGTGGGGTTATACGTGTTCCCATACGGAGCACATAGCATTGACTTTTTGGTCTTACAGCCTCGATTTGTACTAGTACACCGTTGGGATATACTGATAGATACTTTGGGTACAATAATGTGTACTTACCTTTGCTAGAGAAGGCGCGAAGAGCCGTGTTCAACTTTGGAACACAGGTGGTTTATCCAATGATACCCACAAAATTTACATCCATTGCTCACTTGGGCATGTTCAGATATACCAAAAATATGGTGTAAAGAACATCGGCCCAACACCTGGGCACTACGGCAGTTCAATAAAATCCAGAAAGAGTGGCATTGATCTGAGCGGAGACCGTATCATACATGGTATTTGTACATATCTGATGCTGACGGAGAGGACTCTACTTCCAAGGTTCCAACCTTGGAAGTTGGGATCAAGTTAGAGCTCAAGCACCCTCCGATTCAGTCCCCCGAGTCATCCATTCATGGCGCATGAGCCCCAAGGCCGTGGGCCGATCTTCAGGGTCCCATTGCAGAGCTTTCCGCATCCACTCCAGGAATCCATCGAGATCCTCGCCATCAATCTCCCCTGAGGCTAGATCCTCCAATTTTCGATCTGGTATAGGGACTTGCCCTGTCCATTGACCTTTTTCATCCCATAATAGTGATCCCAAAGGCATCTTCTTACAGAACTCCGGGCTGGGCGGACCTATCAGAGCCACGAGCTCGGCGATGTGGACTCGGTCATCGAAGGCACCTTCTTCATTCCTTCCGTTGATCAGATTGCGGGAGCTTACATGGTCCCAAGCCTAGTCATGCGTTGTCAGCTCTTGGTTTTGTTTTCGAGTCTACAATTTGGCTCACAGTTATCGCAACGGCCCATGAGTCAATCTTGTACTTCAGTGGTGAATTCAGAATTTCTTCCGGGGATCTGCCGTGTTTGGGAACAAGCCCGACTATGAAATCTGCATCTGCATAGTCCATTATGAGTGGTATTCCATCACCAGGAAGGAGCTTTGTTCCAAGCTCATCTGATTCCATGTCAGCCATTGGATAGGCCTCTTTGTACTTGACAGGATCTACCCCTAGTGGATGGTCAGATTTGGCCATTCCATGAGTTTGTCAATGGGTTCCATACGAGCGGTTGTTTGGCAGTCCGTGTGCAGATAGTCCATCATGATCAAGTGTTGTCGGATTGATGACCGCATCTCATCCAGGCTCACTTTTTCTCCCTTGCTCATTTGACTTAGATCCAAGCCCGGCTCCTGGTGGACAACACAAATGTGTTTACCCTCGGGGCCTTCGATCTCGAACTGATCGAGAACTTTGCGATATGGATATTCAGACCGAGGATATTTTCGAGGTGCGAGTGATTTCTCGAATTTAGTAAGAATGTGCTGCACGATGTAGATCTTCAGCACAACGAGCTCGGTCCTCTCGGAGTTCCTGATAGTGGGGTCAGAGTATTGCAAGACAGCCAATTCATGGCACTTACCTCAAGTCTATAGCCAGCCAGACGGTCGCGGTAGGGCCATATCCAACCCTGGTGACGAGATGGTACCTGTCATTGAGTGGAGGATCTTGCCCGCCACCTACAGCTGGATATGTGTAGATTGCCTTGGGTTCATAAGTCCTGGCGGGCTGTATATTCTCCTGTGTCAAGAGGCTCAGCTCGAAGCCGGGGAAGACTTTTGGATTGGATTGCCGTATGGTTGGCAGTTGGAAGAATCGGGTTGTGGTCTGAGCAAGGGGGCGGATGGATCGCCTCCCCCAAAGTGTGTGATAAGGTGACACCCATATAGATTTTAACGCGGCACTAGTACAAGAGCACCTGAAGCTCGCTGGTGTCATATCGACGCGGTTGGCTTTTAGTGTACGCGTCGTGTGTGAGGTCGGACGGGAGACCCCTGCTGGTTCTATTTATATCTTGATTGCTTCTTGGATTGTCTTGGAAAATGAAATCAAAAAATTATTGAAATGACGGTCTTTTGAATTCTCATCTTGGAGGTTGTTAGTCTTCGGTTCTATTCTGTCTTGTTTTCCAACTTGGAATGACAATGTGACTGGAAAGTGATCAAGGCCAAGAACTATACAAAGTCTCCGTACCTAGGTAACAACTGCCGCTCGACGAAGCAAACCCAGTGTGTGTCTCATTGCTCACCTCCAGGCTGGGCAATTAGCCACCTGGGCATGGATAAAGTACTTCGTAGTAATAGAAGAACTATCTGAAGTCCTGTGGTCACCATCTCTGATCTCGGGAGATTATGGTTGTTGATCGAGGACTGTTCGGAGATTATATATATGCATGCATCCATATGTTCGCGCCTCTATTACACTAACCAACTGGGCATCAATAGGGGCCATATATTCAAACCAGGACAAACTACGGAGTCTGGGCCGACAAAGAGCCCAGCAGGGTCCAGCAACCGCCGTCTCTGTAATCTCCTAGGCCGTTTCTTTAAATTAGGGTTGACGGGGACCTCGGGAAGAGCATCACTCTTGACACCGGGACAGCTTGGGAGAACCCCGGCTGTTGCTGTCACGGCAGTGATGCAGCGAGGTCCAAGACCCTGGTCCAACCTCATTCCTCGCCGTTCCGAAGAGGATGCACTGGAGAGCGTGTATACTCCGCGCCAAGACGCAGGCCAAAGAGGAGCTTAATAAGACGCTAATCCCGACCCCCTGAAACATCTCGTGGGACCCGCTGTGGGCTGGACTCAGGAGACCAACTGTCAAAAGCTCCAGTGTTTTCCTTTTTTTACTTACTCCGTATGCATTGAGTTGACCTCTCCAGCTGGCTGGACCATGGAGAGTATTACGGGCGAGAGCTCAGATAGCCGGACTTGTGTCCCGGACTCTGCTTCCGCCTCGGGCTCGACCCAGCGAAAACGACTCTCCTTACCTCCCCGTGCGAATCCAACCCCCCGTCATGCGAAACGCCTCACCTTGAACTTCCCGATCAACCTCGACACAGACTCTGTGACCTCCCCTGTCGCTGCGACTCCAGTTACTCAGTCCTCGACCGGTCCTCCATCCGCACAGCCTCCCGGCACACCTATGTCATTTGATGTCCCCGACGATGGTTACGATTTCCTGCGGGCGATTGCCTCGCAGGAGCGAAAGGTTATGGAGCTCCGCGAGGAGCTAAGTCGCGCAGAGGCAGAGTTGGTCACAATTAAGAAGCAGTGGGCGTTATCCGAGAAGTCCAGGAAGCGCGCCGAGATCAATCACGCAGAACCAATGATGCCGCTTCGGTCACCCGACCCTTCGAATCCAGAGACTTCAATGGCCCACAACCGGGAGCAGAGCATGAGCTCGGTCGGGAGCTCGAATGTGTCACAAGAGCGAATCAGTCGGGAACTCGGTCGGCGAACAAGTGTTCGTGGTGCTCCGCCTGCCCCGGGGACCAAGATCGGGACCAACGGTCGACGGGTTTTCCAGGGTGGGCATACCCGGACCTTGTCATTACTGTCTCCAGTCACTGCTTCGAGTACCTTTGTGGGAGAGCCCGGTCCCGCGGAGACAGACCGCGTGGGCCGCTCTCCGCGGTCTGCTACACTGCCATCTGTCGAGCGTGACCATGCCGCAATTGCACGGCTGGACGAAAGTCAGGTACCCGAACATCTGCTTGCGCAGTGGCGCAAGACCCTACCTCCTCCCTCGCGGGAGGCTCTGATGCGGACGGGCAAACAGATGGCATCTGATCTGCGGGAGGGGCTCTGGACATTCTTGGAAGATATTCGACAAGCCACGGTGGGAGAGGAAGGGATCAACGGAACTCAAACACGAACAATGTCACCCAGCTCACTGGCACCACCCAACGGTCCGAACGGTCGTAAGCGGGATTCCCTGGCGAAGTCCCGGAGCCGAGAACGGTTATTGGCGGACGGCAAGCTATCGCGATCATCATCGTCATCGTCTTCGCGGGGGAGAGGGCCTGCGGCCGAGACAAAAACTGGTAAAGACACCAAGCCGGCGGAAATTTCCACATCATTCTGGAGCGAATTCGGCATTGATACACCAGCTCAGAAGTCTCCAAACGCCCCTCGCACCCCCAATCAATCCGCCAACCGAAGCGAGCCGACCGTCGAACAGCACGATCACCACTCCAGCAATCAAGCCGAAGCGCAGAATGACGACCTCGACGACTGGGGTAGCTGGGAGACCCCTCAATCCGCACAAAAGATGCACACACCCTCGTCGAGCCGATCAACAAATGAATCGAAGCGTGATCATTCCCCCACTACGCAGAGCAGTAGCCCCCGAACCAGCGCTAGGTACCGTTCGACCTTTTCCGATTTCATCTATGACAACCTGGTTATGAGCTGACAACCGATCCCAGTTTTGGCGACTGGAACCCGGATTCCACCTCGCTTGACCCCAGTGTCTCCGAGGGCATTCCTTGGCCTGCTATCACGAAGCTGGCTCCCTCCAAGCTTCAACGGACGGCTTCGACTTTGATGGCTGAGTGGGAACGCTCCTTATCACCTTCTCCAGAGCGAGGTTCTCTTACCCGCAAGGACAGCAAGAAGGACTAACGATGTTCCTTTGTTTATCTTCTATGTACATATTCTATTGTTTCTTTTGGCCCTATCTACGGAATTACGCAGGGCTACGACCTTTGAGCTATATTATACGAGAGCGTTGCTTCTTCTCTTGTCATCTGACTTTTTGTCCCCTTTCTTTCCTTGGATCTATTTGCTGATGAATATTGCAACTCGCTTTGGAACACTGTTTATTCATTGAACCTGATGCTTTTGTGGTTTCAATGTTTACAGTAGAAATGTCAATAGAGTTCCAAGGTTACTTACTTGAAGGCCATTCTTGTTTAAATATTGCATGATTCTTCGACCTATCACCAGCAGAAGCATTCCAAGGCTCCTAGTGTGTCTTTAGTGCTTATATCGCCCTGGTGTAAGAGTACAATATTGGAAAGTAGCGATACCGGGACCTCGGATATGCGCCAAGACTGCGCTTTAGGCATGTTTCGACGACCGTAAAAATGAATTTGCGGTTCAGTTACTCGCCTCCGCAAGATCTCCGCGTCCTATCTTCCATCTGCACGCGATCTCTTTTCCTCAAAGCGCCCCGGCCGTGATCGATCGGATCGACTCAGACTGCATTGGGCAAACATAACTATACATACCTCGCCCGTTCTTCCGATTCAATAAACCGTCAAGATGGCTTTTCCAGGCACCACGGGAACGTCCGTTCCGATGACCAGTTTGAGCGGAGGAAACCCCGCTACACAGGGAATGAATGAGCAGGAGGCTGCCATGGTCAAGATGGTATTGACTCCAGCATTGAAATAGGGATCAAGCAGCTCTAACAGTCTACAGATGCAACGCGGTATGGAATCCTGCCCCATCAAGACCATCATGGCAGGTACCATGGGATTCGGTCTCGGAGGAGCTTTCGGTCTGTTCATGGCCAGTGTAAGTTGACCTGACTACAAAAGCATGTGACACGTCCTCATCAGTATTCCCAACAGATGTCCTACGACTCGACCTTCACACCCCAGGGCCGCGCAATCGCCGATCTCCCCTGGCGCCAGCAAGTCCGCGCCGGTTTCAAGGACATGGGTGCTCGCTCGTGGTCTTCTGCTAAGAACTTCGGTATCGTCGGTGCGCTGTACTCCGGCACCGAGTGCTGTATCGAGGGTCTCCGCGCCAAGAACGACCTTACCAACAGTGTTGCGGCTGGTTGTCTCACCGGAGGAATTCTCGGTGCGAAGGCTGGTCCCCAGGCTGCGGCGTTTGGTTGCGCTGGCTTTGCTGCGTTCAGTGCTGCTATCGATGCCTACATGAGAATGCCTGGCGACGACGAATAAGCCAGTGCGCTTGTTTGGATCATCGGCTTATGGCCAGATTGTGCTTTTCGACACTTTAATTTTCTACGGCATATGGAGTTCTGGTTTAGAACGGAGCATTGGGGGCGTTTTCTTGTCTTTGGTTATTGCCTATGTGAATTTGGCTCCGACCTGGGCTATTTACTAGTCTGTCTATACTGCTAGACATTGGGGGCTCATTCCCTCAGACTACATCCTTACTCTTTTGTACAATATCAAGCGCGGACATAGACTACTGGGCTTTCGAGAATCACCTCTCACAATTGATACCAAATGTTGCTGAACTTCCCGACCTTGGTAGACTTCCACCTAGGCAAATGGCTTATCAGGACTAGGAAAAATATCCAACTCGAATTACTTCCATTCATATGGAACCAGGGATATGCCAGAATGTACAAATGGTTTAATTTAAATATAAAACTAGACTAAGGAAGAACAATGTACTTCTCCAAGTGCTTGGGGATGGAGCCGCGCAGGTTCTTGCTCTCTAGCCACTTGCCGGAGAACAAACGGTCGGCATAGCGGTATGCACCGTCGCAGAGGATTGTGACAACAGTGTTGCCCTTTCCTAGCTTCTCAGCGACCTCCTTGGCAGCCACCACGTTCATAGCAGAGCTGGCACCCAGGTAAAGGCCCTCCTCATCCAAGCAACGGTAAACCATCTCGATGGTCTTCTCGTCACTGATGTTCACGGAGCCATCCAGCAGATCGATATCAGGCTGGAGGTTATCGGTGACACGACCCTGACCAATGCCTTCGGTAATACTGCTGCCAGAGCGGTCGATCAGGGTGCCACCGCTTTGAATGTAGCTGTGGAGGACACTGCCGGGGGGATCGGCAAGGAAGCTCTTGACGCGTCCATCGCTAGCAGTCTTGAGGTAGCGGGTGATACCAGCCAGGGTACCGCCAGTTCCAGTAGCGCAAGTGAAAGCGTCAATCTTCCCTTCAGTCTGGGCCCAGATTTCCGGGCCCGTGGTGTCAATGTGGGCTTGACGGTTGGCAGTGTTATCGAACTGGTTCGTCCAGACTGCATTGTCCAAGGACTCGGCGTGCCTGCGCGCCTGGTGGTTGTAGTTTTGGGGGTTGTCAAAGGCCACTGCGGGGACAGGGTAGACCTCCGCACCCAGAAGACGAAGCAGGTCAATCTTGCCCTGTGACTGAGTGTTGGGCATGTAGATGACCAGCTTGTAGCCCTTGGACCGACACACGTGCGCGAGTCCAATTCCGGTGTTACCGGCGGTTCCTTCAACGACGGTACCACCGGGCTGGAGGAGACCCTTCTCCTCGGCGTCTTTGACGACGAACAGCGCGGCGCGATCTTTCACGCTGCCTCCGGGGTTTTGGAATTCGGCCTTGCCAAGAACATTGCAGCCGGTTTGCTCGGAAAGCTTCTTCAACCGGATGAGAGGGGTGTTGCCAATTGCTGCAGGGGATATGTCAGACCATGGTGGGTTGATAGATCGATTCGGCGCTACATACCTTCAGTCAATCCATTGACAACGCCCTGGGAGGTTGACACCTTGGTAGCGTATGCAGTGGATCCCTCCCGGGCAGCACGAGCTGCTGTAGTGGCAAAGCGCCGGACACTTTGACGAAACATTCTGCAATTGTCGATTATGCAAGAACCACGAGCTCCGATCAACCGGGGAAGATGACGAGCTCCGACCTCGGGCCGGCACTAGACTCATCACGTGACCCTTATCGCTATCGATGTGCGAGTGTTTGCAGCCACGGATAAAGAGTAAGGGCACGAGGATTTTCTCGTATGCACACGGACTACTTCCTGGTTGAGGCCGACAACGTGAAGCTCATCAGTGGTGTTTATGTCACTCATGGTAGATAAATAAAGCATAACTCGTGAAATTGTCGTGTAGGTTGTGTAAGCCGAATGAATTCTCGTCTGATATATTCCAAGAAATCTGCCCTAATTCCCACGCTACACAACTATTCTGTACCACCTGGGCAGTAGTGAGATTCAAATGTTCGGAGAAAACGTTGTGTGGTTTGGAGAAATGCCGTGTCAATAGTGAAAGTCTTCCCCCTTTGGGCTGTTTGTTTACCGCCAAGGCCTCCACTCACTCGGTCCCGCTCTGTGATGCTTTTCATCCTCAACTAACCAACAATATCGAAACCATGCCAGGCAGAGTCGCCGCCCGTTCGACATCTGCGACGACACGCAGGTCGTCGGCACAGCCTTCTACGTCTGGGCGCGCTGCCTCCGTCACTCCAGCATTTGCGATCCCCGAAGAAGCCGCAGAGCCAATTTCATCCCCCACCTTGCGTCGCGACGTGTGCCTGATTTTTGCGGACGCCCAGCGCTCAACCACTGGCCACCGAAAGCTAGTGGTGCGATTGCGCAAACTCCAGGAAATATGCTGTGGCATCTTCCAGAAGAAAGGCGACAAGAAGTCAAAGGACCAGGAGGCCGAGGAGGCACTGGTCCCTGGCGAAGAGACAGAGGCCGAGAAGGAGTTCAATGTTGAGATTGGTCGCTGCATGCTGCGAATCCTGCCAATTAAGAAGAGTGAACCTGTTGGAGATCGAATCTTGCGCTTCCTGGGCACTTTCTTAAGCCATGCCGCTGAAAAGGACACTGAAATATTCGCTTCCGGCGAAGACGACGAGCACAATCCCGAAACCCCGACCTCTCGCCTCACTGCCAGTCTGGTTGCTCTCATGGTTCCCGTCATGAGCGCAAAGGACAAGATGGTACGATTCCGCGCAACGCAAATTACCGCTCATATTGTGAACTCGCTCGAATCGATCGACGATGAGCTCTACCACACGATAAGACAAGGTCTTCTGAGACGTCTTCGAGACAAGGAGGCATCCGTTCGGGTGCAGGCTGTTATGGGACTAGGACGTCTGGCGGGCGATGATGGCGATGACGACGGAAACGACGACAATTCCGCCGCACTTATCGAAAAGCTTCTGGAGATCATGCAGAATGACACAAGTGCCGATGTTCGCAAAACTCTCCTTACGAATCTACCTTTGGCCCCAAAGACACTCCCTTATCTTTTGGAGCGCGCTCGTGATCTGGATGCTCCTACCCGTCGTGCGTTGTATTCCCGCCTTCTTCCTACATTGGGCGATTTCCGCCATTTGTCGCTATCAATGAGAGAACGACTACTTCGATGGGGCCTGCGTGATCGAGACGAGAGTGTACGCAAGGCAACGGGCAAGTTGTTCTTCGACCGTTGGGTCGAAGATTGCGCCGGTACTAACAATGACTCTAACGAGGGCCCGACTGGCCAGCGCTCCCCACCAGATATCAATGCTCTCCTGGAACTTCTCGAAAGAATTGATGTGGTGAACTCTGGAATGGAGAGTGGAATCGCACACGAGGCCATGCGGAGCTTCTGGGAAGGTCGTGCAGACTACCGTGAAGCTGTCGTGTTTGACGAGCCCTACTGGGAGGGTCTTACTGGCGAGTCAGCCTTTGTGCTGCGTTCTTTCAATGACTTCTGTCGTGTGGAGAACGAAGGGAAATACGACACACTTGCCGACGACAAGATGCCCGAGGTGACAGCCTTTGCCTATTTCCTCGGCAAGTACATCACCAAGCTTTTGGAGAGAAAGAAGATCTCTAAAGAGAGTGGAGATGCGAACGATGACGACGCCGTCGAGCACGAATTCGTGGTGGAGCAATTGCTTCACATCGCCCCCACACTGGATTACAGTGATGAGGTTGGGCGACGGAAGATGTTCTCGCTGCTGAGAGAGACTCTAGCTGTGCCTGAACTTCCGGAAGAGAGCACCAAGCTGGTGATTGAGACTCTCCGATGTGTCTGTGGGCCTGATGCCGCCGCCGAGGCTGAGTTCTGCAGTGTCGTCCTAGAGGCCATTGCAGAAGTCCACGACACGATTACCACAGAAGATAGCTTTGTTTCAGCCAGGTCTGAGATCAGCGACGACGCCAGCCGGCGATCTGAGACCCCTGGAGAAGAAGAACAAGCTCCTTTCAACAAGGAAGAGGCGAAGGCAAAGATCGTCCGCGAGATTGTCGTGAACATGAAGTGCCTGTACATTGCCCAATGTATGCTTCAGAACGTCCAAGGTCATCTGCAGTCGAACATGAATCTTGTGACTATGCTTAACAACCTGGTGGTGCCCGCCGTTCGCAGCCATGAAGCTCCCATTCGTGAACGTGGTCTCCTTTGCCTGGGTCTTTGCTGTCTGCTCGACAAAGTAAGTGCTATTGCCATTCTTTCCATCGAATTTTCGCTAATGTGGTTTCCCAGAATCTGGCCGAAGAGAACATGACCCTCTTCATTCACTGTTATAGCAAAGGTCACGAGGCATTGCAAGTCACAGCGCTTCAAATCCTCTGCGACATGATCACAACACATCCCTCCCTTCTCGCGCCCGTTACTCAGTCCGATGGCGAGACTATCACACCTCCTCCCATGCAGAAACCACTGCTCAAGGTGTTTGCTCGCGCTCTGCGTGCCAACTCACCTAACACTGTGCAGTCCGGAGCCGCAGCTGCTTTGTCCAAATTACTTCTGACCAACGCCTTCACTCCTTCCGGCCCTCATGTGCCACCTGCTATCCAAGAAATCAACCAGAACGCCGTTGGGACATTGCTGCAATCGCTCGTGGTGGCCTTCTATCACCCGCGAACCCGTGAGAACCCAGCGCTCCGCCAGTCTCTGGCATACTTCTTCCCTGTTTACTGTCACTCCCGAGTTGAGCACACACAAAACATGCGAAGAGTGGCAGTCCCTGTCGTTCGGGCTGTGATGAATGCCGCCGAAGAGCACTACTCCCTTGAAGCTGAGGAAGACAGTGATGGAGAGGTTGATGCAAGCATCGGCGAGCGTGAAGTCAAGGCGCTCATGACAGGTGTGATTGGCATGCTTGCTGAATGGACCGATGAACGCCGGGTCGTTGGCCTCGGCGGCGAGAAGGTCCTCGCAGGTGGTGCCGCAAGCTCCAATGTTTGTGGCTGGGTCCATCTTGCTCTGGTCAAAGATATCCTCGAACGTGTGCTGGGGGTCAGTGCGGGGACCAGCCGTTGTTCTCGAGAAGAGCGCAAGCTTCTGTTCTCCCTGCTTAGCAAGCTGTATTTCGCTGCCCCCACGTTGCCCTCACGGGAGCGGGCTGGCTCCCGCGCCCCAGAAAGCGAGGATCCATTCCGCACCAGTGTTCGCAGTGCTACCGGCATCGAGATCTCTCCCGAGAACAACGAGCTTGCCTCTGAGGTCAAGGAGCTATTAGACCAGACCATTGAAGATGGACTCGCTGGCGAAGCCTCCAGTCGCAATGCCCTTACCAAGGCCAAGAATGCTATCCTGAAGATTCTCGCCGTTGCACAGGACTCTCGTGCTGCTAGTGCCCGTCCCCGCGAGGGCACTGAAGACATTGAAGATGGTGCCAGCGTCCGCTCAGCCAGCGTCCGCCGCTCCGTGGAGCCTTCCGGTCATGCCAACCGTCGTTATGTGTCGGTTGAACCTAGTATTATGGAAGAAGATGAAGGCGAGGGGGATAGTCGCATGACATCCGCCACTGCCAACCGCCCCATTGTCTCCATTGAGCCCAGTATCATGGAAGTTGACGAGGAAGAGGATCATGATACTAGCCGAGGGACGGTGATTAAAGAGGAGACTGGTGATGAGTGATGATTATGTACTTTCCAGGGTTGCTTTGGCGTTGAGGTGACGTTTGTTTTCTCCAGGCTGGGAGTATCGGAAGCAAGGATGGGGCTGTACATAATACCCACATAGGGTGCTTTTGATTAATTCGATGATCTTCCAACGTTGAAATCTATAGATCACACGTGACAGGCCACGTGATTGAAGCATTTGACAACAGAACATGTCTCGGCTCCATGTTTCACTGTCCTGCACTCTGCCACATGTCATATATGGATGTGCAAGATGACAGCCATATGTATAGCCCCCGGAACAGGATGTCGTATGGCATACGCTAGTGTTCTACTCCGTCGATAATCGGGACCGTTGACTCCCGATGAGAGCAGAGTAGCAAGACCGGAGCAGGGATCTGGGCCCGGTTGGGGTTGCACGGTCAACACCAGTCCGAACACATAATTTCCAGGAGAAGAAGAGAATTAAATATGAGATCGATGATTTAAATTTCGTTCAACTCCGTATCTACAGAAATGGTCGCATTTTGTAATCTCCCGTGAGCCCCGAAACTTTTCATTTTCAGAACTCCACCTCGACTTGGTCTATTTTCTTCTTCCCCCCCCCCCCCCTTTCCCTTCTCTCCTCCCCCGGGCTTTCCTTCTCTTCTATTCATACCACGACTTCTCCCCTGTCGTGTTCTCTGTCTTCTGCTGTAACCCGCAGAGACATTTCCCCTCAATTTTCCCCGGGATTCCCCTGCCGCTCCGTTGGCACCGAGCGACAAGTCAGCGATGGCGGCCGTTTCAGCACCCACTCCCAAGCTGGATCGATACATCGTCATCCACGTTGCAACAACTTGCGACGAACATGGCGTTTATGTCACCAAGGACTCGGCCGAGGTGATCGAGTTGGGATGGATCTTGCTGGACTCCAAGACCTGCGAAGAAGTACGTCCCAACGCCCAACATTGAATCTGCCTAGCCTCGGGAACCCAATGCTGACGCCTGTCTTTTTCAACTTGTTTAGCTGCACCGTGAAAGTGTTCTTGTGAAGCCCGTCAATACGCCAATCACCCCGCTTTGCAGTAAGCTCGCCTTGTCACAACCTGGTGCATTGGGTTTTGCTAGGATCCGTGGCTAACATTTTTCTCCCCCAAAGCGAGCTTGACAACCTTGACATGGGAACACGTTCGCTCTGCAGGCACTTTCCGGGATGCCATTTCTCGATTTGACGCCTTCGCCACGGAGCACCTGACAAGCAAGCACCTCGAGTTTGCCTTTGTGACGTTGGACTCGTGGGATCTGCGGGTGCAGCTGCCCCGCGAAGCCCGCGACAAGGCCGTCGTGCTGCCCGCATATCTGCAGCACTCCCGCACTTTCGACCTGCGAACCGAATACCAACGCTGGCAGACCCATCACCCGGAGTCGCTGCCCTTCGGCCCCAGCTCGCTCTCCAACATCTGCGCTGCTCTCGAAGTGGAGCCCGTTCAGTCGTCCGCCCCGATCAAGCACAACCTGCCTTTCCACCTGCAAGCCTTGGCCCCCGCTTCGCCGCGTCGTGCCATGGAGGAATCCGTGACTCTCGCTCGTGTTCTGCGGGGATTGATCCGTAAGTCGCAACCTCCTCAGGATCACCCGGAGATCTTGACTCGCCCCATGGATGCCCACGCGGACGTCCGGGCTTTCTTGGCGGAACGAAGCAAGGTCTTGCACCTGAGTGGTCTGCCCCACGACACTACCCAGTCCGAGTTGGAAAGCTGGTTCACTCAATTCGGTGGTCGCCCCATCGCCTTTTGGACTCTGCGCACACCAGACCAGCACAAGCCTACCGGCACCGGCTTTGCCGTCTTCTCTTCCCACGAAGAGGTATGTTGGACCCGCAAACTTGCAGATCTTGAACTTTCTGGAGATTCTGCTCTTTGGTTTGCCTATACTCCTTTGATTTCCCCGCTAACTAACTTCCAAAAAGGCCGCCGAGAGCTTGTGCATGAACGGACGGGCACTTAACGAGAAGGCGATTGAGGTCTCTCCCTCCTCCAGCCGGGTTCTGGACCGGGCCGCTGAGATCCTCACTCCCTTCCCTCCATCAAAGAACCGCCCCCGTCCAGGTGACTGGACTTGCCCGTCTTGTGGGTTCTCTAACTTCCAGCGCCGCACAGCATGCTTCCGCTGTTCATTCCCCGCGATGGCGGCTGCGCCAGACCCAATGAACTACGGAAACTACGGCTACGGCCCTCCATCGATGATGCCCCCTCACATGGGCCACGGTGGTCATGGTATGGGTGGAGGCGGTGGTGGTCACTCACGCGGTATGGGCGGCAACGGAGGCGTTGTTCCTTTCCGCGCTGGTGACTGGAAGTGTGGCTCGGAGGGTTGTGGCTATCACAACTTTGCCAAAAACATTAACTGTCTCCGCTGTGGTGCTCCGCGCTCAGGCGCGGCTGTTGTAGCCGACTCTGCTTTCTCGTCCCCGATGGACCCGCCCACACAATTCAACATGGGGCCAAACTCGATGGCTAGCACTCCCGCCCCGGCACCTTTCGCCTCAACTGCCGGTAGCTTCGGTGGTTTCAGCCAGCAGTTCGGTGGCCCTCCCAACAACTATGCCCTGCCCTCCGGCGGTCTCGGCAACAACACCCCTGGCGCTTACCCGCCCATGGGCCAGATGAACTCGGGATACGGCTCATCTAGCACCTCGCACTCGGCCGCCTCCTTCGCCAACCCGGCGACTCAGGCTGCGTTCACCGGTGCTGACCACGGTGTCCCCTCCACCAATGCCTCGAACGGCGCGTTCTACAGCCCTGACGGAGCCAGTGACCCCTTCGCCTTTTTGTCCTCCGGCCTTGGTGGTCTGACTGTGTCGGATGACCCCCACTCTCGTCGCAACGGTGCCGGCGCCAACAAGTCGCCCGCTTAAAAATTTAGGGTCTGACTGTACCTATGTCCATTTCGGGCACTCACACTTATGTTGTCCATATTGCAACCCTGCATTGTGGCGGGTTTCTGCGTTGGTTGATATTCGTTGATACGCATTTGTATAAGGGATTCTGCGGTTTTGGTGCATCGGGTTGGAAGGAGTAGGCGGGTTAGCGTGTCGAGGATTTCGGAATTCTTTTGCTCGCCTCGCCTGTGCTTTGATGCTTTCATCATATTTATTTTTTGTTTTCACATTTACCTGGTCTGTTTCGTGGTCTGTTTTTTATTTTTCTGTCATCTTGGTCGTGGAGCTGTCCCATATTTGTGATTCCATCTTGCGCTATATGGTTGTTTTTGTCTATGGGGATGGCGGCTGGTGCATGTATTTTTGAGCCCAGTCCCTCTCTGGTTTGTCCGCAGGCATGGACACAGTTGGCTTCGACCTGCTTTTGGCATTGCATTTTAGATATTTGCGTCCCTTTCTGCACTCTTTCATGGGAAGCGTCGGAGAATTCACGGTCTTGTGGGTGGGATATACTGGGACTCCGTTTGGGGTGTTGGGGATTTACTTTGAGCTTGTGGAATCGAGCATCTCTTCGGGGGCCATCGAAGCGCTGTGAATGCAAAAAAGATCGTTTTGTCATGTTCCACTTAACTCGTCCTTGGGGTCACAGAGTATGTAGTATTGCAGTTTATTTCTCGGGTTGTACAATGTTCTGTTAGTGTGGACAATATAATCTCATATGGGCTTGACATTGAAGTATTAGCATATTTCATCTGTACATAGTCCATCTGCTGAACAGGGCGAAACAGGAACCGATGGAGATAATTGGGAGGTACAAACATTTAGTATGACGTGCCCATACTGAAGGGAGGTACCTCTGGAGGCAGCCGTGGGCTTTCGCGTCCACCGCCCGGAACCCGTCATTGCTTCCATCTCAATTGACCTCAACTACTTGACGCCCGTCTGCATTGCACTCTCCTACCCTATTTACCTCCTTGAACCTGCGATTTGCAGCACCATTTCACCGATTAATTACCGATTCACATTGATTCATAATGTCCGGATACGATCGAGCTCTTTCAGGTAAGCCAGCTAGCTCCCCACGGCGAGCTCCCTTTGCTCCCGGTCCAAATAAAGGTGTTGTGACGCTAACTCATCGCAGTGTTCAGGTATGGGATCTTCGAAGAGCACTTCAGCTCCAGCATTTGTTCGCTGACCTTTCTCTAGCCCTGATGGGCACGTCTTCCAGGTAGAATATGCCATGGAGGCCGTGAAGCGCGGTAAGACACGATCACCCTCTTCTCCCAACAGCTTCTTCCTGTTTTGCTTTCATCGAGAATTGCCAGAATACTCGTGGATATATGAACTTTACTGATGATGGATCCCTCCAGGAACTTGCGCTGTCGGTGTGAAAGGCAAGGATATCGTCGTCCTCGGTTGCGAAAAGCGTTCCGCTCTCAAGCTCCAAGATACCCGCATTACTCCCTCCAAGATCGCTCTGGTGGATGACCATGCCTGCCTCGCCTTTGCTGGCCTTAACGCCGATGCCCGAATTCTTATCGACAAGGCCCGCTTAGAAGCCCAGTCCCACCGCCTGACCGTCGAGGACCCTTCCAGCATCGAGTATATCACAAAATACATTGCTAGTGTCCAGCAGAGGTACACACAGAGTGGTGGTGTGCGTCCATTCGGTATCAGTACGCTGGTCGTTGGTTTCGACAAGAATGACTCTACCCCTCGGTTGTACCAGACCGAGCCATCTGGAATCTACTCTGCCTGGTAAGACGCTCCTGAGCGCATGATGCATATCATTGAATATTTGCTGATATGTTTATTACCCACTACAGGAAGGCAAATGCTATCGGTCGTTCCAGCAAGACCGTTCGCGAATTCCTTGAGCGCAACCACCAGGACGACATGGACCGCGAGCAGACAATCCAACTGACCATCAAGTCTCTGCTTGAGGTTGTGCAGACAGGTGCCAAGAACATCGAGGTTGCCATCATGGCACCCGGCAAGAGCCTTGAGATGCTACCGGATGACCAGATCGAGTCGTACGTGAAGAGCATCGAGACCGAGAAGCAGGAGGAGGCAGCCAAGAAGAAGACTCGGACAGGGACCGCCACGGCAGCTATCCTCACCCGGCCGGGCGGCGAATAGACTGAATGAGTGCTAGACGTTGGCAATCTAGAGCCTCCTTGGTGACTGGGTTGTGGATATGTTTCGATTTACAGTAGCGTTGGTCTCTCCCCTGACGAGAATCCAAAATCATGAAGTTTATAAAACACGTTGCTCTCTTGTATTGTACACGCAGGAAGAAGGGTATATGTCTTCCCCATGGACTATTGCAACAAACAATAACCGTCAATTCGTCATCATGAAATTACGCCCCCGCCAAATGTATGCATTTGTACACTCCAGCAACTTAACCCATGCGGTCCGACACATCGCGGATGTTGAAGAGGGAGCGCTCCTCGTCTCGGGCAACACGTTCGTCCTTGAGCATACTGCGTACTGTTAGCGATCCTGCCAACACAATGACTCTTCCTTGACATACCGACTGTCCATACGCGCATCGTCACCCTCAACGTGTAGCTTGGCTTGAGGTTCCACTGCTTCAATCACAAAGTGGTTATCACAGTGTGGGCAGTATTCGTCGCTAATTCCGAAAAAAACCATAAGATTAGCCCTGCCACTCTTCCTGAGACACCGATGGTTTGAAAGACATACCTCTCGTCAAATTCAGCGGCATCCTTGCGGAAGCATTTCTTGCACTTTTTGCATGCGAAGATCTGTCGTGCGTTAGACTTGCGGGCTCTCGCGACTCTCAGAATAGAGGCGTACCATCTCCGCGCTCTTCGTGAGCATGTGCGACTCCGTCTCTTGGTGGCATTCAGCACAGTCGAACCATTTCCGGCCTATGAAGTTGTTTGGTCAATCCCCTGACATGATCAGTTTCGACGTCGATTCGAGCGTACAGCAATGGGAGCGGATGGCCACTTGGGCATTCAAGATGTGTTTACTGCGGGTATATTAGATTATTGCGCAGGGTTCGACAAGGGATCTCCATATGCAACTTTGACATATGCAAGGACTTACCACATGGTGACTCTGTGGGGAGGGAAGTGAAAGAGAAGATGTTGATGCTCGAGTCATCCAGACAAGTGATCGACTCCCGTGATCCACCACCTCCCCGCCACACGGTTTCGTGGACATTCACCCCTTTGACTCGTGTTTTGTTCTGAATTCTGCTTCACTCCTTTCCCTCCCGTCGACGACCCCCGACTGAGCATATCCCACTGAAGATCAGCGTTGCTTACGTACCTGCAAGCTCTCCGAACCCCACGATATCCCTGCAGCCTGAGCTTCCGTCTCCACGAACTCCTATTCAACTGCGCACCCCCTGTAGCCCTGCTGGATCACCCGGGATTCTCTCCAAACCTATGATCGATCTTTTCAGTTGGCATCGGCGACGGATCTCTGACAACAGCCATGGCGGGCATAGGAGAACAGCCAAACAATGAGGACCCTCCCACTGTATGAAGACACAACTACTTTTGTGGAACACAATGAACTAATATCAATGTAGCCACAGAGACCCGTCTCTTCTCTGCTGTCTCACTTCGAAAACCTTGCTCACCGCAGAGCACCGTCTGCGGTGACCGCTAGCCCGCGCACCTCCGCAACCCATCTTAGCTCCGAAGAAAGCGATGAGCTTCGGTCGTCGACTCGTGCCTCCCTCGACTTGCCCCGCCCGCAATCCCCGTGGACTCCCGCAGATGAGAGACCGAACCAGTTGGGACAACTGAACGGGGATCGGACTCGGAATCGCGGACTGTCCGAAAGGCGTTATGGCCGGCCCATCTCCATGAACTTCAACCGTTCGTCGCCACAACTTCCTCCAACGTTGGCAGTACACTCCCCACAATCACCACCTCGTATCCAAGATCGTGACGATGTCTGGTCGCACCAAGAAGACACCCGCAAAGCTCGAAGCCCAGGTCATCGTCCGTGGGAACCAGTGTACAATTCACCCGCACCACCTCGGCCTCTTTCCCCGGCCCCCAAGTTCGGATCGCCCATGTCTGGAGGAAACACTTTGCCCCATATATCTGCTGCGTCTCTCCGTCCGAATCTCACAGGGAGCCCAGCAGACCGAAAGTTAAAGAGCGCCTCGCTACCACCCCCCGCCAACCGCGCGTCGAAGCCCAAAATCCCAGCGAAACCGGCCATGTTCTCCCACCCAGACACAAGCACCCTGGCCCCTCAGCCAGAGCGAGTTTCGCCTGATCCGAGTGTCTCGCCTTTCAACACCCCTCCAAGCAGCCCGGAGAAGTCTCCACCGAAGCCGGTATCTGCAACCAAGATCAATTTCAGGCCACCGCCAGCTCGGCCAACAACAGAACCGCCAAGTCGGCGGTCGTTCGACGATCGATCCCCTGCTCCGGCACCCAATGCCCGACATGACGCTAGAGAAATGGGATTCTCGCGAAGTCGTCCTGTGCCGGAGCCCTCAAGAGCATCCAAGCCGCTGATGGTTCAAATTCCTTCAGCGCCGGTTGAATCTCCACAAACTGCCCCAGTGGCTCCCCCTGTTTCCGCGCAGAGGCTGCGGGCCAGCGATACCCCGTACAGCCGCCCAGGACTCCCTCCAAGGCCCTCCGAGACGCCCCGGAAGCCCGGGTTTTCTTCAGCCAGAGAACCACCACAGCATGTAAACAGTCCTTCGCAAATGACCCCGGTTGCTCGGGCTGCGCCACCGTTCCCGCGCATTGGCGAAAGCGCTGGCCCCAAGCCTATTCAACGGCAACCATCTATCCCCCGCGAACCTCAGCTCTCTTCCTCTCTTCCTGAACGACGCATCATGCGGGTCGACACAGAAGAAGAAGAGCAGGTAGAGGAGCCGGCAATTTCACGGACAGATTACCCCGATGCTTCCAAGGCCAATAGACGCCCGCCTTGTCTCAAGACTGGACCTCAGGAGATTCACACGAGATATGATACCCGCTTGTTAGCTGTGTGTGGCAAATATGTTTGCACGACTGGATATTTGACCAAAGTATGGGACCTCACGACGGGTGAACAAGTGATGAGCCTCAGCCATGGTGAGACTGTGAAGAGTTTATCCTTGGCTTTCAAACCAGGAAAAGGACTGGAAGACGAGGGTGACCGCATCTGGCTTGGCACGAGCGCTGGAGACATTCATGAGGTGGACATCCCAAGCCAGTCGATTGTGGCTACGCGATCATACCCCTCCCGGCGAGAGGTGATTCAAATCCTACGACATGGAAAAGAAATGTGGACATTCGACGACGAAGGCCGACTGCTTATTTGGTTGCCAGACGAAACTGGCACACCGAACCTGCAGTATAGCTACCACAGCGCTCATGAACGCGTAGCCCGGGGCCACACGTTCTCCCTGGTAGTTGGAGATAAGCTGTGGTTGGCAGCTGGAAAGGATGTTCACATCTACCGCCCCGATTCCCGAGATGAGACTTCGTTCAAGGTCTTCAAAAGACCGCTCGGGCTGCAGCACTCTGGTGATGTGACTTCCGGAACTTATAGCACACGAGATGGTGGCCGAGTGTATTTGGGACATGCCGACGGCAAGGTCACTGTCTACTCTGCTACCGACTTCACATGTCTGGCGGTGGTCAATGTCAGCGTTTATAAGATCAATTGTCTTGCCTTTGTTGGAGACTACCTTTGGGCTGGATACAAGACGGGCATGATCTACGTTTACGACGTTACCACTAACCCTTGGACTGTGAAGAAAGACTGGCGCGCTCACGATAGTCCTGTCTCTGCCTTCGTGCTGGATACTAGCAGTGTATGGACCATGAATCGTCTACAGGTGACATCTCTTGGTACTGATAATTGCATCCGTCTCTGGGATGGTATGCTTGAAGCTGACTGGATGGGTAAGTTTATATCCTTGATCCTGATGGAGTACTTCTAACGCATAAACAGACGCACGCATGCAGCATAAAGATGTGGAGTTCTGCAACTTCAGAGAGATCAAGACTGTCGTCCTGACTTGGAATGCTGGCGCTGTCACTCCTGGCAGTGTGAAGACATCTGATTTCATTCGAAACGCTGTTACTCCAGAGGACCCACCCGACATCGTAATATTTGGATTCCAAGAACTGGTAGATCTTGAAAACAAGAAAATCACAGCTAGTGCGTTTTCACCTGTCTCTCTTGTGTGAGAATGACTTGCTAACATCCCGACAGAGAGCCTGCTCATGAGCAGCAAAAAGAAAGAGAGTGGCGAGAAAGAACATATGAGTCGTCAGTATCGAGTCTGGATTGATCATCTTACTCGTACTCTCCAGGAATGCATGCCTCTGGAGGAATCATATGTTCTTCTGCACACTGCGAACATGGTTGGCTTGTTTACTTGTGTTTTTGTCAAACACAAAGAACGTCACAATATCAAAAATATCAGCGCTTCGGAGATCAAGCGCGGAATGGGTGGTCTACATGGAAACAAGGTATGTGTTGTCTCTTTTCATCAAGAGCTCCAAATTTCTAACAAAACCAGGGTGCTCTTGTCTTCCGCTTTGTCCTCGATGACAGCTCTATGTGCTTTGTAAACTGCCATTTGGCAGCTGGACAAACTCAGACCGCGCATCGCAACAACGACATCGCCGCGATCCTCGAAGCCGAATCTTTACCCGTCGAGAGCAATCTGACTCTGAGAACAGATCAGTTCGCCAGTGGCGGCGATGGGTCCATGATCATGGACCACGAAGTGTGCATTTTGAACGGAGACTTGAACTATCGAATTGACACAATCCCCCGGAACGTGATCATCGACGCAGTGCGCCAAAACAACCTCACAAAACTCCTAGACCGCGATCAACTCCTTCTCTCCCGACGTAAAAACCCCGGTTTCCGGCTTCGCAGTTTCACCGAGCGGCCCATCACCTTTGCGCCAACTTACAAATACGACGTTGGCACAGACGAGTATGACTCCAGCGAAAAGAAACGTTCTCCTGCCTGGTGTGACCGTGTCCTGTACCGTGGCCTGGGCCGCGTCAAGCAGCTCGATTATCGTCGACACGAGGTCCGTGCCTCTGACCACCGTCCAGTCAGTGCTGCATTCAAAATCCGGGTGAAGACAGTCCTCCCCCATGAACGAGCTGCGACGTGGGATGTGTGTAATAAAGAGTTCCAGGAAGAGAAGCGCCGCTTGGCTTCCGAAGCCAGCATCGAGTACCTTATCAATGTTCTCGGCACTGAACCACGCCAAGCTCGTGCGTTGATCATGGGGAAAGCTCAATGATCATGCTCATCGTGCCTTGACTTGTGTGCCAAGCGAATTTCGTTTTGTTTTTTTTGATTTTTTTTGCATGCATTTTGGCGGCAGTGCGATGCACATTGTACGACTAATGATTTGACGATAGACATGTATCATGATCCAACCCTGGAGCTATTATAATTATTTCCACGGCTTCATCCCGTAAATATCGTCCCCGAGGCATCATTCAAAGGCCCAGACAAATTGACCTGGTGCCTCCCTGTGGCCAGTTGTCAGTCTGATCTATTGTCAAGGACACCTTGTCGGTGAGTATCAAGAGTGAAATTCTGCGAGTTGTACCATCGTGATCTGCTCTGTGGTACTTTCATGATTCGCGCCGTTTAATTTAGTCCCGATCCGGGCAAACATTCGATTTAGAACTATACATACGACTCCCTAGGTCCCAACCTTGGAAGGTTGCTGAACACCACTGGTGATGCCCTCTCATGTTCATCAGCAGACAGTCCACTGAATGATGCCAATGCTGGAAATGCTTTTGATCAGATATATATAGGTCGATCTTCGCACCCACCCGGGGGACAGGCCAGCTACCTAGACGGTTTGGCGGTTCCAACCTTGGAAGGCTGTGCGACGCCGAAAGGATCGAACCTGGGCTACCTCGAACCCAAGATGTTCGTCGATTTGCTGCTGTTGGCGACATTGCTCATGTTAGAGGCGGATGCTCTGGTCCGAGAGAACGGGAATGTAAGTTTTCTATTTTATAGCCTGGTCGCAGCTTCCAATTTGACGCTGATTTATACCGAAACAACCATTAACCCTTCCCAGGGAAGACTACCAGCTTTAGGCTGGAACTCATGGAACGCATTCGAGTGTGACATTGACGCAGTCAAGATCATGGTGGCGGCGAATCATATGGTCAACCTTGGACTGAAGGACGTGGGATACGAATACGTGAACAGTATGTGGACCGACGCGATGAAAGATGAGACTGACCCTGCCAGTCGATGATTGCTGGAGTGTCAAATACGCCCGAAACGCAAGCAACAATCGGATTATCCCAGACCCTGGCAAGTTCCCCAATGGCATAGTTGGAGTTGCAGAACAAGTGCATGCGCTGGGATTGAAGATTGGTATTTACAGCAGTGAGTGATCTCCCCCGATGGCACGACCCAAAGCTAATGTACCGGGCTAGGTGCAGGTGAAACTACATGCGCTGGATATCCCGCCAGTCTAGGATATGAGACTGTGGACGCAGAGGCATTTGCAGAATGGGGAATTGACTGTAAGCATCCGGCTCCTGTTTCTTGAGGCATCTCATCATGTTGATAGATCTCAAATACGATGACTGCGGCGTGCCCCCGGAGTGGAAAGACGAATACACGGGCTGTGTTCCTGACAGCGACGAAGATCCCTCCAGTTGGAATTTTCCAAATGGCACTTGTCCTGATCTTGTGGACCCTGCTCCTGAAGGATACGACTGGACGACGTCGAAGACACACCAACGCTATATCAACATGCGGGATGCATTGCTGAATGTGAATCGGACAATTCTATACTCATTGTGTGATATGGGCCATGCCAATGTGAACACCTGGGGCAATTCAACTGGCAACTCGTGGCGCATCACCAATGACATAAAGCGTAAGTGCGATCTCTGCTCATCACACGGTTATCCAGCTCAACATTCTCTAGCGGAATGGGTGCGCATATCAGAGATTGCAAACGAGAATACATTCCTACTGGACTACGTCGACTTCTGGGGCCATCCCGACCCTGACATGTTGGAAGTGGGTAATGGAAACCTCACACTGGCCGAGAATAGGGCTCACTTTGCCCTGTGGGCAATAATGAAGTCACCTCTACTCATTGGCACGCCGGTATGTGGAATTAATTATCTCCCGATTTCAGCACCAACTAATATGTCAAAAGCTCGATTCGATTCACCACCAACATCTGGCCATTTTGAAAAACAAGTATCTGCTTGCATTCCACCAGGATCCTATCATTGGACGCCCTGCTCTTCCTTATAAATGGGGATATAACCCAGATTGGACATTCGATCCGGCCCATCCAGCAGAATATTGGTCTGGAGTATCAACTACTCTAGAAGCCACTCTGGTGCTCACGCTGAACTCCGAGAATGTGACTTCTCGCCGCACTGCGGTATGGAGTGAGATTCCCGAACTCAGAGGCTATGATTCATATCAGGTCATTGATGGCTGGACTGGTGAGAGTTTGGGATGCGTGCGAAATCAGTATAGCGCCGATCTGGAGAGTCACGATGTGGCTTTCTTGGTGGTCAAAGAACAATGTTAACAAAGGACGTCGAACAATGCCGTTGTTCAGACTGAAAGGCCAGCGTCTATGAAGACGATGCAAAGAGGACCAGAAAACGAATCAAAGGATTCGGAGCGCATGACTATTCTCCGAGTTCGATGGAACAAAGAATCTTGATACTCGATCGAGTATTTTTGGACCATGAATGCTATTGATTCCCTTCAAGCGACTCGATGTATCTCTGGGACCTCTTACTTTGTTCGAGTCTTGGCTAAGAGTATATAGGACTTGTCCTCCCAGGGACAATAGCCATTCATCACACACAATCAGACTTCACACTGCAATCAACACAAATTCAAAGATCTACTCAGTTTACAATCACCCATCAGTTAAGTATCACCGCAAGAATGAAAGCACACTATCACTGTGACGCTCACAACGGGCTCCCTCGGGTTTGGCTTGGCTGGGGTGAGTTGAAAAGCCGCAAGCCCGAGCTTCAGGCCACACAGGACAACTATTTCGAGGAGTATATGGTCGACTACAAGTTCCGACACCCCAAGCATCCCCGTCGCTGGTATAACCTGCACTTGGCTGCTGCGCGCAAGTGGACTCGATGGTTCGACTGGCGCATCTCCCGCGGCGACAAGGTCCGACTGACTCTTCCCGAACCCGTGAACAATGAGCTCATTCCGAGCCTTCTTCACTTCATATATACAGGTGACTATTCCGTGGACATCGCTGACATGGACCGATACCCGGTCAGAGAAGACCCTTCAGGTTGTGATACCTGCCCGCAAATCTGCCAGCTTTTGCGGATTCACCTAGACATGTTCATCATCGGCCTTCAGCTGGGAATGGTCGAGCTCCAAGCTACTGCATTCTACCGATTCCGGTCCCTCATGAACACCGCCCCTGCCTGGGTCCTGAAGTATGCTGTCCACGCAGTATACACCCGACGACCCATCGAGAGCTCGTGGAACGACTTCCGTATCTCCAGCGTCCAGGGCCTCATGGACTACCGACCCGAGCTGGTTCTGCCTGCTATTCTGAGATGGTGCGGATACTTCCGCATGCACCCCATGCGAATCTCGGGCAGCACCAGCAAGATGTGCGGAGTGGAAGAGTTCGAAGAGCTTCGCAAACGATACCCTGACTTCAGTTGTCACTTGGATTTTGGTATTGTCTTGGATACGGTTGATATCCTACCCCCGTTCTTCAAGTTCCCCGGTAAGTCTGCGCCCATGATCGCTCTTCACCAGTACGATCGTCCTCCTCCTACTCCTAGCCCAGATGCGCTGCCCCGGGATCACTACCGGTCAAACTATCAGTATGTGACATACCTTCAACCACTCCCCTTTAGCAACTTCAGCGAGCAGCTACCTTCTAACCTAGGAACTTTCTGGAGCAGTTCATCTCAGATTGACCAACCCATGCCTACAAGCAATGCAGCTTTAGTTCAAAAGCAAGTGAGCGGACAGCCTCAGAAATCTCAGCCTGGGCCAGTACCAGTTGTTTCAAATGCTCTTGACCCAGCTCTCTCTCACTTGACTTTCGATCAACTGGAGTCAATCTCAGAAGACAGCATTCTGAATACCGACAGCATGGACTCATCCGCTAGTCAGTTTGACCCAATGCAACTGGACGGCGACTTCGAACTAGATCTAGACTTCATCGCTGCGGAGAACGCAGCCAACCCAGACGGGTATGACCTGACCAAATTGATCCAGGATTGGGGCGGCGACAACCCCGACATGGACTTCACAAGCCTGTTGAGCAGCAGCATGACCACAGACTTCTTGAATCCATCTACCGCACAGCCTCGCCAGGCGATGGACGTAGACATGCCGGCACATCACAACCCGTCAGGCCCAAATGACTTCGATTTTGCAATTCCCAGCCTACCTACCATCGACTGGACCGGGATGGACCCGATGGGCCCCATGAACTTCCCCCAGAACCTTGGTGCTACGGGGTGGTCCGGTATTGACTCCTACGTAGCTGCAGGCCCTCAGCAGCAGTCGATCAGGCGCCAGCAAAAAGCCTTCGACTGGTCCAAGGCTACACACTCTGGAGGTACCCCAGTTGAAGAAGCTCCACCGCAGCCAGCCGTGAGAGCAAACTCACGATACAACCTTCGATCCCGAGGAACTCCCTCAGAAAGCCCACAGCAGGACAACAAGCGTTCAGCATCGGGTGACCTATCCGATACTCCTCGCAACAAGCGATCCAAGCGCGCGATGCAGTAGGATGGGACGGGTTCGTCGACCTCTCAAAGCTCATCGCGGCATGGTCTTCGAAATTGCAAGCCTGAAGGTCGCACGAGAGAATGGCCCTCCGCTTTGTGCAGCGCTAAGAAATGGGTGTTCCAGAGGCCGCGTGGCTAGCTGGACTAGTCTCGAGGCCTTACAATGAACAATGAACAGACCCGTCTTCTGGGATAGAAGAGCTCACTTTCGAATATTGTATAGAGTCGAGTGGCGATTTGTATTATTATAGAATAAAATTGTTCGCAGCAATTGGACTTGCAAGAATACTCTGTAGAGTAGTGATGTGCATGTCTCAGTGCATGAAACCGGCGATAAAAAAAGATTGAGATCTACAACGTCACTCCACTTCCGAAGTTCCAGGCTTGTTAAGACATATCCATATACTATCAGCAATAGTCTCTGTTCAATATGTAATATGCAAAAGAGGAAGAGTATGGACATAATATAATGGACTCGAGGGACACTTAGAAGCGCCAGCCCTATGGAGCCCAGGCAAACGCCAATCCACCGTGGACCTGACACTAAATGTAAGGCCAATGATCATCGCTCTCGCTCTCCGTTCGTACCTTTGCGGCGCCTAGATGTCCTGTCTGTAACCAAGGAAATGGGGTTGACTACGTCAATGCCTTAAAACATTACTCGTAGACCCTTTAAAGACCCCAGACCCCTCTTTCTACTGCATACTACTAACTATACTTCGATATGCAATGAGCTGCTCTAATTATTCCCGTCCGGCGTCGCGGATCTTTGTCTTCTTAGGTCTAGCCGCAACGTTACTTCTCTTATCTTACCAATTAATCCTATATCGATCTACAGAGTTGGGTGTGCTGGTGAGCAATGAATCAAGTCCAGCACCATCAGACCCAGCATTATCGCCAGCGCCAGCGCCAGCAGAGCCTGAGCCAGAACCAGAGCTATCATCCGAAGTGCCAGAAAAAGTCCCAGTGATAGTGCCGCAGACATCCACAGAGCCTATACCAGAAGCCACCCCGAAACCGACCCCCGAACCCACGAAGGAACTGGTCTTCGCAGCCATGGAAGCCAGCAACATGTCCTGGGTCGACGAACACCTCCCAAATTGGACTGCGAAAATCTATCGCGCAGACGCCAGCCAAGGCCTAACCGTACCAATGAACAAAGGCAACGAAGCAATGGTCTACCTAACGTATGAGCGCATCCCAACCCCAACCTTGAAACACCTAACAATCCCCAGCTACATCATCGATCGATACTGGTCACTCCCCGACGTATCAATATTCCTCCACGGCGAACGATACCAATGGCACGTCGACAACCCACTCTACGACTCCGTAATCTCAATCCGAGATCTCCAGGCCTCTTTCGTCCTCGAAGCCGGCTACGTAAGTCTACGCTGTGCCTGGAGTGTCGGCTGTCCCCGGGAACTCGAGCCTGCGCGCTATCTCCGCGAAAGACCAGATGATAGTCATCATCCTGCGGCGATGGAGTATCCGGATCGGTTTATGGAACTGTTTCCGCGGGCGCAGGTGCCTGAGGAAGTGGGCGCGCCTTGCTGTAGTCAGTTTGCGTTGTCGAGGGGGAAGATTCATGAGCAGAGTCTTGAGCATTATGTGCGGTTGCAGAAGTGGTTGATTGATACTGAGTTGAATTCGGGGATCAGTGGCCGGATCTTTGAGTATTCGTGGCATAGTAGGTTTGCTCCAGGCTTTCTTTGGGTTGTGACGGTTCTAACGTGTATAGTGATCTTTGGGAAACCGACTCAGTACTGTCTCGACCAGAAGGAGTGTTATTGTCGGACGTATGGGTATTGTAATTTGACCGACGCGGAGATGCAAAGCCAGTGGGTGTGGCGCGGACTCAAGCTGCCTGATGGATGGCCAGAGCCAAAGCCAGAGCCGGAGCCAGAGCCAACGGCAGAAGACAAGCAGTCGAAGGAATCGCCTTCATAAATGCATGTATATTGAAATAATGATACCCTGAAACGCTTTCAATTTTACTCCCATGATTTCATAGCTGATCCCGTCACGCACAATCATCAATAGATTTCATATATAAAGCTCATCGCCACAGATCCCCTTTGCTCAATCGCTTATGATGGCCCTGGCTACTCTTGGGCCGTTCCTCCTCCGCCGGAACAGCCAGGAAGCCACCGAACCCATTGCCGACGAGCACGCTCTTGCGCGCATCACCACCCCAGGACCGGCTGAGCTGGGCCTCGTGGAAACTCACAGGCCGGGTACGAGAGTCACGGCGTCCAGTCACCGGGCTAGGATCGTAGGGGGTGAAGTTCCACTCCAGCTCGTCCAGACCCTTGCTGTACACGTTCAAGGGTTGAGCCAGACCGCCCATGCTCCGGGGACCGCTCTCACCGCCGCCGAAGAGTCGAGGCGGAGGCATCAGCAGGAGCGTGTCGGGGAATTGGGCGTCCCGGACGTAGAGATCGCGCAGGGCGGGGAGGGTGCGGGCCATCAGGGAGGAAATAAGATATTGATAATACGAGGCCACTACCGGTGGCATGCCATTATTGTCGGTTTCGGACGTCAGCTCGTAGTGCAGGAGCGTCAGGGACTTGGACGCCAGGGGAGGGATTTGCTCCATGGGGAACGAGCGCGACACCTCCTGAATAATGGACAGGTTCTGGAGCCGCGGGGCCGCGGCGAGAATATGATGCAGCAGCGATGGGACGATACCGGTCGAAGACAATGTTAAAGATTCCAAGGCGGCTTTATTGGCTGGAACGGAGAGAATGGCGGCAAGCCCGCTCGCCGTGACATTCGGGGTATCGCGTAGCGTCAACGACTGCACCGCAGGGAACTGAGGCAAAGGGAGATTGACCGCAAAGGCCGAATCATCCAACCAATCCATATCTTCCAATGTGAGTTCCCTCAAATGGGGGAAGGCAGCGAGTCCAGCGCGGAGCGTGCCCGGCTCCATTTGCGTGCCCGAAAGCTCCAGGACCTCCAGATTCATCCAGAGCTGGGAGCCCGGAAGACGCGAGAAACTGCCCTCAGCGCCGCGGCGATAGCTCATGCGACGCAGCTCGGGACACCGGGCCATCAGCTCCTGTTTCAAAGCGAGACACGAGGCCTCGTCACTGTACAATCCGACCGGCAGATCGACGAAGCGGAGATTCGGGAGGACGGAGATCGTGCGGGCGATGTTGGCTTTGTTGGCTTCGCGGGTCATATAGGGCATTCGGAGTGAGAGGACCATATTCGCTAGCCCCTGGGACTCTCGCACGACGCGCATGAACATCTCCAGCCGCACCTGAGGGGCATCGATTGGGTCGCCATTGCGATCGAAGAACGAGCGGCGTTTCCGCTTGGCGGCTAATTCGATTTCCAACTCGCAGTAATGGACCGGGTCGATGCGGACATTCGTGTAGCTAAGAGAATCAAATCAGCATCAGCCTTGGTTTTGGCTCAGCGGGGAATTACAGTAGAGCGCGCGCATCCAAGAACCACCGCTTGCACACGAGGGCGCAGTGAGCGAGATCGCGCATGTCGCACAGCATGCAGCCATCGCTGGCTGATTCCTCCGAGGTGCCATATGAGTTGTCACCGGCGTGGGGGCAAACGAAAGAGAAGATGCGGGCCAACACCGGCCTCGGCAGGCGTTTGGTACAGTCTCGGCCGGGGACGTTGACGCGGGGCGAGGGAGGGTCGGTCGCAACCCCCGCGCTGCGCCTGGAACTTCGCCGTAACTTGTCGAAGAGACCCATCTTGAGGAGTTGGGAGAGTGAAGTGAGAAGAGAACAAAGCGCGCGTTTGATGCAGGGCCCGCCCCGGACTCTAGTAACAGGGATGAAACACCCAATCAACACTGGGGGCCTGTAAGCGCCGTTTCAGGCCCCATCGGGTCTTAGCTGTGAGCTTGTCGATCCATCTTCTTTGTGCAGCAGTCATCGACCTCTTGAGGACTGCTCTGGGAAATGATGTGTTTGCTTGCAACCTTGGTGGGCAGTCCAACCCCCGAGGTCGTATCTCTTCACGCAGTCGCAGATGCAAAGACACTCCGACAGTTGAATGAGGCAAAAGAGAAAAGAGTCAACTAGCTACGTATGGAAGAGCTCACCCACTTGCTCCAATCTCACTTCATACCACGGCTGCACTTAGCTCCGAGGCATGGGCCTGCAACAGCAATCTCGAGGCCACTCTCTGCATTCAATGTTAGCTCAGGAATGCGCTCATTGCATCAGATAATGAGATGAACAGCTCCAAGATCAGAGCTAGGCATTTTCAAATCGTCCAGAAATTTCAACGGTCGGAGCTTCGAGGCCCAATTCCGGTCTCCATTGACTTTTAAACCGTGTGCCGTGTTTTGTACAGACATCTGCAATTCAGAGATACGTGCCATTCAACAGATGGCAGAACAAAGAAGCGGAATTCCGACAAATCAAGGACGGTGGCGATATAATCATTACGTCGGGTTCCCGTATACATTTGACGACATTCCTGATTTACGCACACAACTCAAGGATTCACAGGGAATCCAAACAAGACAGAAATGGCATTCACCGGCCCTGCTGAGCCTCTACCTTGTCCAGGGTTTCCCAGCAAACCCTCCAGAAGCATACAGGGCGAAGAATGGAAACATCGCCCGCCATACAAAATACAGACCGAAGCAGAATTCGGGCCAATCAAATGGCGCGGGAACTGTCTCTGTGGCAGAGTAGCCTACATTTTGAAAAGAGAGAAGCCTCTCAATGCAAAGTACTGTCATTGCCGCGGATGCCAGGTTGCCCACGGAGCCCCTCTGCAGTGGGCAACAATCTTCCACAAGAACGAAATGTCCTTCATCCACGGATCAAGCAATCTGGCGTTCTATTCCTCGACACATAAGTCCCAGGAATACGGACTGCCAACGAAAGTCTCTTGTGGGAACTGTCGCACGCCTATCATGGACGAAGGCCGGAATGTCTGCTTGATCTTTCCACAGTCGATTGAACTGGAGGGATCGAATGACGAGCGAAGACGGAAGATGGAGCTCTTGAGACCGACGTAGGGCATATCTGCCTTATGCTATGCCGGGAAGCTAATGGTCCTTGCAGATGTCATATCTTTTACGAATCACGCATGACGGATGTTCCAGACGGTCTCCCAAAATGGAGAGGAATGGAAAATGATAGCGATCGGTTGGATGATCAGGGTAACCGAATTGATGGCCCTTCACAGTAAGTAAATTCGCCCAATGACCGGTGCTTGCTCCTGACGGCGAATTGCAGCGTTAAGATGAACCGAAGGCCAAGTGAAGCAGCAGAGATCGGATGATCGAACGATGGGACGGGACGAGGGCGAATCTTTAGTTGTCAGGGCAGTCTCTCTTTCTTCTTCTTTCTTCTCCATACTCGATGTTTTCGAATATCCTCAATGACTCTAAAAGAGGAGGTCGAAGAAGCCATGGCGGCAACAACGCCTGGGCGACACGCTGAAGACAGCATGACGACACGCAGCTCATCGCTGCACAGATTCATTCAGCGCGTTCATTTTCCAGTCCGCTAGTCGCTGGTCAGTCAGCTCCACAAGCAGCCGGGGAGAGTGCCACAGAGACTCACGGCAGTGCAACATCGACAGGATCACTGTCTGACACCTCCATAGTCGGAGCGGAGGCATCGCGATCCCACACGCAGCAGAACATCATAGCTGAAGCAGGAGATGTGATGGATGGATGCATCCAACAAGTCTCGAAATGCACCAATGATCCACGGACCACGAGGAGCCTACAAATACAGCCCCCTCTCCCCCAAGCACTCCAGGCGAGAGCGTCTGTCTCATGTTCCGATAGAATATCACAAAGTGATAGAGGTTATCCATGGATATCATTATGAAATCTCTACTTGTACTAGCTACAAAGCCTCTCAAACACGAAGCGGGGTTCTTGCAACCAGTATAGACAATGTAGCTTGAGCCACGCACTCGAGGCCGCTGCTTTACCTAGTATGTAGACGAAAGAATAATGGACAGGCCGGGACACTTGCTCGTCTCAAGGCGCTGGAGTACAGGGCAGCCCGTAAGCGAGGTCGCCAGCCCTGGAGCCCCGGAGACTGCGGGGCCCCGGAATCCTACTCGCGCTTGGCAGACTATCTCTCACGTTGCGCTCCTCTACAAGCAGCACCTTATCCATTTGCATCCAAAAATTGTGACATGGGCCACAAGAGATATTTACAAGCATCGAGGCGCTCTGGGCCTCGGAGCAAGAAAGGTTTGTCTCACCCAACTCTATCGCTCCAAAGAGTCCTAGTTGACAAAGAAAGGGTGGTAAAAATTCCAACCGTACACTTGTGGGTCGCCTAAATCTTGCTAATATTTGCACCAGTCTAACATGTCGAGAGCGACATACTCGTTGCGACGAAGGCAAGCCTATCTGCGGCAAATGCGTAAAGGCTCGGCTTGTATGCCGACAACCGGATTTTGTCGCCTCCAAATGGTCTTTGTCAGACGCAAAAGATCCATCACTAGCTTGTCAAGGTTCCTGGGTCTCAATTTGCTACCATTTTTGTCAGGGGTTACTGACCATATATCACAGATGTCATCTTTCAAGTGACCGGCCCGCCCAACACTGCCCATGAGTCCACTATACGCTATTCTCAAAAAAGGCAAAGCTCTGCTCTGGGCCATGTCCATGGTGAATCTGAGACTGGAATCCTTCATTCAAGCTGGAATCATGATAGCCTTGACTCTGGCAATGGTAATGATCACACCGAGCGCACGGCTCTCCTCCCTCCTCTGTCTATCATCAACGCGGAGAGCGCTCATCTCCTACAAGTTTATGAAAAAGGCATTGGCACTTGGATGGATGTATTTGATATGGATCTTACCTTCCAACGTGAAATCCTCAATATGGTTCCCTCGTCTCCTCTGCTTCTGAATGTTTTATGCGCCCTTGCCGCACGACAGCTCAGTCTCATTGAATCGTCGTCGTTCTGGTCGCCGATCGCAGAACGCTACTACAGCCAAGGCACTGGTCTACTAGCCCGCCTTCTGGACAGGTGCACCGAAACAATGGAGCTCGCAATCGTTTCCACTATGCTGCTGGGTAGTTATGAGCTCCTTGCCTTTCCGGGACCCGATTACCAGAGACATGTCCGAGGAGCAAAGACGATTGTTGATGCGCTTCATGTATCCAAATCAACCAATAGTCTCGCAAGGTCTGCCTTTTGGATATACGCCCGGCACGAGGTGGGTGAGGCTATTAACATGAGCTCGCCAACCAGACACGATCCCAAGTTGTGGCCTCGTCTTGATCCTTCGGTTTCTGTGTCTCGGCAAGATTCATATTGCAACGATATCTTGCGAATATGTGGTGAGGTTACTTGCTTTTTCTTTGGCAGCTCCGGGTCAAAACGGACCAAGTCAAGAGCAAAACAGAACTTCGCCCTGCATACCGACTTGGATAGATGGTTCGAAGCTTGTCCATCTCATTGGATGGGTGTGAAGTATAAGGATGCTGAGAGTTTTCGATATTGGTTTCCTTGGCCGAACTTTGGTATTTCCCTCAAAGATCCGACACATTGTCCGAGGGCCTACTGACGGCGAAATTCTAAAGCTGCGGGACTTAGCTTGTACCACTTGTCCAAGCTTTTTCTCTACTTGGGTCAGCGGGATTCCAACTCAGATTCAGAAAATGCTGAAGTCCAGGTATCGTTTCCCAAATCGCGCGAGCGGGCTTTCTCTGACTAGGACTAGGGGAGAATACAAACCTACGCAACAGAAATTATATTGATATCTCTTTCGAACCTCCCGGACTCCGCTCTTGTCGTGATAGTTCACCCCCTTTGCCACGGTAAGCTGTCAACTTCGAGCGCACTAAATACAACTTCATGCTGATTGAAGACAGCTGCAAAACATGTGAATGATGGTGGACTCCGAAAGGCAGCTGTGGCATTATTAGAAGATATCGAAGACCGCACCGGCTTCCACACCAGAAGCAGAGTTGAGAGACAGCTCCCTTCTCAGTTCACGTACCTCTGATGCCATGGATATATCAGGTACGGCATCTGGTTTTTGATTCTAATAGACCCGCCGATTATCAGGCTGATTTCTTTTCGCAGAGCGAATAAATTACTGCTTTGGGTAATATAGACGTGACTTGGCGTTCGGTCCCCTTTGCTTCACGTCAAAATTGCCAAAAAGGGTTAAACAGACGGCTGTTGATCTCTGCACCACACCGAGACCCAACCATGATGTAAATCCATTGTCTAACTGATTTGGCTGCTCTGATACTAACCAAACATTTCAATTGCCTCGCGACCCCTCAGGAGTCACATGAACGGTTCTGCCATGCGTCAACCTTTGCAGGGGTCCAATAAAACGCCGTTCTGAACACGCAATGCCTCAGCCATGCATTCGGTACTATAGAGATATTAATGTAGTAGAAACTTGAAATATTAGCAGGACTGAGTGAGGAATTCGAATTGCGCATGAGCACAGCGTGGGAATTATCTGGATCACTGCCATCTCTCCATTTACCAGGAGTTTCATCACAAGTACACATACTATTCTCTCAATCAGCCACTTAGGATCACCACCGGCTCTGTCCCATAACTGCAAGTCTTTATTAGCCAGGGTCAGATCTAGCAGCAAAAGGATTCAAAGTAATGCGTGGACCATTCAATGAAGCTGCATCAATTACTAGGCAGTGATACACGCTCAGGGCATGACCGAATGACTGCTACTGCGTCTAACATTCCCTAATAGGCAATTCTCGCGGGGCTACTTTATGCGATCTGCCACTTGAATCATTGGCATTGGCTTCGTGGCGCAGGCAGAGATCATGCCAAAGCAATAAGAGCTTATAAACCCAAGCAAGTTCTCGTTTCCCTCTTTCATTCTCTTCATCTGAGTTCACCCTTCATTACCCCAAGACAAATTCGACGACCAAAATGGAACTTCTCAAGCTTTTCATCGCTATATTTGTTCTTTATACTCTAAAGCCTTTGCTGGTCTACTTCTATGACCACAAAAAATTGCGACAGTATCCGAATCAAAACGTCCTATCCGGCATCACCAACCTGGCCTCCATGCGAGAAAGAGCGCGCAAATTCCGAACAAGAGAATTATACATTCAGCATCAAAAACATCCTGTGATCCGCGTTGCACCCAACATGCTCTCTTTTCGAGATGTCAGAGCGATCAAAGATATCTACGGCTTTGGGTCACCTTGCCAGAAGCACGAGATGTACCAACTCCAGAACGGCGAGGGACACATGAATATTCTGAATGTCATTGACCGGGAGGATCACAGCCGCAAGCGCCGAATGCTATCGCATGCCTTTTCCACCAAGAACCTAGAAGCTTGGGAGTACAAGATTGCCGATAAAGTGGAAAAGCTAGTGGCCCAGCTTGATAGGAGGGCTATGCCAGGAACAAGCGTAGGGCCACCGGATGACAACGTCGTTGACCTTCGATACTGGTTCAATCTCTTTACTGTCGATGCGATTGCAGATATCGCTTTGAATGAGCTGCTTGGTATGCTGGAATCTGGTTCCGATACCGTCAAAGTCAGTGTTTCGCACGGGGAAGATCGCGCACACCGTTTCATTATGGAGATGCACGAAGCAGCCCGGGTGAAATCGAAGATTATCGGCACTCTAGACTGGTACCACATTTTGAAAGGGGCTTCGAGAGTCTTTTCCTGCTACCGTTCGCAATGGAATTGTGGACGCAATGTCGGCCGCATTGTGAGCTGCTTGGCTGACAAGCGCCTGAGTCGATATGGCGAAGGTGAAAAGCTCGATGATTTTCTGAGCTGCCTGATCAGCGACAAACAGGGGAATTGCCGTGGATTGAATAGAGGAGAACTAGGGGCAGAGACGAGCATTCTACGTAAGGCATTCCCTTAACAAGAGTCAGAAAAACAAGCTAACCCCGATTCCTGCAGTTGACGCTGGATCTGAAACAACGGCCATTGCTTTAACTCATCTCCTTTACTACCTGATCAAAAACCCGGCTTGCTTTTTGAAATTAAGAGAGGAAGTGTCCGGTGCCATCACTGGGGACAAAGTGGCGCCCTACTCCAAGGTGAAGAATTTACCCTATTTGAAGGCCTGCATTGAGGAGTCTCTACGTCTATCACCGCCACTTCCACGGGGTCTGGAGCGTGTAACACCCCCCAGCGGAGCTCGCATTATCGGTGAATTCATTCCTGGAAATGTCGGTGTCTCGGTTCCTGCATATGTCGCTCATCGGGACCCGAACCTGTTCCCAGAGCCAGAAGCTTTCCTGCCGGAGAGATGGTTGAATAATGAGAATATTGGTAAAATGCGCGATGCATTCATTCCGTTCAGCGCGGGTGGGCGTGCATGTGTTGGGAGGAACATCACTATGATTGAGCAACAAATCTTGATGGCAACCCTCTTGCACCGCTATGACTTTTCTCTCCCTTCGCCTGATTGGACATTGCAGAATGAGGAGGCATTCAATCTATGGCCTGTTGAGCTACCAGTGAGGATTTGGAAAAGGGAGGTCGAAGTATAGCAGAGAACTATCATTTATTGTAATGTTTGGGGACCTTCCAAACTCATCTCATTAGCCTATTAACAGAGAAAACTGCAATAGGTGACACAGGTTCAGTCATATTTGGAGATAGAATTTACTCCCTTTCTTTCCAACCAGGTTGCTAGATATCTCTTCTTCATTTCCCTCTTTTCTCTTCTCTTCAACCATGTCAACCTAGTAATTTTGATACTGGCAAACACCATCAATCTTTCTTGGGTAATTCTCTAAATTATAACTGACCTCTAGGTTAGAAAAGAGAGAGAAAAAAAATATGTATTGTCGAAACTGCCGAAAAAAGTGGGTTATATGAGCTTGTCCTCGATGATTTCGAAGTTCATCGTGAGCTCCCCCACATTGATGAGCACCATCATTGACGACGGGATAATCTCACTTTGATACCACTCTGTCGAACGAAAAAGCTGTTTTGTGTTTTCCACTCTTCCTTCGGATCAACCAAATCAATATTATACCGGGACACAAGAGTTGCAATAACTTTGTACACCTCAAGAAGACCCAGATGTTTACCGATACAGATACGACTTCCGCCGCCAAATGACAAGTCAGCATTATTCATCAGACGAAGGCGTTGCTCGAATTCTTCCTCGGTTTCCAGTTTCTCATCGCGTAGCCAACGCTCCGGCCGAAACACGTCGGCATCTTCGCCCCAGACAGACTTATTGCGCGCGACGACGTAAGGGTTCAATCCCACCACACTGCCAGCCGGGATATGGTGTCCGTTGGGAAGATCAAGGCCTCCTTTGGGTACATATCGCTCCAGAAGCATTGCAACAGCAGGATGACATCTCATTGCTTCCCGAACAATGGCATTCAAATATGGGTATTCTCTTGCGTCTTTGTAGGACACTGCCGTTGGTGTCCCCTGAGAAGTTTCTGTTGAGATCTCGGATCTTAGGCGCTCCCAGACATGTGGGTGCTTCAGCGAGAAGTAGAGTGCTGCGATGAGCGTGATGCCTGTTGTGTCGGCTCCTGCAATGAGGTTGAACATGAGGTAAGAAACAATTTGCGTATCGTCGACCACCTCTGGATATTTTTCTTTCGTTTCGATGAATTTGTCAAGGAAGTCAGGCTTCTTAGGGTCATAGTTTTCGGTGTTGTTGTTCTGAAGCCGATCTATGAGATGCTGGATCGAGATGTTCGTGATAGGGCCGAAAGAGGGCGGCCCAAGCCGGTAAATGGGATTTTTGTCAAGGAGGTGGTCGAGGATTGGCATTTGGCCTACCAATGAAAAGTAGTCCATCGAAATATCTGCAGTCCGCAAGGCGTGATTGAAATCGCAGCCCTTTTCCAGGTATCCTATAGGCTGACTGAATAGAACCTGGCCAACAACGTCCCAGGTATCTGCTCAAGATCAGTCTGAATGCTTTTGTTTTCGAAAATGAGAGGTGCATCCACTTACAAAATGCAATCCATTCTCCAATGTCACATATTTGGGTGTGGTTTGGTGCATCGATAAAGTTTTCCTCCAATCGTTGACAGAAATACTCAATCATCACATCGATATGGGACTCCAGCGATAATATTCCCTTAAGGGAATAATGCATGGAGATAGGCCGCTTCTGCTGAGCATGGATCTCCGGAGTACATTCGCTGAAGAGATTATAGATGATTTTTCCATCGTTTTTGGCACTACTACCATGATAGAATTCCGTCTATTGCAAAGTGTCAGTAGAACTCAGGGTTGAGCATTAATTAGACTAGCCTTGAGGTAATCTTCTTTGGCGTTATAAATTGTCTTGATCAATTCCGGATAATCCAGGTCGAGAACGTTCGGCGCAATTCGCACCACTGGGCCGTACTTTTTGTGCAGGTCTTGGATCACTAGGTGATATTTTCCCTGTCGCACCTGAAACATCCGCCACAAATTCGTCCATCCTATACTTATATTAGCGAAAATCACGAAAAAGCGCCTTTAAAGCTTTTGAGGTCATTCAGGAATAGTATTCGCTTACTGGCGAGAAATGGTCCTGGAAACCGGCGTAGAGGGGAGGTCAAATACGATATCAAATACCAAGCAGAAAAAGTAGCGAGCAACACGTATGTGAGCCCTGTGACGTGATCCGCAATACCAGATCCCAGCATTTTGTGAGCAGCTCGTTAACCCTGTAGTTTGATGGCTGAACAGGGTGAAGAAAAAAGTGGTTTGAAATGAGGGATTTGTGAGGGGCTTGATGATTCCGTAGAAAAAGCAATATATAGTTATCTATGTACATATGTATGTACAAGGGTCACCTGGAATGAAGATCGTATACTATATCGGTGTTTTTTTTCGCTCCCTGTTGTGTTACCCCAAGATTGGGCCCGTGACCCGTGCATACTTCAATATCCTGCAGAATATCCTGCAGAATGACGGGATTTCGCTGTTGTTTCGTCGGTCTAGATGCGCCACTGACCCATAGGGTAAAGGATAACCAATGCCTACATAGGTATTGGATCATTGATTGCGGGTGCGCAGCCAATGGGTGCGACCGGGTGTTGTTAGTATATAATGCGGAGTTTGGGATAATCTCAGTCGTGAGATTATAGTGGTATTTTGGCCTACCTGAGTATGTGGGGGGAGCGTCCCGAGCCGTTCACCTTTATGAAATACACAGAGCTTCCTTGGAGGATATTTTTTGTTCTTCTGAATAGAGAATTTTAATGGTTATAGAATGTTAGTAGTTTTGAAAATTTAACAGTCCAATACTTTTAACCTTCCTCAAAAATATAACCGACCTCGGGACCCGTGGACGCTCTTTCAAGTTACTCAGCTGTTTTTAACAAAAAGAAGATTTAAATATTTTAATACCATCTTCTTACGGTTATAAAAAACCCCAAACTCTGGTAAGTTAAGGAACGGCACTGGGTCATCTGCGAGGTCCTCTATGCTGCATACTTCTGCCGATGCGTGCGGTATGTGCCCGACAAAAGTTCCAACATAGCTGACTAGGAAGCGTCGCAAACGCTAGAATGCACAGAAGGGGGGTCGCTGCTTGCATTTCCCCAATCGGCAGATCCAAGGGCCTTTCCAGCATCAGTGCTCTCATCAGCTCGGATCTAACTCTTGTCAGCACCGCCCACACGCCGTCACGACCGAAACCTACATAATTCTGTGGTGCGACAAAATGCCACCAGTCCTGGCTGCGGAAGGCGTTCTCCAATGATTGACTAGCAGGGTCGTTCCAGCCAGTGTTGCGAGTATCAAAGTTTGCATGCTTCGACCACGAAACATATACCTTGGGATGATCATTGTCTCGAACACCATTGGGGTCCTTGGCCTTCCCGGCATTCACTTCGTCGGTTGTGAGAGTATTCTGGATATCTCCCCAGGCTAGATTGCTATAGCCGCTATGCGCAGAAAGTAGGGCTCGGGACGGTGCCCACATATTGTTGTCGTCTCGGGAGTGGATGATCACCACGCGCTCCCAGTCACTAGGTCGAAGATTAGAACGGTCGGTATCTTCTCTGTACAAGGCATGTCAACTCACTAATCGTGTCCAGTATTTATAGCGCCGAATTTTGCGCCGTCTTTCTCATAGAAGACATTATACACCACGCGGACTTCGGCGTCATTGCATTTTTGATACGTGTAGTATATCGGAAACGCAGGCCCAGGGTTCCCAATCCCAACATCTGGATTGCGACAGTTACACCCGACGTTTGGATAATTGCACTGTGCTGCCGCGGGCGTCTTATGAGAGTCGTCATATACATCAGGTGTCTCAGGGGAGCCGCCAAATGCCCAAGTCGGATAACAAGGAGGCTGGTTCTGAGATTGACCAAAGAACCACATTGGCGCATAGCGATCTGCAAGATCAACGCCACCAGCGTCAAGGAGTGCATTCATCTCATCGTCCGTGATCTGAGTGGCGGCGAAGACATGGCTAGCAGCGAGAGCCAACGCGGCCCCCCATTTGAAGTGCATTGTTGCGTTGAAATGGGCTATGTCTGGCTTTGACTACGGGAATTATTGTCTTTAAACCACGATTTCAGCTTTCCCGGAAGGTATGGAAGTATGAGGATTGCGACCTATTTCCCAATTCGGTAAAGAGCTGCTAAGGGTCACATCGTGCGAGCGGGTCTGCCTTGGCTCCGGAGATGCCGCGTGCATGGGTCATCTTGTGGATAGGATTACTCCATTTTCGAGTAGCTTTTCCGTAAGTTGTCCATTGTCAATTGCAGGAATGGAAGACTGGTGGATCTGTGATAGATGTAAAACATGTCGTGCATGTTGTATTTGGCCCCCAATCCCTTTGTAGAAAGTGGTCCCCAGGTAATTAACATTAGTTTTGTTTTCTCAAATCCAGAAGGAAGTCCCAGGGCTGAAATATCTGGTCCATGCTATCTTTGGACAGCCAGTAGGTCTGTCCTGCATGGGTTCGATATTGCTATCTCCCGAGGCTGTGCTCAAGTGGTCCTGAGCTTGCGATCCATGTTGATCCTGATCCCCAGAAATACCACTATTCTAAAATGCCGATATTTCTGTAGTAGATACTGTGAATATCTATGGCCCAAGATCTGATCGACGTATTCTAGTAGCTTCCTCAGAAAACCAGACGGTCTGCAAAACAGTGTCATTTCATCTCTCATTTCATTTCTCATTTCATTTCTCATTTCATTTCTCATTTCATTTCTCATTTCATTTCTCATTTCATTTCTCATTTCACTTTAAACCCCTACTCCAACAACCGTTTTCACTCATGAAACGGCTTCTCATTGATCAACGCAGTGGCAACATCCTTATCATGACCAAAGATCAACCGAGCATTGTAGAGTCTCTGAAGTCTGCGAATCATATTCAGACTGCGATACCACGCGGTATGGTCTCTCGCCAATCCTCCATGCGGATGTCCAAGCTCATAGTTCTCAGCTACATGGAATTGATCTGTCGTCCAAATAAACGGACCATCATTGGCCAGATTCACCTGCATGATACACAGCCCCGGTGTATGACCAGGTGAGTGGTAGAGAACAATCCCCTGGAACAGATCGAGCTGTGACTCATTGAACGTGTTCCACTTGAGCTTTTCGAGAAGCATGTAATGGCCCAGGTAGACGCCCAAGTCTGCGCCGGTGGCAATTGCCCAGCAGGCGTGCTTGAATTCTTCTTCGTGGACATAGATGGGCACATCTGTGTCTATGAAGTGTTCTAGGCCTCCAGCATGGTCGAGGTGCAAATGACCGATTATGACGGCCTTGACGTCCTTGATGTCATTGCCGGTGGCCTTGATGGCATTTGGAAGTCTGTGGTTGTCGGAATATTCCACTCGAGGAAATACATCTGTTATAGGGGCCGGCCATTGCTATTATACCATTAGCGGCGACATTTACTGAATTTCATAGGGCGACGAACGACTTCTAGGTCCTCGGCGCACCCGGTCTCGTACAGAATGAGTCCCACTCCCGGGTACTCGATGAGAGCCGAGAGAAGGACCAAATCCCGGCGCTTGTTTGTCGGATTGATATCACTCAGTTTGCTGGCATTGGCACCCCGCAAGATCCTAGAGCGAGTTAGCCAGACTCTGGGGTCCTAGTCCCTTCTACAGACCATGATTCATCTGCCTGGAGGGTTCCCAGGTTGAGGATGTGCATCTTTGTCCCAACGGGACATTTGAATGCTGGGACAGCTGCTGATAGCAGCATAGAGGCTGAGTCGACGGTAGCCATCTTGATAGTTGAATAGTTGAAAGATGCATGTCGTCACATCTTACCGGACTGGAATACCGCTGGACCGAGTGATTTCTCCGCATCGACTCCAATTCCCGAGGTCCAGAAGTACAGTGCATTCGCCAATGAGATGGCAATTTGAACATTGGATTTGAACCTGAGCATGGTGTTTTGCATATGTATTTCTGCGATAATTGGTGAACTTTGGAATATGTCAATGTATACCTAGGTACCTAACGGTTATTCGACAACACTCCTGTGAAAATTGAAATATGCCTAGAATAGTCTACTGGTATGGCCAAGGATACGAGGAGCAGGCATTAGCTAGATAATATACCCGAATAATATACCCAACATGGAAAATAGTTGGGCATAGAGAAGTTGACAGCGAAGGACTGCTATACTCCGGATGACATCAGAGCCCCCCACTACTAATTTCTGCCGACTGCGCGACTTAACTCACCAACAACAAAATGTCCTGGTCACAGAAGAACTTCTCCCTTCCCACCCGCAGCCGCGGCTCCTACCTCATCACCGACCATGTCCTCCAAGAGGTCCCCGAGATCCGGGACTACAAAGTCGGCATGCTGAACCTGTTCGTGCAGCACACCAGCTGTGCGCTGTCCCTGAACGAGAACTGGGACGACGATGTTCGCGCCGACATGAGCGATGCCCTTGATCGCATCGCGCCCATGGACAAGAAGGGAAACCTATACCGTCACTCGGCCGAGGGCGAAGATGATATGCCGGTATGTATTCTGTGTCATCGAGTTTGGTCCGGCGCTGATCCCCACAGGCGCATATCAAATCTGCACTCATTGGCGCCTCGGTCAATATCCCCATTACCAACGGCCGGTTGGCGACTGGTACCTGGCAGGGAATTTGGTATTTGGAGTTCCGCACGAGTCGACACAGCCGGAAGGTTGTCGCGACAATCCAGGGCCAAAAGGCATGACTGGAGCGAGCGGAACGCGGGCAATTGTGATTTAGCTATGCATGCAATACGACAGATATAGGGACGAGTTGGCCAGAGTCGACTGCTTGAGCCCGATGATACGAGGTTATCGTGAGCTTTAGCTTGTAGTACAAACAATTTTTGAGGACTATATCATGATACACGATCGAAGGCGGGTCCATAGATCGATATTCTGTACACGGCCTCTGGCCCAAATCCAATTGAAAAACGCAAAGTGTTCAACGCCAATAAAGGAAATCTCATGCTAGTGGTTTATCGCTGCTCCAGACCACCTTCTGTCACGCGCTGGGCCTCGTTGACCTCGGCGGCGTCACCGGTGGGCTCGAGAGGGTAGCTGGTGGCGGGCAGAGACTTCAGGTAAGCGCGGTGGTGCTCGTGGGCCTAGAGAAAGGGTCAGTCATTGTCCGAGAAGTCGGCGTATAGAGTGAACATACGAAGGGAACACCGCAGTATCCACAGGTGGCAATCTCGGGCTTGTCGGTGTTGATGAAGACCTTGGGGTGACCGAGAGGGCCACCACCACCGTCACAGCTGACAACCTTGGACTTGGTCCAGCGGACGTGCTGTCTGTGAATGAGGTCGATAGCGGCATAAGGTTGCGGCTAGACAAATGTCAGTCGGCTATCAATTGATAATGCGCAATACAATTGTGCCCAAGAATTGTGCCCAATGCGTCTGGATAATCATACCTGGGTCTCCATGATGGTCTGCTCAAAGCGAGGACCGACCATGGCCTGCTCGCGCGGCTGCTGGTTGGAAGCCCAGGTGGTAGCGCGGTTGGGGGCCTGCATGCTGCGGATACGCTCGCCGACCTCGGGAGACTCCTGCAGGGTACCATCGAAACGGCCGAAGGAGTCGGTAGGCTCGGCATTGGTAGCAGAGACATTGGGCGTGGGCTTCCGCGGGGTCGGGTCGTTGGCCTGGATGGGGTTCTCGTTCAGGCGAGGCACGGTAGAGGAGTAGGCGCGGACGGCAAAGCGCGGGCGAGCCGACGCAAAGGTCGCGAGTCTGCGGCCACAGGACATCATGCTGGGCGAGTATCCACGGGTGGGTTGGGGAGGACGAAAAGGGCGTTTGGCAAGGGACTCGGGACCAGGTTCAAAGGTCGGCAATGAATAATCCGCGAGGTGTGGTTTGGCGGATGCCCACCGCTTACTTATTATGGGTAGCTCCACCCTGCACTTGGGTTTCTGCCGCTTCATTTTATTTTGCGCTTCGGATGAGTGACTTTCTTTCTACAATTGAAGTGGTCATCTTGTGTCAACTGTCTGTTCATCATGTCTGGGTCCTCGTCTCCGGCTGGAAAGCCTGACAAGACAATGTCAACCAATTTGTTGACGATGAAGGTACACACGATCCAGCTCAATGCATGATTACAAGCTAATATCATATCACAGTTTATGCAGCGTGCTGCAGCTTCGAAGGAAGCGGCCTCCAAGGAAGCAGCCTCCAAGGTCATTCCACCCTCGTCTGAAGACTCCAAGGGTCGCAAGTCTAAGCGCCCCCGCTTGTCCACCGAGGCTGAAAGCCCCCGCAACTCCGATATGGATGCAATTGCAGCGGCGCTGGCAGCCGAGGAAGAAAAGCGACAGCAGGCTGTCGCGCGTGCCGCCGCGGAAGCGGGTGAGACGCATTGGGTCCTGGATGTTCCTGCTGCACCACAACGCAGCTCCCAGCCTATGGTAATGGCGGCAGACTCGCTAGATGCAGACGACGACGATTATTCTGGTGGTCGGCAAGCATTTGGCAACTTCAAGCGCAAGGAGAAGAACGTGAGTTCTTCTTATCCCACACTGGGCTAGTTCACTGATATTTCCTAGCCACCACCACCTCCCCCCAAGAAGGACGAGAAGAAATACCAGAATGACGATTATGAGGATGATGAGATCGTCAACCCGAAGAACGCGTACGAGGTTGCAGCAAATGAGAAACAGAAGAAAACCGCCAAACTTCACAAGGAAAGAGATGACGAGTATTGGGAAACCAAGAGACTATCCGGCATGACCGGTCTCTCTGGCAATAACGCCCGAAAGATGGGAGCACCAACCCCTGAAAAGAATAAGAAGAAGAAGCGCAAGAGTCGGTAAACGGCTGGCCCATGATATTGGAAACTTTTGAAACGGCATTTAGCGAAGCATGAATCACGGCGTTTTTGGATAATGCAATTTCCGTTTAATAGACAAAAAACCAGTACAATTTTGTTCACATATGAAGACCTGTCGTAAGCAGGGTCCAGCACCTAGTATAGCTACGATATGTACAACGCTGCAAGACAACGCCACAAGGCGTCTCAGATCTAAGACAGCCTCAAAGTTTCGCCTTCTCCTCCTGCTTCGACCTCTCCCAGCCCTTCTTCGTCGCAAAATTAACCACCAAATTCCAAGCCGCAACTCCAAACCCAACCGGCGGCGCAACCAGCAACGCCCAAGCCCACCACCTAGGACTCGAAGCCGCAATACTAGTCATAGCCCTCTTAACCGCAACCTCCAACTCCGCCTTATCAGCATCATTCCAAACAACGACACCCCTCGCCGTAGCCGTGCCCCGGAACTCCGCCTGCGTCGCCTTCGTGCGCACATCACCCTGACTGCGGACACGGTTCTCCGCATCCTCAGCAGTGAGATGAGCGTCGCGGGCGCGCAGTCTGGCCATCTGAATCTCCGGATCATGCACACCGACCACAATTACCGTGCCGCAGATTAGATCCATGCCACTCTCGAACAACAATGGTACGTCCAGCACAACAGCCCATTGGCCCCGTAGGTAGTGGTAGATAAGGGCTTTGTAGACTTCCCATCGGACGGCGGGGTGGACGATGCCGTTGAGGACTTGGCGGTCGCGTTTGCGCTCTTCCGTGCTGCCGAAGACGCGGCGGCCGAGCGCGGGCCGGTTCAGCGGTTTGCCGGATGGGTTGGAGGCATCTTCTAGGAGGAGGTCGGGGGTGCTGGGGCCGAAGTAGTTGACGATGGCTTTGTAGCCTGCGGTGCCGGGTTCGACGACCTTGCGGGCTAGAAGGTCTGCGTCGATGATGGGGAGAGAGTAGGGGGGTGTGGAGAGGATGGTTGAGACGGTGGATTTGCCCGTTGCTATTGAGCCTGTGAGCCCGATGATCAGCATTTTGGTGGTTGTCAGAGTTGAAGTTGGATTTGCGAATGCGGGGAGATCATTGAGAGCCTCGGCTCCGCAAATGGATAAAAACGGATTTGGCTTGTGTTTTTCTTTGATTCTTGGCGCCGTCTACGGGCTTCTTTGCTACGTCCAAAACGCCTATGTACTGTACTTCATGGGAGCATATCTCAGAGATCCTCCATGTGGTCCCCGTAACCTCTCCGTACTCGTGGCAGATGTGTCAGGATACCAACAAGTATATGGGGTGATCCATACAACAGCCCTTTGGGAGCATTGGCGTGCGAATTGACTCCGCAAAGTAGCGCGAGGTAGCACAGGGCGTCGGGTGAGGTGATTGATTCGTCGAGATCATCGCGACTTTCAACTTTCCGGCAGCCCATGCGTGGGATCTTGTTCTTGGCCCTTCCATCCAATCTTGGGCCAGCCTTTGGGAAGGGATGAGTACGGTGGCAAAGCGTAGCGGTCATCGCAGCCACCCTCCCACGGACAATTGAGATCACACAGTCCAAACACCTTGCAATAACATTCCTTCGCATTGGGACAATGCACAGGCTTCATTCCAAAGATCACTGGAGTTAATGTTAGCATTTCATCTTATTCGGACCACAGAAGACACTTACTATGCCACGAATATTCCATAATTCGTCCGCTCAGATCATCTGGCAGAGGGGTATTTGACAGCCATGCGCGGTAGCGCTCGTAGTCGAGGCGCGGTCGCTCTAGGACCTTCGCGCGGGACACGCCAAATTGCGCGCAGCATGACACGCCAACCTCCTCGGGCACCGGGGTGTTCGGGAACAGCTCCATGAAGCCAGTTTTGTAGTATTCGCCCGCGTGGACGGCGCTACGGTGCGTATCGGTGAGTGGATGGATCTCGGTCGGACATCCCAAGGTCCACACGCAGCGCAGGTTGACATATCCCTGCTCTTGTAGATATGGGACCTGGAAGTGCTGGAGCGGTGGAATGCCGTCGTAGTATGGATCGTCGTTGTGCCACTGGTAGCGCTGGGAGTGGATAAACAGCATAGATTCCGGCAAATTATTGTAGTTATCGATGATGTATCTGATTTTGCGACTCGAGTCAGTGGGAGGCTACTCAAATGTAGCGCGATAAACTCACGAAAGATAGACCATTGACTCGCGTCCTTTATTGTACGCCACCGTCAACGGTGCGTGTTTGTCGTCTACGACGTAAATGCTCTTGGACCAGTCGGGGAAGTTCTGTCGCAGCCACGACGTGTCATCCTTCTTCATGCTGGCCACGACCATGACCTTTTGGCTAGGAATCAAAGGATGAGCCAGCTCATCTGTAGGTTTGGGGGTTGTCGCAGCGCCATGTCGATCGGCGTAGGTGCCAGTCTCGGGTTTGACAGGGAGCTTGGTGTTTGCGAAGAAAAGCAGATACAGCGCGATGACGATGAAGATGGTGAGGAGGATAGCTTTAATTCGACTGCGTCGACGGGGACTCTGGGGTCCACTGGGAGCGAATAACATGGTGAAGGGGGCACGATGCCCGGTGGTCAGGTCATTGGGGTTTGCGGAGTGTCGAAAGGGAGCTGAGGCCCGGAGCTTTGGTGATCCGGGGGAGGCTCAGCCCGGAGTTTCTTTCGCATTTTGAATTCTCGGGTTTCGCAGTAGTTCATTTTCATTCAATTCTGGCACAGTGCATACAGAGTCTCTTATATTTTTTACCGGAGAATATGCGCACATGCAATAACAAGTTGGTTATCAGTGAGCTTTGTGACAAACACAACAAACAGGGATCTACAGTGGACATGTCACTGGAAATGCAGCTCTGGAGCACAGGTGCAGTCTTAGACTGGCTTACCTAGGTGAGGACGGAGTATTTTCATTGGTACTGTGTACTCTATAGCTCCTCGTCTCTTGTTTTGCTTTGCTGGGGATGATAGGTTTTTCTGATTGGAATTTACCTACCTAGGTAGGTAGTTCATTGGCCTCTAGGGCTCAGGGATATATTTCGCTTATACATCGGAATTAACAGCCCAAGAGACCTCATAAGATCTTTTTGAAGTCTTTCCAAGGTTGTTTGATTCTGCACTGAAAAACATGTGGTTTTACTCCACAACCTTGATGCAGACCTTACCAATATGGCTGCCAGAGGTAAGGTACTCAAACGCCTTGATGGTGTTCTCCTCCGAAAAGCTAAACTCCTTCTCAACAGGGAGACGGAGACCCTTGCGAGAGACAAATCGGGCAACTTCCTGCAGAAGCTGGGTAGAGCCAACGACAATACCACGGACAGTAGCTCCCTTAGCGAGAGCCATGCTAGCGACATCTGGCATCTCCTTGGCCTGGGAAAGGAAGCCGATGACGGAAACGTTACCGCCCATCTTGACCGAGTTGATGCTTTCCGCGATGGTGCCCGAACCACCGTTCTCGAGCACGTAGTCGACACCCTCGCCGTTGGTGATTCTCAAAACCTCCTTGGACCACTCGGGGTGAGTCTTATAGTTGACTGTATGGTCTGCGCCGAACTTGTTCTTGACAAACTCGAGCTTCTCATCGCTTGATGAAGTGACAATGGTAATGGCACCGGCGGCCTTGGCCAGAATCAATCCAGTGATGGAAACACCACCGGTTCCTAGACGGTTGTTAGCGAGATGGTCTCAATGTTTAGGCCAGCAAGATTGTCATTTACCTTGACACAGAACAATCTGTCCGGGCTTGAGGGGAGTGGCAGCGTAAAGAGCATTCCATGCAGTAACACCAGTGCAGACCAGAGTGGACCATTCGGAGAAGCTCTGAGGGGAATCCTTGGGGACCTGGACGACTGCAGCAGCAGCCACCGTGATGTATTCACGGAGCACGCCGTCGACAGGGGCACCATGGCCATTCTCCCAGTTCATCTGCTGGCCATAAAGGTTGGTGGGATCGAAGGTGCTGATCACATGGTCGCCCTCAGCGACGTTCTTGACACCCTCGCCGACAGCAACAACCACACCGGCAGCATCGGAACAGGGAACGACGTTGTCCTTGGTGGGGAAGGGATAGAGCGAAAGAGCAACGCCAACATCACGGTAGTTCAAGGAGACGGAATGGACCTTGATCAGAACTTCGTGCTTGGCAGGGACAGGAATTGCTTCCTTGAACGCCTTGAAGTTGCGGATGGAGTCCCGCTTTCCGGGAATGCGAATGACGGTTTGCTGGGTCATTTTGATCGATGTAACAAGATTGGCTTGGTGAGAAGTGAGATAGACGATGACACTGGCCCTCGGGGGCTCTTATATATTCCAGGTTACTTCATTCTGTGTCCTGTTCCGGCGATATCCCAGTGGAAGAGTCAATTGGTAAGATACCTTAATTCCAAGGTTGCCCAGGCGTACTTGCGCCACTCCACTGCTTCTCCAACATCACTTCTCCATTTCTCCACTCTCCACTCTCCACTCCCGAATCAATGGAGATATCCTACCTAGGTACTGTACGGAGCAATAATCTTGGAATGCTGCTGATAACCTGCCACTCACACTCGGAGATATATTTCGATTTGTCAGTCCGGAGCTTTTAATGGATTGCTCAGCATCTTGGTCTTCCAAGGTTGTCCAGGTCTCCGAAGAGCGGAGGATTATGGGTCCGAGTTCTTCGTCAACTTGGGAGCAATTGGCTTTGTGGATACATGAAATTGTTGGGCTTGGTGATAGCTAGACCTGCCTACCAAAATATCATTCTGTAGCACGAGCATACTCCATCACACATCTAACACTCATCTCCTACGGAAGCTCACGCATATCCTCTCGCTCAGTGCATTGAAGTGAATCATAGCCTTTCGTCAAGATCGACTATGAACCCCAAAGACAACACTATTGTGGTATTTGCCCCCGGAGCCTGGAGCGCGGGCAGTGCCTACGATGAATTCCGCGAGTTATTGACCCGGAGAGGAATTGCGTCTTTCGCCATGGATCATCTCACCAACGGGGCCGAGCCTCCTAACAAACGACTGAGTGATGACCAGGAACGCCTTCGTCGGATAGTCAGCACATACGCAGATGAAGGGAAGCAAATCGTGCTGGTTGGTCATTCTTACGGCGGCATGGTCATCACGGCTGCGTCCTCGGGACTGGGCCTCGAGGAACGAGCAAAAGCGGGTCAACCCGGCGGCATAAAGGTCTTAGTCTTCATGGCTGCCTTCGTTACTCCGAAGGGGAAATGTCTCAAGGATATGATTGGGGGACAACTTTGGCCTTGGATGCTGGTTGATGTGAGTTACGCTTCGCAAGATCTGGAATTGTGCTAAAATACGTCTGCAACAGGGTGATTACGTGCGCCTTGATCCAAATGTGGACCTTGTACAAGACGTGCCCGAGGAGACAAAAGCTAAGAAAGCGAAGCACGCTCTTCCTCATATCTGTCTTCGCGCGTTTCTCGACCGGGCCACTGAGGAGCCGTGGCATACTATTCCGAGCGCTTACATTGCCTGTGATGAGGATATAGCGCTTCCGGCTGCGATCCAGGACAACATGATCGAGCTACTACCGAACCCGCGAGTGTTCCGCCTGCCCAGTGGCCATAGCCCGTTCCTTAGTTTGCCGAACGAGACTGCTGATATCTTGGAGCTTCTTTGTAAATAAATCTCGGCAAATTCAGTTGGCAATCCTTTCACTGCTTAGATCAGGAAGAAAATTTTGACCGGATGTGTAAACTTCTGTTAAGCTGATTTGGCCCTTATATCCTGATGGCAACTGATATTCTCATAAGGACAAGAAAGGCGATCATTTCTTGAGGCTGAGCCCAAGAATCTCTGCCTCGACGTCGATGGTTCTATCGAGATCTTCCAAAAGTTCATCCCTTGTAGGATTCCACCCTAACAATTGTTTGGCACGCTGACTCTCCCCGAGGCTTGTTGAGCTCATGTTCATCTGTCCACCTCGCCAGAATTGATGGACCGTAGCATTGGGTAGCTCCACAGGCTCTGGGGACGACAAGAGGCCTTTCTGATAGCCAAGTTCAGCGATGCGCCTGATCACATCCCCCCAAATAAATTCACCCCCTTCAGCAAAGTGATAGCCCTTCTCGTTCCATAATTCGACAGGCTGGTTGCTAACAGCCGCCTCAGTGAGCAGGATGTACAATACAGATATATCCTGCGTGTGCACCTTGTTCCACTTGTTTTCGTTCCCGTTGATAGTAAATGCTTGGCCGAGTTGGAGCACTACATTCAAAAGCCGAGGAATCTGGATCGAGGTGGTGAATCCCGGGAACCGAGACGGTCCATATACTGTGGGTGGACAGACGATTGCGGTTCGGACCTTCGAGCGGTGCTTGCGGAATCCGTCCAGGACGGCCAAATCCACGTCACGGTGAGCTGCCCAGTTTGGGAGAATGTTGTCGAATCCTGTTGGGTTTGGGTTGGCTTCGGATGGACCTCTCGTCAATTCCTCGACACCCTCCATGTCATTGTAGCGACGGGGCATGAATTTGCCCCATGTGGATGGCTGGCTTTCCATCTCCCAAGCGATGATCTTTGCGCCGGAGGTGTGGATTAAAGTGCCAATTTCATCTCGCTGTGAGATTCCACGGACAATGGCCTCTGCAGCGGGAAGATGGTCACAGTTGGCAAAGTCTACTCACATTAGCCAGGGGTTCTGCGTTCGGGAAGTATACTCTTCCAATCTCAGCTTGAACTTACTCAAGACAACATCAGCGGCTTTGCTCTCTCTTTCCAGAAGGCCGGAATTTGCGAGAGACCCATGAACAATGCGGACACTAGGGAAATGCTCCTCAACGATCTTTGCCTTGGTTGGGTCTCTAATCAACGTGGATATCTCCCAGTCCGGATGCTTCTGTGTGATGCCAACCAAATAGTCACCCCCAATGAGCCCTGTTGCCCCCGTGCTGAGATCTGTTAGCCAGGACTTTGACGTTCATCAAATCCATCTGGGAATCAACTTACATGAATATCTTGGGAGCCATGGACGCGAGGCTCTTTGAAGTATGATGTGTGGTGTACTTTAAGTTTGATGCAAGAACTAGATGGTTCCTCGTCCATACTTATTCGTTTACACTGGACTCCGGAGGGTTTTCGCGGACGTTACATGGATTCCCGGCAATTGCTTAGGTCCATCCTCAGTCTCCAAAGCCCCACATTTGGAGAAGTGGGCCTAGATACTTGCCTCACTAGGACTCTATACTATAGAGCCGAGAGTATGACTGAGAGTAGCCCGGGGTTTTCTCGTCTTTTTTACAGACCTCGGGAGCAATATTCACCAATAATAGGTAGTATATGTCAGAGAAATCAGAATATCCTCATAATCCAGCTCTGCTGAATATAATCCGCCACCGAGTCTGATCACAAGTCTTCCTGCGTGAACTGCAATGAATTACTAGGTAGAAGTGCGGTGTTGTCGGACAGGAAATGTCTTCCAACGATACCCTCTACCTAGGTACCCTCCTGCTGTGAGCACCTGGTCAGGTGACCATGTTTTACCACTGGGCGGATCTATAGCTCGCTCTCTCCCTCTCTTTGCTTTTCCCTTCTTCACCTATCTGAGTGGATTTCCATCACTTCTCTCTCACCTCTCTCTTCCACTGGGCATCAATAGATGTATCATCACCTCCTGATTGTTTCTCGCACTCACCCCGAGCGAGCAGAAACTGATTTGCCTTGACCCGGCCATCTTGACCAAAGGCCTACTTTGATGAGCAAGTGGACCTCATCGCCATGATGACCACCATGAATTTAGAAACACCTTTCTACGCGCTTCCACGGGAGCTCCTCCTGAATATCCTGACACAAGTGGCTGACATCGCTACGTTGCGCTCTGCTATCTCTTCCTGTCGGTATCTTCGATCCGTGTTTTGTGGATCTGAGACTCTCGTTGTTCAGAACGTCCTGAAGAACTTTATCGGCGTCGAAAGAATTCATGATGCCGTGACCATCGAGAGTTTGCGCCTAGCGTCTGATTCTTGTGTGCCTTTGAGAGAGTATTTTGATATCGAGCACTGCCTAGATCTGCCAAAATGGAGGCTACAGGAAGTTCATCATGTGAAGCAGCTACACGTCTGCGTGCAGTACTTTTCACGAAGCCTCATCGCCGAAATAAAATCAGACGATGAACTCCAAAAAGAGGGATTTACATTACAAACTGAACCCTCCAGTGCAGAATTGTCTCGCATTGAACGCTCACTATATCAACTCGAGGCACTGTTTCGCTATCTGAATAGCAAATGTGACCATAACGAGGCGATGGAGTCCCGAATCACTTATTTCCTATCTCACTTTTGCCCGTGGGAAAATGAGCAGCTATGCTGTGCATACGACCATCTGAGGAGAGCTCTATCCCAAGGTATTCGAACAAGCATATAATCAGTCCTGTCAGAAGGTTCCATACTAATGATGCATTATCTACTCCCTAGTCATCGATGGGGTATGCCTGAATGATCCGAGATGGATCAACGCCATGGCTATAGCAGACTTAACTCCTGAGGACGGTGTCATTCAGACTTTTCTTGCCAAGGGATTGATTTCTGCGCATGCTGCTGTCCAGGCGGAGTCATTTGAAAGGCGCAAAGAAATTTTAGGGTCGCCCTACGACAATTGGTCTCTGCCGACCCTTGAATCTGGGAGGGTTCCTATGCTCTACGAGGCTGAAGATGAAGAGTCGTTAGAGGCGGAGGAGTTTATTTATCGAGCTTTCTGGCCGGAAAATGACACTGGCCCCGAGCATGCCTGGCGCTGGGCACATCAAAAAATAGGCCCAGAAGAGTTTTTTCCCTTTGATTCAACCTACTCACTTCGCAAGTTTGCGTATGTCGTTTGGGATATGGATCGAATTTCCGCTCTCGACATTTTCAGCCAGCCCTGGGAACCCGAGGATCCAACCAAACTTCATGCAGCCAGGAGGCAGCGCATAGAGCAACTGAATCAGAAAATATTGGATAAGATTAGCAAAATGATTTGAGAGCGTCAAGCTGCGCGGTCTGTCGATTTGTGGATACGTTGACCTCGGGACACTATCGTGGACTGTACCTTTCAGAGACACCTTCCAACCTTGAAAACACTACCTAGTAGTACTAGGAGTTTGTGATGCATTTTCCAAGGTTATGATAAGTGATCATTCATTAGAACAATCAGGAACAAATCTACAATTTTTCTTGCCGATCCATTTGGAAGAGCCAAACCCCTCATGCATCACGCGTTCCTCCTTAATCTTTTGGCGATAGGCCTGTCATCAAAGCTCTCACTCATAAGGCGGGGCATTAGGGCTCGCCCGGGCATCCTCTTTTACTGCCTGCTCTTCAAGCTGTGCCCAGATGAACCTTCGACCGAACTCTCCTGCAGATCCTGCTAGATGGCATTTACCACAGCCTGTCCCTCATCATCTTCTTGTCTCAACGTTTCATCGATCATTGTGTTTGTGAGGTTACCCATTAAATGGTGAAAGCCTCCCAGAGCGTCGTGGATGCTATTGTACTTAATCAATCTGGGTTCCTCCGTCACCGTGGCTTTTGTGCCTATCACATTTAGGTCCGTTACACCATTGATGAAGTTTTAATCCGCTGCATACTTCAGACATTCGGTAGCGTCTAGACGTGGACTTTCGTGGTCCGGTCGGAGTGCCTGTATCTAAGAGCTACTCGCAAGAAAGAAGAAGGCTAACTTGGAAAAGCCATGAAATTGATTGCTCAGAAGAGAGAAGAAAAGAAGAGCAAAGGACTAGGTAGGAACTATGGAAGAAAGGATCACTATGTGACCAACATGTGATCCAACTGTGACAACAGGTTCAACAAGATTCTCGGTAGGAAACTTCATTGGCGGATGCGGACTCGGCGTCGTTCATACATACCACTAGGCTGGGTAGACTCGCCGTCCAGTGGTGCAGCCATATCTTGGCCGTTTGGTTGGTGCGCTCACTTTGTCCATCGGCTTGGGCATGATATGCTGCCGTGAAGAAAAGCGCCACGCGCAAGGCGTTGAACATGGATTTCATGATGGATTTGGGGTCCCGATCAGAGATTCACTGTATGCCCCAGTCGGCTAGCTGAAGTATTGCAAGTCCACGGGTACCGCTAGAGCCCAGTCTTTACTTGACTTGTCTTCTTTCCTGGTATGGCTCCAACACGCTTGGAGAATTTGCAGGTGATAAATACCAGGCCTTCGATTTTCAGCAAAGCGGGCCAAATTTGCATTGCATATAGTAAACTGCGTTCACACTCGTTCTCTTTCCCCTTCGGACGCACTTACTCTCCCTCCATCGGGCCCAAGAGCGGCGAGTCTTCGGCGTCCTCAAAGTCGAGGCAGCCTGCTTCAGTTTGTCGGGGCTTAGTCCAGCTTCCCAGCATGACACCCCGGATTTCTCCCCGGCGCTGTGCTTGTATCGAGGAGAATTGGGTCGAAAAAGACTCCGTGATTGCCGAAGGTGATAACATAATTCCGGTCACATTTCGTATAAGAACTGCGTGGCAGTTTCATCACTGGCTACCAGGTGGAAAGCCCACCATTGGCAAGGTGTGCCGGATTTTGGAGATGCAAAATGCCATCTGTTGAGCAGCCCAGCTCACATCAAAGCTGCCATTTTCGACAGGGACAGTGTCTGAGCTTGCTCGTAGGTCGCTTTCACTTTGTGGCAGTTCCGCCCGTTGATCATCTATACCCCAGATATCGTTTGCATATAGATCATGTAAGAATGAAGGGGCTTCAGCAGTGATCGAGAAATTGCCTCGCCCCTCTCCAGGACAGTGCAATATGCGAGAGATTGGGTTCTACCAGATGTCAGATTAGCATGAACATGAATAATGTGATTGAGTAAGTGAGTAAGTGACCTCGGGAGTAAGTAAGTGAGTGTGTGAGATAGAGAGAGAGAGAGAGAGAGATTGGCCAGTACATTTTGGGATCATTATGAACAAAGGATTGCCTCTTTCATCTTCCACCCTGGACGTTTACATATTGCTGATCACCATCTTTCCAAAATGCTTTCCTGACCAAAAGTACTTGTACGCCTCCTTGATATCTTGCAACGAGAATCGCCGTTCTTCTAACACCGGCCTGATCTTCCATGCCTCCATAAACTTCATCATGCCTTCAAAATGAATTTGATTGCCCACTTCAATTCCACGAACAGTACAAGGATGGAGCAAAGGAGATAGCAGATTTGGGCTCTCTTTGTAGTCAACTCCAGTGACGAATCCAACGATGTTGATCTCCCCACCACGAGCAACGCATTTGAAACTTTCCCCGATTGTCCCAGGACCGCCGATTTCAACAACCTTCTGGCAACCCCCCTTGCTGCTCGCCAGTTCCCGGGCTCGAGAACCCCATTCAGGGACATCTCTATAGTTGATGACATGGTGCGCACCCAGGGACCGCAGCTTGGCTGCCTTCTCTTCTGAGGAAGTGGTGGCAATAACGGTAGCACCAAGCTTGATGGCGAATTGAATCGCAAATAACGATACTCCACCGGTGCCCTGGGTCAAGATGAAATCACCTTGCCTCAAAGGCGTGGGTCCAAGGACACAGTTCCAGGCCGTGAGCGCCGAGCATGGTAATGTCGCGGCCTCTTCATACGACAAGTACTCTGGCATACGCAGGAGATGACTCTCATCCCAAACTCCATGCTCGCAGAACGTTCCATCCATGTGGGTTCCTGGTACTTTTTGAAGGCTCGCTGGAGCTGGGCCATCCCGGAACCCGGGATAGTGTTGAAGTATTACCTTGTCTCCAATTGCAAATTTTGTGACCGAGGAACCTCTGCTGATTACCTCGCCGGCGCCGTCGGAGCCAGGAACTACCACGTGATCAGGGCATTTCCAAGGAAATGTTCCATTTGCAACTATAAATAGTCAGCTCAGACTGCCACAAAGCAAATAAGATGATCAGGGAGGCTGCATACTCGAAATTTCGGGATAATTCATTGAGCGCGAGTGATACTTCACAAGAACATTGGTTGGACCCAAATCTGGCAGTGGAAGGTTTTCATTCCATTCCAAAGCCGATGATCCATCATCGGGGGCTGTTCCATGTCGCTGCCAGCCATGCGTGGAGAAATTAAGGGGATACATTTAAGCAACCTGGTGTGAGACGTGCGAAGGAAACCAGAAATGGCTTGCACATTTATGTCGGGCCTCGCGTATACATCACGGAGTGCCAGTGCATAGGCATAAATTTAGCTCACTGATAGATCCTCGGTGATATTTCCAGCTCCGGGGCCGATTGATGATCAATCTGTTCAACTGTCCCCTCATGGCACTACTAAAAGTCTCCGGGGGTAGTTCTAGCAACCGGGGGCGTCTTCTCGGTTCTGTACTAACCACTTTGTACTGGACCAGGCTACCTAGTTACCCATCTGGGCAGACTATCCGGGATCCATGCAGATATTGGAATGTAACGATGATACCGATGTTAGAAAGCTTTCCACAGTATGAGCCTTGGAGAATGAGCTATTCGGGATCCACTCTGGAAAGCTAAATCTCCACGCCCCACTCTTCTCCAAATTTGGAGAAATCGTCGAGACGTCACTGATCCCGAAGACAATCCATCATTGTTAGCCTGACTTGTGATGTGACAGTTAGTTCTTGCTAGAAGTCCAGACAAATGTTACTAGGCCCGTGAGTAGTCCAACCTTGGAGGGTTCCCTAAGGCAAAAGTTCTTTTAATTTTACTACATATATGAAATGAGCAGTGCTTCCACTCATGAATATCGCTCAAACAAATAATCAAATCATTCGATCCACGTAACTTATTTCTCCCATTATCACCGCGAGACACCGGGCATACGAGCTATTCACGTTCCAAGCTTGTTACCCAGCCTTCGCATTATTAGTTCCATGGTTCAACTAGTTCTATCCTCTACTCAGATTCTCGTCGACTATACGGCCTTCCAACACTGGAAGTTTTGTTTGTTTTTTTTTTATATAATTACCCGACCATGGGACTCTACCCAGCTGTGAGCTTTCAAGATTTACTCCAACACATCCGGACTTGCATCAAGTTTTGCAAGATTCAGTGACGGCCCTCGAAAGTAGAGGTTTATCGACGCCGCAACTTTGAAAATTCCAGGGCTCCAGACTCTGGGCCTCCCCCCGGGCTAGCCTCCCAGGGGCCTGGCCCGCGGGCCCGGGCCCGCCTAAGTGATTGCTGAGTCATCTCGCCTTTGGCCGACGTCCACCCTTGAGGCCGTCGACCCTCTTTCCTGGCCGCTTGATGGACACCTTGAAAATGTCAACACAACCTGGCACTTCCCGCGATGAAGGGAGACAATTTAGCTGCACATATTGCGGGAGGGCCTTTCGCAGACTTGAGCATCTCCAGCGCCATACCAGAAGACGTCAGTACCGTCCGAATGCACGAAGACGATCAAACAGAAAATAACACTGTTTTAGATACAAATGAAAAACCATTCGCATGTAAATGCGGAGCACTCTTCTCTCGTCGTGATCTTTTGCGTCGTCATGAGCGTAGTCTTGGTCATCCTGGGGGTGAGAATGAGAGAACACAGATTGAAGATGACGATGAGGAATCAATGCAAATTCAAAACGAGTCTCCTTCGTTGCGCTCTCGTGATGGCTTCATGAGAGAGACTCGTTCTCATCAAGAATTGAGTTCTCTGCTTTATCAAACTCCTCACTCCACAGACTCCGCCGCCAGCGTACATCACCAATCTTTCCGGTATGTTACTCTATAGCCCCATTGGTACTCGGCACTTCGGGCTTGGGCATATCCCCTTTATCTTAGCATATTTTGATATTGATCAGGAACACGTCCGACCTGATACAGAACTACACTCCTTCGCTCGTGCCGACGCAAGGATCCATTGAAGCCGGTGAGCCTGACTAGCTTTGATCAATGCCTGGTGAATTTGAACTGGTAGCTGACTGCGCAAGAAACAGAAGAACATGAGGTTCCATACTCACCCATCGATGATAGACGCCGGCCAGGCGACGATGAATTTCCCGCCATATTCCCATCTCCACAGTTATCCTTAGGTGTGAATGTCCACACTTCCAAGATGCTCAGTGCGTCAAGTTTCTGACAATGTCCATCTAGTGACTCAACTTGTTCCGCAATGCGCGAATCCGAAAGTTACCACTGCGGACCGATCAAGACTACTCTTCTCGCTAGGTCGAGTCGACAAGTCGTTCCCTCATCCAGAATTACCCACCACTAATTCGTTAACGCGATACATTTCCGGATATTTCACTGGATTTTATCCCCATATCCCTTTTACTCACGGCCCAACATTCAAGCTTGCCTCATGCTCGCCAGAACTGTGTCTAGCAATGATGGCGCTTGGTGCAATAGACAGATTCGAGTTCACTTCGGCAATCAAGTTGTTTCATCTTTCCAAGGCGCTTTTGTTCGAGGGCAAAGAGCAGAGGGCGCATTCAGGGATGCAAAAAGAAACCGAGTCACCGAAGGAGAAGCGCACATCGCAAATACGGTTAATCGATGAGGTGCGATGTTTGCTCTGTCTCTCGCAATTTGCATCATGGCAAAGTGATCCAAGCATCAGGAATGAAGCATGCTTCCTACAGAGTGTTCTGGGACAGTCTCTTCGATTGAGCGGCCTAGAAGAGAGTGCTGAGGTTCAGGAAACGCTTGACTGGGAAGAATGGGCAGAGAAAGAATCAGAAAGACGCACAAAGCTATTTGCATTCTGCAGTCTTGGAGTCCAAAGCATTGCTTATGATATGCCCCCGTTGATTTGGTGCGACGAGATTAACCTAAGGTTGCCATGCTCTTGTCCAGAGTGGACAGCGCCAGATTCAACGACTTGGGGCCTCTTGAGAGAGACTGCAACGTATCAACAGGGGCGGTTTCGCGACACCCTTAGCCAACTGATAACCGGCACTAAATCACCAGATCATATGTTCGCTACTCCATCGCCGGTGGGAAATTATGTGCTGATGCACGGCCTGATACATAAGATCCTGTGGACTCGAAGGTCTATTTCTGACGATATATCGCGCACTACCTCGAAAGACTTTCAGTCAACTCTGGAGTAAGAAACTCGGTTTCTCCTTTTTTTACTTGGTAGTATTATCGCGTGCACTGCTGATCTATTCCTTTCGTACAGGTCGGCTTTACGACGATGGACTCTTTTATGGCAACAAACACCAGAATCAAACCTGGAGCCATTAGACCCCAATGGGCCGTTACCTTTCACGTCAAGTACTTTATTGAGTCTTGCGTACATTCGAAACTGTTCTGAAGTGTTTCAGACGAAAAACATCTTCACCTGGGCCCCAACCGAGATTGCTCGTTTGCTTCAGACGTCCATGCAAGTGGATCGCAAAGAGAGCTCGCTTCTAGCAGCATATCATGCAACTCATTTGCTGAATACCTTGGTCGGGCTCGGTGTCCAATACTTCAAACATAACCAAGCTGTCCTCTGGAGTGTTGAAGCCGCTCTGTGTGGCCTTGATTGCTCGATTTTCCTTGAAAAATGGCTTCGAAAGGCACAGGACACGATGCATGATTATCCTTTGTCTGGTATGTTTGATCTATCTCTGATACTTTGCAAAAGATTCTGTCTGGTTCTAACCAATGTCATCTTCCTTAGATCATGAAATACGTCTTATCTCTTGGATTCAGGACGTTGTTTACGAAGGCCTCTCGTCAACTGATGATGATTCTTTTTCCGGGAGTGCTCGACCTGCCCTTTTGCCAGATCAGATTATCACTGTATGGTCACATATCATGCAGGGTAACTCTCCTTTCCCGTTTATTAAGTTAATAGGCCAAGTGCTCGTTGAGTACAAACGCCTTTCGACTCGCCAGTGAAATTGCGGAAGACTATGTGGCAGTTAACAGTATAGAGGGAATGCCCTCGAATTCTCCTGGGCTATCAAGTCCATTCAATTTGCCAGCAAGTTGAGCCTACGAATATGACCTTACGAAGAGAAAGAACAGCTTTCAGTGAAAATTCAGTCATGAAATATAGATATTTTCAATCTACGGGTGCCTGCACCCTGGTTCAATCATGAAACCAGCCCTGGGCCACATCACTCGCATCCACTCATGTCTCCGAAGTACCAGAGATGTGCCGAAACACTGGGGAGCAATTCTCCCCGATTGCCCGACTTGGAATCAATTCCTTCCACAACCGTAACATCAGACGTGGTAGGGGTTCCTGAATTACCAGAGGTGACCCAATATTCGGGGCTGGGGTGGCTGAATCCAAAGCTGGTAGGTGGCAGGCGAGGAACGATATCATTCGTGTGGGTCACTCGCCACAGGCTGCCCTGCTCCGTGGTGTATGTCGCCAAGGCTTTGTTACCAAGCCGTGGCTCACCGTATGTATACTGCGGATTGTAAGCAAGAGACCAAAATTCATGGCTAGTACCGAGTATAGCTCACAAGTTCAAGAGATGTGCCTGCGTTTCTCAGTGAAGCGCTGGCAAGCGCTGCAACGGCTCCGCCGAAGCTGTGTCCTGTCACGACGACCTTGTATCCGGGGTATGTGGACTGCGCGGACTTCAGCTGCGAGGCCACATCATCTGCGACGGTTTCCCAGGATTCCCAGAACCCGGCGTGAGCTTCGCAGCCGCTGCACAGGGAGCTGACGTCGGTCAGGCCGGTGTTGATGTTCGCGATCCAGGTGCTGACGGAACGACTGCCGCGGAATGAAAGGACGAGAAGCTCGTTGGTCTTGTCGACGGCGAAGAATCCGGCGACATTTCCATATGAGCAGACCCTAACAGAAGAATGGCATCAGTGGGAGGTTTGTTGACTTGTGAGGGATGATCCATACCGGTCGAATTCCCACAGGGTGGTCGTCTCCGCGGATTGAACGGAAGCACAGTTTCCGATGTCGCAGGAGAGAGCATCACCGGTCGAATTGATATTGTTCGTACAATACGATGCCGCCGAGTACTCGGCAAACAATTTCAACTGACCGAGGACATCACTCGAAACGGCTATGCGTGGTCAGCATCTGCACGCTCAATAATCCAACCAGAGTGACCTACCTCTCGACGCCAGACGCGTGGGAGCAGCAACAGCCACCGCAGCAAGGGCAGCAACGCCGCCAATCCGACCAAGGAAGTGCATTTTCCAAATCCTGTACAGCTTCGAACGAGAGCTATCTAACGGCCTTGCATACCCAGACTTGCCACGCAGGCACAGTGCCTTATATACATACCGCAAGCCCCTTGTAGTCCCAATTCAAGCGGGAGGAATGTAGAAGCAGAACTCCCGTCCACAGAGCGGGGTCAGCAACAAGATGCTATTCCCAAAGTGAGCTCTTCCTCCGACAAGGCATGTGTTTTTCCCGTGTGACCGGTGGAATTCCGACGTGGCCCGCGTCGCATTTCTGCACATGGGCGCGTGGGGGGGGATATAGTTTGCGGAGAGACCAACCATCGCTCTCAGTGGCTGAATGGTTGTGAGCTCCGAATCCAAGCGGACAGTGGAGACAGTTTCCATCCTTCGACGGTCCCGCTCTGTGTAGTGTTCTCCGTACCTTGATGCACTTCCAATCAAGTTTATTCCTTCGTCCCAGCCCGGAGAATCCACTTCGCGCGTTCTCATGTCGCCAAGCCAGGGACAGTGAGGGGTTGCAGCGTCGGTGCCTTGCACGGATTCAACTTGCATCCCGTTAAATTCTCCGGCGTGAGAGCCAAGTCTTGTGAGTGTGAAGGATGTGCGCTGACTGCAGGCTGAGGATACATCGGGCGAGTGGACCTGCAGCTGTCGACATACCGAGGTATCGGGGGTTTGGACTCTGCAAGGGCTATTTTGCCGAATTATTGCCGTGGAGGATCCGGTTTTGAGTCCAACGATGCCGCTCCCATGGTTTTCTGCATTCGTGTCGCGGAGTTGGCCAAACAGAGTAGTTGAGCATCTGCACTAACCGGTAAGGGAGTAGGTCTGAGCAAGTGGGTGCTGTGGAGAATCCAAGCTTCATCTCCGATCAGATAAGAATCAGCCGGATCTCTTCAATGCGCACTTCCAACGCCTCGGAAGCTACAATTCGAAATCACTTCGAGTGGAACGGCGCATCCAGTTCTGTTAAGACAGAATGGCTTTGAGATCAACGTTGTGTGAAGCAGCCGGGATCTCGCCCGGGCATTACGGACTACGCAGATCTAGTGTTTCAAAAGACATACTTCAGCCCTAGCCGAGTCAAGAACGGAGCAATTGATCATTAGAGTTTCATTCATTCGTTGATTTGCTAATTCCAGCGCTGGAGGTTATGCCTCTGAACATGATAGCTAAGTACTTATTGCGGTCTACAGGGTGGGCTTTGGAAGCTTCCCTTTTCTAAGACGGCAATAAGATCCACTGATCCACCTTAACCCTGGTGAGACTCGATGGCCTGACCTTGCTGCTCCACACCAGACATACCACTGTCGGTACCCATATCGACATCGGATCCATGGGCGGGGGCGACGGGGCGGACCTGGGTACGGGGGTCGATCTCGGGCGACAGGGGAGTCACGGCAAGGACGCGATCCTCCTCATCGACCATCTCGAAGTTGTAGCGGGACAGAAGGTGGGGGATAGCGGACAGCTGGGGGCCATAGCGAGCGCTGTTGTCGTACAGCTCGAAGAGGGGAACAGCGAGGAGTTTCATGTTCTTTGGGACCGAAAGGACCTCTGTGCAGAGTTCAGATGGTTAATAGGGCTATTTGGTGAGGGGTAAGGCAAACTCACTCTTCTTGGGAAGGTTGATCAGGTACAGCTTCTTGCACTCCTTGGGCCGGGTGCAGTGTCCAGGGACGAAAGGGTACATGAAGGTCTCGAAGTTGGGACGCCACCAGCGAGACAGGCAGTCACCGATATCCCAATCACCATTGACTCCCTCGCCGGTGAATTGAGTACCAGTGGGCGCGAGACGCTCGTTCAGGCGCTTCTTGAAACCGTCGAGCTCCTCATCGTCGGGATTGATGTAGTCGCCGGGACTGCTCAAATTAGCTTGCGCGACAAGCTTCCTTCCAAACTCGCGAACTTACAGCTTGAAAAAGGCATTGGCGATCTGGAGCATCAACACGTGGGGAACGCTATGCTCGTGGCAGATCAAGATGCCCTCGCAGGTGCGGCGCATACCGTGCACCTGGTACTGATCCTCGAGACGCTTCAGGCGCTCGACAACAGAGTTGTCCTCCTCGGGCTGGTTCTCCTTCGTGCCAAAGGTGTAGTTAGACAGAGGGTAAAGCCGAAGGGTCTTAGGCTGGTTGGCCGTGAAGTCCCCTGGCACAATAGGCCTGGAGCTTGTCAGCCAGATCAGGGTGACTCGGGACAGTTCATGCTTACAGGCAGCTGCTCTGCGGAGCCTGGGCAGCCATGGCTGGTTTTGGTTTTATGTAGAGGGAATCGAGGAACGCCTCAGCTGCATCCATGTTGAGATGTTATCGGTTATCGACGAGGGATCGTGTTCACCGCCCACGTGATGTGTATTTAAATAAACAGACTAACCCGATCTGGCGGACCCACCATAGCTCCTTCCCTTCGAAGCTCCAGCTCTCGGCCACTCCAGTCCGTCCTCTTCAGGGCTATTTTGTATTCTACAGAATGCATCTCACAGCTTGTGCCATTGAGTAGTTCATCTGCAGTCTCTGGTATTAAATGTTTGTTTGCATGATCTGTCACAAAACTGCATACCATCTAAGGTCATTCATCCCACATAGCTCATATATTGTATTATTCTTCTGGGAACTATAGTTTAGTCTTCACTCAACACCACTCTCTCATGCATGCACCGCCCTGACACCAGCCCATCCCAATAATAAATACTTAAAGCTTAGCATCAAAGTCCTCATACACAGACAGATCAGTAACAGGAATGGGACCAGTGCTGACAGGCAAGCTAGCCTTGAAAGTAGGAACATCGGTGATGAAGACCGCCTTCGAGACACCACTTCCGTTGGCAGCATCCTGTCCATCGGCATTAGAGCCAAGGCCCAGCTCCTTCAGCTGAGAGCTGACAGTCTGGTCGAGTTTCCCGAGGACAGTCTCGATCTCCTGCTGGGGCAGTTGCTGGTCAGTGGCGAGGAAGCTCTTCACGACAAAGAGAACCTGGGACTTGTCGACGACCTTGGTCTCAACCTCATCGAACGCGGATGCAAAGCGGGTGGCCTCGACCGAGACACCGGCGGTTTCCAACTGTTTGCGGAGCGCGGCGACAAGACGGCTACGCTGCTCAGCCGGCTTAGCATTGACGTAATCGCCAGACTGGGCGTTCAGGTGGATGGCGAGCTTGGCGCGCGTGGCGGAGGAGGGATCGATATATTGACGGTAGAAAGCGACGAGGTCGGACTTGGAGAGAGTGCGCACGTTGGCGGCATCGGTCTCGTGTTGCAGGAAATCGAAGTACTCGGAGCCGACGTGCGACCAGTAACGACCGGTCTCGGAGCTGAGGTTCTTGAGTTTCTCCAGACGCTTGTTCACGACACTGCGCTTGTGGCCCTCGAAGTCTTCATCGGACATGTTCTCGAGGATGGGACCGAACTCGCGGAGGAAGGACTCGATGCGAGACTCGAGGTACTGGGCGGTGCGCTCACTCTGGATGATGACACGGTAGCCCAGGGTGGTGGCGTTGTAGCGTGCGCCACTCCACACGACGTAGCCGAGTTGCTCCTTGCTGCGCAGCTGGTCGAATGCGGGTTCATCGGTCATCTGGGCAAACAGTTGGAGCTTCGAGCGCAGATCGGCATCGGAGAAAAGACCGATGTACAGGTAGTACTCGATACAGTGGTTGACGTTGGCGGGATCCTTGAGATCACGGGGGTATGTGTAGTTGGTGCCAGGAGGCAGAGTCATGTTGCGGCGGAGGTACCACTGCGACGGAGGAAGAGGGCGTCCTTCCAGGATCTTCTCGATGGAATCTGTCATACGCAGGGCATCCTCCTTGTACAGATTTCCATGAGCCAAAACTTCGATGTGAGTTTGTTCAATCAACTGGGGGAAGAAGTTGACCACATCCTCGCATTCGACGTGCTCCAGTTCCTCGAGGTACTGCTCGTTGACCCAGCTGCGTTCGGCAAGGAGGTATCGAGTGTAGTCGCCGACCTGGTAGTAAGGCTGCTGGTACTCGGCGTTGCGGAAGGCCCGCGTCAGACGCTCTTTGATGATGTTGAAGCGGTCCTGGTTGACCTGGAGTCCTCGCATGGTGTTGAGAACCTTGTCCAAGAGAACCGACATCTTGTCATTATATCCACTGACGGAGATATCCAGGCCCAAAATGTTAGCCGAGAGATGGTAGTCTAGCCCAGCAAGCTCAGCATCATAGGAATACTCATCCAAAGAGTCTCTCACGAGCTCGCTGTAGAGCTTGGTCTTGATGAGGTTGTTAGGGGTGGCCCAGACCAGGGGGTTACGGAGTGTAACCTCGAGGGTGGCCTTAGGTACCCAGAAGCGATCATCCTTCTTGAACCACAGACGCACACGGTCGTCATGGCGGATCAACTTAGGGGTTTTGGTTGGCTCGGCGACTTCCTTCTTTTCCACAGAAAGTCGGGTGGGCACGAACTCGTTGCGGTGTGGCATGTGCACGTTGGAAGTACGGGAAGCTTCAGTGGACTCCAAAGCCTTCTGAAGACTGCCCAGGAATTGTTGAGGGATCTTCTCAACCTTGTACTCAGTGCCATACCACTTCTCCTTCTGATCCCAGGTACCTGGGAATTCCTGAGACACAATAACAAGGCGGAAGTTGTCCGCCCGGAGGTAGCTGAGAGCCTTCTTGATCAGATCGGGATCGAAGCGTCGCAGCAGAGATCCGCTCAGCAGCCATTCGCTGGGCAATGACTTCTGCATCACACTGCTCAAGCGGCTGGTGAACCGGCTGGCTGGGGTCTTCTGCTTGAAACGGAAGTCAACCTCGGCAAGGTTCTTCATTTCATCGAAGATCCATTGCTCGGGCTCACGCTGCTGGATCATCGCGATGTACTCGAAAACTACATTAGCAACTTCCTGGTACTTTTTCAGACCCTCGGGGGTCAGGCGCACGGAGACGGTGAAGAACGCCGCTCCGGCGCAGATGGGCATGGCGCCCGCAGAGAGACCATTGGCCCAGCCCTTGGCCTTGAGGTAAGAGAGGACACTACCTGGGCCCTCGTGGCCAATCAAGTGGCTGATGTACCGGCTGGGCTGGGTGTCATGCATATCCTCCTCGTCGAGGAAGGGGAAGTACAGATCCATGGAGCGAGTGTCCATCACGGGCTTCACGAACACCTGGGTGCACATGTCCTTCTCGGTGAATGGCTGGACGTCATCCCAGCGGTTCTGGGCAAGGTTCTTGTTCTCAACATCGGAGAAAAGCTCAGAGACCCACTGCTCCAGCGTGTCCAGAGACTCGCGGCCTAGAACGACAAGCTTCGCACGGTTGGCTGAGTAGTGCTTCTCGTAGAAACGAATGAACTCACTGCGGACTTCCAGACCACGCTTCTGCGGATCTTCCTTCAAAGTCTGCAGATTACCAGTCGAGAAGTGACTGTAGGGATGTTTAGGGTTCGAGAGAGACTTGTTCAGTTGCATCAACCGCCACAGGTCACTCTGAAGGTTCTTTTTATTCTCCGAATCCACCGCTTGCAACTCACGCTCTAGGGTAGACTCTAGGAACAGCGGGGAGACGAAAAACTGGGCAAATCGATCCAAGGCACCATACAGCGGTGACTTGCCCTCCGATCCGTTTCCGTTTGACAGAACACCAGTGCTACCATTTGTTGCCTCGGCGGGGGTGCTATCTCCACTGGACTTCGGGGCGCTGGAGTCGCCTGTGGCGGCGACCTCAAAAAAGTAGTTCGTTTCGGTGGCCGCTGTGTACGCATTGGAGGAGCCGGAGTGGGATGCTAGGTACTGGTTGTATGCATTTTCCTTGGGGTACTATCGGCCACGGTTAGATCAACATTTGCCTCGGCTGACAAGGGGGGGCGTCCGCCGATCACGATCGAGCTCACCTTTTTGGTGCCCATGAACAACAGATGCTCTACGGCATGAGCCATTCCTGGCATATCATCCTCATCGGAGAAGTTGCCCACGTTGACATTGACGGCGGCACTTGCTTTATCGGTATCGGGGTCGTGGACTAGAAGTGCTTCCAGCTTGTTCGGCAGACGAATCACTCTGTACGAACGATCATCCAGCTCCGGCTTCTGAAGGTTCTCTGTAATGCGTTCGATCTGAGTCATGATCGTGGTGAAGGTAGGGGCGGAGTGGGAGAAGGAGCGCCAATGAACGGGGGATTTCGGAGACGATTTGGATCGGACGGGACGAGGGCTTGTCACGATCGTGCGTAACAGCAAATCAGGATAAGGACGAGTTAAGCTGCGAGTGAGACTGTGACACAATGCTGCAGAGGACGAGGACCTTGGAGGCATTCAGTTGCCAAGGGGAGATCAATGACGTGACCGATGTCAATGCGCTCGGAATTCCAAAGGGTTGAAATATGTCGGGATATATATGTGGGAAGATGCAAATTGGGAGCAGAGGAACTGTGTCACAGCCGAGATGCAGATGGCTGATAAAGAGTGGCGGTTCGAATACTGCCCCGAGGAGGCGGTATACTGTCCGCCAGCCCTAACAAGCGCTGTTGGGGCCTATGGGAGACCCATGCGCCTTGGTGGCGGTAACTCATACGAGGCAGACTAGAATCTGGAAGGAATTGGCTTATGAACTGGGAGCGCAAGTCCCATTATTAGCTATATAGACGCCGAACCCTTGACGGGTCCAGACTCACTGCCCCCCGCAAGTCTAATTAAACCCCCCCACGTCCTCTCTCGCCCAATCAATTACATATCAACAATCACACACTTAACATTGTGCGGCACACAGGTTCAAGTTGACACTGGCGTCTGAGTTGCAATTCTTGGTCTGGCTGCCGCCAGGGTTGACTCCTTGCGCCCAGCAGAGGTTCGGGCACGAAGAGTCGGTGGGGCGGACAACAATCGGGTTGCCAGAGAAGGGGTCACCGAATACATCTGACAGGTCATACCAGACAGTGCCGGGATCCAAGCTATAGGCGAAGTTGGTCTGAGGGCTGCCGTTGAACAGACCATCGTCGACAGTGGTGATCTTCAACGAAACACCTCCAGAGGTATCGTCATGGCGCAGTGCCTCGGTATACTTCTCGCCTTGTTGAAGGGTATGCTTGGGGCCGACACTGCCCCCAACAGACCAGACATAGACAGGGAAGTCGCAGTTGTTGGTCACGATAGCATTGCCAAGAGCGCTTGCGAGAGGGGCCAGGGTGGCCACGGAGGCAACGACGGCTGTCGAGAAATGCATTCTAAAGACTTGTTGGATAAGGTGAAGAAATATTTGGAGTGAAGCTGATGAGATTGGTTCCCTTTCGCAGGACACAACCTCTCTTATATAGCTTTTCCGAGTGAACATAGCCTAGACTAGACTTGGTTTGGCCAGTGTATAGACTCTCAGCCAAAAACAGCGTCGTAGGAATCCATTCCAAAGTTGCTCCGACTCCATCAACCCACATCCGGACTCGACCGATCGAAGAGCCAAAGCACTTCCAACTTCCAAGGTTGAGATGAGGTTAGGCCAACCATCACAGGACCGGGCGTCGGTGGTTTCTTAGCAGAGCCCCGCATCGCATAGCCTAATAAGGCCACCACATACACCAACGACCCATATCTGGACGAGCGATACGAAAATAGCCAGTGACAAAGTGAAGAAAGAATACGATGTCTCAGAGCACTTCGACCCGATTGGGTGTATTCACTCCGGGGTGATGTATGACCTTGGAAGACATATAAAATGCATACCCCCTATGTAAGTACTAACAAAGCACGATCTTTCCAAGGTTGCAAGCCAAGGGTGGGGAGGCACGAAAACTAAAACTAAAATAGGATAGCTCCAAAGGCGTACAGGGTTTCCACGCCACGAAGTGAACCCAGGTCGTGCCACGCTTGAAGTCTGGGGTAAGAACTGAGACATCGTTACATCCATGAGGCGTGTCGATCAGCGCCACAACGGGTAATCCCTAAATATACATTCCGAGAACTATCTGCCGACATCATTGCCCAGGTACATTCAAATGTACATGTGTACACCGCTGAAAGCACAGTCGCATTATGGTTGGTAGTGTGTCAGACTATGTATAAATGTCTCAAACCTTGGATTTCCATTGTATATCTGATCGCAGCTGACCGTCCCACCAGGGTCATTCTCCACCTGGGCGAACCGAACAACCTTGGAACTTTGGGCGAAGCCATCGGCGCCGGTTGATATAGCAAAAGCACACGATTCCCAATTCGAGAAAGTTCTGATTTGTTATGCAAATGCAACCTTGGAACTGACTGACCTCGGGACGGCCCCAAGCTCATCAAGGTTGTGACCACATCAAACTACACCTGGGCACCCTCCAGGCCCCAGGGCTTGGAAGAGTTAAATAGGTAAAATCACATGTCATTAATAGGCTCCAGGGCTATGAAGGAACCTTGGAAAAGAGTCCCTAACTATGCTGGCACACAGAATCGAGCAAATTTCAAACCCGATCAAGCATCTTCATCCTCATCCTCTGAAATTGCATCCGCACGCCCAGAGATCCATTCAAAAACATCTTCCTTGTGGTGCTCCAGCATCTCATTCAAACCCGAAGCAGGGGACTGAACCAGCGATCCATATCGCTTCGATGGACGCCGATCATTGTTCCAAATACCATGAGAGCTTGCGACGTACACCAGCGAGTTCTAGAAACGGTGAGACAGGAAGTTTGGAAAATCCACACATGATCGACTTACCTCGCGGTACCACTTCGACAGCCAAGTCTGGGTGTGGGAGGCGACTGCGCGAACTGGGTTCTCTGACACAAAGGAGATGACTCCGTTCACGCGCTTGTACAGATTTTCTGGGATTGTCAGCTTTTTTTCCCACCAGGTTATCTTGGACGGTACGCACCTCTGTTGATCAAAAGATTTACAACACCGTGGAAGGAATTGCCAACGCCCAAGAAGAAGATCTCCGTGGCTTGGTTTGCGCTTTGGATGTGTTAGCGGATGTTGATTTGGGTCTGTGCTGTAATAATCACTTACTCGATGTAGTTGTCCCACAGGTATGCGGCCAATTCTTCAGTAGCAGTTGGGCGGTCGTCGTCTTCGCCCTCGTAACGACCGAATGACTAAAACTCTGTTGTCAGTCGCGAGTCCATATCCAAACAAATCTCCTTGTATACAAACCTCTTCACGAGTAATATGCTTGGGGATGTTGACATCGATGACTCCATATCCTTTGTCACAAATCCACTTAATATAGCCCTTCAGAGAATCAGCCTTTCATCTTGGTTAGCAGGCGTTACTGCAGTAGGAGGTTCAAATCACATACCATCCACACATTATGAGCCTCCATCTTATTGGTCACAGGATGAGCCTGTCCCATAATTTCGGGCCTTACTAAAGTTAGAATAAAGTTACTAGAACTGCGGTGAAGATACTCACGGGTCATGGAAGATCACAACAAGCGGCACAGCTTTGGTATAGTTCGGACTGCAAGGCGGGTCAGCTTCTAGCCCAAATAGTGAGCTTCTAGAGTAAAACTTACCTGGCCAGGACCTGTTTTTCGAAAGATTGTGAGATGCCGGTACGATAGACGTAAAGAGGCGTGAGTTTGCAGCTTTCAAACAGCTGATTGGACTGGAAGATGCGGAGGATATCTAACAGACGAGTGAGTAATTTGATGCAACACCTATTCTACCATACTCACCGTGAAGTCGGTCCCCCTCCACACGTTGTACGGTATTCTTGGGGTAAAGGCGGCTCCAGTGATTGGCCTGAATACTTCTGACCCGGCGTACAGTCTCGATTGCAGCCTTTGTGGGGGAACTGTTGGTCAAGCGGCCTGGCGGCTCGCCCATCAAAGTCTTCGTGACATCCAATGCCGACTTTGAGATCGACTTGAAGTTGTATCCTCCCTCCAAGCAGACCGCGAGTTTCCCGTCCGAGAGTGTCATGAGCATGTGAGTCATCTGGGCATAGCATGGTGGTGAGACGAAACATCCGCCCAATACATCGCCAGCCGCGGCATCAAATCCAGCAGCAACTTATATTGGTTAATTGGTGTCGACGATAGATAGGCAGGAGAGGCTGCTTACTGATCACTAAGTCGGGGTCGAATTCCTGCGCAATAGGCATCACAACCTCTTGGAAGGCGTACATATAGTCGCCATCTCCCATTCCCTGAGAAGGCCATGGAATGTTCACATTCCTAGAAAACCAATGTTAGAGTAGTTCGACTTCAGCGGCCCAGATGACGTACCTTCCGATTCCAAGCCCTTCACCACATTTATCCCAATCTCCTGCAGGACCATTGGGGTAGAAGTTACCGCCTTGGAAAACGTGCAGAGAGATGTAGAGGACATTGGGATCATCATAAAATGCTTCCTGGATACCGTTGCCTGCCTGATGTGAGTTTATGAGTTTCTGCAAGTTAACGAAATTTCACTGTACCATGATGGACATCCCTATTTGACGTTAGTGCAAATCCCCATTAATCAAGTATCACATCAAAGGACTGACCAGTCGAGAATCATAATTTTGCGACATGCATCTCCCAACTTTTGTTGACAGACACGTGCCGCCACTGAGACGTTGTTAAACAGACAGAATCCCATTGCTTTATCAGGCTCAGCATGATGACCCGGTGGTCGAATCACAGCTATGGCATTCTTCACCCGGCGTTCAGCGACAGCCATGCATGTCTCAATAGCTCCACCAGCCGAGAGCAAGGAAGAAGCAAATGTCAACTTGTTGAAATAGATTGAGTCGCGCGACATTTCCAGGAGAATAAGGTCGTCATTGTGCATTTCTATAGGTCGTCAGTGATACTCAGAGTCAAGACACCAAGTCTGACAACCTACCCCTAGTGCTCCGCACGAAAGCATAATGTGCATCAGTGTGGATCATAGTGATTTCCTCCTCAGTCGCATCACGCACACCGATACGTTCGAGGGTTTTAGGCGCCAGAGGTCGAGCGGATTCTTCATCGTCGACGAGACCGGCGCGACAAAGCTCCTTGTAGATGTAGTAGATACGTCTAGGATCTTCTGGGTGGAGATCACTTTCCGGCTTGACCTCGCAGTGGTAGCGCATGCGATGATCATAGCAAAGACCCGTCGCAAGTGAGGCGATAGGAAGGCCTGGCTTCGCCATGTCTTTTTTCTCTTCCTCCTCTTCCCAGTCAGAATTTGGCTCAACAAGGCTGTCAACCCTCGAGAATTGATCAGCTGATGAGCTTCCTGTGTCGCTGGTCTTTGCCAAACGATCAGGGGGACCCATTCCAGAGCCTCGTGATTGAGATTGATCAGAGACTGGTGATGGGGAGGTGCCAGGCTTAGTATTCAGAGATGGTGTCAGAGTCGGAGTAGGATGGCTACCAAGATGTGTGGGAAGAGTCTGAGTTCGCGGTTGGTTCGAACCCAGTGTAGGAAGCGTATGGGAATCACCCATGACTGTATCCTCGTCGTCTTCCATTATGCAGGAATAAGAGGAAGATCCCTGAAAGATTGGTGTTCAATTCTGCAGCTTCAAACCCATACAGCAATGGGACTGGCGCTTGCTGCGGGTGATCGTCTAACAGCTCAAATTGACCTGTTAATGCTTGGATGTCTGTAATCTGGTTTCAAGTAGAGTGTGTACCAGCAAAGGCAACGTAGTACAGTTTATCACAGTTGCAGATATTATTCAATCATTCAGCCTGCGACACGGTGCAAGAGTGTCTTTGAATGTTGCATGTAAAAGCGTATGTGGTATACAAGCACCTCGATTGAGTTGGCCCAAAGCAGTACACCCAGCGTGGGCGGTGAAGTAATGCGGGCGGTGAACGACTCTCACCGCCTAGTAAACGCGATGTCAGATTTCATACTCCAGAGTGGGTGTTGCTCGGAATTTGGAGAATCTTGGGGTGGAGAAATAGATTTCTCTACTGGAACTCTTCCAGTTTGATCTACATCATTGCCAATGCAGCCATGGATCTTTTACTGCCTTACTGCGTCATGACTAGGCGGTGAAGCGAGCCTCACCGCCTAGTCCATGGGTGAGAGTTTATGGCAGAAAGATTATCTTATCCGAGATATTACCCACCTGGACAGAGCTCCAGAGCTGTCTAGGTGAAGTCTTCCAAGATTTTGGACAATGGAAGAGGGTGAAGATGATGGGGTATGGATCATACATAGATTTTGCCCGTCTGGATCTCGTGCCTCGATTTCTGCCCTAGAACGGACCTTCAACGGCTATGGGCATTTACTGCCAGGGAACCGGACCAATGGAGGCTATGAAGTCGACATTGTGGCAGAACCAGGGTGCTAGAGATATGGCAGTGAGAAGGAAAGAGCTCTGTACTCCATAACAATACCTGATCCAATTAGGGCTGCCCCGGTGTATAGCTATTTCAATCCAAATGTGTACTGTACTACCACCCCATGAATCCGATTATGACTGTCGACCTTGAAGATGGAATTGCCCCACCCAGCCCTGTGGACTAATGGCATGATCTAGGCCACAACAAGGTCTGTTTCACCCACCTGGGTATACTGCCTACAACATTGTTTTCTTCTACATCATACAAGGCAAGGAAGAATGTATCGTAAACTGGGAATGTTTCGTTTCATTACATGACGTTATCTTATTTTTGCCCATAAGACAAGGTCCTCACCAGCACCCACATCCGCGGGCAGGCTGGCAGAGAACTCATGCCTTACAGTACACTTCTGACCCCAGGACGCTGTCCTGATTCCTACTGGCCATCGACACCGGCAATGTAGGAGATGAGGTCAACGACACGGTGGGAGTAACCCCACTCGTTGTCGTACCAGGAGACCAGCTTGATGAAGTTGGCGTTAAGGGCGATACCGGCCTTGGCATCGAAGATGGAGGAGTGGTCGTCACCGTTAAGGTCGGTGGAGACGATCTCGTCCTCAGTGTAGCCGAGGATTCCTGATAAGGGGTTAGCAAATTGTTTCATTTGGAGGATTGGATTAGGACTCACCCTTGAGCTCGCCCTCGGAGGCAGCCTTGACGACGGCCTTGATCTCCTCGTAGGAGGCACCCTTCTCGATGCGGCAGGTGAGGTCGACAACGGAGACGTTGGCGGTGGGGACACGCATGGCCATACCGGTGAGCTTGCCGTTCAGCTCGGGGATAACCTTACCGACGGCCTTTGCGGCACCGGTGGAGGAGGGGATGATGTTCTGGGCCGCAGTGCGGCCACCACGCCAGTCCTTAGCGGAAGGAGCATCGACGGTCTTCTGGGTGGCGGTGTAGGAGTGGACGGTGGTCATGAGACCCTCAACGATGGTGAACTTGTCGTTGATGACCTTGGCGAGGGGAGCAAGGCAGTTGGTGGTGCAAGAAGCGTTGGAGAGAACGTTGACGTCCTTGGTGTAAGAGGTGTTGTTGACACCCATGACGAACATGGGGGCATCGGCGGAGGGAGCGGAGATGATGACCTTCTTGGCACCACCCTTCAAGTGGGCGGAGGCCTTCTCCTCGGTGGTGAAGACACCGGTGGACTCAACAATGTAAGCGGCACCGGCCTTGCCCCAGGGGATGGCAGCGGGGTCACGCTCAGCGAAGAAGGTGACCTTCTTGCCGTTGACAACGAGACCATCCTCAACAGCCTCAACGGAACCGTTGAACTTGCCGTGGGTGGAGTCGTACTTCAGCATGTAGGCCTGGAGATGGGTTAGTGGTGTGGATGGGTTGTCGATGATGGAAGATACGTACAGCGTACTTGGTCTCGATGAAGGGGTCGTTGACGGCGACGACCTGGACCTTGGGGTCGGCAATACTATAGACACGTTAGATGGAGCTCATTGCTCGAGTTCGTGAGATACTCACGCATTGCGGAAGACCTGAGGAGGGTTAGTTGATGACACGATGGATGGGAGCAGCTAACTTACAATGCGGCCAATACGACCGAAACCGTTGATACCGACTTGGACAACCATGATTGCGGTTTACTGGAGATGTTAGAGAGAGGAGAGGGAGGAAGGGGATGAAGGGTGAGACTCACTGTGATAAAAGTGATTAAAGGGGAAGATTCAATTGGAGAGTGTGAAGAAAGAAAGAAGGAAGAAAAAGTCTGGCGGGGGAGGGGAAGATTATAATCGACTGACGCAACGGACAGATCACCCCTCACCGAAGAGACGGACGGGGTTCACTCACACGGCAACCCCCCCAGATCGGAGGGCTGAGCTGTTTCCCGACTGTTGCCGCTGGTACATCTGCCCAGCAACCATTTCCGGTTTCATACACCGGGCAAAGCAGGAAGAGGCACGATATTGGGGCCCTGCGCTGCCCCTCGGTAGCTCCCGTCTACCAATGAGAGCTCTTACAACGTACACTCTTCGGGTCTTTACTACGACTGCCTCGGGGCATCTCTCGTGAATGTTCTGCCTGCTCGGCTACGGGGAGGTGATCACGATAATCTGAGGTTGGAGTAAGGGCCATTTCCGAGGCGATTGACTAAGTGGAAGGGGGAAGAAGGAAGTGGAGAGTGGATGACGCTGAGACTGAGGGGCAACTCCATGTACAGACTACTACCTACTGTAATGTACAGCATTACTATTATCCAGTGGCCATTCGCGTATGGAGTAGACTGGAAAGTACAGTGTATAACGAATAATGCAATAGCTATTAAATCTGCTATAAAGCTCTATAGCGGGTCGCTCTGCGGTGGACGGATCGAGTATGGTGATCCAAGTGGCTCCCCCCTTCGCCCTGAAAAGAGTCACCGGTAACCACTGTTGCCACGGGATCGGTCAGATTTTTCTGGCTTATTTGGGCTGTGGGTGAGCATTTGCAATGGCCATTGCTCCAGACTACGGGGTCCCCAATCATCCTGGAGCCCTGCCCATGGAGGGGCTGATTAATCGCCTGGGTCTCAACGGCATGACCTGACCCGTAGATCCGAATCTGATAGATCCGGATGCCGACTTCCAGCTGTCACCGAGAACAGGCCCAAGCTCACCGACTGCACATCGACAGATACGTCGAGGTCGCACCGTCATACTCTCCAAGTTTATCAGGCCACGCCACCGGGGGCGCATAGAAGACCCCCGTGGACTATACCATGGCACGACATATGGGATGACGGAACATGTCATCGCGAAGTACGCATCACCATCTATGGCATGACTGAGCTTATCAAGAATTAACAATAATATGATTCAGGTCTAGAAACCTGGTCTCAAGAATATGTTTTATGGTACAATGACAACTCGGCAAGATGCCACGGTCCAGAAGAAACCCAGTGTCGTTTGATGATCGAAAACGCCTGATCCAGTTTACTCCTCCTTGACACCACCGCGCCAGTTCTTCTCGGCGGCATCGATGGAAGCCTTGTCGGTCTTGGGAGCACCGGGGGACATGAAGCCACCGCCGGCCTTGAAGGGACGGGCGAGATCGCCAGTAGCGGGCTTGCCGAACAGGTGGATCTTAGCGAGGTTGGATTCGAAAGCGCCCTTGAGGGGGATGATCGACTGGATGAGGAGAGGGTTGGTGTACTTGAAGTACAAGTGCATCACACCCATCATACCAACACCCATCAGCTGGCTGCGGAGCTGCTGACGCAGCTGACCCTTGTCGTAATCCATGTTGGTGGTGGTGACGGGCTTGGGCTCCTCGGTGCTGCCCATGGGGGCGGGCTCGACGTACTTGAGGGTCGTCATGTCTATGGTCGCGTTAGTTCGGGTTCCTGTAAGCGCGCGATCAGGTCCGACATACCCTTCTTGGCGTTGATTTGGTACTGAGTGTACAATGACACGGCGAGGATCAGGATGTTGGAGAGGATGTAGCATCCACGCACCAGCATCAGGACCTGAGGATCCTCAAAGGGAACCTTCTTGGCCAGCTGCATCATCACCAAGATGATGGCGAGGTTGGTACTGCGATTGTCAGTTTGGGCATTCTCGATAGAGCCATCAACACCTACATTTGAGGAGACACCATTTTGCCGGATATTTAATTAATCTGGGGAATGGGTTGAGTATGGGGGAGTTCAACACGCAAAACTTGAAGGGAACGCGGGCCACCTGGCATTAATTCTGGAAGGCCAGGGATTTCGGATAAGCAGTTTTGCCGGCCTGGACTTGTCGCCTGAGGCGCCAATCGCCTTTGCGGTAGATAAGGGTCACGTGAGGTCTCCCCTCCCCATTCCCGTTCATAGCTTCAATGGCCCAGCTTCAAACCAGACCAGCTTGTTTGGAAAAGACCAGCAACCACAACATATGGGCAGTCATTCTAAGGCTGACTGATAAAAAGGCACCTAGGCAACACTAACTATCTAGGTCTTACAGTTGATTTCCGTCCAAAGGCTGGGCAAACACACTGCACCAAGGATGAAGGAGCACCGACCTGACGGCATGGCGCATAACCATAACGCAACCCAGATAGTTGCCTACTAACAGACCAAACCCAAGATCAGCGAAATATCCACTAACATCCTGCTTGTTCCCGGGTCTGGACAAGATGGCCCGATACAAACACTTCCCAACGTCGAAGGAGATTTCCTGATTGGGACTAGCGCCAACTGTTCTTTTGGCTCAACCGGCGCTGGCACATTCTGACTTCTCCATCCATCAACAACGCGCGTGTCTTCCGCACTCTTAAACGTCCCCACATCCACCCAGGTGCCAGATCAACTTGATCTCTTATCCAACCCACTCTACACATCTCTGCGACCGATTTCGCATTAATTTTTTTCGCAATGCCAGGCGGAAAGGGAAAGTCTATCGGTGGAAAGGGCGGAAAGGGTGATGCTGCGGGGAAGGCCCAGAAATCTCACAGCGCAAAGGCTGGCCTGCAGGTTAGTCTTGCTTTGGCTTGCTCTTTCAGCGGTGGATGGGAGAACGTGTCGGAGAGAAGGGGGCTTGCGATGCAGACAAATGAGTGGCTCGATGAACTTATCTTCGACGCGTCGGGTTCCCCCTCATTGTTCCGCAATAGGGGTGCACTCGGTCACACACCCTCAGTGCCTTGGATGGCCCCCTCTGCCGACCGTTTCCGATCCATCAGCATCCGGGATCCCGCGACGCTAACATGCTGCTCTAGTTCCCCTGTGGTCGTGTCAAGCGTTTCTTGAAGAACAACACCCAGAACAAAATGCGTGTCGGTGCTAAGGGTATGGTGACCCTTTGAATACCCTCCGTCGACAATCTCGCTAACCTGTTCCAGCCGCTGTCTACGTGACCGCTGTCCTCGAGTACCTCACTGCCGAAGTTCTCGAACTGGCCGGTAACGCCGCCAAGGATCTCAAGGTCAAGCGTATCACCCCGCGCCACCTGCAGCTCGCCATTCGCGGCGACGAAGAGCTCGACACTCTGATTCGCGCGACTATCGCCTTCGGTGGTGTGCTTCCCCGGATCAACCGCGCACTCCTCCTGAAGGTCGAGCAGAAGAAGAAGGGCGGTCTGCTGGAGTAAATCAACACCTGAAAAGAATGTGGGATGGTTTTTCGACATCACCCCTCTGCCTCGTCTTTATTCTTCTCGGCGCTCTGCTTTGATGTATTCTTCTGATATTCCCCGGTCTTCGTTTTCACTTGTCATCTTTTTTTTTTTTTGTCGCTTTCTTTTTGAGTTCATAGGGCGCTGTAATGGGAAAATGGGGATATCCTGGTACTGAAAATTTAACTGATACTGATTCGAGCTTCTTATATCTATAATTCTAATCATACAGCAATAAATTCCAAGGTCTAGTGATTGCTCATGTGTACACTGTAAGATAGTCCATACTCATGTCAAGAACCTGCGCACGAGCCGGTGAGCGAGTCAGTCGTGGGATACGTGCTTCCATGGCTGAATTGTTACACATTCCTCAAGTAAGGGCCCATTCCCGAGAATCCCGCAAACCAGTTGAGACAAACCATGTCGGATGTCAAGCATGTTCTAGAGGGCCACTGCTCCACCTGGCATGTAAATCCCAAGGGGGACCACGGGGGATCGACAGGGACAAACATGCATAATTCCGAGATGAACCAACCGGCGATTCCGCGTCATAAGGTCTTGGCGTTCCGAGGTTGGTTACTCTCATACTACGGAGTACTATTAGTACCATGTAGCTATGTGTTGTGCCAGGTATAAACGTCCTCTGGGCGAAATCTAGGCCAGAGGTCTACCCCAGGATCCCATGTATGGGTGTAGAATTACAAAGTCCGAAGTAGCAGTAGAAGGTACATGGATTGAATTGTGAGAATCTGAGTACAAAAGGCAAAGATGAATGAAGAAAGAGGTCCCTGAGCTGCAAAGTACCAAACATGAAGAGAATAACCCTCAGAAAATAGAACAGGGAGATATCAACAAGATCGGATCACACAAAGTATTCCGGATGGTAGATGGAGTCGACATGGCGAACTCAAGACAGTAGTGTTCTTTTCAGGTCACCAATTCCACGAGACTAGAGACAAGAAAGCAGTCAAAGCATGCGAAAAAGAGAAAAGAAAGAAACATGTCCACCCGAACGAACCGAACATGAATTTCCCTGGGGATTAGGGGAAAGCGGTTTGACCGGGCCAGAAACATTAAAACGGATGCGAGTTCACCTGTACAAAACAGACGAGAATATGCAAAATGCTGGTATTTGTCGTTTCTTCAGTCGAAGAGGGTCTTTGTTGTCATTCTTCGTATGCGTCCCGAATCGGGGTCGTGGAGTTCGTTCCGCCAGACACAGCATAATAGAAAACATGAGTTTGCATGCAGGGCGCCCGCAATATCAGAAAAGAGTAAAAAAAGGTAAATAAGAACAAGACCAAGGCTTTGTTGTTTTCTTGTGGTTTTTTTTCGTTGGCGAAACTGTGGCGAGTCTTCAAAAAAAAATAAAAAGCATATCATCCAAACTGCGTTCGGGTTGCCCCCCAAAAAAAAGAAAACGTCTAAAACTTGGCTAGATCAGCGAAACAAAAGGATTTTCTGGTCTTTTTTTTTTGGTGTTGTCATCTCGTCATCCCTCATCGAATCGTAAGCCGGTAATTCGCAGAAGGCCTCGTAATACAAGTCGTATTCGTCTCGCGGCAAATCAGTCGGATGCTGGCAATAAAAAGGGGAGTTCGCCATCTTCAATAAGTCGTCTGTTTACTCCACGATGATTTCTACTCCGGAGTTGGTGCGGAGTTCATCGCTTCCGCGTGCTTGGTGGCCGTTTTGGCGGCGAAAGCCAGTGCCCTTGTCCGGGGTCGGGCCGCGGGGCTGGCGGACAGGCATGCGCTCCTGCTGGCCTTCGTAGCCCATACCCATGCCGCGGTTGCTACCAATAGCACCGGCGTTGGAGGGTTGGCTCTCCTGCTCCCAGGAGAACATGCCTCGCAGGCGACGGGGGCTGGAGTTGGGGCCACCGATACCAGTGCCGAGGGAGAGACCTCCCAGGCTGTTGACCAGCAGGTTGTCGTCACGCTGCATGCCAAGAGAGGAGCCGGACTGGGCAGGGGTCAGCGTGGGGGTGTTGGAGTTTGTGGTCTGCGCGCCCTCGTAGGGGAGTCGGGCGCCGTTGGTCTGCATGGCAGCGGGGAAGCTGGCGGAGGAGGGCGCGGGGGAAGGGGTGTAGGAGCGCAAGTCGGCAAAGGACTTGGCAGCGCGCAGGTTCTGGCCGTTGGCGAAGTTGTTAGGGGAGTCCATCACACCCAGGAAACCAGAGTTCTGGTTACGCAGGGTGTTGAACGCGCCCTGTCCGGCTTCCTGGCGAGCCTCGCTGAAGTCGATGGTGGCTGCGCGGTTCAGTCCGCGGCGGCCACTGTCAGACTGTCCCGAGGACGGGATGGAGGACATGGGTGGGCTAACGTTGGCTCCGGCAGGAATCTTGAAGACCTGCACCTGGCGCTGCTCACCACTGCCGCGGGAGGCGTGGCCCAAGCCCATGTTGTGGGCCAGGGTGTGAACCGTGCGACGCTGAGACGGGGTAAGGTTGTGGGGGAAAATCACGGAATCGCGAACGGTATCCTCCTTGAACAGGAGGAGCTGGGAGTAGTAGGAGAGGGTCTGGGTGTCGTTCAAGTCCACATCTAAACACGGGGGAAAGAGGGTTAGCTACGCAAGGTCAAATTTTCAATAAGCTTCGGGGGATGTGTAACCCACCGATTTTCTGGCCGCGCTGCGACACAGGAGAAGGCGAAGTCGCAGGGATGTGGGAGGTGAGGGACGACATGGAGCTCTGGGTCTGGAGCTGGGGGCCTCCGCCCATCGGGCGGTGCTGCTCCTCCAACTGGCCACGTCGCTCCCTCTTCTCGCGTTCGATCCGTTCCCGCTCCTGCAGAGGCAGCATCTTCTTGTATTCGACCCGCAATTTCCGTCCCTGCAGCTCAAAGTGGTTGAGCACCTCGATCACAGTGGCTGTCTCTTCGGCGGATGTGAAGTTGGCGAAGGCGAGTCCACGGAACACCCCGTTGTCAAAGTGGTAGTTGAAGGCGTAGGGCAGGGGCAGGTTCAGTTCAGTCATCAGCTGAACCAGCTGCTCCTTCTTCACGGCAAAGGGAATGTTCTTGATGACGATCGCAGTTGGGATCAATTCATCATCGTCGGCCGATGACGCCGACGGCTCCGGTCGCATCGCGCTGCTTTGGATGGGACCCGGTCCCAAGTTGGAAAAGGCCTGGGGCATGTTTGGCTGTTGATCCAACCAAGTCTTGGGATGGTTAGCACTTCCGGGTTGAAAAGGGGATGAAACCTGGTTTTGAGGGGGCCAAACATACCGTAGGCAGGCCAGTGCGGCCACGAGCGTTAGGCTTCAGACTGGCGGATGCCGACCGAATCCCCCCGAGGGTTTGTGCGTTCGCAAAGCCATTGGGATTCCATGTCTGGGAGCCGGAAATATCGTAACCGTAGTTGTTCTGGATGGACGGATTCAACCGTTCGAGGCGAGCAGATTCATAACGCATCGGATCCTCGTAGAGGTTGTTGGGCATGGCGCCGTAAGCGTCGAACTGACGAGAGGGTTGACGATGCAGAGGTTGTTGGTGTCGCTGGGAACCAGGGGAGCGCGCGGCGTCGTGATACATGTCTTGTTGATAACTCATGGCCGAGAATTCCCTCGAGGAATGTGAGAAATATCCACCAAACAATGTTAATGACAATGGACTACTCCACCATGAGGAACAAAGAAAAAAAACAAAGTTGCACAGAAAGAGACCGTCGAGGACGGGATTGTGCGGATGGGGAAAAGTTAAGGACTAAAAGCCGGGAAAAGTGGGAGAAAAAAAAAAAGACGTGAGACCGAGACTCGATCAACGCACTTCCCCCAGGATGTTTTCTTTCTTTTTTTTCTTTTCCTTCTTTTTTCTTCTTTTGTCGGTTTCTTGATTTCGCGCGCAGAATGTACGCGAACAGAGCACGAGTTGAACAGATCTTCGGAAGTGCAAGGGAAAAGGAATGGTTTTGAGCCCGCAAAATCCGCCAAGAAACCAGGAGTAAGGAGGTGATGGGAAAGTAGAGACAGAGAGAGAGCGAAAGATAGAGAGACACGGGATTAAATATGTATAGGCAGATCGCAGTATAGGAGTATATCTTTAGATGTGAATAGTCCATTTATTTATTTTTATATATTATTATTTCCATTTTCTATCTCTTCACACCAATGACAGTCGCCCTCATCGGGTTCCTGAGATCTGCTGCATATCTGATTCTTTGGATCTATAGAACTGCTCCCAACTCGGCTTGGAACCTCTCACATCTGAAGTCCCCTATCCTCTACGTCGTGACTCCGTACATACAGTACTTAGCAGCCGATCCCCCCTGATTAAGTTGGAAATCGGGTTTAATCCGGGTCACCGCCAAATCACAGTGATCGCTATGCTCCAGTCGCTCGGCTCCCCTGTCCGTCATTCGAAGGTGCCTCTTGTTCCACAATCTGGGACCCAAGACGCCGTGTCTCGTTAGGCTCGTCACTAGGCTAGGAGTCTCCGCCGAAGTGGGGGAGCTATCCCTGAACAAATTGGGGGACCTGGGATTTCCTTTTCTCGTGGATGATGTGCACGAGTTGCCTGACATGACTCTAGGAGCACTCCCTGCCTCGTGCTTCGCAATCCAGGAGAAGGTCCCAAGCCCTGGAGGCAGTGCGCCAGACCTCGACAGTATACCGTTCGTCTATCCGATACACTACCGGTTTGATGCATTTATTGTCGGCTCCGCTCCATGGGTATTGGGATCGAACAGAGCCCAGATTAATAAAAATAAAAAAGGAGGCCAAAACAGCTATTTGCAGTGTTCACAGAGCATTCTATTATTACTGGAAGCTAATTTCCCCCCCTATTTGTCGCCCCATTCTTCGCCTCACGCCTCGCCACCCGAACAGCCACCAAGTACTCCGTACGGAGTACTGTCACGAATAACGGGGTACAATTATTCGTTTGGGCCAATAACTCCTCCATCCGGTCCCCTCTCGGCATTTGCAGCTCCTGACCAGAGCTCACTCCGGAGTCGCGCAGGTCCCACTCCACGAAATTGGAACTTTCTCATGGTCTCCACGATCCGCGCATCCCCCGTTTCTAGCGTCTGTGTCGAAGCTCCTCACAGGCTCCCGTCCTCCAGCTAGAACCCGCTAGATGCTGGTTAGAACCTTAGACGGTGTCAGGTCCCGGCCTGGTGGGTTCCCAGAGCTCCCTATGGACTTCGTAAACCTACTTAGGACACTCGACCATCCCGCGGAATCCGGGACAGTTTCCTCCGGAGCTCGACTCGTGGCGCTAGAGAAGGGGCTTGTACGCTTGCCGGGTGGCTTTCCGAAATGGCTAATGCCTGGCGTCTGCCACGGGGTTTGACACAGTCCCGCTGACCATTGGCTATACTAGTAGAGCGGTTATTGCCTCTGCTAGGAAGTCTACGACTACTGCACTATACTATGTACTATACTGTAGTATCCCATGAGTACTTCGACGTCCGGAGTAGGTGGATTGATCTGCGGAGGGCCGGTTCGGGTCGCATGGCATCTACCATGTTTCAGATAAAAGCGACGAAGAAGGGTAATTGCTTCTAGAAAGACCAGGCTCCGCAGTAAATTAAGGGGTACTGCATTCAAGGTTGAAGATGAAAATACTCCTGCGAATACGGATAAAGTACTGAGACAGTGAAGTATACCTATGTATGGATACTTAACGACATCCGGAGTATCTCAATCTCTTGACAGCATCCCAGGCTCAGGGCTGTTCCCATTTCCCAGGTTCTCAAGGTTCTTCCTGGTCAAAGTCAATCCCAAACCATTACCTACCTAGGTATGTGGAGTATGACCAGGTGGTAACTATACTCTAGTCAAGTTTGCGACCTCATTTGACACCCGCTGCCCTGAGGTCTTCGTAAAGAACACAAGCACTGCCACTTCCATTTTTAGGCAGGGGATGCTTTTACTCGACCTGGCAGGAGACCTAGCTGCCCCAATCGGGATCGTGATGTCAGCACCGGCCAGGATGGAGACCTGACAAATACCTAGTAGCCCCCGTCTAGCTGGAGCTCAAGAGGAAGTGATCCCCAGGCACCAGTTGACTACTACAGACAGATGGAAATACACAGGGAAATTATTCATTTCGATCCACGCCTGGCTTAAAAATGAGATTCTTTCCCCAATTTTGGATGTTCAGCAAGTTCGAAATGATCGAGAGTCCGTTCAATTTCGTTCCCATTGCGGAATATATACTTCCACATTGGACTAGCATACTGTGAGTACTCGGTACATGCATCAGGTCTGAGGTGTCACAGCATGTTTGAAACGACCTGTTCGTCTCCTGAAGGTGTTTCAAGCAGTGGGTTGAAGGAACAAGCAACTTCGAGACTATTTAATCGATAGTTAACGTTAGTCGAGTGGAGTCGATGCCTGATAAATCAGGCCTCAACACAAATTGAGAGTTGAGATCAGATGCAAAGGCCGTTGGGCCGTTCCAGTGCAGGCTGGCCATTTAAGCTCATGCAGGGGTCTTGGCTTCTTTGACTTCAACAAACTCCACGCCCTGGGAGTGACCGTGAATCCTACAGTACTACTGTGGTATACGAGTACGGAGTACGGGGTACGTTATCTCACGGAAGAACTGACTCCGCGATCGACATCAGTCTTCAGTATGAAACAAGATCCGAGCGAATGTGTGCGCACGACACGAATGGGTGACGACTGTCAGACCCACATGGAATCTCTCAAGAGGTTGCATTTGCCGCATCCAGCGAAACCACCACGCTGATAGGCGCTCCGGTCGGGTTTGCCGACTCATGATGGCGGAACGTAGGCAGAAAGAAGACAAGCGACTGCAAGCCAAACCCGATCTAAGCCCGTCTGAGCTCAGCGTTGACGTTGACCTGGTTTCGTGGCTGCGCCGTGCATCGGGAACCACGCGGCCAAGCTGACGGGGCTCAGAGCCAAGAGCCCAGAGTGGGGAATTTGGCGTCTTTAAAGTCCCGGGTTTTCGCTTCCTGGGTCGCGTTTTGCGTTTTGCGTTTTGTCCCTGGATGATGAGGACTACTGTACGGGCTACGATAGCCGTGGCGCTAGTCGCGACGGTGTTCTTGGTGAAAATTCACTTGGATTCCTTGTCGCAATGGCAAGATCCGGGTCGCAGGACTTCAACTCGCGACACTTACGTGCTAGATGGCGACGCATATATCGAGCTGGTCTCGGCTGAACCTACGGCGACAACGTCCAACCCTACGCGGAGGAAATGGGTTCCCACGGCGCGACCAACTCCTCGGTCCATGGCCGCCAGTGCGAAATCGAAAAATATTCCCGTTGATGTCCCCGGCGCGGAATGGTCGTGGGGAGGCCCTTGGTACCAACCCAGCAGGTCGAGCAAATTGACCAATTCGCAAAACCTGCATGCCCAGCAGCTCGGGCCGATACAACAGCTCCAGCAGGAGAATAGACGAAAGGCCACGCCTTCGGCAAGTGCGCCGCCCCGTCCAAAAATCACCCCGAAGTCGGATCGCATAATTGTTCTCGGGAGAATGTCATACGAAGATAGTAGTTGGCTGGAAGATGAGCTGCCTGAGTACACACACACCACCTAACTAATGCGCGCACCCGCTAACCTAGTCACCCGGCAGATGGCAGCATGCAGTATACACAGTTGACGACCCAACAGCAGCACTCACCGTCGACCAGAACAAAGGCAAAGAAAGCAACACATACCTCAAGTACATACTGGACAACTACGACAAATTGCCCGAATACATGGTCTTCCTACACGCGCACCAATACAGCTCCCATGTAGAATTCTGGGAGCAGGACAACGTCCTCACCGTCCAAAGACTGCAACTCGACTATCTTCGCAAAGCAGGCTACGTCAATCTACGCTGCGACTGGAGTCCCGGCTGCCCCGACGAAGTCCAACCATTCCGCCAAATGGCAGGTCGTACGACCGAGCTCGCCTTTGCAGGTGCTTGGATGCGCATCTTCAATAACACCGATGTCCCTGAGATGGTCGCAACGCCTTGCTGTGCCCAGTTTGCCGTGACAAGAGAGCAGGTTCTCAAGCGTCCGCGCAGTGACTATGAGAATTATCACCATTGGCTTATGACGACAGAGTTGGATGACGAGACGAGTGGTCGTGTCTTTGAATACCTGTGGCATATTATTTTCGGGCAGGATCCCGTGTTGTGAGTTTCGATTTGGATGGGCTTGGGTCTGTGCTAACTTGCTTTAGTTGTCCGGCAAAGGCGCAGTGTTATCGCAATGTGTATAATATGGACTATGAAGAGCCGCCGGAAGATCCATGGGGTGACGATTTTTGGGGCGACTGGATTGACGATGTCCCTGATGAGATATGATTAAAGTTTCCTGGCTTCTATAGAGCATCTGCTTTGTACAAATACCCTAGACTTATGTTTTATGTATAAATTGAGTTATCTGAACAACAACTTCCAAGTTCCAAGTTCCGAGGTTACCTAGTACTACCTACCTAGGTACTATTCCCAAGGTGTTTCCAAAGTCTCCATGATTCGACGTTGCATCGAGATCTCACATTGAATTGAGTAGAATCTTCCACACGTATATATAGTCATCATTTCCTCTAGCATATACTACCTAAGTACAATACTGATTATCAAAATCATCAATAGAGTCATCCGCAAGCGTAAGGAGCGTCATAAGATCTATCCAAGATCCAGTCATTCACATCATTCATCCAGAAGTGACCAAAAAGAACATCCCTCACAGCCAAGCAAAGGCCATCAACCCCACAATACCAGCCATCGAAGCAACCCCGCGAGGCGAGAGGTCAACCGCAGCATCAGGCGTCGCAGAAGCAGAAGCAGCAGAGCCCGCCGAAGATCCCGCGGATTCAGCAGATCCCGAGTTCGAGCTGGTGGAGTCCTGGCTGGTTCCGCTGGAGCTGGAACCACCGGTGGATGTAGCGGTGGCAGAAGCAGCAGTTCCAGTGCCAGTGCCGGTATTGGTAGAAGAAGCAGTTGCAGTTGCGGCAGAGTTGTAGGTTGTTGTGCTCAGGGAGCACGAGTGGACTAGGTCAAGGGCTTCTGTGAAGGGTATTAGATTCTGCGAGCGTGGAGTGTGAGATGTAAATACCGTTGTCGTCGTCATCGTCATCGCGGTCATGGTCATGGTCGTGGTCATCATCATCGTCGTCGTCATCATGGTCATGATCGTGGTCGTGGTCGTGGTCGGTGTTGGTGCTGTTGTTGCGTCTGTCGGTCTGGTACTGGGTGATGCAGGCCGAGCAAAGTGGAATCTGAGTCTTGGCTTTCTCCCAGTCGCAGATACATTTGATCTCGGCGGAATCACTGTCGTGTCGGGCATCACAGCTCTTGGAAATCCCGACGACATCACCGCAAACATTCCAGCAGCGGTTTGGAACATCGTCGTGGTCTAGCTTCGACGCGATGGCGACGTTGCCAGCGAGAATGAGGCCGGAGAGAGCGAGGAATTGTTGGGTACGCATGTTTGCTGGTATTGTTTGTTGGATTGGAAGTTGTATCGAAAACTGAGATGTGCTTGAATATAGACATCAACATCTGCTGCGATCCATCCCATATTTATATTTCGACACCGGGATGGTTCTGTTTCTATATTTGATGCAGTCCATCAGGACTTGTGGACCCTGGCTAGATCGACAGGGTATTGCATGTCTCTGGGGAACTTTTCCTTGTCGGCAGCCTCCGCTTCTCGGGTAGGTAAGGTGCTAAGCCCCCATGCCAATCCTACGTAGGTGCCGACGGGACATTGAAGATCGAAGCATAAACTGATGCCCCCCACCGATCAGCCGAATCCCGCCAATATTGATCCCACAAAAGCAGCTGCCTGGCTTACCCACGTCGGCCAGGAGGGGTCTCCAAGCATTCAGTGCACGCAGCACCAACGAGAGTGTGGGGACTAATTATATCGTGCGTTTCAGTGCCCTTCAGTCAGGATGCAAGGGTCGGAGCTTGCTTGAACCCTGCATACACCGTGGACGCTATTTGGAGGATAGACGCAATGAATGAAAGTGTGTCCTTGATAGTCCGTTGCCAAGAAAGGGTCTTGGTGTTCCGCGCGGAGTTCGTATAGTGCCCGTGGACCTTGTACAGCTCCGGGGTCTAAGCCACACTGTGGAGCCCATCGATGCATATCATTTGACTTGGGAATCTTGCAGCCTTGACAGCTATACTTTAATCAACAGTCTTTGTAGAGTTGGAGATGCGCGAGAATGTTTTCAACTGCCTAAGCGAGTGGGAAGGTGGATCTCGCGATGCAAGGTGCCGACAGGCGGTGATGATCCGCTATATATAGATAGCGTTGGGCTTGAGTAACAAGCCAAGCTCTGGGTCTCATCTCCAGGCTTCAATATTCTTGTCATAATGCTTGTCATTAGCCTAGCATTATCTGGAGTTGTCATACCCAGCAAGGGTCGAGATGGTTCAATGGCCACAACCAAACAATCGACAGTGACTCTCCGGATGTTCGGATCAGGTAAGAGGTATTCCCTGCGTTAATACTAAGTGAATTTGGTATTATTTTGGCCTTCTAAATGATACGCGAACTTTGAAATGATTGGAGGGTGAACAAAGGAGTCAACTGGATCTCGGGGAGATGAGGAATAACCACTCAAAGGCCGACGTCAGGACTCAGGACCCAGAGCGAACATTGAAGATCTTCAAAAATACCATGTAGAAAGCAAAAAATGACTGTTTGGAAACATCCACAAAGATGCTGTGAAATGACTTCACAGCTGCCAAGGTACTTAGTAAGAACACATCAACTTCAAACCCCGACCCCCGCAGTCAAAACACTATCTTTGGCTGGGATCTTTGTAGCCAACCCGAGGGCTTCACCCTTCCAAGAACACATTCTGAAGAAAATGCAGAGTGTCAGCAAAATGTGGGAAAGGTACTGCCTGCGTCCCACGCAGGGCACCGTCTCCACCACCATCCCCATCTTCATCTATGGCACAGCCTGGAAAAAAGACCGCAGTGCAGATCTAGTGTACAATGCAATCAATGCAGGCTTTAGAGCTGTGGACACCGCGGCCCAACCCCGACACTATCAGGAGCATCTGGTTGGCGACGGCATCCGCAGAGCCATTGCCGATGGGATCGTCGGACGAAAGGACTTATATGTGAGAGAAATCCTACTATTTTTAATGTCCCACAAGATGGAAGTGCTAACTTTAGACAGGTTCAAACTAAATTTAGTCCCATCTCGGCACAGGACCCTGACAACATGCCATATGATGCTTCTGCGCCGGTGACGGAACAGGTCCATGCATCGATCAAGTCGTCCTTGCAGAATCTCCGTTCAGCAGAGGACCCCAATTCTGTGGACGAGTCGTACATCGACACTGTGGTGATTCACTCACCACTTTCAACTCTTGCGCAGACACTTGAGGCCTGGCACGCGCTGGAAACTTATGTCCCCCACCGCATCCGCAATCTAGGAATTTCCAATTGTACTCTGCCGATGTTGAGGGAGCTTTGCACATCCAGCCAAACTACCGTGAAGCCATCGGTGGTTCAGAACAGGTTCCACGAAGACACCTTGTTTGATGTTCCTCTCCGAGCATTCTGTCGTGAGAACCAGGTCATCTACCAGAGCTTCTGGACCTTGACAGCAAACCCAGACCTTGTGCGATCCAGCCCCGTGCAGCAGCTGGCTCGTCACGTTGGGATCAGTCCCGCAGCAGCCTTTTACACTTTGGTCATGGGCCTGAAAGATGTTACCGTGCTGAACGGAACCAAGAATGATGGACGTATGAAGGAGGATCTGGCTGCTCCAAAGCAAGTTGAAGCGTTTACACAAGAGCAACCCGAAGCATGGCAAAAGATCCTGGGTGAATTCCGGGACTTGGTCGGTGACTCTGCTTTATGAAGGATGGTGGTTAGAGATAAAATCCCCTAAAATGTTCGCCAGCCAATTGGCCTCTTCATAATCTTGGAACCATGGATGATTCAAATTCAGGAGGATAGACCGAGTATGGTGGAATAAGGATTATCGGTCCAAGGTTCAATGCGCTGTCTGCATGATAAGCTGACAAGGCCCTCGCCCATCTGGTGACAACCTCATGTTTTCCAAGCCAGGGTGCAACTATTCAAAAGATGCCCAATATCCGCAGCCCTGGAGTGCACCTGGCAAGTACTAAGCACCTGCCACGCCCGGGGGCATGGCCACCGCAATAATTTCAAATGCTTCCTCCCCGTATTTACTTTCTTTCCCTGCCCTATAACCGCCGTGGAGGCTAAAATCACGCCGTGATGTGACCGATGTTGCTTCTCAGTTATAGTTCGATGTCAATTCGTACCTCTTTCTGTTGACCTGTATCGAGCTTGGATCCACGTTCCTTCACTTGTTAATTAGCCACGGATTTCAGTGCAGTGTTTTCAACCTTGGAAGGTTTCAAATGTTGTAACGAGTGATCCTCCATCCAACGCCCGGATCCCTTATTTGATGCGATTAATGGATGAACCTTCCAAGTTGGAATGACCTGCTAACAGTATTTTCATCATCAGATGCGGTTTTGCAGTTGACGATTGGTGTTTCCCTTCAGGTCTCCCATTGCTTTTCTTGTCGAGACCCTTACTGGTCTTCCCTGAGGGAGCTGCGACAAAGTTGTGACATCCATGGCGTGCAGGTACTGATACCTGATAAGCCCGCGGGATCACATGGTAAAGGATGTATTGATACAAGGGTATCACCACTTTGATGACTCACTTGACGCCTTCATCAATGGCTGAAATGAATGCTGCCCTGTTTCCAAGTGCATTTGGCATACCACTCGTCCATTCAGTCCCACTCCGAAGGGATATTCACCTGTCAAAGATCGTGATCCCCACCTGAGATCATCGTTCACCGCCTCGGTGGGTTCTGCTAAAGCCTCCCGCCTATCTGGAGGTTGGACAATTCACGCGCCTGGCCATCGTCATCTACTTCGTCTTGATCACTGCTGGCCCCTGATCTTGGTTCTTTCGCCAGTCGTGGACTGTCGCGGCTCTTTATCTCTTATCGCCATCGTCATCGGTCTCATATTCGCGCCGGGATCAGCGGCATCCACTTTTTTTCCGGTTCTGTGCACAAAGGCTTTTTACCTTTCAAATTTGAAAGGAACTTGAATGAACGCCTTGCGACCTACTGAGCTCGCATCTGGTAGATTTGTTCTTGAGCAAATCCATCGCGACCAGCTTCCTCCTAGGTATTGAACGGAGTCGCGATTCAATTCCATCTCCGAACGTGACTGCGATAAGACCCAGCGTCTTGCGCCAGTTCATCCACAATGAGCTCGCAAGGAGTGACCAGAAAGCGCCCGGCGCCCGGGACAACTCCAGCTGTTCATCCCCAGATGAATCAACATCCCCATGGCCTCCCAAACTTTCCGACCGCCGCCAACCCTGGTTCTCAGCTCTCAAACGATCAATTCTTACAATGGGGCCAGAACCCCCCCGCCAATACCGTCAACGCATCCGCCCTCTCCGATAACTCCTACAGTTCTACCGCGTTTCCGCCTTCTTCAGAGGCGTCCGCCCCAGCTGCGACAGCATCCAACCAACTAGCCCGCCGCCAGACGAATCAGAATCAGATGGTTAGCAGGAATCGCGGGTACGAACAGCCACCCGCCTCATACGTGGAGAACGGGGGACCAAATGGAAATGGCGAAAGTGGAGCGTGGGGAGAGTCGCTCGAGGAACTTTACCGACGGGCTTTGACTGCGAAGAGAGATTCGCAGGCAAAGAGGAAGCAAATCCCACCGTTTGTTCAAAAATTGAGCAGGTATGATAATCCAAACCCCGACACCGATAATCTGAGCTAACCGATGCCCACAGCTTTCTCGATGAATCCAAGAATACAGAATTAATTCGATGGTCCGATGATGGAAATTCATTTGTCGTTCTAGACGAAGATGAGTTTGCTAGAACTTTGATTCCGGAACTTTTCAAACATAACAACTATGCATCCTTTGTTCGACAGCTCAACATGTACGGTTTCCACAAAAAAGTTGGGCTCTCCGATAATTCAATGCGCGCCAGCGAGCGAAAAAACAAGAGCCCTAGCGAATATGCCAACCCTTATTTCAAACGAGGCCATCCTGATCTGCTCTGGCTCATCCAGAAGCCAAAGAACGCAGGGAGCGGTCATGCCAGCAAGCCAAGCAAGGGCGGAACTCGCGTGAAGACAGAAGATGTTGATGATAACGACATGGACGAGTACGTGGAAGAGGGCGCACCGGCAACCCGTGATAACCGCGTGCCTCGACCTCAGCAATTGTCACTGGTGACCGACAACCCAGTGCCAAATGAACAACTTTCTGGGGTATACCGCGAACTGCAAGCTATTCGGCAACAGCAGTCTATTATATCCACCACCATCACAAGGCTGCGCAAGGAACATGAGCAGCTTTACTCTCAGGCGGCCAATTTCCAAGAGCAGCACACTCGTCATGAGAACTCTATCAACGCCATTCTTACATTCCTCGCAACCGTCTACAATCGCAGTTTACAGGGGCAGGATGGCACACAAAATCTTGCAAACTCCTTTGCAGGTGCTATTTCTCAAGACCAGGGAAACATTGTGGATGTTGGTGATGATTATCTCGGCAACGCCCTGGGATCTATGACCAGCCCCAATGGCCAGAGAGCAATGAAGAGGCAACAACTTCTTCTGAAGGCTCCGCCCGCTGCAGGCGATAACCGTGCCACCACGATCTCGCCAGCAGCCAGTGGCCCCTATGAAACCAGATCTCGTGGCCACACTCGGCAACCCAGCGCCAGCCAGCCGGGTCATGTGGAGGAGGTCTTCGATCATAGCCCACAGCTCGGGTCCTCGAATCTTCCTCAAGGACAAGGCGACGACCGGGTTCCCCAACAGGACATCATGTCCGTCATCCAAAACTCCAACGCGCGCAACGGGCTTGCGACCAACTTTTCCGAGTTCCCGAATGTGCTCTCTTCCCTTGAAAATCACGGCGGGAATGTGCCGCTTACGGCAAACCAGCGTGCCGACATGCTTCGACTCATGGCGAACGAAACCGGCTCGGCCGACCAGCCCGCTGGTGTGGCACCTAACAACGCGCTGATTTCACCGAACCCACCCCCAATGCCCCACAACTACTCAGGCCGACTAGCCAGCACGCGACAAGAGATCGACAATCTTGTCAAAATGCAAGCCGAACAAGATCGGTCCGTCCAGAACTTGACCAGTCTCCTCCAACCGCTCAGCCCCAACGGCACCATCCCCGGCATCGACCAGGATGGCAACGTGCCCCCTCCCCCTCTTGACCTCGACACGATTTTCAACAATGATTACTTCACCGACATTGCCGATACAGGCTCCGGGATCAAAAAGCAAGAAGACCCCTTGAGCCAGCTGGGACAAGCCCCAGGGGACGAAGGAGACACCAACGACCTCTTCGACTTCGACCACATCCCCAACGAACCCGATCTCTTCGAAAATCCCCACGGACAAGCCGACCCAGCCTACAACTACGGCTTCGACGGGACCGGCTACGATGACACTGGGCGAGTCGTCGAGCAGCTAACAGACAGCGAAGCCACCAGCCCCGCAGCACCAGAACCCCACGGCGAGCCCAACGACGGCGGCAGTGCCTCAAAACGGCGCAGAAAGGTCTGATGATCCTCAAATCATGCTCACCGGACACATTCGCACCAGAAATCCCAAGGACTTCGAAATCCGGCGTAGAAAAGGCGCTATCTTTCCTTTCTGATGTATGGTTAATTTCACCTCGCGTGGAAAGCCTGGGTACGTTTTGGGCTTTGTAAAAACCTTTTTGCTTTCATGATCTATGATATGATCCCTTTTTGCCAGAACCTGTAATGAGATACCTTTTTGCCTTTGTCGAGTAGCTGGATTTTATATCTTTTTCTTTCATCGGTAGCCGCCCATGCGTGCCATGGTTGCTCCGTCTGGTCCGGGCCTCCATCCCCAGGGCCTTTTGACTTTGTGGGCTTGGAGCAGTTCGCGTTCGCGGGCACGTACTCGGCGGTGGTGGGCTCGGGAGAATCGTTTTCGGGCTCGCTTTTGTTGGCGGGATGGTTGTCCTTGCTTGGAGTTTGGGGTGAATAGGCGTTTGAGTGTTGTAAGTAGACTTGATAGCATTTTCGGGTATATTTTTTATGGCTATGAGGTTTTGCATCGAGGTCGAGGTCCGCGGGTCCTCGTATGGCTTTATAAGTATATTGTTTGGGGGCGATAAGGGTAATTAGGACTTCCAAGGTTGACTCAGAATGAATGCATATGGGTGCTGGACGTTAATTGGTCCATCATGTAAAATCTCGTAAATTCTACTGTGTGAGTGGTTAGATCTGAAATGGACAGGGCTTGAGGGCTGAAACTGCGCGGGTGTAAGCGCCTTAAAGTGAGATGCCGAATTGGGAAGTATGTGCCGCTGGGGCCTGATGCCTTCCGATGTTAGTATTTGCATACATTTGACTGTTATTCCTTCAAGGTTGCAATTATTTGCTCAAGGGCTACCTCGAAATGGAAGTATGCATTTCCTACTCTGCGGTGTGCTCGCGACTAATTCGCATGAATCGACCTGAGAGCTCCTATCATACTACCTACCTAGGTAGGTATGAATGTCTCCATGTTACTGGCGCCGGTAGATGTCAATATCATCAGCAAGGACTAGCACTAAGAGTGTGCACCATCCGAACAATAGAGAACCTTGAAGAGGATATGCTATTTTCCAGGAACTATGCAGTAGCAATATGATAATCACACTCAACGACCCTTATCCCACTCCAAACCACTCACGCGTTCAAGTTTCCGCTCCCGTTCCCTATCCCGCTGCAATCCCCTCTTCTTCCCAACGACCTCCTTCTCCTTCTCACGCGGATCAATAACCATAAGCGAATCCGCCTCAGCACCATGCTCACGCTTCCACTGCAAATCCTTACCCAGCGTATCCTTCCCAAAACGAAGCTCATGAGAAAGCCAAGTCCCATCATCTTTATTCTCATCCGCATCTTCCGCAGGATCATCCCACGATTGACACGATTGGCAATTGGCAATGAAATGCAGATCACAGAGCTGAGCCTCTTCGTCTTCGTCGTCCTCGTTGCGGTCGTGTTTATCAATTTGCTTGTTGGATGTTGGTTCGGGCTTGGCGCTTTCGAGCTTGGCTTTGAAGGCATTGAAGAGCTGGAGTGCTTCTCGCTCGGCGGCGTTGCTGGGCCCTGTGCCGTTGCGGCTGGAGCCGTTGGCGGATCCGGGAGGGGGTCGTTTCCGGCCTCGGATTGAGGTCTCTGGGATGAGTGATTCGAGGGCGGATTTCTTTTTGCCGGTATCTTTTGGACCGACGTCGGCGTCTCGGCGCATGGAGGCCATGAGATCGGCGATTTGGGCGTTTGTTCGGGATAGCTTGGATTCTTTCGCGGGAGCTTCTGGGGTTGGAGACCGGGAGGGGGATTCAGGGTCTCGTACTGGAAGTTGGGTCTCATGCTCTGGGGTCTTGGGGCGCTTTTTGCGCTCCGGGGATGGTGATCGGTGTGGAGATTGCGAGCGTGTTCGCTTCCGTTGTGATGAGGCCTGGGTTTGCGTCTTGGGTTTTGATACCTCTGGTAATCCTCCTGGCACATCTGAGACCAACTTTGTGTTGAATTTTGGTTTCGCCGGACGCATGGGCATCTCGTCTCCCTCCTCGTCTCCGAAACTGAGTAGTGTTTTGCCGCCCTTGGCCTTCTTCTTCTTTTTGACTGGACCGGCCTCTGATTTCCCTGCCGTTGAAACAGTCTTTCGATCCTTCAGTTTGCCCTCCAACGGTCCCAGTTCTCCCACCTCACAGGAAGTAACTTTGATCGGGTACACAGGTCGCTCAGTGCCCTCGATGCGCTCCGCGTCTGCAATCTTGAGAACATTGTATATGCTGTCGCCTTCCAGACGTCCAAAAATGGTACACTGTCCGTTCAATTCCCGCTCAGTGTTCGCCAATGTGATAAAAAATTGACTGCCGTATGTCCCGTCCTCACTCTTCGCCATACCCAACAACCCACGCCGATTGAAGCGCAAACGACTGTGCAATTCATCGCGAAGAACCACGCGCTCATTCGGATCCCGAGCTTCGGGGTCGTACTCGAACTCCGGATATTCGTAAATCGAGGTACCCCCAGACCCGGTGCCAGTGGGATCACCGCCCTGGATCACAAAGTCCGGGGCTACTCGGTGGAAGATAGTCTCTGCATAGTAATTGTCTTTGCAGTGCTGGAGGAAGTTCTTGCAGGTTAGAGGAGCTTGGTTCGCGAAGAGCGCGATCTGGATAGGCCCAACGGTCGTGTTGAGCGTTGCTGACGCGGTGGGATTGGGCTCGCTGGCGTATTGTGTGGACATCTTGGGCGTTAGGTGCGCGTTTTGATTATGGTGCGCCCGCGGGAGTAGTCACGAATTAAATTGAAGGGGACGTCGCACCCTTTGGAGTGTTGCGATTCACTGTCTCCGATCAAAAGTTCGACCGAACGTCATGGCACGTGACGTGTATACTGTCGGGCCCGCGGTGTAGTTGGACTTCACCTAGACACCAAGGACGCAATTTGACACAAATAGCGGTGGTTTTTGATTTACGACACAATTTACCTAATCTCTAGACATACATGGTTACTTGAGACTTCCTACAGACACAGTAGAGTGTTGTAATACCCGGCTATGAGGTTCGCGGCCGGGCTATCAACTTTTTGTCGCATTTGGGAAGATATGGCAGCTATTCAAAGGTATGAAAAGCTGTGGTAGGCTCGAAAGAGGCGATTTCTCTGTAAATGGTTAGCTATCGGGGATAGTTGGCATTGACGGGGGTTTGTGTATGATCAAACTGACCGAATGTCCCTTGCAATGTCTTGTTCGCGCAAGAAACCTTTGGCAGAGTTAAAAAGACCTTGTACCAGTGAGAATGGACCCGGGTCAGCCAGTCAAGGCTCAGCTGAGGTCGAGCGCAGAGTGTCAACGTGATCTCAACGGGGAATGTACCCTGTTTTAATCACCGTGGACGCCTTGGCCGTTCGCGAGTCGCAATGGAACTTAGATTGGTTGCATAGGGAGGTCGGATTGTCGCATGGGGAGATATCATCCAAGGTATTTGGACTCTGTCGATGCGGAGTGTCGCTTGATGGGCCCCGTGGGGAAGATACCGATAGCAGCAGTCAAACGGATCCATTCCGAGAACGCGAAATCATACCGGTGAGACATTTGTCGGATATTGAAAGGGGAGCATCGATATCGCAATCGGCAGCTGTTGGTGGCGCGGTTGCTGGTCCTGATCCGGTGAGGCCCGGACGTGAAGACCTAACTTGAATCGTAGTCTGCGTAGGGTGCGTTCAGAAATACCGTAGCCTTCTTGCTGGAGCAGTTTGAGCATTGCTTTATCGGTCAGCCGGCCCTGCCAGAATAGCATCGTGATCCGTGCGTGTAATGCTTCGTCTCCCGTGGTGGTTCGATGGCGCTTTCGGATTCCCCACTTGCGGAGGCGCGTCTGGATAGTGCGCTCTTTCACCTGGATGTTATGTCGAGTTTCGAGGGCACGGCTGATAGAGTCACTACTGACGCCATCATAATAGAGAGATACTATTTCGTCGCGATAGGGCTCTAGGTTGATTTGTTGGCGAGGCATTGTGTGTTTGATAGGGGAAAGAGGAGAAGCGGCCCCCAAGTTGTCTATCACCAAGGCGGTGAAACTGCCGAAATTAAATCCCTTTACAGATAGTTATGGCCGGAGAACTAAGTGGAATCTGATCCAGAAGATGTGTGTTACGTTCACTGTGTGTGGAATTCGATGCGTGAAGTACCAATTGGTTGGAGGTATACCCGTCCCCGGATTTACTACAGCATTGGCCACCTTGAAGGACAATCAACCTCAGGACTTCGAATTTGGAGTCAGTTTGTTTGGAGCGAAAAATCAGATCATATTATTGTTGCGTTTTCATAGATTCATTAGAGAAGCCGAACCCAAGTCCACTTCAGATTTGGGAAATATCCACTCGTCTGGTCCATGTTTTGCCATCGTCTGCACGATAGGCCAAAGGCCTAAGCCTTCTTCTCGACCTCCGTAGCAGCAGAGGCGCTCGTCTCAGGGGTGTTCTTCACACGCTTCGCAATGCGGAATCCGCCAAGAAGGAAGAACAGAGCCTGGAGACCGAGAATGACAGCCAATGTGACCATGGCACCAATCACACCGGCCACGGCGCGCGACATGCCAGAGCCGCCAGTGCTAGAAGCACTAGCAGAGTCGGAAGACGAGCTGGTGCTGTCAGAGCTTGCGCACTTGCCGTCGGTGTTGCCGCAGACAGCACACCACTCATCGTCATTGATAACGGCGATGTCGGTAGTCTTGCTGACGAAGTCATTCCAGGAGAGAAGCTCGCTGGACTGGCCGTACATCGGGTACGCGGTTGGCTCGGAGCCACCCGTGATGGTGCCGTTGTGGAACATGAATCGCACGCTGAGATCGGACTTGTCGGTGGGGAAGTCGGTACCCGATGCGTTGGTCACAAGCTCGAAGACCATTGAGGAGGCATAGTCGGGAATGCCGGTGAAGTTGACAGATGCGGCAGGCATCTGCAACAGACCAAAGAGGGAGAAGATGGTGCCGTAAGAACCGAACCCAATGTTCAGCTTGGACTTACCCTTGCTGGTAATGGTGTCGTTAAGCGCAGACATGATCTCACCGGCCAGGACAGCGCCGTCAATGGCACGGGCCTTGTCAGAGGCATTGTAAGCCAGGTTATACTCGTGGCTGCCGGCCAGCGAGATCAGCTGGTGGTAGACATCATCGGTCAAGTCCGACTTGTGGGGGAACTCGCTGCTGGAGTTGTGAATCTTGCCCACATTCAGGTAGTCGAAGATGGTGTAGGCATTTTTGAAGGTCATGTCGGAGGAGGGGAAGGCTCCAGAGAGCATGGGTTCCAGGGACTTGTAGAAGTCCTTAGTCGAGGCGAGCAGCTGGGTTTACATTTCGGAAGTGAAGTAGTTGTTGCTGCTGACCGTTGCCTTTTGGCAACCACTGGAGCCCTGCAACCAAGTCGAATCTTCGGCATCTTTGCTGGTAGTAGATTCCTTCAACAAGACGAGCTGGTAGCCACCCAATGGTGCCTCGACTGAGGAGCCGTTACCCAAAGTTTGGGAAGCGACCTTACCCACGGGAGGGTAGACACCCTGCAGGAAACCAAAAGCCGAGTTTTGCAAGACATTTTCCGCCGGCGCATAGGCAGTGATCTGTTTGGGATTGACCACTTCCGAGCTAATGCCCTCAATCTGCTTGGAGGAATTGTCCGAGATGTACCGATCATTGTAGAAAGAACCGGCATCAAAGACCTCGCGATAGCCCAGGTCAGTCAGAGTGGTGCTACCAAACACCTTTGGTGTGCGATCACCATGGCGTGCGAAGATGTAAGCACCGAGCACCCGTTCGGCCTCGACAGGAGCAAGGGAAGCTGCCAGCAACAGCCCAGACTGGAGAGAGTACCGCATTGTGAAAGCAACACCCGTAGACGGAGACAGGAACATAGAAGCAAAACCAAGAGGGGTCGACAATGCTTATCAAGCTGTCATCGGAGAATTAACCTTGCTAGCCCCAGGGTTCAATGGCACTGATTCCAGACCCTAACTGCGGAGAGGCCCGAAAACTCCCCCGACCCTTGACCGAGCATCTTCTAGCGCGGCAGAGAGCCAAGTCATTGGCCAAGCCACTGGCCAAGCCAAGTCCGAGGAGGTGAAAAAAGGACGATAGCGCGCCATTAGCTAATTGCAATTGAACTCCGCGGTGTGCCGCGGTGCTGCGATAGCGGAGTTCCCCCACTACTCCACTCTTCTCCAGACATCCTAGGGTTAGTAGTGCTAGTATACACTAATCACTCTAAGGCAAGTTGTCCCGTCAGTGAGTTTACGAAAATCCTAATTCCATTTCGCCGGAGCCGGAGCCTATGTTTCCCATATTGGTATTTGAATCGTTGAAAAATCAAGTCGCTGTGCCCTATGCCATTGCCACGCCCTTATCACCCATAAGCTCACATCCATTTCGCACGACACCAACCAGACCTCCGGTTTGAATGGCCTCGGAGCCACCGCCAGCCAGTCGCCATTCGATCTCAGCGAGACCCTCAAGCCATGTGACGCGGGTCTGCGCGGGGACTTCAAGCTGTTGGAGTTGGTCGGCGAGCGCGGAGAGAATATCAGCCAGCGCCAGACCCTTGGTGGCCTTGAGTGTGTGCACAGTGCTCAGACAGGAGGTCACGTCACTGGTGGACAGAATGGTGGACATGATCTCTTGGATATCAGATGGGTGAGGAGCCGCAATGCAGTCGTAAATCGTCGCGTTAGTGATCGTCTCTGGCTCAGGGCGCGGGGCCTTGGGGGCATCTCGCATGGGAAGTGGGATACCTGTTGGCTATCAGTTGGGAGGTCGGACACTCTACTCGGACGAACAACTTACTGCTGGCAAAGCAGGCTTGGAGCACGTTGAGCGCACGTCGCATATCACCCTTGCTCAGGGTAACTAGACTATCGACGGCCTCGGGTTGTATCCGCACGCCTTCCTTTTCAATGACCTGGTCAACAATGGTGCGGATATCGGCTTCCTTCAGTGGGCTGAAACGGAATCGAGTACACCGGGAGAGAAGTGCTGGGGACAGCTTATGTGTGTAGTTGGCAATAACACAGAATCGGGTGTTGGCCGTGTAGCGCTCCATGATGCGGCGCAGGGCCATCTGAGCGGTAGAAGTCATGGCATCGGCTTCATCAAGAATGATCAGCTTGAATCCTGCTAGATTAGAGCCAGCACCACCCTGAGGGGCCATGTTGAAGATCTGTTTTGTGCCTGCCGGGCTGGTAAGCTTCGTGGTTCATACGTAACAGGCGAGATCACGAACTGGCAAAGGTCTTGATCTGTTCCCGAACAACATCGATACCGCGGTCGTCACTTGCGTTTAACTCCAACACCATCTGTCGCATGTTCTTAGTGCCATAGATCCGGCGGGCAAGGGCGAGAATGGTAGATGTTTTTCCGGTTCCTGGTGGTCCGTATAAGAGGAGATGGGGGAGTTTCTATATCGACACATCAGTGACAGTACATTATGCAACCTCGAGGACGCTCGGTACATTTGTGTCGACAAATCGGTTGATGGTTGCGAGGATATCTTGGTGGCCGGACACATCGTCTAAGCTGCTGGGTCGGTATTTCTCAACCCTGTCCAAGCATAATTAGCAAGTGCATGTCGATTGGTTGAGAGATCAACTTGCCATGGGAGGTTATCTTGAGCTTCAATAGGCAGATCGGCTGCGGTTCTCTTTTTTCCACTGGCATTGTCGGAGCTGAACTGCACGTCCTTGGGCGCATCCACGTCCATTTCATCTTCGTGGTCTGACATATTGACAAGATGGATTTGTTATAGCGAAAACCAACAGCTGGAAAAGATTGGGTGGTCAATGGGAAATCGGGCCTTGACGCGTTCGCAATGTTCACGCGTAAAGAGGCTCGGGGCGGAAAATCATGGAGCTTAGGGACTCCACAGATGACATCCTCACTGCCTAACGTCAACTTGTCCCTCCGCGATACCTCCGATTATCTACAATTAATCCACCGTTGTCGCCTTCAATATGCCTGTACGTATTGGCCCTATTTTCGATATTAATATCTCACCCTATTAACACCCTCAGGCATACCACTCCATCTTCCTGGAGGACCGCGATGTCCCTGTAATTGGTACGAAAACAAACCCCGGTTATCAGGCGCACACCATGCGCCCCATATGATTGTCCTCATATGAAAGTCCAGGACTGCGAATTGACATGCCTGCATAGGAAACTTCCCTATCCTCCCCCTCCGAACACGCACTCGCGGCCCCGCATACACATTGCCCCCGCTTCCCAACACCGACGACCTCGATGTCTCCCCAGAAAGTGAATCATACGACTGTGTCGACGAGATCCTGTCGCTATTCCGCGCGAACGTCCTGTTCCGCAATTTCGAAATCAATGGCCCCGCCGACCGCATGCTCATTTACGGAACCCTGTTCATCAGCGAATGCCTGGGCAAGGTCAAGCTAACAATGAACGCCCGCGATGCCGAGAAGGTCTGTTTCAAGCAATTCGACTCGAGTTTGGACCTTATTTTGACACTTTTAGGCTCTTACCAACGCCGCGCTTGATAACTTTGCCATTCCCGGTGATGTGTCGTTCCCCCTCAATCAGGCATTTGAGGCCCCCCGTGACCGCCAGGACGCCGAGACCCTTCGCCAGTGAGTACTTGATTGGCTTGGAACCCCGTGTGTCTTTATGCTGATTTGGAATTCCCCTATAGGTTCATTGCGCAAGTGCGACAGGAGATTGCTATTCGCCTACACGCCAGATTATACCCCGGTGGAGTCGGACCTTCAAAGGTGAGCTATTATCTGAAAGCAACTCTCAGCGCAAAAATACTAACGGCGCCCTAGTTCTGGCTTAGTTTCACGAAGAGAAAGTTCATGGGCAAGAGCCTCTAGACGAAAGCGTTGCTGTATATTGTTTGATGAAATTCAGCGCATCAATAAATTTTTGATTCGAAAGCTACTTCCAAGATTCGCTGAGTGATGTAGGGGAAACGTACACGGGAGGCGTATTGTCCAATTCAAATTGTTGTTACGATATCCCATACGAAGCCTAGCCCTAACTTCATCAGATCAACGTCGGGGACCCCACGGCCAACGGATTTATGCAGGTTTATACACTAACGGTGTATCGAGAATAATGCTTAGGTTTGGTAAGGTATCGTACATTCACAATCACTGGGACGTCATCTCGACATCTCGATCACTTGCCGGCGTCGATTTTGGCTCCACCTTTCGTCGCTTATGACGGAGATTGCCGGCGGCTTGGATCGTCTGCGTACTGGGGAACACACGAATACCGTGGAAGATGTATCCCTCCGCACCACCGCGTCCAGTCATCATTGGGTGAGTTCGACCGGGCAAAACCTGCCAAGGACGCACCCTCGACGACTGCAAAGTAGGAGGCAGGAGAATTGTCGGGTCAACCACGAACTCTTCATAGAGAGCGGAAAGATCGGCAGCCTCTCCTTTTGACTCTAGCTCTCGCTTCTTCTCGATGAAGGCCGTTCGTCGTGAAACGGAGTACATATCCATGAGTTCGACGAGAGGCTCGACATTCGGCGAGTAAATGACAACAGGAGCTGATCCTGCGAGAAGTGGAACCATGGTCTTCAAGACACTTGATGGTTCCAACAGAGTGGCCATGACCAGGCCGTCGAAATCACCGGCCCGAGATTCGTCCACGACTGATTTGACCTTCTGCCAGCGATTGCGCTTGTGGTAGTATGTTGTGCGTTTACTCTGTTTCATCTCGGCCAGTTCCTCAGCTGGAAGCGCAGGCGGCTCATTGGCGTAGATAGGATCGGAGTTGGGCTCAAGCAGCTGCATCCAAGAAACTGATTTGAGGTGAGTGTAAAGAGGGTGAGATTCATCGGGGTTGTTGGAATCGTAACCGAAATATTTCAAGAGCGACAGGTTGGGCTGGGCGTAAGCGTGCATCACGGTAATGGTATTGGTAGTCGCAGATGACTGTTGAGGTCGTATGCGCCGGGTCTTTGGAGCATTTTCGTCCTGTGTCTCGGTCGTAGTCTCTGCAGAGACATCTGGTTGCTCCTCTGCCTCTTCGGCGTCGTGAGGATAAAGAATTCCCATGCGCTCCGCCATCGCAGCCACCACGAGTCCGGCGGTCTCATCCACGACCGCATAGCGGCCATGAGGCTTGACACCCTCGGCAACTTCGAGGTTGCCGCTGTGGTGAACATTCCCCCAGCACCCGATGAGTCCAATGTGCTCATCGCGCAGTTCCATGGTCTTTTGCGCATCCCGTTCTTCCATCAGGTAATTGGCGAGCATACCCACGTCTAGTGGGAGCACGGTAAAACGCTTCATGTACTTCTTGCGCTTGCGCAAAGTGTACTTGGCGAGCGAGAATGCGGTCTTTTGGTCAATCGCGCTATGCGACTCTAAAAGCTTTGCGACGATGTCTCTTCCTGCGCCACCAGACTCCTTTTTCAACTCCTCGATCTCCTCCAGTGTCAATTTTTGGGACGAGTTCATGTCGATGATTTCACGGTTCGTCCGCATTGGCGCTCCATTTTCACCAGTGTCCAGGTCTTCGGGTTCCACGTCTCCTTCCCCATCGGCGATGAGTGTTTCTGCGTGCAGCTCGGTCGCCGATAGAACACGCAATTGGTGACCGGTCTCATCGCGCGAGTCCAAAATTTCAAATGTGAAGTATAACGGCCGTCCGAGGATCTGGTTGGCGGCAAAGGTGCCGAATCTGCCTAAATTGATGACGCTTGTCTGGTGTTAGCGATGGAACCTTTGGCTTGGGACCGAAGACTCACATATCAGGGATAACTTGAACGAGCTTCAGCTGATCTGAAGGCAGCTTCAGCGCCACCCATTGATTCGGGCGAATGTAGGAATGCATGCCGGCAATGCGTCTGTCAGAGCTACTGTTCCGTCCATAAAAAAGATGCGGGCAACTTTATGGCCGATAACGCAGCAGCCAATCAGCTACTCGGGGTGTCTGCGCCGGATCAGAGATAATCCGAGGTGACCTTGTGCCTTATGGCCTGACATTTCTGCCTGACATTGCTGCCTGAATATCTGTCCAGTCAGCGTGGCGTTCCATGGTTCCAAGGTTTCGAAGACAACGAGTGACCATACCGTACTGTACTAGCGCCATCCCCCCGCCACTCTGTCGGTGTCCCGCTCCCTCCACCGGTAAAACACATACACGGAGCTTTCCCCAGCTCAAGAGGAATCCGGGTGCCTGCGAGACTGTGATATCATCCTCCTCCGCTCCACATCCGTCATTTGCTTTCTGTCCCTTTCTGTGCTCGGGCATGGCTGTCTTGGAATTAAGCTGAGGCTAAGGCTAGCTTACTTGGACGCTCAGCCCCTGCAGCCCAGCGCAAGGCGTTTTCCAATACTTCGTACTACTACCTCATGGCCTGTTTTGTTGACCTTGGGAACTTCAACTTCAATCTGCTTTGATCTGTTGGATATTCTAAAACATTCATACTACGTTGGACCTTCGAATCGCATAGTTGGAGCCTACGTGAACCCACCACCTTGACCCCACAATCTCCAACTCAAAGTTTACGTCTTCATGGGCCTGCGCAAACAACCCCCACCGCGTCTCCAAAACATTAGCAAGCCATATGCTCGAGCAGATGCACGTTCGCCCAAATCAGCATCGGCACATTCTCCATCGTCCTCTCACCAATCTCACATTAAGCGGCTCCCTTCGGAGGATCCCATTTACTCCCCCGACCTGAACACTTCGCCTGCATTCGATCTGATGCCGCTGGAGCAGGCGCAAAGGTCGCCAGTCGGGTCGCCGACGCGCAGCCCACCACATACCTGGTCAGACAGCGGAAGACCAGAAAATAGCGGCGCGGCTCAGTACGGTCACAATGACCACAACAATGGAACATACCAGGACCCCGCGACCAACTCTGGGAACTCGGTCCCACATCCACTCATTCCAGGCCAGTACACTGGCGCATCAGAGAATGTGTGGCAGTCTAATCACAATACCGGCGACGCATCGATGGGAGAGTTACCAGTGCAGCTTCAATCAAACAATCCGTTCCTGAAACCGAGGTCAGCAGAGCATACTCAAGACCTGCTAGAACGAAATGATTGGGGAAGGACATCCCAAGCAACTACCAACAGTGAAGCATTGAGCCATAGTAAGTCTACTGTTCTGCAACTGGGAATTCTTCTTTTTTATGTGACGGAGACTGACAACTTCACAGCGGATGGTTATATCCCGATGACAGCCCGTCTATCTCTATTAGACCAGACAGACCAAGACACCCCGTGGGATGAGCCCTCTCGGCCCCACTTTGATCAACACGCTGTACTAGGTGGTCATCATCTGGAAGATAATTCACCATGGGAATCTCAAAAATCGCCCAACGTCTCCAACTCCCGGGGCCCGTTCCTGCAGGAAGCACAGTCCAATCCATATGATCCACCGGTTGTTGTGGAACCAGTCAGTTCACCCAACGGGTCTGGATATCCCCACACCCAAGACAACCAGCCTTACCAGGCACACAGCCTGGAATCAGATACTGGGTTTAGAACACCCTCAGCTGTACCTTCTAATGCCACATCTGCCACATCCCATTATCTAATTGACTTGGATGTTCCCGGCATGAACCCCAATCATGATGGCGGGTCCCGTGCTGGATCCTCGCTTTACTCAGAACAGGCCTCCAAAGAACCGAATTTGTTGTCCGATGCCCGATCACAAAATCCTGCATCCCCCACAGAGCAACCATGGACAGCTTCGCAGAAACATGAGTCTCAGCCAGCCCGCGTTCTATCTCCCGAGGAAGCCGCGCGGCAAAAGGAACAAAGATCAGAAACATATACGATTCGACATGTTCGATGGACCAATCAGGCGGGCGAATTGCTGGAGTCACCTATCTTGGTTCAGAACCAAAACGGGCCATGTCCCTTGTTGGCCCTCATCAATGCACTTGTCTTACGAGCGAGCCCGACGGCCCACCCACCGATCGTTAGAGCTCTAAAGACTCGCGAGCAAATATCACTAGGGTTGCTTATTGAAGCAATGTTTGAGGAGCTGACAACATGTTTGGGCCCAGATGAGGAATTTCCGGATATCGAGGCTCTGGCTCAGTTTTTGACCATGCTGCATACCGGGATGAATGTAAACCCACGTTTGACTTTGGTAAGTGGAAGCTAAAGACTTATCATTTCCTTCCGTACTGACCTGGTGTATAGGAATCTACTGATGGTCTAGGAACTTTCCTAGAAACCAGTGATTTGCGATTATACAGCACATTTAGAATCCCCCTGATCCATGCCTGGCTAGCTTCTTGGTCTAGCCCTACCCACGCGGCCATGTCGCGAACCGGTCAGTACTACGATGATATTCAAATGCTACCGTTCCGCCGACAAGAATTGGAAGATCGCGCCACTCGAGGCGACTCTCTTAGTTTCGAAGAGGAAAGCACCATGGCAGACATTCAATCGATCCAGCAATTTGTGGAAATTGAAAACGCGACACAACTGAGTCCATTCGGCCTGACGCAGCTTTCAACGAGGCTTCTGCCAGGTTCCGTTTCGATTCTGTTCCGCAATGACCATTTCTCAACTCTATACAAACATCCACAATCGCATCAACTCTACACCTTGGTGACCGATGCGGGCTATGCTGGCCACGCCGAAGTTGTCTGGGAATCTCTGGTGGATGTGACAGGATTCAACACCGAATATTACTCGGGCGACTTTCGCCCGGTTGGCGCTGGCTCGTCTGCCGGGCCTGCCGAGCCTGCTCCATCTAACCCAGCAGGCCCACGAACATCCAGCGTCCCAACAAGCCCTTCCCCAAACCCGACTACAAGCGACACCGCACAGTCCACTGAGCCTACTCAGGAGCAAAGTGACGCGGACTACGCGTATGCACTTTCACTTCAGTTCGAAGAAGAGCAGCGCGAAAATGAACGGACTCAAGATGGCAATACGAGTCGAAACTCTGCGCAAAGCAACCCTCCGAGGGGCCCATCGCCTTCAGCGCGCATGAGCAACGTCCCTACCCGATCTTCGAGTACCGCTACTGGCCTTCGTAGGCCTCGTCCTCCGCCAAATAATGGCCCCGATCCTGATGATCCAAATGCTCCTCCCCCACCTTACGAACAAGCTGCAGGGGGACCCCGATACTCGCCTCCTGATAGGAGGCCTTACAGCGGCGCTCAGGGTAATCAATACCCGGGCAGAAACTCCCGCAATAACTCGCAGTACGCTCATCGACCTCGCCCTTCTGTTGCTTCTAGCACCGATCGGATGGGCAGAGACCGAAACAAAGATTGCGTAGTGATGTGAACCATGACGTGCAGAAAATTAGCATGAGGGCATCGAGCCCCTCATCACGGCTAACGCACATCATGGAATGAATACGACGAAATGATAGGAGCTTTTTGACAATAATATATTCGATTGGCCTGGAAAATGTGATATGGTTGCTAGATACTAGTTTTGCTCGGAGCGTTCTTGTTCTGTTCCTCATTCTCCACGGCGTTATATACAAACCAACACGGATCATCTCCGCACCCTCCGCAGGAGCGGGGCTAATAGTATTATACTCAGACATATCAGATGTCCATCCCACATTGAGACTTCTCCGAACGAGCCTTGGAGAGGCCCCGAGACAGGGGAAATTAAAGGACTGGCTCTGTGGAGCTCCCGTCCCCATTGGCGGAAGTACTGCGCCTTTTCCAATATAGTTAGCCTTGTCATTCTGAAGGCCAAGGCTGAACCATGCAACCTGAGCCGAGGGGGTTCAAGGCCATTGCGAAGTTCTGTCAAGCATCGGCATTGATCAGCTGGTCAAATGGTCGAAATCATACCCCCAATGCAGCCCGGGGCAGCGGCCCGCACGAAGATATCCAGACCCCGGGAGATGCCCAGAGCGACAGGGACCAGGGGCATCTTGGAATTATGCACCCTGTTGCCTATGAATGATCCACCAAACATGTTCATTCGGCATGTCCACTGTGGCTTTGAAGACATGGCTTGCAGGCCATTTGCTTGGCGCTACTATGAGGAGATGAAGTGATCAGAAATCGCGCTGTGATGGAGTTGGTAAGGGACTCGGGGACTATAAATGGACTGAGCTGGTCGACATCAGGTTCAATCTGTTGCTGAAAGCCTGCTACCATCCAAATCACCGAGTGGTAAAGCTGAAAATGCGGTCTCTCTTCCCCGGTGCCCTTGTGGCCTTTGCAGGCATAGCACAAGCACAAGTAGCAGGTTATGGACAGTGTATGATATACTCTTCTCTGCTGAAAGGTGCTTCCATTGAATCCGAGCTAATCGTCGAGCTATAGGCGGCGGAAGCGGATACTCGGGAAGTACTACCTGTGCCTCAGGGTTTGTGTGTGTTGCGCAGAACGATTGTATGTTGATTCCGGCAAAGTTTATCAACTTTACAATGCTAACATCTCACAAGTCTACTCCCAATGTATTCCTGGGACCGCAACTGGTGGAGCTACCACCACCAAGACCACCACAACAGCTGCCGCTACGACGCTGACAACGACTACAAAGACCACAGCTCAGGCAGCTTCCTCAACTTCAAACGGCGCAGTCTGTACCGGAAGCTTTAGTGCGATTTCTGCCGCCGATTTTGTTTCGGCCCTCCACCCCGGCTGGAATGTCGGAAACACTCTTGATGCTGTTCCCGACGAGGGATCCTGGAACAATGTTCCAGTGGTGGCATCCACGTTCGACACTGTCAAAGCTGCTGGCTTCAAGAGTGTCAGACTCCCAATTACCTGGGCCTATCACTTCACAGGCAGCTCTCCGGATTGGACAGTTGATCCGGTTTGGCTTCAGCGAGTCTCTGATGTTGTTGATCAAATCGTAGCCCGCGGTCTTTATGTCGTTGTTGACGTGCACCATGGTATGAGCTGCAAAGTCTAATCTGTGGCTTATATCTTGCTAACATTATGCAGACTCTTGGGTTTGGGCGGACGTCAGCCAATCAGGGGCTGACTTGGCCATGATTGAAGAGAAGTTCTATAAGCTTTGGTATCAGATCGGAACCAAGCTGGCCTGCAAGTCTAGCCTTGTTGCATTCGAGCCTATTAATGAGCCTCCATGCAACACTGCTACTGATGCGGCTGAAATCAACAAGCTGAACAAGATCTTCCTCCAGGCTATCAATGATGCCGGTGGTTTCAACTCGCAGAGAGTTGTTACTCTTGTCGGAGGTGGCCAAGATAGCGTCAAAACTGTTGATTGGTTTGTTGCACCTTCTGGCTTCTCTAACCCATACGCCATCCAGTTCCACTACTACAGTCCTTGTGAGTAACTTTTATATGTTTTAAACCCCATCCATCTTTGGTATTAGCTGACATGACTGCTACAGATGATTTCATTTTCAGTGCTTGGTAAGAACCTTGAGAATATACGATTCAATAATCAGGACGTTGACTGACTTGGATAGGGGCAAAACAATCTGGGGATCAGATGCCGACAAAGCGACTGTCAAAACCGACTTTGAGTTGATTCGCAACAAGTTCCCTAACGTGCCACTTCTCTTGGGTGAATATGATGCTTCACCCACTAACACCGAGCCTGCTGCTCGTTGGAAATATGTGGATACTCTGATCAGGACTGCAGCCAGCCTTGATATTTCCTGTATTCTGTGGGATAACGGCTTGGACCACTTGGATCGAACTACTAGTACCTGGCGGGATACCAACTCACTCTCAATGATCACCAAATCCACCGCATCTACCGCGAACAGCTTGCCGGATAGCACAGAGGATGGTTCAGCGACCACCCAGTCCTCATCGGCATACATCTTCCACCAATATGGAACAACAGTCACCGCGCAGACTCTTCCATTCATCTTCAATGGCAACACTCTGTCATCCATCAGTGATTCAACCGGTGCCACTTTGACATCGGGAACCGACTACTCGGTTTCTGGCGCAAACATTGTTTTCACAGCTTCTTACCTATCAAAGCACCTTTCATCCACCACAGCACCGGGAGTCGTCGCTACTTTGACCTTGAAGTTCTCCGGAGGTAATTCATCACCGACTATTCAGATTGTCCAGTGGAAGACTCCCACCTTGTCTTCAACCTCTGCAGCTGCCTCATCAGTATCTGGCTCAGACCTTTCTATCCCAATCACCTGGGGAGGGCTCAAGACGATCGCGGCCGTCAAGGTTCTCACCAAGAGCGGAACATACCTTGTCGACGACTGGACCAACTACTTGGGTCCCCTTCAACAAGCAAGAGCAGTAAGTCAAAAACACGGAGACCATGAATGCAAATCCCTGTACTAACATCATCATAGACATACAGCGGTCATTACAACTGGGATACTTCGAATGTGATTCTCACCTCCTCGGTTATCAACTCTGTGATTTCCGCTGGGCAATCTACTGTGTTCACTTTTGAGTTCTTCCCCCGCGACAACGGTGCTGTCAATGCTGTCAACTTCACTTTGACGGTTTAAGCGATTCTTTCGGCCAATGAAGAGATCTTGCCATGGTCTGACATGCCGATTGAAGTTTTAGTATAATCCATAGTCATCATTTGCTTCAAACTTTCTAACACCTATCTAATTGTTGTATCTATTTCAGCTGAATATTATCAATTTGTCGACATTGAACTTGGAGCTACATCATGTAAATGCATATCTCGAGGCCTTCAAACGAATATTGCCTCCGCTCTTTTACTGTAGAAGTTTGAGAACATTGGTTCAAGGCCAATTGAGCCTTGGGATATTTTGTCCATTCGCATAATTAACATTAATGTAAACAAAGAGAATCATCACAGTCATGAATTCGTTGAAGCATACCAAAGCAATGCTCAGGTACTCAATACAAAATCTTCAATTCGCGCAGTGGAAGATGAGGATCATATTTGTCCCAGACGATCTTGTTCTTCTCATCCAAATGCGCACCTTTGTCAGTGATGAAGATCGAATCATCGGTTTCCATAACCTCATGATTACTGAAACCCCATTTGTCGCGAGGAATCCACAGAGTTGGCGGCGGAGATGCCACAGATGGCTCAAAGTATGCCGTGCGCATTTCTTCAGGGGTGTAAGAGATTTCGTGAACATTGCGACGGATCTTTCGGCGCAATGCTGCATAATCCTTATACACGTTTGGGTGGAACCATCTCCAGAAAGCCAATGCGCGTGGCCGACGCTGTTCGTTGATTTCTGCAACTCTGTCTTCCTTTTCTTGGAGCATTTCTTCTTCTGCGTCGAGGGATCTGGGTAGGAAGGTATTGAGGGGAGCCAGTGCTTCGCTGAGGGACATGTGTGCCAAGATGTTGCCAACTAGGAACACCGCCATGATAATGACCGGGCCAATAGAACCTTTGATGGCGAATAGGCCAATCATGCATATCTCGGCTAGGTAGAGACCGGTCAATAGATGCGAAAGAGCTCGTGGATAAACTAGGCCTTTGGTATCGATTTCAATGTCGTAGACGAAGAGGAAATTGTATCGATAGGCTTGGTATACAAGGTAAAGTCCGAGGAACGCGAATCCCAAGATCAGGGGAGCAATGCAGGAGTAGGTTAATGCTGGGAAATCAAGTTAGTCGGCTGAATTGTCCATGTAGACTAGGATTTCTCACCGATGACAGCCATGTTGGTAAAAACAGGGAAAACATTTCCCCAACTGAGACTACCTAGCTCCGCCCATCGTTGGAATAGACGACGAGGCGAATAGGCAAAAAATGTGGTGACAAATTTGAACACCAGAGCGCTCGCTATTTGAACAAGGGCCATGGAGCTCATACTCAGTCCTTGGAGTATGAAGTAAGATATATAGAAATTGGTGGCTTTGGGCAAGTTTTCCGCCAAAAGATCCTTGATTGACAAGGGGTTCTGAATGATCTGAGCTGTGGCAGCCGATGCAGCCGATGTCAATGTCGTAACCAGGAACACTTGCACCACCTGGAAGACGAAGTGGGCACTTTGAGTGAACAACTCCACGCGTGCTTTTGAAGGAACACCGGCCCGTCTAGCGCACACTTTTTCGAAGTCAGCATAGGCGATAGAATCGATGGCGAGATTGAATACCTACCTCGACAAATGATGGGCACCAACGACATCAACGCCGCAAGCGCCGCCGCTGGCAAAAGACCCTCGATTGCGCCTTTGAGAACCTCTGGTAAATCGAGGATGAATCTCAGGAAAGGGATGATTTTGCAAATATATGTGACGTTCGAAATTGCCCCAACAATCGCAGCAGGGAATGACCAAAAGATAACCAGGGCTGCCAAAAATCCCTGGACAGCAAATCTTCGTACAATTCGTTGCCACCAACTGAGGTTTAGCGCTGACCACACCACCTCGCGGGGTGAAACGCCAATAAAGCGAGGGGTCATATGGAATGGCTGGTGATGCGACAAGGTCTGGAGAGCGACTTGGGCATCGGCCTGGCTGTTGAATTCAACGAAGATCGCGCTCAACTGAGTAGCTTCGTTGTTCTGGTGCTTAGTTTGTAAAGCAGCCACTTCTTCGATCTTCTTCTTCAGTTCAGCGCGGTACCAGTGAATGGAGTCAACCTTCTTGCCGAAGAACTTGAGTCGATGCATGGGCCGCTTGACCTTATGAGACCATGCCGGGTTGCTCGATTCGCAGTCCAAGCATGTATCGATCGCGTATTCAGTCTTGAGTTCCTTCAGGCGGACCTTGTTAGCAATGCGGATCAACTTTGTTTCCGCCGTTTCTAGCTTTTCGGCGAGTTTGTCTCGCTCGCTGACCAGTCTGTCTAACTTCTTGCAGTCTGAAGTTATCCAGATTCGACGAATGGACTCTCCAAATACCTGTCGAAGCTTCTTTTCATTCTTGTAGGCATCCGGAACTGACATGAATAGAACAGTACGGGATGACATCCGCGATGCGTAGGCAGGGGAGTTCAGATACGCCTGTCGCAAATTTGCGTAATAGAGACTTTCTCGAACCACGACGTAGAACACAAACGCTGTGCTAGTTAGCCATCGATGACTGAATGACGATGGCTCGGGCTTACTGAAAAAAATACATGCCACAATCGCATTCGCATAGTATCGGCTTGGGTTGGCGACATTGCTGAAACTCAGAATATCCAGTTGTGAGTTGCCATTGCCGCCAGTAGCATGGAGTGGTAGTAGGATAGGCCATGTGATCAAGCAGCCTGTCAGACATGTCGCGGCTAGGACTCGTAAAAATCGCAGAAACAGGTAACCATCCAGTGATGAGTGGTGTAGAACATGGTTGTCCTCGATTTTGAGAAATGTCCCCAGCCAGTTAACCCAGCCAGAGGGCAGCTCAGGGCTTCGCTCATGCTCGTGAAGATCAGGCAGGTAGGATCGTGGCGCATACCATCGACGTTGCGTTCGCCGAAATATTAGAAACAGGCTGATCCAGAAGAGCGCGTATACGAGTGCGGGTAGCAGAGTCATCATCAGGGCCGACGCGGACGAACTATCCGAACTATCGGAGCCGGTGAGACCGCCGACAACATCTCCCGATGTAGTCGAAGCGTCGCCTCGTGAGGATCCAATATTTGTGTCATTATCCTGTTGAAGGCATTAGCCATGGCACATTTTGGACATTGAAGGTAGCTCAATCACCGTTATGTTTGACATATTAGCCACACAGCATCCAAATCTTCCGAGTGAACGGGGGGATGCAAATCTCTTAACTCAAACTGACCAGAAATGCCATTATTTCTCCGCTGGCAGGCAATGACGGGAAAAAAAAGCAATACGGACCGCCCTTCACATGGTCGACCCGCATTTTCGACATGTCACTTAAAATGCACGAACACATTCAGCTTCGTGCGCTATGCAGAGCTGATAGGTGGGTCGAATTGGATGCAAACCTTCGGGACGAAGCGATCCGATAGTGTGCGGGTCCTTTGCTGCTCTCCTGAAAATTCCCGGAATGACATGGCCCATCCTGTTGACATATCATTCAACAGTCGGTACGGAGTACAGGACGGTGTACTCCGCACTGATCCTGCTCATAGTGAGGCACTCAAAGATGTGATGTGATGGGAAACTATCAGGTGGAGCACGCCGATCTTCGGCGATCAAGACCCCTGAGCGATAGATTCACCCTGTCCAATGCGTTCATGCAGGCTGGGCCAATGACATGAACGTGCCATGACCCGGCATGCTTGTCTTTGCATCGCACAGTGACATCCTGCGTATTGTATCAGGTAGCGATGAGCGGTAGATCTGTAGGACAAAGATTCCAGCCTCCTGAGTGGAACATTAATGGCGCAGAGATACATGCTTCGGACAATCCCCCCCACTCAACAAGGCTGAACCAGAGCCGCGGATAGTTCTAGTGTGGCTATCATAGCTCGGCACTTTGTGCGCAGGAATCACACCCAGCTGGGCTGGACGTAAGGGGGTCACATCCTGGCCTTCTGGCGGTAATGGGTAGCACTCAGAGGCCGGAGACTGAAGGAACGGTGCATGAGGAATGCTGCGGTGGATTCTGCGTCCAACCCTCATGCATCAACACGAGATAGGAATTGGGCATCGCAGGCTAAAATTGTGTCAGGGCTGATCTATCGCGTTATACGGCGTACAGTAGCTTGATCCGACGCACACATGGAGTAGGGAAAATCCAGTTGTCCAAGCTCCAGTGAGAAGAAGGCAAACAGTTGAGATGCAAGTCCACGTCGCCGCGTCGCGTAGTGAGTAAAGGCAACGTTTCGGGTCTCTCACCCTTTCCTCTTTATGCGAAGATTACGAGATTCATTAGACCGTTTTTATTTAATTTCTCTCTGCCAAGTAAAATATGCAATATTTCCCTTCACCTTCCCTTCGGACCAGCCGCGGTGAGGAAATCGAAATCAGCCCCTTCCTGAGCCTGGTTGACCGAACGTTGATACAGACCGGCATATCCCCTCTTGGCCTGGATGTCGTCCGTGCGACGAGCCTGCTCACTGCTCAATGCTCTTTCCGCAAGGCGCTCGTCGATCTCCCGTTGGTCAACATCTAGATTCAGCACTCGCGTTTCAGCGTCGCAGGTGATGATATCACCATCTCTCACGATGCCCAGGACAGAGGTTGGCACGATCGCCTCAGGTGATACGTGTAGCACAATCGTGCCACCGGCTGTGCCAGACATCCTCCCGTCGGACACCCTCAGCATATCTGTGACACCCGCGGCAGCAAGCTTGCGGGGTAATGGGATCATTCCAGCCTCGGGCATACCTGGGTTGCCAATGGGACCGATTGCCTGGAGAACAAGGACAGAATCCTTGGTCACGTTGAGATCAGGGTCGTCGATCCGAAGGGCCAGATCAGCACTGTTCTTGAAGACCACGGCGGGCCCGGTGTGGCAGAGTAGGCGCCGATCTTTCGAGGCAGACGCTTTGATGATGGCACCCCCAGGCGCGAGATTGCCTCTGAGAACAACCAATGATGATGCAGGATACAGAGGGTTGGACAATGGCCGAATGATCTCTTGGGAGTATGGGAAGGTTCGGAAGGGGGTCTGATCCAAGACCTCACCGAGAGTTATACCGCTCAGCGTCATCGCTGAAAGGTGAAGCAACGGTCGGAGGGTGTGCAGCAAGGCAAGCATACCCCCTGCGTTATGAAAATCAGTCATATAATTGTCGCCACTGGGTTTGAGATCGATGAGCAGAGGGACCTTCCGACCAATATCATCAAAGGTTTGCAGTGTTATATCGCCACTTCCACAGAGCTTGGGGTGACGATTAACGATCGCCATCAAATGCACTACGGCATTGGTCGACCCTCCGATCGCTTGAAGCACGATAATGGCGTTGTAAAAAGACTCCTTGGTCAGGATTGACTGAGGGGACCGTTTGGCACCCGCTGCCGCAACAGCGTTCGCGCCTGTTTCTTCCGCAATGCGAAGCCGTGCGGAGGAGACAGCGGGTGCAGATGCACCGCGGAGGGGCATGAGCCCCAATGCTGCGGTGATGCATGCCATCGTACTGGCTGTCCCCATCACTCCGCATGTTCCAGCCTTAAGGGAATTAGTTGAATTTCCGTTGTTTCTTGTTAGGCCACACTCACCGTGGGAGCCAGCTCTTCGTTCAGCGACGCAATATCTTCCACGTCTAGGTTTCCAGCTCGAAAAGACGCCCAGTTATTCCGACAATCTGTGCATGCTCCGATCCGCTTTCCTTTATGGCTCCCTGGCATCATCGGACCTGTGACCAAAGGTAAAATGGGTTTGTTTGCGGATATTCCGCCCATGATCTGAGCAGGTACAGTTTTATCGCATCCTATATTTGATCAGTATTGGCCCATTCGTCTCAAAATCAAGACACATACCTCCTATCATGATACACGCATCAACTGGCTGAGCCTTGATCATTTCCTCCGTGTCCATACTCATGAGGTTTCTCAAGAACATGCTTGTCGGATAGGAGAACGACTCATGGATGCTGATAGTAGGAAAATCGATAGCAAGTCCACCATTCAATTGAACACCTCGCTTGGCGGCTTCAATGAGCTGCGGCACGTTCGCATGACATGGATTGAAGCTTGAATAGGTGTTGATGATTCCGATGATTGGCCTCGACAGAGCGTCTTCACTATACCCCAAGGCTTTGATAAATACCTTTCTCAGGAAGAGGGAGAAGTGGGCATCTCCATAAGAGGTGAGTCCTTGCCTCAGCCCTGTCGATGCTACCAATGGCTTCTCAATCGCATAGTCCTCTTCGGCAAAAGCGGCCATGGTCGATGTCTAGTGCCGAGACAAGCAAATCTGGATATTTCAGACTTCACTCGGGACTTCAACGAACCTCTGCGCTTCGGAATTTTATTGTATAATCAAATATACACGTTTCAAACTCAGACATTCACCAATGCGAATGGGATCCATCGGTTGTTTTTATATCGGAAGCGTCCCGCCGAGGAAGCGGGAAGTCCGAAGCCTCGGAAAATAGCCTTCGCAGGGAATATCAAGACCGACACAGACGTCGGGACAGTTCCGCTTGGCCGCATTATGACATGGTGTGTTATAAACACCCGGGCGCTCAATATATCTGCAAAAAATTATAAACTCTTCACTCTCAACAGCACTAAAGAAATAAGCTCTTCGCCATCATGTTATCTCTCGACGGAAAAGTCGCCCTCATCACTGGTCTTGGACAGAGCCATTCTGAAGGATGGGGCATTGGCGCCGCCATCGCCGTTCTACTAGCTCGACAAGGTGCCAAAGTCTTCGGCGGAAATCGAACACTTGCTTCAACTACATCCACCAAAGCGGCCATCGAAGCCGAAGGCGGAACCTGCGATGTCATTGAGACCGACGTGACTTCAAGCACATCAACCAAAGCTCTCGTGGATGCATGCATGGCAAAACATGGACGTATCGACATCCTCATCAACAACGTTGGGCGATCGGAGCCAGGGTGTCCTGCTACCATGCCCGAAACAATCTGGGACTCTCAAGTCGATCTAAACCTCAAGAGCGTGTTCTTGATGTGCCAAAATGTTCTGCCAATTATGGAAGCCCAAGGCAGTGGCGCCGTCGTTAGTGTTGCGAGCATCGCTGGTCTGCGTTACATCGGGAAGCCCCAAGTTGGGTATTCTGCGACAAAAGCTGCGATTATACAATTGATGAAAACTACCGCTGTCATTTATGCTCCGAAGGGTGTTCGCTTGAATACTGTTGTGCCTGGACTCATGGATACCCCTTACACGAAGGGATTGGTGTCCAGATACGCGACTGGGGGTCAGGCGGAGGAGTATATGAATATGCGAAATGCACAAGTCCCCATGGGGAAGATGGGGGATGCTTGGGATGTGGCTAATGCCACGTTATTCCTTGTCAGCGATGAGGCCCGATACATCACCGGGCAGGAGCTGGTTGTGGATGGTGGGATTACATCGTCGACAGGAAGGACATAAGTCGACCACCACGAACTCCAAGTTATATTTCCAAAGTTCCGAATATGCATGGATGTTTCCATCAAAGTCACTTTCTTTTCTGCGGTGAATTGGTGATTTCGGTACATGGTGAATCTAATTCTATCCAATTTCGAAAAAATCGTACCTCGAATCTGAGGCTCCAAGGTCTGTAGATCCATTCGGCTTTTGGTTGTACATAAAGCTATGAAGTGCTTCACCGTTCTTCGCATTTACGATTGATAGCTTCCCGCTTGAAAATCAGAGCTTTTTAGAAAAGAATGAGCCCCCAGCTTGTGACATCTGAAGTGTTACGCGTGAAAATGATATGTTTGATATCCCCAGGCTAGCGATCTAGACCGTATGATTTTTTGAACTTCCTATCGATCGGCGATTTTATAAGCCATGAGCGCGCGACCTATTACCTAGATCGGTCAAGGAACAAGCTAGTGAGGTGGAGTCAAATCTCGTTGAATCATTCAATACACTCGTAGGGGGCCGGGGGCTGATATCTTGAAGACGCTAACAGTAGCCCCCTCCGCCCCCTTCAATCCACCAGAGGGGGAACGGCCCCCTCAGTGCTGCTCCCCAAAGAAAGATGGGGTATGAAATGTCTTATTTGGTGCAAGGCAGATTCAAGCCGCTCTTTTCGCTCGGATGTGGGCTTTTTCACTTGTATCATACTAGCTCAGTACTGTGCATGAGGGTCTCTCGACACGCAGAATACTGAATAACACTATGTATTTGGAGGCAGAGGAGCTGTGTTGATGTAGTAAAGAGCAGCAAACAATATATGACTGTTGATTATAAGTTTGGGAACATCTTCGATGTTGATTATACCAAGTCTAAGCACCATCTGCCGAAATTAAAGACCCACGGTGGTTGAACTATACATCCTCCAATCCGGCCGTGTATGTCGTAAAAATAGTTTACCAGTTTCAGAAGAGGTCTGACCGTCCCTTGATTATTGCTTTTTCCCCCTCAAAATCCTGTTCCTGTTCAATACCCCGTATCCTGCCTGCTCTGTGGCTTGCTTATGACTTGTGGCTAGTAGACAGCGAGGACGTATATCATCGCAGTGATGTCGACGAGGTACTCTGTCAGTGAAGGCTTCTCTCTGCTCAAGTGTCTAGTCTTCCCGCTTCTCCTTTTGAGCCTCATCACCACCGTCAATGCTACAAGTGCATGTTATTTTCCCAACGGAGCGAGGAGTCCAGACGATTCGCCATGCTACACTGATGACGATGGGGTAGCCTCTCACTGCTGCTCATCAACTTCAATTTGTCTTACCAACAAACTATGCTTGTCCATGGAACAGCCGTACGAGCTTTCACGGGGAAGCTGTACCGATGCAGATTGGAACAGCGGCAGTTGCCCATTGGGCTTGTGTGGTAAGTTCCACGTTCACGATATTCTTACATATGCTCATTCGGCACAGAGAAGGCCCAGCCAGGCACTGGCGTCGCCATTATGTTATTCAATGGGACTGGCTCTGCCGCCTCATATTGTTGCAACTCTGTTCTTACCAATGCAACAACTGGCGAGAATATGTGCAGCGACGTCGACGGATCTCCACAATCCAGCTTCACGATCACCGAAGGCGAGATTATCCCCGGGACCGCGGCTCTATCAGATTTAGTGCGGAAATCAGATAAATCATATTCGTCTGTTGTCACCAACACGAGCAGGGCGTCTACGGAATCTGAATCAACCAAAGAGGATCATCCGAAAGAGGTAGCAATTGGTGCTGGAGTTGGAGTTCCCCTTGGTGTTCTCGCCCTTGCTGCTGTTGGTTGGGCACTGTCAGAACGAAGAAAAAGGAAGCGGGCATACTTCCAGCCCGAACAGTCAGATCATCTAGCCCATTCCGTTCAGCCTGTTCAGCCAGTGGTAGCCCACGAACGCAGTGTCGAGATGAGCGCGCTAGACCCAGACGGTTCCAAGCCGCCGGAGATGGACTCTCACTCGCCCCGTGGCTAGATACAACGGTGAGACCAATATGTAAAGGCATGATGAAGATCAAAATGTTCTGTAAGTTTCAGTTCGTTGAAGCTGCATCCTATCCCACAACCTAGCTCGCCGCTCATCTCAAAGACAGGTCGCTACGAATGGTCAGAATGGGCCATTCTAAGTTCAATATCCTGCAGGGTCCAAGTTCATATTGTTCTTCATGACACTATGTTTTATATACCAGATTCACTACGCTTATACCCGCAATTAGTGGCCTAATGTTATATATCTTTGTGGATTTGGATTACAAACATTCAAACACACAGAGACGTTGTTTGTATTACTTCAATGCGATGAGACGAGAGAAATCTTGGAAGAGACCTCCCGAGGTCCAGGGCTGTGTGCGAACCGGGTAAATTCGTTATATATCTACATTATAAACTCTATCATCTGCTGTTCGAGATTTCGAACAATATGTACACAGACAGACGCAGATATGACCATCCTTCATACTGTCATCCAGCGCTAACCATCCCTTCAAAGTCGGCCTCCTCGATCAAGATGTATCGCTGCATGTCCCACATGGGCAGATACCAGCTTTGCAAGCCTCGATGTCGATCTCTTGTCCCTCAAGGCGAAAGACGGCGAATTGAGCTCAATCCATCAACTTAGGCAGCCTCGATTCGTGGCTTCTGGTGCTCCTTAGAGACAGGCAGGAACTTTGTGTGCGAACCCTTCGAAACCAAAGGGCCAATTTCACCATCGACAACCTTAGAGATTTTGATAGTAGTAAAGGCCATTGTCTTGCCTACTCGATCCGCAACAGCAGAGATGTCCAGGGTTTCCCCGGCAGTAGCAGTTGAAAGATATGTGACGTGGATATCAACACTGGCGCCTGTCTTCTCATATCCATGAGTGGCAATGGACATTCCTCCGGCCCAATCAATGATAGCCGCGGAAACAGCCCCGTGGATGGTGCCTCGGGAGTTGACATGATCAGCAGTCAGCTTGAGTCGGGCTTGGAAGTGTCCGCGTGAGGCACTGATGATCTCAACATTTGAGAGAACGAGGCGATAGATGGCGCTGTCGTTCTTGGCGCGCTCCCAGACCCCGCGGACGTGTTCTAATGTGGAAATGTCCATGATTGTGATGAATGACGGTGTCTGGAAAATTGAGAGAAAGTATAGCGAACTGCAATAGCGAGAGTCCAGAGTCGTGATCAACGAAATGTTCCCAATCACGTTTTGGTGAGGGATTGTGCGCGGCTGGAAGCCGAGTCTGCGGGGTGTGGGCCGCGTTGAGCGGGACCGATCCGGCTGTCGCGTAGTAGCGAACTGAGACCGGCGAAGACGGTATCATCTGGATCTTCAGTCAGCAAGTAAATAACTCCTGGGAGAGCATGTTATCCTGGAATAAGTGGAAATTGTTGTCGCGCTTGCTTGAGTGCATATGGTGGAATTAGAACTTGAGATAAGAGTGGTATAATCCTGAAAATTTCCCAGTTGGACTGAAGACGTCTATTTTGGATCCAAAAATCTGGAGGCGTTGGACTTTGGAGATCAACTAATTATCTTTCTCTTGATTGGAGAATCTTGCCACGCACCCCCCAAGCCAACCTGTTAGCTGCGTATCTCCTTCATACGACCCTCTTCAATTATCTAGCTTGGTCCTCGAACACAAGCAGGTCTCATTGTAGTCTTCTGACCGACCAGACATTAAAATCAACATAGTGAAAATAGCTATGTCTCAGTGTTCCAGGGGAAACACCCGCGGGACAACAATGTCGAATGCAATGGCATTCACAAAGTGCTATGAGTTCGTCATCAGTCAAAATTCCCCCAAGCCCCTGCTAGGCCACTTGACAGGCCGTGGACGATCGTTTTCGCGCAGATATAAAAGCTCTCTCCTGTCCATCTGGGTATCTCGGAACCATTCTGCTTTCACTTTGTCACTTTACCATGCCTTCTATTTCCCTCAACATCTATTTCCTACAGGTCTTTCTTGTCATAGGCCCTGCCTTTATTCTATATGGCTACAACCAAGCTGGTCTCTCAGCCCTTTTGAATCTTCCCGACTGCGTGCATCATTTCCCCCAGGTCGATACCCTGAACACCTCCGGAGCTACGAAATCCGAAAACTCAACCATACAAGGCGTCGTCAATGGCTGTTTCCAACTTGGGGCACTTTTTGGATCCTTGTCTTGCTCCATCGTCGGTGACCAACTTGGTCGTCGGAAGACTATATTTGTTGGTGCGCTGCTTGCTGGGATAGGTCAAATTCTCCAATGCACATCTTTCAATCTTGCCCAGTTCGTGGTTGGGCGAGCCATTCTAGGATTCGGTGTCGGACAACTCAGTGTGACTATTCCTGTCTGGCAATCTGAGATATCTGCTGCAGGTAAACGTGGGCGAAGGGTGATCACAGCTGGAATTTTCATCTGCGTTGGATTTACCATGTCAAGTTGGATCAATTTTGGTTTCACCAAAGTGCAATCACAAGCTCTGCAATGGCGTGTGCCTTTGGCTTTGCCCTTCATTTTCTCCGTCATAATCTGCTTATCTATCTTTTCGCTTCCAGAATCACCCCGGTGGCTTGTCCAAAGCGGCCAGATAGCCAAGGCGACCGAAACTCTTGCCAGTCTCAATGGACTCACCGTCGACAACTCATACGTTCGATCCGAGATTGAAACAATACAACATGCCCTCGAGACCGCATCTCAAGGCTCCCTGAAGGATATCTTCGACCCCCATGATCAACTCCGCCTTCGATATCGATTCACACTTTGTCTTGTCATTCAAGCCTTACAACAGCTCGTCGGTGGAAACCTGATCTCAATCTATACAACCAAAATCTTCAGGGACAACCTCCACCTTGACGGAGACCTACCGCAGATACTAGCTGCGTCCTCTCTGACATGGAAGTTCTTGTGTTCGTTCATCGCATTTGCCGTGGTTGATCGCTTTGGTCGGCGGTTGATCTTCGTGGTCAGTGGAACAGGCATGTCAATTTGCATGGTTGTCATGGCCATTGCGACAAGCTTCCCTGATTCAAACAAGGCTGCATCGATCGTAGCCGCTGCATTCGTCTTCATTTTTAACTTGTGCTATCCCATCGGTTTCCTCGGCGGAAACTTTTTATACTGCACTGAAATTGCACCTGTTCGACTACGTGTCGCCATGTCATCAATTTCGACAGCAAATCATTGGCTTTGGAACTTCATCATTGCCATGATTACCCCCGTGGCCTTGGAAAATATTGGCTGGAGATACTACATCGTTTTTGCGGTGATGTCGGCGTGCGTTCCGCTGATTGTGCTACCTTTCTTCCCTGAAACCATGAATCGCAATTTGGAATTGATTGATGGGGTATTCAGGGAAGCTCGAAGTATATGGGATATAGTGCCATTGGCTAGGAAACTACCCCAGGGAGATGTCTCTCCGGAAACAGGTCCTTTGGAGAAGAAAGGCATAATGGACTCAACGGAGCACAAAGAGTTTGCTTAACTGGCTCGGGAGAAAGGGGCTTAGATCCTTATTGTGATGGTCCAAGTCTTTGGGGTTAAGACTCTTTTCAGAACTTACCACTTTGTCCTATTTGTATGTCGTCTTGTCGCTCAGTTCCATATGGGCGAGAGTCTCTCGGCTCTGGTTGTTAGAGTGACTGAGAGATTATGTGCTAGAAACCATATTCATTTTCAAACGTTATTGAATTTTTCCTTTCTTTTTTCGACTAAATATCCGGCTGACCCTTACCTCGTTTATCCTATATCTCATTGCAGAGTAGAAAGCTTACTGTTCACACAAAGGCACGATTATATTTCCAGGTTATCTGCAGAATCGACGACCCAAAATCACAAATGTATAGTTCAGAGACACCCACGACAGTGCCACTGGACCCTCAAAATCGAGGCCGTCTCACTTTCGACTATGTACAGCACAGATAAGCTCTCTCCTCCCCAGGTCAAATTCGTAGTCGAAGCCCCAGCTGGCGATTTGATCTGGGTCAACAACTCTCCATTGGCTCTGTGAACAAACACAGTCCCAAGCGTAGAATGAGCAACAAAAACATTTCCTTCTTCATCCAGCGCCATCCCATCAGGACCACCGATGCCATAATAGCTAGAGAATCGACCAACTCGTTGAACGCTGCCATCTTTATAGAATGGCATGTGCCAGATGGAGTTATCTCTGGTCATGGCAACAAACAGAGTCGACGCATCCTGGCTAAGAATCAACCCATTTGGCGAAGGTCCATTTGCAAGAATTTGGCCCATCCTCCCATCTGGGTGTATCCGATACACACGACCAGTCGGATCGTGGAGTCCAGTCATTCCTTGATCGGTAAAGAATATTGACCCGTCTCTGCTGACGGTTAGGTCGTTGGGGCCTTTCAAACGCTCGCCGTGGAAGCGTGAAACGAGTGTAGTCAAGGAGCCAGTCTGGGGATCTAGGGACAAGATGCCTTGCTTGAAATCTGCAATGACAACTTGTTTCGTGTGCCAATTCCACGCCATCCCGTTCGGCTCCCCATCGTATTCGAGAACTAAAGTCCACGCTGCCGTTTCAGGGTTTATTGAAAATATTCGGCCGTAGGGGATATCCGTCACAAACAAGCGGGATAGATGAGGCACCCAGACAGGTCCCTCGAGAAAAGAGTCGAGCGCACGGCCTCGTTTTTGGTTTTCGGAATGCTCTGAGGTCCCTAGTCGCCGGAATTCCGGTGGGAGTGAAGTCCATCTCTCGCTGGTAATGATGGAAATTCGTTCGATGGGCATTGCACCTAAATCGATGGATGACCGCTCAAAGAACGTATTGATTCGGACTGGGTTGATTCATGGCTGAGATTATCACCTAAAGGCCTTAAACTCGTGCGGGATGCTTCCGTTCATGGTGCGGGTACCATCCGACCGCGAATCGGCCGAACAGAGGACAACCTTGCAATGCACATGAGAAAAGTTTTAGAAAAAGCTGGCATTCATATACAGCATCTAGATCAAAAGATTGGAGGAGGACCAGGCAAAAAGAAAATGACAAGAGTGGGATTCGAACCCACGCCCGTGAAGATTACGGAAGAACTGCACCATTTCTGGTTTAGCCTAAACGTAACGCCTTAGACCACTCGGCCATCTTGCCAAACAAGTGCCATCTTGTGACTTTATCTGGATAGTATCGCAAATTGTAGCAGGGCACCAAGCGAAACTGTTCCTCAAAACAAACCCTAGTTATCGTACAATTTCTGGAGTTTTTCCACGAAGATCCGATATAATGTTCTATTTGCGGTTGAGTCTCTAATTAGACTGTCCGATGATTTGAAAGTAATGCAAACAATCACCTAAAATAGGTGTAACATCATACAGATCTATCCGTACGATCAACATCTATCCCGAATCTGTGCATTCTAGCGGGTGATTTGCGTGACATTCATGGGAAAAATAGGCTGTATAATGCGTGTGTCGAGGTTGACCGAGGTGAAAAGACATTGAATGATGAACATCAACGTTGCTGAGATGTAGGCCCAGCAATGGGCTGGGTTGGGCCCGAGGCCCTGGTGGGAGCCAAGCCCAGAGCCTTCTGCTGGGCCCCCAATGGGCATCGGCAACGAAGATAATTGTTGAGACAACGGTGTGAGCCTAGAGCTCACATACACAACGAAAGCGTAAGTGCTGTTATCACGGGAAGCATTTTCCAAATCTCCAGAGGTACGTTCAGGATCAAAATGCATGATCCTCTTGCCACTGACTCAATTTTTACTCCGGCCTCAACGACATTGCGTGGAATATTTTCGGTCAACCATGCCTTCCATAGAGCGGCCTCGTGCGGCAGATTTGTTCTGATCCGTGCTCAGAGCATAACAACCGCCTCTGGGCGCGCCCAGGCACTTCGAGGAAGTATTCTCTGTTGACCAAGACGTGCGGTGGTCACACTTGGCTGACTACAATGTGGGATATGGACGAGGCATGCTCCTATCTGGTTTTGTTGGGCCAGACGAAAGATGGTGGCGTATATCTGGGCGAGGGTTGCAGGGACACCGTTATAATCCCGGAGCGTGTCAATGAAAACCTGCGTGAAGGACCAAGGGCAAGCAGCGGTCATAGACAGAGGGACCACTCGAACTGAAAGGCAAAACATGCAAGATGCAATGTATTGAGAGAAGTGAGGAAGAGAGAGGGAAAAATAGAGCAAGATCCAACAACTATGGATGGAAGGAAGCATTACCTGACTGCTTCAACAAGCGGCTGCCGTTGCCTTCCAGCCGGAAGCTGCGACCAACATACTGCCAAGGTCTGCAATGTTTATGAAGAAGCCAAGGATTGGCTTTTTGTAATGTTTGGGGCCCAATGGGCCCCCAGAAATGCCTTATGGGCTCAGAGCCGGAGCCCAGAACCGATCACTGGGCCCGAGGACCGGCCCAAACCCCAGCCCATTATTGGGCTCTGGGCTCTGGGCTCTGGGCTTTCTGGGCTTTCTGGGCTTTCTGGGCTGGTGCATAAGCCTAGTCTGCAGCATTCCCCGCCTCTCGATGTCAATAATGCCGAGCTCATCGCTAGTTATTCCCCCGATATGAGACCCGAGAGTTCTTGAAACACTCTCCCAAGGTTGTATTGGGTTTTGTCACAACTTTTGTATCGGGTGAATTGCGACCGGGGCTCAACGTCAAAACACAGACATCAACTTCGCTTTCCGCTGAGCTCCGATCGTATTCCTTTCCTCAACTGGTATAGTTCACGATGATCGGCAATTGAAGAGACTCTGGCAATTGATGGGGACGATTCCCATGTAGGGAATTTTGGTTTAAAAATGCTTGACTTCCAGGGTCCTGTGAGTTATCCTCAACAAAACGCAAGATGATGCTTGCTGTGTCTTTGTTGGCTGCCTTGGGAATCTTGTCAGGTACTCATGCCTCTCCCAGTCCCCCAGCACCCGAGCCGATTGAAGTATTCGAGCTACCATTGCCGCCTGTCATTTCCAACACCACCGAGGGATCTTGCACGACAGACATCAACCCGCACGGGACTGGATGCATCCATCAAGTCTTCGACGAGTTTCAAGCTGGCGACTTCACCCCAGACGGAAAGCATGTCATCGTCAATGTCGAATTCGTAGGTGCCCCCGCGGCTCCAAACCCGGCTAGCATCTACTCAGGCGAGCAAGCCATCCTGATCAAGGCGGATGGGACGACGTTTCCAAACGGAGATACCTGGAAGTGTTTGAGCTGCGGAGTCCCTGCCAGCAATGCACGCTCGCTGGACCCAGAACGAGACTATCCCCATGTCGCCCGAAATGGAAAGCAGGCCCTTTGGGGCCACAACATCATCGACTGCGGTGACTTCGCACTTACTAGCAGCCAATGCACTCCGAACCGAACCCATATCTATCCTATTCACTGGCCGACTTCCGTCGACGGCTCTGGAAAGGGAGGTATCCCTCGAGAGATGCGTCTTCACCCCGATGATACTCATATGGGCTGGAGCTCATTCACGTCAACCGGTGGTCAATTTGCCTATTTTGGTCGACTCCAATTCAACCCTAGCCCCAAAGATGGTATACCCCTTGCGCCGCGATACGATCTAGTCAATGTGAACGTTCTCATTCAATCCCACGGCGTCGGTCCTATCATGGCCAATGGAACCGAACTTCAACTCCACGACGAGGCCATATCTGTTGGAGAGTTACGCGGATTTAGCGGATCTGGTGATGAGATCCTGTATATTGGGTCCCCCCGGGAAGCCAACAATATCGATGTTTTCGCTATTCACGTCACCACTGGTGCTGTTCGTCGCCTAACCAGCCACCCCGAATACATCGATCCGCTCGCCTTTTCCCACGATAACAACTGGTTCGTTGGCATGGATACCCGTGGATCCAACCGTCAGATGTGGATGTCTGGAATGCGTTATATCCCGCCCCTAATCGACCTTGTTACAGTCACCGCGGCCTCTTCTACTCGAAACAACGGGGCCCGCCGTTTCTTCCAGCCTGTGCTGATCGACCGTTACGGTGACCGTGATACTTATTTTGGTCAAGGAGTGAATGTCGCAGGGAATGGCAGCAGCGGTAGTGTGAACGATCCTAACTGGAACGGCAGGGCAGACCCTGCATTCTCTCCTGATAGCACCAAGATTACATTTTGGCAAGCAATCGTCGCCTCTCCTGACTGCGGAGGTGTCAATCCTTTAGTTTGCCCTGTTTCTACTGCCGATGGAGGCCGAACATACCGTGTCATGCTAGCCCATCTTACCAAACGCAGTCCTCAACAACCTGCCCCTATCTTCCAAATTCCCGACAAAATCCCTTGGGCGACTCCATTTCCTCCCGGTGCGTCGGCTCCTGATCAATACCATTTACCGGCGGGTAACTACACGCTGCGTGGAAAGGTTCAGGGAGTGGCGCACGCGATCATCACTTCCAATCCGGAGACTGGTGGATATCGGTCTGTTTCGGTTCGGTACGAGGATTACTCGGACGTGAAAGGATATGTCATAAACGGGACGGAGTCTGTCACTTCTATCAACACACCCACAGACCCCTGGGAGGTCAAACTTGAGTGGTATTCCGACCTACATGAGACTGGAGTTGTCACGGCCACCAAGAAAACGGGACCCGGTGGTTTCCACCTGTCAACCAATGCTCAGACGAACTTGTTTAAAGCAGATGGCACATTGACTACTACGATTGACGGTGTTGTCTATGAGCAGCCTGCCAATGGTACCTGACGATTGGGTGATTTATGTGAAGCTATGAGCCGAATACTGTCAATTATATACGAGAGACAACATGATCTAGTATGCCATGTCCATAATCGATTATGCAAAGCCTATATTTTCTTCTCTTAACTTCCATTCAAGCTCTAGTTACCCGTGCAATTCATTTCCAATTGTTGACTTGGCATCGGTGATTCTTTGGCCTTCCAGTCATCGCCCCCGGGCCGCGGTCAGACCTCCGCAGGATCATGGGACCTAAGCTGCTTCCCGAGGTCACTGGCGCACTTCAGGGTTAACATCTCCCGAGGTCCACTCCCCAAATTGCCATACTATCGACGCTGCCAATGCCCTCACGGAAATCATATGGGAAATCCCACCACGGCTGCTTGCAATGCAAGCAGCGCCGGATCAAGTGCGACGAGACTCGCCCCCATTGCGGATCTTGCCGGAAAAAGCACATCTCCTGCACGTTCGAAAGTTATCATCCACAGGACTTTCGCCCTTGGGGTTTCTCCGCAGCAGACCCAGGACGAAGCACAAGCAGCACATCCAGCCTAGCTCTGGGCGATCTCGAACTCTTAAATCATTGGCACACGGCAGTTGCTTCATCACTAGCACAGAACGAGGCACTAGTCGATGTCTTCCAGACGCATGTTCCCCACAAGGGGATCAGCTACCCGTTTCTCATGCACGGGATCCTTGCAATTTCAGCATTACATATATCTCGGGAAATGTCAGATTCTCGCTGCCAAAAATATGCAACAATGGCAATACAACATCACACCCTCTCATTATCTTTGTCTGCGCTGAATTTGAGTCATATAACGCCAGCGAACTGCCATGCCCTTTTCGCATGCTCTCTTCTCATTGCTAGTTTCTCATTTGGGTATCGGGGGTCAGACACCCCAAGATCCATGACCATGGGCGAAGTGATAAGTACTTTACAGTTGCTCCGCGGGTCTGCTTCAATTGCAGAGACAGCCAGACCGTGGATAGAGCGGGGTGATCTCAAACCCTTGTTGAAATTCACCCGGGGTGCACACCAAAGCCAAACGTCGCAAGTCAATGAAATTCATACTCGATTAAAAGCACTGCTGGGACTACAGGCCAACGCCTGGCTGTTCAAATGCCAGCGTAAGCCGGTAGTGCAAAAGTCGATCCAAAAGCTCATGGATGTTGTTGATTCATATGTCGCCACCGAGAACCCGAGAACAATCCTCGCCTGGCCTACTATGATTGAGGCTGAATATCTGGATCTCGTGCTAGAAAAGGAACCAATGTCGTTAGTCACGCTTGCTCACTACGGGGCACTTTTGCATCTCATGACCAAGGCTTGGTGGATGAAAGGCTGGGGGGAGACTATGGTTAACCTGGCTAAAGGGTGCTTAGACATGTCCCTACAATCCGCAATTGCCTGGCCTCTAGCTGTGATCAACAATTCAGGTGCAGGAGAATAGCAGAATCTGTTATATACCTACATAGGTACGTAGGTATCGATGTACCTATTGTCTTCAGAATCCTGACACAAAAAACAACCTTGGAAGGACCGTGTCCCCCTCGGTTCCCCCGCAGTCGGCTACCGGCAACTAAAGCCTAAGGCCACCGCCCGGGCCTATGGCCCCTACGACATCCCATACCCCAAACAAACTTCTAAGTGCCGTCGTCAAGAGCTGTACAATTCTCATAACGGAGTGAATTATAATGGATTGTCCAGCTTTGCAGATCGGCATTGATCCGGTCGAAGGAGAAATCGTCAAAAACAGATAATTGAAAAAAAAAACTCCATTCATGGAAGAAAATTCTCAATTTGTTGTGTAACTCCTGGGACTGTCTGCTTATGATTTCGCAGGTAAAGGCTCGAGAGGCCACTCGTACTCTCGAGTAAAAGTCGTCTCAAATTTCCACTCCCCAGGGCCAACAGTCTTCTCCAGAAGTCCAGAGCCCTCGGGGAGAATAACATCACAGGTCATGCCTTGTGGAACTGAGACTCGCAACTCCAGCGTACTCCGCTTGTCCGCAAGAATCGCCGTCTTCCACGAGCAAGACACGAGTCCCAAGGGAGTCTGATGAGAAGCCAAAGCTGCGTTGAGATCAGCACCAATACATGGCGCGATGCGGCACCTCTTCCATCCAGGTCCGGCCCTCTGTAAGCCCGCGACTCTCTCAAACAAAAACTTTCCAATAGCCCCAAAGGCATAATGATTGAAGGAAGTCATTTCTCCGGGATTTATGGACCCGTCTGGAAGCATGCTATCCCACCGTTCCCACATTGTGGTAGCTCCCATAGTCACAGGATACAGCCATGAAGGACAGGCCTTCTCAAGAAGCATCGCATAAGCGACTTGAATATGACCTGTCAAGACAAGGGCTTCACACAGGAATGGTGTTCCGGCGAAGCCGGTGCCAATCCGAAAGTTGTTCTTCTTCACAAGATACACTAGGCGATTTCCAGCATGTTCTTGTTGGACAGGCGTCAAAAGACCAAAGCAGATCGCGATGGAGTAGGCTGCCTGGCTGTCTGATACAAGACGGCCGGTGGAAGTCACGTACTCTTCTTGGAATTCCTTCTTCGTTGCTAGGAAATCTATCTCGTAACGCTGCTTGTCTTCGTCTTTGTGAAGAAGGGCGGCAATCCGAGCCATGAGATCTAGGCTTTGAATCAGGAAGGCATTTGCCACGAGTTGAGCGTCTGTCTTGCCCTTCCATGGGGCGTCCGCTGGAGCATCTGGGTCTAGCCAATCCTAGAGTATGTTAGCAAGTAGAATGGACAGGGGACTGTTATGCTGTTTAGGTGACCTACTCCAAGCTGGAAGATGCTAGGATCCCATAGATGAGTGCAACCCTCTGTACTTCTTGGGAGTATTCTCATCCAAGTTGTCATACTCTCGTATTGTTGTTCAAGAATCCCAATATCGCCCGTCTCTTCGTAGAGAGCCCATGGCAACAGAACCGTGACATCATGCCATATGGCACAGGGCTTTCGGCGACACCACGTCGGATCTGGTAGCGTGGCGTTGGGAGTCACCATGGCTGGGACACCATCCAACACTTGTTGATCATGCCAAACATCGATAAGCCAGTTTTTGAGAAAGTCAAAACAGTGGAACAGCAAAACCGCCGTTGGAGCAAAGAGTGCGAGGTCCCCAGACCATCCCAATCGCTCGTCTCGCTGGGGACAGTCAGTTGGCACCGAGAGAAAGTTCCCCTTCACTCCCCAGCGGATATTCTGGAAGAGCTGGTTTAGGAGATTGTCGGAGCATGAGAATGAGCCGGCTTCTTTCAAATCGGTATGGCATACAACTGCTTCCACGGAGTTCATTAAAGGGAATTCACTCGCCCATCCGTCAATCTGGGCATATCGAAATCCATGAAAGGTGAATCGGGGCTCATAGCTCTCGCCGTTCACGTCACCCCTGATGATATATTCATCGACAGAATCACATTGACGAAGAGGTCTGGTGCAGATCTCTTGGTTTTCCAAAACTTCCGCGTGCGACAAGGTGATCTTGTGCCCGCGGGAACCCTTGATGTTCCTCAGTCTGACATATCCCACCAGATTCTGACCAAAGTCGAGGATTGATTTCCCCGATGGCGAAAGAATATGTTGGAGCGGTTTGACAATCTCAATTCGTCTGACCGGTTCTCCAAATCCAGGCGTCAGGATGGTTTGCTCCGGCAACGGAGCCATGCAAAGCACAGGCACCCAATCGTGAGCACTGTCGGCCCCGTTTGGCGCAACTGTCGACCAGTACGGGACCTCGAGAGTAGCGTTGTATTTCTCTCCATCATAAATCTCAGCCCGCTGGATTGGCCCTTTCGTCACGAGCCAAGTGCCATCCGTGGGGATGATCTCAATATTTGTGTCGTCGTAGATTTCCAGCTGCGCTATCAAGGCCGGATGAGGTCCCCATATATTTCGGTGACCACCTTCGAACCCGATACGTCCACAGAACCAGCCTTCAGCAACACGTACTCCAATACAATTCTTCCCAGCAACAAGTGAAGATGTCACGTCGTAGGTCTGGTATTGGAGTCTGCCGTCGTAGGCTGTCCACCCTGGAGCCATGAAATGGTCTCCAACACGATGGCCGTTGATTTCGGCCTCGTAAACTCCCTGCGCAGTGATTGAGAGTCTGGCTTTCTTGCCAGATTGGAATTCAAATTCTTTGCGAAAGAGCCATTCAGCATCTGGCCCCAGGGTAGTCGGACCCCAAGGAGCGGCGATTCTTTCACAGCACCATTGCGTTTCTCCTTCATTGTGGACTGTGGCGGTGGTAGCCACCGAGCCAGCCTTCTTGTCCTGTGGATATTCTCTCATTGAAAGCGCGGCAAGAATGAGTCTTGGTAGGAGTGGTGTCTCTGGGAATGAAACGGAAGTGAAAAGGATGGAAAGCGAGTATCCATTAGCTGGGGGAACAGACCTGCAGCTCCTGTGAGCCTCCCGGGGGTTTTTTTTGGCTTTCACCTGCTTCGCTCGAAGTCCAGACCGTATTTCCCCTCTCTTCCTTCCATGCCGAGTTGCCTAGGTGGAACCCCTGGGCAGGGATCTCCAACGAGCTCGGTGTTGTGATGTACCGATTCGGTCCAACGTAGGAGCGAAGAAGTGCGAGATGAGACATCGATTATCCCGAAACAGCGAGGGCAGGACAAGTCAAATGCCGCCCTCAAAGCCCGACCCTTGTTTCATCAAGATCTCGTCCTTTTAACCGGCTAACTGAATCAAGGTAACTCGTCAGGTCGAATCTTTCAAATCAGTTCGACTGCATTGACCCCAAGATGAGTGCAAACATGTTTGGAGCGGAGGACACTGTCCTCCAGGTCGACAACGAAGAGTGGCTGAGTGAGCCTCGCGAAGTGGAAGATCTACCTCTACCTCATGATTTCCTCTGGGGAACTGCGACAGCTGCGTACCAAATCGAAGGAGGTGCCTCCCAAGACAATAAAGGCAAATCAATCTGGGATACATTCAGTCATCTCGAGCCGTCTCGCACCAACGGAGCGAATGGCGATGTGGCCTGCGATCATTACAACCGCGTTGCTGAGGACGTCGACCTTATGGCATCCTATGGGGTAGACACATATCGATTCTCCATTTCCTGGTCTCGTGTGATCCCATTGGGCGGGCGAGATGATCCCGTCAATGAAGATGGAGTTTTGTTCTACAATAAGCTCATTGATCTCTTGTTGTCCCGAAAGATCATCCCAATCGTCACCCTCTATCACTGGGACGCCCCGCAAGAATTGTATGATCGGTACGGTGCCTTTCTGAATACATCGATGTTCAAGGCAGATTTTGAGCGATATGCCCGGCTGTGCTTCTCTCGCTTTGGCGATCGTGTCACCAAATGGGTTACTTTCAACGAACCATACATCATCTCGATTTTTGGCCACCACAGTGGTGTTCTTGCTCCCGGTCACAATGCCGCCGGTGGCCATGACACGCGAACAGAACCGTGGCGAGTGGGCCATACTATCATTGTTTCCCATGCAGCTGCAGTACAGATCTACGCGACAGAATTCCAGCCTACTCAGAATGGCTCAATCACAATCGTGCTCAACGGCCACTTCTATGAGCCATGGGATGCGAATAGCATCGAGCACCAAGCCGGCGCTCAACGCAGATTGGAATTCTACATAGGCTGGTTCGCAGATCCCATCTTCCTGGGCACAGACTACCCCGCCGAAATGCGGTCTCGGCTTGGATCTCGCCTCCCGGAGTTTTCTCCCGATGAGATGGCCCTTCTCCGCAATACCGCATCCACGAACGCCTATTATGGAATGAATCACTATTCCACTAAGTTTGCTCGGGCTCTCCCAGACCCACCGGCCGAAGATGACTGCACAGGGAATGTGGAGGAACTCGCAACCAATAACAAAGGCAAGATGGTTGGTCCTGTTTCTGGCATGGCTTGGCTTCGTGTTGCCCCAGATGGATTCCGAAAGCTTCTGAACTGGGTCTGGGATCGGTACCGCCTCCCAATTGTTATTACCGAGAATGGCTGTCCATGTCCAGGCGAAAGCAACATGAGTCTCGAACAGGCCATAAATGACGACTTTCGGGTACGATATTTTGGTCTTTATTTGGATGCTATCTCGAAGGCTATTTATGAAGACGGTGTTCTAGTACAAGGATATTGTGCCTGGAGCTTGATGGATAATTTTGGTATGTATTTCGCCCCAAATGAATTCCCGGGTGCTAACGTCCCCAGAATGGTCGGCTGGGTATAGCGCCCGCTACGGTATCACGCATGTCGATTACGATACACTTTTGCGGACTCCAAAGAAATCCGCTTTGTACTTGAAGCGGACGTTCAATGAGCGACGCAAGAAGCATGAGTAGAGATTTGGGGAAGCATTACTAGGCAGTGTCTGAAATAGATATTGAGGCTAATCACTGTTACTATCGAATGCTCCCACATGTGAAACGGCCATCGTTGATGTCTAAGCTTGGGATAATTTGATGTATTAAAAACCCGCACAATGAAAACCGTCTGATGCTTTAGGCTTTATTAGCGTTACCTATATGTGAGAATCTATGCTCCAATCAAAAGAATACCACTGCTGAAGCATATTACTCCGTAGACATAGATATGATAGTTGTGTTAGATCAATGTGGAGCTCAGAGACTAAGTTCTAGGCCATATTGTCGAGGATAAATATGCCTAGGATACACCGTTCCACAAGGTGTGCACCTTGTTGGTTTCATGGTTAAAACCGGTGTTTTTTTGTAGCGCCACTACTATAAACGCCGTCGTGAACTATACCCTTTATGGTATGGTTTACGGAAGTCTACCGGCTAGCCCTAAAAGGTTCAAAGGTGCGCTCCAAGTCAGATGCCTTTGGGTTTCAAGTGGCGCCGGCTATTGAGTCGTTATTCTCGAAGATAGATGTCTGGAACTTTTCTGTGACTGCCTCGTATGGGCCGCCACCGGTTTGGTCTTCGGGGGTAATGGACCCGAGACGACGGCAATTGCCTGACACCGAGTTGACCAGGGATCTCGCAGACAATTGACTTGGGAAAATATCCGTGCTGTCGAGGTTGTGGGGAGTCCAGATGTCGGGTTCCACAATTTGATGATCCGGGGTACCCCACAGTCATTTGAAGCGAACACATGAACATAACACTATACTGTAATTCGGGATATTGAGGACCGAAAACGAAATTTATTCTACTTCGGATTGATTGTATAGATCATGTGGCAGCGGCGAGCCTCATGAGGCGGGCTAAAACTCGCGCTTAAAACCTCGAAGCCGCCCATCTACCTCCCTCACTGGTGTCCGGTTATAGTAGCTCACAGCATCACTGCAAGAAGCATCAACGATGGATTCAACACGGAAGTCGTCTGCTGATTTCGCAGCTTCAGTGAAACATGACGAGGTTGCCGAGGATGGATTGAAGAAGTCCGACGCAGCTTGTGATGCCCAGACTATGGGCCAGGGAACCAGTGGGTACGAACACCTGGGAATCCTTGAAACCATCAAAACATTCAAGATCTGCACTCTCGTGTGCTTTGCAATGGCCTTCAGTGCGGCGTGCGATGGATACCAGATTGGGTGAGTCGGTTCACGGACTTAAGTTTGATCTTTCTGTTGCTGACTTCTGTTTCTACCAGAATCAATGCCAGCATCATTGCCAATTCTGGCTTTGTGCACCGTTTTGCCACAAGCGTTGGTAAGACGGGAGAGCCTGCCCTCGAATCACCTATACTCAGTGGCTGGAGCTCGATCATGTCCTGCGGCCAAATTGTTGGGATGACGACAATTCCATTTCTGTCTAGCAGATATGGCAGAAAGATTGCTATGTTTGCCTTCTGGGTCGTTCTAGTGGCCAGCGTGCTTGCCGAGAGCCTCGCGAGGTCATGGCAAGTCTGGCTGGTGGGCAAGCTTCTGGCTGGGATTGGAGTGGGATGCCTGCAATCAACCATACCGACTTATATCTCGGAAGTGGCACCTGTTCGAGTCCGTGGAGGGTTATTGATGTGTTACAGCTTCTGGTGGTCCCTGGGTTCATTTTTCGCTCAGATCGCTCTCCAACACTTGTCCGTATCTGACCCGACTGATTACTTGACCCCCATTTACACCCAGTGGGCTCAGATAGGGCTGATGTTTTTGATCTACATCTTTGTCCCAGAATCTCCTGCTTGGTGCGTGAATGCTGGCAAGGTTGATCGAGCCAAGCGGGAACTCCTGAAGCTCAATCGGGGGGTACCGGACTACGACTTGGAGCGTCAATATCAAATCTTGGCTATGGCTATTGAGCATGAAAACGCAGTTGCGGCTGAGCAGCGTCAAGAGCACTGGTACGGTATTTTCCAGGGTACTAATGGACTTCGCACCGTGATATCCTGCTGGACCAACCTCACTCAGCAGTTGATTGGTCTCAGCCTCTTTGGCACATTTGGGACATATTTCTTCCAGCAGGCTGGATTAGCCGATCCTTTCAAAATTAAGGTAATCACGACTTCGATTCAAATTGCAACAGTCCTCTTCATTATCACAATTGCCGACCGTGTCGGAAGAAGACTACTCGCTTGCTCGGGAACTACACTCTGCTGGGTGTCATGCGTGGCGATCGGTATCATTGGGGTTTGCCCTCAGGTGAAAGCATCGACATATGTTTTTATTCTTTTCGCCTGCTTATGGAGTAAGTCTATCACAATCAATTGAAAGGGCCACCACTAACATAATGTCTTCAGATTGCGGATTGGCTACCAACGGCGCGACTGGCTGGGGTTATATTGGAGAGATATCATCCCAGCGCCTACGGCCTTATACTGCTGGCTTTGGAGCGGCTGTAACTTGTGTCGCCGGCGTTGTGATGAACGTCCTTGTTCCATACATGACAAACGCCAACAAATGGAACTGGAACTTGAAGACAGGCTGGTTCTATGCCGGCATCGGGCTTCCTTTTGTTGTTGGCATGTGGTTGCTCATTCCTGAAACTGCTGGGTGAGGATTTCAATATTACACCTCTAGACCATCTAACCATGGCTAACTTTTTCATCGCTAGACGGTCTGCTGCTGAATTGGATGAATTATTCGAGCGGAAGATCAAGCCCTGGCGATTCCACAAGACTGAAACAGCTACCCAGCGTCTTGTTCAATTCAATCAATTGGAGGCAGAAGTACGAGAGACAAAGTGACCAGACACCTGGGCATCTATAGATGGGATTTTGACCCTTCAAGGTTGGATATCTCCCGAGGTCCTATCTAGGTACCTAGTATCTAGCTACTCTTATTCCGACCTTCCAATCTTGGAATGCTAGAAGCATGCGCGATTCCAAATTGATTCAAACAACACATTAAATATATATATATTAGTGACTCGAAATTTCCAAGATTCGAGATGATTTGAAGACCGTACATCTGAGACTACTCGTGTCTGCAGGTACCTAGGTATATAGAAGACAGGTGTACAGAAGAGTTGTAAATACTGTTCCAAGTTGTCTGAAGTATACAAACGGGTCTTAAAAGCGACAAAATGTGGGGGATCGACCATGTGGGCGGTGTGGACGATGGTTGCAGAAAAAGGGGACAATCCATCCACGCCTGTGTTTACCACCGCAATGGAGGAGTCCGAGACGTTCAATTCGTCCTTCGCGTCGAAGCAGCCATTTCCACCACTGCTTTCCGAAGATGCGCTCCCAGACGAACACGAGAGCTATGAGGGCGACAGTGTCACCTCCCCCGGCTACGAGATCGAAGTGGAGGACGACGCAGACTTCCAGTCGCATTACTCGCTAGAACACCAGTCCTTTTCGGATTCAGATTCAGATGACTCCTCGGATGAGATTGGTCGCAATCACCCGTTTCGCCAATCCTCCAGCTCTCTCCATGGCCCAAATGCCTTCGCGCCTCCGTTCTACAATCGCCCACCGACGCCTTTACCACCCTCCCCCTCCCTCACTTCTCTCCTCAGACCACCTTTCTCGACGACCACGTCCCGCCCAACTACGCCGGACAGCTCTGATGTAGAGACGCCAAATGATACCGAGGCGGCAGTCGCCAAATCTGCTCGTCGCGCAACCACCGTTCCGCGCGCCAGCCCGAAGGTGCCAACATATGAATACTATGGATTTGTCTTGTACCTTGCTTCATCATTGGCATTCCGTGAGTTACCCCAAAGCATTCTGACCACTCGTGTATTATAACATGCTAATAGATCCAACGCAGTCTTCTACCTTCTTTGGTCCTATCTTCCGTCTCCCTTCCTGCATCAGCTCGGCATCTACTACTACCCAAACCGGTGGTGGTCGCTGGCTATACCCGCGTGGCTTGTCATGCTTCTAATCTACATATACGTTGCACTCGCGACTTACAACACGGGCTACCTCACATTGCCCATGAACAGCATCGAGAACATTGTTGACGAGGTCGCAAATGTATCTGTGATTGATGGAAAAGCCCGGCGGCGACCGGGTGGCGCGACCAAGATGAAACCCGGCGCAACTTCCTATCAGATCATGGGCCCCTTGAATCGGAAGGTCAATTGGCGGGAAATTTGGAGTGAAGGAACCGACGCAGTCATGGACGTGCCGGTTGGGGGCGTCTGTGAGGTCCTGTATGGTCAAGGCAGGGACGAAGACTTCGATGATGTCTCTACTAGTACAGACCTATAGATTCCTAATATAACGAAATCAATATGAAGTCCAAGATCGATTTCCCACTTTAAGCACTTGGACCCACGCGTTTAAGGGACGCGGTGGGCCAGTGACGTATGCTCACGTGATGCGGCAGATCGGGGTCCGCCTTGAGATAATCTTGCCGATCTATTCATCTCTTCGTGCAAGGACTGGCAGTACAACTTTCCAGCAAGCCTCAAAGATGTCTGATAATCGCCCTTCAACCCCTCCACCGGCCAAGGCCGCTGGAAGTGGACAAATCCCCCGAGGCCCAATCACCCCAGAGCAACAGCGGAGGATGGTAGGACTCTTCGTGACGATTTAGTTCCTTGAACACCGTTGAAGCTAATTCTCATACCTCAGGAGCTCAGCCGGATGAAAGCCAAGGCTCTGCGTGAACAACATGAGGCTAAACTCGCTCAAGCCGCCACATCCCAACCGCCAACAGGCGCCAAGCGCTCATTTGCCTCGATGGCATCCAACCAGCCTGCCAATATGCGCGATGCTTCAGCAAATAATAGGCCGCTAGACACAATCCAGCCGGCGCGCAACTTTACCAAATTCGTTGATTATGACTTCAGCAAGATGACCGATACGAAGGGTGGATTCTTAACGCAAGAAGATGACCCTTTCAACAAGCAACTCCATGTGACGGATGAAAAAGAAGCGCAGAAGCCTGCAAACATGACACAAAAAGAATGGGAGCGACATCAAATACTACAGAAACTCAAACGGAACCGAGAAGGGCCCTACGAGCCTGGTCTTAGTGTCTTGGACGACAAAAGCAAGCAGAAGAAATGTCGCGAGTGCAGTAGTCTTGAAATTGACTGGAAGTGGGACGAAGAGTTGAAGTGTAGCATTTGCCATGCTTGCAAGGAGAAATTCCCTGAGAAATACAGTCTACTGACCAAGACAGAAGCTAAGGAGGATTATCTTCTCACAGATCGTGAGTCTTTGAAGTATGAACCTCTTCGAGAAGTAATGCTAACTGGAATGTACAGCCGAGCTCCGGGATGAAGATCTACTCCCACGCCTGGAGCGCCCCAACCCACATAAGTCTACATGGAACAGCATGATGCTGTATCTCCGATACCAAATAGAGGAATATGCATTCTCAGACAAGAAATGGGGCTCCACAGAAGCGCTGGACGCGGAATTCGAAAAGCGAGAGGCTGACAAAAAGCGGCGGCGAGAGGAAAAGTTCAAGACCAAATTGCAGGACTTGAAGAAGCGCACACGCGTCGAGGCCTACCGACGTAATCGACAAGGTGGCTCTGGCGGAGACTTTGGTGACGATTTGGCATCTCGTCGGAAGCATATTCATGAATGGGGTCGTTCTGTTGATAATCCAGAGACCGGCATCCCTGTCAAGACCTGCGTCACATGTGGGATGGAGGTGGAGGAACTGGAATTCTAAGCCTTGCTTTTACAGCATGAATTTATGAAACGGCTGAGCATTTGCATATGCAAAGCATGAATTTGACAATCAACTATTTCCCGAGGTCTTTACCTAGTACTAGGCTTACGCGTTAATTACACTTGGAGTAATTCCATTATCGGGACACATTCAGAGCCTCGGAATCCTATGTCTATTTCCTCGGCTCAATCCATCGACGGACATGCTCCGTGCATACCTAGGTAGTCAACGATAGTCTTCATTCAACCAATGCGTTCTTTGTCGATTACCTATCGAATAGCCGTTTCAACACGAGAAGGCATGGCTATGGCTAACAAGCAACCAGAATGCACTTGCTTCAGAACCACCCGATCGAGATTCACAGCAACAGCAACAGTGCCCTGGCGGTTTTGAGGTAAGTTCATTTTGATCGTTTATCGGCCATACCATGCCTTCTAATGTTGGAACGGCTATTCAAAAGATGAGTGATGAAGAGCGTGTTCCATTTAACGAGGGGAAAGAGAGCTATGTTATACTACAGAAGCCCGTTTGTATGGTGACTCAAAGTCCCAAACATCACCCGTTTGCCTGGGAGCACAGAAGGGTGAGACTTCACAACATACCTACCTAGGTAGTATCCATTTCGCAAAACGTCAGTATGTACATTACATACGGAGTACATCTACTGCATATAGCGGCAAAATTTTCGCCCAAAATGTCAATACTTCAGGTGTAGTTGGCATTGCCAATTGGAACATCATTCCATTAAAGTGAATTCGACAGATTGCGAAGTACTTCGTGCAGTGCTTCTAATCAACATGATTCATATATACGTAGTACTACTCCGTACTGCAGTCGCATGCAATCCAGGCTGCTCCGTGCTCGTGCAAATATCGACTCCTTGAATGGACACCGCTTATTGATACAGCACATTGACCTATCTCAAACTAGGAGCTGAGTCTGGTGTATATCAACACCGGAGGACTCGGGAAAACCGACAGAGATGCATATTCTCTACACAAGTTGGAACAACATTTTCCGCTATGCTCCGTACTACATACTCCGTATTGCACCGTTATTTGCTCAACGCAGATTACATATGGCATGTGGCATAGTTTAAATGGAATACCTAGTACTCTACATGAAGTATTGATCTACGAGCGGGCAATGAATTTGATATCAAGTGTTTGGGTAATTGTCTCTACAGGAGCACGCCCCACAGCCCTCATTGAGTTAAAGCAAAGGGGAAATCTTATCAATCACTCCACAACTCTGCGAATTCTAGGTTCCCCTTGACATTTTTGTTTCAAAGAAGTATGTGGACAAGTTGAAAACATCAGAGATTGAGAATGGAGTATTATGTTCGCTATCTTGTGCACATTGCCATGCCTAACCTAAACCTTAACCTTAACCTAATAACACCCTCTGTTCTATATGCTCTATGCGGCAGGGGTCTCATCAACAGAGAGCTGATTCACCTTCACCGCCATATTATCAACAGCCTTTTCATCATCAGTCTTCTCCGTGTTAGCAGCAGCAGGTGTCTCCACCGACTCGACAGGCTTAGCCTCAGCCTCGGATGCCTGTGTCTTAGGAACAGGAATGGTCTCTCTGCGCTCCTTACCATCAACAGTACCAAGGACCTCGAGATGATCACCCCGGAACAGCACAGGACCCTTCAGGATATCCTTCCGCGTCTGGCCCTCGCCCAGAGGCTGCTCGATACCCTGCAAAAGTTCACGACCGGCATCATCCACATTCGGCATATCGCCCCATGTCCATTCAAGCTCACCACCATATTGCTTGGGGATACTGCTCGGCTCCATGAAAGCAGTTAGAGTAGGCTCGACCTCAGCAGCAGAGAGAATAAAGATCTTGGACGTGGTGCCCGGGTCAAACCAACGCTTAATCCAGCTCCAAACAGTAGGGAAGAACGAAGGGGCGCCGATAATCTATCAACCTATTAGCTCAATCGCACATATCAACGGAATCAAACATACAAAGATACGGTCCAGCGTCTCTGGGTAATGCGCCGTGGCCAAAACACTTGCATCTTGCATGTGACTCTTCAAATTCCAGAACTGCTTCAGGCCCACACCGCTCACATCAACAATATTGGTAGAAGTGACAATAGGCGTCTCGGGATTCGGGCGCTGCAAAGCGGAACACAACGGCATAACGAACTGGAGGAGGTTCTCGTACAACGCGAAGAGGTTAAGCAGACGCGCAGGCACAGTAGATGATTTATGAGTTTCGGGCGTTCCTTTCGTCATGGTCGAGTTGTACGCTGCAACAGCCTTGTTGTCCAAGTGACGGATCTCGAAGACGTAGACTGGGATTCCGCGACGATCGCGACGACCCGTCCATTGGGGGTACTGAGATGCGTTAGCGTTTCATCCACACATGAATGGTTCGTAGTATGTACCATGCGGCGGGCAGCTTCATAGGAGTCCACGCCGATATTCTCATACAGAGCATCAATGGCATTGTCCTTGCGCCAATCCTCCGTATCCTTGAACTGGGCCCAAGCGCCCTCGACATCGAACTTGCGGGCTCGCAAAAAGCGTCTATTGCAACATTAGTACTGATCCAGTATACTCCGTACAGTTCGCCGCTTCGTGGAGCGCCACATACAGCATAGTCGCATCACCATGGCTGGCGGGGCCGTTCTCTCCGGCTGGAGTGTAGTACTTGCGCTCGGCGCATACTTTCTTGAATTCTTCTAGGCTCTGCTCCTGTTCCGTGGTGAGGTGGTGCAGGTGGCCGGCGAGCCAGGCAGTACCGGAGGCCTGGGAGGCGGAAGCGGACGGATCGTTCTTGGAGGAGTCGGTGCGGGCGAGGTCCGGCTCGGAAGCCTGCGCGGCTTTGTTGCCCCAGAACATGGTTGCACTATATGTACAGAGTACTCCGGACTGGATATAGGTATTTGTTTGGAGAGAAGATCGGCCAGATCGATCGGGGGGCGGAAGGAGGCGGTGAAAACGGAGATCGGCACGGATTTATGATAGATGGGATTCTGAATACGAGCATGGAGTATACGAAAGCAATCATGGGGAAATGACTTGAGACTCTATACCTACCTAGGTACTCGTATATTAAACTCCGCGATGTACAAAAATGCCGATCGAGATCAACGTCCTACTGACAAGCCTCTTCGTACCCCCGGGGTCAGACTGGTTCCAATATAAATCCAAAAAATCAATACATTCCCGGTCTTAAATAACACGGATGCTAATCTGAAAGGACAAGATACTATTTGTACAGATCGCCCTCGTACATCGCCATAAAATCAAATGAACACAAATGCTTAGTCCTCGGTCAGATCGCCGTATTCCCAAATACCACGGCGCTCAGCCTTAGCCTCATCCTCGAGCGTGCGCAAGTTAGACAGGGTGTCGACGGAAGCGCGCTCCCAGTTCTTCAGCTTGCGAGGCACCATAGCGAGACCCTCGCTGATGATGTCTGCGTTGATGCTGTTATCCAAGTTCTTCGAAACCGAAGGGTCAAGGAGAGTGACGTGGAGGGTCCCGTCCTGGTCGACGTGGTCGACGTTAGCCACGAGCTGGCGGTCGAAAGTCTGGTCGCCAATGAAGCCAATGGCGTCCTCGAGGTAGTCCTCTGAGGTAGGGAACTGCATGAGAGAGAGGACAGCATCGACGGCCTGGGGACGAAGAGTCTGGCTGGAGAACTGGGGCTGAGTGAGAGGACGGAGCTTGGACCAGGGGATGGATTCGGAGTTACCAAAGTCAATGTAGACGACTTCGGCAGTCTCCTTCTCGCGGTCATTGCGGCGGACCTTGGCGCGGTACCAGTTGCCATCTTCGGTGAATTGGGCGGCAACCCATTCGCCGGCCTTAGGGGGGCCGGGGAGAGAGGCCTCGTTCGCCTTGTTGATGTGGAAGGCGCGGAAGGCACTCATCAACTCAGTGAGAGCGTTGGTCCCGGTGCCGATTTGCTGCAGCTTGAGCTTGGCAGAGGCAGGGTCAACGTAGGTGACCATCACGTCACGGTAGTCCTTGCGGCGCTGGACGGGAGCGGCATCGCTCTCGGTGCCGGTTCCATTGGCAGCCTCGGCCTCCTCGGCCTCAGCAGCCTCCTTGGAGGGGTCGTAGTCGTGCCAGAGACCCTTGCGGGCGTCCTTGGCCTGCTGCTCCGCAGCGAAGTACTCGGTGGCGTGACCAGACTGCTCAGCCGAGTATGCGTGGACGGTAGCCAGACCCTCCTCCAGCAGGACCTTGGTGAAGTTCTCCTTGTTGATGTACAGACTTCCGATGAAACCACCGACCTTGTCGATGGTCTCGACATCGATCTCGACATCGCGCTGCAAGCAGCGGCGGTTGGCCAGATCGTGCGCCTCCTGGCCGAAGGGCTCACCGGCATCGCTGGGACCACGTGCAGAGCGAGGAGCACGGATTCCGGAAAGGACAAGGGTGAGCTTGGCGTTATCACGGGGGACAATGATGGTGAAACGAGAGCCAGACTTCACAAAGTCGACAACAGCGGGAACGCGCTTCTGGCGCTGCAAGATACCAAGCTCAAGCTTGGCCTTTTGCACGGACTCTGAGTAGTCCACGACTTGCTTGTTCTTGGGGGGCTTGGGAGACCACATGCCACGGCCTTCCTTCTGGGCGTCAGCCTCGGCGGCGAGCAGCGCATCGTAATCGGGGCTTCGGTCCGCATCATCCATGCGGTGGCGGATCACAGAGGAGTATCCGGCCTGGACAAGGGCAACTGCGACGTTGGTGTTGCCCTGGACAACGGTGGCGACCTCGCGCTCTTCGTAGCCCTCGTTGGCAGGCTTCTTGCCGTTGACGGTGACCATGACGTGCTTGGCGATCACGCGCTTGCGGAGGTACTCCTTGGCCTCGGCGGCGAAGGGAGCCTGCTTGGGGTCGGAAGGCTTGGGCTGACGAATGCTGGCAAGGCTGATCTTCTTCTCCTGGCCGGCCTTGTTCCGGATGAACAGGGTGTCGGCGTTCTGCACACGAGTGACAACGTAGTCGACGGCAGCAGCGCCGGCCGTTGTGGCTCCACTGTGGTTCACCCACAGTCCCTTACGGTCCGCCTTGGCAGTCAGCTCGGCCTGGCGGAGGAGGGCCATGTCGGGGCCCAGGAGAGTAGAGTGGTGATCCTGGCAGCGGGCCAGACCAGCCTCAAGAAGGAAGCGGGAGATATTTCCGTTAGGGTGCAGGACGGTAGCTACCATCTGGCCCTGTGGTGTCACACCAAGCAGGGAGACCTTCACCTTGCGCTGCAGAAGTCGTGACTCGACGAACTGCTGTGCCTCATCACCGAACGGCTCAGCGGCCGTCTCCTTGCCCTCAGCCGTGCGCTTGGCCGAAGGGGCGCGGATACCAGCAATCGCAATAACAGTCTGGATGTGCTCCTTGGGCTGGAGCAGCAAGCGCAAGACAATACGGTCACCGTTCAGAACCTTCTCGATGATACCTTCCAACTGCTGGCCCATGTTTTGGCGCACCAATTCCCGAGCACCGGTCAGCTCATAGGTGTTATCGATCTGGCCATTGTCACTACTGGCCCATGTTCCCTTTCCTTCATCTTGGGCAAGGGACTCGAGAGCGCGCAGACGGGCAAGGAGTCCAACAGTCTCCTCGGACTCATCTCCACGCTTTCCTGCTTCCTCGCGGACTTGCGTCCAGCCCTCCTGGACACTGATATCGGGAAGTGAAGCATCGAATCCAGGCAGCTTAATGATACCGTAGTCGCGCTTGGCGCCGGTGGGAATGGTGTACAGGACTTGGAATTCGATGACCTTGCCGACAAGGAGCTCACGGAGGAATTCACGGGATTGGAAAGCGTAGGGCTAGGAAAATTTGGGTCAGTTCCGTTTTTCTTCCATTGACTGCAAGTATGCTCTCCAGCCCTGATGGATGCACCTAGAAAGACCGAAAGGCCAACTAGGGCTCAGCGCAAACCATTGACTTCGTTCGAGAGCACTTTGCGATCAATTAGATCAGAACAATTCACCTACCTCATCGCCTTCCCTCCTTAATCGTGGAGCAGAGACATAGGCCAAGCTCAAGATGCGCTCTTGTGACGGATTGGTGACATGCGACAGTACGACAGTGTCGCCGGACAGGACAGACTTGACCCGGGCTTCAAAAGGCATGGTGAATCAATCAAACACCACGGGATTGACAACACAACCAAATTGAATGAGACAAATAAAGCAGAAAAAGGAGTAGAGAACAACTAAGAGATTACGCTAAGGGGACAGGTGTTTAGACTTGTGGGGGAGAGCGGGCGGTCAGCCGATCTGGAATTGTGTCGCCTTCGATCGTCCTTCGCTCGGACTGCACAGTGCTTAGTCCAGGCTGTGGCCATGTCTGACTTGTTCAATTGAAGAATACATCAAGATGCGAGGGAGTCTGATCTGAGCTTCCTACGCGGGTCTCCGGAGTACATGCACTTGAATCTTCCAATGGGCTGCAGTCAGTGCGGCAAATTGGATCCACGCAGAACCATCAGGAACTATCCAAGTTGCCTCGACTACCAGTACAGTACACTACTCAAATACAAAGAATCATGTCAATTCATGTCAAAGATGGCATTCATTCGTGTATCCTAACCGGAGAAAGTCAATTTTTCCTGGGATATCAAAACCGGAAGTTCGTGACGCATTTAAGCGGCAATACCGATGACACCTATCACATATGAGCATTTGCATCCGCAGTACAGAGAACATTCGAATCAACTTACCGCAAGCGGGGCGGAGACCAGCGTTACCGGTCTTCTTGGACTCCTCGTTGGAGCCCTTGCCAAGGTCATCAGTACCGGCGTGGACGACGAGAGTACGCTGGGAATCTGTTAGCTGCTGCAAGACCCAACATCCATGAAACACTTACGCCGAGAACGGACTCAGCGCCGATCAGCTTGACGAGGCTGTCCTGCTTGGAGCCGTTGGCGTTACCCTCAGCATCGGTCTGGAAGTTGCCGAGATCACCGACGTGACGGTCGGAGTCGGTGGGAGCACCGTGGTTCTTGCCGAAGGGGTTGACTACAGGCGTCAGTGTGCTGGATTTCATGGAGGATCTGCGGACGTACAGTGAGGGCCGGCGGAGGTGCAGCCGTTGGTGTTGTCACCGAACTGGTGGACGTGGAAGGCACGCTCGGCGTTGGCGTCGTTGCCGGTGATGTTCCAGGTGATGGTGGTGGGGGCACTCTCGCTGGCCTGCTCGAAGGTCACGGTGCCGGCGACCTTAGCGTCACCACGGAGAACAGCAACTGCCCAGATTGGTCAATGTCATGTTCTAGAAGAAAGGTTGATCCCATGGACTCTGAGCTCGGCTTCGGGCCGATCTTAGCAAATGAGCTGTTCGCACTGCTTTCCCATTGTCCAGACATCGCTGAATATCACGCCAGTGGAGCACAGGTCTGCAAGCCGATAGGCCCGGAATTGAGCTCAGGGTCACAAGGTGCTCAAATCTGCTCAAGGTCCCCGGAAACGCGGGGAGGCGCAGGGGGACCTTGGGGAGCTCGGATTCTATCTCAGATAGCTATACTTACCAGCCTTAACCATTTTGAATGTAAATGATAGATTTGGAATTGAAGATTGAAATGAGTTTGAGAGAGAAGAGGAGGAGAGGTGGGCGGAGGAAGCTAATAAGCGGATGTTGACGTGACTGCTAGTACTGTCCACTCTTGGGAGGTACCGGGTACATCTTTTAACGGGCAAAGTTACTAAGGCAAACTGGTACCCAGTACCTCGCTGGATACACTACCCCCACCTTCCCAAGCGGGCGAGTCGGAACATTAGGGAATGACATAATGGTCTTCGGTTTTGTTCTGTTGCTCTTTACTCAGTCCATCTACATCTACGGTACTGTTTAGCAAGAATTGCATCTCGGCCAATTTCTATATCTAATACTCCGAACAACATCATGGTGAAACCTCACACCTGGGCAAAGACAGCTACCATTATCTAGGTAGAGATCATGGTACCTCGGATAGTAAGGCATGGCTAGTGAACTCGGCTCTTGTGAACACCGTAGACCGAACACTGTACTCCGTACTCCGTACAGCATGTTTTCTGCGTACAGCACACTGCAGGACCATGCGGGGTCTGCACGGCCTGGCCGTGGAAGCTGACCAACAATGCCCCCGCTTCACCTCACATGCAGAAGCTTCTCGTACATGCGTTTCCGACTGGCAGGACTCCCAACGTCGAACATTCAATTGCAACCTTGGAAGTAAATTTGAGATATGCATAATTGTGGAAGACAACTATCGGTTATTCAATTACAACCTTAAAAGTACAAATTAAAGTTATGTATGTGGAAAGTAATAGTGCAGAACAAGTTCATCAATTCGTATCTACCGATTCCAATTTTGGGGGGATCGCCAATTTACACATAAAAAATTAAAGACGTAAAGAATCAGATCCAATCTAAGCCTGGATCTTCTGAGCGAGGAGCTGCTTGAGGGTAACGGCATCAGCAGCGAACTTGGAGATACCCTCACGGAGCTTCTCAACACCCATAGCCTCCTCGTTGAAGTCGAAGCGGAACTCAGCCTCGTTGTTGAGGTACTCGCGCTTCTTGATCTCGAGGTTGGTGGCGTTGGCGGCGTTGAGCTTCTGGGGCACAGCGTCGGTGGAGTTGAACATGTCCTCGAGGAGGTTGGGGGAGATGGTCAGGTAGTCGCAGCCGGCAAGCTCGGTGATCTCACCGACGTTGCGGAAGGAGGCACCCATGACGATGGTGTTGTAGCCGAACTTCTTGTAGTAGTTGTAGATGTCCTGGACGGACTTGACACCGGGGTCCTCCTGGGGGGTGTAGTCGCGCTTGTGGGCGGCCTTGAACCAGTCAAGGATACGGCCGACGAAGGGAGAGATGAGGTAGGCACCGGCCTCGGCGGCGGCGATGGCCTGGACCAGGGAGAACATCAGGGTCAGGTTGCAGTTGATGTTGTACTTGGACTGGAGGATGTGGGCGGCCTTGATACCCTCGTAGGTGGAGGCGATCTTGATCAGGACGCGGTCCTTGGAGATGCCGTTGTCCTCGTAAAGCTGGAAGTAGTTAGTATGGGAATTCTAAGTTCATGGAAGTGCACGGAGATATTTACCTTGATGATCTCAAGGGCCTTCTTGACGGAACCCTCGGTGTCGAAGGACAGCTTGGCGTCAACCTCAGTGGAGACCTTGCCGGGAATGATCTTGAGGATCTCCTTTCCGAACTCAACGAGGAGACGGTCGAGAGTGGCCTCGACCTGCTCGTCGAGGGTCTTGCCGTTCTGCTTGCCGTGGGCGACGGCAGTGTCGATGAGAGCGGCGTACTCGGGCTTCTTGGAAGCGGCGAGGATCAGGGAGGGGTTGGTGGTGGCATCCTGGGGCTTGTACTTGCCAATGGCTGTGGTCTGTTAGCATTCTGACTCCAATTCCAGAGTCGGTTCAATACATACTGGCAAAGTCACCTAGAGAAGCAGGTTAGCAAAAAAGTTATGTAGCTGTGACGTGGATCGAAAGCTTACCAGAGTCGCAAACGACGACGGTGCCGGAGGCCTTGAGCTGTTCGAGAGAGGAAGACATTGTGTGAAATGAGATTATTCAGGGATAGATGAAGAAGGGAAAGAAAGATGGAGGAAGTGGCGGGAGCCGCAGTATTTAGACGCAGGCCGAAGGAGGGGTGGTGTCATGAACCAGAACCACAGCCATGGCCGGGGTACTTGCAGATAGTATGGTGGCTACATAGTGAGCGGAAGTACCTTTCCCGTGCCCCGTTTTCAAGGTGGGATGGTGGGGCAAATGACGCTGCGCATGAAATCAGAGCTGTTCTTCCGTTTCTGTTCTACCACAATTGGCCTGGCTGGGTGATGGCGCCGGCTCACAGTGTTCCCCCAGAGACTATGCGTGCCATTGATTCGTTCAATGTCAATGTGTCGATTCCCCTGCCCGTGTATACTGAATCCGGCGCAGAGTGCTCCGACCCCAACCGGAGGATGGTAGACCGGACAACGGCCCACTACGCTGCGGCGGCTGCACGACTCACCGGGGACCCGGATAAATGCCGCAGTCTGATGAGTCGGGGCACCTATTTCCGATCTGGCTTATTCAACTACGGAGTACTGTGCTCAGAATACCCGAAGCGGTAATGACAAACGCCACTGTCTAGACCCTGTTTTGGATTGGAAATATAGATACTAATAAGGGAATTCAGCGGCGTTGGATGCAGTTCCACTCGTACTGCGTATGTTTTAGCAAAGGACTTCAACAGGGGACCTCGGGAATGGGAACTCACCACTCGACCCGCCTCATCCCCCGTGTAGACCACGTGGGGAAGGGCCAGCATACAACTAATGCCCGCACTGATATTAGCACCATTGTCGCGATTGCTGTCCGTATGGTGCAGCTGGCGGATCAGCTCCAGTTCAAATTGACCGCCTCGGATGCTCTTGCTCCAGACGTTGACAACACCGCGGGTATGGCCAGTCAGAACCAACTCGCGTTCGAGCCATTCATTCTGCACACCTTCGTAGAAGACACAGGACAAGACGCGATCATCACTAGATTCGCAGACCGGTTGATCCACAAGCACAACCCCGTTGAGGGTGTAGAGGCACAGGCGATTGCCACGACAGACCATGATGTCTCCTGAGACATCGTTGATGCGAGCACACTATAGAGCCATCAGTACACTAGAAAATGAGTTATCAAAGGAACACTTACGTCGACTACGCCTTCAGTGGGAAGAGCTCGCACAAAAGACCGCCGATTCAGATCCCACAGCATGATGTGACCGTCAGTAGATGCAGATAATAAGGCACTGAACGAACGGGACACAGCAAGCACTGTGACAGGGGACCGATGACCGAAGAGAGAGCCGATAGGTTGCAAATCGACCGACTTCGACGTCGCAGTAACCGTCCACAATGAGATGGTACAGTCAGTGCCACAAGTAACGAGAGTGCGAGAATCCGCAAAGGTGGCACAGGACAATTGGCCAACATGCAAATGTTCGAAATGACCCAGGAGCTTGCGAGTGTCAGCAGTGTAGAAACGAACACTGCCGTCGAAAAATCCCCATTCCATGTAATATTCGTACGTTGGCGGGACATTGAGTCGGAGGGCCGCAGTACACAGCAAACGATCCTGTTTCATAGATAGAGTCGCCACACGCTCTTCGATGTTGAGCAGAGATAAAGGCATTTGGGTCAGTGACTCGGCAAGAGTATCAAGCCGTGGAATGCGATGCTTCTGATGTTCCCTCACAGCATGAGATCTTTGGAATATCTGATGTGGAGTTTGCCCGAAGTTGTGGATGATACCAATTGTGGCCAGCCGTTCCATGGGGTCATCGATAGCGTCTAGATCTTTGGCTCCTTTGTAGGACAAGTGATGGAAAACATTGACAGACTCAATAGCCGCATCACCCTTCTGCTTACTACCGAAAACCAAATCAATCCAGTGATGTAGGTTCTCGGAAACGTAAGGACTCTCAAGTGCCTCTCTGTGTTTGGCAATGAAAATCTTGGGGTCACCCTTGGCCCATGGGGGCAGCTCGACCGAATCAATGGCTGTGGTCATGTTTTGGAGAAGTCCAAAGTCATATTTGTTGGAGTTGGTCAGGAACTCAGGGAGATAGAAGAACTCAGGAATCAGCTCTCGAACGTCCGTCATATTTCCTCGCGATGCAGACTCCCATGCCTTGCGGATGGAATAAAAGAGACGATCAGCGTGGTCAAAGGAGCCACCCTGGAGAAGGAGATAAGATTTGACAAACGGCTGCAGGCGGATGAGGTAGGAACAGACAATCATGGCCGAGGAGTAATGCGTCCCGTAATGGAAAGGAGGGGAATTATCGTCGCCCATCTCCGCGAAAGCATTGTACCTCTCCCGGAATCCGGCTTCTCGCTCCATGGTCTGGCATCCCATGGGTTTAGACAGGTCCCTGAACGTTGCATGATTGGTGAGATCTAGCTCCTCGCTGGTGTAGTCTGCCAGAACCCATGGGAACACTGGGTACTGAGTCAGATCATTAAATGTACGCCCGGCAAAGGTATTGATCAACATGAGATAATGGAAGTTCGAGATTTCACCCCTGACCCATTTCCGCGTTGCTGGATTGGATGGAAGATGTCCAAATACACTAGCAAACTTGGATCCAAGCGACTGCGGTGCGTCGTCCTGGCTGCGAAGGGTCTCAAATCGCCAGATGTCTTCAGGGCGCGAGTGTCCAGTACTTCCAGTGACCTGCGGTGCTCTGATGCCAAGCTGGGTGCATAGATCATCTCTTGCTTTGCTTGACATCAAGGTCAACAAGTAACTGGTGCCGTCTGTGAAGAATATCTCGAGTGCAACATCGCGGAACAAGAAGCGGCGCTTGGAGACACTGACGACATCAGACCATTTCCAGCTTCTGGTTTCGTGTTCTTGGGAGCGGCGGTCATTGGATTCACGACCAGCAATCATGCGCACGTAGGGGTCTCGCTCCTCGTTGGGGGCTTGCCAAACGTTGACGATTTCACCATCTGCCCTCTGGAAGAAGTTGTCAAGGATGTAGATGCAGTCTTTGCCAAGGATCAGGATGCCTTCAACTGCTTCTAAGCCAATGATGCGAGACAGGTTGCAAACGCTCTGAACTTGGTCACCACGCTGAAGGGATCTCATCACCTTTCGATTCCTATCTTCATAATCTTCGAGCTCGATCTTGGGGTCATCAATCAACTCGAAGTTGTCCTCCATGAGGCTTCGGTTATCACTGTCACCGTTCGCTGACACGGGCTCTAAATTATCATTTTCCGTGTTGAGAGGATGAGGTGTTGTCAAGCCCTCACCCTCCGAGAGCGCACGCATCCTGGTATCTAGCTTGATTGCAGGGGGTTCCGATGCTTTGCGCTTTGGTTGGTAATCTTGTCGCTCGCCCGACTCATCTGGAACGAGACGCAAGCGCATGCGGCTGCGGCCTTCTGTTAGGTCAAGCCACCACCTTCTTTCCTTGTCTTCTGATAATAGGCCACCCGGTCGTCGCAGGTCGAGTAGCAGATCAGAGAAAGCAGACCACATGAAGGTAGAACTATCCTGCAAGTCTTGTAAGAACCGCTGGGATTTCAGGAACTCGGATGCTGCAATGTTCGATATCCAGTGCGGTAGTGTTGTGTCGTGCTTTCGAGTCATGTCTTCATCGTATTTCTCGATCTGGGCCCACTGCTTGAGCTTTTCTTTCCGCTTTGAAACCCGACTTCTGACAGACTCTTCACAGCTGGTGTTTTCTTCTTGCACGAAGCCTTCCCACAAACGAGAGAGATATCCGAAAAACAAAGCATCAAGGTCTTCTCGTTGGTCATTGATCCAAATCAAGAACGCTTCATCATCCATTCCAGATAGTGCGTCAAACCCGTCTGCCAGTCGACGCTGGAGAGATGCGGGTGCGTGTCCGAGAAGTGCAGTGATCTCGTCCGGAGCCTGCACAAGTATGACCCTCCATAGACGAGCAGCAGCGGAGCGGACCTCATTGTCTGTGCTGATCAATTTGTTGTACAATTGATAGCAAAGCAGATGCAAGTGCTTTGATTGGGTTTCGGCTGCTGCGAGGACAACCACCTGCCAATAATTCAAGCGATTGAGCAAAGGGACTGTCGATGAATCATCCGCTTCTGAAAGTTGGATCAAGACGACTTTGTACAGCGTCGAGCGGATCGTTGTCACAGCTGGGCCACATAGACGGATGCTCTTCAGTTGGGAGATATCTGGGCGCTGCAGATATTCCAAGATGGTTCCTATGTACTCCAGGGTGGAGGACCCTCCATTAATAAACCAGCCCTCGTACACAGCTTCGGTAAGATGAATTGCCAGGCGGCCAAGATTGGTCAATGTCCGGGGCTCATGAAGGAGGCCCGGTCGGACTACCGGTAAGTCTTGTAATGCCGAAAGCAAGCAACCAAAAACCCAAGAGTTGAAATATGCCTGGTGTTCCAAGAAGCCAGGGGGGGTCTTAAGATAAAGTCCAAGTCCTGTAAAATCCTTGCGTCCCAGAACTTGGTCTTGGAAAACATCAAGAACCAGCTCCAACACAGCCTTGGCAAGTGGATGAGCTGTGGCAGTTTTGCTCCCGGTGAAAGTGGGGTCGATGAAGCGTTTGATACGTGCAGATGATGGCTGAAGCTTGGATTTATCGGAAGAGACTAGAATGAATGACGAGCCCCGTCGCAAAGCTCCTGTACTCTCGTTCGGAGCTTCCGAACAGTCGACTGTGGTGGTCTGTAGGGCCGCTGGTGTGCCAGTTGTGCTCAACCGCGGGCGCAAGACCAAGTTGCTGTCATCGAAGCTAAGGCCACTGTGTCGGAAGTTCAGCTCCGCATTTGGGCTGACGGTGTCGGCACCGACAACGACAGGGTAGATCACGGAAAGAAGCTCCTGCACATAGGTAGAGTGTGCAGTAAACTCTTGGAAGATTGGGGACTGTCGACGAACTTCCGCCAAAAACTCGACGATCGAGCTGAGGAGGGCAAACCCGGAGACATTACGATCCGACGCATCTGTCAATGTTAGAGAAGTAATGCCTGGAGGCGAATCAAGCATACCTGAAAGTTTTAAAGAATCCATGCGAGGCTTTTCGCAATGAGAAGCCTGCTCTGGTAGCAAGTCCTGGCTGTTATCATCCGTCTCCGTTGCCATCATTACGTTGCGCGTGCCACTCTTCAACATATTTGTGATCACCGGTAGCATGTCAGGGAATACAACCTTGGCCTCGCCTCGTTCCAAGAAGATTTTGAGCATCCCGGCCAAATCAAGCGGCTTGCTGAGGTCTAGTGATGCATGGTCGACCCCAAAAAGAATAGAGAAACAGATGGGCCACAAAGCTGGCACATTCCACCATCGCTTCAGATGATGCTCTAAGATGATGTATCCACCACTCTTCTCGGCGAATTTCTTGCTGTATGCACTGCCATGAATGACGACCAAGCGAGCCAATATTTTCGTTGCAAGCAGCCCGATTTCAGGCTCATCCTCGGACATCAGGTAAAGAAGCCACTAATAGCAATATGAATGATATGCTCAACAGGGACGATTAGTTACCACATACCTTGCTTGTCACAGCTTTGGCAAATTTCCTCAGGGGAGTAGGGTCGTGTGGATTGCACAGCACAGCACAGTATAGCCGCAGCATTTCAGTACCGAGAGTGACACCAGGAATGTACTTGATATCCGCCTTCGCCGACGAGGGGCGTGACGATGGTTCCAAGTATCGAAGGCTCTTCTTTTTCTTCAGACTGGTCGGCGCTTTGGGTTTGTGGAGAACATATGTGATTGATAATGACAGAGACCGTAGTAAATCAGGAGATGGGTTGCTCTCCATCAACGATCGAAACGCCGAGAGACAAGGCCGCATAGACTCCTCGGTCAGCTCGCCACTCTTCATCGTCTCCAGCAATTTTTTGTTGACGCCTAGTACAGTCAGATGGATGATTCCAATTCAAGGTGGTACCGAGAGGAGAAACTTACGCATTCGGCCCAGCCGCCTGGCGTTGAAACGGCGGAAGTTGCTGTCGGAAGAGAAGGTACGGAACTGTGAGTAATACAGCTCGAGGGTGGGTGCATCACCGAGTCGCCAAACATCCATGTCAACTAGGAGAACACGGTACGCAAGTGGATTTGTGATGATGGATCGATTGGGGCGCGCGAAATCGTAGCCAACAAACGCCAGGGTCAAATGCAGTAGATCGAGGGTCAAGATAGCCAAATCTTGGGAATCCGAGCTGACCGCGGCGATCTTGTTCACTGCATGGGAGTTCCCGACATGGAATCCAAGTTTCTCTCTCAATAAGGCCGCAAGAATGCCATATCCGTTTTCTCGCTCCATCGCCTCGCTGTTTCTCCAATTATCCTGCACGGCTTCGTAGAGAGCAGAAACGGCCATTCGGGTGCTTTCCACTGTGCTCGCTGCCTTGACTAGGCTCAGGTGCACCGCGGCACATCCCCCGATGCACCAACTGGCGTCGTCCATTGCCCGTGGGACGGCCACGACAGGATCACCTGTCAAGATACCAACTCCCTGAGGCTGAGTGAGACCCTCGTTAATGGCTGGAGTGCCGCCATTCACTGCCACGGCATTTCCACCAGCCTTTGTGAGCTGGTGTAAGCTCTTAGCCGCCTGTCGTGAAAGACCTTTGATCAGCTGCGATTCGTCGACATTATTACTGTCATCGTCATCAAGCACAGCAACAGGCGAAATATTGATCAGAATCGAGCTCTCGCGAACCAAAGTGCTTGCTCGTCTTCGGATGGCAGTGATGATATCAGAGGACTCCTCTTTTCCTGGATGAAGATGTTCATTCCGCAGATTGAGGGTTGCAGATGCCTTGTATGTCTGGAAAGAGCCGAGGCAATCTTGGAAGTTTCCATAATACCTCGGCCCAAGGTTGTAAAATACGGCTACCATATCATCGCTGTAGGCTTCGTCGAAGAGCATTCCATTGACGAGAGACCATCGAGAAGTGGAGACCCCCTTCCCGAGACGCATAGCCAGGTCCTGGGGCGTGCCGAAGAATGCCTGGATCCGGGGAGGCTTGCTTGGATGAAGACTAGTGGGCACTGAGGGGTACTCAATCTTAAGCTGCTCGACAAACTCTCCGTCTATAAATAAGGACGCCCGAGACGAAGACATTGGCTTCGGCCTCTTGTGAACAATACAAATGTGATACCAACGATTCGGTTCGAACTTCGCAGCCTTGAATCGGACACTGGGCCGGGCGCCTCGGATGGAGGTCTGGAGAATAAAGTGTCGAGTGTCCCTCTCCAGGTATGCAAGAATAAAACATGTCTGACTCGCATCAAATGCACCAAAAATCGTAGTATGCGTGTTGGGGTCGAACTCATCGAAACGAGCCCACGCCGCCAGGGTGTAGCCCGAAGACATAGTTGGGGGGAATGGCCTGCCAAGGGTCGCAAACTCGGCGGAGCAGAAGCCATGTCTGGACATGTCGAATTGTATTGATGGGGGCTCCTTGGAGGACTTGAGAGCAGACAGCAGGACTTTCAGGACTTGGGGGTTGTCGTGAGCCCCACGATACAAGGCAACTGCATCTTCCAAGCTACTCATACCCTGCACGCTGAGAGATTGAGCGAGGTTTTGATAGATTGTCTTTTCGTTGTCGGATCGCACGCCATCAAACAAGAGCGGGAGGATTGCGCTGAGCATATTGGTCGCATGCAATGCTACGACATTCCGCCTAGACTGTGAAGCCAGCTGGCATAGGCAAGCCGGTAGAGCAAGACGCAGGATGTCATATCCCGACGAAAATGAGGAATGGATCAGCCACACACGAAGAAACGGGCCAAGTAGTTCCGGCACTTCCACGGTTTCGGCGGAGCCTATGCAGCGATCGACAGCATCTTGTATGTCCTGTGGCGATGCTGCGGGGGTGGCGGAGGATAATTTTGTGTCCAGTGTCACAAAGATGCCAGACACTGTCTCCTGGCATAGGGCTGCGGCCAGAATGGCGCCGTAGAGATGATGTGCATCACCTTCAGTCGTGTCTATCTTCTTGACCAGCGAGGTCAAGATCTGCTCCAGCGCAGCAATGCCTCCTCCAGCTATCTTGCGGGCAAAATACCGCTTGTTGCCAAAGTGGTCCTTCAAGCCCTCTGCCACAACACCAAGGACATCCTTGAATATGCTCAGAAGTCCCTTGCTTTCCTCTTTGGACAGGTTTTCGGGGTGGTAGAGCTCGGCGATTTGGTTTGCAAACGCCAACAATGTTTGGAAGCCTTGGAGATGACGGAATGCATCTTTGGCAGCGCGAGGAAGTGCATCGTCGATGAAGGTATGGCGAAGGCGGAGAAGGGGCTCCGTGGTGGAAAGGGCCTGGGGAAGAGTAATCGCGGCGCCCGCGCCGAGGTTCTTCAGCTGGTCGATTGTTGGTGCTAGCTCTTCGGCCAATCGTTCGGTCGATCCCGAGGGGGAGGGAGGGTGGAGGGGCGCTGGCGGAGCCATAGCCAAATCTTATCCTCTCCGTATGACCATCAGTGAAGTTCCGATGCGGTCTGCATATGTGACAGAGTTAGCGCCAAGGTGAGGCGGTTAGGAGGATTTCCAAGGCAACTTTCGTCATTGAAAACCCATGTCAAATGCTCAGCCACCGCTGTAATTGGTGTCGAGAGGGGAACGGAGATCGAGATGACTAAGGATCGGGGCTGGGGGCTGGACCGCGTAACGCCAAACGGTAACTTACCAGCTGACTTGACGTGCTAACCGCGTTAATTGCACACCTGGGCAGTTGACCGGATGGTAAACTACACTTTACTTGAACGTCAAATACTAATTGTGCCCTCTGTACTGCTGTCCACGGGTGTCTACCTAGTCCGGAGTGGCATACCCGCAGCTCTCCTCTGTGCCGGGAGAGCATCTTCACGGGACAGGTACCATAGGTCCATCGGAGCGGCTGATAGCCCTGAATAGAGCAAAGCAAGGGGCATCTAACGGGTACCTTGGCGGAGCTGTTCATAACAGGTCCATTATAGACCAGTGAGACCCTATATCCCAAAGTACGTCAATCAATGATCCTCCAGTTGCATAGTCACATCACATCTGCTGATAGGCCCGATAGGAGGTGATAAGCGCGATAAAGGCAGTGAGCAATGCAGTGTGGAGACTGGACACCTCGGGGACTGGGGAGGCAACCTATGAGGTGACTTTCTCCGCAGATTAGGTGGCAGTGTGGCCCAATAATGCCCGTCCGTGGCAATTCCCCCAAGGAGGTCCAAGAATTGAGTCACCCGGACATAAGCACGCGACGTCGGAGGACGAATTGCCTTGGACACCCTGTACTGGGCCGTGCGAGGGGGTGAAACTGCCAGGTACCCGGCCCTTGCCGTGAGGTGTGCTCCAACGGAACAAAGACGAAGGTCTAGAGTCAGTTTAAGGCAATTAAGAGGGTTAAGAGAATGCTGATATAGTCATGGTCCCAACCTTGACTTTGGCTGAATCCGTGATGGTGTTTCCCGAGACAGAGTTACTCCACAGTAACGACGTGTGTAGATCCGACCCCGATTTCTATGGGTCATGAGCAGCCTTATGTAATCCGGTTATGCTTGCATCATCGACCCGCCCCCGACTCCTAGATAAAGACGAGCTTCTCCTCATTCTCCCTTCTCCTCCTTAAGCTTATCCTTCATCCCATCCTTTATCCACCTACGATTTTATCATTTACTTCTTTGGTGTTTTCATCTGCCCAGCATGAAAGGCTTCCTGAGCCTAACACTGCTGCCGTTGCTGGCGTCGGCCTCACCCATGGTGGTCGGCTCGATCCACAATGACGCCGCTCCTATCCTCTCATCTGTCAACTCACAGGAAATTGCAGACTCCTATATTGTTGTGTTCAAGAAGCACGTTGACCACAGCTCCGCTTCAGACCACCACAGCTGGGTCCAAGAACTCCACACCGCCCAGAACGGTCGGATGGAGCTGAAGAAGCGTTCGCTCTTTGGCTTCGATGTTGAGGCCTTTACGGGCGTCAAGCACACTTTCCGCGTCGGTGAATCACTCATGGGATATGCTGGTCACTTCCATGAGGATGTCATCGAGCAGGTTCGCCGTCACCCCGATGTGAGTAACCCCATCCTTCCCCTCACGGACATCCCGAGGTCGGCGGCTAATCGAACGGTTTCCTTATAGGTCGAATATATCGAGCGGGACTCTGAGGTCCGCACCATGGGTCAGGGTACCGTTGAGAAGAACGCTCCCTGGGGTCTTGCCCGTATCTCTCACCGTGATTCCCTCTCCTTCGGTAACTTCAACAAGTACCTCTACGCCGAGGAGGGTGGTGAGGGTGTCGATGCCTACGTGATCGACACCGGTACCAACATTGAGCACGTTGACTTCGAGGGCCGTGCCGCCTGGGGTCAGACCATCCCTGAGGGTGATGCCGATGAGGATGGAAACGGTCACGGAACCCACTGCTCCGGTACCATCGCCGGTAAGAAGTACGGTGTTGCCAAGAAGGCCAACGTCTACGCCGTCAAGGTCCTCCGCTCCAACGGCTCCGGCACCATGTCCGATGTGGTCAAGGGTGTTGAGTGGGCCGCTGAGTCTCACATCAAGAAGTCCAAGAAGGGTGACAAGAAGTTCAAGGGTAGCGTTGCCAACATGTCCCTTGGCGGTGGTACCTCCCGCACTCTGGATCTCGCTGTCAACGCTGCTGTCGACGCTGGTCTTCACTTCGCTGTCGCTGCCGGTAACGACAACGCTGATGCTTGCAATTACTCCCCCGCCGCTGCCGAGAAGGCCGTCACTGTTGGTGCTTCTACCCTGGCTGACGAGCGTGCTTACTTCTCCAACTACGGAAAGTGCACTGATATCTTCGCTCCTGGTCTGAACATCCTGTCCACCTGGACTGGCAGCAAGCACGCCGTCAACACCATCTCCGGAACCTCCATGGCCTCCCCCCACATTGCCGGTCTCCTGGCCTACTACGTCTCCCTGTCTCCCGCCAAGGACTCTGCCTTTGCCGTTGCCGAGGTGACCCCCAAGCAGCTCAAGGCTGCCATCATCGCCATTGCTACCCAGGGTGCTCTCTCTGACATTCCCTCTGACACCCCTAACGTAAGCTCCCACCATCCCCCAAACGCACAAAACTTTATACTGACTCTTCACAGCTCCTCGCCTGGAACGGTGGTGGTTCCTCCAACTACACCGAGATCCTTGCTGGCGGTGGCTACAAGGCTGGCAGCACTGTCGAGGACACTGTCAAGGACCGTGTCGGCAGCATCATCGAGGATGCCGAGAAGGCCTTCCACAAGGAGCTCGGTGCCATCTACAGCGAGATCAAGGACGCTGTTTCCGCATAGATTAGATAGTTGTTTGGGTCTTGTCAGCGACGACCCTGCACTGGGCATATGGATGAATGGTTAACACAGGCGCATGTCTATTTCTTTATAGTTTTTCTCGGTCTTTTTTGGGTTCCAAACCCCGGGTCCTACCCGATACTACTACCTATACACAAATTGTTTGCTATATCACTACTCTATATTCACGTAGTCATAATGCATCGCCTTATGTCTTGACCTACCTGCCGGTCTGTTCCAAGGTTCACTCTGCCATTTGTGCTGCCAGACCCGATGCTCAGGTGGGCTTGGTTTTCGTGATGTGATCTCGGGACTTGGTAGAAGTATATAAGTCCACAATGGCACTTCCAAGTTGATTCGACCAAGATTACAACCTTGGAACCTGAAACCTTCCAAGTTGAAGCTTAGAGGCATTGAGTCGGAGCCACCATGCATGGTAGCCACCTGGGCATGGCCCTTGCCATCCCATGTCCGAATATTGGAAATATATACATAGGTAGTCCTGGAGGATCATGGATGCTCTGCAGGCAGGAAATGTCACTGTTTCCGGGCCAGCCTTGGAACTGCTTATTGTGCCCAGGTGTGTACTGAAAATAAATTCAAACCATTCGAAAGTGCCAAACATTCAAAAGGACGGAGCAGAGCTCGGGAAATATGGATGCTGCAGGGCTGGAGATGCTGACCTCGGGAAATAACCGGAAAATCATCCTTGTCTCGGGTCGTCAAAGTCAACCCCAGGACTCTAACAATTCTCTTCAATTTCTACCTAGTACAGGTTCAGTACTACAGTAGTCATTGTCCACGACTTGAGGTTGTACTACCATAGCTCTAGGTGCGTTCGTGAGAGGAGTTCCCCTTACCGAAGCCGGTAATTACAGCGGGGACAGGAGTCCACTTTTTGGCTCGGCGATGGATCTTAGACTCTGAATGTGAACGGGAGTGGAGATAGGGCTGAAAGGCGTTGAGCTTGGCTAAGAAATATAGAAACAACCTCTGCAAATGCACAAAGCGAAACATGATACCAAAATGCGAAAAACAAGGTAATAATGACCCTGGATATGCCGATAAACGCCCCATGTATAATCTACGCCGAGAATGCTGCATGTCCGGGCAATGTAAAAGATGCTCGATCCTTCCACGACGCTTCCCACATATTCGTCCGTCTTGTGGTCAAAACCACGCTTGGCGGCGGGATGTCAGTGCACATGTCATGAGTTGACCATCCGGGCTCGCCATGCTGTGGAATGGCCCATTCAGACCAGCGGACACTATCTCTGCGATGGGGTCACGCTTGATATTCCAGACAGGGTAGGCCCGGGGGATTTGACCTCCCGCTTCCGTGGTGTCTGCTCATCCACAGCAGATTCCTCAGGGGTCGATTCGTCGGCGGAATCCTCCATTTCCGCATCACTGCTGGATTCGATCGTGGCGAGATCATCGTCTGAGTCGCTGCCACCGAAGACGTCGCTGTCGGCATCGCTATCGGCCCAGAAGTCGTGGTCTTCTTTCTCCACTGGTTGGGGAGCGGTGGTCTCGTGGGTAGGCATCTCGAAACCCTCGGGGATGTCGCTTTGAGAGGTCTCCACGTCGGCATAGACGCGCTGGCGATAGGCCTCGGGGTCATCGCGCAGGAGGACAGCAGCGTCGACGTTGGCGGGGGACGAACACTCTGGATCATCGAGGAGGGACAAGATGGAGATCAGAACGGATTCGACGCGTTGGGCAGGGGTCCAGCGCTCGGAGGCGAGCTCCCCGGACATTTCGTCATGGCCCGGGGGGTGGAGGATGGATATGCATAATCTGCCATCGGGGTAAATATTTGGGTGGAGGATGGATTTGTCGAAGCGGAACTCTGGACGTTTACTGTCAGTTTGATTGGAGGGGCTCGGGGGAGGGGGGCATACTGGGCGGGGCATAGGGGTAGTTGGCGGGGAACTTCATGGTGCCCTTGAAGTAACCGCCATAATATAGGGAGTCTGGGTTGACGACAATCAGGGCAAGATCCCATATAAAGATATTGTCATCACGTAACTGTGAGGTGATCGCGTTAGGATTTTGATGACGCGAGAGATCTTCAGGGCGTGAAGGATCAGGGGATGACTCACTTCAGCGTGGACCCATTTCTCCTTTTGAAGGGCATTGAGTTCATTCATAAGGATTCGTTCAGCCATGGTGAGGGGTGTGAGGAGTGGAAGTTCTGACGAAAGTCGTTAAAGAGCGGCAAAGCGCGGTACATCGAGTGGCGACTGTGACTAAACACAGCACAAGGGCAAACAAGGTCATTCTTTTATATATAATCTATTGCTTTCTTTTCTTTTTCCTTTCCCTTTCTTTATAATCAAAATGAAGCTATAACGATAAGCCGGTGGGGAACTATACGATAAGGAAGCGATCGCCCTGCAGGTCATACGAAAACCGCCCGTTGCAGTCCTAAGACACCGTATAGTATCTGTATCCCGCCGTCCCCGAGGGTCCTAGTACGTAGTATGTAAGTAACGAATAGCTGCAGGGCGAAAAAACGAATAGTGCGGTACCTCGATCCACACCCTAAACTTGGTGGCGGCCCATGTCACTCGGACGTCCGTCCACCGCCGGTTTTGGAATCTTGAGTTCTGCTTGCATTTTCTTCCCCAACCTCCTAGCATCTCACTCCCTCGACCTGACTTGGATCTGTTTCAACTCACTCTCGGCCCTGCTCTACACCTTGCGATGCCAGCCTTGGCCAATTACGTCAAATCCTGCTAACCGAAAAGGGTGACATCCCGGTCGCATTGTCACATATTCTGTTCGCCAGCTCCAGAGCGCTGCGCGCCCCGCGAGCCTTTCTGAGCTTCCCCCCAAGCCTTGCGACCTGCCATGTTGCCGCAATGTCAGGGTCCTGTCTGGGCCATTGACGACTTGTCTCGTTGCTTCCAACGCAAGTGAGTTCGCCCCCGGATTCCGACCGTTACAAGGATCCCATGTCCCTCTAACGCGATACAGTGTGCTCCAAGTAATCCTTCCCCTCACCGTCTGCGGCGCTTCGCTGCTGCTAATCCTAGCTCGCCTTGCTCACCGGTATGCGCTCACCCGGAAAGGTGTCGCGTACAAGGTCCTCCCAACCAGCGACTCGGAGGAATCGACCACGGCGGAGAATGATTCCGATGCGATGCTGTCCCAAGCGGTCCAGCACGAACAAACCCAGGTTGAGGTCGACCGCCCGCGCGGCGAGGTGGTCATCGTGCTACTCGAAATTGCAGCTTTGGTTGGCCAGGTTGCGATATACATCACGATTTTGTCAACTCAGGCCTGGGGCCGACATGGAACACCCCCCGCGATCGCCGGGCTGGTGGCATGGGGCTACATCTTGTTCCTGGTTTTAGTTCGGTTCCTGCTCTCGACCCTGGATCTCTTCACGGCCCCGAGGTTGTGGAACCACACAGCCATTCTATATGGTTTGCAGTGGATCTTCAACATCATGGTCTTCCGCTCCGCCATTATTCACCCGCTGTCTCGGCGCGCCCTGATTCTGAGCAGCGTGCAGTTCTCTCTGAGCACGGTACTTTTGTTGATCGCGCTCACGACGCGCCGAGGCAACAAGCCGGTTTTGGTGGAGCGCGAAGGCAAGCTCGAACCGCCTACGCACCCGAAGGCCAGTTTACTCTCGCTTGCGACTTTCTCCTGGCTGGACACCCTGGTGTTGAAGGGCTACCGTCAACCATTGGAGCTGCAGGACGTCTGGAATCTGACTCCTTCGCAGAAGGCTGCCAACGTGCTGTCGGACTTCCGCAAGCGCCAGATGAAGGGATCCCTGGCATGGAAGCTCATCCGTTACTTTATGGGGACGATCCTGGAGCAGGGCGCTTGGACGATTTTCGCCAATCTGTTTGTTTTCATGCCTAGTTTGCTCCTCAAGGCCATCCTTGAGTATGTCGAGGACCCTCGGTCTACTACACCAAATGCCGCCTGGCTCTTTGCTATTCTGCTATTCTGCTGCGCCACAGTTCAGGGCGTGGCAGATGGACAATCACTTTACATTGGTCGCAAGATGGGTGTGAAAGTCCGTGCGATCATCATCGGTGAAATTTATGCAAAGGCTCTGCGCCGAAAGGCCGGAGCTTCTGTGGAAGCTGCGAAGAAAGCGGTCGACGACTCGGTACTGCCCAAGGATGCGCAGACCAAGAAGAAGAGATGGTTCTCCCTTGGCCGCAAGAAGAAGGCGGCAAATGCCAATGATACCGAATCTGCACCGAAGCCCGAGTCTAAGAACGAAGATGTCACCCAAGCCAACGTTGGTACTATCATCAACTTGATGGCTATCGATTCATTCAAGGTGAGCGAGGTGGGTGCCTACCTTCATTTCCTGTGGGCTAGTGTGCCTGTGCAATTGATTATGGCTATCACTCTGCTCTATCACATCATGGGTTTCAGTTCGTTCGCCGGAATTGCATTGATGGCCCTCATGCTGCCCGTCAACCTCTTCATCGCCCGTCAGTTCAACAAAGTGCAGAACCAGATTCTCAAGGGCACCGATGCCCGCATCCACGCCACCAATGAGGTTCTGCAAAACATCCGCATTATCAAGTACTTTGCTTGGGAGCAGCGTTTCCAGGATATCGTCAACGAGAAGCGCAAGACTGAGCTCAAGGCCCTTCGGAACAGATACATCCTGTGGTCCTCTGCTGCGACTATCTGGTACGGCACACCGATTCTGATCACATTCATGTCATTCTTCCTCTACACTGTTGTTGAGAAGAAGCAGTTGACTCCTTCCATTGCCTTCCCTGCTTTGTCAATGTTCTCTTTGCTGCGTGTTCCCCTGGACCAGCTCGCGGATATGGTTGCCCACGTGCAGGAATGTAAGGTCTCTCTCGACCGTGTGGACAATTACTTGAATGAGGAGGAAACCGGTAAATATGACCAACTGCGTGATAGCACCACCGCCGGAACCCCCGCTAAGATTGGGCTTGAAAATGCCACTCTATCTTGGAGCAACTCCAAGGTTCAGACCAAGGATACCGCGGCAAGTATCGACCTGGACTCTTTCCGTTTGATCAACCTCAATGTCGAATTCCTCGTCGGTAAGCTCAATATTATTGCTGGGCCCACTGGATCTGGTAAGACATCTCTGCTCATGGCTCTTTTGGGAGAAATGCAACTTGTTGAGGGTCGCGTTCATCTTCCCGGTGGAATGTCCAACAGAGCCGACCTTCCAGTCGACCCTGAAACCGGTTTGGTGGACAGTATTGCCTACTGTGCCCAAGAAGCCTGGCTTGTCAATGATACCGTCAAGGAAAACATCATCTTTGCCTCTCCTTACGACGAGCGCCGCTACCGCGCGGTGCTGAAGGCATGTGCACTCGAGCGCGACCTTGCAATCCTGGATGCAGGTGACCAGACTTTGGTTGGTGAGAAGGGTATCAGTTTGTCTGGTGGCCAGAAGCAGAGAATCTCTCTTGCTCGGGCTATTTACAGCAGTGGCCGCCATCTGCTGCTCGATGACTGTCTGTCTGCCGTTGACTCTCACACCGCTAAGCACATCTTCCGCCAAGCTCTCACCGGCCCCCTCATGTTGAACCGTACCTGTATCCTGGTCACTCACAACGTTGCCCTGACCGTTCCCCAGTCAGACCACGTCGTTGTTCTGGATAATGGTAAGATCTCTGCTCAGGGCCGTCCCAACGACGTCGCTTCTACTGGCGCCCTGGGCGAGGAATTCCTGAAGTCCCGCCCTGTCTCCCAGGCCAGCTCTCGTGGTTTGTCTCGTGTGCCCTCAGACCACGAATCGCCGGATGAAGACCTCAACGGAAATGCCAATGGAAAGGCCCAGGAGGAGAAGGCTAAGCTGCAGGAGTCCAAGGCTACCGGTAGTATCAAATGGTCTACTGTGAGCATGTATCTGCGTGCCATGGGCCCTTGGTACTACTGGATTGGAGCCGTATTGGTCTTCTGCCTGCAGCAACTAGGCTCCGTCTCCACCAATATTTGGATCAGACAGTGGGCTAACTCCTACCACACCTCCAAGGCTGCTTCCGAGGAGGCAGGACAATATGCTGCTGCGGCCCACTTGAAGCCCCCAACATTCAATGTCGGAAGTGTTGGCCGGGTGAGCAGCTGGGGCTTGCCTCAGCTGGGTGCAAGCTCCACCGCGGAGGCCTCTGGCGAGGTCAACGTCGCTTATTACCTGGGTGTTTATGCTCTTCTCGGATTCCTCTACATTGCGATCTCCCTGTCCCGGGAAGCCGTTCTTTTCTGGGGATCGCTGCACGCATCATGGAAGATTCATGATCGCCTTCTGAAGGCGGTCATGCATGCCAAGTTCCGATTCTTCGATTCCACGCCCCTTGGTCAGCTGATGAACCGTTTCTCCAAGGATGTTGAGTCCGTTGATCAAGAGGTTGCCCCTGTTGCCATTGGTATGCTCCACAGTCTGGCATCAGTGATCATGATTGTGATTCTGATTTCTTGGATCACCCCCGGATTCTTGATTGCCGGTGTTTTCATCACACTTGTGTACACTGCCCTTGGTGCTGTTTACTTGAACTCCTCTCGAGACCTCAAGCGCCTGGAATCTGTCCAGCGCAGTCCCTTGTACCAGCAGTTTGGCGAGACGCTGAATGGAATCGTGACCATCCGTGCCTACGGTGATGGCCCTCGATTCATGGTGGACAACCACCAGCGTATCAATGCCTACAACCGACCTCACATCTACCTGTGGGCTAGCAACCGCTGGCTCGCCCTCCGTGTCGACTGGACGGGTGCTTTGGTATCATTCTTCGCAGCCACCTTTGTTCTTTTGAACGTTGGAACCATTGATGCAGGTGCGGCCGGTCTCTCGCTGACATACGCCGTCACCTTCACGGAGAACGTCTTGTGGCTTGTGCGCCTCTATTCCGAGGTCCAGCAGAACATGAACTCCGTTGAGCGTGTCCGTGAATACCTCGAGGTAGACCAGGAAGCGGCATCCGTCATCGAGGAGTCTCGCCCACCAGCGAACTGGCCCAGCCAAGGTGCCGTTGACTTCAATGCCTACACGACTCGTTACCGACCCGATCTGGACCCTGTTCTCAGAGAGGTCTCGTTCTCCGTCAAGGCCGGTGAAAAGGTCGGCATTGTCGGTCGTACTGGTGCAGGCAAGAGTTCTCTTGCTCTGGCTCTCTTCCGTGGCCTCGAGGCAGAGAAGGGTAGCATCCTAATTGACGGCATTGACATCGGCTCGATTGGCCTGCGCGACCTGCGCGAGGCCATCACAATCGTGCCCCAGGACCCGACGCTCTTTACCGGAACTCTCCGCAGCAACCTGGATCCATTCGGTCTATTCAGCGACGAGCAAATCTTCACCGCGCTCCGCCGAGTCCACCTCATTGGAACCAACACCTCCGGCACAGCCACCCCAACCACTCCCAGCACTCTCACCGCAACCGAAGCCAATGCCAACGGCAATGCCAACGGCAGCGCAGTAACCTCCATCGACAACAAGAACATCTTCCACAACCTCGACAGTCTGGTCTCCGAGTCCGGCTCCAACCTCTCCCAAGGCCAACGCCAACTCCTCTGCCTAGCCCGCGCCCTCCTCAAAAGTCCCCGCGTCCTAATGATGGACGAAGCCACCGCCTCAATTGACTACGCAACAGACGCCAAGATTCAAGAAACCCTCCGCGAACTCCACAGCAGCACCATCATCACCATTGCCCATCGTCTACAAACCATCATCGACTACGACAAGGTCCTGGTCCTCGACCACGGCCGCGTCATCGAGTTCGATCACCCCTGGACCCTGATCAATAAGGGCGATGGTCTCTTCCGCAGCATGTGCGATAACAGCGGAAACATGGATGTCTTGCTTGATGGTGCTAAGCGCGCCTGGACACAGAAGAGACTCGTCGATGATTCTTGAGTGGTTCTTCCTTTTAATCTACTTTGTTTTCATAGATTTCGTACATATTCATCGTTTGCCCTTTGTTCATTATCTTTGCCCGGCTCGTCTCGGGGCGGCAATGCAAAAAAGAGACACCAATGTAATCATTATTCTGTTCTAGCTGAACTCATTGAATTGAATTTTTCCATCTGTCCCCGGAGTCACTTCCAACGTCGAAGATTGTCTATGTGAGGCCGGTTTCCAGCTGAAGGCTCCGAGTCGGTATTTAGGAGTATAACATAGTGTTGCGTTTATAGAAAGCACAGAATAGAGCCAAGGAGAATCTCGTAAACTTCGCTGTTTGTGTTTTCCGTGCCATCTGGACGGCTTATAGCCTTGGGGAGGACGAAGCCTCGACTTTCATGCTCGTCCATGGTCCGCGCGCATGCGCTGGTATTTCCATCAATGTGTTCAGCTTCGGACGGACCCGAATGCGTAGTCTCGTATCAACTCAGCGGCAGCACCACTCTGGTCGCTTTTTGAAAGGGTATATTCATGTGCGCGCGCATCAAGAACAAGGAATCGACATCATCTCGTTCAAGATGTTCATGAAAGAACCGCCTTGGCAGTCCGGCATCAGGGCCATCACGCCTTTACCAGACGATCAACAAATCACGAAAGACACCCATTGACGCATTCACGATATGCAGAGATTCGAGATTCCAGCCCAAAAGCCAACGTAAAAAAGAGGCTGAGGCTCCCCGGAAACGGTTCTGAATCGGGCATGGGGTTGTACGCGGCGTTCACGGGGGTCCACCCAACCGTAGCCGTCGAAGAATCCTTTCAAAAAAGAGAAAAATAATCCCAGAATCCATAGTCAACGTCACGACTTACGAATCCCCCTGATAATCGTGAATGCGCACACCACCCCAGAGGCAACGAAGAAGAACTCCCACGGCGGGCAGTGGTAGATCGGCAGCGAACGAGAGTCCAGCACCGGGTGCACCGGCACAGTGATCGGCGCATCCACATCCGAGTTATGCATCTGCATCTGCATCTGGGTCTTCATCTCGGATTTCGGGGATGAAAGGCCTGCTTCGCGCATGGCTTGCTCTTTGGCTTTGTGTAGGCTCTCGAGTTCATCTTCGTCTGGAAGGGTCTCGGGATAGTAGTAGCGCTTATCGTGGGTTGGCGGAACGGGCTGGACCGACGGTGCTTGGATTGCCAGCTGGGTTGTTTCTGGCGATAGGATTTGAATCGGGATAGCGAGGACGTGGAGGATACAGAGCGCGAGTGTTAGGCTCTGAAGTTGCATGATCGCGGATGGCCGCGGGTGGAGATTGATGGGATCGGCGCTTTGCAGGAACCTTGGAGGTCACTTAGCTCACGGATGGGAGTGAGAGGGAATCATATACAAGTCGAGGACAAAGAGTCAAGGTGAAAGAGTCAGTGAAAGAGCAAAGTGAAAGAGTAAGAAAAGAGCGGAGTTAACGGCTTCGGGTTCGTATTGGGCCGGATCCGTATAGACTGCAGTGGAGACTACTCTATTTAACTGTTATCAGCGCACGAAAAGGCCGACGATATCTGCCCATCACTATACGCCTGGTGAATCTGCACCACCACCCCATAAGTTCCACCAACCGCCATGAACAGCCCCAGCAGCACCAGAAACACATGAAACACATACAGCCCAACGCGGACCCAATTACCCCGCCAATAATCCCGATGACTATATATCCACAGCCACCCCGGTAAGCTGATAGCCAAGGGCGCAAAGCACAAACTGCCCACCAATGCCAGCACATAATTGAAAATGGGAATTGCCGACGCCAAGACAAACGAGATCGCAGCCGTGCCAAGAGTGCACGACAACCACGTTCCCCAATGCACGACCGTGTTGGCCTGCAGATGGCGCGAGTGGCGCAAAATTCGCACAAAAAGATACTTGGCTGCGACGTGCACGTAGAGACACCCGCTGATGATGAGGCCGGGCAGGGCGATTCCGTACGCGACTCTCTTGACGGTTTCGCCGGCGCTGCCGAGTGACGGGGAGGCAATCCATTTGCCGCACCAGGCGTAGATCACGAGACTGAATGTGAGGTAGGAGGCTGTTACGAGGGTCATGCTGAGGTATACGGCTTTAGGGTAGTCTTTTGGTCTGCGCATTTCCGAGATGACAGGGAGGAAGGCGGAGGTTGCGGCACTGGAGACGAAGATGGTGGCGGAGGCAGTGATGCCGGTTGTGAAGTCGGGGTTTCCGATGACTCGGTAGCCGAAATCGAAGTCGCCTGTTGGAGGGGCTGCGGCTGGTCGATCTCGAACAGTGACGCCGATACTGTGGATTTAAGCTGTGGTTCATGGGACTGGGACCGGGACAGGGACATACACGATGATGAAGACGGCTACGTAGACGCTCCCAAAACCGAGCCAGGTCAACCAGCCCAGATGGGAGAATTTGCGCACGCTGGCGCACAGGGCGATGATGATTGTTCCAATGAACGAGAACCAAACGGTACAGAAGGAATGGAGAGATAGGGCATTGAATGCCGTGGAGACACCGATGATCCCTGACGCAGCAACAATGACATAGCTGATGGTGAACAAGGCGCCGACGAGCTCCTTCACCAAAGGGCCACCGACCACCTGCGCCATATCGGCAATCGAATGACAGCCCGGGTAGGCATTACGGAAGTTGCCCTGTACGAGGGCACAGTACGTGTTCAAGAGACTCCATCCCACGACTGTGATGGCGCCTGGCAAGGCGCCCAGCTCATACATCAATGAAGGGATGGAGAGAACGCCCGTGGCGAAGATGACTGCGGTCGGGTTAGTATAGCGGCTGGCATGAGGACAGGAGACTGACTCTTGAGAAAGATCACCGAGGCGCGGACCCAGGAGACGGTGCGGAAATCGACTTGGCCATCGCCTCGTTTGAAGACTTCGTACTTGTCTTCGACTTCCGCTTCCTGAGTGTCGATGGGTTCCTCTGGGGCTTCTTTGATCTCGTCTGGCATGGTGGATCTTCAATATAGAGCCTCAGCTTGGAATGACAAAAGGACGGGACATCCTTGAAGGGATATATAGGAAGCGTAGACTCAGTCTAACCCTGTTCGCGTCTGGGCATCGCAGGTACTTTCTGCGCGATAAGCAACATTGGAAGGCTGCAAGGGTTCCACTTCGTCTTCCCCGCGATATGCAGTGGACTCTGTTGGAGTCAGTCGGAGTATGCTGAGATCTTGTGCAGAGAACAAGCCTGATATCTATTGGGGTAAGGGATTTGGGGTCATCGAAGATATGACGGATTAGTATTAGTACATAGGTAGCCACCTGAGACTAATACGATTAGGCCTGACCACCCCTGAAAGCCAAGTCTTGTGGAGGGAGGGTGTTGCCCAGGTGAGCTGTGGCCTCGACACGAGTCCTGTTCTTGGGATCCGATAATCGGTGTTTACAATTCTGGAATCCTGTGAATTTACTGCTACGATGGATGTCTGCGATGTGATCATATAAAGCATGTATATTGCTACTTCTGAAGCATCGCCCCAGCCTTCGCGGGCATCAAAGCGCCCGGAGGAGGAGCATTCTTGCTCTTAAACTCATCGCAAACTTGTTCCATAGTCACAAACTCCACGCCCTCGTGTTTCTTGAAGTGCTCGATGAGCCTGTTCCCGGTCAGCCAAGCTCCAAAGACCAATGTTGGTAGCACCTACCGTTCGTGCATCAGAAGCACATGAGGTCGTCCCGAAACATCCGGGTGGATTGTAATGGGGAAAATAAACTCATCATACTCCCGGTAGAAATAGTCAAAGTGGTCACGCCAGATATCCTCCACGTCTCGCGGGTTCACAAACCCATGACTGTTGGGAGCACTCTTGATGAACATCATAGGAGGCAGGTCATCAATGTACCAATTGGACGGAATCTCCACCAAGCCCGTCTGCGGACCATGCTCGAGAGGCTTCATCCATTCCTCGGCCTTCTTCGTGTAATCAATGTTGGTCCAAGTGTCGCCCGTGCGAAGGTAATAGGCCTGACAGTCCTCGTGACTCATACTGTGATCGTATTCGATTCCATAATCGAGTAGAAGCTGAGCGCCTTCTTGGCTGGTCTCCCACCTGTGAACAATTAGGAGGAAATTCACCCCTAGGCCGGGTGCGGACTTACCAAGGAGCCACGCTGCCTCGGGGCGGCTTTCCCGCGAACTCGGTCAGCATCCGATATGTCTTGTCCAGGACGTCTCGCTGCTGCTGAAGCGACATGTCTGTGGGATTCTCATGGGAGTAGCCGTGCAGACCGATCTCGTGGCCTGCGTCGCGAACGGCGGCCATGTCTTCCGGGAAGGTTTCGAGGGAGTGACCCGGAATGAACCAGGTGGTTTTGATGTCGTACTTCTTGAACATCTTCAGTAGTCGCTGGGTTCCAATTGTGCCCGCCCAGTATCCTACAGCAATTAGAATAGTACGCTCTCCAGGGCTTGTTTGTTCTCGGCTTACCTCTGCTGATGTCGTTGGTAGAATCCTCGCCGCCATAGGAGCCTAGCCAGCCGGCGACAGCGTCGACGTCGACGCCGTAAGTAATTAGAACTCGCTTGGGGGCCATGTTGATGATATTTGTTCGAGGGAAATGCGCAAGAGGGAGAAGTACATCTTTTGTATGCGGGGAAGATAAGCCCCTCTTCGGATCGACTTGGAGAGCTACACTTTCGCTTCTACACACTGTCGCAACATTGACTCCGACTGATAAGCCCTGGAGATGATTACATTTCTGCTAAGATAACAGTTGAATTGCTATCTCCATGAAATGGGTCTCTAAGCTTCTCCAACACTTGGGGTCATCTCAGTTGGGGTAAGCATAGAGACCCATTTTAACGGACTCCACGGAGACCGGGGGTTACAGATGGAGAAGGCGAAAAAAAAGGGTAAAGATCAGAGAAAGATTGTGTCTTTCCTCCTCAAACACCTGTCAAGTCACACTGAGATCACGGAGGCTGCGAAATCATGTCGGTTCTATTCACGAGCATCTCGGAGTGAGTGACATTGGAACATCGTCCCATTGAACCCACTGACTCCTCAATCTAGGACTAATCCCGTCAAATATGGCGACGCAGAAGCTCTCCTCGAGCCACTCGGCCTGGCAATAGACCCAACGGAGTCGCAAGACTTCCAGACCTTACTAGCAGCAGTCCACGACTGCGCCGAAGGTGTAGCCGCCTTACCAGACTACCAACCAATCCCCGATCAAGTCAAATACCCGCGCGAGGACATTCGCCGGCCAAAGGCCGATGAACAAGTCTTCGGACAAGCCTGGGCCCACCGATTCCTAATCCGCGGCAATGCAAAGGGCCCACTAGCTGGCAAATCCGTCAGCTTGAAAGACGTGATTGCGGTCGCGGGCGTGCCTCAACTTTTGGGGAGCGATATAATCCCGTCCTGGACTCCGACGACAGATGCAACAGTTGTTACTCGACTGTTGGAAGCTGGGGCGGATATCGTCGGGACTTCGACGTGCGAAAACCTTTGCCACTCTACTTCTTCGTATACTAGTGCCCAAGGCACGGTGGAGAATCCTCATGCGGTGGGATACTCGGCTGGCGGGAGTACATCTGGAGGCGCGGCGCTAGTCGCAGCTGGGGAGGTGGATATTACGATCGGAGGTGATCAGGGTGGGAGTATTCGGGTTCCTGCTTCGTTCTGTGGATGTAAGTACCTCTGCTTCGAATGAGCGGGTTCAAGCTAATTATGGTCAGGTGTTGGATTGAAGCCTACACATGGGCGCGTTCCTTTCACTGGAATCGCTAGTGGCGATGCAATGAATGATCATGCAGGTCCGCTGACTCGAACCACATTTGAAGCTGCTAGATGTCTAGACATTATTGCTGGATATGATGGAATCGACGACAGGGCTCTTGGTAGCGCGAAGCCGGGCTCAACTGATTTTGAGCTCGCCATTCAGAAGGCTGACAGTCTTGACGGGTACAAGATCGGCATCCTGAATGAAGGATTCCAGCATAGTGCCGTGAGCCCTGCCGTTAGAGAAACCGTCTTGGCCGCAGTCCAGAAGTACAAAGATCTGGGCGCAACGGTTGAAGAAGTATCTCTTCCAGACCATCTGCAAGGACCTGCGATTTGGACCATTCAACAGCGAATCGCCGGAGCGCAGACCTTACTCGGTCAAAACACCGGACGAAGAGGCCTCTACATGACTGAGATGGAAAGCGCCCGTCTCCCATGGACAGACGATGGCTTCCAGCGCGCATTCCCATCCACCAAGAACGTCATCATCAACGGTCTCTATCTCACGCAAAAGTTCCCTGATCTCTACGGCAAAACCGCCAATTTCGGACGATACCTTTCTGATAAGTATCAAGAGCTATTTACGAAATATGATGTTCTGGTGATGCCTACAACGCCGGTCGTTGCGCCTCGCCATGGCAAGCGCGAGTTGCCCCTGGATTCCCTCAAGCCTAGCATGGGCTTGACTATCAACACTGCCATTTTCAATGTGACGGGACATCCGGCACTGTCTATACCTGTTGGGTTTGCGCCGGCCAAGGATGATGATCAGGTTATGCTTCCGGTTGGAATGCAGATTGTGGGTGGGTTGTGGCAGGAGGAAAAGATTCTGCGGGCTGGTCATGTCTGGGAGAGGCATTATGATTGGAAGAAGATGCAGTATTCCACGAATAAGAACTAGATAGAGGCATACTAGGTATACAAGCGTTTCATTAGATTCACCTGTTGGAAGACATCCATGGATGAGGCCACGACAATTTCAATCTCAAGCTTTTTGTCCAAATTTCAAGATTCAAAGGTTAAGACGATGCGAAGATAAGATGATATCATGTAGTATCTTGAGCAAATGTACCGTTAGGAGATCTTGGAAGCTTTGGAATGGATGTATATGGTACTAGACACCCCGGGTCTACAGGCGTTGTTCCCAAGAGCACGATATATAACTTGGAAATAGTGTATTGACTACCTAGGTATGATGAAAATATTTAAACAGTGACATATCCACCATCCACCACCATCGCATGACCCTGTACAAACGAGGCCTGAGTTGAACATAAGAACAATATAGCATCAGCCACTTCTGCCGGTTGTCCCATCCTCTTCATTGGGGCAGTTTCCACAGCAGGCAGGATAGCCGCCCGAACCTCAGGTTTCTCCATAACCAATGGAGTTTCGATGACACCAGGGCATACACAATTGACTCTGATGTTATCCCGAGAGTAATCAATTGCATCTGCGCGTGTCAAGCCAATGACAGCAGACTTTGACCCGCAATACGCCGCTGGACACAGTCAGTACTATCTCTCAGTGATGGACAATGAATACTCACGGGCACCGGGACGACTGACGATGCCTAACTGACTGGCAACATTGACAACCGAGCCTTTCTGTGATGGCCGGGAAGGGTCGTGGCTAGGGAGGCCTTCTTGCGAGGCCATCTGTCTGAGCTCTGCTCGCGATGAGAGCCAACAACCTCTATAGTTGATGCTGTTGACGCGGTCGAATTCTTCTAGGGAGGTCTCTGCAGATCGGAAAGGCTTCCCAAGCACCCCTGCGCAGTTCACTGCATAATCAACTCGGCCGAATGTGCTGACCACTTCTTCAATCAATGAGTCTGCGAAGTGATCGTCGGCAACATTTCCGGCTTTGGACAGAACCCGTGTATTAGGATGGGTTGATTTGATAGCATCTGCCGTTTGCTGCAGAGAATCCTCATTCAGATCTGTAATGGCGATTCGCTCACACCCAGCAGCAGCAAAAGCCTTGGCCGTTGCAGCCCCGATTCCTGGTCGATGCGTTAGTATATGTCCACTGCAGGGTTTGGGGCTTGCACCCACCCGTTCCACCAGCACCAGTGATCACCGCAACACCTGGAAACATCACGATCAAAGCAATTGAGAAAGATACCCAAAAACGAAAAAGTGGCAGAACGTCGACGTGAAGTATACGAACCCCACCTTTATCGCTTATCGCGGGCCGAGACAAGTTGGAGCAGTTGGAGTCACCTCCTCCCACCCACTTGCCCAGCTCTCCAACCCCAGTTCCCCATCGTTTCAATGCCGTCTCCATCACCCCCAAAGGCTCGTGGAGGGAGAGCACGCATCTGTGTGCATTGCGGTCGGAACTTCCGCCGCACTGAGCATTTGGAGCGACACATTCGAACTCGTAAGCCAATTGCCGAGGGTTGCCGAACTAGTGATGCTAACCCGGTAACCCGCTAAGACACCAAGGAGAAGCCGTTCATTTGCTTCTGTGGGGCTGCCTTCACTAGGAGGGATCTACTCAAGCGTCACACGCGCATCTCCCACCAAGATGGCCTGACCTCGCCCACCGCGCCCGAGCCAACGCCAAAGACCGATTTCCAGCCTACACCTCACCCTGCAGCAATCCCGTCGCAATATGACACACCAGCGAGATCGGCTGTGCCCCTTGCAGGACCATCTGCCGTGCACCAATGGACTGGCCCTCAGAACATGCCTTATTTAGACCAGAGCCACTCGGCGGGCATGCTGCCTGCGGCCGCTACTGCGCCTCCCAATGCTGGCCTGGCGCCTCATTCGGCCATGGTCCCTGATGCGGACATGCTGCAAGCCGCTCAGCTGCTGCTTCCCGGTGACTACCGCGCTACCGGTATGTGCCCGCAATACATGGCTCAAACCTTGTAACCCCTGCTAGCATAATACCTTGCTCGTCTTGGCATGATGCGAATGGACTAGCTGTTGCGTCCAATCTTGGGACCTTATATCTGACCGTGAACTAGCACAACCGATGCCATACTTACCGGAAGATCTAAACCATTTCCAGGAATTCTCACACTTCTTGGACTCCATCGGCTTGCCGGGAGAATGGCTTCCCAGCGAAGGTGAAACATCTCAGACACAAGAGGGCCTGGAAAACCTCCACAGTCAAAGCCGACCGGCCCAAGAGCAGGAGTCGGAGCGACGCCGACGGAGCGGAGAGGGCTCTCGGGGAGACTCGCCATTCAGATCCTGGCTACCGTCTGTTCCGAGGGGGGATCAAAGCCTGGGGAATCTTTCTGATTCGGGTATGCAGCTCTGAGTCTAGCTGTACAGTTCCTTTCCGCTAACAGAACTGCAGAGCCCCCCCAAAACGCGAAGAGGATCTCGCGATTCAATGTCACCGAGGACCAACGATTTCGGCTGGCGGCCTCCCTGGAAGAGTTTCGCAACGTGATACCGGACTTTGTACTGCCTTCACGGCATACATTAACTCGGTATCTCACCTCTTATTTCGAAGGGTTCCAGCCTCATCTCCCATTCATGCATATGCCGACATTCAATATCGCAGAGCGCGCCCCTGAGGTGGTTCTCGCTATCATGACGATCGGCGCTCAGTATCGATTCGAACATCAAAACGCAGAGAGGATATTCCATGTCTCCAAAGCGATTCTCTTTGAGCGTATGTCCAGGGAGCCCCGCATCCCAGCCAAGCCTGCATACAGCGCGGCATCTCAAGTTCCGCTCGGGATATCTCCATATTCCAATTTCGGAGATCAGTCCCTCACACAGCCTCAAGTAGCAGCGGAGAGGACCGCTGCGTGGAAACAGATTGAAATAACTCGCTGTCTTCTCATCTTGATGGGATATTCCACATGGGAGAATTCAAGACTGGTACAAGAAGCGTTCCATATTCAGGGCCTGCTGGTGCGGCAATTGCGCGAGGGTGGGTTGACAGAAGACACCAGTCGCTCTGATCCCCGCGCACCCCTTGATTGGCATGAATGGGCAGATCAAGAATCGAATCGGCGGACCAAACTGATCGCATTCTGCTTCATTCATGTCCATAGCATTGCATACAATGCGTATCCATCCCTGCGCAGCAATGAGATACATCTGCGCCTCCCTTGTTCCACTGCGGAGTGGTCTGCCAACACTGCGGCGGAATGGGACGCTGCTCAGCGGGAGAGGGGTCCTCAGCAACTATTCTTCCAAGATGCATTAACCCTTCTCTTGCAAAAGTCTCGATCGGCATCGCCTTTGAACCCTATCCCATCGCCCCTGGGCAACTATATTCTTTTACATGGACTTCTGCAAAGAATTCATCTCGTCAGCGAGTTATCATTGCCAAACGGCAACCACTCAAGCCTTCCAACCGAAGAACTCAACAAACTAGAGTCAGTATCCCCAACCACCCAGCTCCGAAAGACAATTACTTACAGATGCAATTACAGACGAGCTCTTCGCTCGTGGACGTCAGTCTGGCAACAAGCCCCAGAATCCAGCCTCGACCCGCACAACGCAAATGGCCCAATACCATTTACCTCCAGCGCATTCTTAGGCCTAGCTTATGTCCGCCTCTCTCTCAACCTTGGCCCCCACCGTCGTCTTGAAACCCGTGATCCAACCATTATAGCCACGGCCCTCCATCGCTCGCCACGCCCGGAAAGAAGCTACCGCCTTATCCCCGCTCTCATCTACGCTGCGCACGCCCTAAGCATACCGGTCCGATTAGGTATCGACCACATCGCTCGCAGCCAGGCCTTCTTCTGGAGCGTGCGACATTCCCTCGCCAGTATCGAGTGTGCAGTACTACTCAGCAAATGGCTGTTCACTTTGGCAGAGGCTGGCCCGGACCAGTCACTCAGTGGTATGATGGCGAAGATATTCGATGAGTGACATGAGAGTCTTATACTGACATTTGCGCAGAAAATGAATCTCGGATCCTGCGCTGGACGCGGTGTATTATTGAAGAAGCATACTCATCCATTGACACCGAGGACGGTGAGGCCCCGCGTGATCTGGAGCCTGCTTCGCTGGGCCTGGCAGTCCTCAAGCTGTGGGCTAGGCTGTTTGGGACGAATTCTCAATGGCCGTTTATTAATGTTCTTGGACAAAGTTTGGAACAGTACATAACTATGATTCGATGCTAATGTTTTCTGTTCGTTTTGATTCCAGGCATCATATATCCATAGATGGGATGGTCGATGACTTTGGACAGGTTTGTATATTCTTTTTCTGATAATTCTCTGGGTGGAACCTAGATTTTTCTTCGACTACATACTAATTAAGATTCATCTGTTCTTGAATTTACCTATGTAATTGTTTCCTGTTTCCAAGTTGTCAATGCAGCCCGGCCGCTGAGACGTATCACATTGAAACACAATGCCGAATTATCTCATAAACCGCACCTCGATGCAATTCATCTACACCGTACTCCGTGCTGCATACATCGTCATCATGGATGTCCCTGCGAGGTCAGCTGGCGCCAAGCCTCGGGGTAGTTTTCCCCCTTTGGGCAACATGCTTCCTCTTCGGTATATTTGTTCCCTCGTCTTATCTGGCTGGTGTCAAAGAGTCTGGGGTGTCAATCGGCAAGATAGAACAAATGGAGACTAGCTTTATAGTGCATCTCTATAGTTGATAGCGGATCATTCGAGGACCATCACTTATTCCATAATAGAAGGTTGGATATATGGCGGTTTAAGCAGTTCGGTACAGATGTAGTTTGTCTCTATACATGTCTAAACATGAAATACAGGCCCCCCGGGGGTATTAGAAGTCAACAGTACTAGTACACTATCAACAGGCACCACCCTACGTCGACAACAACTTGCAGTCCCTAATTGAAATATCATTAAAAGACCAAAGAAGCTATCCGATGCGCTCATGCTACCCTGATAGACCCCCGCATTGATCATCCGAGTATCAAGCTGTGTTTATCAGTTGGCCAAGTACTTATATCCCTGGACCTCCGTCAACAAGAATCCAATTGTAAGATCCCATGCAACTTCACAGTTCAACTCGGCATATCAGTTCTCTTCACTCTGCCCAAAGCGCCCCAAGCCACTATAATATGTCTTTCCCATCAATGGAAAGCCTCTGGCTCCTCGGGACAATATTCCTGGCTGGAACAGGACTCTATATCATCGCGACTCAAGTATTCAGCATCACCATTATTCCCCTGGCCCAACGCAACCGGAAACACTCAACTGCCCGAACACCACCTCGCTCTATCTCCCCAGATAGAAAGTCCACTAATTCAAACCCATCTCATGCAAACACCCTCCCGCCCTCACGCAGACATACCCTGATCGACCTCGACAACCAAGCCCGACGCGATGTGAGCGATGGCGAAATCCTCTCGAACCTCTTACCCATGAGCGCCAACTACAACCAAAGCCCAAGCACCAAGTACACAGCCATGGGATTCGGCATCGACGAAATCAAAGCTCTAGGAAACTTCCCCGACTACGCAACCCTAAGCGGAGTCCCACTCCCAACCCCATATCCCGAATTCGATATCGCAAAGGCCCTACCGCGGCCATATCGCCCATTCAGATGGGCATACCATCAAACCATGTGTATGTCCTATACCTAATACTCGAACACAGCTAACGTCCATAAATACCAGCCCTAACAAAACTCGACGTGGACTGGTGGATCGAGCTCGAAAACAGCTATACAAGCCGCATCGCGCAGCGGAAAGAGCTATTCGCGAAGAATGGTACACAGGTACTAGACGCTATGCCGGGGTCGGAGTTGGCGTGCAAGGAGTTGATGGAGATGGTTTTGCAGTTCATTTGTGCCAGGTATCCGCAGTACTTTACTTTGGTTGATGGGCGGATTTTGGAGAATAGAATACTCGGCACGGAGCAGGATGTTACGATGAAGCCTCCGCTTGAGGTTCTTTTGGATAATGTGCCGGAAGATTTTGCGATTATGCTGAGGGATGAGAGGACGGGGTTCTATTTCTTGCGTGCGGCTGTGATTTGCTCGGCGCTGGGGTGGAATGTTGCTTCCAAGGTTGGGAAGCAGTTGCATGAGATTCATGAGCCGATTCCGGATTATAAGGAGAAGATGCAGTTTTCTATGGATCGGTGAGTTGATTGTGCTTCAGGGTTCTAGCTGATCGTTATGGTTGTTAATGCCGGGATTGTATTAGGTTCTTCACGAAGATGCCTACCGAGAAGCCGATCCAGCGGGGATCATGGGGGCTTGAGATTGGGAAGCCACTTTATATGCCACCGGGTGATCCTCATGAATCAGTTCGATTGTCGCAGAGAAGCGATTTGACGATTGACGAATGCCACTTGCGGGTCGATTGGCAGACGTTAAGGCGTCTTCCCCTGTCAGGGGGAGTCGTGTTCAATTTCAAGGCTCTGTTCACTCCTCTCAGCGAACTGCGAGATGAGCCTGGCGTGCCGGAGTTGTTGATGAAGGTTCTCACGGAGGGGAAGAAGAGTATCATGGATTACAAGGGTGTTTGGCATGTGGAGCATGTTGCACTTCCGAATTTGAAACTATGGGCCGAAGAACAGAGGGAAAACGGGTTGGTCCCCAAGGACTGGGAGGTGGCTACCTTAGATGACAGCCCTTGGTTCAAGGGCTGGCGGGAGAAGTGGCATCGCCAACAAGGATTCTGAGGTGACTCTTTTGTATATTTAAGAAAGTATCTTTTTCCATTTGGGTAAATGAACATCATTTTCGTGGGCAGCTTCCGGCGTGCTAGCATTCAGCATGGTACTCTGAATGGGATGTTGGGCCGCGTAAGCTTTCCAAGTGTATGACTGAGCCCGGGGAGTGCGCGGATTTCCCAAGAATCATGACTTCTTGGAAGAATCCTTCCGGGTGTGTCAAGTGATGCAATTCAGTGGAATTGTCTTATGAATGACTTCGGGGGCATTCGGGCAACCATCGCAACAGCCGGATAGCGATTTGCTTAGGTGGCGTCCGTCCGGTCTCCGGACAGGAAAAGGCAGCGAGAGGTGACCGTGAGAGATATGATCCGCTATACTCGCAGAAAGCTCAATCGTCACTCTGGTCCATCTTAGGATCCTCATCCTTCGAAGATTCCGCATGGCTATTCTCTCTGCTTCTCTCGGCCTCTTTTTCGTCATTCTCTCGGTCCAATTCCTCCAGCTCATCTGCCAGCGGGCTGATGCGTTCATCCAGCATCTCCAAATCCTCCAACTGTGCTCGAGGCGGGAGCTTCCACAAACTTGTACCGCACACACGATCCTTGGTGAGAAGATCATCGACGAATTGATCCACATACGTGAGTGTGAATGTGTCGCGCACCCGTCGTTTCAATTTCCGGTAATCGAGGAGAAGGGGTTCCAGTGTCTTGTAGACATCGACCGCATCAAAGGTTAATCGCACATAGAACGCCGCCAAGGCACGCAGGTACTTGAAATCGCCGTGGTCTTTCACGACATTGTCGTCCGGGTTCTCTCCCTCCTCGCCGCTGCCGGGGTCGGTGTAGTTGAGGAGCTCGAGAATGACATCACGGTCTGGTCCGAGCTGCAGGAGCTTGAAAGCGAGGCACAGGAAGGGCGTGGGCTTTTCGGAGATTCCGTAGGTACCACCGATGGAGGTCAGCTCGACTGCGCGATCACAGAGAGTTGCCGCGTTCAGACCGAAGCATTGTTCCTTCCAGTAGTATGAGTCGGTGATACGGTCGCGGACGGCTTTTTCGAAAAGGGTGGCTGGATTGACCCCGCGGATCAGGGGACCCTTGTAGCCGCGATTATCCAGGAACGAGCTCTCGTCGGCGCGGTGGGCGGCCATTTTGATGTCGGAGGTGGAGAGAAGAGGAAAGCGGAAAAGGCGAAGTCTGATGCCAAGACCGCCCTTATCGATAGTCGCATGGGACAACCCCGTAAACAAGATGTCATCAACAGGTGAAACAAGACATGGGGGCTGCGATGCACATTTCAATTCTGTCTATTAACTTCCCCTCCATGCGGTCCTGGACATGGTTCTCTTAACATCCTCCACGGTCTCGACCATTGTGTCGATGGGAGTGATCTGCATATTCACCACGTTGTTGTTCATCTCCGGCTATGTCTTACAACAGCAATCAGTCAAGAACATCCAGCATGCTTTGAAGCCCCAGGAAGCCGCCCAAATGGCCAGGTATGGTCCGGGTCCCGCATTCCAACAGAAACGCAGATCGAACGGGGACGATCTGAGCGACGGCTCTCCACAGCATCCCGTTTCCGGGAACTACGCCTACCTGCAGCTATTATCTGAGCCAGATCCCTCAGACATATGCTCAGCCATTCTCTTCTTCAAACAGCTATCCACCAATGGGACCGCCGTGCAAGACCGACTCTTCGTGTATCCGGAGCAATGGGACCGAATGTCGGCGCAGAAACTGGGCAAGTCCACCACGCTAGCGTTGTCGATATTGCGCGCCGCCAGCTCAAAGTACAACATATGGCTGCTTCCCATCGACATGTCAGCAGCTACAGCCGCAGGATACACAACAACCAATAGCAAGCTACTGCGACTGGCTCAGATCCAGTTCATGCAGTATGACAGTGTCCTGTACGTGCAGACGCCAGGGCTACTAATGGACACGGGCAAGCTGGATGATATGTTCTTATCCCGTCCGCTGCCTCTGCGCCACGATAAGAATCGGCCCGAGTCCTATAATAACGAGGCGTGGATCCCGATGCCACTCCGTGCAAATCGGGACGTCCCGCTGCCCCCTGCATATTTGATTACGGTCAATAACATAGAGAACGGGAACGTGGAAGCAAGAACACATATCCCGAATGTTGCATTGTCTGGTTTTGGTGGCCTCGTGGCTGGACCGCGACAAGCCGAGCTGGCGAAATCTGTTGGCGATGAGCCTGGTTACGTGTATTTTGAAAGTGATCGCGATGGGCGTGTGAAATGGGCGGGAAACCCTTACTTTGGCACCTGGCGGGCTCAACAAGCCGAGGTTTGTGAGGGCTTGGATCTTGACGAGATCATTCATGATGAGCAATGACCTTTTGATGCTAAGACTTGGGTTTGGCGCTGGCGTTCTTTATTTCAATCACATACTTCTGATCCGTCGGCTTTGACAGCTTTGACGGGATTTTCAAATTCATGTATCTATACTAAATCCATGGATGTGGTCTCCAAGCTCGCAGGTCATGAGATTCGTGAATTATAGTTCATCGTTGGTGATATATCATTTGATATGACTGAAATTATTGGGGCACCCCGATTTCATATCCTAGGAGGACCTCGGTAGTATTTCCTTCCCAGCCACGGTTTCCGCTGGTGGAAATCATGTAGCGACATGCGTTATCGACAAACAATTGAGAGATGGTTCCCGTGCGGTGACCAGGGATGATGAGGAAGGGTACCGCGGAGTGGCGGGATGACTGCTCGTTCTGATCGTTTTGGAGATCATACAGTCGAAGAATGTCGTGGGAAGCACTATGAGAAGCAATTAGTACAATATCGGAAGACATGGCTGCCGAGTTCATATCACTTACCAAACCAGATGTCGCCCATTTGGCATGGCTCTGAGTGCTGTCACCGGTCCGCTCCCTTGAGGGAACTTGAATGTGCGTTCGACATTCCTGAGACCATTGTGAAGGCTGTATTCTTCAACTGTGCCGTTTCGCCGCCCAGCATATATATAGTTACCATCTGGCGACCAGCAGGCATTCATACACCATGGCGGAACATTGTGTGGGGTGATGCGAGCGACGGGGTCAGGTTGCCTGCGGTCCCATACTCGAATTGTTCCATCAATCGAAGCAGCCAAGAAGGTGTTATCAGCAGAATGGCCTTGCTCTGGTGGTATATCTTGTGAGAATTCCGGTTCCGGTTTTTGAGTTTCGAGATCCTCTGCCTTGGGGATTCCGTTCACCAGCGGCCGAGGGCTATTGGGAATGTTGAAGTCCGGCACTTCCATATTCTCATTCGGTGCATCTGCAGGAGCTTGCGCGGGAGGTATGTTCTGGGTATGCGCGACACTCTGGTGAGCAGGGACATCGTCGTCGATCTCTCCTGGCGCGTCGGCGTCCGCCATAGCACCATTGGCCACGGCGCGACCGAATTCGTCGTCCTCGTCTACTCCGAACACACCACCAGATGGCTCACCCCCATCAGCAGCCCCGCCATCCGCATCGCCGAATAATGAGTCGGCCCCACCGAATAATGAATCAGTAGGGGAGCCCGCCTGCGGGTTCTCGGTCGGTCCGGAGTCTGCAGCACCTTGTTTGCCATCGGCGAAGCTGATGTTTTCCGTGCCAGGAGCGGCGTAGTTTGAGGCGTATGTGCCATTAGTCTGGTGGAGTTCGATGGTGTCTTTAGGCACGGGCAGGCTCGACTCCGGCCTGATTTGGACAGAAGATATTTGTCCAGCACTGCCGCCAAATGCACGTCTCGCCTGACCAGTGTTCAAGTCCCAATCGAAGACGCGCTTGTCCCAACTTCCAGAAAGTAGTGATTGTTCGTCTGAAGTCAGGTTGAGTGTTGAGACCGCAGAGGTGTGTTGTTGAAGCGCGACAATCTCTCTGCCTTCCTCATGGCGCAAGGTTTGCAGCCTGATCGCTCCAGATTCCAGACCCGAAAGCAGCCATAAGCCCTCGCTTTGGCAGGCCAAGGAATACACCGGGGACAAGTGGTTGGCGTCCATGTTCTCCCAGTATGTCATGAGCACGCCAGCCTTAACCACACTATCCACGAAAGGATGCCTTTGCGCCACTGTCAGCATTAACTTGCTGTTGATTGACTCGGCCCAGTTGTATTTGCGCACGAATCCATCCGATCCACCAGTGAAGACCCATCGCATGTCTGCCGTTGCTGTGATCGCATTGATAGAGGTCGCGTGAGGGGCCGCCGTGGTTGGGACAATATCGTAAGTCTTGGCCGTAAGGCACTCAGGGCGTACGCTAGGATGGTAGATCGAGAAAGATTCAAAGACCGTATTCTCGCCAGTGCCATTGGTATTATGTTGCATCCCTGCGCCCTCCGACGTCTGACTCGCGTTCGAAGGGCTATCCGCATCTTGGTCTCCCTCCCCATCCTGGTCGTTGTCGTTGTCGCCATCGCCATCGTCGGCGTCGGCGTCGCGCATTGTGTCGTCCATGTCATTCTCATTCTCGTTCTCGTTATCATTGTCGTTCTCGTTCTCGTTATCAGAGCTTCCATCCTGGGAACCTGCGCGACAACAGATGATTAGCAAGGTTGAGAGGAATCAAGCTAGCTATTGGACGTATCGATCAACTTACCTCCCATATCGCGGTCCTCTTCCTCTTCGAGAGAAACCATGATTTCCCTCTGTAGCTTCACAATCCCAGCCGGCAGGCACCGTACGCAATGGAAATAGCTGTTAAAGTCAGGGTTGAGCAATTGAGAGCTCCACGGTCACCGATCTCAGGCTGATCACAGTTTTGCGAACCACTGAAGGGTGACGATAGTGGATTGCGGAGGTTGAGCGGGCTTAAATGCGACGGCACGGCCAATGGCTAATGTCTTGGCTCCGGACCAATGAGATTGTGCTCTGACATCCCCGCTGTTTTTGGAGCTTCGAATGTACTTCACCAGTTGGTGTTTATTGATGCCACACTTTCTGAGAAAGTCACTATTGTTAGTCTACGCGATAATTACTTTTATTCTACGCAAAGAAGGATGGCTTTTTTTTGAAATGGGATTTTCTCTATCATGTGCTATGGCCCATTCCATAGCTTGATCTTCCTCTCAACTCCTCCCCCCAACTGCACAGCCCGCAGACCCCTAGCCAAGGTCGATGAGGATGCCCTGCGGGACCACCTTCACGGGAGCCGCATCCTCACCGGTCCCTTGACGAGGGGCTGGGGCTGGCATGCGCAGCCTAGCCCGGCGCTCGTCATCCGCCTTTGCCCCGCCCTCGGCGAAGGCCCTCCACCCCTCGACCGCCGCTCGTTTCTGCTCGTGGGACATATGGGCTCCCTTCTGAATGGCTGGGGCCCGGACGGAAGCGGGTTGGTTCAGGGCCCTTCCGGACCCATCCCTGGCTCGACCCGCAGTCGTAGTTGGCACATTGTGCCGGGAGCAGTTGCATTGGTGGACATGTCGTGGCATACACATCGCATTGCAATCCCACTTGCAGACTTGGCAGGTGTATTCACAGGGTTGTCCACAAGGGAACCCTTCATACTTGTCATGGCCGAGTCTAGACACTGAATGTCAGTATGAAGATTCATCATAGGATCAATGTTATAGCTTACCCGTGGCATGGCAAATCGCATGGATGACCGCAAGGCAACTTGACTCCACAATCTTTGGCGCATCCCCAACCCTTAAAGGCCCAGTCGGCCAATTCTGTAGGATGGAAAGTCAGTTTGTGATTTCAGGCTTCCAATGTTTTCTGGGATGATTTTGTCAACTTACTGGTAATAATGGTGCGAGTCTGGTGGGCGTCACAGAACAGAGGCAATTCAGAGCCAATGCGTGGAGGGTTCGATCGAGCCAGGGTGGCAGCGACCTCCTTCCAGAGGGCATTCTCCTTGGTGACGCACTCGGCGTCACCGAAGATGAACAAGCCATCTTTCGCACGGGACAAAGCAAGGCAAGCTCTGTTCACCAGCGAAACAAAACCGGTGCCGTCGAAAAGGTTGCTCCTGACCAAAGAGAGAAGAATAATGCGGTTTTCTTCCCCTTGGTAGGCATCAACGGTAAGAACTTTCGCCAAGTGGATGAAAGGAGCACTGTACATAATGTTTTTCAACGTATTGCATTGGCCCTCGTAAAATGTCAAAATTGTGATATCATCAGGCGAAACGCCGTTCTGAACCAGGTGCCAGAAAAACTGAATTAGCATGCGGGCCTCGAAAGCGTTCTCGCGTGATGCCATCTCATTGTGTTCTTCAGATCTGTTGTGAGTGAACCAATAGGTTCGAATATCTCCCATACCAGGAATGAATGGTCTGTTCAGCACGGAGGGGTGATCACGAAGGGCGTCATCATAGAGGGGAGTCACAAGCCCTCTGATGTCTGGGATCATTCGTCGCTGCACTTCCAGACTGGAGAGGGCAATTCCGTTTCTGGCAAAGCGTTCGAACATGGAAATATGGAGATTCCAAGGATACCGAGCCATGTAAGGGACAGAACAGTGGGCCTTCATTTGTACGTAGTCACCGATAAGGATCATCTGTTGAAGAGACGGCAGACAAGCCGTCGTGATCGAGCCTTCTAAGACCCGGGCCGCTTCATCGACAATGATGACTCGAGGCTTGACACTGGCAAGTAGACCTCGGTACTTGTTCAGTCCAATGGTAGTAATTCCCACCACATTCGCGTCTCGTAGAATTGGGTAATCTTGCTCAACCCCGCTTAACACAGAGCTCTCGCAAAGGGCTTGGTAGGGAGCTCGGACTTGAAGCAACTCGCGATGAAGAATCGAGATGAGCTGCTTGCGGAGATAGTTGTAGACGGTGCCCCGGTGTGCGCTCGGGATGAGCCGAAGATCGTCGTTTTCCAAATACAACTTAACTATGTCAGCAGCGGGTGACCGTTGGCCTTTTTTGTGCCTGGTAAAATCCGGTGCGAGTGAGATATCGAAGCCCGTCCAGCCAGTAAACTCGTTTTCCTGGATCATGATTTCCTGTTGCAAATCATCCACCATTTCACGCATCATCCACTGCTCATCACCACTAGATGGATGGATGAATCTTTCCACTGAATTACCAAGCCAAACAGCAAGTGGATCTGAGTTTCTGCGATTCGAGCCAATGCACTTGCTAAGCGAAAGAACTTGATGTTCATTCAGGAGTCCGTAGTGACGAAAAGTGTCGACATCGATCGGACTGATAGGCATCAACGATTTCTCTGTCAACGGCTTAATAATGCTTGTAATTCTCTCGGCGACCATTTGATGACCCTTCACCGCCGCTTGCATGGAGCCATTGATCATAAATGGAGCCAAGTCTTTCTGCCTCATCCCCTGGATGGTGCGCGTGCAGATCTTGGGATGAGCACTTCCTGAGCCCAGTTTGACGAAATTTGGCTCGAACTCGGAAATCTGCATAAGCAGCTGGTCTAGAGCATGGTTCGTTGGAGCAGTGACAAGGATCGGTGGATCACCAGGGCGCTTGTTTGCGAGCAAGATTCGCAATGCCGACATGACTGTGAACGTCTTTCCTGTGCCGGGAGGGCCTTGAGTAACCGAGAGGCTTTTAGTGAGCATCTGTCTCAAGGCTGCCCATTGGGGCGCATCGAGCTGACCCATTGGATGAATTGGCCAGTTGTTGAGGATATCGACTGACATATCCATGGTAGGCTTCTGGTCAGGCGCCGCTTGAACGAGGGGGCTCAGATCCATGCAAGGTTGAGATTTGAGGTATTCTGGGGCCCCGATATTGCGCTCCACACCACAAATTATCTCCTTCAAGGGAAACCTGCGACAAAAGTCAGTCTTGCATGTGAGACTAGAAGGCGGGGGGGGGGATTACTTTTCGGTGGACAGCTTTTGCAACGCCGTCATTGTGTTGCGGGTTGCCTCGAAGTAGCCCGTTCGCGCCTCAACCATCGTCCATTCCTTCTGAGTGTCGAGATCGACATCGTCGAACGAAGCCAGCAAGATAACCACTTCTTTTGGGTCCTTTTCGATCTTCTTCAGCAGCTTACATGCGACTACTCCCACGACACATTTGGTCATGAAGTCATCTGCCACGGGGCTGAGAGCAACCAGGGTTCCCGGTCGGAGGCGATCCGATGTTGCCCAGAAGATATTTTTGCCAGCACGGCGAGCTGAGAAACAGACGCGAATTGCGAGGCCTTGGTCCGTTACATTGAGACCGGTGAGATAGACCTGGAGATAACATAATCAGTAAATGTTCCCAACCTTGGGAAGGTTGGCGATAGTGGCCCCGGGGGTCCGTCTGACTTACATTCTCGTACACGGCGACACCTCCCTCATCAGCCTGCAGCGGATTGTCCTGCACCATCGCAACAGCATCACGAAGTGGAGTGACTGCATCCTCTCTAAGGAGGCTGTAGTGGGCCTGAAGGTATTCTTCGCTCGAGGGCCAAGACGCGTCGGGGATGTTGGGAACAAGAGAGTCAGGCTTGTCAGTCCCGAGAATCTCCTCTTGAGAAGGGATCTCAGACTTGGACTGCCAGTTGGCAACATCTTCACGCTCATTGCGGAAGTAGTCTCCAACTCGCTCGTTGACGAGCTCGAAGTTAAGCGCAGGAAGGTGGGGCCGAGGCTGCTCCATTGTGGGTAAATGCGTGGAAAAGAGAAGTAAGTGCGTGTGTAAATGCGTGGAAGAGGGAAGTAAGTGCGTGGAGAAACGCCTCCAAGGTTGGGTTTTGAAGGGCGGAAGATGACTTGGGAGTACACGCACTCCTCCTATTGGCTGACTCGGGGGTGGGCGGCAGAACATCTCCAATGAGCTCCGAATTTTTACACCGCTCTCACTTTGTGCGTGGAAACACGCCCCCGGGGCCAACACCACAGGCACCTGCCCGCTGTATGGATGCCTTAGGTACCTAGCACTTTTGACATTTTCTACATGTATGCATTTACACCACATTGGATCCATTTTTTTAACATAGATAGGGGTTTGTGTAGAGCTCTTAGAACAAAGAAACCCCTAATCCCTAACCCCTAAACCCTGGGCAGTTACATATCATGAAAAGCAGTGATGAAATGCAAGGACTATCTGAAGCAACTTCTACTGGAGTAGGCACATACCTATCGGAAGGTCATGCTCCCTTTGGCTCTGTTGCTCACTTGACAGGCATCCTGGCCGATGAAGGATAATAGCTGCTCATGTCTGGGTGCGCCAAGGACGAGCTTATAAGTGCACTTGAAACTATACCTAATGGCTTCTAGGGCCACGACTAAGCTATGCACAGTCCCAACTTTCGTACTCCGATAGATCTAAACCATCGGTTCATTCAAAACTTCGACCCTCGATTGGGATGAACAGTGACTCGGACTTGGCACTTCGACCACCTGGGCACGACTCCGTTCTGACAAAGCCAGGAGACAATCGATGGATTATATTCAATCATTAACATTATTCATTCCAGCGAGATGTTGACAAGGCCAACGGAGCCATTCATCCCACTGCAGTCCAAGATATTGGCTAATCGACCGGACCAAGTACTCACCACCATCGCCAAATAGCCAGATATGGCTATGGGTATGAACGAGGGCACCAAAGAAAGCAAATATAACCAGGGCTTCCCCTTTTCGTTCTGAAATCAGGTCAATATACTCCCGAGGAACAAGCACCGGCCATGCAACAATTATGTCTACATTGTTGCCTCCTGGCACTCGCTGTTCTATCACAGTCATCGCCGACTGTACAGCCTGGACAGCCTGTCGGTAAATTCGCACGACAGAATCATCCAGACCAACTCCCTGAATCCGGTCCAGTAGCTCTTGGCATACCGGGCCCAAGCGGGAATCCAAGGACGGAATCCGCTTGCCGAGCTCCAGTAATGGTTTCAGCTTCGTTTGATGCAGAAGCTCCCATCGTCCTTGGCCTGCGATGACTCGCACACCATGATGCAGTACAGCATACTGTACGAAGCGGTCGAGGAAGGCCTCGAAGTCGTTATCTCGGCATACCAAGGTTTCGCAGAGCTTGTGCATGCCCAGGGTGGCGGCGAAGAGGAAGATCGGTGCGGTATTCTGGTCTGTAATATGCGATGATGAGGCATTGAAATAATTCAATGCGTGGTTTTGCAACTGAGTGGAATGTTGCTGGTAGAAGTTGCGTTTTTCTGGTCTGATGATGCTGAGGTGTAGAGCACTAAGAGATAGCAGCTCGTTTATAAGATAAGGTGCATTGATCCCGTAGTCCATGAAGTCTTGGAATGATATCACATTTGACGTATCTGGACTGCCGAGCGCCTTTATCATCTCTTCCGAGCAGAGATTATGAGTGAACTCGACGTGAAGCATATTAACAGGCGCGACATCAGAAAACGTGCTGGGCTGCTGGAAGGTCTGAGCGGGAGACAGCCCCGTCGATGATACGGTTGAAGGCGATACAACCGAGGGGGAGCCGGCCGTCAATTCACGACTCGCGCTCCGAGAGGCGTGAATGAATTGGCCAGGCCCCACAAACTCGCAGTGCCGTTGCGAGCTGGTGCAGTTGGAGCATATGGGTCTTTTCTCATCGCACTAAGCGAGCTCGAGTCAGGGACTGCTTAGGTGAGCTCGGTAAATGACACACCTTCATGTGGCGACGCTTGCATTCGATGCAGCCATTCCGTGACTTCTTGTGTGTTCTTCGGACCATTTTGCCACGCGGTTCCGGAGAAGGGTCCAGGGCGGAAGTCTCGGCTGCAATTGGCGAATGCAAGTGGTTTATTGCTGATCTTAGAGGCTTGAATAGTGTAGCCTAGACCCTGGAAATTTTCCGAAGTAGTGAGCTCGGCATGAAGTGAGATGTACGCGTATGCACGGACCATGCACTTAAGGTTGCTCCACTCTTCTATACGCGTATCAGATCTCTAATTTTAACTTTGATGTACGGAGTAGCAATGTTCTATTTAAACAAATGGCTGTTCTCATGCTCCATCTGTTCTTCATCTTCAAGGCCAGTTGATTCTCAAGGATAAAACCCTTTTCATCAATCAAAAATGCCGGAATTGAAGCCCTACAGAGGTGGCTACTACCTGTGGAAATATGTCCCTTCTCTACCAGGGGCAATCATATTCTTGATACTATTCTTTGTGGCTACCATCTTCCACTTCTGGAAGCTCCATCGCACCAAGGCATGGTTTTGTTTGGCATTTGCCATTGGAGGAATCTGTACGTACACACCACTCCAGCGATGACTTTCCAACCACTGACTTACATCCGTCTAAAGTCGAGGTCATAGGGTATATTGGACGAATTGCCGCCTACAACAGCACAGACTCTGTGATTGTCTACGCCATTCAAAATGTCTTCCTCCTGCTCGGACCCGCCCTATTCGCAGCCTCCATCTACATGGCCCTGGGACGCATCATTCGCAGCGTTCGTGCAGAGAAACACTCTCTCGTCCGAATCAAATGGCTCACCAAGACATTTGTCATGGGTGACGTCGTATCCTTTTTAGTACAAGCAGGTGCCTCGGGACTGATGGCTACGGGCGACAATGCGACATTGGGCTCGCATATCGTGGTGGCCGGTCTCGTTATTCAAGTCATTATGTTTGGTCTCTTCATCATCACGTCAATCGTCTTCGAGGTGCGCATGCGTCGGTCGCCTACTACTGAGGCTTTTGATGAACGCATCAATTGGATGAGTCAATTGCGCACATTGTATGCTGTGAGTGCGCTCGTCTTGGTTCGAAGCATCTTCCGTGTCGTCGAGTATGCGGCCGGGAATGACGCTTATCCACTCACTCATGAGTGGATGCTGTATATTTTTGATTCTCTTTTGATGATTGTCGCTATGTTCATTTGGGGTATTTGGCACCCTGGCACTTTGCAGAAGTACATCACGGCGGATCGACAGGATGTGACAGTTACGACTGAAGAAGCAGAGGCGAAGGCATAGATTCTATACATATAGTTAGCAGTGGTTTTCAATGTCATCAATGATTGGGCTTAGCGCAAATATTGCAGGGACCAGGATGAGAATGATGTAAAACATTATTGATATTTTGATTATTTTGCTTCGATTTAGCTTCAAGGTTGAAAGCCTGGAGCAATCTCCAAGGCTTGACCTGAATAGACACATTATAAACTCACATCACTCATTCTCCGGTCATATCCACATAGCCAGCATCATGCCGTGTGAGACTCAACCTCGACATGGTCAGTGATGACTTGCTTCTCAGCCTTGAGATCCTCCAAATTCTCCACACCAGCAAGTCCCAGGCTCTCGTTGATACGCATCATGCGCAGACGATCAGCCTCGGCGATACTGTTAATCTCACCACCGAAGAAGACATCAAGTTCCTCAAGAGTCTTGTCCTTCGTCTCAGGGGCAAACTTCCAGACAAAGAGACCTCCCATAGCGCTGAAGATGGCAAAGAAGATGTATGTTCCATACTTCATCGAGTCCAGCATATCCTTGGTAGTGAGTCCAATAACGAAGTTGAACATCCAGTTGGTAGAAGCAACGATGGAAACACCACGCGAGCGCTGGCTGTTGGGGAAGATCTCTTGAGCCAATACCCAAGTGACGGGACCTGTTGCATGTTAGCGTGAAGTGGAGACTGGTTTGAAGGATCATACACACCCCAGGAGTAAGCAAAGTTGATGGCAAAGAGCCAGATGAAAGCAATGGCAACCCAGCCCTGGGATTTGGCCAATCCTTCGTTCAGGCTCCACTGGTCCTCGTAGATACCCTCAACGATGGCCACCACGATATGGCAAAGGAACATGCCTGTGGCACCAACGATGAGGAAGGTCTTTCGGCCGAATTTATCAAGGTATAGGACGGAAGGAAGGGTGAAGATGATTTGCAGGATACCGGTGACACCTGTGGCGAGAAGGGTTTGCTTCGTGGAGGAGAATCCGAACTATAGAACCCAGAAGCCGTTAGAAAGCAAGTCACAAATGAAAGATTCTTGAGTACTCACCGAGGAAAAGATCTGCGGTGCGTAGTAAAGCACGGCGTTGATACCAGTGAACTGTTGGAAGATCATCATACCGCATCCCAGAGTCAACCGTTTGATCATGTTGGGAGCAAAGAGTGCCTTCCAGGGAGCGAGTGCGCCGCCCGTACCAACCACTTCCCGCTCAGTCTCCTCGTCAAACATGACAGCAGCCTTGATCTCCAGATATTCCGCGCGGACCAGAGGATCGTTCGCAGGCAGACGACGCAGCTTCGAAATAACAGCCTTGGCCTCATCGTCACGGTGCTTCATCATCAACCAACGGGGCGAGAAGGGGAAGAAGAAGAGACCGAAGAAGAGGATCCAAGCCGGAATGATTTGCAAAGCCAGGGGCAGTCTCCACGAGATAGTCTTCTGACCCAGGCATGTGTGGCCATGGGTTAGCGCAGCATTAAACGTCCCGTCCGCGAGGTAGGCATCAGTGATTCCCTCGGGGTTACAGTTGACACCGCCAACGAACTGCATTCCATAGTCGAGCCAAAAGGCAATGGCAGTACCGACCGTAATGGACAGCTGCTGGAGAGAAACGAGAGATCCACGCAACTCAGGCGGAGCAATTTCAGCCTGGTACAGCGGGATAACCATGCTGAACATACCAATGCCAACACCACCGATGATACGACCGGCGAAGAAGTAAGCCGGGTTCTGAGCTCCGGCTTGAAGACCAGTGCCCAGGGTGAAGATGATAACGGCAGTCATCATGGCATACTTGCGCGAGATGCGATCAGCCAACACACCGTTGATCAGCGCACCCGCCCACGCACCCAGCTCGAGGGCCGACACCAGCCAGCCCTGCAGGGTGGAGTTCTGGAACGTGGGGAAGTGGTTCTCGAAGTTCTCCATGACCAGAACAGGACTCATCACACCCTGATCATAACCGTACATCATACAACCCAGCGAGGCAAACAAGCAAGTGAAGAACACATAGGGATTGGAGACGAATCCCTTCAAGCCATGAGGCTTCTCCGCATTAGTGCGTGCAACCACTGACTGACTGACTGCCATTTTGGGAACAGAAAGGGGAAACCAGGATAGACCTAACTACTGAGATACTACAGACCGGGCAGAGAGACAGATTTTATACTCCATCCCCCACTCCCATGAATTTTTCCTCCCTTTTTTTTCGCAGTCATTCTGGGGCTAGCGTCTCCAGACGGTCTTTCCCCGGAACCAGCCAGACACGCATCGCGCCCCGAAAGAGAACAAGCGGCAAACCCTGGACAAGATGCCATGTGCCGGGAGGGGCTAACAGTACGCTAGATTGAAACACGATGGCTCGACCGGAAATGACATGAGCCGGCCAGTAACGAGATATCACCATGTCGGAGACTAGGGTGCGCCACCAACCAAAGGCATCACCAGTCAAGCCTTGTGGGAGGGCTTGGTACCGAGAACTGTCTAAGAATAAGCCTGCGAACAAGCCTCCAGAAACGACGCCAGTTCTTGGCAGACTCTTGGGCTGATTCGTAATATAAATGTCAGCGTAGGATTCTCACTATCTCCGAGATGTGAGGGGATGCTTAGTGCTGACCGGTCACCTTGGGCTCTATTTGGCTAGGGCATGGTTTTAATTGCCCGGTGTTTGACCGCTGGTGGTGAGTTGAATTTCCGGGGTCAAATTGCCAGTAGTAGATTTGCTGGGGAAGTCTTTTTTTCTTAATTTTTTCTCTCTTCTGTTTATTGCCAGGCTCCATAAGTATGGGGCATCTAGAACATGTCCAGTCCACTCAAGGCCTTCATTTAATGGGCTCATCGGAATAACTCGTTTCTATTATCAATTTGAGGCCATTGGGGGAAAAGACCATAATCCTGGATCGGGTAATGTTCGGCTCTACGTAAAAATCTGGATGTTTTACTCCCCAATCTAGCTTAGCCCTTTTTCTAGGGTTCTCCTCCACCAGTTGACAAGCGTATGGAGTGCATAATCAAACGCCACAAGGTCTCCTTGACCTGACGCGGGAACTTCCTCGGATTGGCCGAGCATGGGCTCGGCTTACGGCCCCAATCGACCAGAAATCCTTTGCCGCCCTCATTTACAACGCCGAAGGCGTTTCGGCATTGGTCTTGGCTCGGGATTGGTTCAATGTCGGGGGACCGAGATGTAACGCGTGGCCCGTCGAAAATTTTCCCACGGGGTTGATGGCCTGGAGAATATCCCCTCCTTCGACTTTGCCTGTTACAGATTCTCGGTGAGCGAGATTCCGGGGAATTAAATCCGGGGATTCATGTCGCTGGGTATCATTCGTCGAGGCAGTGTTTGTCTCGAGAACAGGCTTCGACTCTTCCGGCTCTTCCGGCATGCCATCTGTGCGGGAACTGAGGGCCCATACTATTCGCCTAATAAATGGTGACTTGGGTCTAGCCGATTTGGACCTGGAACATATCCACTGCTGGTTCAGGTGACAGCTGTAAAATTGCTTAGTCTGAGGTTTGGGTTTTTATGGCCGAGTACGGGACCACAATGATTGCAAATGAGCTGGTCTATACCTAGTACTACTCTTGCAAAGTGCTCTACTATATTTCGACTCCAATATGCAAAAGTCACAACTGCCCACGAAAATAAGGATACCCACTTGCAGATTCCTTTAGCAGTCAGCGGCTCTTCCAGGGGCTAGGCCGGACTATACTGCATCGTCAAAGAATTACTGGTCAACGTGAAAGTTGTTCCTCTGGTAGGTTGGGCCAAACTACCCTGCGAGAAAGACAGGAATAAGTAGCAGCATATACTCATTGGAGCACTGCTTCTAAATCGCGCGGGCCTCGATAGCAAAGCTGGTTTTCTTTCATGTACATGTAGGAATCAGTGATCCATGGATATTTGTTGCTATTGTTTCTAATAGGTAGCATCCTATAGCTGAGAAGGCAACCCTAGGTATGTGGTGTAGGTGACCTTGCCTATTTCCGCAGTACCAACGTTGAGGGCAATGGTGTCATCCTTGGGCGCGCCCGGTGCCTTGGATGGTGGTAGGCCGTAGAGTGCTGTTCCGGTGTAGTCACCGCGTTTCCCAACGTGTGAAAACCCCCATGTGTTGGCGACTGCGTCGGCTTGTAGGAGGACGTGGGACGAACGTGCGTAACTCATTGTTCAGTCCTGCTAAGTCGATGGCGTCCCCTGTTGAATGGATAGGCGTTTCATGTGGACTCGATATCACTTTAGCGGGGACCATGACCAAGCCTGCGCGGAGCCAGTGAGTCTTGATAGTGTTGCTGTATGATTGTTGCAGAAGCCACCCATTTGCGTTGTAACCTCCTGTTAGGACATAAGTATCGCCATCGTCCATCCAAAATGATACCACTGGGAATCCATTTCGCAGTGGCCCAATCTTCTCGTGGACCCAGATTCTTCCATCACAATCCCAGACCGTCATGTTCATGCTGTAGTTGTCCGATGAAGTATCGCCTTACTTTTTCCCGTGTGCGACAGCCGCCTTGATGCTCTTCTCGATGTCTTTTTTCGGGCATCCACCGTCTGTCACCACGGGTTCCTTGACTTTGTCTCTCATTTCGAGAATCATCTCCACCAAAGTTTCATCATCCCGGGTCAGGCTTGACTCAGCCGTTTCTTCATCCATGGATGGTTGTCCTCGTCACCGACCTTTTGCCTCCCCCTCTTGGTTATCTAACTGCACTCGCAGCTCCGCTTGTCCAAAGCGGTGATGCGCCAATCCCACACAGGGCGGCAGCATCCAGGAGCAGGAATCATCCGTTGCCATGTCTGTTGTTGCAGTCAAGGCCGGCCGCGTAGGGAGAGTCTGATCTGACTACTGCGGGGGCAAGATGCCCGAGAGGGGATGGGTTCCTATCCACGAGAGAGAGAGAGAGAGAGGAGAGGGCGAGATTGAGGGAATAGCCAGTATCACCCTGGGTGTTCACAAGCCTGGAACCTTGGAGCTGATTCCAGCTTTATTTTGTGCTTTGAGCCCGCAGTTTCAAGGTTGATGCTAATATCAAATCATGAAAGAACAGGCCTGCATCCCATATTGAGCCACCAAGCCCTGAACAACGGGACGATCCTTCAGGCTTTGAGTGATCTTTTTAAAGACTTGAATAGTTCTTTGTGTCTTTGTCCTCGATCATGTTCAGTTCCTATGTTTGGAATGCCCATCACCTATATGAACAGCACCTATCTAGGTCAGCAAGTTATCATTCACCATTCACTTTCTCCAGCATCGTCACCTAAGCCTCAGTTAACAAGATCACCACGTCCAACTCACCAAAACCTCACATCAGATCTCACAATGCCAAGTCAACAAAACTGGGGACGCAAAGAAGACTGGGTACGCATCCACCCAACATACGGAGTCCCCGTCGCAGCCGAACAAGCAACAAAAGTACCCTGGGCGATGTTCAACGTCTGGCAAAAAGGCCAACCACGATCAATCGGGGGCGCCGCAATCCACCGCTGGATCAACACTAACTATTTCCTCTGGCTTCTATGCGACATGCTCGCCGAGGCAGGGCGAGACGAGCAATGGACCCAAGAATTCGACACGCATCATCGGAAAACATGGAAGATGATCGAAGAGCGAACTTACGATGTGGAAGGCAGTGCTAGGTTTACCTTGGCTATTCCTCCGCCGCCTGTCTACGGCGCTGTAGTAACACATACCACTAATATGAATGTGACGTTCAGGATTGATACGGAGGATCGCCCGTTGAATCTTGCACCGTTTGCTGCTTCTTCTGAGAATCCGGTGTGGCCGCTTTGGAAGTGGTTGGAGGAGAATCCTCAGGAGGAGATGCATCGGTTTAATGTTGTGCTTGAGACTTGGAATCCGGAGGATTGGGCGGATTCTCCGACGCTGAATCGTTATATTATGAGGCTTAAGAAGAAGTCTGGTGGGGATGCTGACGAGGATGCTGATAAGCCTGCTGCTTAGTTGTTGTCCTCGGGATTCTTTGACTGTCACTTTGCAGGGCACTTATACGGCTTTTATATAGCCACCTTGGCATTGTTTCAAGGCTCGGGCGTGCAAGAATAGGAAAACTATATTGCAGTAACCTTGAACTTGGAAGTGTTCCATTTCGCATTTGCTTTTAGGGCAAAATTGCAATCAAATGGTTATCTCGCAATTATAGATGGACATCCAAAACTTTGAAATACACAACCGCAACCTTGGAAGATTCATCAATAAGAACATAAAGAATCTTAAGCCCGTATAAACATTGTACATGGGTCCCGATGCTCAGGTGATCCATTACACCGAGGAACCTTGAAATAAGTACATAGTAATGTCTCCGGGTGTTATTCCTAAGATATACTTCAGGGGTTCTTTATGAAGGACCTCGGAAGAAAGCCAGTTGGTCAGGATCCCGAGTCAATGAGATGCATCAGAGAGCAAATTGCAAATTGCATACATCTGTCAAACAGCCCTGGAATCTCATATAGGTATTCATTGTGTAAATTCCAGTAAATTCTCACATGGTCAACAGGATCAAAACATGGCCCAAGTGCCCGGGCCACATTCATTGATCTATTTCGGGCTTCACGATCTATTTTAAGCCCATTCCTGATAATCGCCAAGATATTCAAGCGATCAATTACCATCCCGGGCTCGATAGCTCGGTAATGAAGAAATAGCACTGAATACACAGATTCATTCCAAGGAATTCCGCAAGGCTTGTGAAAAACCAGCCGAGATGACCCGCTGCGTCAGATTCCTGCTGACGACTGTCTAAAGCCCTGGCATATTACATTAAGGGATATGAGTCCTTTTCACGCCCTCGCATCCGAGATAAGATTTGATCTCGTCATTACTTTACAGGTAAACCAGAAACCAGGAAGATGAAGGACATAAGGGATTCGGATTCGGATTCGAGTCACTTTGTAATAGTACGGAACCGCAAAGCTGAGGTGGCCCTGAGACAAAATCCAATGATAGGAGCAGCCACGAACCTTGAGAAAGCGAGGGTAGTAGAAAGAAATCCTATTCGCCCATCCCGATATCTATGACGGCGTGCTTTGCTTACTTGCGCAAGACCATGTCTCACTTCGACAAGGCTCGCAATCTCGAACTTTCGGAAAATCCAATGTGATTGTACGACACTCGAAGTCACCGGGCCAGGATCAGTCTCAAAGATATTCATTGGATCAGTCTAGCGCAGGAGACGTATCTCCTCAAGTCGAAGCAAAACGTACAATTAAGATGTAGCGTTGAATGTAAAACACGGTTTATTACAGGGGAAAAAAAGAAGACAAAGACAAAGCTAAACGGCAGATTGAAGATGGAACAACGAAAAAAAAGGTCGCAGAGCCCAAGTCAGGCGACGGCCCCGGGAGAACGGACGCTGACGAATGACACCGGCAGTGTATGTATGCAGTTATTGTATGTGTGGCGCGTCGCGGGGCACCGGGAGGTAAACATTTCAATTGAAGGCTTGGGCTCAAATGGGCTTTGCTTTTTTTTTCGTATCCTTTCTAGATCGGTGGACTGCAAGTTGCAAACGCACGCATCCATTATTGGTTTTTTTTCCCCTGGCGGAGTCGGGGGTTTCATATACTACCCGGTTCGTCCGCCACAGCGATAGGATAGAAATGTGAAAGGTTGAGCGACAAGTGGGTATCATAACAAGACTGTTTTGGAGAGTCGGCGCGATAATTAATGGATTGGAGCCGGGAAGCTGGTCGGGTTGCATTGTGGTCCACCGGGGGCATTTAATCGGGGTTAGTGAGCTAGAAGGGTCGGGTCAGCGGGTTATCTCGAATAAGGAGGGGATGAACGTACTCGGAGGACAGGACGAGAGTAGTCTTCGTTATCTTGTAGTGAGACACTGCTGTCACGAGCGCCATTGGGGTAGAGCACCGTGTTGGTCTTCATGCGGTTATCGGTGAAGGTTGTTCCAGAGCGGGCTGGGATGGGCCCACCAGCGGCACCTTCGCCTTGAGGGAAGATGCCACGCATGAAGCTCGATCCTCGGCTGGTTCGGTTGTCGGTCATATCCTGGCTGGGAATGGGGCTGACGGCACGGGCGCGCTTGCGGTAGAAGAAGATCAAGAAGATCAAAGCCCCGACCAGGGCGAGACCTCCCAATACACCAATGACGATTCCGGCAATGGATCCTCCACTCAGACTCGAATCGTCCGCGTCACTCGTGTCGGCTGAGGCGGACTTGGCCCCCGCGGTGGCACTGGAGCCCGCGACGGTGATTGTCTTTACGACGCCCTGGGAGTTGGTTTCGACGGCGACGCTGGAGGAGGTATCGGTGGTTTTTTCGGAGGTGGAGGAGGTTGTGGACTAAGCGGAGAAGTTAGCCATTGATCTAGCCATTGCGTTGGTCATGCTGGAAATACAGTTCGGGTAGTCGAGGTCGTAAGACCCGAGGCCGTCACGGTGACGGTTTCGGGCTCAACGCTTGATGTCTCCTAACCCAGGATTAAAATCACAGGCCAAAGCATGCGTCTGATGCCCTATTCTACAGGAATTGATCTGCTCGGGGAAGAGGATAGGGCAAGCCAGACGGCGGAAAAGACATAGGAAATGGAATGCTTACCGAGCTTGACGAGGAGGATGTGCTTGTCGAGCTTGTTGTGCCACCAGCGGTGCTGGTGATGTCGTTGCCGGTGATCGAGACGTAGGCAAAGACTCCTTTGGAGGCACTTCCACAGCTGTCTGAGGGGTATCCCGGACAGCCCGTATCACAGTCGGATGTGTCCTCCTGGGAGGATTTGGCGGGAGCGACATTGGTACACCAGCATTTTTTCCCTTGTAGCACACCCAACGCGTAATTGGCGCAGGTTTGTAGACAGGCTCCGTTGGATTGATATGTATCGGAGACTAAAAGATGGTCAGCGCGGCCTGGCCATCGAGTTGGGCGTCACTCACCCGCCGAGTAGGATGATCCCGTGTTATCGGTGGCACAGAAGGCGAGGTCTGAGGAGGCGGCAGCGAATGGCTGGAGGAGCGCAAAGACCGAAACCGCCAGGGAGGCCCTCATGATGGCGACCAGCAGGGAAAGCGACCCGGGTATGGTTGGATGATTTTCCCCCCAGATCTGAGATGCCGTTCACACGGCCGGATAGGTGAAGATGATGAGATTGGAGTGGGCCGAAGTGATGGTCGATCACCCAGGACTCCGAGCTTCGACGGTTCCAAGGTTAGGTAGCGAGTTGTGGAATTTCCGAACCCCCAAGAATTGACGCGGAATCAGAGAACTCGCATGGTCCGCGAGGAAACTGAAAGGTGAAGGACTCGCCTGGAGTAATGTGGGAAGAAGAAGAGGAGAAGGGGGAGACAGTATATCCCGGCATACCCGCATTGGTGGATACCGATATCTGACGGCCTGTATTTAGAATTATTAATTGGGCTGTAATTATGATATATCTTTATTTTCTGTACGAATAGTGGAATTTACTCTCGGTACAGTACTATAGTTACTCAGTGAAAATACAACCTAAGTGTCAACGGTGTAGTGTAGGTGTAGTGTAGTGTAAGAGTAAACAGAGTAACCTTGGAACCTTGGAAGTATTGAGTATTGACTTTTTGCCTAATTTAATCGGGAGCTCAGAACCATGGAATGTGGCCCTGCATTCCGTTTTCGCTCTTCGCTCTTCGCTCTTCGCTTTTATGTGAAACAAACGAGAACACACCGAACATACGTAAGTAGTGGGTATTCCAAGCTGGCTCATTGGGACTAGTGCAGAAGCACAAAGTACGAATAGTACGACTACACTCCGATCTCCGTCCGAGTACTTACTATGTACTATAGTTATGGATTCGCATATACTCACCTCGCACCTGGCACCATAAGACTTGAGCCTTGGAATGCTTTTTCAAAGCCTAGATCTTGTACGTACAGTATACTGTACATACAGAACAGGTAAGATTCCCCTTTCTTGTTTCTTGTTTTCTGTTTCGAATGGGCCAATGACACCTCGACGATTACCCCCACTCTGCAAAATCCGATCGATCGAGTTTCCAAGGTTGCTCACTGAGAGAGATAGGCTTGCATTCTACATGTATACCTATACTATATACTCCGTACTATAGGAGTAAACAAATACCCCGTGAGTATATGTATAGTTCTACTAATGTTAATATGTCCTGAAGAATGCCCACCAAAGTACGTGGCTGTGCCTGGATTCTAGCCCCGTCAATCTGAGACACCAGTGGCGACGTTCGCTTCTGGGCCCAACGAAATTAGGGCACAGGACGGAGGACTCTACCTGCTCTCCATGTAGATCGTGATGCGACCTATGTAATAATTGTGCCTGGTGGCTTGCAGGTGGCGCTGGACTCTGAAACTGATGATCATTGGAAACTTTCGTATTACTCCGTACGGAGTATAGACATGTACAACCTGGAAAAGAACTTGGAACATTGGAACTGTTCACCTAATTCGTAAGTAAACAGCGTAACGAGTCCACGGGTCGAGACCCGTCAAACGGTTAAACCCCGCGAACGGATCAACGCCTACCTTCAGGCAGTTCGATGGGCGGAAACCTCCGATTTGCGCAATGGGGAGTACGCGGCGCCAGCGCATCAGTCCTGGGCCTCACAGAACCCGCGTCATCTACTTTCAGGACTAGGACGAATGTGAATTGGGCGGCGCAGAGCTTCTAGATTCCGTCCAACGCGGTACTATTACTTGAGCATTCGTGTCCAGTCCAGACTCCGAGTATACATTGCGAATGGGACATTGGAAAACTTCTGGAATTTCGGTTCTCATAATCTCATGGCTCGTGGCTGATGTATCGTGATCATTAGAATTCCCCATCACCGTCGACGATCGTACACCCAGTCCCGATCTCGCATATCCTGCATGCGCTTCTCGGCCATCCGGGCTCGCGGGGGCCCGGGCATTCCCATCCTCGGTGGTCGGAAGGGAGGAGCAGGAGGCGGGTAGGAGGATCGCTCGCGCTGCATATCGCGGATGCGTCTGCGACGAGCACTCCGGATCTCATCGGAGAGCTCGACTAGCTCGTCGATGTCGTCCTGGGGATGTTAGTGGGATGGGGAATGGGGGTAGAGATCACATACGGAGGTGAGGTAGGAGAAGATGAAGTAGCAGCTTCTTGTTTCTTCATACTCGTATCCCATCTGCTCGATGGCATCTTTGACGACTAGCTTCTTGGTGATTTCGGTCCAGCGATCATCGCGCGGATCCTTGGCGTCCGTCACTTGTTGAGCTACTCGTCCTGTGTCTGGTTCTGGCGCATGTCGGGGCTCGACCTCGACGACGTTCAGGGCCCCGCTCATTTCAACTGATTCGGGCTTGGGAGGGGATTGGACGACAGACCAGTCATCAGTGCCTTTGGAGGTGCGGTTGCCTGTTCGAGTACTTTCGGCGTCTGTGTCCTTTGTGTCGCGCATTGGTGGAATCGAGGGCATCTTTGGCATTGGCGGCATAGGAGGCATTGGAGGCATTGAGGGCATTGGATATCCCCGAGGGTTGAATGGAGGTTCACTGTCGCTGTCGCTTTCATCGCTCTCACTCTCGCTTTCGACAATTCGCGCCTTGGGCCGAGCGTGAGGCTTGACTGGTTTCTTATCACCCCATGGGTCGCTGAATATCTCGGGGACTGCTTGGCCTGTCGGCGAGATTGAGTCTTCAGGGGCAAGGGATTCCTCGCTATCGCGGCGCGTGAGAATGACATCCTCCTCGGATGATCGGCCCCCTCGCATTCTCCTGGTAGATGTATAAGTTTTTTGCTTGTTGCACTGCAAGCCAGACATATGAGCTCACCGGGGAGGTATTTCAATCTTATTGGGGCTCCCTCTCAGGGGCCGTAGCTCTGGCGTAGGCACGCGAGGCTCATCGTATTCTGAAAGTCTTTAGTCCGAAGTAATTGTTTCAAGACTGTATGGAACTTACCATCAATGTGTCTGGGGGGGAAGGGCACTTCCTTCGGTATTGGGGGCACTCGGATAGGCTCAATGGGAGGAGACGGAGGAGAAGGTGGTATCTCGATCTTCTTGGGCTTTCGAACAACCACCTCCTCTTCGTCCACTATGATGTCTCTCGCCCGTGAGCTGGAGTCAGAATGCGAGTGAGGGCCCGGTCCCTTGTCGAGAGCTTCTGCTCGACGATCCCGACGAAGCCCTCTCATCTCACGGGTCAAATCTTCTGACGGCGAGCTTCGTCGCCGCTCACGCCGTCCACGCATAGTACCCTCTTCTTCTGGAAGTTTGGCCGGTCGACCCCCTTTACCCTTCCACCGGGTGGTCATTTCTTCCTCGAATTCCCCCTCAGAGGGATCGATGGGATCGACTGGCATCCGATGTCGGTCTGGGGGAGGTTCAGCAGGAAGAATCTCTTCTTCCACTTCGACTCTTCGGCCTGGTGGAGGTCTTGGTCTTGGTCGAGTGTATCTTTCGTCCTCGAATGCGCGAGCTCTTTCATGCGCACGGATGTCGCGCTCGCTATCCCATCCACGGCGCAATGGAGGTTCATCCTCTCTTCTTCGCATGAACACTTCTTCCTCTTCGATTTCGTCCTCGGGTCGACGTCTTCTTCCCATGTGTCTGGGTTCCTCGACGATGTCTTCTTCAAGCTCTCGCTCAGGGCGACGTCGGCGGTGTCGCTTTTCCCGCTTCTCGTATAACAGGTCGTCCTCTGATCTACGCTCGGGATGACGTGCGCTGCCCCTGCGTCTTTCTCGGTCTTCCTCGAAGAGATCCTCTTCAGACCTCCGTTCTGGGTGACGTCGACTTCCTCGACGAATCTCCTTTTCCTCAAAGACGAAGTCGTCCTCCTCGGCGTCTCGAGGATGACGTCTGACGCCTCGACGCCTTTCACGCTCAATGGGAAAATCTTCTTCCTCGATGTCTGGCACTGAGCGACGCATTCTGTCCACCCTCTCTCTTTCATCCGGGATGATGTCCTCGTCAGGCATCTGTCGAGGGCGAGATCTTCTCTCCCGGGGTCTTTCCTCCTCATCGAAAAGATCAGGCTCAACATCTCGATCCGGGCGAGGCCTCCTATTCATATGTCGTTCCCTCTGCTCCACAAACAAATCCTCCTCCACATCTTGTGGATGCCGACGACTACCCCGACGACTCGCCCTCTCAGACACGAGATCCTCCTCGACCTCACGAGGGCGGGGTCTGCGCCTAGGTCTCGGCGGCCGAGCATAAACATCCTCCCGACCCAACGGCACACGCTCCGGCGATTCCATCTCCATCTCCATCTCCCTCTCCCTCTCCCTCGGTCGCCGGGGCATCATCTCGTCCCGCTCGATGGGTCTCTCAAACCCCTCCATGAATTCCCGTCTAGGCCGCTCGCGAAACCCCATCCGCGCCATATCCTCGACCAGAGGCTCTGACTTGCGACGGTAATCATCATATTCGTAGTCGCGATGGCGTCGATACTCCCTCGGTTCACGGTCCATCTCGTATGTTTCGTAGTAATCGCGGGGCGGGCCCGGGCGGCGGGGCATATTGACAGCGGGGTATCACCGCATTGAACTCGGACACGAGCGTATTGTCGGAGTAGAGATTCTCAAATCCCTGGGGGTTGGGTGAGATGCGGGTAAGGTAAGGCAGCAATTCGATCGCGAAGCGCTCCGGTGGGGCTTGCAGAAAAGACTATGTACGTGGAGCCAACAGTTGGAACTGAGATGTTTCTGTTTCGATACGAGACACGATCGACGCTGATGTCACTAGAGTTCGAAGATCTTAGGTAGCGATGTCTATTTGGGTATCTGCTTTCTGTCTGTTCAGTTCTTCAATTTGCCCTGAAATGGGCATTCCCAGACCTTCAGGGTCAAAATGTACCATATACAGGCAACCCGACAGTCCTTCTCTAGTACTCGGTACTAGCAGTAGAGTACTGTATGTACTGATATATGGGCTCATAGGGTCTTGGGCTTCAATCGAAGTTAGCGTGAGTGTGAAACCCCCTCTTCCCCCACACATACACTACTAGTACTTAAATGAGCATGTCAAGCTGGCAACACCTTTGATCAGTACGCTGATCCGATGGAATGGACACGTGCATACCTATGTAGGTATTAGTCCACGGGTGCTCACAAGGACAAGAATGCACAGATATTCTGTACTACGGAATAGTAGACCTCAGACCGAAGCCATACCTAGGTAGTGTATACTAGTACTCCGTAAAGATACGGCCAATGCAGCCTGGGGTGGACCTGAATATATTACTTCAAGCTACTGTGTGCTAGGGTCACACCAGGCTCTAGAGCATACTTGTCAATACCCCGTATAATCCAGGGCATGCCGATCACTTCACCAGGTCCGGTGGACTCCGACCGCGCTAAGGGCAGATCACGTCCAGTCAGTCATGCTCGTGGACTCAAGATGCTTATCTCTGAAACGGCAAGTCTTGCTGCTACGGTAATCGTCGGTCCTGCTCAAGGGTCGGAAGCCAATCGACTGTTCATGTGTAGTGCGCTCTTCCAGAGATATAAACACGGCCGTAGTATTGAAATCCGCCCGACTGACTAGGAACAACATATTGTTTGTTCGGCACAGTTCCATTCACAACTAGGCAACTGCAAGGCTATACAGCATTCAGGTAGCGATGGTTGCTTTATCCAAGGTTCTAGTCGCAGCTGGCTTCGCTCATGGTGCAAGCGCATGGGGCGAGTTGGGCCATGCGACTGTAGCATACGTTGCCCAGCACTTTCTCTCTCCAGGCACGGCATCATGGTGAGTTCTACCCAATCTTCCAAGATGCATAACTCTCCTCCCTGAAGTAGAAATGATGACTGACAACCCACAGGGCAAAAGAAGTCCTCGACGACTCCTCCAGCTCATACCTGGCCAACATTGCATCCTGGGCAGATCATTACCGACTCACCACAGCCGGAAAATGGTCCGCCTCGCTGCACTACATCGATGCCGAGGACGACCCCCCAACAACATGCAACGTAGACTATGAGCGCGACTGCGGAGACTCCGGGTGCTCAATCTCAGCCATCGCCAACTATACCCAGCGGGTAGGAGACGGACGACTCACGCCCAACAACACAGCCGAGGCACTGAAATTCCTCGTCCACTTCCTAGGGGACATCACCCAGCCCTTACACGACGAAGCCTACGAAGTCGGCGGGAACGGCATAGAGGTGACATTCGACGGATACAGCGACAACCTCCATTCCGACTGGGATACGTATATGCCTGAGAAGTTAGTCGGGGGCGACTCGCTTGCGGATGCGCAGTCGTGGGCTGATTCGCTAGTCGAGGAGATCACTTCGGGCAGTTACGAGGATGAGGCGCCCGCCTGGATTAAGGGTGATACGATTGGTGATGCGGTCACTTCTGCGATGCGGTGGGCTTCGGATGCTAATGCCTTTGTCTGCACTGTTGTTATGCCTGGGGGAGCCTCGGCGTTGCAGGAGGGTGATCTGTACCCGACGTATTACAATTCTGCGATTGGGACTATTGAGCTGCAGATTGCCAAGGGGGGTTATCGGTTGGCGAATTGGCTCAATATGATTTACAATACGAAGATTGCGAAGCGGGATCTGGAGAGGTTTGTGAAGGAGAGTCGGAATGATGCCCCTGCGTTGGATCTGTTGGGTCGCGAATTCCTTCCTGGGTCTCGTCCGCTGAGTCGGGCGAAGTTGGCCAGGGAGGCGATGGAGGGTTCCTGTTGTAGCGCGGAGAAGCGAGGCCATGTACACTGATACTTTGGGAAAGTTGCTGTACATATGTGCGAGTGATTCCATCGCGAGGTTGAGTGTTAAAACATTAGGTAGTCTCTATCAGAAGACCTGATTTCTAGCACTTCATATGAATAATTCTGCTTTCGAGGAACAACATAGTGTCGTTCATGCCGCGGGGTATATCGGACTCATGGGCCATGGTTGCAAAGTAATGTAGAATACATCAGATATTAAGATCATCAATGTGCGTACACAAGCAAAACATCATTGGAAAGCGAGCCGCATTTGTCCTTTTTCAGGTTTGCCGCGACTACCACCACCTCGGCCGCCTCTTCCTCGCGGCGTTGCGCCTCGAGGGTTGGTCTTCGGTGGTGGTACTGGCTGAGAAGATCTCGACTGTTCGCGATCTTGCTGTGCAAGATCTTTTGCAAAGTGCCAATCGTCGTGTTCCTCTTTTTCATACTCGGACACCGACGTCGAACATCGCGGACATGTGTACTGTGGGATATCAACTTCTTCTGAGATGGTGCCGATGTGAGACTGGGGAGTCCCTTGTGCTTCCCCAACAGCATCGTCGGAAGGATTTCCAAAGAACTGCCTGATTTTGTTTCCATCCAGCCTCCTTTTCTTTTCGGCTGGAGGCTGTTCGTTTGTGATGTTGTCAGTCGCGCGAGGTCTGGCAACATGACTGAGAGCCTTTGCTTGATCACCTCGAACAAGAAATCCCTCGATGGCTCTGTTGTTGCTCACGCCCTCTTCGAAGCTCGAAACGCTCAGCGATAGATTAGAGCAGGGCCATGCTTGGCCATCGGCCACTATCTGACGAAGCAGGGTTTTAGCCAGATCGTAAAGCATTGCTTCGTCAATCGTAGTGGACTTCGGAATCGGGATTTGCCGAGAGCGGAACTGTGTAGTTCGATGGTGCAGCGTGATCACTCTGGGACGACGTCTATTCTCAAGCACGCCGTCCTCCACAAGCCGACCATAGATATCAGCGGCGAAAATGTGAAGCCATTTGTCCGCTTGATCTAGCGAATTGATACTTGGCCTGAACGATTTGGCAGACAACATGGACTTGATCTGGGTCCGAGGGTTGACCTCGCTGCGGTCATCTCCCCGTATGATCCCATAAAGCCACGATGCCGTATGATCATCTAACTTTGTTCGCAGTTGCTCAAGTGGCACGTTGAGAAGCTCGCTGACCTTTTCAGTCCCAAAGGAGCTTGTGATCTGGTCGCCCAGTTTGCCACCGAGCATTCGAATCTGCGTGAATTTGTATCCACCCAGGAAGTTCTGCACCGCCCGATTCCGCACCACGGTTTGCAGATTGGGCTTGTTGCAGGCGCTGCCTAGCTTGGCGATCATTTTGTTGCGGCCCAGTCCGGCGGAACAGGTGTAACTGAGCTTGTCCCAAACGGCATTTCGAACCGAGCGCACAATCTCAGATCCGATCAACATCGCAACGTCGTCCCAATCCGGATCATCCTCCTCGGCTTCATGCTTATCAAGATCTACCAAGCAGTCGGTATCCCATTGCAGCGCCGTGGTTGGGGGAATAGGCAGGTCGGCATCGCGATTCTCGTCTTGGGTGCCCGACTGGAGCTCTGGGTACCTTTGAAGAAGGGTCTTGTATACCAAGGGCGACAAATCAATGAAGACCTCGTCAATACTTGCTTTTTCCAGCCCGGCCGCAGCTTCCTGCTTCGGGCGTTGAGTCTCATCTCCCGTATTGTCCACACCCCACGTAGCCAAAGCCTCTTTCATCGTCTGGAGGATCTTTCGCGACTGCGCTCGGTACGGGTCCAGCGACACTTTCTCCGTACTGATGTTCCGGAAAGAATCATCTCTGTATGCCCATCTCCCGCCTTCACCTTCCCGAAACGTGGCGACATGTTGTAGAACCAAGCCCGGGCACAGCTTCCTGGCCTCGGCCACACTGATCAATCGAGTGATTCCGAAAGGGCGCGCAGCGTAGTTGATGGCAATCAGTGAGTCCCATTGGCGCACAGCTAGAGGGGTTTCTCGCGAGGTGCCCAGGCGGACCATTTCACATTGTGCATAGAAGGCATCGAGGTCGATGTGCGCAACGACGCGCAGAGGCGTCGCCGTAGATCCGTGTCGCAGCCCTTGTAATTGTCGATAGGTGAGTCGGGACGTTTTCACGGGATCAGATGAGTCTGTAGGTTCAGACATTGCGAGTGCATCCTGACGGTCTCTAATGTCGTCTGTCCAGCTCAGAGCATCGAAATCGCGACGAACCGATGCCTGGAACCGTGGACTATTCGGGACTAGCGCAGGCACGTGCACATTTAAGCCTCAGGCCCCAAGGCCATGTTTGTTTGCTTTGTTTGTTCGGACTGCACGATGAAGACACATATCTTTTCTTTCTCTTAGTCGTGTGTTTCAGTCTCTTGGCTTTACGAAATACGCAGTCACGCTGGGGCGAATCTCCCCATGACTACGCAGTATGAATCGTACGCACGCAGACTCTATTGTACGAGCCGTGTATATCGGTCATGATTATAGACCAAGGATCTTCCGAGCCATCGATTAGTGACTGCTTAATTTTCTTCACTGAATCACCAGCAGAGGTCTCGAACACGAAAAAAGAAAGGAGCACTGCAATCAGGACTCCGATCTGTGCGATCCTGCTGACACAGCCGGACGATGAGTGGCCAGGAGGCTCGGAGGCTTCGCACAGATGCCCAAAGCCCACGCATTACTGCCCAACGACCGGCGTGTGGACATCAGCCGCCAGGTTCCCAAGTGGCAAGTTCGCAGGTCGCCACCGGTTCTTTCTTTCAGTCTTTTGAGTCGGTGATTGGCAGGCTCTGTCAATAACGGCCGCAGGAGGTGGGCGAGTAGGCAATCAGAGGCAGCAGTTGCCCCATCGACGCAGTCTTGAGCACATGAACATCTGACAGTTATGATCTCACCCTCTTGACCGATTCCCAACGGTGGAGTCCTGTACATTTTCGATATTAATCCAGTCCAGGGGCACAGACTCAGGAGCAATCCAAGCTGGTCGAATGACGGGGGATCGGCCTGGGATTTGGGCTTTGGGACAAGATGAATTTTGGGCTTTGTCTTGAATCATGGCCCTGTAGTTGGGTCTCTACTATACTAGTACGGAGTAGTCTTCGACATTCAGTAAAATGCCACAGGGTTTGAGGATCATATTTGCATACGGGGTAAAGCAGGTACTTCGTACTCCGTACATGTCCTGCTAGGATAATAAAACAAAAAGCGAATAAGCAAGTCAGAATTCAGGAAAGATCCCCTCCAGGCGGCTACAGACAGGGTCACACATCAGTCTAATCCTCATTTGATCGTGCATGCTTTTCTGCTTTTTCGCCTGGATCTCTCGGTCGTGGCACCAGCCCAAGACGGCCCAACCGCACCTTTAGCCCACTTTAGTTCCCCCCCCCCTCTTCCCTCGCTTTCTTTCGAATTTCTTCTTCTCTTCACTTTCACCTCCCTCACCTCTCTCCCTTCACCTCTTAGCGTCTGGGATTTCTCTCCCATCCACAACACATCGGGATTCAACTGTGTCACGAAACTCCCCCCAGGATAATTGCCGGACATTCGTGGATTTCTTCTCTCCCAGGACTACCCGGACTTTCCCCAGGACTTGTTACTATTGCCGACCAGGATCAATCATTATCTGGCCACTTTCCCCAGGATCATATCATACCCGTTTGCCCTGGAATCGAGGGAAACTCAAGTCGTGATTGTTGGCTTTGAACCCTTTCGCCTGATAGAAAACTGTACTACAATATAACGGACTCACCACCATCAACTTGACCGGACTGTTCAATTCTGCCACTCTCGGACATTTCTCTGGCCCCCTTGGATCCGAGGACTATAAAGAAAATTAAACCGGATTTTTCCCCCTCGGAATACATGATGACAGGCCGTTATGAGGCACGCCCGGAGCGTCAAAATGAATATTTCATTCCCGGTGAAGGAATCAGCCGTGAAGTCATTCAAGCAGATATCTGTCGCTACCTTGGAAACGATGCCCTCGTGAGACCTGGCAACCACAATGTGCGTCCTACTTTCGTCAACGCGATACCCTCGGATCCCACTGACCATCAACAGGGCCGCCCAGGCTTCTTCATCCGTGCCTATCGGAATCTCACATCGGTAAGTCATGGTGCCGGCGAACCCCGTCAAGTTGGAAATCTAACCACAACGATACAGGAGATGATTACTGATCTGAAGGCGGACTCCGCTCGCTGGGAGGCGGACGTGTCGCGTCGGGCTGACCTAGGCTACCCCCGAGGCAGTTACATCCAGGACATGAACGTGTCCCACGCCCCTAACCCTCCTCCAGCGAACTACTCCACTTCATCCATCCACGAGGTTCGCCAGTCACAAGGCCCATCTCCCACACCTTTCACTGCCGCTCCCGCGCAGTCATACATGGATCCGTATTCCCAGAGCCCTTACAGTGGATCCCAAAGTGCCCCCTACACCAACCCTTCATCTTACACATCTTCAACTCACTCGCCGTACGCATCAGGTACAGCCCCGTACCCCCCGCCCCAGGTTACTTACTCCGGCGCCAGCCAGCCGATCGTGACCGCTGCGGACATGCACCCCCAATCGTACACATATGCCCCCACGGGCTACGGTGGCTACGATAATGGTCGAAGCAATGCTCCCCGCTACCCGGGGCCTGGATATGATGCCGACCAGGATTACTCTCCCGTAACCTCCGGGATGGCCTATCCTACAACTACTGCCCCGGACCCCCGGATAGGAGGAATGGAGCCCAGATACACCCCTGAATATGAGCGCAGGCCGCAAGCAACCAGAAATGACCCGCACCGTCGGCGTTAAACAAAACCCAAAAAAAAAGAATGATCGCCCCAGGGCTACTTTCACCCTGTCTCCGTTGGTTTTTTTCTTCTCTCCATCTCCATCCATCATGGAGGTAACCTGATTCCATACTCCCTGGACCATCTCCACTGTCTTCCTGGGAGTAATTTTGATTTTGACGATATTTCCCTGGACATTTTCAACACATCGCTCGGTCATGTTTCTCAGAAACCTTTGCATCTAGTCCAGGAACCCTCAACCTGTCCAGCGATGTCTTCTATTTCCACTTTTGGTTCGGTTAGGGGGAACTCCCACTTCCCACCGGACATGCATCCCACCTTTCTGGACTTCCACTGGAAATTGAACTCCGCTTCCTGGCAGGAGCTTGGACTTTCCCGTGGAGAATCTTTGTCATTGTTTTTGCTTTCTCTCCAGTATGTGCAACTGGTCAGCCAGGAGTAGGAGTGATATGTCTTGCTTGAATTTTGCGAAAAGGTGGCCCGGACTTGAGCGTTTTATCTGTTTCTTCCTGGTCCAGCGGATTCCGGGAATACTCACCCCCCAATAATGCGATGCTTGTCGTTCAAAGGTGTACAGGACTTGTGTGTTTTAGCAATTTTCTTCATTGTTCTTTCGCTTGGAGGGCGGAGTCATGATGTTCTACTTTTTTTTTTTTTTTTTTTTTTTATCACTTGGTTTGCGAAGAGTGCTATGCTTCGATAAACTAAGGCTGGTGAGCTACATGTAGATATGAGCATTTACGGTGTTGGTTCTGTGTTTGCAAGATCATGGACTCCACGACCTTAATGAGCCTGTTTCTTCATTATTCTTGGCTTGAAATGAATCCAGATATCCATCAACATTTTTATCTTCATTTTTTCTCACTAACATTTTCTATTGCAACGCCAGCTTCCAAGTTCAGTAATAATTGGAAAAATCGCAGAAATGAACCTTGGAACCCTTGCAATGGAGTTGAAAGTCGCATGCTCAGCGCAACTACCTAGGTACGGAAGACCCGTGGACTTCCAAGTTGGGCATCAATCAGTTTGACTCTAAGCTTCGAAATGAATGTGTAGCTGTTATCCTTATGAAAACCAATCCATCCATGGATCTAGTATCTGGAAGCAATTGGAAAAAGTGACCGGCGCTTTTATATATCCACCAAATGTGCTTTTCCCACCCTCGTAACTCGATTGCACATGCCTAGGTGCATGAGCTTCGGATGTCTGATCCCCGCTGAGGTTAGAACTACGAAGATCGGGGTTCTCCAAGCGCCTGCCGTGATAGCAAATAGACACCAGGTCCGCCATGAATGGTGGTTGAATCCTTGGACCAAAGTCAAGCCCAAAGATCAGAACCGGGCATAAAAAAGTGACATAATGTCGGATTGATTGCACAAAACATAGTACATACACCGTAGCGCAGCCTCGATATCCAAAGGATGCGCAACAAATAGTGGTATCAAAGCAATTGAAAGGTCAGGAGAGCATATCCGGGAACAGTCTTTTGGGTTTCCCACATGCGATGGGGACTTGTTCGTCAGTGCATCATAGGCAGAGCCGGAGTGTCATCTCCTGCCGTTGGCTAATTCGTTTATCCCAGGCTTGAAAAAATATAACACACTGCATTCTTTGAAATTCGATTACTCGACTTTTTCACAACAGAATACAGTTTATTGGTCTTCGTAGCCCTGGGGAATCACTCGCGGACCCTGCGGAACTGTGGAGATGAAGAATGTTTGTTAGTTTCATACTTCTCGCTCATAGAAGAGGGTATCGAGGGAATATATCCAAAGACCGGGGAGTCATACTAGGGTATGTCAAAGGAACAGGCTCGGGGTCGACATCGCCGAGTGCGTGACGGATGGGAGGAATAGTGGCCAGGAAGACGGGGCCTGACAAGCCGAGAAGACAAGCACCCATGTAAGCGGGTCTCTCGTGCGCAGCCCAGCGCAGGTAGCGGAAGGGAGTGGACCAGAATTGAGGGTTAGACATGATTGCGAGAGGTTGACACCGGTCGGGGATTTTCGCGGGTTGAGAATGAGGTCGAAAGTTGATCAATTAAGATCTGGCGAGTAGACGCGTGCAAATGCACAAATGCGCAGGTCCACCAAAGGAGTTGTTGAGTGGTAGGGGCGAAAGCGAAGAGCAAAATTGCAGCCGTGGGGAAGAAGTGAAGTCGAAGTTCGGAGATGCGGACCTAGCGCACTCGGGTCTTGGCGCTCGCCCATTAACACGTCGCCCTTTCTGGTTATCTATACACTGACTTCCACGCTTCGACCATTTCTTTTCTCGCTCATCATTTTGTCCTTCCGTTCTGCTGTGCGGAATTAGTTCAAGATGCGGTGGTGCCTTGCGTTGCTTGTCTGCTGCTTGTTGGCTGCCGTGAATGCGCTGAGTAGCTCCGGCAGCCGTCTGTTGGCTGTTCTGGAAGACGCAGACCAGAAAGACCTTTACTCTACACTGTGGGCTGACTTGGAAGGTAATTGGACCTGCGGTGTGGCCTTTCATCCAAGCTAATACCAAAATACTAGCCCGCGGATACGATGTCTCGATTGAATCCCCCAAAAGTGACCAGCTTGCTCTGTTCAAGCATGGCGAAAGAGCTTACGACCACCTCTTGATTCTCCCTCCCAAGTCCAAAGGTGAGCAATCGCGATCACATTGATATGCCAGCAAGTCAATTGACCGAATTACCCAGGCCTTGGCCCCTCTCTGACCCCCAAGCACGTTGTCGACTTCATGAACAAGGATGGCAACGTTCTCCTCGCCCTCTCCGGAAAAGCCTCTACCTCCAGCGCCGTCAGCTCCCTTCTCCTTGAACTTGACATCCACCTCGCAAATGACCGTTCGGCAGTTGTCGTCGACCACTTCAACTACGACACTCTCTCGGCCGCCGAGAAGCATGACGTCCTTGTCCTCCAACGCCCTAGCCCCGCCCGCTCCGATGTGAAGGCTTTCTTCGACGGCGAGGGCGTCCTTGCTCTCCCCCGAGTCGCTCCTCAGACTCTGGGCAGCGACAGCGCTCTTCTCGCCCCGATTCTTGCGGCCCCCGCTACCGCCTACAGCTACAACCCCAAGGAGGGCGTGCCCTCCCCAGAGGACATTCTGGCTACCGGTTCTCAGCTGAACATCGTATCTGCTATGCAAGCACGCAACTCGGCTCGCTTTACCGTTCTAGGCTCCGTGGAGTCCCTCGAGGACAAGTGGTTCACGGCCTCTGTCAAAACCCCCAGCGGCAAAGAGACCCCCACCGTCAACCGCGAATTCGCCAAGCAGCTGACTGCTTGGGCTTTCAAGGAGACTGGTGTCTTGAAGGTTGACAAGGTCGAGCACCGCCTGGCCACCGAGGGCTCAGAGCTCAACCCCTCCATCTACCGCATCAAGAACGAGACCGTATGTTGATCACCACAATGGCTATTAACAACTAAACTAACGATCATTCCAACAGGTGTACACCATTGAGGTCTCCGAGTATGTCCACGACAAGTGGGTTCCATTTGAAGTCCCCGGCGACGACGAGCTCCAACTTGAGTTCACCATGCTCTCGCCCTTCCACCGTCTGGGTCTTAAGCCCGTCGGCCGCACCGACACCAGCACTATTTTCGGTGCCCAGTTCGTGACCCCCGATCAGCACGGTATCTTCTCCTTCCGCGTCAACTACAAGCGGCCATTCTTCACCGCCATCGAAGAGAAGCACGAGGTTACTGTCCGCCACTTCGCCCACGACGAGTACCCTCGCAGTTGGGTCATCACCGGCGGATGGGTTTGGATCGCCGGTCTCTGGTCCGTGATTGGAGGATTCCTGGCGTTCGTGGTCGTCTGGCTGTACTCTGCACCTGTGGCAGAGAAGGTCAAGAAGACCCAGTAGAGTGATGTCTACTTTGTAAGCCTTGTACTGTGTCTATGATTTTGAAAAACCTTGCATGAGCTCAATTCCCTATTCAAACCAAATATATGATTTATCTTGCATACGAATGTTCTTCGTAGTTTGGATGCACATCCTATCGGTCAGAACTATTGCTTCGTACTTCTTGTACAGCCTTTGCCTATCACTTGACGTGTCATAATCTGCCGATACTCGGACTGATCCGCACGACTGGTGTGCACCGCAAAAGAGTCCCCCGTACGCCAGGGCCAAACCCGACGTAGGTTGAGGTATATTGAACCGCGGGCCTTGGGCCGTTCTCGTGATGCATAGTGCTGATCACGAGAAATGGTACCCGTGGACAGTCTCTACTACACACCAAGATAATATAGTCCCACTACCTTACGGAGTATTCCCCAGCGAGCTCAAACACCGCTCAATTTAGCACTCACATCTGGTGCCGTCATACGCAATGTGAGAGAGGGAAAAGCACAGCATGAGGAAGCGAACGAGAAGCGAGTATGAAAGAGAATGTATGTATGAAGCGTAACCAAACTCCGGGCCATGCCAGCATGTAATCAACGAATCCAAATCCCAGTATTTTACAAGCCACGGGTCTTCTCGGGATCCATCTGCACCTCGTCTCCGTTTAGTTCCTTGACAGACTGGTATGCAGGCTGGCCGGCATAAAGCTGTCCCCCAGACGAATTTCCAGACTGTCCACCCTCTTCCTTGGACAATGCGATGGGCTGGTTACCACGGAAGCGCTTGCGCATATCGATCATGCCACGTCTGTACCAGTTTGCACCCCAGCAGTCAGCCATTGTGATCTCGTGTGTATCCGGCACCGGTTTCGACTCACTTGCACTCGCTGAAACCTTTCCGCAGCTGCTGGCATCTTATGGGTAGCTCCTCGGCGAGAGGAGAATTGAGACATTCACGGGGTGTATGGCGCTGCTTCATTATGCAGTCTGATTCCTGGAGGCATTGGGCCAATGCCTGCCCTGGAGATTTGGAACTGATGATCAGCATGCGCTCGGAGGGTTGCGATGGCCTCGGTGGCTCCTGGGTGTGATTGGGATGATGGTGACGCATTGAGAATGACTTACGGATATCATTGCATGAGCTGGGCATGTTGTCGCCGTCTTGTGAACGAATGCGCAACCACACGGAGGAACAGACGTGGAACGGGCAAATTTGGGTTGTCAGTTGTCTCGACGCTGATTGGTCGGTGGGTCTAGACCCCGGATGAGATAAGCGGCTTTCACATGCGGCCCTGACAAGGTTCCAATGACGTCGTGGCACTCTCATCTCTTTCTCGACTGCGTACTCTTCTTCCTATATATACCCCAGAGTCGAGCATATGTATAGCAGTCGTGATGGCGCGCGTTCCTTTCATTGGCAGATTGTTCTGGTAAGAGCCGCAACTTCTCCACCCGGGACAATGAGACTGATCGCATCGACAGGTTTGAGTACCTAGCGTTGTTTGGGTCGTTGGTACTGGTACTACTTGAGACAGTCATACACTTGATAACTTGGTGTCTTCGTGAGTGGCACTCGTCAAGGACGATAAGATGAGAATGAGACTAACCCCTAGCTAGCAAGCCCTATCATTAGGTTCTGCTATGGACAATCCAAAGCGCTCTTCAACCTGCTGCTCCCCACGGAGTCTCGCCCGAAGCGCACAGAAGAGGAGATATTCGCCAGCTCTGTCGCAGATGCCTCGGACTTTACCGAGATATGCGCCCTCTTCGGCTACCAAGCCGAGGAGCACATCGTGCAAACAAAGGACGGCTATCTTCTAGGACTACACCGACTTGCATATAGAAAGGGAGAAGAACATACCCGCGTCAACCAAGGGCCAAGCGGAATACAGAAGAAAGTCGTCTACCTTCACCATGGTCTTCTCATGTCAAGCGAAGTTTGGGTGTCGTTGACCGATGAGCAGAGATGTCTTCCCTTCCGGTTGGTGGAAAAGGGGTACGACGTCTGGTTAGGAAATAACCGCGGGAATAAATACTCTAAGAAATCCATCCGGTTCTCACCAGGCTCAAACGAATTCTGGGACTTCTCCATCGACCAGTTCGCCTTCTCCGACATCCCCGATAGCATCGAGTACATTCTCGAAGTCACGGAGCAGCCATCCCTATCATACATTGGATTTTCTCAAGGCACTGCCCAAGCATTTGCTACACTGGCCATTCACCCACTGCTGAACAACAAGGTGGATGTCTTCGTGGCACTGGCACCCGCCATGGCACCTTCTGGCCTGCGCAATCGCATCGTCGACTCACTGATGAAAGCATCTCCCGACTTCCTGTTCCTGCTCTTCGGTCGCCGCAGCATCCTGTCATCAACAACAATGTGGCAAACAATCCTATACCCACCCATCTTCGTGCGCATCATCGACGTGGCTCTCAGGGCCCTCTTCAACTGGAAATGCCGCAACATCAAGCGCACCCAGAAGCTAGCCGCTTACTTACATCTCTATTCCTTCACCAGCACCAAGTCAGTAGTCCACTGGTTCCAAATCATCCGCCACAAGAACTTCCAGTTCTACGACGACGAAGTCTACGCTCCATTCAGCATTGCCGCCAGTGAGCGTTTCTACAAGCCAGTCAAGTACCCGACCCGCAACATCAAGACTCCCATCGTGCTGCTATACGGCGACAGCGACAGTCTAGTCGATATCGGAGTCATGCTCAAGGGCTTGCCCCGAAGTACCGTTGCCCAAGCGATCCCAACATACGAGCATTTAGACTTCCTCTGGGCCTCGGATGTCGACCGCCAAGTCTTTGGTTATGTATTCGATGCGCTAGAGACCTATAGCCGTGGTAGCCCTACCGTGATCAGCACGTCGGGCCCCGGCAAATACGTCAAAGGCTTCTTGACCGATGGGCGCGCTTCGAATACATCGGTTTCCCGCAAGAACCCCATCACAAATGGTGTGCATGGAGCTGCGGTCTGAGCAAGAGATATTGTATGTTCGTTTAGGGCCGAACCTTGGATTTCAGGCCGCGATGGATTCAGCCACTTCAAGAGCGCTACGTAATTACATCATGTTCGAAGCTCACCGTATATGTCCCTGCAAGTATCAGCTGTGTTAAATTACAAGATCTCTATTTTGGCAAAACTGGTTCCACTTAGCTCGGCCCCGTATGGTTTATTGCTTCAGATAGATTATGGACGGCTTGGCCCGTTCTGTAGCCGCTCGGGGGCATCAACAATCCGGGGATGATCCGTAACATGTGGAGCAGGGAGTTCCCCTTTTGTATTGGTTGATGTCCATGAGAATCAATAAAGGGAATCTGTTCAATTGAATACGGCACTTCCAAAAAGCTAGGGGACCTCGGGAATATTGGACAATCCACACTGGTACTGGCTGAGAGAACGTCTGGAGCTTTTAGCTTAATCTTTCCGTAAACGCCTGCTTCTACGCAATTCAGTATCATGAGGTTTCATAGGCAAATCGGATGACTTGCCAAGATTGGAATCTCCCTTGCCGGCCACTAATCTTGATGCAGGTGGCTTAGTCGTAGAAATCTTTGTGTTGGATGTCTTTGTGCCATGAACAATAGCTCTGCTCCTCTTGCGGGCTACCTCTCTGCCTTTTGGACCTTTCGCTACCCCAGAGCGAGTCGCCCGAGGGACCGGAGAATCGGAGACTGGAGGGCAGAGTAGAAGACCCTTGGAGACTTCGGGCTTAGTGCAAGTGCGAGCACCGGGATTTGGCGATTTCGCCAGCTCTGGAGTGGGATCTCGCGCGCGCAGCTCCCAAGGGCTTTCATGCTTCCATAGCATCCCAGGTAAGATGCCCCATTCTTCGTTCCAAAGGCCCCTGCTGACCCAGTCCTCTTTCACGTTGGTATAAGCTTTGGTGCTGATGTCTGCAGAGTTGAAAAAACACACGGCATGTTCAGGGGCAAAGTTCTGGAGTCGCTCGCGCTCTTTCGATACTCGATGAATGAATTGATGGAATGGACGTGATGGCTCGTTGTTCAGCTTTTTTGTGGTCTTTCGCATTTGCTCTATCTGATCACCGTGCGATTGGATCGTCCACGGCCCGTGGTCTTCCAAGTTGGAGAGCGCTTGGCTAGGTGTTGCATCGGTAGTTGGCCTAGTTGATGGAACAGGTGGCTGTTCGTGCATCCAATATTGACCAGGCATCGGAGTCGGACACCCATCTGAGTCCCATTCTTCGTCCCAAATTCCTTGTTCCACCCAGTCATCCTTGACTGCGTTTTTACTGAATTTGATGAAGTTCGTCCTATCAGAGATTGGACGTGTTTTGTTTTTAACATCATCTTCGATGTGTTCTCTCACCACCGCCGCCTCGTGGAGGAATTGCATGGGAGGACGGGAATATCGCCGATTCGCCCTTTCCACTTCTCGAGGGTCTTCTTCGAATGTCTCGTCAGCAGCGTCCGACACGGTCAAGCGAGAGGGGGACGCTGGGGATCGGTCGAAACGCGCCCGGGCATATTCCAGCTGCGCTGGTGAGTCTTCGAGGATTTTGAGCGCATGTGCGAGTGAGCCAGTCGGTATCAAAGACATATCTACGAGATGAGGGGAGAACGTTAATCGAGAGTGCGCATTGGAAATATGAGCCCAACCCTCGTGTGATTGTAGAGCGCCAGTCAACAGGACTAGCGTGTGAAGGCACCTTGGCCAACGAATTATCTCCAATCAGCTATATGTGCACTGTTTGCCTCTCAGCGGCCATGAAACCTTCCAAGGTTGGATGTGTTGGCCATTCAGGGTTCTGGGCGCCTAAGCAAACGTTTCTTATGGCCCCAAGCCATGTCCTTAACAGTGGCTCAGCCTCGCTGTGATTTGGGCACCACCTGGGCATTCCGGGGACCATTCAGCTTCAATGTCGTTGCTTCCAACTCATGATTCCGTTCTCTTCATTCTGGTAGCGAAGAATGAAAGGGCCAAAGACTCAGTAATACTACTGACGGGCAATCAAGAAATAGCCAGAGTCAATCCGTACGAGTGTGTCTCGGCGGCACAAATGCTGATCACGTTTTACAATAGGAAATGTTGAAGCGATACCCCCACTAGTGCCCGAAGTCCGAAATGAAACGCAATCACCTGCCGACAATACTCGGAAAATGCCCAGGTAATTCATACTACGAGAAGGGTTCGAACCATACGCACATGCCAGCCCCGTGTAGCCAACCTTCGGACAGCTATATCAGCGGACCACCCGGATGTTCTTCCCAGGTGCCTCCGTGCTGTTCGGGGTCGTAACTAGGTGATAAATTTGTATTACAATGTGTGCTATCACGATGGACCTGGAAGTTCTGGCCGATGAGTCATTTGGAAGCCTCGGACCTCAAGATTGTGGGTTCATGCAACGACCGTGACTGAGTTTTGCTCGAATGCAAATTCCCATACATCTTTTCCGAGGTCTGCTTAAAAGGCGCAGGGCAAATCTGCGTGGGCCGGAGAAGATCCCTGTGAGGGACCCTGACCATCAAACCTGGCCAGTTGAACCTTGGAAATGGCCACGGTTCCCACACCTACACCACATAGACAAATTCGAAAGTATCGATTCTGCCCAAGTCGACGTGTGCAAGCGAGACCCACGCACATTATCTCATGCTGGATTAAGTTTTGGGGAAGTGCAGCCCGATCCGATACAACGCAAGATGTCCGGTGTTCCGGCCACCGCCAGAGTCTAGGATTGGTGGGGGTCAGGACAACGTCATCTAGTGGCACTGGAAAGAAAAGCCCTAACAGTTGCCAAGTGAGATTTGCATGGGTCCCGTAAAAGGCGCATCGCACTTTGTTCTGGTGGATTAAAGCGAGGGTTCCAGATGAGTCTTTTGTTACGGGGACTCTAGACCACCTGGGCAAGTGTCTTGGCTTCTTCACACGAACCGAATAGGAAGGAGCCTATGAGAGCCGCTGGAGATTGATGGAATAAATTATCCAAGTAGTCATAGTTCGGTACGAACTGGAGGAACCTGCGAAAGCACAGATTCAGATTCAGATTGTGATTCAGATTCAGGTACCGGTCCCATGTAAGGTACCGGTGGGCGAGCGGGGTTGTGGCTTGGCGGGAGGCACTCGATCTTTAAAGTGTGGACAATGTGCAATGTGAGATATCGCCACACACTGTCCAGATGCCCTTGGCACGATAATTTCCGGCAGAGTTTTCTGGAATTCACAAAGAATGGTGCCTAAACCCACCGAAGTGCACCGAAGTGGCGGTAAAAACCAACGCATCGTGTACCTGACTAGGCGAGCATAAACGGTAAAAGTGTCTAATTTCCTCGTATCCACAGTGCCCAAGGCCCGTTGGCTGGTACGTTAAGGCACGGGGATGATCTCTTTCTGTTTATTAACCAGTGTCGCCCTAAGTGACAGCTAAGAGATAAGCTTAGTTAGTGATCAATGCTTAGCCCAGGGATGGAAATCCGTCCAGAGATATAGGAAATCCGGATGATAGTCAGGGGTCATAAGTAATAGTCCGGGTGACAGCGCGAGGGGCTGCGCAATTCCTTTCGTAAGCCCGGCGAATCAGGCGCAGTTCGTGAAAAACTCTTTGTCCGAAGAGTCTGTCCTTTCTGATTCGATCTAGGCCCTCTCCACCCGCTAGCCCCGAAATCGACAACAGGTGGGATTCACGAGCACTTCTGTACTTCGTATCCATGGCGCATCGCCAACAGGTTCATTCGGGTTGGTCGGATCAGACTTCGGTTCCTGGCCCTGACTGCGGTGGACCAATAGGATCAATGGCCTCCGAGTCAGCCACATGGCCCTAATCTAGATTTTCTGGTATCGTATTGACCGGTATTCGTCGGGTATCATGTATCGTAAGGAGAGGCTGCCAAATAAAACGGCGCTATGCCCTCGCCCGCGCTCTCTTTTCCCTTTCGACATCACGATCATTCACACTCATTTGAATATCCCTCGATCTCATTAAGGCTGTGCCTTAATTGACCACTCTCTTTAACCGTCTGTAGATCAGACTAAAGCCACTCTCTCTCAACGGACCCCGTCCACTCAACACTCTCATTCCTCGGATCTCACGTTTCAAGCCTTAAAAATGCGCTTCAACGTCATCGGCCTCTCGGCCCTTCTGGCAGCTACTGCCACTGCCCTTCCCGTCGCTGTTCCTGACGTCCAAACCGTCCAGGATGTCGTCTGGGAGACCGTCTACGAGACCGTCTGGCAGACTGCCACCCCGACCAGCGAGGTCGCTCTCTCCGAGCCCACGGCCCCTCTGGCCGTCGAGAACTTCGCCGTCGCTTCTTCTTCTAGCACCGAGACTCCCTCGAGTGTCCCAACTTCCACCGCTGTCCCTACCACCAGTGTCCCCACCCTGAACATCCCCGGCACAACCAGCGTCCCCACCGTTGTGCCCACTCCCACCGCCGTCGCCACCAGCACCCTGGTCCCCAGCTCAACCAGCGCCGCCAGCGCCACCGGCAGCGGTCTCAGCATCCAGAACAACCTCGAGGACACCGTCTACCTGTGGGTCGTCACCGAGACCCAGGGTGAGATGCAGACCCTCAAGTCCGGCGAGACCTTCGACGGCCACTCCTGGTTGACCAACTCCAACGGCGGTGGTATCTCCATCAAGATGTCCACCAGTGAGCTGTGCGACAGCGTCCTGCAGTTCGAGTACACCCAGTCCGGCGACGTCCTCTTCTGGGACTTGTCTTCCATCAACCTCCTCAAGACCTCGGCCTTCGTCAAGGCCGGCTTCGGCGTCACCATCAGTGACAGCTCTTGCACCTCGGCCACTTGCGCTGCAGGTGATGCCAACTGCATTGAATCTTACCAGCACCCCGATGATGTCAACACCTTGGCTTGCACCATCGATGCTGCGTACACACTCACTCTCGGTTAGATTTGATCTTTATTTGCGTTATATTTACATTTCTTTTCTTTGGATATCCACTTGGTTAGGTGATTGTGGGAGTTTTCTTATGAACAAATTGCGAAATACAAATTTCACACTTCTTGCACAAAATGTTTTCTATTCTTGTTTCAGCTTTTTTGATAGATAGAAGAATGAACAAATTGACGGTCAAACAACTTCCAAGGTTAAGGTTTAGTCTGATTCCATGTCTTAATTGAGGCTCTGCTCATTGCTCCGTGGAATCTCACATCGTTACCTCGTCCACTGGACTAGCTTCTTCTAGCGCCCGGACTAACCAGAGTGGTTTCGAAGTCTGCCACGATGTTTGAAATGTGGGAGTAAAATGTTGTATTAACACAAGATGATCTCAACTATGTTACAATCTTCGCCCTATTTCACAATACAGTCCGACTTCCACGGAGTGACACGAAGTATTCCGTGCACACCCCTCTCACCCTACAATCTAAAATCCGCCAATGACAAGAAGTGTCCCACTTAGTAGACGGGCAACTTGAAAGCGGGGAAGTCGTAAGTCCAGCTGTCAATGGAAGCCTTGTCATTAACACAGTCAAAGGTGCTGTTGCTCTTCCAGAGAGGACGAGTAGGCCACTGGCAAAGCATCTGGGTCTCACCCTCGTAATCACCAGAAGAGACGGTAGCATTGAGACGCGAGGGCTGAACACCATTCTCAACCCAGTCGATCATGGTCTGCATGTTGTCCTCTGGGTACGGGCCAGGCTGGAGGGAGTTGGTTCCACAGTGCGCCGCGCCAGGGATCAGGTAGAATTGGTACCACTCGGCCAATTTCTTAAGGCTCTGCTCCGAAGAAAGATGGGGGTACATGATAGCCCGGACGGATTGCCAGTAGTGCACCGAGGAAGGAGCGGGGATACTGGGGTCCGACTCGCCGTGGTAGTGCAGGAGCTTACCACCGCTGGATTGGAAGGTGGTCAGGTCGGGCAGAGTGGTCTGCAGACTGTCCATGTAGCGCACCATACCGGTGGTCATCCAGTCGACCAGGGTGTCGTAGGTGACATTGTTGAGGTCGGAGAGGTTATCGAGATCGAGGAGCTGAACGAACTTCGTCACGTACTCGCCGCCAGTGGAGGGGATTTGGAGCTCCCACTTGCTGGTGTCGTTGTTCCACTGAGTATCGCCGTCGCTGAGCTCGGAGCCGATTTGCCAGGAGAGATAGGCGCGCTCGCCCTTGGAGTTGTGCAGACCATCGTAGATGGCTTGGGCAACCTTCACACCCTTGGCGGTGACTCTGCCGTTCTGGGCGGGCTGGTAGGAGGTGCTGCTTCCTGCGGCGCGCTTGCTGAAGCCGAAGCCGAGGGATGTGCTGGTCTCGGCGTCACAGTGGTACTTTTCGCCGATGATGGAAGTGAGGTTGAAGTGTAGCTTGCAGAGATCGGTACGGGAGATGACACCGTCTGTTCGGCCGTCGAGAGGGTCACAGGCTGCGATGGTGGCGTTGACAATCTTGGCCAGCTCGCAGGGGGGTGGGTAGTAGTCCATGGTCTGCTCGACGGTAGCCGGGAAGACGTGGTGGACTTGCTGCTGAGCGAAGCGGAAGGCCGGAGCACCAGTGATGGCACCGTCGTACTCGTCTCCGTAGCGCTGGACCTGGCTCATGCCCTCGCGTCCACCATCGGAGCAGCCCTCGTAGTAGGTGTAGACTTTGGCGGAAGAGGACATGCCGTAGAAACCGCGGGTGAGAACCTTACCAATCTTGGTCATCTCACCCAGTGCCTGGTAGGAGAACATGTAGGTGGCGTCCCAGTTGATAGTTCCGTTTCCGTAAAGGACCACGTCGTCGTAGCTGTTGTCGAAGGCATCGTAGCCAGCGCTGGTGGCACCGCCGACGGCACCATACTCGAGACCACCGGTTGCATCGCTGGACAAGGAGAAGCCACCGCCGCCAGCAACGTAGAAGCGCTTCTTGAAGTCGGAAGGCTGGGGGAAGGCATACTTGATCACGACGGAGTCTCCCTTGCCGGTGTGTTCGTAGGTGACGGTCACGTTGCAGTAGGTGTAGGTTTCGGTGCTACCCATTCCTGCGCTGGCATTGTATACGGCGGCGGCGGTGACGGCGGAAGGAATCATGTCAATTCCCAGAAGAGTGCCATTGGAGGGCAGGGCAGAGCGGACGTTGGAAACCGTGCAGACATCAGTGAGGGACTTGGCGCTCGCTGACGCTGCCAGGGCAAGAGATGCACCCCAGGAGAGACGCATCTTGGAATCAACCAAATGAAGATCTATATAAGAGAGAAAAACGAGTGTCAAGAAGGATATGAATCGGATATTGAGTTTGAAGGTAAGTGGCGATACTTATAGTCAGTCCTCCATAGCCTGTCTGGTAGCTGGCGAGGCGCAGATCTGTAACAGACCATGATCAAAAAGATGAGTCGTCGTCATCCAGGGCAACGTTTAACATGAAAAGGACGACGTAGTAAATTATCGCATGAATTGAAGTGGAGATGAGCTTGAAGAGGTTTGAACGCTGGTCATTGGTGAGTTTGATAGAGGCCGGGTAAATCTTACTCCCCATAGTTTCAGCAGGTCGAAGATCTACGCGGCTAACCTTCTTGTGGTCTACACCTGATATTTTTAAATCATTCTCCGTAGCCTAGTCTACCGCTATTTGTGTTTTCGTAACACTCAGCACGAGGGTGTCGCCTAGGCCAATGGTGGGAACAGGCTGGGTGTGCTTGATCCGCGAACCCTGGTCGAGATGGAGATTTACGAATCTAAGTATGGACCATCCGGTGAATTTTCGGGGTTTTTTGCCTCGTTCAACGTAAGGCTGATTTCACATTCCACATTCCTGCACTCAATACCCCTATCTGGTTTGAGGACAAGTCCTGCAGCCGCCCCACTGCAGCATGGGACTAATGTCGTGGGAATTATCAGATCAGGCTATAGAGACCACTATTTCTTCCGCTGTGGAGATTCAACGAAAACGAATTTCTACAGTACTCCGTACTATCAATGCCTTGGGAACACCTGGGCATGTCTGGATCACCAGTTTGGTGCTCGGGCCAGGCGGATGAAGACATTGACACATCAACCTGCGCAAATTTGCGGAGCGCATTGATCCTGTAGCCCAATTTATCGGAAGGCCGTAAACAGGAAAAGGTTCCTGCCGAGAAGATGGGTAAATGTTAGTCACTCGACAGAAGTGATTAGGAGCATTGTGTACTGATCTCAGGTGTAGTCTGTTCAAAGGGAAGCTTTCTCTAGAAGTCAACGACTTTGCTCAAGTAGTAAGGCCAAGCATTATACTTAAAGATGGAATCGAGATCTTTGAATAACTACCTTCTATTGTTCATTGACTTCTACAAAGACCCCTGATTAAGGATGCTCGGCAATCCCCAAAACCTGGGCCCTAAAATAGGTTGACGACCAAAGCGTCACCAGTTGCCAAGACTCATTAATCACAAGACGGAGCAACATTCTCCTCGGAGCCTGTCTGAGAAATCCCAACTTGCTAGCATCGTGATACGTGTATTATCAAACATTCCTCCGAGATTTGGGAAAGCGAATCCATTGTCAATGGCCCCGTCAAAAAAGTTAAATGACATCTATAAGCATTCGCTGTGGTCGACATTTAGTCTGAATGACCAGATCAATCTCCGCTCTGGTTAGGACAGAAAGTCTTTAACGAGAAGAGTGTATCGTAGCATGGGTTGAAGGACCTCCCGAGAGCCACATGCTGTCTAAGTGGAACCAGGTGAGTAATTTAGCTCATTCCCACGAGGTTAGTGTTGATTGCGCGTCCTGGGATTTTGCGGGCTTGTAACTAGTGCTTGAATTGAAACTTGGCAATCTAACATCCTTAAAACACTTCGTTTGCAAAACCTATCTCCATTTTCTCCTAGGTCACATGTGTAATGACGAAATCGATCCAAATCTCATGATAGAACTACTTCTTGTATGCGCAGTTCCGGGATTTAAAGGCTTCAGGTCAGGCCTCGTCAACAAAATGCCAAGTCAAAGACACTGGTCAGTGATCAGAACCTTTGAATGCGTGGACTTCAAGGTTTGTGAAGTCGGTGACATTCCGAGGAGCCCGCCAAGAATAATATATAGTTCTCGGCGCTTTATCAGGCCAAGAAATTACCTAGGTATATACATAGTGACGTGCAGGAGACAATGGGGCAATGAATTCATGGATAAGATGATATTTTACTTGGGTCGTACTCTCGAGATGTGTGCCGGGTTGTTGTTGCGCCTCTTCACTCCCCTGTGTTGGAATCGAGCATCACATTCTGACTCTTGGAATACTGGTAGGCATTTGAATTGATGACAATGTACATCCAAGTCGAAATGAAAGTACAAAAATGATAGGAATGTCCATTCCATTTTATAGATGGAGAGCCTGTCCAATCAGATGGGACTTACTGGGACTAGCCCCACATCTCTCGGGGCGGGAAAACTTACCCATTCTGGCCTACACTGGGCCATCCAAGGCTGGTCAACCAGCTCAACAATCTTTCCCATCGTTCATCTCCTGAATCGCGAAAATGCTGCCAGAGAACCTACAGAATAGCTACACTCGCTACAAGGCGGATGTCAACACCTTTGCCACATGGTTACTGCAGTCCGCAAATAATTGCGGGTACCAACCACACGACCTCCAAACTAACACCACCCCCAAACGCGGCAAACGCAAAGGAAAAAAAAACCAGTCACTTTCAAGTCCAATTCGGTATGATTTAACCATAAACGAATTCCAAAAGCTCGCCAAAGTGGTGGCCGAATCTTCACTCCCGGTACCCGAAGCAGCTTTGGCCATCGCCAAACGTGCCATCAAGCTGAGAAAAGCGGTCACTTCCGGTTCCTGGAACAAGGCTACATCACAAATGACATGCGTCATTCTAAGTTTATCAATGCACTGGAGCATATCTGCGAGACTCTAGAGCGCAAGACTGGCCGGACCTCGAAGCCTGGCGTTAAGCAACCTCCATCGCCCTCCGAGGCTTTGAGTGACGACGCCAATGTTGAAAATTTCACTAACCGATTTACCAATCTCAATGTGGAAGAACCTTGCGATACCACTGCGGGAACTCATCCGGCAACTACGGCATCGAGGAAGAACATCAAGGTGACTGTTGTTGAAGAGGACAATGATGAGGCTACACAGTCTTGTCTCGGTCTCGTATACTTCAAGACCATGTGCGTCCTCGAGGACTTGAGCAATATGCGAAAATTTATTTCCAAGACATGGTCGGAGTATCGAGATGGGAAAATTGATCTCATGAACGCTGCCGTCGTGACTGATAGTGCTTTGCAACTTGCCCAGGACCTTGCCGATGATGTGGAATCAGACTGGCGCAGCTCTCTTGTAGAGAAAATGGAGGATGTACCGAGTATTATTTTCAAAATTACTGCTTCCATCCGTGGCGTTGATGGGCCCCCATCCACTAAAACCGGTCTACCATACGACAAGGACGTGGCTGATTTGGCCGACAGGTGTTACATCACAACGAAGATCGTGCTGGAGTCTTTTCCGAAAGTCATGAAAGCTGATCATCTGCCAGTCTTCAAAAAAGGCGCTTTCGGCACCTACGATCCAAAAGCAGACAGGAAGCGAATGTCACTAGATCAGCAATACAAGGAAGACAGAATCATTCTTCTTGGTATTCTACCAGAATTCTGCATGATCAACTTGTTCGAAGTCAAAAGGCCCACCGAGGACGCAATAACTCGATCTTTCACTGAGTTTATCAAGACCAAAGCCATTACACTGGGGCTTTGTTTCACCTCCCAAATTTTCCTCGACGTTCACCATATCATGCGACACAGTGCCGAAGGCGCATTGGGGGATTTTCGAATGTCTGGACTTCGAATCCAAAAGACCATCAAAGACTACCAGCAGTTATCCAGAACACACCCTCAGCCAGAATTCTGGCCAAAGGATTACGACGAAGAAATTCAACACATGGGGGCGTTTGTGAAAGCATGGGTTCTGGAGGATCCATTGCGAACAATTGGGATGGAACCAAAGCTTGCCAGGCCTGGTCCCCCGCCCGAGAAGTATGCACTGCTCTCCCAGCACGCAACCCTCTGTGGGTTGATTCTGTTCAGCCTTAATACACATATGCAGATTGTCGGCCAGGACCTGCTCAATCAATGGGGCGTCGTTCAGGGCATGGCATTCCTGCACAACCTTGTCGTACACTCTCGGGGACACAATGAATTGAAGTGGGCCGACATGGATGCATTCATTGAGATCCACGGAGAGCGCAACATTTTCGTCGGCCCGCGTCCCAGGAGCGTCGACGAATCGCTGTACAGACTTGAGTTAGAATCGGGTGTCTCATCAGCTGGCAATCCCACTAGTGATTCTCAGACCGGAGTGCTTCCCAACTCCAGCGGCGAGACAGCGAAAAAGATCAAGTGCACCACTGTAGTCTCGAATCTCTTTTACGCCCGATACGTTCGTGGCAACAAGGATACATTTAGCTCCTTCACCATTGGCAGGGCAGTCGATGAACTGAGACAGATGTTAAAGCTCGAACCATCCGATGAGTTCGAGAGAGCTAACCCAGAGCCTAACACGGCTCGAGAGTGTTCTGGTTACCGCAGTAGCGACACGCTGAAGCTTCTTGCTTTTTTAAAGAAGAAGTTGTTCGAAGAAGAGCCTGTCTTGTTGTACAACTATTTCGGCATGCACAGACGCTCCATTGAACTACTCAGGCTGATCCGCGACAAGGAGCACCAGAAATTTACCCAGTATCTCACGTCGGCATATTTGCCAGACGAATCCTGGATCGGCGGTATCATATATCTCATCCATCGCGTTGCGTTAGGCTCGGCTGAATCTACACGTCCGAGACCTACTACATCCGACGAAGCCGAGATAAAGAGTCGAATTGTGATGAGTGCGGGCTGCGTGATGCAGGAATATTTGCAAAAGAATGAGGATGTGGCTTGCAAGGAGCTGAGAGCTTTCTGCAAGAACAAGAAGCCAATTTAAGGTGATGTTGTCCGTGAAAAGAAAAAGTCTGATGGGTGGATTTATTTCTCAGCCCAGGGGGTGTAGCTTCGCCCCAGACGGGAATTCCTATGACTTAGGCCGACTTTATTGTTTCCATGCTAACGATGCTATGGGGCTTTATGATCTTCGGCCTACCATTTACTACAGATGCTTTCGTGACAGATCTTGTTATCATACTTACCTAGGTATTCGTTAGGACTTCAGACTTGCGGTCAATTGCAATTGTTACCCATCATCCGATTTTGCCAATATATAATTTCGTTTCATGTATTCAAGGCTTAATTATCTTCAATGTGAGTGATACCCTGAATCCTCCATACTCATACTAGGTATGTGAAGTTGTCCCGCAGATCGGCATACGTTTCCCGCCAGTCAGTGCTGACGGCATTCTGTCGTATTCACGGGACTCCCAGAGGGCAACATCCAATGGACAATCTCTCTCTCCTGAGACACCCCAGAGATGAAGTATAATCTACGGACTCCGTATACTGTCAGATTTCGATTCGCATATAGATAATGAGCCCACCCACGGCCAAGCAAGCCGACCTCTTTTCGGGCGTGAGAGTGTTCTACCGCGAACAGGGCAATGCCATCAACGCACCAACCATACTTCTACTCCACGGATTTCTCTCTTCATCGCACCAGTTTCGAAACCTCATACCGCTCCTCGCAACCGAATACCGCGTCATCGCCCCAGACCTACCGGGCGCCGGGTTTACCGAAGCACCCTCCAACTTCGTCTATTCATTCGAAAGCCTCACTGCCGCACTCGCGGACTTCCTGGATGTGCTTCACATCAAGAAGTTCACAATGTATATTTTCGACTACGGTGCACCAGTAGGTCTACGACTTGCTCTCCAACGACCGGAAGCCATCCAAGCTATCATCACACAAAATGGAAATGCATATCTGGAAGGGTTCGGGGATATCTGGGAGCCATTGAGGGAATACTGGACCAGCGACGACTCTCTCGAAGACAGGAAGAAGATTGAAGATACGTTGCTCACATTAGAAGCCATCAAGTCCCAGTACGAGCATGGCACCCCGGATGTGAGCCGAGTTCCACTGGAGTCATACTACACCGACCATGCCCTGCTACAGCGTCCCAGGATGAGAGAAATCCAGATCGATCTTCTGATGGACTATCAAAATAATCTTGATCTGTGCGCCGAGTTCCAGGAGTATTTCCGAAAGTCCCAGGTTCCATTGTTCGCGATATGGGGGAAGAACGATGCCATCTTTGGTCCTGCCGGGGCGAAGGCGTTCAAGAGAGATCTCCCCAATGCGGAAATCAGGCTCATCGATGCGGGCCATTTTGCGGTTGAGAGCCATACGGAACTCATTGCCGAGGATATTCTTACGTTCTTACGCGAGAAGAATCTGTGGGAGCTTGATGTGGGCATGGGCGTAATGTGAATTTGTGTTCTCATCGTGATGGATTTCAGTGATCATTGACGTCCCCCGAATACCATGCGACTCAGATGTGTGGCTTCAAAGGTTCTCCTGGAGCTTTCATAACTACTCGACCTTTGGATAGGCTGATGAGCAGCCTTTGAGGACGAAACTTGAACGTGAAGTAATTCAGCATGTTAATCTCCAGTATAACATCCGCCATTGCTCGAAACTCTGAGACGGCAGGGCGTTTTAAATCGTGAAATATACACAATTCGTCTAAATCATGTAGGCACCGCCTGAAACCTGCCAGGTCTGCCCAGTCAACCACTGCGAGTCAGGACTAGCAATCAACGACGCAACTCCAGCAACATCATCCACTTCTCCAGGTCGCCCAAGTGGGGACCACTTGCTCAACGCTTCGTCGATCTGTTTCAGGCTCATTTTATCACCGCCCGGGATATATTTCGCGGACATCTCGGCATACATATCCGTCTTTACACCACCAGCAGCAATGCAGTTGACCGTGATATTGCGGGACCCAAAGTCCACAGCAAGACACTTGGTCATACCCTGCACAGCTGCCTTGGAGGCAGCATATACCGCATGTCGAGGCACGCCCTGTCCAGGATTAGCATGTTGCCTCAATTAATCGGACTCGACTACCCACCTTAACAGCTGAAATCGACGAGGTCAGCATGACTCTTCCATAATCTTCCATGAATCGATACGCTTGCTGCGCGACAAAATACTGTCCCTTGACATTGACTGCAAACACGGCATCGATGTCGCTACCCTTGACCTCGGAGAGATCTCCGAAATGCTCAATCCCCGAGTTACTCACGGCGATATCCAGGCGACCGAATTCGCGATGAGCAGTCTCAAACATCTTCTTTACTTCTTCCTCTTGCGAGACATCGGCCTGGAGTGTGAGGGCGCGGACGCCAAGAGCCCGGACTTGTTCAGCGACTGCCTCGGCGGCGGAGGCATTAGAGACATAGTTGATGACGATGTCGGCGCCCTGCTGAGCAAATTTCAAGGCGATTCCGGCACCGATTCCGCGACTAGAGCCTGTGACTGTTTGATTGGTTAGCAGGGTATAATCTGAGCTGAAGAGGATCAATACCTAGGGCGACTTTGCCCGCGAGAACTTTGCTTGTGGTCATTTCGAGCTAGAGTTGGTGTGAAAAGCCAGATTGGATAGTATAGTTGCGAGATTGATTCCACAAAGGGTCAGTGGGGTAACTGGGAAAGAACGGTGAACGCCTGCATGGTTGATGTACGTCGTCGTATACGGTAGGTCGGGGCGGCTGAGCATCTTTGATCAACTGGGTTTTTCTGGCACACATGCGTTGTGATGCTGGGACAGTTCAGTGAACCTAGAAACATACATCAAGCCCAGAAAGGTCTGCCAGGTGGATCGCAGATGCATCTACAATCAAATATTTGGCACAAGGTGTTGGTAAAAGACTTAACATTCACGAGTACACGATATATACAATCTAGAAACACAACCATCAACGCCAGAATACAAAATCACAAAGACTCGCGAATGAAAGAAGCAAGCTTCGGCGCAAACTCTCCCCTCATCATCGTGAAATGGTTCGCCCCATGCGCCCGCTCAATGCGCGGCGCCGAGCTCGGGAACAGAACTCCCCAGCCATTATCCGAGAAGTCAGTGCGAGCCTCGGTGAGGAATTTCATCCCCTCCGTATCTTCAGGACAAGATGGTGGTCGTGGAATATCCGCGCCATCCATCACGCTATCGCAAGCCCAAATCATCGACACGCGCGGGGTTTGTCCATCCAGCTGCAGGAGTGGAGATGCGTGGTATTCGTGCAGCGTGTCGATGGTGGCATTGAAGTGGGGAACCAGCCACTCCGGTGCCTTGGCTGTCTTGCCATCGTGGCCTCCGAATAGATGCACTTTATTGCAGTAGTCGTAGAAGTGCTGGGGGAGGCGGTCGAGGCCATGAGGAACGGGGCTGTCAATGAGGACTAGACTGGCGACCGTTTCGTGGAACTCTTCCATCATCATCTGCGTGGCGCGGTAGGCGAGAATTCCGCCCGCGGACCAGCCACCGAAGTAATAGGGGCCAGTGGGTTGGCGGCGACGGATCTCAACGATATAACTCTTGATCAAATCGTCGACTGTGCAGTCGAAGAGATGGGGTTGGCGGTGGTAGGGGGAGTTAAGACCCACGACGCACACAGTAGAGTCCACGCGAGGGATTCCTGCGTATGATGTGGCGGAGCCAGCGCCATCAGGGAAGAGGAAAAGTGTCTTGTCAGTCTTGGAGGGCGATCCTTGCAAGACGACGGAGGTGGTCTGTGGTACCGGGGCGCGGGTGGGCTTCTGGATGCTCTCATCCTCCTGGAAGAAGCCTGATGTCTCTGAGGATGGAGTGGCATTATTGCCGTCGATAGAGCTCGGCGACGAAGAAGTTTCATCGCTACTGGGCTGGTCTGACAAGAACAGAACCTTGATCTCGCCCACGGTCGGGTAGTCAGTAAAGATGGACTCGAGTGCAATGTCCATCTCTAGTTCCTCCGAGAATCGACTGACGATGACAAGCGACAACAGCGAGTCAATTCCCATATCCGCAAAGACACAGTCATCCGTAAGCTCGGCAATACTGATTCCACTCTCTTCAGAAATAATGGAAAGCGCGGTTGTCCAATTGACAGAGCTCGAAGCCTGAGGGACCACAGCCTGTGGAAGGGCAATGGTCATAGCAGGGACAGGGGCCACCACAACAGGGAGGACGGTTGATTGCGGAGCTTGGCTGCTTTCATGCTGGCCAAGGTAGGTTCGCAACTCAGCAACGGTCGGGTAGGTGACGAAGAATCCCTCGACAGGCACATCGACAGGCAATTCCTCCCGGAAACGACTGGTGATGACCAGGGAAAGAAGAGAATCGAGGCCCATATCCGCGAAGACACAGGCATCCTCTAGCTCCGCCAGCGCGACTCCGCTCTCCTCCGAAATAATCTTAAGCGCAGAGGCCACAAGAGAGGATGAGCTATTTTTCACAACCGGAATCGACACTGGCACTGAAGCAGGAACCTCTTCAGCACGCTTCATGGACACTGGGGCTGCTGCAACTGCAACGGCTGCTGCGGGCTTTGGTGTCTGCTTTGCAGACCGCACAAGAGCCTGTTTCGCGGAAGCGATGAGGGCTTTGTCGCCGCTCTCCATGGATAGCACATATCGCAAAACATGGCGTGGAACTCCTTGGGACTGTACGTAGTTAGTAATCGTTTATTCCGACTCAAATCCCAAGGGGAAGGGGGGAATAACTTACCACCAGGCCATTATAGGTCGCAACAACCGTGTCTCCATCGAGAACGATCATGTCACCTTCATACATGCGACTCTCTCCTTCAACCATTTTCACGAAAGTGGTGTAATGTGCGTCCGGTCGCAAGGGCTCGTACAATTGCAGACCCTTCCATCCATGATTAACGAAGACCTCCTTGTCCAGATCGGCTTCATCGTTGCAATTCATCACAAACCCACTGGATTGAGCCAAACCATCGAGATAAGATGGATGAGTATGGAACTTTCCAGGGGCTTGTACTTCGGAGAAGCAGACTTTACCAGAAGCCTCAAGAGTATGACTGTTGATGAGCACCTCTTCAATGGTACGGTAGTCCTGGTGGAACTCTGCTAGAGGGCGAATCATCTTGTACACCATGGCGCGGTTGAATCGCTGAGTAGTGCCGGGCTCTAGGCCAGCGCGCATCTCCTGCATTCGCTTCTGAATAGCATTTCTTTCGGCCTCGAGTGCGGCACGACGACTGGGGCTCGCAAGAAGAATGGTGCAATGCGAGTGCTCGATTGTGGGCTCTCCCTTTGACTGTCACGGGGTTAGAAATGCCCAATAGGAATGGTGCAAATACTTTTTTACTTACATCCAGAGAGAGGAATCGACACATGGCGCTGCCGGCCTCCCAGTCAACAGTGGTCGATGCACGGAGGAGCTGTGTGCCACTGGGCTTCGCAATGAGGGCCTTGTGAATAGTCATATCTGCAATCTCAACAACAGATTCGGCATCAGCGACCTGGTGGCGGTCGCGAAGGTAGTTGCCGACTGTCAGAGCAATGTCCGCATAAACCGACTATCAAAAATTAGTACCAAAAGCAGACAATCTCATGGGATTGGAAAACAAACCGGAGTGCAGAGAGGAATTCCATCAACATTATGACCTTGAACAATAGGACTCAAATCCTCGCGGCCCAGATCACATTCCACAACGATGGAGTCCTTGGTTTCTTCCACAAGCCTGTGGACAGTGGTAGACTCACCCAGGCGAGCAGACTGGATGAGTGGCGGATCTCCCTTGCGCAATGACCAGTCATTCACATACTGGATCCAGTAGTCTTTCAGATTCCAGTTGTAAGCGGGCAGGCGAAGGACTTGCTGAGCGGCCGGGAAAGGTCTATGGAATTCATGCCAGGCGATGTCGCGTCCAGCCCGATACAAGCTTGACAACGCCTCGCCCAAGCTTTCCCAGTCATCGCGGCCTCGTTGCAGGGTTGGGACAGCGCTTGTCTGTGATCCCTTCGAGCAGGCCTTGATCAGTCCGGCGACGACTCCATGAGGACCGACTTCGAGGTACTGAGTCTTCTCGGAGATGGTGCCGGCAGCTCGTGCAGACTGCATTGCTTGGTGGAAGTTGACTGTCTCCCGGCAGTGGCGCTGCAGGTATTCCGGTCCAAACACTCCATCCGTTTGGACGACATCTCCCAGCAACGGCGACAAGACAGGGATGGAGGGTGCATTGAACACGACGGGCTGAGCTGCTTGTACCAAATCATCCAGAATAGGCTGCACCTGGGAGGAGTGGTAGGCGTATGAGACAGGGATTGTCTTAGAGCGCACACCGGATTGTGATAGGGTTTGTTGGAGAGCCTCAATCTGGTCATTGGGTCCAGCCAAGACCGTCTCTTCGGGTGCATTGATGCATGCTATCTCGTACTCCATGCCAGCCAAGGTTGATTGGATGGTCTCAACGGAGGCGCGAGCCACCAGCATGCTGTGCGTGTGCAGAGTACAATGCTCCTCAAGGAGCTGCGCTCGCTTGCCAACCAAGAACACAGTATCAGCGTCCGACAGAACACCCGCCACATTCAAAGCAGCATACTCGCCCAGGCTGTGACCAACCACTGCATCGGGAATGACTCCAAATGATGCCCACAGCCGTGCCAGAGCAATTTGAAGGCAAACGCTCGCTAGCTGTGCTGTCATTGGCGAGAATCGCTTCAAGTTGGAGTCGGAATCATCCTCGATGAATGGCAGGAAGCTTTCAAAGCCCAGTGATTGAGCAATGCGGTCAAGGAGCTGCAGACTAGCACGGAATGGCGGCAGAGATCCGTACAGCTGTCGCGCCATACCCACAAATTGACTTCCTTGTCCAGTAAATGCCATGACTACCTTTGGCGCCACAGGAGGTCGATTAGCTCCATCGCCGCGCGAAAGAGCTGATGTCAGTTGCTGTTGAATTTCGACCATGTTGGTGCCCTGCACAATGACGCGGTGTGGGTGATGCATGCGACGAGCAGTTGTCGTGTAGGAGAGGTGCGACAAAGGGGTTTCTTCGCCAGCAGCTTCAATGTACCCCAGAAGTGACTTGACATTTGCTTCGAGAGAAGATGCACATTTGGCGGAAACTGCTAGCAGGTGGTAAGTTCGAGGATCTTCGGATTCCTCATTCTTCACCACTGGCGGTGCGTCTTCCAATAGCAACGCAGTGTTACCACCGGCAGCACTGAAGTTGTTCAGAAGGACTCGACGAGGCTCACCCTGTTGTTGGGTCCAGGGTATGGCCTCTTTCGCGATGCGGACATTGCGGTCGTCTAGATCGGTCGGGAATTTCCGATTGATTCGGGTTTTGATGCCACAGTGAGGAGCAATGGCGTTGTTCTCCATCATCAGCATTACCTTGATCAAACTCGAGACACCAGAGGCGGCCTCTCCGTGGCCGATGTTTGCCTTTGCTGAGCCGAGATACAATGGCTGATCCTCTGTCCGATATGGCACAGAAGGTGGAGCCAAAGTCGACAAGACGGAGTTCATTTCGCCAGCATCACCAGCCTGTGTTCCCGTGCCGTGCATTTCGGCATAGCTAACGCTGTAGGGCGACACTCCGGCCGTGCGGAGCAAGCTCTGAATGAGCTCCTGCTGAGCCCCGGAGTGAGGACGAGTGATGGACTCAGCCTCAGCGGAGTGGTTGGTAGATGCGCTCAAGATTACTCCGCAGATTGGATCGTGGTCGGCCAGGGCATCGTCCAGACGCTTCAAAATCACGGTCCCAACACCCTCTCCACGACAGTATCCGTCAGCGGTGTCGTCGAAAGTCTTGCAGTTACCGGTCCGGGACAAAAAGTGGCCTCGGTCGAGGCCAGCCGTGAAGTCGGGGTTGGTCAGAACATTCGTACCGCCAGCGATGGCTGTGTCAACCTCGCCACGCCACAAAGCATTACAGGCGAGATGAATGGCGGCCAAACTAGATGAACAAGCTGTATCAACTGCGTAGCTAGGACCACTGAATTTGAAACAGTAGTTGAGGCGACCTGGGATGAAGGCGCGGTTACCACCGGGAATGAAGTAGGTGTCAATGTTTTGCGCGGTATTGGTCTCCATCCAGTCGTTGGATGTGACACCATACCAAACACCAACACGATCCTTGGCTGTGGATGGAGTCGCGTTTGGTACCATTCCTGCACGCTCCATAGCCTCGTACGCCGTCATGAGGGCAATGCGCTGAGCCGGGTCCACCTGGGGTGCTTCACGGGGAGAGAGATTGAAGAAACGAGCATCAAACGCCGCTGGATTTTGCAGCCAGCATCCGAAAGGCGTAGCACTAGTATTCTTCCGTGCCTGTCCTGGCTCGGCGACGTGGGTTCGTGCATCCCAGTGCAAAGCTGGCACAACCTCATGCACATCAAGGCCTCGAATGAGCAGATCCCAAAACTCTTCGTTGCACTCGGCGTGAGGGTATCGACCAGAGTAGCCAATGATCGCAATCTTGGAAGAGTCAGGCAGCCCAGTGGGCTCTGGCTTCATGCTGGGTTTAGGAGAAGGTTGATGACGGGTAAGACTGGTTGCAGATTCGATGGCCTCGGCCAACCGAGCCCCAGCGGTACTTCCAAATGCCTGGACGTGGAACTGTGGAGCATCAGGGGAATCAGACGCAGGAAGAGCCGCGATCATTCCATTCACAAGACTCTGCCAGCGCATAGTCTCCAAGAGGATTTGAGCTAGAGCGGATCCGAATCGAGATCGAACATCTGTTTCTTGCACAGGTCGGCCGCTTGTACTAGAGATGAATGAGACATTGGCAGAGATTCTCGTGTCTTCAGTGGGGAAGATGCCCTCCAAAATGGCATCAGAGTCATTCGGAGTGAAGAGAGAAGCCGAATGATAGGGACCAAAGATCGGGATGGTTCGTGGAGAAAGATTAGCAAATTCTGCCGACTTCTGCAGACTTGCTAAGCTAGTAGGGGGGCCGCTGATGGTAACAGCGTGTGGCAGATAAGCACTGATGTAAGGTCGAGCATGGAGTGGTAGATGCTGGACGATATTAGCGATTCCATGTCCTGTCATTGAAACGATATACGAATGACTCACCTGGGTTTCAGTGAACCGATCAATGCGATGCAATATATCGTCTGGGGAGCGGGTGGCCACCACCAAAGACCATGACTCGGTGGTAGATTGATCAATGGTGCGTCCAACCCGCGAGACGTGCAGACCTGTCCGAAAAGCCACTCGGATGGTCTGCGTTCCCAGATCAGGCAGCTGAGAAATCACCTGGCAACAACTCACGGCAGCGGCAGACAATGAGCCGAGGCACAAGCCACCAATGATGGTATTTGAGGTGTTGATGTAGGTGGTGGTAGTGCTTTGAGCTCTGTAAACATGGCATATGGTTAGTATGGGAGACAAAATGACAGCTTCGAAGACAAAGGAGGGACTTGCTCGATAAATTGCGCCAGCTGGTTAATGCAAGTCAAGGCACTGTCTATGGCTGGGTAGGCCTTCTGTTGGCGGGACCTCCAATCCAGGAGACTGGCCACTGTGGGGAAATAGGGATACTGCTGGCGGTCCTGGAGTGGCAGGGAAGCTATTTCTGATCGAAGTCCGCGTACGGCATTGTTGAGGAATGTTTCTAGGAGAGGTGCGCGGTTGGGGGAGAGAAGACGTCTGAGTGAACCGAAGTCCTCGGTTTGATCACCGAACAAGATAATCTGTTGAACGCGCGCCATACTCGGATCTATGTTGAAATTCTTGAGATACGTTATGACACAGTGCATTCACTTCTGTGTGTAAGGCTGTGCCCTTTTAAAGAGACAAGTCTTGGTTAACAATCACCATGTGCCGCGGAAGTCCATGCCCCGAGACGCATGCAAGCCATGCAGCCATGCAAGCAATCAACATCAGTTCTTGGCCCCGATCGGGTCAGCACTGACATCCCTCGGGGATTCAGACTGCGAGGCGCAGGGGGAAGCGATAGAGCAAAGTCGGGTCAGATTTGCATCCTTCGGAATTGCGATGCGCTGTCCGAGCCACAGCTGATTGAAGCCCGGGCGAGCTCCGAGATCCATCCAGCTTCGTCTTTTCAAAAGAAAGCATTTCCTGGATGAAGGGAGCAGCTGCAATACCATGATTTCTTATCTGTATGGGATTGTGACTCGTGCCATGTCTCCACTGATCCACAACAACGGCCTTCCCTCCCCTGTGTCCCAGGATGGCACTGATAACGGCGGCACAAAGCCCGTTGTGAAAGATGATCTCTTGAACGAACTGGCAGGCTCCATTTCGACCAATGCTCAGCTTTTGAGCACGTATTTGCACTCCGAAGGCCATCCAGTTCCTTCTTTCGAGCGGGATGCTGCCCCCAAGGCAGTTCCTGCCTCTGCCCCGGGCGAGGTTCAAGCTGCGCGAGAGGCACTGCTAGATGCATCCATGAAGATGTTCCAGTTAGCATCCGGACCTAGCGAGTACCTGCCAAACTTGGCGGTGCAAGTGCGTTGGCCTCCAATATTCCTCAGAATCCGTCCGATCTTGTTTGGTTGCTGACCATGCTATCATAGTATCAATATCTCTCATGTCTTCATTGGCTGATTCATTTCGGCATCTTGGCTCGAGTTCCCCTCAACGGGTCAATTTCTTATGCCGCCCTGGCAGCAGATGCAGGTGTCCCAGAACGAACACTGAAGACAGTAGCTCGCATGGCAATGACGAGTCACGTCCTGTGTGAGGTTCAGCCTGGCTTCATCGCCCACTCGGCGACATCGGCACAGTTCGTTACTAACCCGAGCATGAACGACTGGGCCGAGTTTATGTGCCAGGGCTCAGTTCCGGCCGCTTTAAGTCTCGTGAAAGCCACCGAGCGATGGCCTACTAGTCAGTCCCGGACTGAAACGGCCTATAATGCCGCGTTTGAGACGGAGCTACCGTTCTTCGACCATCTAGCAACATTGCCCGATCGCACTCGTCAATTTGCAGGTTACATGAAAAACGTGACCAGTAGCGAAGGCACTAAGCTGGACCACTTGCTCAGCGGGTTTGACTGGTCGGGATTGGGAACGGCGCGGGTCGTCGATGTATGCTCCCCTCCCCTAGTAGTCTGACACATGGCGTGGTAACCACTAACACCTCACTAGGTCGGAGGATCCACGGGAAATGCAGGCATAGCGCTCGCCAACTCATTCCCAGAACTAGACGTGACCGTTCAAGATCTCAGTGAGAATGCCGCCGAGGGGGCCGCGACTCTGAAACCCGAGTTGGCGTCACGCGTCCATTTCCAGGCCCACGACTTCTTCCAGCCGCAGCCCATTGTCGGGGCTGACATTTATCTTTTGCGGATGATTCTACACGATTGGGCTACACCGGACGCCGTGCGGATCTTGCAGCAGCTGGTTCCGGCTTTGCGTCGGGGATCGCGTATTGTGATTATGGACTCGGTCTTGCCGCGCCCCGGGTCGGTGGCCCCGACTAAGGAGCGCCTTCTCCGCGTTCGGGATTTGACCATGCTGCAGGTTTTCAATAGCTGCGAGAGAGACTTGGATGACTGGAATCAGGTGTTGAGTCTTGCGGATGAGCGCTTGCGGTTGGTTGATGTTGCTCAACCCCGCGGGAGTGTCATGTCCCTCCTTACTATTAGCCTGGTCGACTGATCTGATAACCTGCACCTCATCTTCCTGAAGCCATGATTAAACGTGAATGAATAAGGTCGACATCTGCCGATTGTTTGAGTACGTTGCGACGGTGTGTCCTCGTGAAAATTAAGTCGCGTAGTTGAGTCTGTACGGCGAGGTAAATGTGCACCCCGCTTAATAATAAAATGTGCTCAAATTTCTCATGAACACTGGAATCTCTCGCGAATTCGAAGTGCGATCGACATATGCACCTAGTTGACGAGTTGAAGCATCGAGCATTCGGTTTCTGACGTTGTGGGCCGTTGTGGCCTGAGTCCTGAGGCCTGAGTGTATGCCTGATTAATCCGGCCACGGAGAAAAACATCCAACTTGACTACTCTTTTTACATCGCGATCACAATTCAAGAAATATCTGTTGGCTCTTGATTCAACCATGAAAAAATACTAAGCTAGATCTTTCACAATCGGATGCACCCACTCCTCGCCCCGACTCATCCCTTTGACCATCAACTCCGCAATCCGCTGCGAAGTCTCCCGGCCCCGAGGTATATCATGACCGCCACCATGATCCCAGAGTGGCGCATCATCACATAAGGCATGCAGCTGCACAGCAGCCGGGAAGCGTGGATCCCGCGATCCGCAAACATGCACCGTGGGAATACGAATGCGCATGTCATCCGGCTTGCAGGTCAAGTCTAGACCAAAGACATCGGACTTGTTGATGTAATGTTCCCGTTGTGCGGCGTGGATCACAGGCAAAGCTCCAGGAGCAGGCGCCCATCGATCACTACCTGCGCCCAGACTACCACCAGCACTCTTGTTCCTGGTCAGCCAGCTATGGTCGGTGTTCTTGGACATCAGCAGGCGGCTAGTTTCCTCGTCCCATTCTCTGGCTTGAGAAGAGATCGGCAAACCCAGGTCCTCGAGTACTGGTAATGGAACACCGCCGCAGATGAAGACCGCTAGTCGAAAAGGCGGCGGTTTACCTGGGCGCATGCGCTCGTGGTAGAGGAGATAGCTGGCGATGAGGCTGCAGCCCTGCGAGAAACAGAGCACGCCATTATATGGACCATCGCGGTCCAGCTTCTCCTGCAGAACCTGATGGGCCTCGCGAATCGCGGGTACTGATTTCCCTTGCCAGAAGCTGTAGTATGGAGGGGAGTAGAAGGGCGCCACATCCGGCGCTGGCTCGGATTCAAATGGCCCGTCAATGAACTCGAATGTGGTCTCTGGGGAGAGAGCTTGCAGTTTCAGGCGGAAAGATGCTTATTGATTAGCCTTGGCTGCCTCAGTGGTGTCCAGCCCTTTCTTACCGGTCTGCGACTTGAAAATGTGGGCGCTGGTTCCGCGACCATGGAGGCAAAGGAAGCGCATGGTGGATGATCTAACACTACATTATCACAAGACTTCAATATGAATCCAATCATATAATTGGAATTCAGTCGGACGAGCACTCGGGGATGAGATCGGGGCGTACTACGAGATCCGGCCAAAGCCCTACTTGTGCTGACCCGATGAAACGTCGGGCCCCGGAAGTATGCACCATGCAGAACACTTCACATTTGCATGCTTCTAATATGTCAAGAGGGTAACTAGGGCCGACGGAAATCCTGGCCGTGCATGATCGGGCTCATTTTCTCCACCATCAACGTCCTCGCCTTGGCTTTACCCACCAATGCGCTCGGCACGCGCCAGCCTCCGAGTTCCCCGACGCCCCCATCTCGCCCCACAGCGACAAACTGCGTTAGCGACCCCTTTTGCCGATAAGCCCTGGTCCGACGACCAAAGATCGATTCCCACCAGCTTTGGCCCCGACGGGACGCCTCGGGGTTGATTGCAAGTTCGTCGTCCCGAATACTATCAGCGAGGGGTCGGACAGGCTCAACGGCGTCGAAGAAGCTCCCGTTCGTGAAAGAAGTAACAGATCCCAATGCGTAAACTCCGGCTGCATCGTCTACGCGGAGACTAGACTGCTCGGTCTTGACAAAGCCTTTTGTATCGAGCCAGGCCGACGGCAAAAATGCAGTGTTAGGCGCACACCCAGTGGCATCAATATAGACATCGACTGTTCGGGTAGATTGATCACTCAAGGTGATATCCCAAGACTTCGGACCTTGTTCTCTCTGGATCGCCGAAGTGACCCGAAGCCCATGATTGACGACGATGCCCATCTGACCAAGCATGGTCTCAGCTGTGGCGGAGGTCCCGGGGCTGGCGTGAGATAGCAGCCGGTCATTGCCCGATAGGATGGTGATAGATTTCTTTGGGCCGGACCAGCGATTGCTCATCGCCCCGAGCTCTCCCGCCGTTTCGACACCTGTCGGGCCTCCGCCTGCCACTAGGATCGATTCGGCATCGCGCAAGCAATCTTGCATATGTTGGAGCTCCTGCTTTGTCTGGGTGTGTGGGCCCTTCAGGCAGAATAATGGGCTGTGAGAGGATGTCCCAGTGGCGATGACCAGGGCATCATACTCGACAGGGGTGTTCTCATTGATTTTCGGCGACTGAAGATGAATTATGCGAGCTTTCTCGTCGATAGAAGTTGCCTCTGCCTGGACAAAGGTAAACTGCAATGCAGAGTATTCTTGGAAACCGTCTGCAATTGCAATAAACGGCTCGGTGTCGTTCGGATCCGAGTCTGCCAGGGCCCGTGGGGCAGAGAGTTTCCAGTAGAAATGAGATGAGGGCGAAACGAGTGTGAGATGATACGGCTGTCCCAGACGCTCAGTAAGCGCTGGTAGAGTGTGCCGTAAGAGGTAGTGTGCAAGGGATATTCCAGCTACTCCTCCACCCACAACGACGATCTTCCGGGGGGCAGTCTCAGCCATGATGAAAGAAAATATTGAGGCTCGGTGCGTTTGAGCTTCGAATCCTTTGCCTTTTTATTCTATATGAATTAGATCTCTTAAGTAAATTATCGTCGGACTTGTCTACGGGGACGATCCCCGACCTCCGAATCAGAATCCCGACAGGTTGAAGCGCACCACTCCAGTTGGACGTGTTGGAAAATTCAGACTCGCGTATTCCATTCTAACAATATGTACCAATCAACCAATACTACGTCCTAGATCCCAAGGCCGATCCCGTGCCCTATTACCACTTCTTGGTCTCGTTCTTCAGGCGCAACTCCTCGGTAACCTTGAGGATAGCTTCCTCGGCCCCATCCCACTTCTTGCGCTTTCCCTCAAACAGCCGATAATGGAAAGGCAGAAGTAGGCCATCCATAAGCACGTTGCACAGAGACCGATTTGACAGCCAAAACCACCATCCTTGCATTCCATATCCGAGGTTTTCCTTCATTCCAAGTCCCGCAGTCTCCTCAACCCAATCCAGCCAGTCCGCGCCCTTGACAAGGCCTGGCGTCACGGCTCCCTTAGTGGCCAGATCGGCAATCCACTGGTGTTGCTTGTCGACTGCTTTGATCATCTCCTCGTGTGGTGGGAGAGGAGACCGCCCTGACCAGACTTGGCCGAGAGCCATTGTAGCTAAATCGAACATGAGGAACGCCGGGTTCATGAACGAAAGATTACCCATGAATGCCAAAGACTCCGGATGCTCGAGAGATAGGAGATTCTGGTACAGTCGTGGAATCTTGCGCCCGTTCGCACTTCGGAGTCTGGAGTCTTGGTAGATTGTAGGGTCACTTTTACCCAGAATGGAGTAGTCGACCGTGTATCCGGTGCACCAAATAATGGCATCGACATCAGCAGTCGTGCCGTCCGTAAACTCGATTCGTTGATCATTGACGATCTGTTGAATAGGTGGTTTGGAGGTGATCTGCTCGCGGGAAAGGAGATCGACCAGGTAATCACTGATGATGGGACGCGCCTGGTTCACTGATGGTGCTGGATCGAATCCCCATTCGGGCTTGAGGTCGTAGAGCCTGTCTCTGAGGCCAAGGATTACCTTGTTCATCAGCTTGGTCCAGATACCGGGCGCATAGCGAGATAGTTGTTCGAGAAACACGCCCTTGCGATAGGTTCGGATATGATCCACGGGCTTATTGTCGACCCATCGGGGGAGCTGAACATCATGATCAGTCGCTGTGATAAATATCTTCATGTTATTGACTGGGTGTCCTTTTTCTTACCACAATGCTGCCATTTCGATGAGACAAGTAGACCTTCTCTGCTGTTCCTGCCAGTTCGCACGCCACATCCGCAGCAGTGTTTCCAAAGCCGACAACCAGTACTCGTTTACCAGTCCATTCCTCCGGTCTATATTGTCAGAAATGCCGACTTGAAAACAGATTGGGAGATTATCATACCTCTTGAAAGCAATAGAGTGCACTGCCTCGCCACCGAATAGATCGATTCCTGGAACGGAGGGAATATTGGGAATCTGATCAGGACCCATAGAGTAAACAACCTTGTCAAAAGTGCGAACTACCTTCGCTTCTCCAGCCGTGGATGTTTCAATCTCCCAGAGACCTGTGTCGGGATTCCACTCCGCACGATGAACAACCGTGTTGAGCTGAGCCCGTGGCAAGATGCCGAAATGCTTAGCATACGACACTAGATAGCGATGCATGTCTGCTGCTGGTGGAAAGTCCGGTGTTTCTGTTTCACGGTTAAGGTTAAGGTCTCGTCAATATTTTCTCTTTCGTTTGGACACTGGTAGAGCTTACCATCTGGGAACGGAAAATCCGTGAAGCACCCCTGGAGCATAAGTTCAGCGAGAGCGCACTCATTTCGAACCGAAAATACTTACTCGATGCTTTGATCCGTTTGCAACGGTGCCTGTCTGATACTTTAGCAGTCATTCAAAAACACATGGCGTGAAATACATCGATAACGCACTGTGAAGAACGGAAATGGCATCTTTTTGCTCATTGTAATTCCACAAACCACCAACATATGAGTGTTTGTCAAAGCCCACAACATCGAACCCTACTTCGAGCAGGTTTTTCATGGCAACCAGTCCTAGGGCACCTTCACAGCACCGAAACGCTTGTTAGATTACCGCGTGGGCTCGATTTTATCATCATTTCAGCAACCTACCTAGCCCAATGACCGCCACTGAAGGGGTCTTATCGCCCATTGAATTCTGTTCCGTCATTCTGTCTGTGAGCATAAAATCTGCGAGGTCGGAAATTTTCAAAAACAAAATTATAGAAAAATCCTCACCAGCATTCGTGGGATAGGGAAACTAAAATCAATAAGCTACGGAGCATTTTTGAGGCGTTCAGTATTCAGCGAGCCCGAGGATAAGCATCATAGTATTCATGGACACCGATGGTCTGACATGTTACGCTCGGCGCTACAGAGTAAGACCGGCCTTCGGGGCTCGGGCTGTACTTCGGGGGCTGTTCGGGGATAGCGCCGAGATCTCAGCCAATCCCAGGTGCCCATTTGAGTCGAAGAGCAACCTTGGAAGTTCTACGATCAGGACATGTACGCTCCGTTCTAGCTAGTAGTAAGAATACGCTGTGCGTGCTCCAAGATTTATCTCGATGCCTGTTTCCAAGGTTCTTTCAAAGCTCTTAGTTAAGCGGCATTTTTTGAGGAAATTTAGGAACAGACTAAGCCTAAGGCAGGATCTTGCTTGAATGTAGAATTGGGTCATTGGAAATATTATTTACACGTTCATTTCGTATTGCTTAATATAATGATAATAAAAACAAATTTCTATCGCCAGTTGCCTTCAAGGTTGGGAGTGTAGCCTCACCCAGTTGACTTGATTGTCTCAAGGAACCCAATCATTTTGCCCACCACGGAGTTCCAAACTTCTGAATACTGAACCGACTCGGCCGCCTCTATCTCAGTCTGCTTCGTGGGGGGATTTGTGTCTTGGTCCGTTTGGGACTGCGTGGAAGGGAGGTATATCCCAGGCCGAGGGACCGGCTGCCCAGGCACCAACCCCTTTTGTTTGGGGGCGTACTCCGGGGGGATCTCGGGCCACGCATCAACACCATCCAACAAAGCAACTGCCATACCACCAGCCAAATGTGTCTCGATATGACAATGGAACAGCCAGGGCCCAGGATTGATAGAATGGTATCGTAACACAAGCCACGAAGGGCCATCAAACGAAGTGACGAATGTATCGCGATAGTTCGGGTTTTCGAGATTGAAGCGATGCGGTTCTGCCGTGATCGCTTCGTCAACTGTGGTGTAGTTCCAGATACCCTCGCCCGCTCCGACCTGCCACATCTTCCCAGTGTGCTTGTGCATCATGTGCGGGAACTCCTGGGGCTGACCGGGCTGTGAGCCAACCTGGACAACGAGATCGACCCACGACCCATTCCGAGTGCGGACGATCAAGCCCTCGTCCAACGCGTCTGGCTGGTTGATGTCGTAGAGAAGAGGTGAGTATGCACTGCGATCCTCTTGCCACATTCCGCCGCCACTGAGAGTGTACTGCCACGGGCTCATCCATCGGTGGGTATGAAGGACGAAATGCTCATCTGAGCGAGCGGCGGGCTTGGTCGGGGGGAACGGAGGTAGATGTTCACGGTCTAGTGTGACGACATCTGTGCTATTGAGCCCACCGTAGTTGATGAGTGCGTGGTCTTCAGAGCGAGTCCCCGGGCTGCCTGCGTAGCGGAGTGTGGCGAAAGATGAGATGACTTGGGTTAGACCACTGTCGGCTATGCGTATCGTATAGTCTTTGGGTTCCTTGTCTAGCTGGATCATGACCGCGTACCGCTCGCCTGCGTACATCTTGACCGTGTCGACTTTTTGTGGCTCGATGCGATGCCCATCGACCTCATACACCCACATAGGGTGCTCGTCAATTGTGAATATGGTCGTTTTGAAGGTGGCGGCGCCGATAAAGTTGAGACTTGCCCATTTGGATGCCGCATCGACGTAAATGGTTTCTGAATCACCGGTGGCAGGGACGCATCCTTTTTGAAGATGTAGTGGGATCGTCTCCGGTTTTCCTTGATTGAGATAAAGACCTTCTGTCGATTTCATGAATGGGAAGCATCTAGAAATTATCAGCAAATTTCCCAAAAGGTATCATCGGCTGAAAGGAAATACTGACCCCTTATCATTGACATGATTCGGATACAGTGCCCACTTCATATAGTTGCTTGTGTGGTTGACGAGGTATTCTTCTCCGGGACAATAAATGCTGCCTTTGCCGTTGATCAAGATACTATCCACGCAGCTACATCGAAGGTCAGTCCATCATCTCATCGACAGGAGTAGGGATATGCATACAATATCGCGTATCCGGAGGACTCTTCAGCCTCCATGTAGTTCCAAGACTTGAAATGCGTCCAGTCTGACACGAGTATCGGGCTGGGGTCACTGGCTGCCTTGGCCATTGCTTGGATGTGCGACTTGTCGTTGGATATCAAGCTCCATGGGGCTGGAGTGTCTGGGCTCGGTCTTCATCCACTTCAGCATTGGATCGTGATGCTTTGTTCCAAAATACTCACCGGATAAAGATTCCCCCATACAAACCATCCAGCAAAGTTGTTCTCGAATGGGCATGGTACCTGCATTTCTTTAGCTTGGAAGAATGATTTATTCCCATTTCCATGCATCTTACCAATGAGTCCCACTGGGACTCGCCTTGAAGCGATATATGAAAATCTCATCGGGCTCGATGGGGAGCTGAGTCGCGCCGGGCGCACCATCCGACCAAGGCGTTCCTAGCATCCTAACAAATCAGCTCAAGGCCATGATACCGCACCAAGCGACTTACTCCAATCCATGCCAGTGTATGCTCGAGTTGAACGGCATTCGATTGTGGACTATGACCTGGATCGGGTATTAACAGAATTCGTCAAGTGAAATAATTTCTGATTTACCTCGATGTCGTCGCCTTCATCCCATGCAAAATGAGGACCAGGAAACCCATCATTCATCTTGATCATTTCTCTGACCTGGCCATTTGGAGCTCCCAGATCCCAGGTCAAGGTGATCTCTTCTCGGACAAGCTTTGCCGCAATGAGACTGGGCAGCAGGAATGCCCACAAGGCTCTCCAAACACCATGACGGGCCATGATCGCTACATACGCCAATAATTCAACTGGTCAAACAAATTTCAAAGTGTATGAGCGGCATTATGGCCTTATAATTCGATTTGCGCGCTCGCTCGCCGGAACCCCGACGTTCGGATGGAGATCGGGCGCCCTACAGACAACCCCGAGTAAGCCCCGAGGGGATTACATGGCAATGCTCGCCGACAGATAAACAAACAGATGCTCTTTAGTTTTGGAAGATGATCCAAGAGCCAAAATGAAGCCCTTTGCCAAACGAGTCATTTTCCAGGCATCGCGGGTGACCCTCGTCGTCGTAACAGTTTCCCTCGCTGTTCAGACATACTTGGCGGGCTGGAAAAAGCCACAGCCTGTGGGTATCGACTCTCGGCCAATATTTGACGAAAAAGCAGCTCCCCAGAGTCTCTGGGATGAGATCCAGCAGAATGCGAACTTGACTAAATTCGCCAAACTGGTGGGAGAATTCGACGACATTGTTGGTGGTCTTCGAGCACCCAGAGCCCAACTCACCGTCTATGCGCCTACCAATGAAGCCTTTGAGCACGAACATTTCCCCTACGATCTGCCATGGTTCTACTGGAAATTCCTAGTCGGATACCACATGGGCAAAGGAGGTATCTCCTCAGAGGCATTGCGCAGCCAAAACACCGTTTCATCGTTCGTCAATGCCGACATCTTCTTCAAGAACCAGCAGCGAATCAGCGTGCAGAACAATGTCGACGGAATCACTTTCAACTTCCGCGCGAAGCTGCTCGGATCACAGCCAGCCGTCAACGGCCATCTTCATGTCGTCGATCGACTTCTGATGCTGCCGGACTCAACTGCTGATGTTTTGCGATCCACGGCCACATTCGGGATCTTCCGCCAGGGACTCATTGACACCGGCCTTGCAGAAGTGATCAATGATACATCAACACATACGGCACAGACTGTATTCGCGCCGTCCGACGCCGCATTCCGCAAACTAGGCCGAAAGGTCAATGCTTTTCTTTTCGGCCCTGGTGGGCGCGCATACCTCAAAGCTTTGCTTTCGTACCATGTCGTCTCGAACGAGACGTTGTTCTCTGATGTTCTATTTCCCACGAAGAATGGGGAGCAGATTGTTCTTGATCTCAAGTCTGCCTCGAATGATGTTTCGCTCTCTACTCTGGCTCGTGGTCATGAGGTTTCTGTCCGCTCGGTTCGACACACTAGTGGTGATCGCCGGGTACTTTCGGTCAATGATGAGTGGGAGGTGAGTCGGCCGGATATTGTGGTTATGGATGGTGTGGTTCATGAGATGGCTGATGTGATATTGCCGCGGATTATGGACGGGGAGGATCAGTTGGAGAAACAGCGTGGTTGGTGGTCGATTGTGTCTCGTTCTTTGAATGTCGGGGGAATTACAGTAGAAGATCTTATGGAGCGGCTTCAGCCACTGATCGAAAACGAGTGATTCAGATTTGTTATTTGTTTTTCATGATTACTATGATTGCGTCAGTGAGATAACTTAATGGCATCAATGTTTGACAAACATCAGCAGACTTAAAAGCCACCGAGATCAGGATCAACTTCTTACAACTACAACACCCACCCAGGAGCCTAGCTTAGTCCGCAGGAACAATTGAGCGTGCCTTGGAACCCCAAAAGGTCTGCAGAACCTGGCAGATACATTTTGGCTTCATCATTCTCTTCTACATCAACCAACGCAAGCCAAGCTCGGCCAGGACTCTCGGCCCTCAAAGCCGCCCATCCAGGCTCATGGCATCCTCTTAAGGCGCAAGTGGACGACTTCTTTAAGAGTCCCGCATTCCATCTGTGAGCAACTTCCGAAGAGTCTGGAAAGAAAACGAAGGAGGGGAAACAAGGCTGACTTCTGTACTAAATCCATAGAGCGGCTCCAGAGCCACAGGTATCAAAGGGCCCAAAATCTGCCAGCTCAACTTCACTTTTGTCAGACCACCTAATATCGTCTTCCTTGTATCACACTTCATGCTTTTATGTGTGCCTGTGTCTCTCAGAGAGTCATGGCTGTGACTCGGTAAAGGTGTACAGAGGCTCAAACCGCCATGGTATGTCCCTTCCAATCCACATTCAACTTCACTTCCTTACATCTCCAGGGCTACGCGCACTTTTTCGCTACCCATAAATGAGACTCCTTCCACGTAGCCCTCTTGTTCTTCTCTCAACCAACTGTTAAATCGATCTACATGTGCTCACTCGCCTAATGCTTATCGCCCGGTGAAGATGCCATGAGCCCTTCGTCGGGAAATGACCATTCTGACCTTCCTCGCCAATCAATACTTGAATTTGAAGTGTTACCCTCCTGTCAACCACAAGAAGCTGGCATGCTACCCACAGTCATCGAAGAAGAAGAATGAGAATCTCCTCGGCCCAAACAATCTCGCTCGTGGTTTCGGTGTCTCGAAGAACCCCGGTGTGAAGCTAATATTCAATGACGCCTTCCTGTCCTCTATCGCGTCGGAGGTCGCATATTTCAGCTTCGTGAATCTATGTCCATGCCTCGGTCGCAATGGCCGCGGCTCTGTCATCTCGATGGGGCGACTCTTCAAGTTCATCATCTCCACTTCGACAAAACCTCATTTCACCATGCAGGCCAGGCAGAATCTCAATCAAATCTGCCATATTCAAACCTGTCACACTTGCTTCTTTCCTTCTGACCACCGGAGTTGAGCGCACTTCGGAAGCACCGGAGAGTCAAAGGGTGACCTTGCTTCTTAAGTTCTACGAACCGAGATCCCAAACGATAAGTCCAGTGTCTCTTTAAACAGAAGAGAAGAGGAAATTATGTGGTCAAGTTTGGTGCACAAGCCCGAGTCAAGAAACGAGAGGAATACAGGACAAATGAGAGCATAAACGCAAGTTTCTCGATAGCCCCAATTTGTCTTTTTCTTCCCTTTCTCCTTCGAGTTTAATGGCCACAAACAGCCTTCTAGGAGATTCAGTTCCTTGTCTCCCCCGAAAGGATTGTTTGTGGTCGATGAGCTTGGAGTGGTAAGTGAAGAGAGAGGAAAATTGGGGTCCTCGAGAAACGTGCCTTTCTGCTTCCCTTCATCCTGTGTTCCCCTCGTTTTTTGCCTAGGAACGTCCAACGAATTTGTCTAACATGTTTGCCGTGCGGCCTTATATGACCTGGTTCCATGACCGCTTTCCTTCGATTACAATTTTGACAGAACTCAGAGCTTTCTTGTTCAACAACGCGTCATGCTCAACGAAATCACCTGTTATGAATGACGGGAATACCTGGGTGCGAGTTTGGGTTACTAGAGTGAAACTGAATGCTCCGGTAATCAAAGTGAAACCAGCGTGAGAATCCGGATTTGATGAGCAACCACATTTGGGATCAACTTGGAAGGAAAGTCAGGATGGGGATGAGTACCTAGTATATACCGTCTTTGATAATTGATTACATCTGTCAGGCAATCTTCTTAGTATACTGTTTATCAGAGGCGGATATAAAATCATAGAAAGAAACCTTCTTTCTTTCCCCATCTTTGTTATTTTGAATCGATGCAGTCTTCTGCAAAGATCTGGCCAGCAGATCATAGCAAGAAACTTTCTCTCTTTCCCTATATTTGTTATTCTGAATCGATGCAGTCTTCTGCAAAAATCTGGCCAGCGTCTCGTTAACTACACTATGCTGGAATACAACTACTACTAAAGCTATTACACTCTTCAAGAGGTCACTACCGAGCACCATACAGAGGTATGAATAGCATCTTACTACTGGGCTATCAGTTCATTGAAGGATCACATCCCGAGAAGCCTCCGCTACTGGGCTATTGAAGATATATTCCATGATGCGCGAACCAAAGGGCCAAAATAGTGAGTGATATACCTTATATCTCCATGGCTCATACTTATCTATAACCCACCCGCAAGTCACGGCCTCGCTCGCTGAGCTTCCTTCTCACTTGCTACACAGTCATCATCATGGGATGAGATAAGATTGGTATTGATGGGGATACAAAGTGAGTACATAGTGAGACGTTCTCAATTCTTACTTCAGATTCCAAGGTTCAGGAACTTTCTAACTCATCATTATTACTGGGCAGATTAGATTCTGCCCTATCTCCGGCGCGCTAAGCTATCTTCACTTACTGTCACCCCGTCTCCAGGCGTGCCTCACTGAATTGACTCTGATCTTACTCTTCTTACTCTTCCTAAACACCACTATGACGTCCACGGCCAAAGATCTCATGCCTGGCGGACTCTGCCTGCCGACAGCAGCGCCAGACACCCTGGCCAAGCTGCACAACTATGCAAAAGCCGCAGAACGCCGATACAAGCTTTTTCAAAGCCATACCCAAGTGGATTATGCGGACGATTTGAGGTCGAAAGAATCATAGCCAAGCAAATGGCACATGCCCGCGGTCGCCCGCGCGCTGACGGATCGCGGAGAAGCTGGGTAGAATATCTTGTCCGTTGGGCGGGACGTGGCCCAATCGATGACATGTGGCTGCCGGTAGAGAACCTTGCCGGAGCAGAAGAAATAGTAACGGAGTTTGAACAACACCATGCCGACGAGCAGGCCTTTCAATCCTCCTGGCCGGCACCTTAATCATCTACCCCAACTCCCGAGGTCTGCACTCTTATCTGCTCCAACTCTTCAGTACTCTTCTCTACTCTAACTCTTCAACTTCTCTCACTTCAAGGCCAGCTCTTCGATCATCTGCTCCAACGCTTCATTCTTCTCACTTCACAATCACTTCGTCAGTCACCACTTCAGCAGAGCCCCGCCGGGAGCCTCAAGCCTCACAGACGGCGCCGTTTGCACATCCGAATGGGTCGTCCCCGTCTGCTCTGGCATTACGATTCCCATCAATGAAGTCAAGGCAGGAGTCAGACTATCAGATCAACTGGTCTGGCTCAGGTGGCCATGTTTGCAGACCAGAGTGGGCCTGCCCTCTCAGGCACCTAGTAGTTCTGGTTCCAGTTCGCTCTTTCTTCTTCTCTCTCCCCCAACGAAGTTGCAAGGATTTTTCCTCATTCCTACCACCTAGGTAGTAGGCTCTCACGAGGCCGTGACAGCTGCCAATCTCAAACATGGAGAGGCAAACAGGTTGGTCATTATTTATATATCGTAAGTTGACTTTACTAACAAACCCTTAGACTGAACTCATGGACACAATGCTGGCCGCCGAAAATGTCAATACCCAGTACAGCATCCATTCGAGCCAGATGGAATACTGGGCCGGCCTTCGTGACCCGCGCAGTATGAAAGCAATTTCTCGCAAATGGGCGCTTCATGGAAATGTTACGCCTTCGCCTTCGAAGGAAGATGTCTTCCAAATCCCCGCCATTTGAAGAGAATCGATGCTTTCCTGAGTCCTCTCCAGTGAAGAAATGGGATCTCAATCGCTCCATGTTTACTTTCGGGCCCCGGCGGCCTCGGGGCCTTGCACAGTTTCCTCATTGCCTTTTTCGGCAGAGCAGAAACTCTCTAAGCTGTCTGTTCAGTCTCCGTTTCAAGGTTTTCCAGTCGAACGGCATGACGTTCGACGGTCTTGGTGGATATCTGGGATCTCATGTCCCTCTACACAACAAAGGTTGAGGCTCGTGAAGATAGAGGTGACCGCAAAAGACAAAGGATGTAGTGACGGCCAACGTCACAGAGGGGAAATTTGCGTGAAGAACAAACTGGAACACTATGGAGATAATGCTGCAATCAAGCAGACTCTTCACAAGTCTTTCGAGTCAAAACGAGTTCGTTTTCATTGTGGGACACAAAGGCTTCAAGCTTGAAGCTTTCAACCAACCCGCCCACGAATGGGCCGAGCCTCCCATCGACACAATTCCTCACACCTGCATTAGGTGTCGAGATGCCTTTTCTTTTCAAAAAGATGGCAATCCGGACTCCAACGACCTCGGAAGGGCTTCTTCCGGAAAGGTGCGAGTCACGCGAATTGCTTGCACCTGCCATGAACGACTCGTCATGACAAGTGTGGTGGGTAGCTACCGGCTAGGCTAGCGTCATCGATTCGAGTTGCTCGCCATGCTGAAGTGGGTAGAGCCTGTCTTCAGACCTACGTTGGTCCCGCAGGAGGCGGGCTATGAAGGACCACGCGTCCGAGAATTGCTCGTGAGTGTGCAATCACGAGCAAGGGTAGCTGGGATGATGGAGGTCTTGGCCCGCAGCTTCGATTTCCTGGTCTGTGGTTATGTTTCTGATGGAGCAGGGGCCTCGCCGATTATTGTATGTACGGAATGTGGCCAAGGAGATAACTGCTGACAGAGACGTCAATAGGAACAGAACTCTTTGAGGTCCCAGGCGTTCATCTCTCGATACCGAACATATCTCCAACCAATGGAGCTATCTCCAGACTTGGATATTGGGCAATTGGCGTTGGTTGCGGAGCAGAGAAGTGGTCTTGATGCAGGGGACGAAGATCAAAGCTTCAAATCCAAACGATATTGAAGTTTGATTCTCGAGGTTTCTGAAATACCCTGGAGAGCTGGCAGGGCCTCAAGAAGATATTACAGGAACTGTTCAAGAGTTACAGGAGTACTCAATATGAGACCCCAGTCTGAAGAATGAGCCTCTCCAGCTTCTGGAGAGTCGTCAGGACCTGTGGGTGGCTTGCATTCCATAGCAACAAGAGCCAAAGCCGACAGATGCCAAAAGATCCGAACACGTGGCTTAGTGCTGCTGTTGCTGTGGTCATTCATGGAGTACATACTGCAAAAATCCTGCAACGAACAGCTCCCTTGTCGTGGGAAAACAACATCGCAGGATCAATACCCTGCCGTGCAACATGTCCAAATCTGACGCTGGCAGTAAGTCTTGTGAGTAGAGTTCACCATTGTGATCAGTCTATTAACACAATATCTAGTTTGGCTCAGGTGCTGGCACATCGATTGCTTCGGCCAAGGCCCCAGGAGCTACCGAGGTCTTCTTCGATTTCGAGAGGATTTAACCGTTACACTTAGTCTTTCCTCTTCCACGAACAGCTCTTATCGCTGATTCCTCTGGAAGCCTTTCAGAAAATCATTAGTGCCGAGCTCTGGCTACCCACAATCTATCCGCTGGCCCGCATTGTGCAGCGACCTGCTATCTGATGGTCACACCTCCTCAAGTACCTCACGATGGAGGACTCTTTATCATCATCAACCAAGGAAGCCGCCGCCTGACGAGAAATCCTGCCTTCCCAAGACTTCGGACATTCCGTCGACCTGGCGATACACAAGACATACATTTTACAGCTGCTACCATCAATTGGTACGCACACCCGAGTATGAAGGTGGGAATTGCTCTCCGAGGAAGATCCCATGCTTTCGCTGAGTGATCCTCCGGCAATTCAATCCAGGCCGGCTCCTCCAGCAAGGCTCGGAGAAGGATCTCTGCACTTCCAGGGCTGCCCTGAAGTCATACTGAATTTCAAGGAAAGTGTCTTCCGTCATTTGGAAGCACTGATTCTAGAGTCGGAGGAGACCGATCGGCAATACATGTTGCCGGTTTCTCGCCTGTGTCGTACACAGGTTGAGATCTTCATCCCGCGGGCTCATGTCTTCAAGAGGTCCGGCTATTCCATAGCCAGCAATGCCGATTTGCGGGCTTTGTAGTCCGCGTCTTGAGAGACATCGGCCGCGTTGATGATCGGCTTCCTAGTACCGCTTCGACCTAGGTATATGTGCGTGCTGGTCCACACGCTCAGCCTAAGGTCAGGCATCCCTTTCACTTTCACTCTTACTTTGGTTTCACTAGTCATCTCTTACTACAGCCATCCAGTCAAGTTGATGGGCTTCTTGGACGGCTTATGCATCTGCCAGGATGTTGGCAAATATTTCCATCCCTCGCTCCTCATTCCAGATTCCAGGATCTCCTCTTTAAGGATCCCAATTCCAAGATCGAAGAGGACGAAAGAGAATGCGATGATGGGATGCGCAAGGCCGCCGTATTGATGGCTCACATCAATTCTGGCTCATCACCTGTCTTGATTTTCTGGCAGTTTGCATCCTGGGATACCCTCACGTCCCAGCCATCCCCCAATGATCGAGTAGGCCAACTACTCGGAGGCCTTGGGTGAGCATTTCGTAGGACTGCCATGTCGTTTCCCAAAGCAGGGATGCCGCTGGTCTCTAAGTGCTTCAGCATACTCTCAACCTGAATCCTCGTCGCCGCAAATCTGTCATTGGGGTTCGAGTTACCCTTGTTAATGGAAGCACTGAGTTGCGCGCTGCATCCGATGTGCCTCTGGTTCGTCATGTTTTCTTTCCGAACCGTCAGGTCCACTTCACTCTCCTCATGGACAAAGAAAGCTTTGATGGCCAGCTGCGAACAGAACTACGTGCCATGCGCAGGTATTGAGGAAAGTCCAGGAATTCACTGACCCTGGCTCTACTCTTCGCCTTGTTTGAAATCACTGACAGAGAAAAGTCTTCAAGCATATCCCGCCGTGGCATACGAAATTTCGATGATCCATCGAATGGAGCCTCAAAAGGCCCTGCAACCATGCCTCGCATGTGAGGGCGTTACATCTGGCAAAATGGGGAAGTCCGCGATTGCAGAAGAGAATGCAGAAGACCTTGACGTCGGTTGCAAAGACAACCAGATCTTGACAGCGAAACGGGTTCCTGGCCTTGAGGATTCATTTCGAGAAGTTGCTCGATACCGGAGTCATGAAGATACTGAGAGGTCAGCGAGGCAAAATATATGGTCCAACAGCGAGATGGCCGAACAGTTCCAATGGAGTGACCTGAGCTCCAATACGAATGATTTGGTGTTCGGCGACAGAGGCAGAGAGGTTGAAAGTTCTGTCTTCACCAAATCGAAGCCTGGCTGTTCCCATTTTTTATCTTCGACCTGCTGTGTCTACAACAGATCAATTCATGTGCAGGGCTTGGTCGATTCAGTGAATCCTGAACTGTGCGAATACAAGCACGCTTCGATGTCGCCGATACTACTGAAGTTGAGCGCTCAATCCGAGTCTGTGCGAAAGGCTTCGCACGAAGAAGATGGTAAGAGGAATATGGAAACTAGCCTGTCCAAATTCCAAATAGTCTTCTGCAGGAATCACCGACACTGCAGTTTTTTTGGCATGTGGGTTCGTCGGGCTTCGACCTATCCGACATGGTATTCGCACGGAGAAGATGGTAAGAGGAGTACGGGACCAGCTTCGTGAAATCAGAGGAGCTGCTCCATGAATTGCCGACAATGCAATTTAGTCGGCATGTGGGTTCGTCGGTCTTCGACCTATCCTCCATCGCGTCGTGTGTGTGAAAGAGAAAGAGTTGGAGAAACTCCAGTTATGTTTGTCCTCTCGACTCCTCCCCTCCTCTTAGATGGGTGGGTCGTTTCCCAGGTTTATGGGAGGGCATCCGAAGGGCAGTATGACGAGGAGCCGCTGTCATTCTGCGGAGATCTGAGGAGCTAGACATGCTTCGAACCTCTTGATCTCGCACAATTGTGCCCAAGTGCCGGCTTTGGGCACTATGGTCATCTGCTCGAGATGCGGCCTCATGGCGGTCATCTGGGAGGCTCTTGGGCTATCGTAATTCTTCCAGATAGGAGTGAAGACCATGAACAGATTGAATCTTTTTTCATGCAGCATCCGATTGGCTCTCCTTATGCAGTGAGCTTGATACAGTGCAATTCGTTGTCCATGGGCTGATTAAAGTATTCATGTTTGCCCGTACAATTGCTGGCATCAGCACTAAAACTGATACCTAGGTAGGTCTCGATTTTATCTTCATTTCTTAGGTCCTATGTTCCGTAGTAAAGACCTTGAAGATTCCACGACTCACTCTATACGTAGCATGCCATTCATTCGTGGCTGATAGATATCTAGGGTAAACACATACCCTCACTACTTGGAGTGCCACCTGGCAGATGTAGATCAATATCAAACAAGACAACGAGGGATACAGATCCATGACATCAAGCACCGCAGGAAACTATTTCACATGGTCTAAATCCTTATTCCCCTCAGCAACGCATCCATACCACCGTAATTCAGTACACAAACGGAATCATCTTCCAAGTAGTTCTCTGCTTGAATTGAGCCCAATCCCGACCATACTGCTTCATGTTAGTTTGAATGATACAACAGCTTCGAGACTGGATAAACATACCCTCTTTTCACAGTAGGAGTCCAGCGCCGGAATACCTCTCCTCCTGAACTCAGCCAACAGCCACAGAAGCGTCAAACCACCCCATCCCCAACCCGAAGCCGCCAAACCAGCAGCAGCCTTCCAAGTCGTGTACCCACCATAGTTGATATGGCGAGCAAAGCGGAACAATCCACCAGTATACACCTTACCCTTACCACGGCCAGCAGGATCCTTCTTGAAAGCCCTGCGCTGAAGCTCCGAGACAGTCTCCACAGTAATACCCAGCGTAAAGATTGCACAAGCAGCCGAAAGAATGGGATGCCATCCATTGCCATCAGGGACATAAGAGGTCGTAGCCGAGGTAGCGGCAGCGCAGAACATGAGGGAATTGACAGTTGTGGAAAACGCCTTAAACACACCGACCAATAAAGCAGTCGCAATTGGCATTCTAGCCTCTGACACGTAGGTCAGATAGAAGATACCCTTGATGCTACCGAGGAGGGACATGCCAAGCAATGTCAGACGCCAAGGCGACAGGCCCAGCGCCACCGGGGCAGCTTCGAGGGGCAGCGGAGTTCCCCCGAACAGGCCTAGGACAGGTGCAGCTAGCGATGCAGTGCCGGGCAGAAGGATTCCATATTGCAGGATTGGATCCACTGCGCGCAGGGCGATGAAAATGGAGGTTCCGAGGGGCGAGGGGCCCTTATCGTTGCGGTCGCCGTGGAGGGCTCCCCGTGTGGGCTTTTCAGCTTGCGACATTCCAAGTTTGATTATGCAGCTGTACGAGAATGTCAACTGATTCAATGCAAGAGGAATTGCTGTTTCCGGGATGCTCAGGTGTACATGTATAATGGCCTCGGTGGTGATCCCCGAGCGGAGCTCCGAAGTCAAGCGCCGAACACCGAGCGACGGGGATGCCCGGGCCCGAGATCTCTCCACTTTACTCGGTGCTGCGCATTGCCCACTTTCTGCGAAAAAAGAAAAGAAAAAGAAAAGAGAAAAAAATAACAAAATAAAAAAATAAAAACTTCAATTCAGTCTCTAGGCCGCTAACTAGTAATCTAGTAGCTCTGACTGTAGGAAACCTTGGAAAATTTATATCTAAGCGACGTGCTAGCACACTGTAGTTAACGAGCGAAAAACGCAATCTCGATCTCAAATCTCGTCCTGTACTCCGTACAGAGATTGTCTGTAGATGTAAAATGTCATGTCAAATCGTCAAATAGAACGCCCCGTATACAGACGGTAAAAGCAACAAAAACAATCAATTCAAATTTTCCCGCGCCGTAAGAGCCACCGTCTTCATCTGATGTCGCAAATAAGCCTCCAAGGCCATATGCAGACCCTTTTCATCATCTTCACCGAAATCCCCCTGTCGACAATAGCTGCGGTTAAACGCGGCCAAGACCTCCTTAACCTTATCGATTTCCGCCAAGATCAACTGCGCGACCATGCGGCGTGTCTGGCCCGGTTCCAGCGTGTAGGCCCCAACATTGATCGACGGGATAGAAACCCACTCGTGAAAGGACCGGGACAGCCCAAACATCATATTAGTATCTGGCTGCGATCTCCGCCCAGTCACACTCCTGCTTCTGCTGCGGATGCTGTCGCCGCTACTTTCGCTGCCGTCGGTATCGCGGCCGGGGCATGCGGCGCTGCGATCCAGACTAGCCTGGTACCAGGACAGAACGCGGGTGCAGGAAGTGGTGATCAGGAAGATGAGATCGATCTTGGCTGTGCAGGGACAGGCGAGGATGGTGAGGAGATCTTCCAGGGAGGAGTGGCTGTCTTTGAGGATGTTGTCGAAGCTTCGGGGGGAAGGGGAGAATTGATGAGTTCGGCCTAGGGATGGGCATGATTCCATTGGCACGTCTAGTCTTTGGATTGCGGACATGGCGAGTTGAGAGCATTGGTGTGGGGTTTGGTGGGGCAGCCAGGGCTCTGTGTCTCGCGGCCAAGGGAAGCCTGTCTCCAGGTCGATCTGAGGTTGATCGGGGGTCTGGAGGGGGGAGGCATCGCAGATCCCGGACATTCTGGTGTCGAATTCGAGCAGGTCGCTCCACTTCATTGGGCTCATGTCGGGTGCGAATATAGATCCATCCGAGAATGTCTCATCGGTCGTCTCGGTCATGGTTATGGTGGGTGCTTCGTGCGGCGTCTCTGTGATGGGCTCTCGCCGTGCAGACGGAGTTGGCGGAGGCCGCTTTCGGGACCGCTGGGAGGGACTGTAGACGCATGGGACTCCTTGATACAAGCATCGTTGACAGGAGGGTTGGTCTTTGCTGCAGCGAACCTTGGACTTGGCGCAGTTATTACAGCTGGCGCGGATAATTTCCAGTCGTACGGGGGAGGTCATGTTCACGAATCTCACGATCTATGAGAATTTGCAGCAGGGAGAGGACTCAAATCTAAGCAAGACCAAGACAATGCCAATGGCTTGGCCCCCAAGGCTTCTCCGGCCCCCAAAGAGGCCAGTATAGCGCTGAATAATGTGGCTTGAGGTTACTTTGGAGAGTTGGGGGCCCTCGCCGGTCGTATAGATTGTGCAGCTAAGCCCGTTAGGGTAAACAATGCCCCGTGTTGCCTAGGATTGTCTTAGTCCGCACTAGACCGCAAAAGCCACAAAGGCCATCAATCAGAGCGCTGCAGGATACGAAGTTTCCTGATCGTCCCGTTCCGTCTGACTGGCTCAGTCGATCCACAGAATTTTGCTGTACGCTATTCGCGATCTGACCTGCAGTGCGTTTGACTCTGATTTTCAGGTATGGAAAGCGACCTTATCTTTTTTTTTTTTTTTTTTTTTTTGGATAATTATATTCAAGATGTATTCAATTCAATTCTGTTCACTTTGATCTATTCAATTCATGTATTTATTCCAGTAAGTAGTTAAGGGAAGCGGAAGACACTGTCGGGATCCACCGACTGCTTCAGCGCTTGCAGACGCTCCCAGTTCGGCCCAAAACTCTCGCGGGGGTCCTCGTCTTTCCCCATGAAACTCACGTAGACAGGGTTCAGCGCGTGGCGTGTAGCATTCAATTCCTTCATGAGACCGTCAACCCACGCCCGGGCCTCGCCCATGCGATCCACCTCGTCGCAGGCATTGATGTGGAACAGGACGTGGGGTTCGCGCGTGGCGAACGAAGAGTCGGGGTTCGCTCGCGTGCTTTTGCCATGGCCAATGTGCGCGATAACGTTATATTGGCGCCCATCGGGGATGGCCTCGGAGTACTTTTGCAGGAGCGCGATACTCTCGGGCGTGAATCGTGGGATGGCAGCGCTCCGCGTGCTGACATTGACTGGTTCCTCCACGACGCGGGAGGTGATCCCCTGGAAGGCCTTGAAGGTGGCTGCGAAAAGTCAGCATTTTCCGATTGCGGGACGAGGGAGAGCTTACTTTCTGCAACGGTGTCCACTTGGATAGCTCCTAGACCCCTCACGGCCGTAAGCCACTTCTGCCCCTCCGCCAGGGTCTCTGAGTCGGGCCAGGCGAAGATGAGACTCATGCCTACCCCCCACTTGGTCTTCATAAAGCCCATTTGCAGACACATGGCGTCGGGGATGCCCTGGTCTAGCATCTCTTGGAGTCCCGAGAGCACCTTATCGCTTTCATTCCACTGGTACGCGATAAAGCCCGCCAGGATCACGGGCATGGGGTACACGCGAACTGTCACGCCGACGATGACACCGAAGCTGCCGCCGGCGCCGCGCACACCCCAGAGCAGCTCCGAGCCTGCCTCGGCCTCGACGATGGTTCCATCGGCCTGAACCAGAGTCGCAGAGAGAATGTTGTCGACTCCCAGCCCCACGTAGTCGTTGAACGGTCCGTATCCGCCCCACACGGCCCATCCCGTCCAGCCGACGTTGCCCGCGGTGCCATTGGCGGTGCAGAGGCCGTGGGTGTCCAGGAAGCCGACGAGGTTCTGCGAGGTCACGCCGCCGCCGATGCGGATCGATTGCCGGTCACTGGCCAGGGACTGGGTGTCCAGCTCTCGCATGTCGATGGTGACGCTGTCGGGGGTGCAGCCTCGCCCGTAGACGTCGTGGCCACCGCAGCGGATGCCCAGGGGCACAGGGGGGGTGGCGGATCGGGCGGCCCGCACGATAATCTGGACCTGCTCGACGGTCGTGGGGCGACAGATCGCGAGAGGCTGGCCGGTGACCAGTTTGTTGTACATGCCACGGAGAGCCTCGAAGTTGGGGGAGGACCGGGTGTAGACTTTCAGACTGCTGTCTGCAGCCCGGATGCTGTCGACGACTGGGTCTGCATTCTTGACATCGACTGCTGGGTCGAACGGAGCCGGCTCATGGCGGTACTCGGTGGAAGCAGTGTACAAGGCAGTTTGAGTCATTTTGTCTCTTTCAATTCAGAAACCTTTGAATCTGTGTAGGCCATACCCGGCCATGGCCGCGGTATATGTACATCCATGAATCTCCGGACGATGCGGAAGTCAGATCGGGCTCGGGGATAGTTGGCCAGGGCTCTGCATGCCCGAACCCTACATCAGGCCATCCCCGGACACCCGAAAGCCTTCCGTTCTCTAAGATCATGTCTCTCTTGACTATCCTTTATTAAAAGAAATCTACATGTTCATGGATCAAATTCTGCCAGCAATCCCAATCAATCTGAGACAAATCCGACATCTCCAAGTCCAAACAAGGCAGCGCATTCTCCGAATCCCCGGGATTCCAGCCCCCCGGCCCCGGGAGCATAAGCGGGCCAACCGGTGCTGGCGTCGGCGACGGGGCCCGAGAGTCTCCACGGAGAGCACGGAGACGCGCGACAGACTGAGGCTCAACGGGCTGAGAGAGGATCGGGCCCCGTCGCGCCCACGCCATGCGCATATCCCAAGCCCGGAGCGTGAGAGTCCCCAGGGCAAAGAAGAGCGTATTGGTTTTGGAGGCTGTGATGAGGTCCGCATGGTCATGATATGCCTGGTCGACCTTGGCCCAGGCCTGATCTACATGGTCCCCTTCGCGACGAGAAGATAACTCTGTGACCACGAGGATGAATGCCTCGAAGGGGAAACTCATGCCCACATGCCATAGATACGGCTGCAGATCACGACTCGCATAGGTCAGATTGTCGTACGTCAGCACCTGAAGTCCGAGAGAGAATAGTCGGTCCCTATCCTCAAGCGATAGATCCGCGCATCGCCGAGGATGTCGCGTTGCCAAACGCATCTGACACACCGACGATCGCGCCAGGTACAACGCCAACTGATGGAACGGAATAGAAGGATCACAATCCTTCAGATAAGCATCTTCCAATCGGCTCTCGAGTGCATCGATTGCCCGTTCTTCCGCACCCATCCTTTGAACCACAGTACCCGCCACAGACTCATGTTCCATAGCCGTCAACTTGCGCATGCAATCACCGATTTCGAATCTAATTTCGCAGAACAGCATCTCCGTAGTCCCTGCCCGGTCTCTGGGCAACTCCTGCATCGAAGGCGACAGGTCACTATCACTCACGTTGCACGGGCGCTCAGTATCCCAGAAATGATAGGAGTAAGCGTCCACGGCGACGCCGCAAAGCTGTGCTGCGCGACTATCCATCATGAGAATCTGCCACCAGAGTCGGCGACGCATCTCGCGCTCGAAGACGGGGAGGAGTGCTAGACTGCGTTCTCTGTGTAGGCCCATGACTCGGGCGATGCGACTTGCGATTCCGGTTAGGAGCCATCTGGTCTGGACGTCGTATCTTTGTCTGGTTGCTAGCTATTCTGGTCAGATTGCGAATCATGTAGTTGAATGGTCGCATACCAGGTAGAGAGTCAAGGCCTGGAGGATCAGGATGTTTGTCGATCGGAGGAAATTGGCATTTATTAATGCCTGTTCTGCTGCGCGCGAGAATCTGGCCATTAATTCTGATCTGGATGCTCCCATTACGCGATGGCAGGTCTCGTCGTTCATTGAGGCCACGGCGCACAGGTGCATGCTGAAGAGCAATGCTTCCATCGGCCGTGAGATGTGATTCAAGTCAGACGCGGCTTCTAGAATCAATTGCTGGGTGCTGGGTGCATGGAGAAGCTTCACGATGGGGTTCACGTTATTTAAGAAAATCTGCCATAGTTGGAAGACCTGAGGTGTTTCGGGGTGAAGAGAGCGCACTCCTTTGGGACAGGAAGATCGTAAGAGGAGCGTTTCCCCGTCCGCATTGTGAATGGCTTCAGTCTCGCTTTCATCTGCCACGCTGCTACAGCTGTCCAGTTCGTTGGTCAGACCTTGCCAGAGGGGACTGATTGAGCACAAGTCCGACATATTAGCCGGCGTCCTCGTAGGATAGGAAGGGATGGACATTGAAGGCTAGCTTACTTCTCCACATATCGAGACTGCGCGGTCTCCTGGATTAAATGGCCCTTCGGAGCTGACCAGGGCACATTGGTAAGACGAAGAGAAGGCTTCGTGGCAGACTCGCCTCTCTCGAGGGAGATCCCATGGGCCTGCACGGCTCTTTCGCAGAGCTCCAGTCGTCGAGCTAGAGGATCGATGACTCTGGCTACTCCGAGGTCTCTGTTCTTCCGGCTCTGGGATTTGGACCCGGTGCGTCTCAGGCATTCCTGTCCGTTTCGCAGACATGTTGAACACGGTCGGTGGCCATCACATCGCACCTTTCGCTGCTGGCAGAAGACACAGGAATGGCCACGAGTCACTTTCGAATTAGGAGATAGCATAACGTCAGAATTTGCCACAGTTCATGGGATTGTACGAAGAGAGCCGAGGACTAACTATTAATTATTCTAGTTACTATAGAGTACTCAACGGAGTCGGGGTTAGGGCCGAGGGGAAATGAGATGACCGTAGATATCAATAAATTCCATACTGTTAACTATGCAGTCTGGGCCATTCTGCCCCTATAATCCAAAGATCAGAGCACCGGAAGCCCCGAAAAAAGCAATTCGGCGCTAAAATGTGATTCGGACACTCGGCGCTACGGCCCTTCGGTCCCTTCTTTTCTTTGTTTCGTTCGGCGCCGAACGGCCTTCGGACAACCATCACATCCTCACATCCTTTTATAAATGACTCCTATTCCTGTCCTCGAATTATCACCATTAATTCACTATCAAAAAACACTTACAACAATTATAATCATGGCTCAATCGATAGAAGAGCAACGGCTTGACCAGCCCGACAACAACTCGTTCACCGAGAAGCCCTCGGAAGTCACAGAAGATGAGAGCCACTTTCCAACAGGCAGTCGGCTGTTAGTGATTGTGATTTCCATCTTATTTGCCATGTTCCTAGTCGCCCTGGTAAGTTAATCTCAAGAATCCCCCAGAAACATACTAACCTCACAGGACCGCACCATCATCGCCACAGCAGTCCCCCGCATCGCCAACCAATTCAACGCCCTAGACGATATCAGCTGGTACGCCAGCGCCTACCTCCTAACCAGCTGCGCAACCCAACTCTCCTGGGGCAAAGTCTACACCTTCTACTCAACCAAGACCGTCTTCCTAGCCGCGATCCTAATCTTCGAAGTCGGCTCCGCCCTCTGCGGCGGAGCCCCGAATTCCAAAGCCTTCATCGTGGGCCGCGCCATCGCAGGCGTAGGCTCAGCAGGCATCTTCGCCGGCGCAACAGTCATCATTGCGCAGATTGTTCCACTAGCCAAACGACCCATCTATGTCGGATTGATGGGCTCGACATTCGGCTTCTCCTCTATCATTGGGCCTCTGATGGGCGGCGCTTTCACAGATAATGTCACTTGGCGCTGGTGTTTCTATATCAATCTTCCAATTGGTGGATTCACCATGCTTGCTCTCTTCTTCTTCTTGACTGTCCCGCACACGCCTCAGCCATGTACTTGGAAGAGACAGATTCTCCGCCTCGACCCGCTGGGCAGCGTGCTCTTCCTCCCCTCTGTGATTTGCTTCCTGCTTGCGCTGCAGTGGGGTGGGACGATGTACGCGTGGAACAGTGGACGGATTATCGCACTGTTTATCATTTCGGGGATCCTGATGATCGCCTTCGTGGCTGTGCAGATCTGGCTGAAGAAGGACGCAACTGTGCCTCCGCATATTTTCAACCAGCGGAGCATTATCAGTGGTGTTGTTTTCGCTATGTGTGTTGGTGGCGGTCTCATTTCCATGCTGTATACCCTGCCTCTGTGGTTCCAGGGCGTGCGCGGTACTTCTGCCGTCAAGTCTGGTATTGATACTATTCCCATGGTGCTGGCGCTTGTCGTCGGAGCCATTACCTCTGGTGGTATCATTACTGCGACGGGATACTATGTGCCGTGGATGTTTGTGGCGACAGTCCTAATGTCGACGGGTGCAGGATTGATGACTACTTTCAAGATGGATACCAACCATGCAGCCTGGATTGGATACCAGGTGCTATTTGGTATTGGAATCGGCACTGGATTGCAGCAGCCGTCGTTGGCGGCACAGACGATTCTTCCTATGGAGGAGGTTGCGATTGGTGTCTCGTTGATGTTCTTTGCTCAGTCGCTTGGTGGTGCTGTTTTCATTGCTGTGGCTCAGTCGCTGTTCCAGAACTACCTTGGCTCTGAACTGCCTCATATCCAGGGCATTGATACAGCCAAGGTTCTGGCTGCTGGCGCAACTGGTCTTGCTGACGCGGTGCCAGACAACAAGCTGACTGCGGTTTTGAGTGTTTACAATGATGGTCTTCATCGGTCGTTCATTGTCGCTGTGGCGGTCTCTTGTCTGATGATTATCCCTGCTCTGACGATGGAGTGGAGGACCATCAAGGAGGACAATGTGTCTGTTCCGGCTGCTTAAGCATGAAAGACTTTGTACCACCACCTTTTAGACCACATTCCGCTCTGGCGTCTGCGCAGCATGGGCTTTTTCAAATATTCTTCTTCTTTTTAATCTCGAGTGTTCGGAGTAGGGTGTTCGCTTCTTTATCCCAAGGGATGGGCCCTATGGCCCTTTTTCATAGTCCATAGAAATATTACTTTAAACTTGGATTCTTCTATACAAGTTCTCCTTAGTCCACTAGATTTATAGATTTGACCAGCAAAATACAGAATTTGAATGGATCAATTCGACTCGTTCCTATTTCGCAGTACATATTCATCACAGAGGGTGGTCTTGCACATAATGATATTGACCAGGCAGTCAAGACATCGCACCCAAAATCAATCGCTCGGGGGAAAAAAGTACAGCGCCATTCTCCGAATACCACTCCCGATCTCGAAAACAAAAAAGCATTGATGTGAATAACGCCTATCCTAGATGGCACAGAAGTGAGGAGGGGGAAAAGGCAGTATTTTCGGATTACACATGACAAGAAAGGCAGAAGGGGCAGGTAGAGAATCGCATGGGCAAAGACAGGCGTGGATTTGCATTAACTCCTCAAGTCACACGATGCTATTGGGGATTTCATTGGTCAAAGCCGAATTCAGCCCCATTGCTCGGGCTGTCTCGGTTGGGGTTGTTGAAGGTGAGCTTCAGCTTGGGCTGGCCTGGGGTGCCGCCCCCTAGAGGAGTCTCAGCACCCGAGGCGAACCCGGCTGAGTTATCTGCGGGCTGGTCTTCAAAGCCACCGAGCTCAGGGTGAGCTTCAGTCAGTCTTCTCAGCTCCGACAACGCCTTGTTCTGTTCAATTGTTAGCATCTGATGTTTGAATGACAGTCATGTAGACTCACCTCGATGTCGTTGGCATCCTGGAAGAGGATACTGCCATCTTCATTGTATGTGCGGGCATTCTGACAAAGGAGGTGAATATCATTGCGGAACGACTTCAGATTCTGATAGTCGTTACGCTTGATCTTCTTTTGAATGTTGTCTATGGCGATGGGGTTTTGAATGATCATGTAATAATCAGGGTAGTAGTTGCGTGGCGGAGGCTTCATGAAGGGATCGATGATCGCACGGATCATGGGACCCTCCTCACTATCGGAGCCTTCGGGCTGCACTTCAGCCTCCATGTCAATCAATGATTGAATGACGGTCTCAAGGATGCGGTTCAAGTTGGCACGATCAGTGGGGTTAAGAGTGTCTGGAACCTTAGGCTGGCGACCTCGCTTACGCTTGGGTTGCGGAGTTTCCTCCACAATCTCTTCGGCCTTGCGCTTGGGAGGAGGACCACGGCGGCGTTTTTGTTTTTGAGGGGTTTCGTCGTCGTCAATAATGGATGGCTCGGGTGAGGAATCTTCGCCCTGGCCAAGTTTATTAGACTTGCGACGCTCAACACGAGCCTCCTTGCGTGCAATGGCGTCTTCGATGGTGTCATCGTCGGCATCCACTGCCATCAACCACTGCTCCTCGGTAAGGCCATCATCGTACTTGGTGATCTTGCGCTCACGGGCACCACGGCCAGTAACCTCAACCTCAATTTCCTCTGTAACAGGGTTGTCTTCCTGCATGTAAATCTCGGGCAACTCTTGTTCACACATGAGTCGGGGGTAGCGGTGACCAGGGCCGTAGGTATCGGAGGCAATTCGCTGTCGGTCGACCTCCTGGAAAATAGGGATTTCCTCTTCAGAGCGGGCCATGATTTCGTTCATTTCATCGTCATCCATTTCGTCGTGATCGCCGATATTCTCCGCGGCCTCTGCAGTATCCAAAAGAGTGCGCAGAAGTGCATCTCGTTCCTCGTTGGTGGATTTGTTGTCGAACTTTCCGGCCTGGATGACCTTGCCATCCATGTCCAGCTTGAACTGGGCACGCTCAAGAATCTTTTCTTCAACCGAGTTGGAACTGATCAACCGCAGAATACGGACCTCATTCTTCTGACCGATACGGTGAGCACGATCCTGCGCTTGCAAATCCTGGTGAGGGTTCCAGTCAGAATCATAGATAATGACCGTGTCGGCAGTCTGCAAGTTCAGACCGAGACCACCAGCACGAGTAGAAAGCAAGAAACAGAAGTACTCCGAGCCAGGCTCGTTGAACTGCCTGAGGAGATCCGATCGGTCATCAGACTTGGTCGAACCATCAAGACGGAGGTATTTCAAGCCACGGAGGCGAAGGAAGTCTTCCATGATATTCATAATCTGGGTCATCTGGAAGAACATCAAGACTCTGTGGCCAGTTGCGCGGAACTTGGGGAGAATACGATCAAGAAGCTCGAACTTTCCAGCTGTTCGCCACAAAAGATCGTTGGACATGCGAGTGGGGTTCATCTGATCCTCAACAGGCTCGAAGACAAATGGATGGTTGCAAAGCTTGCGCAATTGCATAAGCATGTTGCTGAGACCACGCATACCAGTTTTTCCGCCCTTGCCATCGCTGACAGCCATCTTGTTGTGAGTGACAAGTTGCTTGTACAGCTTGGTCTGCAAGGCAGAGAAGCGACACTTGATGACACGCTCTTGCTTGTCGGGAAGATCCTTCTCGACATCCTTCTTGAGACGACGGAGAAGGAAGGGGCGAAGAACCTTGTGGAGACGACGAATAACGAGCAGCTGTTCTTCTTCGCTCAGGTCCATGCGATCCTGACCACCGGTATTGGCGAATGGCGTATTGAACCATTCATCAAACGACTTGACGGACTTGAAGATGTTGGGGAGGACGAAGTTGAGAAGAGCCCAAAGTTCAGGCAGGTTGTTCTGCAAGGGAGTACCGGTCAGAATGATACGGTAGCGGGTGGTGTAGTATGTCGAGAGGGTGCTGCTAAGCTTAGATTGGGAGTTCTTCATGCGGTGACCTTCGTCAACGATCATGTGTGTCCACTTGATCTTGCTCAGAATGGGACGGTCCTTGATAATGTACTCGTAAGTGGTGAGCAGAACCTGGAACTGACCCCATCGAATCTGCTGTTGTTGCTGTTTACGAGCGTTGGGCGGGCCCTTGTAGACGACCTTGCCCACGTCAGGTGCCCACTTTTCGAACTCATTGTTCCAATTGGTGAGTGTTGACAGGGGAACAATGACCAAGAAAGGTCCGTTGTTCTTCTTCTTCTCGATGATATGAGTGATCAAACTGATCGTCTGAATGGTCTTTCCGAGACCCATCTCGTCGGCCAAAATACCGTTGAGGTTGTTGTTATACAAAGAAATCATCCATTGGAGACCCTTGATCTGGTACTCCTTGAGAGTACCTCCCTTAAGCATGGTGGGTTGTGTAGTAACTTCCTCCTGGATACGGTGAGCGACGGCGTAGTAGTCGACCTTCTTCTTGCCGCTGGCGGTCGTATCATCGTCCTCGTTCTCGCTGTCAGCAAGTTCCTGGTCAGACTCCTCATCGGGTCCAAGATCATCGCCATAGCGGTTTGCCAAGCTACGCTGCTGTTCCTTGACGGAGGCAGCAAGCTGCTTCAGGAAGTTATCGGTCTGCTTGAGCAGATGAGAGATACGAGAATCCTTGGCCTGTCCGAGGAGCTTCAGGTATGTCTCCTCGTCGTTGGCCTTCAAAGCCTGGAGACGCTGCTTGGCGGTACGCTCCACACGTCTTTGCTCTTCACGTTCCATGTGTTGGTGGTGAGAAATCATCATGCGACCCAGCTTCTGGGAGCGGGCGCGTTGCTGGCCAGCGGCGTTGGCAAGCTCCACACTGTGGTTGAGGATGGCTTGGATCTGGTCGAACTGCTTCTTCTTCTCCCGAGACTCGCGAGCGTCACGCTGTTGCTTCTCAAGCTTCTCGGTGATGCGAGCCTCACGCAGAGATTGCTTCTTCATGCGTCGGTGGCTTGATCGGTTGGCAGTCATGCCGAGGTTACTGTAGTGGAACATCTCGCCCTGGTGTTGCTTGCGATACTGGCGCTGCTTGGCTAACAAGTTCAAGGATTTCCACTCAATCAAGGCCTTCAGCTTGAGCGAGTCATCATATGTGGGTGTGTCGCTCTTGCTTGTGTCCCACACTCCAAGATTAGCGGGGAGTTGAGCAAGCTCCGCTTTACGAGCTGCAATTTTGTTGTACACTGCGATTTCACGATCCTCGCGAATTTGCTCCAGATCAATGCCGGGAGGCAAGAGCGCTGGGATGCGGACACGGCTGGCGCGCTTGGCGTGGTCTGTATAGCTAATGGTGCTAGCTAGCGAGTCATATGGCGACTGGAAGTTATCGTACCATTCCCGAGTGAGAACTTCTGATTCAACATTTTCTGGTGCTGTGCTTCCAGGGCCTTCACTGGCAGATTCGATGACTTTTTTGGCCGTGGAAACTGTCTCGGTGGGAGTAGGCGTTTGAGCCTTCTTCTGGAACAACTGTTCTTGGACACGTGGGGGAATGGCGAGGTTCTTGGACAGCATCTTGAAAGCCAGAATTTGGTTTCGCAGTGTAGCCAGTTGCTCTGGTGAGAAGTTTCCACCGGGTACTGGGGCGTTCTTCGAGTTCTGGGCGGAGGCTGCAGAGGCATTGGGGGTGTTCGCTGATGAAGCCGAAGCGGTGCGAGCTATTGAAGAGTCAGTTCTGCAAAGAATGTCGGGCGCCGGGTCGATGGTGTGGCAGCGGCGACGCGGTATTATTCAGCAATGCGAATGACGGATAGAAAAAACTCACCATGGGCACCATTGGTAGCGACGGCCTCGGGGGCAGCGCCGCCATTTGTCTGCTGAGGGCGCTGTTGTTGCACCTGCTGTTGAGCCATGCGCTGTTGCTTTGCGAAAGCCTGCTGTCGTTGAATCATAGAAAGAAGCTGGTGGGCCCTTTGGAACTCTGGGTCATCGGCGCGGACACCTTGCTCCTGCATCTGCTTGTATTTCTGCGACCAGGTTAGAGCCAACGAGGGACGCGGGAGATTGGTGGCCGAAGGGCATGATAGTTTGTTTGTAAGGGCGGGCTGCGGCATGGGTGGAGGTATAACAAACTTACCTGCAGAATCTCTTGAACATTTTGCTGTGTCAAGTTCGGCGGCAAGGATGGGGCATTGCCTGGCGCCATGTTGGGCGCCGGGTGTAGGGAAGCCATGATGACACGTGAATTTCTTTAATTCATGGGCTGGCAGGATGGGTTGGGAGAAATGATGGTGCGAGATGAACGCGAAGTGGGCAAGTCACGGTCTCCACCTGGAGTCAATTGCCCGGATGCGCAGGTCGAGAAGGGGGCGTCGCGAAAGTAAAGGAGGGGCAACCGCGACGCGGGTCCGGTAAAAAATTGGATACGACAAGCTGGTTACTGTATGGGATGCTTGGCGATGGAAAATGTGATGTTTGGGGGAGGTGGTGGTCGGAGCTCCCGATGCGATGAAATTACGGGTACTTTCAGGGACAAGGGAGTCAAAGAAAGCGAGTAAAGCGGCGGCTTCCCAGGGTTGAGGAAGGTGGGAAGTAGGCTTAAAGGTCGAAGGCGCGTTGGGATGGCGCGTTCGAAAAGTGGATGGGATGAATGGGGACGGAGTTGCGCGACAGGCTCGGGGAAATCTGGGTGCTCAGAGCAAAGGACCAACACAAGGGAAGGAGGAGATTTCGGGCGGGTCACGTGGGTGCTGACTCAGCCCGTGCTGGGATTTCCTGCTGCGGCGTGTCGACCGCGTAGCTCTGGTACTGAGGATTTCCGGTTTGGGTAAAAGGTAAACTGAGAGACAAAGGGAGAAGAGGGAGAGGGAAGGGTCTGAAGATGGGAATCTCTGCCCGGGGAGCAACTGAGATCAATGAGGTCGAGATAAAAATGACAATACCTCGTATGCTTATTGTACACGGAATGTTAGGTACCCGGGTCCACCCTGTAGCACCAATGCAGATCGGAAGTACAGACTCGGTGCTTCGTATTGATCTATGTATTATCTATTGGCAGTGCTTTCAATATGGTCTGTGATTGATTCATTGGATGTGCTGGTATTGAGACTATTGATAAAGAGATCCAGTCTTTCATAGGAATCGCCCATTCGATGGGCAAAGAATAGAACTAGCAAATACGAAAAGGAACGGACAATCCCTGCTGACCAGGAACCTATGGTCCTCTGATGGACAGGTATAGATACCATCCCAGCGGACCCGTGTCCCCCAAACTCCAAAACCCCAGGCTCAATATCAATGGCAGGCGAATGCAAGCGGACTTGCCTCATGCATTGGGAGCGGCCAGCAAAGTCCGCTTCATGGGAGGAGGTGGTGGAGGAGGCTTCTTCGCACGCGAGGGTGGAGGTGGTGGAGGTGCCTTCTTCATACCGAGAGAGTTCAAATTCGATGCACTGGGTTGCCGTGAGGCCACGCTACCATGAGATGTGGCTGGGGAGATGGACCTGCCCCCGGAGAACATCCGCTCGGGGCTAGATCGACCATACGAGCTAACTTCTTCGGAGTCGGCATATGGGTCAGTGACTCGGCCGTTGCCAACTTGGGTACTGCTGCGACGGGCGAAGCCCCCCAGGTTCTCGCTAGCGGTGCGCTGCTGGACCCACTGCGAGGGCGCTGGGCTTTGCTCCTGTCGGAGTTGAGCAGGGCTCTCGAAGGTTGGAACGCGGCTCAGGGCCGGGCGGGAGTAGGTCTCCCGAGGAGGAGACTCGGCGTAAGGGGTCGCAAGAGTCTTGTTGGATCGCAGCGGCGGACGCACTTCCGCGGCGTTCATCAACTCTTCCTGCAGCGGGTCATGTCGGTCCAGGTAGGAGTGGGCGGTGTTGGAACGAGCGCGGATAGGGCGACGACTAGGGGCTTGCCCTTGGCTGGAACTAGTTCAGTATTAGCGTGACTCAATCTGCGAGGAATGAAGGTGCCTACCCGGCCCACTCGCTCTTCAGCTGTAGGAGCGCCTCACGAGATCGCTCGTGGTACTCCAGCTGGGCGTCCAAAAATGCCCCCATATCCATCACATTGTCGGTTTCGGCGTCTTTGACATCTTGCATGCGACGGAGGACATCGTCGCTTGCTTCCTCGTACTTGACTTTCTGGGAGCGCAGCTCCTCCTCGACGCGGAAGTCTTCCTTCTTAGCTTTTTCCATCTTCGAGAGTGATGTATCGTATGCGAGTCGTCGACTGTCAAGCTTCTTGCGAGCTTGCTGGGTGGGAGTTTAGACGGGTTTCGTGGATTATTGCGGGGCAGCATACCTGGTAGTCTTTCATTTGGGTCAAAGATCTCTCCAGGGATTCGAGCCAGCTCGAAGTTGCCTGAGTGATATAGTTCTCTTGGATGCGCGCGATACGCTCTTCCGTGCGCCCAAACACTGATCGGGGTGTTAGTCGTGTGATTCAAGATCCTTTCAGTTCACTCACTGATGAGGCACTGGCCATATTCGGAGTTGACGTCGAAGTCCTCGCCGTGGGTGACCATGCTGCTTCCCAAGTGGGCGATTGGCAGTGTCTTCTCCTTATCATCCCCCTCATTGCGCTTGGAGATTGCCTTGACGTAGGAGGTCATGGACTTGTGAATGCGGTCAACGCCTGGGCGGGGTTAGCTTGGTTGTCTTCCACGCTGGAGATCCTCACCTTCATGTCGCACGCCCATCTCGGTCTCCATGGCCTTGAAATTGTCGGATTGGCATGTTTTGGCCTCTCCGCCCATGCGTTCGCCGGCCCATTGCTTGAGCCGACCGATCCTCTTGTTCATGTGCATGATGTGTAGTAAAGAGAGTGAAATCGAAACCAGCGATTGAGAAAGAAGGAAGGTGGGAGGTCAGGGATGGCACGCCATTATGATTAAATCGAATTGGGATCTGGACCGCCACTGGCGTTTCCCCAATGCGGGCTGGGTATTTTATTTCTTTTTTAGACCGTTGTCGATCGGTCAATCAGCGGGGTTGTAGTCTATTGTCTACTCTAGAATGCTGTAACTCCGTAAATAGATCAATAGATTATAAGTAGAGTATACTGATCAGATGATTCGTATGCTCAATCCCTTGCGAGTATCTACATAGTACTTCCTGTACGGAGAACTGTACAGTACTGTAGAGTGCTACGGAGTACGGAGTACAGTGACACGCGTTGGTGGGCCAGTGGAGAATGGCTGGGAATTCCATTGGAAGTCGAGATTCGACGCAAATTGCTATAATTAACTATAAAGGGCCCTGACACATCTCTTGCCACTGGCCCAGAACAGGTTTCAGCGCGGTTTCAGAAGACAATGGGTCTTGGTTGCATTGCAATATAAAGAACCGTACTCGTATTCACATATCATTCTAGCTCTACTATGTACTAGTATATGTTCCGACAAATCACTCGAAATTCCATCAATCAAATTGAATCAAAGGAATCAGGCACCCAAATTTGATCCAAAGCGAGTAAGGTATCAAACTCATTCCAGCCCGGGAACTCGACCCCTTTCCCAGCCCCATCCAGATCTAGAGTCCCACCGTTCCCTGATACATCAATATTAGGTAGAGAGGTGCATGAACCGGGTGAGCACAGATTGCTCTGCCCCAAACTGCGGATATACTGGCCCGGCGTTACGCCCACCCGTTTCTTAAAAACACGCAGGAAATGACTGGGTGTCAGGTCTGCTTGCGCTGCCAGATCACCTAATGTCGGTTTCAGCCCTTCTGCCAAACTGTTTCGGATGGACTCGCAGGCCTGCTCGACCAGCGCGGTGTGAGGGTTGCTTTGAGCCGCCGTGCCCGAATGCGGCCGACAGCGCTTGCAGGCCCGAAACCCGGCTTGCTCGGCCTGGGAGGGAGTGTCGTAGAATTGGACGTTGGCACGCCGCGCGAGGCGTGCTGGGCAGGAGGGGCGGCAGTATATTTTGGTCGTGATGACGCCGTAAACGAAGGTGTTCACGGTGGCGCGGGTTGCGATGGCTTGCCACCGCTCTGTCTGCGAGAGGGTATTGGACGGACTGAGCCGAGGGATCTGCTGGGGTTTGGATCTAGACATGGAGAAATACAGTGTCTCCGATGGAGCTCTATAGTAGCGTAGGGACTGAGGATCTGCAATCCGGGTCAAGACGTTGGCGATTCCACCGATTCTGGATTGATCCCAAAGTGGCCAATCAGCGGTCCAAACGAGCAATGAACTCGAACGTAGAAATTTGGCCAATGGTTATTTCTGAATTTGCTAATATGCGTGTTTTGATGATTTTAATGATAACACCAGACTCAATGCCAAGTTGTATCTAAATTAGCGCTCTGAGGTTCTGTGTGTAGATATATATCACTGTTTGATGAATATATAAATATAGTCGCACAGCCGTGATCGGAATCGACCTCGGAAGTACAAAACATGTTCAATCAGATGTGACCTTTCTCACACAGACACTTGAGTTTCACATCAGAACCTTGGAATAGAACGACCAATAATCTTGAGAGCACAATGCCTAAACCAACCTTGGAAAGGAGCACTGCTCACATCCACTGGCATGATGATCCCGCACATGCAAAAGAGCATGGAAACCTTGGAAGCATCAAATCCTGACCCCACAGATGAAATACCCACTCCGATCAAGGGACTAGAAGCTCAGAATTTAAGGCACTGGGCCTGGTTATGCTCATACATAAGAAGAAAGTATCCAGCTCTTCCAAGGTTCCTAGCCACGCTGCCATAAATTCCAAAGTTCCAAGGTTGTTTTACGGGAGTGACTATCCCGCAGGCCTCAACCTTGAAAGACCAGACAAAACAACTGACATCAACGTGATAAAGTATCACAAATGGGAAATCGATAGATCCAGGACGCATAAAAATAGTACCTAGGTATAGGCTTGGAAAGGTTTTTGCCCTGTACCTAGAACATCAAGCTGGACAGAACTTTGGAAATCAAGGATTTCACCTCTACGTAGTTTGAGCGCATGGCGGAGAAAACAGACATTGAATGTGACCAAACCCCACATCGAGTCCGCAGTGTGAACTGGGGGATTCAAGGTATATAGGCCAGACTTCACCACTTGGGCATATACGGAGCAGGCGTCGAGTAACGAGGACACAAACGTCCCCCGATACTGGCATACAACTCAGCAGACTACATCTACAAGATGATGAACAGGACGGAGGAAAAGTTTAAAGGTGTATCATTCCACAGCCCCGAGGGCTTTTTGATTTTCCAATCTGCCTGTGTAGCAGCCGTCCCCAAACCCCGTTCATCATCCTTTGATTCGCTCGACAAGAGAAAGGATGGTGACCACAACCTTAATTCACTAGGGGCGTATGAGACGCTCATCTGCAGTCGCCTAGGTACATTTGTCTCATAGCAGAAATCCGTTTTCAACCCGTCACAAGAATAACTCCAAGAAAAAGCAGACTTAATCCTTGGTCTTCTGGGTACCGCGGAGCAGACCAGTTCTGCGGGCGGCAATGAGACCGGCCTTTTGACCCTGGGTGGCGTAGCGGGAGATGGTCGAGGCCTTACCGATGTGCTGGTGGTTACCACCACCGTGAGGCTGGAGAGGTTGTTAGAAAATTTGCTCTGGGGATCCTCAGATCGGTCAAAACTTACGTGATCGACGGGGTTCATGGCAACACCACGAGTCTTGGGCCAAGAGTTGCGCTTGACGGCGAACTTGTGCTTGGCACGACCGGCCTTGAGCAAAGGCTTGTCGGTACGGCCACCACCGGCAACGATACCAACCATACCGCGGGCGGTGTTCTTGATGACCTTCTTGGCACCGGAGGGGAGCTTGACACGGGTCTTGCCGTCCTCGGGGTTGTGGCCAATGATGGTAACGTAGTTACCGGAGGTACGGCCAAGCGCACCACGGTCACCGGACTTCTCCTCGACGTTGGTGATAACGGTACCCTCGGGCATGGAGGCCAGGGGGAGAACGTTGCCGACGGTGAGAGCGGCGTTCTTACCGGCGTAGATGAACTGGCCGGTGTACATGCCCTCGTTGGCGATGAAGGTCTCGGTGATCATCTTGAACTTGTAGGGGTGGCGGAACTGGACCTTGGCGAGGGGAGCACCACGGCCGGCATCGTGGATGATCTCCTTGACGACACCACGGGTGTAACCGTGGGCCTCAGCGAAGTCGAGAGTCCGGAACTGGGCAGGGGCCTTGTTCAGGCGGGTGTTGGCCGCTGTAAAGGAAAAAAGAATTCGATATCAGCACTCCATTTCCACCAATTCTGTGTGTATTCCCATGGTCCTTCCTCGTCTGCGCTCGGGGGGAGTTGCGCGATCTCAAATTTCGTGCTGGGATGGTTTGCGGTCGCACTCACTGAAAATGGAGCCACGGCCCTTCCTCTGGTTGCGGATGACACGACCCATGGCGACTGTCTAGACGAGGATCCTATGTTAGTATGGAAGTCGGACAAAAGTGTCGTGGGAGTGGTAAGTCGTACCTCGAAGTGAAGATAGGCTTGTCGTTGACGAGTTGAGAAATCATCGGGCACGGGGACTTGTGTGGGCTTTAGGGCGCGGTCGCTAACCTAACCCAATCTGGCCTAGCGCATGCTCGGTTACTCGACTCGCGGAACTACGAGATCAACTTATTCGCCCTTTTTCCTTTTTATTTGAGAATATTTGTATATTCTTGTCTATTCAATTGTATCATATCAATCATGCAAAGTGCTCAGACTATTAGAATCACCACATTATCAACTTGGTGGCTCATAAAGTGAGTCTTGCTAGTTGAGCACCGCAGATTTTGGAGAGGGCACGTTAGTCAGCACCCACGTGACCAGGACCCCATGCCAAGACCGCATCATTGCGGTTATCAAGTTTCCCTTGGACTTCACTGCCAATGACTGTTTCTTGTTCTGCCCTGTGCAGATCCATTGAAGTTCGATCAAAGGTTGAATCCCTTTGTTTGTTTAATATTTTCATATCATCAGAAAGGCACACAGTTTATGCTCGACACAGCATAAAGTGCTAGCAATGATTAAATGTTGTACATGATATGCATTGACGACAGAGTATAGAAGTCATTATCAACCATATACACCTGGGCAGGAACCTACCTGATGTCCACAGGTCCACTTGGCAAGGGCTTTGCGGTCTTGTCTATCTGTTCTACGAAACTCCCTAAAGAAACAGTATAGTTAGCTAATTCTACTCCGTACTATATGAATATCTCTGCGCCTTGATACAAAACATGTATATAGACTACTTGTAGCTCTTGAACCAATTGCTTTCAAAGGTGACCCTATAAAGCCCTTTGTGAAGGCCAATCAAAATGTGATTGCAGAGAAATAGAGCGGTTGTGCAGTCACCATTCGTAATCGCCCTGCGGGCGCAAGCTCGGTGCAGCCAGCGGGTCGAATGCGCGCGATCACTTCCTCCTCCGACATCTACTCCGGCAACTCCACCATGCCTTCAGATTCCGAACTTTCATCATTATCTTCGGCGCCGCCGACAGACGACGAAGCTAACATGGCGACCGAAAAGCCTTCTGGCATCGCAAAGTACTTCAAGAAGGAGTCTGAGACGCCGCCGCCGAAGCGGGAACCGTCACCACCGCATGAATACGTTCTGGCCGACAACCCTGATATCGCAGTGAGTTTATATCCTCGAAGAGCGATCTCACTCGTTGCCTGAATGACAAGATCCTCTTTGACGCGTCTCATACACGCGAGAACACGCTTGCTAAGCTATCGCAACCTAGTTCATCGTCATGTTCCGCGCGCGTTTCCACGAAGTGTTCCCCGGATCAGTGCCACATTACGGACCACAAGACATAGAGAAGGGCGTGGAAGAATCTCCCCCGGATGAGGGCATCGAAAGACTTCTTTGCGCATTACTTGGTCTTGTTCTGAATCGCAAGAAGGAGGTCGAGTATGTTGCCACCCGTCAATTGATGCCGTGCGGAGGTGCCTGCACGCGCGCTTTTGCCCCGCCCCTCGTGATGAAGTGGACGACTAACGAGATATGCAAAATTATAGACGAAATCACTTCACGCGCCCTCTAGAAGAAGCTATCCATACACACCAGTCGCAATGGCCCAAAGCCTGGCAAGGCAAAAACCCCCTTCACGGAGGTCGCAGCTTTGCGACCATGTCGCCCGTGGAACGCGTACGCTTGATACCTGCCACGAATCTTGGATCGCAATTCTAACATATTAATACATAGTTGCAATTACTCAAAGCCTTGATACTTTGGTCGCTTTCGTCTTCCGAGGCCGTCGCGGCCAAAATCAAGGAATCCTATAAGCAGGCGCGCCATGATGACGACCTCAACCAGCCTTTGTCCGTTCAACCTTGGGGGCGGGATAGCCTGAAACGCAGGTATTGGCTCATTGAAGGCCAAGATGATACAAACTTCCGACTCTACCGCGAGAGCAACCCGGTTCTTAAACACAATACCTGGTGGAGTGTCGCAGGCAGCATTCCTGAACTGGAGACCGTGGCAGAGAAGCTCGAGGGAGAGAAAGGATTAAATTCCAAGAAACTCAGCGAGAAGATTCGCGCCTCGATTCCCCGATTTGAGGCATCAGAAGAGGTAAATCATTACTCATGGAATCAAAAACGAAGATTTTCGTACTTACAAACATATAGAAACGTCGACGTCGCGAATACCGTCTCGCCCGCAAGGCGGCTTTCACTCGCCCGGATCCAGGGTATTCCATGTACGAGGGTCGTACACGGGGAAAGAAGCTCAAATACACATATTCGGATGACGAAGGCATGTTTTCTGATGAACAGCCTTCTCATCGTCGATCCAATCGGAATGGAGGAGCCGCCGAGGTTCAAACAGAATCCAGGCGACCCCGGTTCACAGCAAGCGGGCGACAGATTCGATCTCGTGCCGGGGGTCTCTATGGCGAGGCTCTCCTTCACGGACAACGCGGTAGTGCTGATGATGATGAATTAGACGAAGAAGAGGAAGTTAGCAGGCCGCAGCGGACTCGGACTTCAATGCATCCAAATGGATACTCCGGATACGATGCTGAAGACCTGGAGGATGCATCAGAAGTGCACTCCAACGACAGCGGCAATGAATGGCGAGGTGTCGAAGATGACATTGAAAATGACTTCGAAGGCGATGACGAGGGAGAACAAGCCAGCGACGACGACTCGGATGAAATTGATGAGCCTGAAAGTCTTGTTGTGCAACTTCGATACGGCAAGGGAGATGCGTCCAGCCATCCTGAAGTTCAGATCGGTAAACCTCCTCCCATGGGGGACGTCGAGATGAAGGATGTCGGAGGAGCTGCCACAGCACCAGCGTCGGCTTCTGCGCAATTTCCGTCGACGACAATGCCCCAAGAAGCAAAGCCTGTCGTTGAAATACCTTCGCTTAACACTCTCGCATCGCCCGCACCGGTAGCCCATGTTCCAACTCAGCCGACACCAAGTGTGGCAGTACCATATGTTGCACCCGAATCGAAGCCGCAACAGCCTGCCCCAAAAGATTCGATGGCCACTTCCATGAACACGGCACAGATTCCTTTGGGCGCCGACATGGCGACACCAAAGGACAACACAGTGGAGCTCAATGGGCCTACCACATCTTGAATCTTGTTGATGTAGATTATTGGGTTTACTCTGGGGTCTTCAGAGTCTCAGCAGGGAGGATCTTGCCCAGTTCTCTGCAACGCTAGGAGTCGGATTATCATGTTAACCCATATTAATTGTTGCTTAATAGACCGATGTCCAGAGGCTCGATTTGTTTTACTATCATGTCGCATGACTAGCTACAAGGACTGATATAGCGTTAAAGCGGCATCTTGAGTCGTTGAATCCACTTGTCCAAACCCCACGACTGTTAAGTAATTCATAAATCTAGCCCTGGAGTATGCTGTAGCGATCTGAACTAGTGGTTTCCAACGTTCACCTGGGCAAAGTTGGAGCAGATGAAATACCATCGCTTCGATCCAACTACATAGATCCAGACTAGACAAATACTTCAGGACTGGGATAAACCTTAACTGGGCAAAGATTCGCTAGCTGGTTCTACATCACACAACAAGCAATTAATGTAACATGGGGTATCATCGTTTGTGGACTGGGTATCTCAAAACAAGAAATCCTACATATGTAGCACCACCGGCTCACATTACTGTACATTCCCGATCCAGTTTCTTGCCTTTCTCCTTGGACTTATCCTTCGATTTGCCCTTGTTCTTCTCACGGGTTCGACCCCTGCCACGCCCTTCCTTATTCTCACCAGCAGCCGGGCCAAGCTTCATCTCATCCACAGCCTCTTCGATCTCCAGCGTGTATTCATTCGCTTCCTCTTGAGGGAACTCACTGGTAGAGATCTTATCCCGACTCAACCGTTCAGCAAATCGTGAGAAAGTAGCGCTGAGTCTATTTTCACCCGTTTGACTACCAGCGCGGCTACCAGCACGGCTTCCGGGGGTACTCTTGGCTGAGCGTGAGCCCCGGCGAGACCAGGATGCCCCCTTCATGTGTTGTTCTTCCATGGGCGCAAGCCTGGGTGACAAAGATGGGATCGAACGAGGCTGAAGGCTTGCCGCTTGGTTGCTGCTCTCCGAGTATGCTAGGCTAGGTCTCCTAGCGGGGTTGGAAAACAATGGCGAGCTGGTATCAGATGGCCCTGTGACTTCAACGCTCGGTCGATCAGAGCCTGCGTCCTCGGGCAGGAAATCCAGTTGATCGCCCAGGGTACTGCCGTCTGAGGCTCGAGAGGAAGGCGCCTGTTGAAGATTCGCGACTGATGGATCCTCTGCGATGGGGAGAATTTGGTAGAACAGAAGATAGGGGGACTCTGTCTTCAAGGCTTGGTCGATGTTAACTAGAGTCACTCGTTCCGCTGCCAGGTCGTCGAATCGCATCCAGTGTTTTGAGAGCTCGGCAGAATCGGTACTGGTTGGCGAGCCCGCGACGTTGGGGCTGGTACCTCGAACAAGTGCAATGTAATGACCCGAATCGACAGAATTTCCTCTGTGGCAGACCAAGGCTTGCAGGGAAAGCTTGAAATTTCCATAGATGGGTGCGTCTGCATCCAAGTTATCGTCTTGAATGAAATGAGGCAGACCAATCTCAGTTGGTATGTCGATGTGGGTGTTCAGTCTGATGGCTCTTCCATCTGGCAGGAAAGAATAGCGTTTGAGGCACATCCCAAGGATGGGCCGCTTAGCAGAGAAATGGGCCGCTACCTGGGCGTCATTCGTTGGCGTGTTATCAGTATACCACGCTAAAGATGGTCATGTCAGCCGAAAGCACTCAATGGGCGGAATATCTGAAAACTCACGGATTAAACTGAAAAACTGCCATGCGGGCATCATGACCTCCTTTTTGATAGCTCCACGCTGTGCCTGACTGTCTGAACTGGATTCTTTCTCGGTATCGACTTCCTCGGTATCGTTATCACCGGTTGAATTCGAGTCTGGGAAAAATCGCTCTCTGACGATACTCGCGCGTCTCCCACCAGCGCGTGATGCCTTAAGCGATTCGGAGAACTCGGTGTATGAGGACCAAGGACTGGCGCCTTCGGCCGGGGTCGTGTCTGTTTCTGTGGGGGACACCGTGGGAGTAGTATCGATCTCTACTGCCTCAATGTGCGAAGTAGACCCTTTGGTCATAGACATAGAATCCGCGGACCTAATGGAAGCAGCGGTGTTTCGCCGCTCCAAGTGCCGTTTCACTTCGATCCTGTTGTTGAAATAAGCCTCCAAGCAGTCCTCGAGGGTGAGAGATGATCCGTCGGTTGGCTCGGGAGGTATAGCAACCTCAAGGAGGCGCTCATTAATGAATTTGTGGTCATCGCTTTCATCCTCTTTTCCAGTGTGATAAATATCCATTTTCAGCGTCAGCAGTGGTAGCTCAAGTTTTTCGGTAATGAAAGTGAATGCTTCTGATGCATCTTGCTGGCGAAGTTGGGCCGCATCTTCCCATCCACATTCTGCCAGGGCATCTTGTAGATGTCTCGTCTGCATTCAATCGTTAAAACAGCCGTGCGACAAAGTAACAAGTCTGGTTCGACTCACCATATCGGTCGTGATCAGCTTTCCGGATCGTAGCAAATTAACCCACAGCCTTAGAAGGACCGCAAGCTTTCGACGAGGCTCATCAGTGAAAGATTTATAGAGAATAGCCTCGAAGCAGTCCAGACGGGCAAACATGGCAAATAACAGGGCATCCAGATAGCAGGTGACGCCTGCGCGATTCTCGGCGCCCAGGAGCTTGGTGTTGGGTGTGTATGTCCGGATGATTCCCTCAATAGAGTCTTCTAGAAGAAGCAGTAAGCTCAATGCCTTCTCTGAGTCACCATGTGTAGCCTTCAATGCGTAACTGATATGTTCTTCTTCTAGAGCCGTGATGCCAAGCTGCTTAATCCGTTGGGCGAGCGATTTGACCTTTGCGCATGTTAGAATAGTGCACGCCGACCGTGATGCGCCTATGCCATACCTTCTTCTCATGATCATTGTTTTCTTCCGACGTTGTCTCCGACTTGAAAAATCCTTGGAATAGCGTCCGTGAGAGAATGTGAGATGCCTAGGAATCGCGGAACGAAGGTCAATGGAAGCTCCTAAATTGCAACACTATCCGGAGATGGGTATAACCTGAAGGAATCGGGGTTTCAATACCTCTTCTTTACTTTGCTTGTTCAGCTTGTGTCGGTCGCGACGAGTCAATAATCGGTGGATGCCACTCATCGTTGCGCGGGAGGATGCTGCAGAGCAAGCCTCCTAGGTAGAACGTAAAAGCTTCAAGGTTGAAGGCGACATGTGGGGGATCAAAGATCCATAGACTAGCGGAGAGCTTAGTCAAGGCTGCAATATTTCGGTGCGCATTGAAACATATCAGAAGCAAAGCTCTTCTGACCTAGACACGCGGCTGAAGCGAAAGTCCGATGATTTAAGATCGATGAACATCACAGGTGATCTGCGGGGCAGTCGGACACTGGGATGGCTGCCTCAGGCGAAATGCCCTAACTTCCTATCTAAGATTGCTATACTCCGCAGAATCCGTAGGTCTAGGATATTAGGGGATAGATATGAAATTCAGCTAATCAAATTGACCTTAATATATGTGAATACTAGTATATTGTCGAGTGCAATCTCTTATGAAAAGCCACGGAGTGTACTAGTATACCAGGCACCACCTTTCCTTATATTGGTTCTATGACTAGAATATACCAGAAGCCACAGCGGTTTGACCCAATTTGAGGGGCAGAAGTATCCCAAGACTCTAGCAATAAGGTAGCCACAAGGCAACTACCTAGTTGACTCACATTTATCGGAAATCTCAACCTCCGTACTCCGTATAAGGTTGTCCGATCTGAACCCCGTGAATGCCTTGTTTATAAGGCCACAATATACAACAGAACCACGTGACTAGTTCCGCGCGAACTTTTTGGCAGGGCCCGGGATGTACACGATTTCATCAACTCCGCAATATTGTCATAATGGCTGGCAGAGAGTCATCCAGGTACCTTTCAAGGGCCCTGCCCCGAGCTGTAGCTCCTTCAATTCGCCCCCAGGGCTTTTTATTGCGCCGCAATGTCTCCGATGAGGCCCCGGCCAGGCGTCTGTCAGACCATCTGACCGATCTGGAATCGACATCCTCTTTTTCCACGCCGGTAGCAGCCAGTGCCGCAGGTTCATTTGATCCGCTTGCACGAGCAGCCGCTCGCAAGACCAAGCTTCCCCGAGGCCGGTAAGAGCACGTCCATTGGGCCATGCGCAAATGACATCGAATCAACGAAACACCCACTAACACAAACATCATTCAGATACCAATTCCGTTCTCCCAAATATGATCGTGGTCCTCTCCACCCTCACCAACCGCCTCCAGAATCCCACCCCTCCTCCCGGTTGTTCGTCCCAGGTCCTTTCTCCTCCCCCCGTGCCGAGCAGAGCTACGAATCCACCGTCGCCCCGGACATCATGACCCTGTGCTACGTCCACACACCCCCCGGCTTCAAGCCTCCTCCCAAAGCGCCCCGTCTCCGTGAATGGGACGACAGCTCACCATACCACAAGAACCGTGTTCTCCGCGGCCCCCGTGGTGGTGATGTCCTGCGTCTTCTCCGCAAGCCCATCAAGTTCAACAACATTCCAGAAATCGAGCGCATCACCATTCACAGCTACGTGAAGAATGCCGCGGCCGAGAACTCGACTTGGTTGCACGTCGCTGGTATTGCCGTCCAGGCTATTTCCAACATGCGTGTTGAGACTTTCAAGTCCAAGTCCAGTGTTGCTACTTGGGGAATTCACCCCGGTCGTGACACTGTGGCTGTTAAGGCTGAGCTGTTCGGCGAGAACATGTACCACTTCCTTGGTAAGCTGGTTGATGTGGTTCTGCCCCGCATCAAGGACTGGGAAGGTGTCAAGGGTTCTTCCGGTGACAGCAGTGGTAACATTACTTTCGGTCTGGAGCCTGAGAGTGTTGCTTTGTTCCCGGAGATCGAAGTCAACTACGATATGTAAGTGTTTCATGGTCCCTAATAGGTGCCAAATAAGTACATGAACAGTGCTAATATTTCCCACAGGTACCCTCCCAAGATGATTCCTGGATGCCACATCACTCTCCACACCTCCGCCAAGACTGATAAGGATGCTCGTCTCCTCCTGAGCGCAATGGGCCTGCCTTTCTACGGAAAGATCGTTAACTAAAAAGGGATGTCCTTGGAGATCTCTTCGTCTTTTCATTATATCTCCGCTTGGATGGTTTTGGAATATCCAGCATGTAACTTTAGAGACGGCCTGTGACAAGGTCACTGTGATTATTTGCAATCGTGTACTATTTTTTATCTCAATTTCAGTCTACCATTTACAGCGATAATTACGGTACAGAAAACATAGGTTCAGGCCTCGCCGAAATGAGTAGTTGCAGAGAAAGGGCCATGGGCCGATGTAGTATTTGAGATGGAAAGTCACCATCATACGTAAAGTCATGTCACAGGCATGTGTCGAGACACAAGAGGCCGAAAAGAAACAGAAAGCAGCCGCTAATTATGCGATGGGTGTAGACAAGAACTCGCACTTAAGCAGTTCATCGGCAGTAGGGCGCTGCTCGTAATCCAAGTGGAAGGTCATGTCCAGGAAACTTTTAGCCTCTTGGCTTACATGGTCCGGAGCAGGGGGGCGAGCCTTGTTACTTCCAATAGCAAAGATGGCCTGCAACTGGCTGCAATCCGGGAAGGGGTGGGCACCGATGAACATTTCGACAACGAGACATCCAAGACTCCAGATATCGGCTTTCTTGGTGTGTGCGGTTTGCCGAACGACTTCGGGGGCCATCCAGTACACGCTGCCTTGGAGGGATGTCCGGTGGATGTGGCCACCACCGCTGCCGCTGGCACGGGCACCGAGAAGGTGGGATGCTTCGACACGTTTTGAGATACCGAAATCAGAAATTTTGACTCCACCCTTGTTGTCAACCAGGATGTTGGCACCCTTGATGTCACGGTGGATGATGTCCTGGCTGTGCAGATATGACAGACCAGCCAGGATTTGCCGGACGAAGTTCTTTACCAGAGGTTCTTGGAATGTGTTGTATTGCTTCAACATTGTAGCAATGGAACCACCGGGAACATACTCCAGGAAAATGTTCAGGTACTGGTCATCGGCGACAGTACCGAGGTATTGCACGATGTTGGGGTGGGACATGCCTTGCAGCAGTTCAATCTCATGTTTCAAAGCGTTGACCATGAGGTTTTTGCGTTGATCAAATTCGGTGCCCTTGGTGGCAGATGGGATTTCGACCTGCTTGACGGCCATCAGCTCTCCGGTAATGGCGTGGAGAGCCAAGAAAACGCTTCCGAAAGAACCCTCGCCGATCAAAGATCCCTTCATCCAGTTCTTAGGGGCGAAGTTGTTTCCAGCCAAGAAGTCAACAAGGCCGTCGTCTTCCTCCTCGCCATCCTCGGCCACAATGACGCTCATTCTGTCATTGAATGAGCCACCATCCGTGGCAGCGACGCTGAGACTCTCAAAGCTCTGGCGCAGGGGGTTGGGTTCATCAAGTCCATCAGAGTTGCTTTCAAACGAAACATATGACTTGCGGTTCGGCTCTGTCGGTGATTCCTCCTGGAGCGGCTGAAGAGAGCTCGATGCAATCGAATCCCGATATGATGCCTGTGGCAGGTTGAATCTAGACACTGAGACGGGTCGTGGCGCCCGTAATGCCTGCGCATGTCCAGGGCCTTGAAGCCATTGGTCGGCGATACTAGGAATAGGAGGAAGCTGGGGTAGAGGTGGTAAAGGTGGCGCGTCTTTCATGCTTGATGCAACGCTATAGTTGCTGACAACACTCATGCGACTTGCCGCACGACTCAATCGTTGAGATCGGCGCATCGTCTTCTCGATGTTTTCGCGGTCATGACTGGGGAAGAATGACTGCAGTTCGTGAATGATCATTTCACTAGGTGGTCGCTGCCCGAAGAAGGAACGAAGCTTGGCCGCTGGGTGTCGTTCTTCGTTTGGTCCCCGTTGTTCTTCGAGGCTGGAGTTGGATGGGCGATGCCGGGGACCCAGGGGAGACAGCGGTTGTTTGATATTATGCCAAGATTCGCCGGTAAGTTGCTGGATCTTGTGTTTCTGCCGCTGGTTGGAATTATTCAAAGCATGCTGATGTGTGGCCTGACTTTCATCATATGCGAGCTGAGAGGCCCGACGAAGCTCATCTTGATCAGGCTCACCAGCGTGAATCTTCCGAAGAATTAAACGGCCTCGCTCAGATCGACTATAGCTCTCGCAGATATCCATGAGCTCGTTTTCGGCAAGCTTTCGGCAATTGGACAAGTCTGGATCGAGCCCATCCAGCACGTAGAAACAATAGTTTCTGTATTGATGCTCGGGAAGTTGGAGCTTCTTTAGAACACACAAGATGACCTCGTCTGGCGTTGCGCAATTTCGAATGTCCAAAACCTTCGTTTGGCCGCCTGTGTAGATAACACGGATAACAGGCGAGTTTAAAGGCAAAGGGCCCATTGTTAGGCCGTCGAGACTAGGGTTCCGTGGATGGGAGCTCCCTCTGGCTTCGTTTGGCGTCGCGGGGTTTCGGCTGGAACTCGATCCTCCAGAAGATGGATGATTGTAATCTTTGCGCCATGCCACCTTTTCGGTGTCAGCGGCGGGTGGTGACCCAGGTAGGTAGCCGTCATCGGCCAGCTGAGATGTTCGTCGATAGGGAAGGCGGGAGTGGGAGTAGCGGGAGGAATTTGAGAGGGCCGTGGCTTCGAGCGCAGCTAGAGTATTCTTTTTTCGCGGTTAGCATGGGAGGCAGGCAGCCATCCAGGCACCGACTTACCATGTTTTTCTGTCGTGAGGTCGTTCCGGACTTGTTTCTAAGTTGCTTGATAGCGACAAAGATGCGCACTCGATCGCCGACCTTTTTTATCCCCATCTCCTGTAAGATCTTTTGATCGCACTCGAGGAGGTTGTCTCCATTGAAGTTGTTGGCTGGGGGGTATTAGCGCGTCCATGAGCCTTTCCGTCCTCGCAGGTACACGTACATCGAAAGAGCGATTCATATTGCCCGCACTTGATGCTGTGAAGCCACGCAGCCACTCGCTTCTCATCCCATCCCCTGCCGAACGTCAGAATCACGGCGCAAGGGCGCGGGTCCTATCAATAGGCTACCTACCGGATCGATGCAAGATCATCCTGCCCCTCTGACAGCTCTGATTTTGTGGGGCTGATGAATCCCGATCCATCCTGCGCTCTCGTCGCCGTCGCGGGTCTCTGTGAGGAATTGTGGTATGCGGTGGGTGTCTGAGACGATGCACTCGGTGCAGAGTATTGCTTGGGCGCCAACATGGTTAAGAGGGGTCAAGCGAATGACTTCGGGTTCGGGCGCCGGGTGCTGACGATGGGAGTCTGCGTCCTTTCCTCCCGAGGGTGCGGCCGACTTTCACGTTTCGACTAATTCACAGAGGGAAGTGACGGAGGTCAACACATAATCCCGGTTCCCTGATCACCTGTCAGTCGCAATTGGATTTTGGAGTCTCGTCCGACCCCGCGAGGTGTCGCGAGTTGGCTGCAACGGGCAAGACGAGACAAAAACGCACATGAGAAGAGAGACTGACCAGGATAGAGAAGGAATCTAGGCAGGATCAGAATGAGCTCAACGCAGCTTACCGTCTGAGCTTTTTTGGGGCGAGATCGGGCGGGCCAGATTAGTGTCGTTTTCGATCGGCAAGATAACACACGACTCCCCACTGACAGGAGTCTGTCTAAATCACACCCTAGGGAAAGGAGAAGGATGAAGTTGGATATCGGACTTCTGAAACTCGCAACCCATGGAACCCGTGGAGTCCCTGACTAAGGTTCTCAAGTTCCAAAATTCCGTATTGTGGTATGGCATCGGTATCAAGGGGATTCAGCACATAGTTCGTACTGGTTCACGGGTATGAGCTAGACTCTACTCCGTACTTATCCACCGATATAAATACATACGGAGTATTGTGTAGTACGGTGGGACTTGTACCCACCGATGAAACAGCGGCTCTATGAGATGAAACTTCAGGTCTGAGACTCAATCAATACTTATGCACCGAATCGTTAGTGGGAATCCGTATTGAACTCAATTCCACGTCGCTTCCTTTTGCCCTAAGGACGAGTACGGAGTACTGTAGTATGTACAGATCTCGTTTGGACGTTCTCGGCTTCCACTAGCCCGGCCAGAGTTCTACTCCGTTAAGTTGATTTATTTTTATATCTGTTTATTTCCGAACTTGTGCTGCCACATAACAGGCAAAAGACTCACCTGGGCATGTTCCAAGGTTATATCTAGCAGAGCAATGGATATATATGTATCCCAAGATCTTCGAACACGAACGGGTCAGCCGAATATATATACCATCACATCTTTGGAAATTCCAATATGCCTTTTGAATAACCTTCCAAGGTTGGGACTTCACAGGCCTATATAGGCATTAAAAGGCGACTCGGGGACAGGCCATTGATTAGCAATGGCTAGTTCTCATTCGAGATCCCAGATTGCATGTTCTGCTATATCACATTTGGGGTGTTCTATCTACATATGTCGGGCATTTTCCACCATGCTCCGCCCCCGCATAAACCATGCAACATACGATAACACATAGGAAGAGGCCCCTCTCCAAATAGAAGTAGTTCTACTCGAGTATGTCGCTGTGTTTACTCGAGGCCGTGGGACACGTGACCGTCCCCTCACCAGAGCCCCCCACAGTCGAATTTCCCCGCTCAAACAGCCGGCCTCAGATTCTTCCCCTCTCTACTGCGCTCCAATCCCAACCCCCCAAACCCTCATTATGGAGGAAGAAAAGTCCAAAACGAAGAAAAAAGGTGCCACTCACCGCAAATCCTTATCCTGTGAATATTGCAGTCGATCGTTCGCTCGCTTAGAGCATCTCCAACGCCATCTCCGCACACGTTGAGTAACCCCCTCTTCCCCGGCCGGGATTTTTTTAGCTAATGTAGGACAGATACCAAGGAGAAACCCTTCTCATGTGACATCTGCTCCAAATCCTTCGCCCGGAGGTAGGTCTCCCTTTGCGCCGAATGCACAAGGTCAATCGCTCATATCATTTTCTAGTGATCTTCTAGTGCGACATGAACGACTAGTGCACCCTGCCGAGAGCGCTGCCAGTCGAGAGCATCGAGCCCAGAATGATTCCGAACCCAAACATGAAATCCCCATCCAGTCCAACCTCATCCACCCGCCCCACCATGAATCGCGCATGCTAGAACTTGCGGACGCTATTCCAGTACACACCCAAATACCTCCTCCGCCTGCACCCGAAGTTGTCCACACTCCATCCATTATTGATACACCCCATTTCAATCCCTCATGGGGCTATGATTTGAATCTGTTATCCCACGCCGCAAGTCATGTCGCCCTAGAAGGTCAACAGGAGAGCTTAGAGTCTATGAGAAAACCCTCCCACACCGCTGCCCCGATTTCACAATCCATCCCCCAAGTCCCGGAAAGAGCTATTGCCGATAACTATGGTGTAGAGCCTTCAATTCTGGACCTTGCAGATCTTGGGGACCCTGTTCAGGATTTCACAGTCTTTCTGGAGAGTGTGGGCTTGTCGTCAGATTGGGACTCTGGCGTGTTCTCGTCGGTCGAGGAACCCATGCTACCACCTGGTATGGGAATAGACGCAAAGTCAACTCGTGACACATTACCTGCGCGGCTGGGCGGGGATCTGATGAACGAGTCACGGCCCACTGATGACCAGCCCTCTTTCTCGAACTTTGGATCCCGGCTTCCGTCATTACAGCCGGAATCCCACGAAATGGACGATCGCATCGGCCTTGCCGATGACAGCACGCGACCAGCGTGGGATATTTCCAATTCAGAACGTCAGGCGTTCATCATGAAACTGGAAGAGTTTTCATATGTTCTCCCCAAAGGATTCGTTCCACCCTCACGTCATGCCCTATCTAGGTTTTTTGCTGGGTATATCAATGGGCTGAATGAGCATCTACCATTTATACATGTCCCGACGCTTTCTGTGGCGAAGTGCTCTCCTGAGCTCACGTTAGCTTTGGCAGCTGCAGGCTCGCACTACCGGTTTGAAAACAGCCGGGGTATTGACCTTTTCCATGCTGCCAAATCAATTCTACTAGAGCGTCTTCGTCGAAGAGACAGCAAGCAAGTTCCACAGCCCTCATGGAACTATATTTCCCCGCCTTCTGGCTTTCACAACTCTCGCGGTTCATCGATGATGTCTAACACGGCAAGCAGTCCATACCAGCATCATCAGCAAATGGCCAATGCCCCTATGAGCGCATCAATATATACCTTGGACGACTCTGATGCTCACATGGAAGTGATTCGGACGTTTTTGCTACTGACCGTGTTTGCCTCATGGGAACGACACCCTGAGCTGTTGCGAGAGATCCTCTCGCTCCAGAGCACCTTGGCAAGACTCGTACGTGAGCATGGCTTGTCTGAACCACCTCCCACCCCAGACCCTATTTCATGGGAAGAGTGGGTACGGCGAGAGGGTAACAGACGTACCAAGCTTATTGTGTACTGCTTCTTCAACCTCCATTCGATCATGTATAACATTCCTCCACTAATCCTGAACGGGGAGTTGAAGTTGAACATGCCGTCCTCTCATGATCTTTGGAAATCAAGCAATGCCATCCAATGGCGTCGCGTGAATCGCACTCGCCAGGGTTCAGACGTGCCCTTCCAAGAAGCATTTGCTAGACTGTTCTTAAAGTCCTCGGTGTCTCTCCCTTCAGCACCGATTTCCCCACTTGGGAATTATATTCTTATTCACGCAATTATACAACAAATCTTTTTCGCCCGACAGCTCTGCCTATCTGCCCCCCACATGCAAGGCACTAGCTTAAGGCACGAGGACTTGAATGTGCTTGACAATTCATTGAATGCATGGAAGGCCCTGTGGAAACGCACGCCCGAATCCAGTATTGACCCCCAGAACCCTGCGGGTCCAATCGCATTCACCTCCACAGCTCTACTGGGGCTCGCTTATATCAGGCTGCATGTTGATCTAGGCCCTTGCCGCCACCTGATCACACAAGATCCGGTCCAGATCGCGACAGCTTTGACCGAGTCGCCTCCAATTGCACGCAGCCCGCGGCTGATAATGGCACTACTCCACTCAGCCCACGCTCTTTCCATCCCGGTACGGCTGGGAATTGATTTCGTGGCCAGAACACATTCGTTCTTTTGGAGCATTCAGCATTCACTATGCAGTTTGGAATGTGCTTTCCTTCTCAGCCGCTGGTTGCTCTCCATCCCTGCAACGCAATCCGAACAGAGATTGTCGGAGCATGAGCGTAAATTGCTTTTGTGGATTAAGAGCATGATGGACGAAACTGAAATGGCTGTGGATCCGCCAGGTGCGCCTGATATGGATTTCATGGCAAACCCCTACAAGGTGCGCCAACTGAGTGTTGCTATTGTTCGTGTTTGGGCACGGACTTTCAAGGGCAATACCAGTTGGGCGATTGTGGACTTGGTCGGTTCTAGCTTGGATGCTTATGCGGACCTCCTGGAATGCTGAGCTAAGTGTCTGTTCGCTTCGCAAGTCAACCTCTTGAGTCAGTCTTTGCACTGGCAACGACGTGTGCCTCTGCAAGGGTCGATTCAATTTGCAATTGACATCGGGCCACCATCCCAGGATGACGCTGTTTTCTATCTTTTTTGGCCGAGAAAAGTATCGAAGGCCTTGAAAGGCCGTCCTAATAATGCCATTGATGTGTTTTTCGATGATGTCCGGGAGTTTGGTTTATGGGTGACCGGGGTGTGGGGATATCTTTCAAGGTTCTCCTTGTGCAATGTTTGTTTAAATCTGTATGTAGTTATTATGATTCAGTCACTTGCTTAGTGCTGTCGATACCCTGTCGATGTTTCCAAGGTTACTGGAGACAATGCCACTTGTTCATTCTGCTTGGGCTGGTTTTGTTTCTTTGACTCTTGACTGCTCTTGTTCTACTGTATCCCAGCGTAGCTTTTTGATATAAAATAGATCGGCCGGTGGACAGAGTCCGGGTATCTTGCAAACATCGACGTATATTCGTTTCTTTGTTATGATGCCTATTTGCCAGGCGCTTTGCCCCGATTTCTTGCGACGCTCGCAGGGACAAATTTCAGAGCAGACATGGACTTTTCTAGCTCGTCTATATCCATGTCCCCTGATGTCTTCTCCTCAGCCAATACATTTGCCGGCGGTGTTGATTGGGAAGCCGAGCTCCGGCGGCGCAGCCTGCCCTCCAGCGCGGATGATGTTGAGATGCGCCGTCTGTGACTGTTCATAGGTCGTAGCATGGATGTTTGCTTATCGATCCCGTCATTCACGATGAAGAAATTATAGCTCTGCAGATTGTGTGAGTAGCATTAGATTTCACCTTCATTTGACTGCATACCCTGGGAAACATGTGCTTATCAATTAGATGGAGACGGCGTTTCTGAGGCGTAGAGCACTTTCGCTCACAGTCCTCGACGAAGCATCCATACTATCACTTGAATTAGCCGAGGCCCTGTCGCAGCGATTGATCAGAGCCCTGGGGGCTTACAGTTTTCTCGCCTCGGGCTCGCCGGGCAGCAATCAGTGGGTCATGGTTTTCCTCGATGTGTACATTGAGTAAATGACCAACTGGGAAGTTCTTGTTGCACTCAGAACACCGATTGACATGATCCTGAAGGTAATGAACCTCGTAGTCCTCGTAGGAAGTGAATGAGAGAGTCTCGCGGTGAGGCGGTAAGGAGCAATGCATCACTTCGGGGGAGGCCTCGGTGTCAGTGACCACGTACTTCGTACGTTCAGTAGAAATATCAGTGGCGTTTCCTTCAGCAAAAGAGGCCGAGCTTGACTCTTTTGAAGGAGATGAAGATGCCGAGTGACCTCGGGGACGTTTAGACATGTTGATCCAGCTCGCCTTGCATATGGATTGATAGGTCGACTTGGCGAGGGGTCACGTAGTGGAGCCCAGGGAGAATCAAAAGACGGTCTATGACGGGCTTGCCATTGATCAGTGCATTCTGTCTCCAATTGCCCTCATTGGAAGTTCACCAGCAGAGAAGTGGGAAGGGCATGAAGAGACCGTAATCCGCATACGGATATAATACCTCCCGCCTTGGCGCCACCAATCAACCACATCGGGACCGCATTTATGCATTTTCCATAACCTCGCTCACCTTCATGTCTCCATTCTGATGGCTTGTTTACTGCCGACCTTCAAAGCCATAGCCATTTGACCGGCGAGGTTCTCGGGATCCCCGAGCCAACTCACTGATGGCGCCCTTTACGGATGCCTGGAAGTCAGTACTTCTTTCCCCTCCTCGGATCAATCGCGAAGCACCCATCTAACCACTTGTGGGGTACAGGACTGCGGTAGAAGCTGAGAAGGGACTTTTACAATGCTTCTCGCAAGAACGTCGCACCTTCGATGAATTCGAGCATTACCTCGCCGAGTCAGTCGCCCAGAAAGCCCCGCGCGCACCGTCAGGCTGACACCGTTGCACATAGATTCCGAACATCATGCCAAAACGCACTACTCTTTGACTTCAATGCCGCCCGCGAGGCCGATGTCGAGGGCCGTCTGTGGGATGCGCATCTCAAAGTGAACAGTCGGTTCCGCAAGCAGCTGCTTCGCGTGAGTGGCGCGCAGTATCATTTTGCCAGGGTGGTATAGCTGATCACATATGTGCCCAACTAGTTCCGTGAAGAGCACGGCAAAAAGAAACCGGTAGAAAGACGGAAACTCGAACGCCACTATCTCGATTTCATCAAGTCCAGCCAGCGGTTCTACAGGGGATACATCCAGCATTTATCCTCTCGCTTCGGGGGAGTTGTTGAGCTGGAGAGGGTTGCGCGCAAATTCAATTTCGAGAGTAAGGCACACCACCGACTATGCGCCGGCCTAGTTGATATGCTAAACAGTTGATGTATTCAGACTTGTCTGGCCAACCTCCAATCAAGCCCTCCGGTGACCTGCGCATACTTATTCTGCAATCGTGCCACTCAACCCTTATTCGACTGGGAGATCTTTCCCGCTATCGCGAATCAGAACTCGTCAGCAAAGATCGGAATTGGGGTCCTGCAATTGGCTACTATGATTTGGCAGCTGTGATCAACCCTGCGTCTGGCGCATCTCAGAACCAGCTAGCAATCATAGCCTTGGCTGACGGAAATCATCTTCGTGCCACATATCATCTCTACAGAGCTCTCTCGGCCCAGGAACCCCACCCTACGGCCCAAAATAACCTGGAGCTCGAATTTCGAAAAATCATGAGCGCCTGGGCAAAGAGGGAATTGATTCGTCCTGAAGATGCTGGCATTCCCGGCAGAGCATTGACGCCATGGTTCCTTTATCTCCATGCCAAATGCTACAAGGGCACTGATTTCCCAGAGCATGATGAGCTTGAGAGCGAGGTTCTCAGTCAGCTGGGAGTTGAAATAAGAGAAAGATCACTGGAAGGCACACTCCAGAAGTTCTGTCTTATCAACATCGCAGCTGAGGATTTTGCGAAGTTCCGCTCTACCGGTATGAATGACATAGTTGATGCCTTCAAGCTTATACTAACCTGTCCCAGAGGAATCTGCCTCCGACGCACGCGTTTTCTTCCAGCGAATTAACGTTAAAACATTTTTTACCCTGCTCCAAATTCTTTTGGTTGAGCTAGAAAGAACAGCCTCATTCGAGGACTTGGGCAAAGACTCTCTTCCGAGCCCAGAAAAGGTTTCAGTGGTAGCACGTCGCATTCTGCCTGCGCTTCGCCATTACAGCTCATGGTTGCTCACTAACAACCAAGCTTTGGTTGATCAGAAGGAAGAAAAGGACTCGTCGCTCTCGATCCAGATTAAAGAGTTCTGGAAGATCTACGCTGGGACTCTGAGCTTGCTCGCATCCTCATTCGATGTAGTCACGCTCCCTGAGATTGACTACTTACTGGAAGAAGACGAGGAAAGCCTTGGCTTTGCGCCTCTGGACCAAGATGCTACTTCTCGCCGGTATGTTGGAGGAGGTGCCCAGCCCAAGCCTCGCATGCACGATCTTGGAGTTGAACGAAGCCACCCCAATATGGAAATGCTCTACCGAATCCGCGAGTTCGTGATTGATGGACTTGATTTGGTCGTGAGAAGTGTATGTGAAGTTCCTATGCATATCTGGACCACGCTGACCTAGTGCAGAAAATCCCGGTTGCCCTTGTTGATAGCGAGGACAAAAAGACTTTCATCTACCAGGAGGAAGATCTACCATCGCAATTCTTCTCGAGCCCTCACGATCGAAACCAAGCTCTTTCAGCTGGAAACATCGAGCGTGAGGATATTCCTCAAGCACCTCAACATCCGCACTCTGTCGCCGAGGCGCAGAGTCTGTTCGGTGGCTCTCAATCTGCATCGGCATCTATGTCTGCAAACATGCACCAGATCGTGGAAGGCGTTGAGCGGCTGGTGGATTCGGATACATACGAAAATCCTTCCGATGACCAATATGCGTTCCTGAGTCCGGTTGGGGAGATTCTTACGCCCACGCGTGTCTCCCCCAACCCCAACTCCTACCCGTTCGGAGAACAAAGCACCCCGCCGCTGAACAATCATATTGGTCCTCCACCTGGGCTTGCGCCTCCCGCCTCAAACGGAGTCGACCTCCTTCGATCCTCCTCGGCTCAGTCATACACGCCGAGGCCAGCAATACCCAGCATACCAAGCATCTGGAATCTAGGAAGAGATAATGCCTCTCCACGAACTCCCCCCGGTCTCGGCCCACAAGCACCGGCTGGCCAGCAAGTCCCGCTGCATCCCGCGACTGCTGGAAGTGGCTTGTCATCTGAACGCACGTCGTCCCAAGAATTTGCCAACGAGATAATGCTTCGACAGCACCTCTTGGCTCAGAGCCAATACTCCAACTCGGTAGATGTGGGATCAATGCCGACGCCGTGGTCATCGTCCACCATGTCTCCTGCTCAGCCACGTCCCTCCGGCACCGGTTGGGATCACGGACGAACAACTTTGGGTGCATTCGAGCTCCCAAGCCAAGTCTCCTCTAGCAGCATGGGCCATCCTTCATGGGCAAATGAAGCTTTCCTCGCCAGCAGCCTTGCCAGCGGATCTCCATACGGCTCTGGCATTGCAGGCCGCAAGCCAGTAACGCAACTTGGGGCGATCGGCCAAACACCACCGTGCGGCCAAGGAGGTTGATTTGAACATCGAGGGCGCAAGCCCTTGATTCTTATTTTGAGTTCGTTGACCGTGCATACGCATACAGCACTCCCGGCCGGGCAACCTTCCTGACCTGACTGCAACTACTCCGTAGGCCTCCAGTCATCCTGGCTTGTGCCGTACTTGGTTTCTTGGAATAGCCGCCTGTGATTTTCGGTGCGACTCGCGTGGATTTGGACGCATCTACTCACTACATATCCACTTGCAGTGACCTTCGCAATTTGTACTGCAGTGCGCCGGTTCACGAACGGGATATCCTGTCCTAACACACTCTGCCGTGAGAGCTCCAGTCTCCTAGCGAGAACATCCTGGCTTTTCTCAATGAGATTATCCAAGTTCTTGCTACCATCGAGATTTATCTGGACGGATGTGCGCGTTCAACACGCGGCATGATTGAAATGAGGAACGATGAAGGCATCTATTAGCCTTTGAAGGAGACATTGATTTCGTTTTGCTTCCTGCCCTTTGCGTGCGAATTGACCACATTCCTCGTTCTCGTCCTTGCCTTTTGTGAATTGTCTTCCGCGCTTGGGGAATCGTGCCTATGGTGCTTTTTCTCAGAGTTTTGGGTATTGGGCTTCAAAGACTGCTCTCCGATAGTTTCTGGATTCGGTCGCGCTGGTTATCTTATTGAATATCACCCATCTTCCTTTGGCGTTTGGCCTGTATCTTGTAGAATACCTAGGTAGGTATCTGTGTTGTTGTGGCGATCAACGTACCTAGTACTGCCGAGGCTCTGACATTTTCAAGGTTGGGCTCATCCTGCACAAGCGAGGTGAACTTGAGTAGATGCCCAGGTAAGCTCATTTCATCCGATAGTTAATTGAAACCAGTTATAAAACCGCGCAAAAAGGTATTTGAAAAGATGTTCTTTTTCATTCAGTTATTGAGACAGTACGTTGAAGTCATCATGAGTAGAAAGGAAAGATGGGGTATAGAGGGTTGAATCATCTGGAATCATGTGGTGCTTATCCGTTGTTAGAACTGGAGTATAGCACAGAATCCTCCAATATCAGATTGGAAGATGTGTTGAAAGTAGTTCAGTAGTCTATGTTTCTTTTTTGTTTTCGTAGTCTACGTTTTGCTCGCTTAAGAACGAGAGTAGGTCTGCTTGGGGGAGGGGTAGCTATGGTAGCAGTAGTTAGCAAGATATCCATCAGTAGTAGGACAGCCATCCTGTTGCATAAGATGGCATGTGACATGGAAAACTCACGAAGGTCCAAGTTCCTGGATGCTCTTGCTGGCGAGCCACTGGCCCATGTCGATGCTGTCATCAAGAGACTTTCCAGCGACGATACCGGCGCAGAAACCACCGGCGAAGGCATCACTGAAGAAAGTTAGTATGCGCAGAAAACGTCAAACTGAAGGATCACTTACCCGGCGCCGTTGGTGTCGTTGATGGCGTCCTTGGAGATCTCGTGGACGTTGAACTCCTTAACCTCGACGGCACCGGAGGCAGAGCCGGTGGCGACAATGGTAGGGAGGGTACCCTGGGTGACGATGGCCACACGGGGACGCTGGGTGTTCTTCTTGGGGAGCTGAGCGAGCTTCTTGGCAATCTCGGTGATGTCCTCGGTGCCCCACTCGTGGCTCTGAGAGTAGGCGATGGCCTCGGTCTCGTTGCAGAATGTGTAGTCAGTGTAGGGGAGAACGCTGTCCAGCTGGTCCTTGAAGAACTGAGGGATGAAGGGGGCAGACAGAGACAGCATGAAGGCCTTATAAACCAATGCATTAGAATGAAATCCAAAGTGGCAGACTGCCCGGGATAATATGACATACCTTGTTCTTAGCTGCGGCCTCCTCACCGAGAGCAATGATGGCGGGAACACAGACAGTCAGGTGGTATCCACCGACGTAGTAGACCTGGGCCTTCTCAACGAGAGACCAGATCTCGGGCTGCTTCAGGTGCTCGATCTTGTACTCGTTGGCAGCAGCAAGGTGGGTGCACATGCTGCGGTCGTGACCAGTGATGACAACACCACACTTACCGGTGGGCTGGGCTTCATCGACACGGTACTCGGTGTGGACACCGGCCTCCTCACAGGTCTTCTTGAGGATGTCACCGTACTTGTCCTTACCGATGCAGCCGATGTAGACAACAGACTGCTCGGGGAGGAGGTACTGAGAGCAAAATAGTCAGAATCAACGGTTAAAGTATGAAGTGGATTGCTAAGATGCATACCTGAGCACCACGGGCAGTGTTCTGAGCGGCACCACCGGGGATCAGCTTAGCGTCCCGGGAGAGGAGATCCTCGTAGATGCCCATGTGCTTGTCCTCGGCGAGGATGGCATCGTTGGCCTTGAGGCCGTACTTCTCAAGAAGAGCGGCATCACTAAAAAAACAATCAGTTTGAGCCCTAACAATGATAATTTCGAGTCCACCCATACCCACGAGCCTGGATGTCTAGATAACAAGTCAGAACTGGATTTTCAATATCATTGAGGGGTACATACCGAGGAGAGGGTTCTCCAGACAGAGAAGAGGGTAACCTTGAGCAGCAGCCATTATGATATGATAGTGATAATTGGATAGGGGATTGAAAAGGTGGGCGAAGGTGGGAGGATATATGGCGGGGCTGGCAGAAAAGAGCGGACTGCAAGGTATCTGATCTCCACCGGTTACGGCCGATGCTTGTCCGAGCCTGGATCCCCGACAAGCTACGCAATATGGCCGGTCACGCTATGGAGATCCCAGAGATTATTCAATCTGCAAGCATCAATCACAATCCTGATCCAAATCACGATGTCAACCCGTCCACCGCAGCTTCAGAAAAGCATCCCGTCGTGGTAGACCCGGAGTCCGACTCGGAAACAAACAGCATCGCCTCCGACATCGTTGATCCACGCCGCGCCATTCATCCTGTTCGCCGGCGTCAAAACCTTCCTCCTCTCCCGGATCTTCGCTTCGAACAAAGCTACCTTGCCAGCATCAAGGATGCCGAATCCTGGGGGCGCGTGGCGTGGATTACCACCAGGGATCAGGTACGCATAGTCCCGATACAGGTTTCCACGAGTCACCATGCGAGTGGGCAACCGAATACCAGTACACCAAGCTAACACGATTCTTTTCACCAGGTGCTACTTCCTCTGATCCAAGGAACTCTCTGGACCCTCGCGCTATCAGGCTGGCGCTTTTGGAACCGCAACGCCTCTGTCAGTGGACACACACTTGGCAGTAGAGTACGCCGATGGTGGTACGAAGTGAACAACTGGCGACTTCCACAACTGCCATCTGTGAGAGATCCGCGACTCGCGTCGCAACTTGAAGATGTGAGCAACGTCCCCCCCAATGATTAATGTTCTCATCTGATCCAGACCAGAACTAGAGCGGCTGACGGTCGAGGAGTTCCTACAGTTTTATACAGCCCAATTTTCCAACGCAGGCTCTGACTGAACCTACTTCTGCGCTGGATGCGATCTATTGATACTTTGATTCGAGGGCCCAACAGTGGCTTCTGGGCAAAGCACATACCAGTAGATGGCTTGCATTATCGGCGTTCTTTGCGCGTTTAGAGGCGTCCGCCCTTATTGATTCCCATTTGCATACCCTATTATCTCAATCTCAGTATACAGAGCATTGATTTCTCTTGACTTGTCACCCTACTTTCGTGCGCCTCGGGGCCCAGTACACTGAGATCTGAAGATATCGTCTCAGCATAGATTAGATGGGAGGTTGTAGCTTGGTGCTTGAAAACTATGGCTTTATGATAGCTATTCTTCGGTGTGAAATATGAGAATGGAATGTTATTCTCGTCTAGAATCAAATAATGTACTAATGCCATCTCGCAGTCGTCAAGATGCCCAGGTAAACGTCGCGATGCGGTGTCGCACAGATCGGTAGCCTCAGGTGTCGAAGTGCCAGGGCCTCCGCATTGCACGGATCCCAAGAGCTCCAGGTCACCAACTCGCGAGGAACTCAACCTGCCCCAGTCTTCTGTGATCGGCATGATATAGTGCCCCCACAGCTAGCGCATCATGGCGCTGGAACCATCCAGCAGTTATGTTGCTCCGAGCAACCTAATGGAGCAGTCGAGCTCCTCTCTCCCAATGTTTGACGTCGAACAGGTGCAGTTGGCCTTCACTGTCGCCGCCGACTTCGTCGCAGCACAGGTTGCGAACAATGTACTTGTGCTAGCATTGTCGACAAATCGCATCCTCAGAATTGATCTGGACTCCCCAGAAGATGTTGAAGGTAGACTTCCGCACCCCCCGCAGCAGACACCCGCCACCACAACTTGATCTAACGGAGCTCCTGAACAGACATTGATCTCCCAAAGAAATCCTCGGAAGTCGGGGTCATCCGACGCATGTTCCTTGACCCTTCGGCCTCCCATCTTCTTATAACCACAACCTTGGGCGAGAATTACTATCTCCATGCACAGTCACCATCGCGGCAGCCGAAACTATTGTCTCGATTGAAAGGCGTATCGATCGAGAGCATCGCCTGGAACCCTTCCCTCCCCACTGCTTCCACTCGAGAGATTCTTATTGGTGCTACCGATGGCAATGTCTATGAAACCTACATTGACCCGTCTAGCTACCGATTGGAGAAGTACCACGCCCCAGTCTTCCAGGTACCTGGTGCCTCCCCGGTAGTTGGAATATCGGTGGAGTCGGTGCCCTCCAGACCAGACCAAAAGAGGGTACTTGTTGCCACATACGGAAAGCTACTGCAATTCATTGGCCGAGCGGCAATTTCAAAGCATGGGAGTGGTGGTTCTGTGTACTCTGAGCTGTTCCAGCGCGAGACACCATCAATTCATGAACTGCAGCATCCATCTGAATCTGCACCATCCTCACTAGTGGTGTCTCCTCCGTCTGCAGCTGGATCTCAGGTCGAAGGGTCTATCGCAAAGGAATTTGCGTGGCTCAGCTCTGAGGGCATTTATCACGGACAGCTTGACTCAGACTCCCCGTTCAAGACCGCAAAGATGCTTCCACGCTCTGTTTTTCCAGCTTCGGAATCACCCCGTGGAGGTCGCAAATTGATACAGGATCCGATCTCTGCGATGACTCTTTCCCAGTGGCATATTTTGGCTCTTGTCGGAGGCAAGGTGGTCGCTGTTAACCGTCTCAGCCAAGAAATTGTCCACAATCAATCAGTGTTGGAACCTGGCCAGAGTGCCCTGGGGCTCTTGACAGATCTGACCAAGAACACCTATTGGCTTTTCACAAGCCAGGCCATCTACGAGGTTGTGGCTGGCGAGGAAGACCGTGATATCTGGAAGATCTTCTTGAAGGAGCAGAACTTCGATGATGCCCTCGAATATGCCCGAGGTGCATCACAACGAGATGCTGTGATGACTGCTTGGGGTGACTCTCTGGCAAGCAAAGGCCACTTCGGGGAAGCAGCCAAGGCTTGGGGAAAGAGTAGCAAAGGATTTGAAGAAGTTTGCCTCACTATGATCGACAATAAGGAACATGATGCGCTGCGCAATTACCTGCTCTCCCAGCTCGCAACATACAAGAAGGCGTCTCTGATGCAAAGAATAATGGTCGCGAGCTGGCTTGTGGAATTATTCATGTCCAAACTGAACTCTCTCGACGACAACATTGCCACCAAGGCCGAGCTGGCCGGAAGTACGAGCACCGGAGAAATCAAGGACCAGCTTGGTAAAATCCGAGCCGAGTTCCAGGGCTTTGTGAATAATCACAAAGCAGACCTGGACAAGAAGACAGTATACGATATTATCAGCAGTCACGGGCGGGAGGAAGAGCTGCTGTTCTTTGCGACTGCTACGAACGACCATAATTATGTCTTGTCATACTGGATCCAGCGTGAAAAATGGCTGGAAGCTTTGAAGGTTCTCCAGCGGCAAAGCGACGCAGATGTCTTCTACAAGTACAGCAGCGTGCTCATGACACACAAACCTACAGATCTGGTTGATATCTTGATGCGCCAGACGAACCTTGACCCTGAACGCTTAATCCCCGCATTGTTGAATTATAACAAATCCGCCAGTGTCTCTTCGCTCAGTCAAAACCAAGCTGTTCGGTATTTGAACTTCATAATTGTCAACCACCCCAATCCAGCCGCAGCAGTTCACAACACTCTCATCTCCATACATGCCTCCAGTCACTCCACCTCCGAAGCTGGACTTCTCACCTACCTCCAATCGCAAACTTCTTCGCCCCCTCCGTACGACGCGGACTTTGCACTTCGTCTTTGCATTCAGAACCAACGAGTTCAGTCTTGCATCCATATTTACAGCACTATGGGCCAGTACCTTCAAGCCGTGGAGCTAGCACTAGAGCACGATGACATTGATCTTGCTGCCATTGTCGCCGATCGCCCAGAGGGCAACGACAAGCTGCGCAAGAAGCTTTGGCTTCTAGTCGCGGAAAAGAAGATCCGCCAACCCGGCACCGGCATCAAAGATGCAATTGAGTTTTTGCGCCGCTGTGAGCTCCTCCGCATTGAGGATCTGATTCCTTTCTTCCCTGATTTCGTTGTCATCGACGACTTCAAAGATGAGATCTGCACTGCCTTGGAAGACTACTCGCGGCACATCGATGCTCTTCGCCAAGAAATGGACAATTCAGCCCTGACGGCTCGTCAAATTCGCGGTGAGATCTCCGGTCTTGACACACGCTACGCGATTGTCGAACCTGGTGAGAAGTGCTGGATATGCTCGCTGCCAGTCCTTAGTCGTCAATTCTTCGTCTTCCCTTGTCAACATGCTTTCCACAGCGATTGTCTAGGGAGAGAAGTTTTGGACGGTGCTGGTGGCAAGAAGAAGTATATCCGGGATCTGCAGGCACAACTCGGTAGTGGTGATATCTCTTCCTCGCGGCGGGAAGATATTGTGAAGGAGTTAGATGGTTTAGTTGCTGAAGCTTGGTTCGTAAACATGTCCCTAACATCACTTCATATCCCGATATGCTAACCTGTTTTCATCAACAGTATCCTTTGTGGTGACCATGCGATCAAACAGATCGATAAGCCTTTCATTACCGATTCAGAGACCGCCGAAGACTGGGCCCTTTGAGAAAGATTCTCCTATACATCTAGGCTTTCCATCAGCCGTACAGCAGATCTCATGTCCTCGGGTCCGTGTCATCAGTAGACGAACACGTACCCGACCCCTTCCATGTTTCAACTTTCTTATTTAGCAATACCCTTTGTCTTGAGCGAATGCTATTTGTCGGGTATTCATGTATAGAGATGAACCTGCTCAATGAATTCGAATCTAAGCGTGAACCTCTAGACATACACCAAAAAAATGAAACCAAAAAAATAACCAGTCAGCCAAGTACTCTGGGCTTTCCACCCAACTCCATGCGCAAAACAATTCTCCGACCTTGAACACGCACGGGAATACAGTACCCCAAAACACGCCATATCTCAATAAAAAAAGAATCTATCATTAATTTTCAGGCCATAGAGAGCGCAGCAAATCCAAATCCTGCGCAACAGCCGGACTATTCGGCGCACAATCCTCGAGGAAACCGAGCATTTCCTCATTCCAGCGTTCCCAGCCATCTGGCAGAGTCTCACGAACACGCTGGCTCGGCGAATGGGCTATACAATAGAAGAGAAGAATTTGACCAAAGAACCTTCAAGCTGATTAGTCTCCAGTTCGAAAATGAAAGCCTAGACTTTCTTCCCTTGGATTCTGGGAAGGGTATGTACTCACTGTGAACAGAATGCAAATCTAATAGGAATGCAGCTCTTCATCCTCCTGAACACGCCTTGTGTAACAGGCCATCCCATGGCATTCTGGAGACCACTTCGAACCTGCACGAAGTCTTCCTCTGTAAGGAGGTGGGGGATGCTAAGAGCTTTGTAGATATATGGGCGGCCGATGTGGAAGCGTGCAATGAGATAGCGACCATGGAGCATGGCGTCTGTTACTGCTGTTCCTGGAGTGCGGGACCGGGTCTGGTCAGTTGGTCTTGGTCTTGGGGAGGAGAGCTGAGCTGGAGATGCGACTGATGCGGCGGGGGAAGGGTGGATGGATGGTGTTCCGGGTGTTGGGTGAGAGGAGGGGATGTGGGAAGAGTAGGGGGCGTGATTGAATTGGATTGAGGTTGGGAGGTTAGTGCGCCATTGTTCTAATTGGTGGTGGAGTTCGGTATTAACGGCTGGCAGGGGGAATGTTCCTGAATCGGCTGGGGATGTATGTTAGAGCGTGCGAGATGCGGGTGCTGAGGATGACTTACAGTAGAAGTAGAGGGAGTGGCGGATCCGGGTCAGGATGATTCGGTGGGCCACTTGGGCTAGGAAATGGTATTGGAAGTATGAGTCGTCGATTCCGCTGGATGAGATGAAGCGGTTGGAGGCGTAGCCGGTTGTTTCGAAGCCGATGAATTTGGGGATCGGGACTTGTTCTTCTAGTCGTGAGAGGCCGCTTGAGGGTAGGTGAAGTTCTTGTACCAGAATGGTCTCGTTCATGAGACAGTTCCAGTATACGCGGGATTTCATGTCGCCTTCCCACACATCAAAGTTGACTTGGTGACTGAGAGAGGTTAGCAAGAAGTCGGCAGTTGGATCTTTGCACAGCACTCACTTGGTCAACATTGACAAACAGCAGGTTGCCGCACGATGGATCATAGCCCAAGAGTCCATAGGGCGAGGGATTTGGTTATAATATACACTGTATAACGTTAGCACCGACTCAGCTAGATCCTTCTGGCGAAATAGATACGCACGAAGAGAGAAGATAGAATTGACAGCTTTGGATGTCGTTGTCGCACATCAAAAAGCCGATGCGTCGCCGGGCCTCGTTAAAGAACCGCAAACCAGGCTGCTCTTCATAGACAACGTTGATCCAGTCCGGAGGCTCAAACCGATGGCCTTGAGTGCCTGGCAGAGGGTAATTCCCTTCTTGGTAGGCGAGAACAGCCAAACAGCCCAGCGCCAACACATTGAGAACCAAACAGCTCTCTAGATTATACCCGAATCCGCTTTCAATGGCAGACCCCAGCGTAAACGAGAAGAAGAACCCCCTGTCCATGATCGGGGTGAAGGGGTTGAAAACGTCAAAAAAGGCATCTGCCAGGCCCCTGATCATAGCGAGCGGGAGAACTTCCAACCAGTGGTCGCCCGCTTGGAGAGGAAATGAGCTGGTGAACATAGACAGGGGTGGTCGTTCAGATTCCAGTTCGATCACATAGTTCTTCCCGAGCATCTCGTAGGTGGCAAGCAACTGCTTCGGGAGGATCTGTCGGGCACCAGGCCACTGAATGACACCATGTTGACTGAAGGAGATGGAGACCCGGCCAGCCGAGTCTGGCTTGATCTGGCTCTCTTCGAGCTCGAAGTCGTCACCATCCCCTGCCGCCGCCGGGGTGAAGTTGTCACCGGCCGTGGGCAACGTTGACATGAGCTGACCCTCATCCCCCAGGGCAGGTAACGAGTGCATCTGGAGATCATGGCCCGGTGTGCTCATCTGACCCCGGAGAGACTGCAGGTCACTCAAGATGGATGATGGAATATTTTCCAATTTTGTCTCCAGCCGATGGAGAGTGCTCATTATCATCGTGAGCGACTGATCGCGTCTGCACGGCATGAGCAATTGGCATACACCACACGCGTCAAAATACTCACTTTGATGATTTACGTTCATTATACACACACTCCAGACCCAGTGACTTACATAGTCCACATCTGGGCCGGGATTCGTCGCATCTTGTCTTCTTCAGCCGACACGTCTCGCATGCCTGGTACGTGTCAGCTCCAGAGAACTCGGTCGCGTCGCTTCACCTCATTAGATATTACTTACCACCGTGGCAATGAAGTTTCGGGGCTTCTTCGAGTTCCCGGACTGGCCGTGCTCCTCGCCCGAGAGCAGGTCCTGGATCGGTAGGGCATCAGGATCGGGGGACTGAGCGCCTATGGACTCGAAGGAGCGCTTGCTCATTTTGCGTCTTTCGCGACCTGCTCGGCTTGTCCAAACGTGATATTTCGTTTTTCTGTCGGGTGGGCCCACGGCCAATCAGCGCCAAGCAGGGGAATGAATCATCCGCACGCGACAGTGATGTTAATATGCTTGTGTTCAACTAAATACAGGGATTATCGGATGGTCGAGGGATTGGATATCGGTTTGTATCTATAAGGAGATCGGGACACCATGGTATGATTCAACAGGATTGAACCACAGTACCAGGGGCATAGAACGGCTAAAGGATATGCAATCTGTGGTGAATCGTGAATCTCAGGCACAGCACGAATGAGTACGGAGTAGACAGTTCGATATTGATCTGTTGGCACTTGATCTATACCGCAGTGTTGGGAGCCATCCTCTACTCTGTAGCCGACACTCCGGTGGACTCAACATTGCACACAATGTCCTACACGACCACCTTGCACAACTCCAATGGAAGTCTGTTTCATTACTCCGTACAACCAGAGCTCATTTCCATGTTTTAATCCGCCACACCTGTACTCCGTAGTGGTTTTGCCCCTGAGTCCCAGTCCGGGCAGAAAGAGCACAATGGTACAACCACGGAGTGCCCCAAGGCACTTCGTTGAGGTAAGAACGTAACATACTCTACTGCAGCAAACGGAGCCTGCCGTAGCTTCAATCCCAGGCCAGACATGATGGGTCCAGACTTCAGTACCCAGCTCAATCCATTGGATTCGACGGGCTTGCGAACCCCGTTGCCTATTCCCAACGCAACCAACCCTTCATCCAATGGCCGTTCGAAGGGACTCGTCACAGAATGCATCTGTAAAGCGGAGAGAGTCTAGACGCAGGCGGAGTCGAGTTAGTCATGTTTTAAAGCAGAGACGCAGTCGGACTGTAAATAGAAGCAGACCCATTTGGCACCGTCTCCACCGCATCGCTCTCTGCCCAGGTGTTTCAAAGGCCTAACGTCACTGCCGTGAATCCCTTTCACCTCCACCAGTATGGAGTACAGTATTATGAATGATGAAAGGGCTTGTGTACCGTAACAAAAACCCACTTTAGATTGCCCCTACGGAGTACTGTATCTCATCCAGGGCCAGTGACGTCATTCCCGGGGTGAATTATTGCCCCTACAACACGCAGTAGAGTCAAGTCTACAATTGTTGATTTGTGCTAGGGGCTCAATAGTAACCGCCACAGGAGTCCAGCTTCTAGGGACTTGACGGGGCAATTGGACATCGTGATAAAGCACGTTGCCCTGGAGAGCAAAGACCGTTGCGGTGCGGAGTATAGTAGAGTATGTTATGATGGCTTCCGGAAGTATGACGAATATAGCGATGATCATGGCACCCAGAAGGAAGGTGTCGTTTAGTTCGCGGGAGTCCCGGGAGATTTGCAATGCTACTTACATTGACAGTCGTCAACATTGACAAGAGATGCTCACAGCCTTTTCCCGATCTGTTTTCGTTCATTGGAACCAAGCAACCACCAATTGAAAGACTCTGGGGTTTAACTAGTGCTTAGGGCCAAGATGTCCCGGTTGGGGCGGTACTAGGTACATTTTTCACCTGGGCAGTTCATGTTGATACCGTCAGAACCAAATGACGTCGGCAGGGCCGGAATGCGACACTAGTAGGCTGGATACGGCCTCTGTGCTGATATCCGCAATCGGAGAGGAAATACTCCAATTTGGGAGGGGCTGTCATTATTGGAAGATCTGCCAATTGATACCTAGGTATCGGAAAGTTTCATATCTAGATATTCAAGGTTGTGATGTTCGTGTGGCGATGCCGGGGCGACCCGTGGACGCAGTAGTCCGAGGTTAATGAGGGCTGTGCAACGGGTTATTCCATGAACGGTAAATTGCTCTACAATGCTATTCAATGCCGAATCAGAGACCGTAGATAAGACAACCATGGAAGATAGGATCATGGATATGGATTTGGTTCATGAACGGCTGCGGGTGCAATCTGACTCAATGGACTGATCTCGACAGATATATACCTGGACGAAACTTCAAAAACTTCGGGAATAAGAACTATACCTAGGTACCTAAGTAGTAGTTTTAGACTGAATCAATACGGGGTACGGAATACTGCGTGATAGAATCACTATGAAAATAGGCGGATGTACTCAATCTCTTTACTGTGCCACTATGCATATCCATGAGTACGGAGTACTCCGTACTCCGTATACACGACATAATTATGTGCCTCCCACCGCTACATAGAGGCAGTGTAAATATAATTAATTGACATAACATGACATCAGACTGGAGCCAGGTCAATTGAATCATTAGGCCACGTTGGAAAACACAGCCCTCCAACATAGGCAAAGAGGGGTGTTGACTCGGCAACTGAGGCACTCGACCTGTCCATAATACCTCGGCCTGGAGGGACAAAAGTTGCCCGTTGATGTGTCATAAACGCCTCAGGCAATAATGACCCTTGCATGGAGAGATTTTAATGTTTGTTGTGCTCCGCAGAGCGGAGTCACACACGGAGAAAAAAAGACATACAGGAGGCTGGGGTCATGCCGCTGCAAATGCAAGTTGTGGGTGTCCTGGATATGTGCAGTCGCACAGGCAAACGCAGTGCAACTCCCTCTCATGCAGTGCATCATGTTCATCCACTCTAGGCCCGAGTGCTACTGTACTTTAAAGACTCACTGTACACTGTAGGTGAAATCTTGTTTCGAGGATGCGAGGAGAGCATTTTACTCCGAGTGTGCATGAACTTGTTTACTTGCGGTATGAACAATGGTTTATTCATTCCTGCGATCATATGTCGGATCTCAACATTCAATATTTCGTATCCGATTCAATAACGGGACAACCGCATAGCCCGGCTGAGAGTGAAATCCGGGGGAGTGGCTCCGGACTCAAGAAACGGATGATCTCATTGATCTATCACCGTAGGAGACTGAGAATGCCGCAAAAGGAATGCTGATCAGTGCGGGGTATGACAACCTCAGATATTGAGCATTTGAATGTTGCAAAGATAGGCGCTCAATCCATGGTTCGTATCTTTATTGCTACTAGGTAGGTTGTTGACTCCGTGTCCAGTGCTTATCATTGCGACGTCCATACAGAAGTACAGAAGTACAGGCTGGGCGTTGAGTACCGTCATGATAACGCTAGTCTCATATCATATCATATCACCTATCATTGCGCCGGTCTTCCAGGGCTCGTATCAGATTGATCATTCGCTATTACATGTATTGAAGTCATAGGTCAATCATGCCTTCAGATAAACGACACGTTTCACCCATATTCGGGGTCTGGATAGGAGCAACGGTCCGTTGATCGGCTCTCTCGTCCTGAGTTATAATGATGACATACCATCTACCACATACGATGAGGACGGTGTCCAGCCGAGAGGTTAGACCAGACGAACATGCAGACATGAAGGAGGTTGACGTTATATTCGGAACGAAGAGTGCATGACTGGGGGTGAGATTGCGAATAAGACAGTCGCAATCGCTGATGGAGGGGGAGATCTCTGGCTGAACCGTGCGGGACAATGTATATTGCGTATCGCTCTCCGTCTGTACAGTATGTACAGTATGTACTGCCCAAGAATTGGGGCTTCAAGGTTCAGGATTTCCCAATCGGAATGCACAATGCCTGGGACGTCGCGTGATGCATAGGTTGCCGAAGACCGAAGTCGTGCCACAGAATCCACTCGACTTTATCGCTCGGGTACTTTTGAGTCTGGAGCGGAAAAGGGTACCTCTTCACAAGGTTTGGCCTTGCAGCCCGCATGAAGCGGTCTAAACTGGTTTAAGGCTAGACCTCGACAGGGTGTTCCCTTCACCGCTTGACAGGGCTGCGTGGGTGTCTGAAGCAAAGTGGTTGGGACACGATGACAGCTGTGCCGCTCCACTCGATGCGTGTACACAGTACTCCGTAGACTCCCCGGAAAGGCCAGATTGTTTGTCCGAACTCGTGGACTTCGTCCTGTCCGAACTGCGTAGGGCCCAAATGAGACTTAGGTAATAGGCTAACGGATCGATAGTCTCCTGATAGATGCTCACGAACCCCGCAAACTCGAGGGAAATATGGGTCGGACGAAATCTTGTCTCGAAATCCCGCGCGGCAAAGAATAACGTTAATGCAGTAGGGGTTAGTCTAGGTTAGATCGCATAACATCCAAAGGTACCTGAGCAACAAAGTGTACTCGTAAGTGAACATCGAACAAGACCTGCAGGAGGTGTCCGGGGGAAGCCAATGAGGAGAAATCACGCCATGCTCCATCCAACTCGTCATGCAGGCTGGAAATAGTGGTCAGACTCGACATCGTGATTGGCCCGCCGACCCCCAAATCGCTGCGCAATCCCACGCATCGGGGTTAGTGCGCCACCTTGATCCGCCCTCGGCCGCCAGGGAAACGGAAATTGGGGCAGAACTGCCCAGACGCCCCTGCTGATGTCTGTGACTGCTGAACCAGATCCAGCGGAAGTTTGGTGAGTCGATCGTCCGAAAATTGAGGACCTGGGGCACTTCCTCATGCGTTATCATATTGGACAAGGTCCAAAGGTGTGATGATCTCGTAATTCTCGATGTGCTTGTCGTAACAGGATCACGTATTCCGTACATTGTGAAGTGACGCCTTCCAAGGGTAAGGAATGCCTGGAAGGTTCATGAAACGGGCAGATTTAGTGGTCAATACCGGTATTCATTACATACGTGACCGTTCCCTCAGGAGACGGAAACGGTCGGAGGACCTCGGACGCCAGGCAGATTAGGCGGGCACTGCAGATCACACGGAGAAAGGCCCACGAGGGAAGACTGGTTTGTTACCGTATGAGACCGTATGGCCAATCAGGGTCCCTCTCCAATTCCCCTCACGCCTTCAACTTCCTCTCCCTGGCTCCTTCTTCTCCTTATACACATCAACATCACCTCTCTTCCCTTCGCTTCCTAGTCCCCCCTCTCTCAGTACGCTCGCCTCACCGCCGCCTTTTTCTCACTTCTATCTTCACCTTCTGGTCAGATTGCTTTGACTTCGGTTCCCCCGGTTGCAACGTTATCGTGTCTTCTTGCCATCGTCTGAAAACATCAACCATCGCGATACTACTAGTAGCCTCTGCTTAGTTCGACGGTTGCATCCCGATCAACGCTCTGCGATAGAAGCATCTCAACCTTTCCGCCCTATTCGACCCCCTTTTCCTTCGGTCTCTCCCGGATCCACTATCAGGCTCCGGTGACTCACCTACAACTTGTCAAAAGGGTCCCCTATCCGCACTTGGTCTGCCATTGCGCAACATCTATTCCACCTTTCGTCTACCCAACCATTACGAAAGCCTCACCGCCTCGAATTCTCTCGACCGGCTTCTAGCCAACCCTCACGGTTGAAAGCGTCTCGGGAGCTCCACACCCACGGGGCAACCTGGCATCGAGTACCTCTGCTTTTCCATCCTTGGATTGGCAGGTGCTCTACCGGATCCCTTCGACCCCCCACTCGACTTTCTACAACTTCACTAGGCCTTCAATGACTCACTAATTTCAATTTTCTTCAACTTTGAGTCACGGCCTTCGACCTTGAACCCGGTGTTCACAGGATCGCTTTTCTCTACATCTTTGCCTTTCTTCAATTACGATCTTACGCAGCGCTTTATCTCCACCTCTCTTCGATCCGGTATCAGGCCGACTTTCAACTTGTCTATCTTTTGACACACTCGTGTCGTCCATCATTGGGTCCCCTTCCCGTTTAACAACAAAAAACGACATACAAATGAGCACATAACGGTCTTTCCAACCTTTCCTTAGCGTCCAGAAATCCCTATCGGATTCATTCAGCCGCGCCACTGCGCCCCATCATTCTCTCGACTTTTCATCTGTCTCTCACCTTCACCAGTACATTTTTATATGATATTTCGAGCTTGCAGGTCTCTCTCCACAACCTGACCGCATCCCGCTCTTCTCTTCGCCCGTCTCGACCCCGAGACCTCGCGCCTGATACTTCACTTCATTGTCTTTTTAATCTTGCTTAGCCTGGTTGCTGTTTGCCTACCACTTCGACGCGTTCTTGACACTCACCAGTGTCCTTTTGAGCGGTTCATAGATTTGTTTTCACCTCATCTCTTTGAAGCATTACCTCATCTCCCCTTTTTATTCTCATCTCTTTGCATCATCAAGCCAACATGTCGACCGTGGAGTGCTTGAAAAACAACTTCGTCAAGGATCAGCTGCTGGATGGCCGATTCCGAACACTGGCCCCTCTCAACCATGGGTCTTTCGGAATGGTCTTCCTTGCTACTGATACCAAGACTGGCGAAGAGGTTGCCATCAAATGTCTGCTCAAGGGCTCCCAGCCCCAACAAGATCGGTTCGAAGAACTCGAGGCCCATCGCCGCTTTGGGTTCCACCCAAACCTGGTCAATCTGATCCACACTTTTGATACCGAGCATCACACATATCTCGTCTTGGAGTATTGTGCCAATGGTGATTTATACGAAGCCATTCGTCTGGACCGTGGTCCTCTCGAGACTGAGCATGTTCGTGACTTCATGCTGCAGCTTTTGAGCGCCGTCGATTTCATGCATGCCAATGGCTTGTATCACCGTGACATCAAGCCGGAGAATATCTTCCTCACACAAGATGGCTCCATGAAGCTCGGTGACTTTGGTCTGGCTACTCAGGACTCTTGGTGCCACGAGGCGTGTGTCGGTAGCGATCGCTACATGGCCCCCGAGCAGTATGATCCCTCCACCACTGGGTACTCGCCTGCCAAGGCTGATATCTGGTCGGTGGGTATCTGCTTGCTGAACATCTTGTTTGCTCGGAACCCCTTCACCACTCCCACCGAGTCTGATAAGATCTTTGCCGACTATGTACTCGACCGCCAATCTCTCTTCGACATTTTCCCCAATATGTCCCAAGATACGTATGATATCCTGACTCATGCCATGGCTATCGATCCTTCCAAGCGCTCTTTGCTGGATGTCCGTGACTGCATCCTCCGTGCGGTCTCCTTCACAACTGACGACGAGTCCCTCGATGAGTTCTGCACCGAGGATCGTGAGGTGGTTGCCGCGAGTGCCAACCGCGAGCCCCTCCGCACCCCGTCGCTCCAGAGCCCTCATGTCAACCAAGGAGACTCCTTCCCCTGGGCCAAGGCACTTCACTCCAGCCCTCCCCAGACTATGCGCCAGCTTTCTGCCATTCCCGACAACGAGAGTTATACCGAAGACCTCTTTCCGCCTTCTGAAGCCGCGGGAACCTCTTGGTTCTCGAGTCGCATGGAGACACCCTCCATGGCCTCTGTCATGGGCTCAACCCTCAGTGAATCCTTCCGCTCGCTGCATCTTCGCAAGCGGGAGGCTCCCGTCCTCCCTCGCTCCGACCCAGTGGCCATCACTGGTTCTCTCCCTTCGCATGCCACCAAGCCCCTGCCATCGCTATCGATGGTCTTCGGCAACAACAAAGGTGCCGATAAGATCTCCAAGAGCTGGTGTGATATGTGGGATGAGGAGGAATCTGAGAACGAAGACATCTCCCTCGCCCAACGACGAGAGCAAAACTCTCGCAGCTGGAGCCATGAGAGCATTGGACCTGCAGTCCAAGGATCGCGCGAGCCGGACTCCGCATCCACCAAGCAGCGCTCTCAGTCACCAGCTCATGACCTGAAGACCGATGATTTCGAAATTCATCGCATGTCGTTGGATGAGGACAGTGACTCTAGCACTCCCCGCCCCCTGTGTGATTCTCCACCCGAGCCTTCGAGCGCCGACAAGTGGTCCATGCTTGGCGATGTCCGCCGCAAGTACAAAGCGGAGGATGAGCCTCGCACGTACAAGACGCGCAAGTCTCGTGAAGTTTTCAGCCCAAAGAATGTCACTCCCAACACTCGACGTCATGATTGGGGCCGAGGTACTTCTGGGTATCAGACCAAATCCAAGCCGGCATCGCCTTTCGAGGCTCGGCGCCGCCAATTGCTGGAACAGCAAGACTGGCGCAGCCACGTTCCCAAACGCTTCACTCCTACTTACGATGCAAGCGTAGACGATGATCTCGATCTCGTCGGCGGATGGCACGATACTCACTTCTAAGCTCTCATGCTTCATCACTCCTCTTTCAACTCCAGCACTCCCCTCTGGCTGTCCTTCCGCGTGTTTCGATTCAGTTGGAAAAAAAAAGTTCAAAAATTTCCACGATAAACTAATCCTCCACTTTCTTGTCTTGTGTCTCTTTGTTTTCGGATTGCGTGTTTTGTCCGTCTCTGCCTCGTTTCAACGCGGATGCTATATTTTGTGCTAAGCATCGACTCCCCTTGGTCGCCAAACTGTTCTCCCCTTTATTTTTTTGTACCATATAAGGCCAAGGGCGGGGATCATGGCAGAGACACAAACCATGAAAAAAACCACAAAAAGGTTAGAAGGCTGGGTGGGAATGCGCTGATGGATGTTTACTGGGAGTTGTTTCTAGGTGGAAAAGCAGTGCACATGAACTGAGCTTGGTCGTTGATTAATCGCGGCCGTTTCTCTTTTGACTACTGTATCTAGTATTACTGTTCACAGAAAGGAGAAATTGATTACATCCGTGAAGATTTATCGCTGTCTAGTAAACTGTAGTAACCTGTCACTAACTACTAGTACATACTTCCGAGGCAGGTCCTATGCATAATGTAGGTACCGAAAGGCGGTCAACTGGTGACTTCAACGGTCTCCGAGGCCACGGATCCACTTGTCGCGATACCGCCATTTGATATACCCCAAGAGCTAGCACTAGACCCGGTTGAGGCTGGTGGGAGAATCTCCCAGCGTGACTCTAGCTCGCCCAGCCACCATGCGCATAGCATGCGACACGGACTCATAGCTTCGAACTCACCGACTCTGCCATCGTGACAGGTAGCCTGTGACACTCCTCGGCCCACAAACGACAAATAAATTAAAGCGAAACCGCACGAAACCCCCTGTCATCCCAACCGACAGCATGATGACCGCAGGCCGGTCATCATCACCCTGGACATACACCTCGATCCTTCTGGCCCTATGCACGAGCGTCGTTGCCCACACACCACCCCAGTCCTCCACGACTACCGCACAGACCGCGATTCCAACCACACCCCTCGTGACCATATGTCGAGCAAAGAGTAGCTGGGATGTAGAGGCAGAGCTGTTCAACCTGCCACTGTGTCTGGAGACGCGTTGGGGACCCAATCATGATCCGCATAATGTCTCGGCATCCACGAATACTGTAACCGATGATTCGGGGACTCGTCAGTCTCCGGTGCCGAGCGATACATCAGACAAGGCGGCCAGCAAAACACCCGATCAGCACGCGGACTTGGAACACGATACAGACTCACTGCTTGACGGGGCCAGTTTCCTGTCCTTCGAAGACTGGAAGAAACAGAATCTCGCGAAGGTGGGCCAATCAGCTGAGAACGTTGGAGGTAAAAGGCCTGCGGCACCTGGGAAGGATGATCGCCGACAACCAACGGGCATCAATAATGCGCTGGACTCCCTAGGCGACGACTCTGAAATCGAGCTAGACTTTGGCGGGTTCGGCGCTGAAACGCCCGAGGCTAGCCCGACTGCGTGGGGGACGCATATTCCCTCGCGCGAGGGAGCTGGAGATAGCGGGGATGGGAGAGGGGATACTGATGTTGGCGCGCATGGCGCATTTCAGCGCGATGCTTCGCGCCGGAAGGATGCTGGCACGACTTGTAAGGAGCGGTTTAATTACGCTTCCTTTGACTGTGCGGCTACGGTACTCAAGACGAATCCCGAGTGTAAGGGTTCATCGTCTGTTCTGATTGAGAACAAGGATAGCTACATGCTGAATGAATGCCGGGCCCAGAATAAGTTCCTCATCATGGAGCTGTGTGATGATATTTTGGTTGATACGGTGGTGTTGGCAAACTACGAGTTCTTCAGCTCCATCTTCCACACTTTCAGGGTCAGTGTTTCTGATCGGTACCCGGCCAAGCCTGATCAGTGGAAGGAACTTGGGGTATACGAGGCACGGAATACTCGCGAAGTGCAAGCCTTTGCAGTTGAAAACTCGCTGATTTGGGCTCGGTACCTTCGCATTGAATTCTTGACACACTATGGACATGAATTCTTCTGTCCCATTAGCTTGATTCGTGTCCATGGTACTACCATGATGGAAGAATACAAGCATGGCGAGAGCTCTGACCGCGCTGAGATTGAGGAGTTGGAGTCCAGCGAAGCTATCAAGCATGCTGGGCATTTAGAACCTAAGCCGGTTGACGTGCCCGTTGACACAGCACCCCCTCCACAGGAAACCATTTCCATCAGCCCCGAGGTTGATCGAGTCTCCCTGACCTGTCCCTCAGAACCTGATTCATCTTTTGTCGCGCTTTTTGATAATGATGTTTGTGGCATCAATGATGGACCGCCCATTATCACCACATCAACACCAGGGAATACTGCCCAAACGAACCAGCCACCGAAGGAACACACGGCAGCAGCAGGGGCTACTGCTCCTGTGACCAACACCGGGCCACCTGTTGCCCCCAAGGCCGCAGAGGAAGTTCGCAAGTCCGGGGACGCTGCCAAAGGCTCCATGACTACCCCGGATCCCTCAGTCGTGCCTTCGGAGCCTACCCAGCAGAATGCTACCATGGAAGCCGTGGGAAAAGCCGCTGCCAACATGAAAGAGGAACAGAGTCACCCTCCAGAATCTACTCGACCTACGAACACCCAACCACCATCTTCCAATCCGACCACCCAAGAATCCTTCTTCAAGTCTGTCCACAAGCGGCTGCAGATGCTCGAGTCTAACTCGACTCTATCCTTACTCTATATTGAAGAACAATCTCGAATCCTGCGAGATGCATTCAACAAAGTTGAGAAGCGGCAGTTGGCCAAGACATCCACCTTCCTCGAAAACCTCAACATCACCGTTCTGAACGAGCTGAAAGAATTCCGCGAGCAATATGACCATGTCTGGAAATCCGTCGCTCTCGAATTCGAGCACCAGCGCATGCAATACCACGGCGAAGTCCACTCCCTCAGTGCCCAACTTGGCGTCCTCGCCGACGAACTCGTATTCCAAAAGCGAGTGACCGTCATCCAAAGTATCATGGTCCTCTGCTGCTTCGCCGTCGTCCTCTTCTCCCGCGGCTCCGTCAGCAACTATATGGAATTCCCCGGCGTCCAACGAATGGTCGCCCGGTCCTACAGTCTACGATCCTCATCCCCCATTTTCGCAGGCTCCCCATCCGCGAGCCCAGGATCCACCCGCCCGACATCATCATACCGTGCGAATGGTGGCCATCGACGGAACCTGTCAGATTCCTCGGACCAGGATAGTCCTGCCAGCCCGACGGCGGCTTATGCGCCTCCGACTCCGGCTTCGTCTTCTCCTCGGGAGGTGGAGACGGAGCCGGAGATCAAGATTGAGCCGGATCCGCTGTCCGAGTCGATGGATGTGCCTACTTTGGGGATTCCACAGCCACGTCCTCATAGTACACCTCCTGTGATGAATGGGCGTCCTGTCGACTTGGACACCGATACTGATATTGATACCCCGGCTGAAGACAGTCCACGGTCGCACGAGTCGTGAATGTCTTTGGTCCTGTAATGTGTGTTTCTCTGTACACTGTACACTAGACGATTCCAATGTGATTATTACGCCTATTTCTTACATTCTAGTACTCTGTATTCATCTCTCAATAACAGTACTCCCCAATCTCTTAATAGTAATGAGTAGTAACATTAGGTCGATCGACAAAGAATGTTGTGGCGTCATACCGTTGCTGGGCCAACAATCGAATCCCATTTTTCCCACACGTTTTTCCTCTTATCCGATCGTCTTGTTTTCAAGCTCCTCCACTTCCGATCTCTCTATTCATCTCTACAGTATACACACACTCTCACAATGGACGCAACACAAACCCAACCCCTGGCCGACCGCTCCACCAACACCCACCTGGGCGAGAAGACCGACCTCAAGGGCGACCTCTCATCGATGGAGTACCATCGCCAGGTCCTGCAGGACAAAGTCGCAAGCGAGGAGTGAGTGCCAACCACTGCAGTGCAGAGTGCAGCAGTACAGCAGCACAGCACACCAAGACATGTACTAACCATCCCAGACAACCAACCTCCTACGTCTCCCCCTCCGATGATATCATGAGCCCCTGCACAAAGAAACTGAGCGACATCAAGGGCAAGCGTTTCAAGAAGTACGTATCCGCCTCTTCCACGAAGAAACATACTAATTCTATTCCAGCGCCGGCAAGCCCCAGTCACTGTTCGCCAAGCTCGGCAAGAAGAGCTACGAGCAGTCCTCGGCCGAACAGGGCCGTGAGAATTAGATTTTCAACACAGGGCGCGCCTGTGTTACGGACGTCTTTCCTTCACTTCATCTCGTTTACTCCGCGCCGGTCGCTGGGTCGGATGTGAGGAGGCGATTTGACGTGTCTGGCTTTCTTTTTTTATGACCCGCGATGTCTTTTTTGTATGTTTATGGGGTTCGGGATAGGGATTGTAATTGGGTTACCCCCATGGAGCACATTGGAATGCAATGCACTTATGATATTTCGACTTTGAGTCTACCGTGTATACTTGTACCGAGTAGGTGAACCGAGATGCCGAGGGGTAGTACAGAGAACATCGTATAGCGGTGCCCAGTGCCCGGTTAGACAGGCTAGACCGAGAGGGATATTCAATTAATATTCACCATCTAAATCATACGGTGCAAGCAGTAGTTACTGTCGTTCGTAGTTTGTAGTCAGTGTTGGGCCGAGGCAAAATCCGCCTCTCTCGGCTTCTCCACACTCAGCTCTCCTTCTCCGCAATCCTCGGCCATGGCATGACTTCTTATAACTTCCCTCTTCCCTCCACTCTTCCTCACACACAACAATGTCTGCCTCTACTCGTATCCCTCCCATCGCACAGCCGTTCGTCAGCGAACAGGCTAAGCGAACCCTCGACCTGGTACGCTCGCACCCTCCGACCCCCACGCACATCTGTCCGCGCCATTGATCAAGATCAATGCTAATGTCTTCCAGGTCGAGGAGTTCGTCGAAAAAGACTGTATCCCCGCCGACTCGGTCTTCCAGGCCCAACTGGGCGAAGGCGAGCAGCGATGGAACACCACCCCCGCCATCATGGAGACACTGAAGGAGAAGGCGAAGAAGCTCGGCCTGTGGAACATGTTCCTGCCTAAGAACCACTTCACCCAGGGTGCTGGGTTCTCAAATCTCGAGTATGGTCTGATGGCCGAGCTGCTCGGCAAGAGCAAGGTTGCCTCTGAGGTAAGATACTCCGACCGGCTTCGTGCTGGGCGCATCGCCCGACAATGCGAAGAATCCATCCAACCGAATCATCACTAATGCATTTTCGCACAGGCAACTAACAATGCCGCCCCTGATACTGGTAACATGGAAGTGTTCGCCAAGTACGGCAATGACGCACAGAAGAAGCAGTGGCTGGAACCCCTGCTCCAGGGTAAGATCCGGTCCGCGTTCCTGATGACCGAGCCCGACGTTGCCTCCAGCGATGCCACCAATATCGAGCTGGACATCCGTCGCGAAGGCAACGAATACGTGCTGAATGGCTCCGTACGTCTTACCCCACTCCCACCCCGCAGTCAAAAACTAACCCCTACAGAAATGGTGGTCCTCCGGCGCCGGAGACCCCCGCTGCGCCATCTACCTGGTCATGGGCAAGACCGACCCCAAGAACCCAGACACCTACAAGCAGCAATCCGTTGTTCTAGTCCCAGCCGGCCTGCCAGGCATCACCGTGCACCGCATGCTAACAGTATACGGGTACGATGACGCCCCCCACGGCCACGGCCACATCACATTCAAGAACGTGCGCATCCCCATCTCAAACATGGTTCTTGGCGAAGGGCGGGGCTTCGAGATCATCCAGGGCCGTCTTGGCCCCGGACGCATCCACCACGCCATGCGCGCCATCGGCGCAGCCGAGCGTGCCCTGGAATGGCTGATCGCGCGTGTGAACGACGAGCGCAAGAAGACATTCGGACAGGCTCTAGTCGCGCACGGCGTAATCCTCGAGTGGATTGCCAAGTCTCGGATTGAAGTCGATGCCGCGCGCTTCGTTGTCCTGAATGCTGCTATTAAGATCGATCAGGGTAATGCGAAGAGTGCGCTTAAGGAAATTGCCCAGGCGAAGGTGCTAGTGCCACAGACTGCGTTGGCGATTATTGATCGTGCTGTTCAGGCTTATGGTGCTGCTGGTGTTTGTCAGGATACGCCGTTGGCGTACTTGTGGGCTGGGATTCGTACTTTGCGCATTGCTGATGGTCCGGATGAGGTTCACTTGCAGCAGTTGGGTAAGCGGGAGAATAAGACTCGGAAGGATGCTGTTACTGCTAAGTTGAACTGGCAGCGTGATGAGGCTGATCGTCTGCTTTCGGCTTCTGGTTTCAAGCCTAAGAGTCACTTGTGAGTGTTTTGGTATATCACTGCGTATAGCTACATAGTACATCAATTTATGGTTACCTTCCAAGGTTGGTACAATCCGCTGCAGTGTAGATGCAATGGCATACGCTACAAACAGCCTTGGAAATAATAAGATAGAAACAAAACCAAGTGAATGAATGACCGGTATAAATCGTTATTCAACTCGTCAAGACCCCAACGCCAAAGAATCATAAACATGATCATGAACAGAAAGATTCAATCCCGACATAAAATGCATTCCCATATGTAGGACCATATATCATTCCACCCAAGATCCAATGAGCCGAAGAGCGATACCCCATGAAGCAGGGAAGATGATATCTCCAATGGCTCGCGCAAGTAGCGATGCAAGAAAAAGAAAAAACCAAAAACACTTTTTTTTTCTCGTTCACCAATCGTCTTCTTCGGGGTTGTTGCGCTTACCCTTCGCTCGGCGCTTGTTGCCCTTGAAGTGCTTCTTGGAGTTTCCAGCCTTGACCTCGGAAACATCCACGCCACGCTCCAAAGCAACCATCATGCGCTCCTTGCGGCCAGTGGGTGCCTTGCGCATCTCCTGACCTTGTTGGGTATATTGAGCCTGGAAGGGGAGTGTCATACGGCCGGCAGAGGGGCCAGTTTCTGAGCCGAAGAAACCAGTATCGACATTACGGGATGTGAGACCGAGTTCGGGCTCAACGGCAGTCTTGCCGGGGACTGAGAGGTCCTCTGAGACGAGATCCTCCTGGAGTTCCTGAGGGCCCGCAGGCTTTCCGATCTTAGCCTGGGCGATCTGGGCCTGGCGTCTTTCAGGGAGATGGGCAATGTCGTAGAGTTCTTGGTTGAATTCGGCAGAGTCGTAGGGAGTCTCGTCATCTGCAACGGGGGGAGGGCTGACCCAGAGGAGCTTTCCGTTGACATAGTCCTTGAGAACGTAGCGGGCAGCGCGGGACTCGTCGGGTTGACCGAGACCCTGGGTGGAAAAGCCGCGAGCGCGGGCATACGCGCGGAGAATCTCGCTGGCGGTGGGGACTCCGGTGCCGCCCTCTTCGGTGGGACGCATGCGGAGCTTCACACCGTATACTTGTTCGTAGAAGTGCTTGGGGATACGCTTGGCGACGATGCCGGCGGGACCGGTGAATTCACGCTGCTGGTCGATGGGCAGGACACCGTTGACGACGAGCTCGGCCTTGGTGGTGGCGAAGTTGGGGAACACGAGACCGGGACAATCGCACAGCATGATCTCTGGGGAGAGGTAGAGAGTCTGGAAATGCTTGGTCTTACCGGGGGTGGCGGAGACAGAGACCTTCTTGGCACCGAGGAGGGCGTTGATGGTACTGGACTTACCCACGTTGGGGTAACCGACCAGACCGATGGTGGTCTTCTTCTTGGGCTGCTCGCCATCCTCGGCGGTCTGAGGGAGGGTTTCTGGGGAGTTGGCCAGGAAGAGCTCTTCGAGTTCTTCGGTGTCCAAGATATGAGGTCCGAGAGACCGTTCCGGGTCCGCGAGCTTGGCCATCTCAGCCTCCACGGTATCCTCCTTCTTATATCCATCGTCGTCTTCGGGGCGTCCATTCACATTCATCTCTTGGGTAGACTTGGCCAACTGAGCATCGGCGTCACCCTCTTGCTCCTCCAACAAGGCAAGGGCCTCGTTCTTCTCCTTGGCGAGGTGAGCCGAGAAGAAACGGAAGTTGATCTTGTTCTTTTCGAAATAAGTGGCCCAGGCCTGTCTTTGCTTCAGAGAAAGCATATCGGCCTTGTTGACCAACAGCAAGTTCTTCTTGCGGGGATCAATCTCCTTCACGTAGCTTTCCAAATCCTCCGAACGGAACTGCAACGGGTTTCGTGCGTCGACAATCTGAACGACCAGATCAGACCGTTCAATGACACGCCACAACTGACGCCAGACCTCCAAGTTGCGCTCGAAGGGGGTCATGAGCAGATCGTGGTTCTCAATCAGCTCGGCCAGACTGCGCCTCCAGTCCAACAGGCTGGCCTTCTCCATCTGCTCGAGCTGATTCCGGGTTGTGTTCGAGTCCCACTTGGGTCGGCGAGGGACCGTCAAGCGATCCTTGTTCTGCTGGTGCTTCTTGTAGGCCTTCTTCTCATCGCTGGCGGAGAGCAGGAAAGGGTTCTTCTGGTCGGAGTGGATGATCTTGACGTTGTTGATTTTTTCGGCGGTAAAGTCGGTGCCGGCCAATTCGGCCGTGCTCAGGAATTCATCGAGGGCGGCCTGCTCGGTGATACTGCGCATCTTCACCCATGAGGCCTCCTTGGCCTCGTTGGTGACGTAGGTCTCGCCATTTACACCTGTGCGCTGAATGGCATTGTTGTGAGAGACCTTCTTCTGTGCGGATGCCTTGCCCTTGCCGAAACGGTCGTTCATGAGACTGGAACCCAGTCCCACCTTGTTTTTGGATTTCGCCAGAACCATGATGGCGGTGTTTGCTCGGAGTACAAAAGTTGGAAAAAAATGAAGTCAAGAGCACAACCCCACCTGAAAAAGGGAATTTTGGATTATTCAGGATAAGATAGCTGACTAAGCCCCCTCTATCGTCGGCGGTTCTTCAAGGCTGTGATGTGCTCGCATCTCATTGTTGGTTTGTTGTTTATTTGTTTTATGACTATAGGAGTCTATCTAGAGGCCTTGACATGACCAGAACATACCCCCTGGAGTTGAACAGCCCTCGAAATCAACGATCTATAGAAATAAAGCGGGCCTGTTTAACGAGCCCAATGACATACTAGCACGATGTGCCCAAGTCTCCAAGCGAAGAGCACAATGAGTCAAACCGAAATGCCATTACAAAATTCAGCCAACCTTGGGAGCCCCTAGCCCGTAAACCCAGCATAAACCCTTCATTTTTCGCACTAAACTTCGTGCCTCGAAGGACCCCCGGAGAACGAGGGGCGATAAGCACCCACGTGACCATATCAATCCCACTTTTTTCTTTTTTTCAATTGTATCCTGCCTCGTAACCAACAAGATGCCGCCCAAACAGTGGATGTATGTATATGAGAGCGATGTGGTAGCGCCGTTACTAACTTCTATCCAGCGACAAGAAGAACGCGAGCAAGTTCCAGCTCTTCCACCGATCGCAAAATGACCCGTTGATCCACGACACCGAGGCGGAGGACCGCTTCTTGTACCAGGTCGGAGGACCTGCGCCTGCGCCTGCTCCCGCGCCTTCCTCTGCCTCCAGGTCCTCAAAGAAGCCCCTGCCCAATCTTTCAGATCTCCAGTCCGAGTATGGCGGCAAGGCTCGTCAGAATGAGGGTGAGGCAGCCACCTACGGAGTCTACTACGATGACTCCAGCTACGACTACATGCAGCATCTTCGCGAGTTGGGCACCGGAACTGGAGATGCATACTTTGTTGAAGCCAAGGGTGAAAAAACCAAGGGCAGAGCCGGCCGAGGCATGAAGCTGGAGGATGCGCTGCGACAGGTTTCCTTGGTGGACAAGGATACCTATGCCCCGAGCGCCTCTGGTGCACCCAGTCTCTACGGATCGCAGTACGGTGACATGCGATCCACTGCTTCGTCTTATGTTCGCAAGCCCACCTACCAGGACCAGCAGAACGTCCCAGATGCAATCTCTGGCTTCAAGCCAGACATGGATCCTCGGCTCCGCGAGGCCCTGGAGGCATTGGAGGACGAGGCTTTCGTCGATGAAGAAGGCGACGACGATATCTTCGGTCAGTTGACTGCCAATGCAGAGGAAATGGACGAGGGCGACTGGGAAGATTCGCTTTTCGACCACGACGAGGAAGATGATGGATGGGAGTCAGACGCCACCGAAAAGGCGCCTGTTCAGCCCCACAGCACAGATATCAAGCACGAGGCGGATGAAGAGCCTTCAGACGGCCCTGTACAATCTCCTCTGGAGCCAGGCGAGATGCCTGCACACGACGAGCCCGCTCCCGACATGCAGCCCACTGACCAGGGTTGGATGAACGAGTTTGCCAAGTTCAAGAAGGACGCCAAAGCTGGCAACGCCCCTGTCCCTGCTGCACCCACTATCGCGGCATCGCAAACCATGGCCTCAACCGTCTTCACCGCTGGCGGTACCCCAATCCGCCGCAAGAAGCGCAAGGGTGCTATGACCAACCCCTCCGCGTACTCGATGACTTCATCTGCTTTGGCCCGTACCGAGGGCCACCGCCTCCTTGATGAGCGATTCGACAAGGTCGAGCAACTTTACGCCCTTGATGAAGAGGACGAGTTCGACGACGACATGTCCATGGTCAGTGGAATGACTGGCGCAACCGGCATGACTGGCATGTCCACTGCATCATCTCAAGCCCCAAGCCTGGTCGACGGCAATGGCGAAGCAGTCCACAGCCGCAGCAACTTCAACAACGTCATGGACGACTTCCTTTCCAGCTGGGACCCCAATACCAGCGCGCAAGCGAAGCGCAATGGCGCCAAGAACAAGCGCGGCAAGAACGGAAACGAGGCTATTGGTATCAGAATGCTCGACGAGGTGCGGTCCGGTCTTGGTCCGGCTCGCTTCAGAAATGAGAAGGACAAGCTGAAAGCTGCCGGCAGAGCTTAATTCGGCTTTCTACACTGCATATGTGACGACGCTCAATGGGAACCCCCAGTCATGACTTGGCGTTTTGGCTTATTATTTACATTCTCTTTCATTTTCGGCATCTCTGTGCGTTAGGGTTGATATCTCTTGATGGCTAGATCAAAAGTTGTGTTTATCATTCTAATGCGCTCTTACTCTCCACGGATGAGTATATCTGCTACATTTGCCCACGAATTCACCCGCAATGCATTTGTGTCTTCCAAATCCGTGCTCCCCGTAGTATCGTAGAGCACTGCTAGAATCCCTTCTGCTCGTGCAGCCTCGATGTCGCGCGCCGGGTTATCGCCGAAGTACACAATCTCATTCGTAGCGATGTCATATTTGTTCAATACAACGCCGAAAAGTCCGTCTACCTTGGACCTTCCCACCGCATTGGTCGTCACAAGCACGTCAATGTAAGGCTGGATGCCAAGTTCTCGCACAGTCCACTCCTGTGCATCGGCCGGGCCTTCGGTGATGACAATGATGTTCTTCCCTCGTTTGTGTAGTGTTTGCAGAAGATGCAATGCACCATCCTTGAGGGTCAAGTTCTCTCGCAAAGAATCATGATATACCTCTAGTAGACATTCGAGAAGACGAGGTTCATTGACCCCGTGCATTTGAAGCAGACGATCAAATCGCTCGCGCCGATACTCGGCTGAGGTCCTACCATCCGTGAAGGCATTGGCGGTTGCATTACGTAGAATGACCCGGTAGTCATCCTTGAGGGTGTTGATTTTGATATGTTTTGCAGTGTGAACTGCCTGGAAAACTTGATCCGAGGCAAGGGCTGATGCTCGTCGAAATTCGTGAAGTGTATCGTCTAGATCGAAACCGAACCAAGACTTGGTGGAAATTCCGAGCAGAGACATGTCTTCGTGTTCCTGTTGAGCGTCGAAATAGATTCAAAGCAGCATGCCAAAAGGCTTCATCCAGAAGTATGAGTCAATTGAGTGGAGACTGATGGCGTGATAGTCTCATATATGCCTCTATATGCACAATATTACAGATTCGCTATTATATCAAAAGAATGTTACAAATTAGAATGCACCGCCAACCTTCTCCACGATCCACATGGAAAGTCGCACATTCCACCCCACACGACGCTCAGTCCGTCTGAGGTCATCTCTCGAGACAGGGCTAGCGTCTTTCTGAAGACGCTCCGTCTCCTCGCCAAGTTTACGCTTGAGCTCTTGGTCGGTAGTCACCACGAGAGCACCAGCCTCGAGATCAAGACTGTAGCTGCGCTTGGTGTAGTTGCTGCTGCCGACGACAGTGAGACTTGGGTATTGCTCATTTGGTAGCGTGACCCAGAGGCCTTTTGCATGGTATGTCCAACCGCCTGGCGTGCCGACAGTTCCTTTGCGCCATTCCTTCAGCTGAATGAAGTTGGAGGCGTGGGCCTTTGCAACACGATCGAGGAAGCGAGCGGAGAGGTGTGTGTATGCGGCTGGAAGCATTCCTGAAATTCCAGAGGAGCCGTAGAATCCATTGGCCCACGGAGATGCCGTTAAAACAGTACCCTGTGTCGGAGAGGGGGCGCTGGATGTGGTGGTCGTGCTGGAGATCAGGAGGGAGGAGAGAATAGGGTGGATATTGAAGTATCCTGCTGTGAATAGCCAGCGCGCACCAGCAAATGCGGATGAGCTGGACAGAAGGCGCAGAACGGTAGAAACAGCAGGGTATTCGGTGGACGTATCATGTGGTTGAAGAAGGGAGGTGAACTGCGATACGGGGTATACATAAGTGCGACTTTCCTCAGACGCAATTGCAGGTTTGTTTTCGGTTGCCCGGATGATCGGGGTCAGATATTTTGACGAATGTTGGATGAAGTCCGGAGGATTGTCCAGAGGAGATGGGGCCGCATTGGCCACCGGCCAGTCCAATACATAGCTGAAATTGTTTTGAGGATCCGGGAGCACCTGGAAGCTCAGATTGCAAATGGCATGGTGAATGGTTGAGTAATAATCGGCAAGCGCCTTGGAGCTGAAGACGTGGTATCGGTCCAAGCGGCTGGTGAAGTATTCCTCAGAAAGATTTGCGCTGCAAATCGATTAGTATCCATATCGAAGCCGTGATCCGATCGATATATCTTACCCTGAAAGGATGATTTCATCGTCAATTCCATACAGCTTCATGTGCTGCAAGCCCCAGCCTTCGTTGATCCGACGAGGGATCCATTTCTTTCGTAGGCCAGTCAAGTTGGGGGTATGAAACATCCGAACCTCGACTCGTTCCGGTCCATACTCTTCCACCAAGGAACAGAGGAGTGATGCACATGACGGATTAGGGGTTTCTCGTGTACCGCGCAGAGCGTCCGTCAGAATCGAGACCTTGAGATCCGGGTTGTCGCGGAGGGCGTGGCTCAATGTTTCGACGAGGTCATGCTCTGTCTTGCCGATGTACAAGGTGGAGAGGTAAACGCGCCGCCGGGCATTGCGGATTTTATTCTGCGCCAATTGACGTTAGTTACAGTGGATTTTGAGTGGAAGCACACCGGCGTACCTTCAGCGTAGAATAAAAGTTGGCTGGAGTATCAATAATGTGAATCTGAGATGCTGGAACCTCGAACCGAGGAGCAATGCGATCTAGCTCCGCGGTGATGCCTGCCAAAGGTGAAGGGGCAGATGCGGCAGTAGGGCTACTGGCGTGCGCCGAGAACTTGCGAGCGCATATTCTCCGACGTGCGACTGGACGTCCAGCGCAACGAAGTGCCTGACCACCAATGCGACCGAACATTTCTGAGGAACTACGAAGTCGAAGGATTTCTGAATCGGGAAATCCCATATGCGGGTGCAAACAGTGCAAACACACCGCCCTTCTGCAACCTCAAATCGCCAATCTCTCGCATCCCATTCGCTCCACATTATAACAGCAAAGATGTCGACCATTGTGAGGACGCTGCGCAACCTTCGCCGGGTTGGCTTCAAGGTCAGTTCCTCTGCTTTTTCTCGGTGCAGAATAGGGTACTAACTTTCCTACAGGATGCTGCCCACCAGATGCAGGTATGATCGCGGACGCTTCCCCCGGAACACCAGGACAATTGGATAGGATTCGGGCTAACAGAGGTTCCTGTTTGCTTTGTCTTAGAACATCGGTATGCTATGACTGTATGAGTACATGCGCCGCATTAGACTGACCATTGATCGCAGGTGATACCAAGGCCGGAACCCTGATCGGTACCGATCGCTTCGGAAACAAGTACTTCGAGAACATGACCGAGGAACTGCCCCGTAAGGAACCGCCCAACATTTGTACTCGCCATTGGAACACAGAGCTCTAATAGTTTTCCCCGCTTAGTCCGAACACGCTGGGTCGATTACAAGGAGGCCGAATACGACGCATCCCACATTGAACCTGGCTGGTAAGCCCTCCTTGAGATCTGAGCAGCAATTGCTTTAGACAGGGTGGAACTAATGAACTGCAGGCACGCCTGGATCTCCTACCTCGTTGATGCGCCCCCATACGCCGACAAGATCATGCAGACTGGCGTCCGTCCCTGGGAGCTCGGCGAGCACCGCGCCAACCCTACCCTCAGCCGCGCTGCGTTCAAGACATACTCGACGTACGTTCAATGATTCCACCTGTCCGATTGCAACCTGCTAACTGGCTCACAGCACCCGGCCCAAGATCTCTGCTTGGACTCCCACCGCTGCTCCCCGCTAGATCTATTTGCAGTAGCAGTCAATTCAAATTATGTGCCGTTTAACCAAACATCTCCTCTGGTGCGCTCTATGAAGAGCTTGTTTGGAAGTTTTGGGAAATGTATATAGACGCGTTACCAGTAGTGGTTGTTTTTTTACGAAGAAAGTCCGTTTCAAAAATGTGCTTCACTAAACGTGATATTAATTTAGACCATATGGCAAAACCATGGTATCTTGATCGTCCAAGAAAGACGTGCGTTAACGAAGGGGGAAATGAAGTAGATACAAGAAGATATTAACACCCAGGATTTGGCTGATCAGAGAACATAGACACCAGAGCCAATGTTAGACCAGTGACGGATTGGTCGTCGATCCTCCAACTCAATGCACCACCACAGCACTTCTTTTAGCTTTTCAATCTGCTCGCCAGCTTCGTATGCCCGGGAGAGCGCATACCACGCCTCCGAGCTATCCCAGGAGCTACCGAGCTTGGTCAAAGCCGAGAGAAGCCCATACGCACGATCACGGGCCGCAAGACGGTGGAGCTGCTTGGGCTCGACATCCTGAGCGGACGAGGGCGATTCCTCCGACTCCTCATTTTCCGTCTCAGGCGATACCTTCAAATCTTCAGTGGAGATAGCCTTGGCAGACTTGGGCTTGGGCGTGTCCGACAACAATGATAGACGTGAGGCATTGAGATCTACGTCGGGGTTTGATGGCTCCAAAGTGAGTGTCTCGTCCCATATGTCCAATAGAAGGTTTGCAAGCCCAATAGTGGCGATGGGATGGTTTTGATAACGAAGGAGCGCATCCTCGAAATACCTGATGGCCTGGTGAGGGTTTGACCGGGCCTGGAATAGAAGTCCCTGCTCGGCGTAAACATCGGCCCACAGTTCTTCGGAGCTCTTTGATGCACCCCAGCCACGCTTGCTGAAGGACCGAGCAGATGACTCAATCGACGCAACAAGCGCTTCGACCCGTGCTACTTGTTTCAAGGCTTCTTCGCAGGCTTCTTGGGAATCATCGAACATAGACGCCCGACGATAAAGTCCAGCAATGACAAGCCATATTTTGACAAGCAGTCCCAAGGCTTGCTTTTGGGATTGGACCAAAGAGAACTTTGTAATAGCGTTCGTGGGCGAATCAAAACGATGGGGCCTTGGATGCCTGATCTCTTGCTGTGAGAGTTGTTCTTTATGGTTGGCGTTGGGCGGTAGCGGCGGCAGGGGGTGCTTGCCCTTGAATGACTGCACAGCAGAGTCTGGCGTAGAGTTGCCAGAAACAGCAATACCGACCATGTCCGCTGATGCATCATTGCCATTGGGGAGCGGAGGCTCCTCGACACGGGGTCTTTCGTGTCGGGCGAAGCTTGAGCTTCGCTTCTTCTTCAGTCTCTTGGAGTCTGTCCTTTGAACCGTAGACTGCCTTCCTTGGCGACCGTGGGGGTCTTCATCTGTGACATGAATTGACGGAGCCTCGGACAGGTGACCAGCAGGAATGGGTGGTGTGGGGGGAATAGAAGAATCCAAACCGTTTTGACTGACGCTTCGATCCGGTAATTGGGACATTCGTCGACCGAAGATACTGCCACGGAGGCTCTTGGTAGTGCCAGCGGAGCTCTTTGGTGGCACAAGATGTTCGTCCTTGGTTTTGGGTACCCCGGTCTCAAGATCGAGATTCTGGAATAGTGTTCCAAAGAGACTTAGAATCTGTGAGCTGTGGTTGACAGCGGCTTCAGGGCCCTCCAAAAGCTCAATGAAAGCAAGCTGTGTAATGCGAGTCTGAATGATTCGTTCCTTCTCCCTGCCTTGCAAACGGCTGACGACTGGACGCTGACTGAAATTTTGTGCATGTCTCGATAACCGCCGATCACGGATGCCCTTCGAGAATATGTCACGGGGGAACTGCTCGAATGCAGCTTCGCAGGAACGACCCGCAATCTCGAATTCCTGCTTCGCGCTGAGGAGCAGCGCTAGCAAATGCCAAAGGGGAATCAAATCTCGCTCCTTTGAGAGATCGTCAGATTCTGTTGTAGGCGAGCCACTTGGCGTCAGAGCCGATTTGATATAGTCAATCGCAGCATCTAGCTCTCTGTTCTCGGCCAAAACAAGACCCAATGTATAAAGAGAGGCATAGCTTGAGCTGCATCCTAGTTCCGGCGCAAGACTTTTTTCGAGGTACTCAATTGCCTCAGATCTGATCTCGTCGCGCATTTCATTAACGGGGGTCCAATTTGCCCAGCATGCAAGACCAACACCGATGGCGCGGTACGAGGAAGCCAGCACCTCAGGAGGAATTGTTGGCTGGATTGAAGAGTCACCGTTTATATGACCATTTGTGGCAGTAGCGTCATGTTTATCAGTATACTCTTTGATCATATCGGTGAGATCTCGAGCTTTCTCTGCCTCCTCGAAGGAGCCAAGGCAACTGAGTAGGGTCACGCCTTCGGAAAGTGTCTGCAATAGGGTCTCATCCTTTTCCAGCTCGCCATATTCGGCTGCCTTTTCGGCTCGCTTCTTAGCGGCTGTCACAATCTCAATATATGAATCAAGTGCCTTGAATGCAAGATCGAAGTCTGCCAGAGCTGAATGAACATGGAATAGCCGACGGAGCACTAAATGGGAGTGATATGTCTTTGTGGCCGCGCGATACAAAATCTGGAATTAATTAGGTCAGTGTTACTGGGCCTGGAAGTCTTTTTGTGCACCTGGGCATACTCACTTCCAATACATTGCGACCAATGGCATCCTGACCTCCTTCGGCTAGGTCTGAATCTTGCCACTCAGGGCCACACATGATTTCCCAATTGCTGATAACTTGTTCAATCCATTGCTCGACCTGCACATTATGGGAATCGGCAGTAGGGAATTTGGTTTCACGGAGAAAACTGCTCTCGCAGATAGTCTCTACACGGCGCAATTCGTTCGCCTGTTGAGGACGGTGTGGTCCATCGTTGGGGCCTGTGTATGGGAGTCCGTGCTGAAGAATGGTTGTGAGAAATGCGTAGTAGCCAGTCCAGATTGATGACCGAGAAGCCGGTGCGGAGTCATCCACATTGGATGTAGCAGGCGTTCCTTGTTTGACGCAGGGATGCGCCGCCCACAAACGCAGCAGCTGTAAAGCGATGTCCACATTCTTGGGGTTCGAATACGCTGCGTTCCTTCTCGCTTCCTCGCTAGCCAAGATACCACCCTTGCCCAAAAGAGACTCGGACCAACTCAGAAATTGAGGGGTGGTGATCGACGATAATTTGCCGCTTTTGAGCCACGGGATCAGGGATGCGAAGGTCTCAATGGTCTCGTCGATATTCGAAACGCTCGATTGCGCAGTAGCTAGGTTGAAGTCAGACACATCACAAATCATGCCCTCAGATCACAATGTAAACAAACCTTTGATATAGCATCCCTTCACCAAACATACCTCGGTCCAGGTGCTCGGTTCCTCACCACCACTGGCCAAGCTCTCGACCGTTACAGCAAAGTCTCTAGGAAGGCGTGCCGCCGCAAGCCCGGGCTCATTCAGGACCCAGTGGATCCATCCCAGGCAGACTTGCGCTTGAAATAATTCTTGAGGCGACCCGTCGCTCTTCTCGATTGTCATTAACAGGGCAGGGATAAGCTCGACGAGGGTGGGCGATAGTGAAGAGTCCCCAGTGGCCTGTTGCTGGAGGTGTGCAATCACTCGCGACTCCGCCGTTGCGGTCTGTATCAGGCCTAAGTACAGCTTGGTTAGGATGAGATCAACAACTGAGGGGTCGGGCATAAATACAAGTGCTTTGTGGTGAATGTTTTGTGACTTTTCTGATCAACTCAGGCACCTCGTCCCAGTTTCCCAGGCTCCGCGCCTGATCCAAGGCTGCGCCGTAGCGGTGCCCCTTCTCGACATTACCCTGCACGTGTCAACAAATAAATACTGGGTGGTATTGGGGACTCGGAGATCGAAATCGGCCAGGAAGCGCTGGGGGCAGGAACACTCACAGGCATTATTCAGGAGTATTGTAGATTGGAGAAGAAGGAATGACATTCAAGCTTCCAACATTCTGCCCGATGATCGTCTACCTCGCAGGGGTGGAGAGCGGATTACGTACGTGACGGTAATTTAACGCCGAGGCTTCACATGGCCCGAGCGTTTTTGGCAGAAAAAAAGTTGCGGAGATCTTTGTCCTCTTGTTTTTCTGTCAGTCGCAATTTTGAGGGACCTCGTCATGACTTCGGCTACTTTGCGCGCGATCACGCATCGCTTGACCACCACCCCGGTGGAGCAATTGCCCTCCAAAGCGGCATTGCTTGCGACTTCGTTGAACGATTGCGCCGCTCTTCTCTCAGCCCCGCAGGCTCAGAAGTCCAACAAGTCGGACTCGGACAATGCTGTTCAAATCCATAAATTGAAGACTAGATTGGCTAGTCTGCTGCAAGATCGCACCGTGGAGGGAAGATGGACAGCTGTGGTTCTGGTCAAAGCTGCGGTTGAAGCTGGTCAATGGGAGATCCTGCGTGGCTACGAGCCCATTGTTCGCAGCTTGATTGGAATCCTAGCGGTATGAGCTGGTTCATGATTTGTTATATACAACGAGCCCCGACTGACCATTGCTAGAAACCCGACCCAATCTCCACGAGGAAGATGTGTGTCATCACGCTCACTCGGATCTTCCATCTCACGTACCAGTATCCTACGCTTGTCCGAGAAATCACGACTCCTCAACTCCCGGGATTCATCACCGCCGCCTTGAACTTGGTTTCCATCGCAACAAAGACCCCCTCAGGCTCAATTCGGAAGCCCAAGCCCAACACTCCATTCATGGAGATTGTTTTGCACGCCTTGCTGGAACTGATCCCTAGACATATCACCATTTTCCGGCCATTCAGCTCTCAACTTCGATCTCTTCTTACCGAGGTCATTGGGTCTTCGTCTGGATACTTCCCGGGACAAGTGATCGAAGCGGCGGAGCAGCTACTTGTGTCTCTTCACAAGTGTGCGCCCAAAGATCAGGCGACCACTGGGTGGAAAGATGATTGCAAGGCCACAATTCTGGCTATTCATCAAACGACCGACAATGTTTACCGCGCCGTGGTGGAACAGTGGGAATCAGTTGACGGTAGCTTGACTCACGCGCGACCAAACTGTAGCCAAGAAATGAGCAGTGAAGGCCCGGATAGCCTTGGACTGCCAGCGTGGCAGGGACTTCACTCGGGTGTAGACAGGCTACTCGCACTTCTCGAGGTCCTCTCTGGTTTCTTGTCGACGCCATCTGCGGCCGCAGTGGCTCTTCCCTTGGGTGCTATCCTTGACGTGACCTCCAGACTTACATCCGTCACTGTTCCCCCGAATGGTGAACCGTCTACATCTGGAATCCAATTCAACAAGGAAATCAGCCGTGATGAGCGCGAAGGACTTTGGATGGAGCTCCCTCGCATCCACATCGCATGCATGGGCCTTCTTTCCAATCTCATTGAATTGATGGGAACCAGCGCCACTTCGGTAACACAGACTGTGCTGGAGCAGGCTGTCTGGGTTTTCAAAGGCGAGAACTTCAACCAAGATCTTCGTTCTGCTGTCTACAGTCTCCTGCGTTCCTTGGTCCCCGTCAACGGACCTGCGATGGCAAAGGAGAGTGTCGTCTCGTTGTCACAGGCTGTGCGCTCTTGCTGCAACGATCTCCTTCCATCGGCGGAGAGCCCTCCGACCCAAGCAGCAAGCTCTGACCCCAAGTCGAAATCAAAGGGCGGACAAGGCGCAGCTAATGCTGATGCATTCTTGAACCCCGAGCTGCAGAAATCTCGTCAAAAGCAAGCGTCTTCTCCCTTCTTGGATCTCCAACAGAATGCATCAGGACTTCTCCGGGCAGTTTTGGTTTCGATCCCTGCCGAGCTCGTTCCGCCTTCCGTCAGAACCGAAATTGACCGCACAATCATTTTGACCACCGACAAGGATCCTATGTTGGCCAGCGTTTTGAACCCTGTGCCTGCGGCCAAGGGCCGTGGGCCTGGCTCCAGTATCATCCCCTTCTTGGTCCGGCCTTACGCCGATCAAATGGAAGTGGAGGCACTGGTCCGTCCTAGAATGCCGGTTCTCATGACAGCTCCCGAGCTCGATGCCTATATCGACGAAGAAGAGGAAGAGGCGGAGGACGAGGAGATGGCCGATGAGGCCTACAAAGCTGCACCCAAGACTGCTGAATTCTTGAAACAGCCTGTGTCGATGCCCATTCACGTCCCTCAGTCCGAGCAGCCGAAGACCACCGAGCCAGCTCCTACTTTCCAGAAGCGAACCTACACAGAGGAGTCCACAACACAGGAGCCAGCTGCCAAGAAACAGGACGTTCAGGTTAAAAAGGCACGCTTCGAAGAGATCGTTCCAACCACCTCTACTCCCCAGCCAGTTTCACAGGTGACTTCCACCGTCACTCAATCCGAGGCTCCCAAGGTCTCAGCCCCTGTGTCTACAACTTCTACTACCGTGACCTCGCAGGCCACGGAGGAGGTTGACGAAAGCGATGATGAATTGCCTACTCTGAATGTCGACTCCGACACCGATGAAGATGACGATGATGTCACGATGGATGGTTAATTGTAATTTATATATCACATCAATTTTACCGCACATAAACCCCCGCAAGTCTAATGCGCATGCAAGACACCGCGGCAAAAGGGCCCGAAAACCTACTGAACTCCCGTTTTATAATACGCGTATGCCACTACCCCAATATGAACCATCGCTCCAATACCGGAACCAGGGGTCTGTCCAACACCACCACCCTTCACCCTGCATTCCGAACCCAAGACCGCGCAACGGGCTAACAGGGACAGGCTCCATCAGCCACAGCCCTCCCCTCGCAAAGTCATCTGCAATGAGGCCTCCCGATGTCATCAACCAACAGTATACGAACAAGAAGTTCGCAGCCCGTCTAACCCACCTCGGTGTACCGCCAAGTGGCAATCTTGGAAAAATGACAGTCTTGAAGACCTGTTCTGCAATCATTGCAACGCCCTGCAAAGCGAAAAACAAAAATGGCCCTGAGACAGGACGTGTATCCGGTATCTGGGTGCGGCTTCCGCAGGCATGTATAAGACCGCTGATGCAGAAAGACACTGTGACATATACGACGCGTCTGAAATACAGATGAGACGCCAGGCTTACAGGGAGCAGGGATAGAATCCATCGCGCTGCACTCATGAAGCCATTTCGGAAAAGCTGGTGCCACCATTTGCCCCAGCAGCCCGCCAACCCTTGGTCGAGAACCGGTTGGACGAAGGGCCCAAATGCGTCGGAATACAGCCATGATGCGCCGAGTGGCGCACCGGTAAGATTCCGGGCTGCATTTGGGAATGCAAGAGACAAACCCAGGAAGAAGATTGGGTTCAAGGGAGTCACAAATTCCAGGGCGAAGTAAACACTGGCGGCGCTGTACATGCAGCGGAAGAGCTGGGCCAAGGCAGGGTGAACTGCGAGGCTTGGGAAGTAAAAGAATGGGAATGGCGGAGGAGAGATCGAGTCAGATGGTGCAATTCCTTGAAAGTAGGGGTCTGGCATCAAAATGATGACCTTGAGGACGTCCAGGATGAGATATGATACGCAAAATTTGCGAAGCGCAGCCTGGAAGCGTTCTCTACCAGTTGGATAGGTAGAGTCTGCTTGGGCCTTGATGTTTTCTGTGAAGCCTGATTGTAACTGAGCATGAACGGTTTGAGGCAAAGGACCTAGATGTGGCGCTCGCCAATTCCATTCCGGTCCTCGCAAGTTGAAGAACAGACCGGCAGACCACTCTAGGCGATGCGAGAACTTTTCGGGATAGGGCTGCCAGTGGAAAGCACCGATTTCCTTTTGATTAGACTGTGAAAGCTTTGAGTCAAGCTTCCCATTCTCAACTCCTTTCTGTATGCTTTGTGTCTCCTTGACCGGCTCACTGGAAGGCTTTCTTTCGATGCGCTTGAAGTCATCCTCGAGGCTTGTGAAGATGAACAATGTGGCAGTCCATATTAACCACCATGCCGTCATCAAGCCGAGCATGTAGCCATTTCCGCCCACGACTGCGCGGCGATTCAGGAAAATGTCTATGGCGATGCCCACGCAAATGGCAAATATGATCTTGCGAATGTGGTCGCCGCCTCTGCTACGAGGAATGACCAGGCCTATCATAGGCAAGGCATGAATGATTACAACATGATAGAGAAAGATAGGCTTATAGACACCCTGGTCGATCAAGCTATCTAGCTCGTTCTCGAAGTGCTTGGCAAGATCCCTGTAGGAGCCATAGCGGGGATCGGCCATGTGGGACGCCTCGGTGCGCTAAAAACGGGGTGATTTATGAGAAACGACGCTTGCGACCAATGCAGCCCCTGAACGATATTCAGGGATGTAAATGATAAATTGATTGAGGAATGTGTTGTAATTGTGTCACGCGAAGTCACAGATCAGGATATACGGAGATCACGTGGGTCTGCATTTCTGCCCCAGGCGACAATCTGTCAACACCTGGGCGTCTATCCATTGTTTGCTCAAGTCAATGACTTCAAGGTTTGCAACAGTGGCGGCTGTACTCATTCTCATGGTCACTCTCTTGTACCAAACATGATAACACGAGGTTCAAGCCATTGGGGCGGAGCATCCCCGGTATCTACGGAGGCTGAGGGGCTGGGGGGATTCGGGAGGAGCTCCCCTCTTATCCGATGGATCTACGCGTATGCGGGGATCGAGATGCAATTCCCACTGCCGATAAACCAACAGCGGAACTAGTGAACAGGGCCATTTCGTTATACATTCTCACCTTGCCACTTCCTTGAACGGTATACACTTCAGCTTGTCTTTTAAAATGTCACAGAACGAAATCCAAGGACGACTGGCCCTAATCACAGGCGCATCCGGAGGGTAAGCTTGACATGAGCTACCAAGCCAAGTCTCAACATATGAATGAAATATGTTGACTGACAATTCTATGATTCTAGCATAGGAGCAGCTTGTGCACACCAACTCGCCCAACATGGAGTCCACCTAGCTCTGACCTATTCCACCAACTTGGCCTCAATGAATGCCATTGTCGACGAAATAAAGTCAAAAAATGCGGACAAAAATCTCCGAATCTCTATTCACCAGGTCAATGTCGGGTCTGAAGATCAGATTCAGGCCATGTTCCAAGACATCGATACTAAGCACGGCCAACGGCCAGACATACTCGTCTCAAACGCTGGATATGGGAAGCGCATACCCGACGTGTCGGATATTTCCCTCGAAGAGTTTGACTTCACCATGAACATCAATCTTCGAGCCTCATTCATCTTGGTCAAGGGCGTGGTAGAGCACATGAAGAAGCAGAAGTGGGGACGCATTATCTTCATGTCCTCGATCGCTGCCCAGGGCGGAGGTATCAACGGATGTCGTGAGTTCATGATAATACCCCTAAAAGTTCAAACCCGTGAATATTTCATCTAATTATGTTTCTCGATCCAGATTATGCAGCCTCCAAAGGCGGTCTTACGGGTATGATGAAGAACCTCTCAACCCGTCTAGCAGAGCATAACATTAGTGTCAACGATGTTGCTCCGGCCATGATTGGCGAAACCGGCATGCTTTCCAACGCCGCCGCATTCCCTGAAGTGGCGGCAAGTGTTCCGCTTAAGCGACTCGGAACGCCCGAGGAAACGGCAAATGTTGTTACTATGCTGGCAAAGACTGGATACATGACTGGTCAAAGTCTGTTACTGGCCGGAGGACTGAAATGATAATTTTTTTCAGAGTGGAAACCGTAATATCAGTGTTCCATCTGGGCAATGTTCACTGTCTCGTATAGCCCAGCTTTTTGACTTTCTAGATGTTATTTAATAGCCACATGTATGCTTGACAGCTCTGCCCTAGTACATACGACCACAGGGGTTATCAATTTTCAATCTATGCTCCCCGGTATCTCTTGGGCACACCCTCGGAGACTGATTATTATAGTTTGAAGTGGGCTCATAACATCATATTAAATAGAATTCTAGCTGATGAGATTACCGGGAGTAACCGCGCGATCCTGGGCTCAGTATAACCAGACCTGAAGAGCCTCCTAACCTGACCCACCCAATTGGAGACCCAGGTTATATGCCATCGATCCAAAGCTTATAGAGTTATAATTTATCTTACTCACAGCTAAGGTTAGTAGCAAAAGAAAGGCTGTGTCTTGGGTTGGGTTGGTCTCAATCCGTTGATTTGTCAAGATGCATCGTTGAGGTGTTCAATGAAAGCGGCTGCTATTCGCGTCTCAATATTTCGCTTTGGTGGATGTTTGTTCCATGATCCATCAAAAAGATAGTTTTTCGGTACTAATGTAGGTGGGATACACAATGTCCCTTGCTGTGCTGAATCGAAATCGCCCAATTGGATGTTCCGGATCATCTTTGACGTATCCCCATCGAATGGGGAGTAAAGTCGGATCTCGATCTTCTGGGTGGGCATGACACGCAGCACTTATAGCAGCGCTACATGTACCGACCAGTGGTGCAGGGTATGAAGGAGACTTGCCATTACCAATGATTGGAGACGGTTTATACTTCGAGAAAACCGAAAAGCCAAGCATTGTGAAAATCATGGCACCGCCAACCACAACTGCCAGGAGCATGGCAATAGGTGACGTCCCCACAAGAGATCCGTCTAGGTCCGGGGCACGGTCAAATTCTGGTGTCTGATATGCAATGGTCTGGATGACAAAGATACTCTGTGAGACCAGCCAGTGAAGTGCACTGGATGCGGCCATCAAAGGCAGTGAGTATCGATATGGTAGAGACAAGAAATAGGTAGATCTTTGATATCCACGCGGACAAGACACGCGGAGGGGGCGCCTTTTAGAACGGTAGGAGTTCCACTCAGATGCCATCAACATGACAGTTATGATGTTGTTGCATAGGAGATACAAACCGCTCACGATGATTTGAAAGACGTTCACATACACAGTGGCGAAAAAAAACCCATCTTCCTGGCTCATATGAGATAAGGCACCCGTCAAGGATACACTCCATGCATGAGCAGTTCCAATCCCGTATGACCAGAGAGATAACAGGTCTATTGCGAGTCCCCCACTCTTTCTTGCGTTGGGGCTTTGGCCAAGTTCAACAGATACAAATATCATAAACCCAGCGCATCTGTTCAACCAAAGTTAATGATCAAATCTGGAGTATTTAAAGAATTCATTCATACTCACAACAAAAGAGTCGATATCCATTGCAAAATGCTAACGCAGGAGAACCACCGCCGGATCCTCAGTTTAGCACTGGGTTGAAATTCTGCGCGTTCTTGCATTTTGTCTGGCCATTTCCCTCTGCGGAAATCGCTTTGATCAGCCAGCGAGAGTTCTTTGGTGTAATCATCTTCCTGCTCTAGGAAGCTTGCAATGGCGTCGCCCACAGTGACGAGATAGGCTGTTCTAGCTTTTGCGTCCCTCTTGTGCTCATTGGAGAAATGACTTGAATGGAGACGAGCAGTGAAAAAAATGCAAATGACCTTGATGAGATTCAATCCACACACAATCACCAATAAAGTGCCGCTCACCCGAAGCGCACAAATATCGTCCATGGGATGGAGGTCACTAGCAGGGATGCAGTGGTCTACACCCACCCATAGCTGCACCCCAGAGGGGGCTGCCGGAGTTTCCTCCCATCTGGTAAAAGTCCAAGAGTCCACGTATGCCTTCATAGCTAAATCAGAGCAGATGGTGGTTCTTTCACTGTCTGGTGGTGATGCGTAATAGCCAAGAGGCGTCCAGGCAGAGCACACCCATGAATTCGCCTGCGACCAGCGTATGCCCTTGGAGCCGCCTCCATTGGTAGCAGCGTCGAATGCCGAAAAGTTGGAAAGCAAAGAGGATGAATTATCAATAGCAAATGACAATTGGTCATGTTTGCTAATGTTCCGAGCGACCAAAAGCACATCGCTTAGTCCGTTGTCACTATTGGTGTACCTCTCGATGCATTCCGCTCGAGAAATGGGTGTCAACCCAGTCACATTTTGACGCATCGCGTCAAAGCCCGCCATAGGGTAGTTCCAAGGTGTAGTATCTTTGAGATAATCACTCGTTACAACTCCAACGTTATACGAGACTTTGGGGGAGGCTGCAAATACAACCGTGTTCCAGCTGCAAAGGTCAGAAAAGGAGGGAGGAGAGGAAATGGAAAGTTATGTACTTACATCAAGTGAAGAAGTCCAGAACTTATCATTAACAGCACCCAGAGGAGCCTTCTTGGAGTATCAACAGCCCGCAGATTTCGGAAACTCTGGATGCCAATGTCAAGCGTCCTCCGCTTTGCGTGTGCTTGCTCGATGTCTTTCCGCGTTGGCGCAACTAAAAGCTGAGCGCAGTAGTTACTGGATCCAAGGAGAATGGTCGAGAGAAAGTTGATGACCAAGTGAAGCCCCATATTGTATGATCGGACCTGATCGCAATTGGTAACCTCAGGAACGTCGACAATGCCTCCCGCCCCGCTTGCGGGCCCACGTGCGCGAATAGCAAGCGTAGTTACAATGATATTGAATATGAAGACTACTCCTGCGATTGATTGGTGGATGATAAGGGCCACATCGCGGTTGGAGAGTTTTCGCCCGAGGCCTTTTGTCCTTGGGTCCTCTGGGTCAACCTCAGGAAACCACTGTCGAAGGAAACCAATAGCGGCGAACCGTGGCAAAGTATCTCGCATGAGATTTTCACCTTTGGCCGTATTCGAGGAACTCGAGGTGCTGGGGCGCACGATGGTTGAGCTTTCACTCGAATGCGATGGACTCGCAGAGGCGCCGGGGGAAATCGTGTCGAGAGGAATCTGAGTCAAATATGGATCATTATCACCAGTGTGCTCAAGCATACCAGCGGTCTCGAGATCTGGAGATAGCCTCGAAGGCATGGTCTATTCGCACAGATATGTTCTGGATCTCATGGGAACAGAATACTTTACTCGCGGGGTCAATTTATAACCCACTGAGTTTGGGGCAGCCTTTTCCAAAATAATCCATTCGACTATTCGCGAAGTGTTTTGCCTAGACCTGTTAGGGAAATTTGCCAGTCCAGCCGCCAACAGGTGGAAGGCGCTTCCTCTAACCTAGTGCCGAGTAATAAATGTCGCGCGATATTGTTGGCTGGTGGTGAATTTGATGTCCTAGAATAGATCTTTAGCCACATAGATTTCCTAATAGAAACTAGTCACATGGGCCTAATTGTATTGAGGTACGAAGCTTGAAAAATGCGAGATCTGAGACTGGTCACTCTGGAAAGGACACAGGTATGTACAAACTACCTCAATATGTAGCTTGATAAAGCGTAACCTTGGAACTCCCGATGCTTCAAATTAGTAAAATCGCCACCCGTGGACCTTGCAGGTCCTGTACAAGTAGCCAATTCATATATCATTATGTAGCAAATAGAGCGAAAGATAGAAGGCCGTGAAGGAGTTGAAAGCCCCTTGTAACTGATACCTAGTCGAGGTCCGTGCTAGGCGCCCTGCCCAGCCCTGGAGGTGGAGCTTCTATGGATGTCAACTTCCGGCTCTTTTAAACCAATAGGATGCTTCATCGATATTGCAACAACTCTCCCGTTCAAGCCGCCGGCAAATTGGTGATACTTGTCGATATATTCCCTTTCATTAGTCTGAACCAGCACATACGACCACAGGGTGTGGAAAACAGGGCTTCCCGTCCGCTCAGCGGTAATTAGACCACATCGTAGAGCGCAACCGAAAGGTTGTCCTCCTCAGTTTGTCGGAGTAGTCGGTTGAACATATCTATACTCAACACTGAATCCAAACTCTATAAGATCACCCGAAGTAAGGAGACGAAGCAGTCCACACCTTTCTAAGTCCCGGCAAAATCTCCTGTTTCGAAGATAAGTGCTCATCGGAGCGGTCCTGTTCCCTATTGTGATAATCGTCACCATTGGCTACCTCGCCGTTGCTATGCGGTTGGGCCCCAAGGCAGCACCACGACCGACGCGGTATCGTGGGCAGCAACTATCGATAGATCTTTCATAGCCAATCGACCTGCAAGACAATGATCACGTGCATTATCCAATACTGAGCACATTCCAACCAGCAACCAAGCCTCCAAATGTTGAGTGCATTTGAAATGGTAATTTCGCTGTAAATTACTACTCAATACATTCAGGAGGGATTTATACTGATGCCCGTTGAATAAGTTTTGGCACTAGTGCCTTGGCAGTGGGTCCCGAGGAAACAAAAGCAAATGTTAGGGAGGAAGCAGATTTCGCTAGTGACTGTATACAGTACATTGCGAAACCGGTGCAACAAGCACACTCTACGGAGTATAGACACCTTTTCCGGTCTCACTGCCAAGACCTGAGCACAGACCACGTATTCAGGTGACCGCGCTGAGTTGATGACCTACAATAATGTCTGGCATAGTATGTACAGATTTTAACCTACACCACTTCAGGCCGTGTATTCTCTATAAAGTCTGGCGTAGATTAGTATTACTAAATTCAAAGCAATCGCCGAGGTGCCTGGTGGGCGTTTTGAGGCCTCTAGAAAGGGATAATTGTGGTGACGTCATCGATTACGAAGTCACAGAGTCGGGCTGACCATGGTCTCAAGCAAGAGAGGTAGGCAATTCGCCAGCTTCCATTATATTAAGGATAGATCGGATAGTTCCAGCTGAAATATTCGTGGGTTCTTACCTCGAAAACCGTTCTGAGAAGTCTTTGGAATGGCGGAAGAAAATTAGCTGAAACCTCGAATTCACTTTCACGATTCATAAGCAATCACCTATCCATTATCAAAATCTTCAACTGCTACAGATGGGCCTAGTAGAAGACTAGGCTTCAAATATTCAAAAGATGGCGAAAAACGACCCTGATGAAAGGCTGGTTTATCTGGCTTGCCAGCATATCTTCCGTGGCTCTCACTCCCACGTCCGAAAATCAAAAAGGATTAGGAGCTTGATTCAAGAGAACAAGCCTTCTCTCACAGATATTTTACGGGAACACAATATCGATCGTACTGTCCAAGTTGTGAAAAAGTTGCTTGAGGATCAAGTTTTTGACAATACTTTGAAAGCCAAGATACGATTCCCGGAATTGTTTGACGTATCACCAACTCAAAGCGCTGAGAGAGAGGCTTCAGAAGCAGAGGCGGCGAGAGGTGAAGCAAGTACGGTGAGAGAGATTTCCGAAAGGGAAGTCTCTAGAGATACCGCTATCGTTTCTCAAGCAAAACCAGATGATGAGGGGGACAGGGAATCAAAGAGTAGGTATACCCGATTCATATAAACCAAACCCCAGTATAATTAATTTACTCCAACAGAATCACACTTAGAAAGGGAGCCAGATATCAATCAAGCCATTCCGTCGCTATACCCAGTATACATACAGTATCGATGTCAGCATCTTATCACAACCACGATACAAAACTTACTCGAAGAGAGTTGTTTTGAGTTCGCTCAGCAGCATTTTCCTCGCATTTTGATAACAAAAGGCTGGGATTGCCCTGAAGCAGTAGAACTGACAGCATGGACGAAGCTCATCTCTCAGCATCCTCCGCAGCCGGCAAAAGGCATAAATAAACCGATCGACGAATTATTTGGCCTTCTTCATGAGTTGCGACACTCTGCAGTCCACAGACTTCGAAAAACTGCGAATAGTATCGAACGACTTGCCGAAAATGCACAGCTTTTTCTTGAAGCCTTGGATGATTTAGATCGTTCAGAAAAGGTTTCGGTGCTTCGAAGAGAGCTGAAAGGCGCAATTGAAGAGCTCAAGCGCAACAAAGATCTTTTGGAAGGGAAACTACAAACGCAACTTAAGAATATACAAAAAAAGCGAGCCGAATTGGATATATGTGAACAAAATGCAATCAAATCTATGGGCATCGATGATCAACAATGTCAGAACGATGTCGCGGAATCGTTGAATGGTGCGGTCCGAAATTTGATATCAAACGAAACACAAAATGCGAATGGGAAGGGAAGATTGTTTTCTAGAGACCAATGGTTGTATGAATCGGAAGATGAGTTTCCCAGGGCAGATTTAACAATTTATAGCCCGGAACTCGACGAGGGCTCCAGTACAGAATGAATTGCTTACGTTTTTGATTCCGAAATTCAAAAGGCAAAAGTAATTGATAGGATTGGCGAAGGACGTCCATTCTAAGGTTGTCTGAACATTTGAGTCCGGGAAGCTCTCGACTTTCGAGGTAAATTGAGAGCGCTGGAGTGCATGTGTATTTTAGGCAAGCGTCTCCGAGCGCGAATAGCTACCTAGTGGGGCACGGCGATCATTGTACACGAAAAGAAGAGTTGACGGCTCTGGCATAAATCATTGGCCAAATTATATACGCTGAACAAGTAACTCCACTCAGTATATGAAGTTATAGCTTTTCCAGGGATTGCTTTTGGCTCCCTAGACGCTCCATGACTTGAGTCATGGCTTGTTGGGCATATGCTTGGCCTTTCCAAAAAGGAGGCAAACATTTTATGCTGTCAATGAGCTTGCGAAGTCCTTTCATCCCTCTGGCAGAGTGAATGGCTGGCACGTCGTTTCCAGGCTTATTCAATGATGCGTTGAAAACCTCAAGCGATACCGGTCCCTTGTAGCCCGTTGCCAAGACCGCAGCTCCAACGACTTCCACCGGTAAGTAGCTGCCATGGGATTGTTCCAGTGGGTAGAGTCGATGATTCCTAGACCATGGCAGAAGTGCAGGGGTGTTTGGATCGGATAGAGGCAAAAGGTTTGCTGGATTCACCAATTCTGCATCTCCACACTGGAAGAAGAAGATCCGGTCCCCGGGGACAGTGGCCACCAAAGCCGCCATCGAGTCAGTGAGAACTTGGATGGACTCTTCAAGAGTGGAATATATACGGCCATGACCATCGGGATTGTAGGGGTCCGCGAACTCGACGGCCAAAATATTGAATGCATCAACGATTAAACCAACATTGGGACGATTGGCGAATCGCACCGCCTCCCAAGATGCCGACCAAGTGTTCCTTGTTGCCCATGACAATCCCTCATATCCGATTCTGAGCATGGGACCACCATCAGTCTTTGCGTACGCCGCCGCCATATCACCGATTTCTGCCAAATCGTGCGCAACAGTCTTCAAATCCGAGGTGACGCCAGCATCAGTGCGAATATTGGCGCACATAAATACAAGGTCGGTGTCAAAAGCACGCATAAACGGGAATCGTTTCGCGACGAGATCTAGGGAAGCGCGACGCTCGACCGGATCTTTGATCCCCTCTATTGCTCGGAGTGGTTGCGTGCAGGCGATGCGCATCCCGAGAGACTTCACCAAGTCACCTAGCTTGCGGGCCACTTGTAGGTTCTCGGGTGTGGCTTTCCATAGCTGGTCTCCTGGTAGGTCGTGCTCTTCGAGGTAGGCGGCCCAACATTCGTCAAATAAATCAATCCACTGGTAGCCGTCTTTGGCTGCTGCTTTCAACCGAGGTTCGAGTCGATGCTCTCTCCAGTTGCCGAGGGATAAGGTTGCGATGCCAAGTTCGTTTGCGCACGAAGGAGGCCAGGATGTGGACATTGTTGTGATTCCGGGTCTGTGATTTTGTTTTGCGCAATAGTGGGTAGTAACTCGTGCTTTGTTATAGACACCTGGATGTTCGAATACCCGCGTCATCCCGTTCTTAGTCCCCGCATACCGGGCCCTTATTTTAGTGACCGGCTCCGGTTGTAAATGACATCAGCCAGATTAGTAGCCCTGGAGCCCCACAAGGTGGATAACCATTGTCGGAAAAAGTGGGGTTATATAGAAGAGTGAGCATTCTACTTTCATATGGTTCCTTGAATAGCTGAGTGGTCTTTGCGACCCAGAAGGGCCGCGGCACAAGTCGCGAGTTCAAAACTGCTCACTTTCATTGCAAACTAGAAATCAGTCGTTCCGTGGTACCTGGCGTAATACATGGTCTCGGGCTGCTGGCGGCGTGACGATCATCTATATACCCTCCGACCTTAGCAGGGAGATTTTTTGTTGCCCCTGCAAAATAATACTATCGCGAAACTGGGTTCCCGAGAGATTAGAATAGCAAGATATGTAACACACGAATTTGAAGAGAGTATTTCGAGGTGTCGCTAAAGTTTGGCCTGAATTTGGCCTTACACCCCCAATATTGCTTGTCGGCCTGAGGCCTTGAGGCATCCACCATGCCATCCATGCCATTGCGCAGACCTCCTACATACCAACAGAGCCACAGAATGCCACACGTCCTGGCCAAACATATCTCACAACCAACGAAGATAGAGATACTACCTAGTGACAAGCATCGCGAGTGAGACACCTCAAAGGCGGCCCGTGAGAGGCTTGTCCTGTCTATCTCGAACATCGGCAGCAGGCAGGCAAGGCTCAGGCAAATCTGTTTGACGCGCGACCTCCCGCGCAGCCCAGAAACCTGTCACAAAAGCCAGGGCAAGTCCCCCCGCATATCCGACATTACTGAATCCTCCCGCATCCACGCCCGCGACAAGAAGTCCTGGAATGCGAGATCGGTCAGCAGTCAAGGCATGTCCTTTGTCATTGATCGCGATACCGCCGTAGGTGAATGTGATGCTATAAGAATTCAGAAAAAGCGATGTAGGTACATGGGAGGGGGAAACATACGACGGCTGAACCTCCATGGCATAGAACGGACCCTCGCCATCGACTAAAGGTACAGGCGGCGGGCCTCCACGACCAACAGGGGCGTCCAGGGCGATGCTTGTGTTTCCTTGCCGCACCACTCGATCATAATCCTCGATAGTGCGTCTAGCCCTCGAATAACTCACACCCCACTGGTGAAGAATTTCCACCAAGCCAGCCAATGTCGGCGAGCTTCCGACATTACAGCCATGCTCGCGGGCTTTTTGCAGGCGATCCACGTCGCCCGCATTCGGAAATAATGCCTTGACACAGTGTTGCACGCGGGTCTTCTCGCTAGAATATGATTTCAAAATTCAGAACCATAAATCACCAAATACCCACTGACAGATTACATACCTGAACACCAGGAACCCGCGACGCTTCTCTTGCTTAGCGAGGCATTGGTTGATGATCTCGTCACCCATACTCTCGTCAGCAAATCGCTGGCCTGCTTCGTTAAGGAGCAAGCAATATTTGCTTTCTGTGGGCTAGTCAGAGAGAAATGCAGACCCAACAGAGAGCTTCACTTACGGTATTGAGCAAGCGTCAGATAATCCTTTGGATCAACATCCTCCACTCGGAGTGGCGCCGCCAAAAGATGGCCATAGTACGTGCTCATGCCTCTACTAGTTCCTGCACCGGCTTGGATAGCCAGATTCAGTCCATCGCCCACCGAACCACGATTGGAACGCACGAAGATATTGTCTCCACCTTGTCCTAGGTACTTTGATGTCAAATTTGGAGAACCCTGGAAGCCTCCCGTTGCCAAAACCACCACTTTCGCGTTGACTTCATGATGCACGGCTGGTGTGTTGGGGAAGTCGCGACGGATGACAGCACCAGTGACGCGTGACCCAGACACGCCGGGCTGCTGCTGATTCAATTTGACTACCGATGTGTTGGTGAAGATCTCAGAACGTGTCTTGCTTGACTGAATGCGTTTTTGATGGAGCTCATGAAGATGAGGAATTTGAATGGGAAATCCAATGCCTGCGACTCATTAACACCGGGGCACAGCGGGATGTGCATGCGTTACTCCTACCGATCGTCATGATACCGTCAAATCGGTCTGCCGTTGGCACACCATTTTCGCGCATCCACTGCACAGCCGGCAGGTAGTCGTCCAGCCAAGCCTTTTGTAATGCTGCATCTCCTTGAGGGACCCAATTCCGTAGCTTTTGGTACGTTTGTGGTGCCCAGCTGTTGATGGTGTCAATTTATCCGTTTGCTTTCGACCCTGGAAATTTGATTACATTACTTACAACATTCCGGCGGAGTAGTTTGACGAGCCGCCAACTTCAGCCTGTTTTTCAACGACCAGGACCTTTGCTCCTGATTCAGCGGCGAAGGCAGCGCATGCCATCCCGGACATGCCTCCTCCGCAGACTAGGACGTCGACTTCGATAGTCTCCATAATGGGCAAGGTTGTTTTATTTTTGAATGGGTGAGTAACTTTGGCGAAAGTTTTCCAAGAATTATCGTATGAGCGAGAAATAGATTCTGGTATGATGATATAGTGTTGACCGTTCTACTGGTGGAGACGCCTCGGCGCCGGCCCTTAAATCAAATGGCCGGGTGGATCCCAGCACATAGACAAGTCATGCTCCTGGCAAGTCCCCCAGGTCTTCAGATTTGCGTTCTTCCAGAGCGGCTTGAGACGGTTGAACGAAAATCCATGAATCTTAGAGGGCTACTTGGCGTCCACGGCCACGGTCGTTCAGTATCGAGTCACGCGGATTGGGGATACTTGGCCACGAACGAAGGGCGAACATTCAATCAAGCCATTTTTCGCAGTATTTCGAGGCCCAAAGAAATTCACGGACTTTTTTACGCAGGACTGTCGGATGTGGTCGAGAAACTGCAAGAGCGCCGCCCATGGATCCAGATAGCCGACCTCGGAAAAATCCCCCCGCGTTATCAATTTGCGTCTCTCCACTCACTTCCAACTTCTTTGCTATTGACCATGGCTTGACGCTCTTCGCGGAACCTAGAACATCATGTCTTCACGATCCAAGGATGGTAACTCTACCGAAGCTCGCCCCGCCATTGCGGCGTGTGAGGCATGTCGGAGGCTAAAGGTAATGGCCCCACACCACAGCTTCACCACCTGCTGAGATGATATTCCAGATGAAATGTATTCGAGGGCAAACAAACGATGAAGGTAGCTCGGCGGAACCATGCCAACGGTGCAAGCGCAACAACCGCGAGTGCAAGATCCCGGAGCCGAAGAAACTTGGAAGAAGACACGGCGCCGTAGGCCGATATCACGGGGTCGAAAAGGCCTATCGAAAAATGAAAGCCGAATTGAAGAAGACGAGTACTCGTGCAAATGGGAAACTCAACCAAATGACCAATGTTGACATGGGCGAAGAGCCGATCCTTGAGCTCCTGCTCTCCAACGACCCAGTTGAGACTGCCGAATCTTCCCTCACGCCACCACAACAAGGGATCGAAGACTCAGACATTCAATACTTTGATCCAAATCCCCCAAGCACGCAGCAGAGCCAGCACCTGAGAAATGTGATCTCGCGGTCCACCCACGAACCAGTCAGTAATCCTTTGGCCTTGTTGGCAGATGCCTCAGGCGCAGTCCAGGCCTTGGAGCCGAGTCGGGTATACAACAACCCTATACCAACACCGGGAGAGATATCTTCTGCGGAGCACCGGTCGGTCAGCTCGGGTAATGGGCGGGCTGTGGGCCGACAACTGCTTCACAGGCCCGGATATGTATCCCTAGGTCTCAGCCTGAGCAGGGAAACACTGGAGGCAGGAATAGATGCACTCTCCAACTCGTCTGAGAACCTGCAAGACCATTCAAACTATTTCACAACGCCACAACAAATACCTCTGGGCGACGTTGGCTCCGAATTTGACCCAGTGGATCTCGGGCTGGTGACAATGGATGAAGCTTGTTATTTGTTTCCGATGTAGGTCAGCTCTTTCAATGTTGCTTCGTTAAGATCCTAACAAAATGCAGCTATTTTACCCACCTTCATCCAGTGAATGGGATCCTCGATCCGATGCTCCACACACCGGATTTCGTGCGATCGCGATCGGCTCTCTTATTCACTTGGGTATTGGCTCTGACTGCGCAATTTGATCATGGGTCGGCTTCATTAGCCAAGCGACTACGCATCCATGGCGAAAATCTATCGAGACTTGTTCATACTTCTGGTTATAAGTCCGTCGAAATTGTTCAAGGCTACTATATCTCGTTGATCTCTGCAAACCCCGCCGAGACACTAGCACAGGAGCGCTCATGGCTATACACAATGCATGCCTTTGGCTTAGCAGCAGAGCTTGGGCTCGATCAAGATTTTCACTCCAAAGATGAGACTCTGAAATCGGCTCACGACCCCAGTGCCCGAACACCGCTTCCGGGAAACCCTTCGTCATACACATCACCGATGAATACAATGGAAGATTCCACTGACAACCAGCGGATGGCTCGAAATCGCGAAAGAACTTGGTTGAGGATTCTCTTATGGGAACGTGCAAACAGCGCAGCTTGTGGTAGAACACACACCTTCCCTGAAACAAGCTTGACAAAAAGCATCGACAGTTGGTGGCTACACCCACTATCAGATTCCACAGACAAACACACCTGTGCATTCATCACACTGCGAAAAATCCTCGCCTATCTCCAAAAGGATCTGAGACAACAAGCTCACTCAACGCACGTTGACCCCCATTGGGTGCGGGAAACAGTTGATGCTGCACTAAGGCCCTGGTGTGAACGTTGGTTATCGCAGCCAGCGCCCAATTTCGTCATCTCGCCCTCCGAGAAACTATCGAATATTTTCCTCCGATATGTTTACTTGCATGGAAGGCTATGGACCTTGTCCTTTGCTCTTCACGGGTCAATAAACGGTGATCAGCATGTACATGCAATCCGACAAGATTGCTTCGAGGCCGCAATCAATGCTTGCGAAGTCGCCGTGCATGATCTAAGTACGGTCGGAGAGCCATTATATTGCATGTTAGCTCCGACATGGGCCATGATATCATATGCCGGTGTATTAGCATTGAAGCTTTTCCCTGACTTGTATGGTGATCGCGTCGGAAGCGATGTGGAACTACTTGCTCTTCTTAGCCAAGTTGCAATCCAATTGGAGCATGCAGGAATGACTCCATCGCATCGATTTGGCATTGCTGGCTTGCTGGGTCAACATCTCATGAAGATTGTGAAATCAAAGGCGACGTCACTGGGCGACTCGATAAACTGTAGCCAACACACATCAGATACAAGCAATGTCGACTCACACTTTGGCGAAGGAGCAAGATCATTTACACAGCAGTCTTCGAAACGGCCGCACCAATCTCTCGTCTCTGATTATGATCCTTTCCTGACGACAGCTTCAATGTCTACCCAGGGAAGTTTAACCGGAGAGAACTTCGCTGAATTCTTTCGAGAAAGATTCGGACCTGGATTTGGGGGTGTGTTCTGACAAGCATAATACAAATTTCGATCTTGGGAACCACGTCCCGGTTTCGATGAGATACAATACTAGGTATGTTCTGAAAGCGCAAAGTATCGAAATAACATATCCATGGATATTCAAAATCATCAAAGTAAACGCTCTAGCAAAACTAATCTCATATACAATCTGTTAGCAACGACACACTTTAAGCAGTGTGATGATATAAAAGCAGGACCTCAACTCTATAGTCGCATCATTCAAACAGGCAAGACAACCTTCACACCCATGTACTCCCGCTGGTGCATGATCTTGCCATCAATGAGAACCTGGTCGGCACCGACACTGTTGCGGACTTGATCCGTAGGATCGGTGGCAGTGGCGATTTGGATCTCGCGCCATTGGCGGTTAGTGGGAACAAGTTTCCCCTGGGATGTGAGGTTCTTGAACTCTTTGTAAACACCCTGTTCCTCGATACAACCTTCTCTCTGGATGAGTGGTGAAGCTATTGCAGTATGTTAGTATCATTCTTGCAAGCACCAAATCAAAGTTAAGACACTCACATGTAGCAGGACCCATGCGCAAATCACCAAGAGAACTGTTGAAGAGCACCAAAGACAGACGTTCCTGATCCAACTGATCAACAGGGGGCTTGTAGACACGGTGACGAGTAGCCTTGAAGTGGCCACCAGAAACAATCTCCAAAGTATCACCAATGTTAATGACCAAGGCACCAGGCTTGTAAGGCACGTAGTACCACTTCTCATCGCGGCCCCAAATCTGGAGACACGAGATAGGCACAGAGAACAGAAGTGTAGTCAGACCGAAGTCGGTGTGTCCGTGCATGCGCAGGCCCTTGGAAGCCTCTTGAGTCTTCTTCTGCACAGGTCGGAAGAGTGCGTGGCGGAAGTAGCCCTCGCCAGTTGGGCTACCGTGTGACTGCACATTATCCCAGAGGTAATCGTCGGGCAACTCGAGGACGCGGGAGAAGAGAGCGAGGAGACGGCGGTTGACGGATTTGGTTAGGTAGTTGCAGAACTCTTCGATCTCGTCCATGAAGGGGTGTAGGCATGAAGGCACACGGTTGATGTCAGACCAATCGGGCTTGTACCAGTTGAATTGTTCGATGCCATCTTCGGGTCCGCGGTTGCGCTATGAGAAAGACGGGGTAAGTAGGGACCCTTTTGGTAGGGTAACTCTATGTCTTTCTTACCTTGAAGCCGAAGGGGTGCTTGTAGCCAGACCATTCACCAGTCTCTGGGTTGAAGAGAAGGCGCTCCTTGTCCTCCTCGCTAATGTTGTGGTACAGGTACTGGGCAAGCGAAAATTGACGGTGGAGCTGGTTGCGAATCGCTGTCAACAATACTGGCCTGAATATTTGGCATGAGGTAGGGTCTTACCTGCTCTAGGGAGATTCCGTAGTTCTCCAGGAAAAGGAAACCATCGTCACGAATGGCAACCTTGACCTGTTGGACGAGCTTATCAACAACAGCAGGATCATCGGAGTCCATCAGTGAGAGATCAATAGAGCTAAGCTCGGCAAAATCCTCCTTTTGCTGAGTGACAGGAGGAGGAACCCATGTTGGCACAAATGGCTTGCCAGGGAGATCAGCAGAAGGTGGGTTGAAAGGAGCAGAGGGTGCCATGATTATGTTCGATGGATATTCACTATGGTTGATAGAGAAGATGATGAGGGTTATCAGATCAAGTCTTATATCTTTATACAACTCTCACGATGTAAGTTCATATCTGTATATCGGATATCCGGGGCCAAGTCATGCCATATTTGGTTAGATTACATGAGATCCGGACAATGGAAACCTAGTCTACGATACCTGCTCTCCACGCACTTTGCCCGAAAGAGAGCTCCTCTTAGGGTGAAGGTGTTGCGTTGATAGACTTGAGTTTAGTCTAAGCCACAATCGGAATAAGATTTACTGGTTGCATTGCGGGGAAACCCTGCGACGCATGATAGCGGCCATCGGGAATGCTCATACAATAATGCCTGCGATAAGGGCAAAACTGGAATATTGTCCGTCTGGCCGCTATTATCGTCTGTTCTCGCGGTGCTCCTCCCACTCCTCCCACTCCTCCCAGTACTCTCAACTTAGTCTGATACAGCGATAAGATTCTCACGGGCTCCTCCAGGGCTCCACGATAACTCCTCCACGATAATGACTACTTGGTTATCTACCCCTCTTAATTGGGGTAGCTCCAGGAAATTTAAACAAAGTCCATAGCTGCATTTGCATCTCAACATTCTACACTCTCCATTCCGAACTTTCTCCCATCATCCAAAGTATCCTCCAAAAAAATCCATCAAGATGTCTCGTCAACTCATCTCCAGCGAGAAGTTCCCCACCAAGCCTCACAACTGTGAGTATTGACAACAATTGATCTCCAACACCCTCAAGATACTTACAACTTTTCGCAGGCCCTGCCGTCAAGGTTCCCGGTCTGGTCTTCTGCGCAGGCCAAACTGCCACAGGAGAAATCAAGCAAGCCACAGTATGTGTCAAACATTCCAAGGTGTCCCCTCGTCCGAATGCTGAGCAATTGACTGATATTTTGCTTCTTATAGAGAACTGTCCTGCAGAACCTCAAGGAGGTCCTCGAGTTGTCAGGCTCTTCCCTTGAGCAAGTCGTCAAGTACAACGTCTACATCTCCGATATGAAGGACTTCGCTGCCATGAACGAGGCATACATTGATTTCCTCCCTCAGCCTATGCCTTCTCGCTCGTGTCTCCAGGCCCTCGCTCCTGGCAATGGCACCGTCATTGAGATCGAATGCATTGCCCAAGTCTAGTTTATGATATAATGACAGTTTCTCAAACATATAGATACAAAAATTTATTTCACAAATTCAAGTCAGATTCGAATGATATCACTCTTGCGATGGATGCATTTTGAATATCACACAGTCGAAGACATTCCGCTCCTGGCCATTGAATAGGTTATATACGGAAAGAAAAGCAACATGAGTTAGCTGGGGGCCGATCTTGGATTTTCGACTTGGTCAATATGAAGTCTTAGAGGTTTGTTCTTGCTTTTCTTTACCTCACTTCTCTCTCACTCTCTCACCCTTTCACTCTCACAATCTCGCGATCTTTCTCTTTTACCCAGAAAATCTCATCCTCTCCTCCCAAATCTAAACCCACCACCCAACAAAGTCAGACGATGGCTGATGCAGAAATGCCCATGCCAGCGGGAGCCGACAGAAACAGGACTGGACCTCCAGGCAGAGTCCTTTTCGGCCCAGGAGCCCCGACAACAATGAACTGGACAGAGGTCCTTGGGGCAAGGGACAACTCGTCCTATATGGAGCAGCAGGCCGCTGATGTGCTAAGATCTTTCGGTCTGTCCTTTGAAACGATCACATCAACGCTCAATCGCGAATCAGACTTTGAAGAGTGGCATTGCCAAATCCTGAAGGTCCTCCAGGGTAATATGCTGCAAAACATGGTGGAACTAGAATCCGGTCGACCATACCGCAACGACATCAACGCCCTTCAATGGTATCTCTTGTCAACATCGATTCAGAATTGGATCACCCAATCCATGGACCAAAGACTAGTCGAACAAATTCTGCTTCGCCATTCTGATACCAAGCTCGCCGATCGCTTCATGTACGAGTTGAGGAAAGTCTTCCGGGAGGAACGGGCAATTGCACTCGACCATGCGTTTTGGACATTTACGGGACTTCACCGGTCGGATTTCTCTACCTCTCGAGAGTTTGTTATCGCGGTCCAATACTGGCATGGCCGGATTTTTGACCTGGACGGTGGTGTGAGCGCATTCTTCGCGATCTCAAAGGTGCTGAATGAGTTGGAGACGATGCCGCATTTGAAAGAGCTCATGATGGTCAAGAGAAAGGCTTTCTATCAGAGGTTGTATGGGGACGTTGGTCTGACCTTTACCCATTCGAACTTTTGTGATACATGTGTTGAGTGGTTGGCGGAGATTGATCCTCTCGAGAGATCCGTGTCGTCTGTTCGTGGTTTGGTCACTGGATAGCTGGAGGGTATTGGATAAGTCCACATTGGCGAGCCTCCAGTCGCATCCGGGGCATATGTTTCGTCTGGTCTGTAAGGAAAGCCAAGCCCCGTGCGTGGGGCCTCGAAGATGTAATCTCTCTCAGTATGGTATGAGGACACTCGACTTCACACGGACCTTGGATGTTTTGATATTTGCGTAAAGCGCCTTCTTGTGCTAGAGCAGATTTGAAATGAACACTGTGTTTGAAATTTTATATGGGTTCTAATTAAGGTATCATAATTAATCGTAACAAATCATGAGCGGGCGATTTCAAACTCTGCCATGTACCAGTTCTGAATGGCCTTGGTGTCACCGGTGATGGCCACAGTGTCGTACTTTTCCCGCGCCTCCTTCGCAGCAGAACCATTGTTTACCATGCGACCAGCCCACTTCCCATGCTTGCGGGCAGCAGCAATGATCTTATTCACAGCATTAACAAACTCAGGCTCGTCGCCACGAGCAGGTGTGTATCCGAGCAGAGACTGGGCGAGATCATTGGGTCCAATGAAGACAAGGTCAACACCGGGGACAGCGCAGATTGCATCAACATTCTCCACACCGGCACGGGTCTCGATCTGGATCATGGTGATGATGGTTTCGTTGGCGGACTTCATGTACTCGGGGGTTGTGAGGCCGTGGCCAATAGCAGGGAACGCTGAGCCTTGACCGCGCACTCCCTGGGGAGGGAACTTGGAGGAAGCGACAATCTGTTGGGCCTCTTCGGCGTTGTTGATCTGGGGCACCATGATGCCGTGGGCACCAGTGTCGAGGGCACGCTTGAGGATATCGTGGGCCGGGCCACGGATGCGAATCACGGGAGAGACTCCGAGGGCGGAAATCGCAGCCACGGAGTTGTGCATGGCGTCGTCGCCAATGTGGCCGTGCTCGCAGTCAATGATAATACCATCGAGACCGGTGAGAGCTACGATCTGGGCTTGGCGGACGGAGGGAATGGCCATGAAGGTCATGAGGGGGAACTCTCCGGCCTTGATCTTGTTGAGGAGCCTCAATCGAGAGTTATCGATTGTGGTGGTGAGGGCTGTGGGGTAGGGCGCTGTGACGGTCATTGTGGCGGTAGAGTATAGAGGCAATTGGATACTCCAGGTTGTCTTTGGGGATATTGGAGAGAAGGATATGAAGGAGGGGTTGGTAGGATACTTCTTTAAGTACCAAGAGCTTTATCACCCCTCCTCTACCCCTCCTCAAGTCCAGATTTGTCAACTATCAAAAACCGAGGGAGGACAGGAGCTCCTAGATGGAGTTAGGGCCGGCGGCGAGACTAGTGGCAAACGGACGGAGTGGCTTATCGGAGGACGGACGGGCGATAATAGCGGCCAGTGGAAAACAAATCCAGTTTCGCCCATGTCCCACTATGTGGGGGCTACTTTTGTCGCAGTGGCCGCTAATGTGAGGAGTCATCTCGGAGGACGGCCACGCCTCCCCGCCTGCACCTCCAGAGACTTCGTATCGCCCTGCGAGAGCTCCTCCCAACCTTAGCAGCCTAGCGCATGTACCCCGGATCTCAACCAAAGTGTGCGTCTGGGGTAATTGATTCCAATTGGAGGGATAACCATTGGGCGTGTCTGAATCCGCTATCTGGTTCACTATCAACTTATCACTCCGACGAATGACCTCCACTGGACCAATCAATGCCTCGCGAATACCGGCACCCTCTGGTCATTAGTTGACTCGGGTATCCAGGATGATACCCGGCTATTCGAGATAACGGCCTGAGCTGAACTATATAGGGAGGGGGAGCTCAGTATCCAAAAGGTCAGACTGCATCTTCGTGCAATCCTGCAACACATCAATCTATTCCTGCCACGTGCTTGGCAAGGTTGTCTCTGAAGATGTCTTTTCCGATGGACACCAAGAAGAACCCGGACTCGGCTTTGACTGAGGACAATGTCTCGTCGGCTGAGGGCCAGGTGGACACGGCGTACAACCGGATGCCTGATTCCCTGCGTGACCTCAGTGACGATGAGTTCAAGGCTCTCAACAAGAAGGTCGTCCGTAAGGTCGACCTCTTCGTTCTCCCTACCATCGGCATCCTCTATATCCTGAACTACATCGATCGTCAGAACTTGGCTGCGGCCAAGCTCCAGGGCATCATGGAAGACCTGAACATGTCCACGGAGCAGTTTGCTACCGCTGTCTCTATCCTCTTCGTGGGATACCTTCCCTTTCAAATCCCCAGCAACCTCCTCATTACCAAATTCTCCCGGCCGGGAATGTACATTTGTTGTGCCGTGGCTATTTGGGGTTGTATATCTGCTTGTACAGCGGTTGTCAAGACGTACGGTGAACTTCTCGCCGTCCGAGCAATTCTTGGAGCAGCCGAAGCCGTCTTCTTCCCGGGTGCCATCTACTACCTCTCGGCCTGGTACACAAAGACAGAGTTGGGCAAGCGTATCGCCGGTCTGTACATTGCCCAACAAGTGGGCAATGCATTCGGCGGTCTCTTCGCTGCAGCTATCCTCCAACTCGATGGACAACATGGCATCCGCGGCTGGCAATGGCTGTTCATCATCGAAGGATCTGCCACCGTCGGCATCGGTATTATCTGTGCCTGCATCATGCCCGAGTTCCCACACAACAGCCGAATTCTGTCTCAACTCGAGCGTGACTGCGCAGTGTGGCGTATCGAGTCCGAATCAGGCGCAGCAGAGGGCACCGAAAATGAAAGCGTCATGAAAGGCTTCCTGAAGGCACTCGCTGACCCAAAGCTGATTCTTCTCATCTTCTGCAACATGATGTCCCAAACACAAGGCTCCATCGCCAACTACTTCCCCACCCTCGTCGGCTCCCTCAACTTCTCCAGCACCATCAGCCTCCTCCTCACCGCTCCTCCCTACATCCTCGCCGGTATCGTCTACTACTTCCTCATGTTCTACTCCGATCGCAAAAACACCGTCTACCCCATCATCCTCATTTGCATCGCCATCTCAGTGGTCATGTACATCATCCCAATGGCGACTACCAACATCGGCGCCCGTTATTTCTCAATGATGATCCTCCCCTTCGCCTCCGTCGGTCCCCAACTCCTCCTATACAAGACAATCAACCTACACCTGGCCCGTCCTGTCTCAAAAAGAGCGGCGGCCTCTGCTCTGGTCAATGCGATCGGTGGCACTTCAAACATCTGGGCTTCGTACCTCTACTTCGGTGAACCTCATTTCTACGCCGCGTTTGGAACGTTGATGGGTGCTGCCGTGCTATTCGGGGTCACGATCACTGCTTATCGCTGGCTTGTTCTGCGGGAGAACAAGCGTTTGGATTCGGGTTATCCGGCGCAGATTGCTTTGGTCAAGAAGGGCGGTGTCACGGATGAAATGATTCAGCTCAACTGGCGTTACGAGATGTTCTGATAATTTTAACTTGGTGTTCTTTTTTGTTTATATATTTCATCGCGGCTAAGGAAGAATCTTGGCTACTTGTATATAATCAATCCTATGTGATTTTCTAAGGAGTTCAAGGTTTTGACATGAATCACATTCCTCGAGTCTCTCCCTCTAGAAAATAATACATGGCTCGAACGTAGTGATCTTCGTTGACCTAGCTTCCAGGGTTGAAAGAAGGCTCGGCAACATCCATGGATCTAGAATGGTATCAAACCATTAATGCTAGAATTGGAATCCAGAAAATCAGCATTCCTGTCGAGGAATTGGTTATAGGCTTCGAAAGGAGCCTCTCTCGGGGAGAGGCTTCCAAATCGAATCAAACAAATACGCTAATCAGGGGTGCATTTTCAACTCTCCAAGGCTACCCGGAAGCGCAAGCGGCCAGCAAAATGAGCCGTTTTCTGGAAAAGAACAACAGTTTCCTAATTCGGAAAAGAAACCAGAAAGCCCGCTTCCATTCGACAAACGGAAGTGCCCCTGCGGTCGTACACATCATCTTCATAATCTGAAGAATTGCTACAACATGAGACCGGAGCTAAACAATGCGGTCAAAGGGTATTAAATTAGGGTGTGGCGGCAGTTTTCTGAGCAAATGCATTTCCCTCCAGGACATTTGTAGTCTTCGAGGTACGCCTATAGGGTTGAATTTGAAGGCAACCCTCTGATCATCGTATGATATCAGGTCGACCCCTGGTCCAAGCCGATCGAGCTCACGAAGCTGAGAGAAGTGAATGGTAAGGCAATCTGCGAGTGATTCACAGAATGAGAAGGGAATGTATCCAATATGAAACGTGTCATCTTCTTCCGGGTCTGTCGAAACCCCAGTGAGAAGTCCTTCATCGTCGACCGTAATTGCACGGACCTCTGGAGAGAGATAGTCGGCAAATTGCGCAAGAATCAAGGTCTCAACGTCTTCTTGGGGTGGAAAAGCTTGGCAGTCCCTTTGACTTTGATCAATCGCAGCTGATCCCAATCCCAGACGTTGCAGTGGGTTTTGGTCGCTGGGTTTTCTCTCGCGCCAAAATAGCCCTGGCCCTCTGAGAAGAATTTGTCTTCTGGGTCGATCATGGCGAAAAAAGAATCTCGGAATGAACAGAATTTTTCCAAGTTCTGACACCCTTGCGCTGGCGGGGGTTTTATATTCACGAGATGCGGATGCGGTGTGACTCGGCAGCACACTTTTCACACAGACCCCGGAAACCTTTATATTTTGTACAAATCTCTGGCAAAGGTCTATTGAACTAACAGGACTAATACAATGAATAAAATTACATATTTCCATCGCGTCATAGCTGTGCATACGAGCATGCAGTTTACTTACACAGCTCGTCCAAGCAAGAGAGGATCAATTTCCCAAGCTGCTTCTTCTGCCTTCTGTGAAAGACCTTTCTCGCCCATAGCATAGCTCCCTCCAAATCTCCATCCCGAACACCAACAGCCTCCATCGCCCCAGGAGCACCACCACCGATGAGCTGCCAAGCGATCAAAAACGCCTTATATGCATACAAAGTAACCCACGGCGCTTCAGAGTCAGGTATCAGTGTCTCCTCAAGGTACCGCAGGAACCAATTCACGTGCGGTAGTATAGCCTTGGTAGTGCTGGGCTCGCACAGGTACTCTGACGTGCCTAGATATGTTGACTGGCTTAGAACAGCATCAATGCTGCCTTCGACGATACCGCCAGTATGGGAGGGTGACCACATTTGGAGCTCAAGCATGGCAGTTTGCCATGTTGCCGCGCATGATGCTGCGTGGTTCGTTCGCGAGCTCTGTGTTTCTGGGCAGATATAGGGACTGAGGGCGACGAGGGATGATCTCAGTGCTCCGAACCTCTCCATGCTCAGGATTCCGGTCATAGTGGACCAGCCTGAGATTTCGCGGGCGCTGGAAATTAGGAATTGGGCTATGTTTATAGCACCGTATGGATCGAAGGGCGAAATTGTGATGTCGGCATCTGAGGAGAGGAAGCATCGAACGGCATCTGTATATTTGACAGAAGATCCGGAGTTCCTGGCAATGAGTTGACGATGAGCCCATTCCGCAGATGAGGAGCATTCCCATTGATCTTGGGGGCAGGGAAGATTGTGTTTGATTTCGAGGTGTGAGATAGACCGGGGGATTGACAAGAATTGATACCACAATGCATCAATTTGATGTACCGCGAAAAGGGTTCGCTTGTATGACTCGGCCTTGACGAACTCTCGCCACAAAGACTCCAAGTCAGCTGTGGCGCCAGACTCGACCGGCAGCGGCTGTGTCATGCGACCTGTGCGCGCGAGAGAGATCATATGAGAATGCATCTTCAATCCCGAGGCTGAGTTCTCACCACAGAGATACATCATGGCGCATATCTGAAGGAGTAAATACGATTGAACCAGGGTTGGTATCATCGTCGCAGCGTCTGGTCTCCCCTCATCCGAGGCGAGGAGAGCTCGGGCTTGGTGAAAGCAACGTATGGAGAATCTCTCTCCGGAGCCCTCTTGTTCACCGCATTCTGGATCCTCGCCATGCTGATATGCCAGGGATAAGAGGCTCAGAACTAAATGAGAAGGAGCTTGTGTTGGATCAAAGGTAGGAGAGTGGAGAAATGGCAAAAAGTGTGACACTCGGGCGAAGAAGAGATCGCAACCTCGTGAGATTTGAAGGGCAGTCGGCGCCCAATCGACCTGGAGTTGGGGTATATCGTTTGGTGAAAGACGATCGAGAATAGGTTGATTGAAGTTGAATTCGCTCAGGTTTGCATCGAGTGTATCGTCCGGCGTAGTAATCAAGGGTAATTGAGGTTCGGGGTGATTAGCGGGCTTCAAGAATGAGGTTCCCATGAGCAAATTGCGCTCTAGGTCCGTTGCATCTTGTACAATTTGATCGATTAGGCTCGTCTCATTCAAAGTATTTTGGTGTAATGAGTCTGTCGGGAGCCGAGTCTTCGTAACTCTCGAGGCCGAGGGTGTCGTTGTCGCAAGATCGGATGTTTCTCCGAGGTGAGGCCGATCAAAATGGCGCTGTTGATACTGCATCGCCGAGTTCCACGCCGCAGCATCAGATCCAATCCCATTCTCTGGACTTGAATGCGCTCCGTTTGGAGAAGGTGTGGCTTCCTGACTTCCAGCTGGCGACACAGCTGTCGGCGATGAAGAGTGACCTCGAACATGAGTCGGCGCTGCACGCTGTACTCTCTTCGAGACCCGGTGTTGCTCCTTTTCCGGGTGTTTCCTCTTCATGTGTCTGTTTCGCAAGTCTGGGCGTGAGAATGTGGCATGGCAAAAGTCACAGGGCAGCGACGCCTCGGCTTGAGAACGGGAATGTAGGGCTGAATGTCGTTTGAGATTCTCGTGTCGAGTAAAACGACTTTGGCAGACCAGACACTGGAATGGCTGATATGAAGGCATCGCCCCGCGCGAAATCGACATAGCGGAGGGGGAAAATGGATGCTGGAACTGTCAGTCATGGGGACGGACAAAATCCGGGGACATTTACCCCACGCAAAAACACCGGGCTTCTCCGCACCGCAATTGGCAACACAACTTACCGTTCAGCACAACACATGTGTAGATGTTGGTGAAGTCCAGGATTAGAAAATCGCACCAAATCTTTTTTCACCTGCCCTGGCTCTTATCAGCCTAGTTGTCATCAGCGAGGCGATCGGGGAAATATCTGGTGGGGAAACAATGGCCAATCAGAAGACAGTCGGTTATCAGCACAGATCCATGGATACGGATCACGTGGGAGTCGGGTCCTCACGTGGGTATCACGTGGACTCGCGGGACGCGTTGGACCTCGGGAGCGCTAGGCCGAAACAGGGAGCATGGCGTCATATCGAACATGTCCCAATTGATCTATCATCCCTCAGCACGACGGCTGGTTTGAAGTTACAAAATTCACCAATTGTGCTTCGAATGTGGAGCACCACCCATGTCGAGCTTTTTTACACGAACCAATTGACAGACCCGGCACGACATACACAAGACTGTGGTTTGTCGCGTCAATTTTTCATACTCGCCATCTTAACGTCACGCAAAGGGGCTCACTCGGTCGATAAGTATGCCACCAAAACGCAGATCCAGCGTTGGTCTGGACTCACTGGAGAGTGATGCCGGTCATGCTTCCAAAATGAGCCGTACACCTGCTAAGGACTCCAGTCCTACCACTACAGGTCAAAGATTCGGTGAGGCTGCGGACTTTATTCCGTTAGCCCCTCTATCACAGGCCGTTGAAGGAGATCAAGATGATGAAGGTGCCGCTGATGAAATTGAAGGAGGTCAGGACGAAATTTCTACGACGGGCTCCATCCTATACGGTATGCAACCCCCTGACGCCTTCTGATATTCCCAATCTCACAATATTCAAAGGTATTGTGCCAACAAAGATTGTCGGTGTTCGGTTCTACAAAGGTCACGCCAACCCTGGTGAACGTGTCTTTGTCCGTCGTGACCCTTACAATCAGTATGATCGAAATGCCGTCAAGGTGGAGAATGTGATGGGTGCACAAATCGGCCATCTGCCGCGTCAAATGGCGGAAAGGATTGCACCTTTTATGGTAGATATGTCGGGCCCTCATTCATTGGACGTTATTGATCGTACTAGGATTCCGGTGAACTCCTCTTTGAAGGGACTCTGACGGGAGCAATTGGAGCTTATGACTGCCCAGTCGAGATCAAATTGTTTGGAACCTCGGATCCGACAAAGCGTTGGGATTTGAAGAACAAAATGCAGAACTTCAGGCTTCCTGTGCGTCAGATTGCCCAGCTAGAGCTCGAGGAGGTCCGGACAGAGAAAGAACGCCAGCAAGCAATCAAGGACGGAGCCAAGCAACGTGAGAAAGCGGCGAAAGAAGCCGCAAAGCAGGCTCGTGCCCTGAAACGGGGCAAGGGTGCAGCCCAGGCAGCCAGAGAAGCGGCCCAATTCTCAAATCTTTACTCTCCCATCGGTTTCGGCGACGAGGAAAGGCAGAGCGTGGAGGATCTCCTAAGCCAAAGTACTACCTTCAATCCTCGAGATATTGGTCAAGTCGTCGAGACCTTTGGCCAAAAGGAACCTGACTTGGTAAATATGCCGATGGTGGATACTCCGGCTGGTCTTTTGACGCAGTTGCTTCCTTACCAGCGCCAGGGCCTAGCTTGGATGATCAAGCAGGAAACACCCAAGCTCCCAGCGATCGGTAGTACAGATATCGTTCAGCTGTGGAAACGAGAGAGAAATCAGTTGCTCAATATTGCAACCAACTACTCCACTCCCAACGAGCCGACTCTTGCAAGCGGTGGTATCCTAGCCGATGACATGGGATTGGGCAAAACGATCCAAGTAATTTCTCTCATTCTTGCAAACTCGAAGTCTCTTTCTGCGACATCTTCCAAAACAACATTGATCATTGCTCCTGTGGGCGTGATGAGCAACTGGAGAAACCAAATTCATGAACATGCTCGTCCCGAGACCGCCCCGAGTGTGCTCATCTACCATGGCTCAGGCAAGAAGGAGACTGCGAATCTGGCAAATTATGATGTCGTTGTCACTAGCTATGGTGCTATCGCCGCGGAGTTCAAACCGGATGCCAAAGCTCCGCCAGCCAAGGGAATCTTCTCGGTTCACTGGCGTCGTGTTGTGCTTGATGAAGGACATACTATCCGCAATCCTCGTTCCAAGGGCTCGCTCGCAGCCTGCGGCTTGAGAGCTGATTCCCGTTGGGCACTGACTGGCACGCCCATCATCAACTCTCTGAAGGACTTGTATTCTCAAATTCGGTTCCTCGGATTCTCGGGTGGATTGGAGGATCTTGGCATTTTCAATAGTGCCCTGATTCGTCCTCTGAACTCCGGGCAACCTGAAGCTCGATTGCTTCTTGAGGCTCTTATGAGCACCATTTGCCTGCGTCGCAGAAAGGACATGAGTTTCATCAACCTGAAGCTGCCCGAAATGACGTCTCGTGTCATTCGAATCAAGTTCAATTCCCACGAGCAGGAGAAATACAGCGCATTCCAGTAAGTATCTGGAACCGACACTAGGAAGGGAACCTACTAACAATTTGAACAGACAAGAGGCCCGAGGGGCTCTTCTGGACTTCAAGGAAAAGGACGGCAAAACGAAGTTCTCGAATCTACTCGAGGTTATCCTTCGCCTTCGCCAAGTTTGCAATCATTGGGCTCTCTGCAAGAGTCGCGTTGATAAGCTGATGAATTTGCTAGACCAGCATAAGGTGGTGCCTCTGACACCTGAGAACGTCAAGGCTCTCCAGGATATGCTGCAGATCCAAATCGAAAGCCAGGAGGTTTGTGCCATCTGTCTCGACAACCTGGATTCACCTGTGATCACTGCCTGCGCACACTCATACTGCCGAGGCTGCATCGAGCAAGTGATCGACCGTCAGCACAAATGCCCACTCTGCAGAGCAGAAATCAATGACAACACCTCACTTGTCTCCCCAGCTGCCAATCTTGGCGAAGATAATGACATAGTGGCGGCAGACCCAGACAGCCCCAGCAGCAAGATCGAGACATTGATCAAGATCCTGACTGCCCAAGGCCAAGCACCAGGCACCAAGACCGTCGTCTTCAGCCAGTGGACATCCTTCCTGGGTCTCATCGAGCCACAGCTTGCCAGACGCGGGATCAACTTCGCCCGGGTAGACGGCACAATGACATCCGTCAAGCGTGACAACTCCATCAACGCCTTTTCCAACGACCCCCAGTGTACCGTCCTCCTCGCCAGTCTGGGCGTGTGCAGTGTCGGACTCAACCTCGTGGCGGGCAATCAGGTCATTCTGTGTGATAGCTGGTGGGCGCCGGCTATCGAAGACCAGGCCGTGGATCGGGTGTATCGACTGGGACAGAAGCGGGAGACCACGGTTTGGAGATTGGTCATGGAGGATAGTATTGAGGAGCGGGTATTGGCTATTCAAGAGCGGAAGCGGGCTCTCATGCTTGCTGCGTTCCGGGAGACGGCGAGGAAGAAGGCTGAGGACCGGGCTACGCGTGTTGCTGATCTTGAGTCCCTGTTGAAGTAGTCAGATACTCTTGGGATTATCATTTCAATCTTCGCAGCATGGTGTGGGCAATGTGGAACAATTTTGTAGTCTAGTTTAGGCCTTTGATGTTGACTAGAAGCGATGGATGGTCAGGGATGGGACACGTAAGTAGAGACTGGTACATAGTGGAATGGTGTTCCTATTCAAAGTCTACGAGTCGGGACCATCCCAAGTTGGTGAGCTAAAGAGGGAAGAATAATAGGAACCTTGGAAGCAGATAACCCTAAGCTATCCCAATTGGGAAGACAATAGGGAGCAAACAATCCGAAGCTAAGAAGAACAATAGGAAACAGACAGCCCTAAGCTATCCCAAATGGGAAGAACAATAGGAAGCAGACAATTTGAAGCTAAGAAGAACAATAGGAAGTAGACAACCCTAAGCTGTCCAGATTGGGAAAGGCCGCTGGGTATATAAACCCCCTCCTCCCCCAACCCAACTCTCTTCTCTTTTTTCCCCAACCTCGCCAGTCTTCACCCCTTTTTCCGAAGATTGTGCACCCTTTTTTTTGAATACAAACGTTCATACTGCTGCCCTGGTATCACTATGGACGGGGAAACGAGGAGATGGTTCTGGGTGAGTGCGTGCTTTCCCGCGCCCTAGGGCCCCCTCGTGGGAATCTGATCTGCAACCTGCTCTGAGTATGTGGCATTTTCCCGCCTTTCTTCAATGGGTCATGCCCAGGCCGTTGAAGATTGTGCTTTTTTTTAGACGGACTTGATCAAGTGCTGTGGGTAACCCGTACTGTGTGATGGTTCTGGGGTGCCTCTCTATGGTGCTCCTTGAGGTTTGGGTTTTATTCCTCCTCGCCTTTCCACATCGCTACATGCTTTATGGATTGTGCACCACTTTTTGGAACCAATCTGACAGACTCTTTTCTCTGTCTGAATATCCTATGATGAGAACTCTGAGGGTATTCTAACAAATCGCTTTTCGTTCCTCTTTTACTTGACACATGTTCTTTCTCTTGTCTCTCTTTTGTCTTGCACACATGTTCTTTTCTCTGGTCTCATTGATACTGGTCTTTTTTCCGAGGCTTTACTTTCTCATCATCTATGGGGACTGGTTTGCTTTGTCTTAAGAGCCTGTCTCTCCTGGTCCGAATATTGTGCACCATGTTTTGCGACCAATGTGGCAGATTTTCTTTTCTCTGTCTGAATGTCTCATAATAAGAACTCTGAGGATATTCCGACAAATACATATGTGTAGTTCTTTTCCTATAGTATCATCATGTTGTAGACTGCCCAGGCTGCCTTGATCATACGTCGGTGTGTATCAAGTCGACCCGAGAAATCATTCTTATCTTTACTTACATTGACTTACTTTTACTGTTTGGTATTCACTTGAGCTTGAGTTTTAAGGTGCTTATTTCCATTCAAGTGCCGCTTTTTCGTTACTCATACATTCGCGACGAGCGCAAAGCATTGACATTCCACCGATTTTCTCAAGCCATGGCCTCCTGAGCCCCACCCGCGTGACGTAGACGGTGGGCTCTAACTTCATCCCATACATAGGCCCAGTCTGCGGGCGTAAGTCCCAATTCCTCCGGTCTGTCTTCTACTATGTGGATTCCATGGATGCTTGGCAGATTGGCCCGTGCTTGAAGACTTGCAATCACATCCGGGTCAAGGCGAGAGGCGTCCTCATTGAGCTCCGCGGGCTCTTTGGTCTCCACCACGTCCTTTAAGTAGGACATTGTGTCCTTGGTTCCAAGTCTTTGGCCTGATCTCTTGTCCACCACACAAGTTGCCAGTCCTGTCTTAAAGAGCACTTTTTTAAACAGTGTCTCCTCAAATGTTGCTCCAGTAATAAGCCTGTATACAAATACGGGCTTGGTTTGTCCAATTCGGTACGCTCTGCCGATTGCCTGGGTTTCCCATGTAGGGTTGAACGTAAAATCGAAAATGACCACTCGGTTCGCGGCTTGAATATTGAGGCCAACGCCACCCGCACGAGTTGAGATAAGGAAAACCATTTCTGGGCCAGTCGAGTTAAACTGGTCGATCAGATTCTGCCGCTCCTGGACAGATACCTCTCCTGTCAAGATCAGGAAACTCGTGTTTCGCTTGGTCAACACAGTTTCCAAGTATCTGATGGTCGGAATGCTGTGTGAAAACACCAAGGTTTTGTCTCCAAGTTTGCTTGACTCATCAACGATCTTGATTAATGACATCACCCGAGGGGATTGCTCTGGATCATCGACGTCGGCCACTTGTTGGAACAGCTGCTCAACTCCCCGGAAGATCGATTGTGCCATTACGACCTCCTTGGTCTGTTGAGATGAAGATGGACTATTTTCAAGGGTGTCCTCGTGGTCGTCTTCGGAGATTGGAAGAGTATGCGACTGTTGAAGCCTCTTCTTGAGTAGGCTTGGATGATTGCAACATAGTTGTAAAGTGTCTAACCATGTCCAGAATGGAGTTGAAACCCCTCCCGATGCTCCCTTTCGAAGGCCCCCAACAATAAGGTTGTAAGCCTTTCTCTGGGTGGACGAGAGTTTTAACATCACACGGAATTCGTGTTTCGGGGGCAGTGACCCTTTCAGCACGGAGATGCCAACGCGGTCAATCTTCCGGTTGAGCAATTCATTCAAGATGCTCATTCTGATTAAGGCTTCTTTTTGCTCTCCTGATGTGCTCTGAGAATCCGAGCCACGTTCAATGGGCTTGATGAATTCCGTCTTGAATGACTCCATTCCCCCAAGCCGGCCCGGCGAGATCCATTCAAATATCCGGTAATACTCTTCTAGTGTGTTGGATAGCGGGGATCCAGTCAGGGCAATGCGTCTCGCAGTGGAAAATCTGAAACATGCCCGAGAAGTTTGGGAGTTTTCGCTCTGCAGCCTGTGGGCTTCGTCTGCTATGACAAGGGTTGGACCCCGTAGCAGCCATTTGTTCAAGGCTGTAACCTGGGATCTCTCAAGGAAAGTCAAATTTTCTCCTTCCCTGCTCTCTAACATAGTCCGAAAGAGCTCATAGCTCATAAGCAAGATCCCGCCCTCGTTGTACCAGCGATTCATATACTGGAAACGATCATCTTGAAGGGTCGCGGAGCTGATCCTCTGAACTGGGCCTAGGAAGTCTCTCACTGGCCTCCAGTTTTGGAACTCTCGCATCCAGTTATCAGTCAGAGCTGCCGGGCACAGTACAAGAGTCCGCGACACTTTCAAGGGCTCCGGGACCTGGTCTCTGACTAGTGGATCATCGGACGATCCGGCGGCAGCGAGAACGCTCAGGAATGCCACGCTGTCGAGAAGTCAGCAACTCCATTCATATTCCAGGTCTTATTCACTTGGGTAAAAACTTACATTTGAAGGGTCTTGCCAAGACCCATCTCGTGTGCCAGAAGGGCTCCGCCAGGCTTCTTTTCCTTGACAATTTCCCGCCACAAGAATCTCACACCAGACAACTGATGAGGGCGGAGTATATCTTGGTGAGATCCATCAAGCAAGATGGGAGCACCTGATAGGCTCACCAAGTGATTACTGCCGGAAATGAGTTGATGTGCATATGACAGAGAATGCCCAACTTCTGACTTAACATCCCTGAGGAAACGTGCGACGATCAATGGGGCGGCTTCTTTTAGATAGATCGTCGAAGAAATTTTTTCAGGTAGGAAGCCCCCAATCGGGACCTCGATGCACCACAACCATGCGATGAATAGTTCCGCGAAGGATGTCATGGTAAGATGGTCGAAATCTTGAGCTTGGCGTGCTGCACCGTTGCCTTCCCTCATGTCATTCAGTGCTGTGTCTAGTTCACGCCGAAGAGGATGCATCGACCTCCCGGATCCGAAAAAGGAGAGCTCGTTCAAGAAGTTAACGTCTTTGGATAACAAGACTTTGAGCAACGCGCAATCTGAGACCTGGTCCTTCTGAATTTCTCCCCAGCTTTTCGCGTTCACACTGGAGCATCGGTCTCGGCTATTGGTCTCATGTGTTTCGGCTTCCTGATTGCTCTTTGGGAGTTGGAGCATGGGATCATTGGTCTTTTCGTCTTGTGCAATGCCCAGCAGGCCATTAATCCGGCAAATGTGTTTGATCGTCTCGTCTAGACATTGGCATTGCTTTTTGGTAGCACTGGCAGTGGCTCCAGTTTCTGAGACAATTGATCCATGAACGGTTATCCTCAGGTTGTTCAGACGGTCCTCGAGCGCGCTCTTCTCTGCTTTCAACTGAAAGGTTTGCTCATCGTTGTGTTCAGTCATAGCGCTGAGCTCTGTGGCATCGCTGTTGGTGGAAGTTCTGTCTTGGACCTTTCGGAATTTCTCGGCCACATAGTAGTCAATGAAAGCTTCAATCTCGACTGACGACAGCTCGTTTGAATCCGAGGATGTTGAAGCAATGGAATCATGGTCCGACTCTGTGCCACACGCTTGTGACAGAGCACTGCTGCTTTCTTCCGCAATGCTATCGTTCTCTGCTGTGTTGGAGTCATCGGTACCAGCCTCTGGCGTTTCATCACCGAAGTTTGGAGGATATCGATCCAGAAGTTCTTGCAGGAAAGGTGGGAGTTTGGACGCTTCGAAGTCGGAGTCTTGGGTATCCGTGGGACGTGTGTGTCGCAGAGCGGCCTCGAGGCCCTCACGGAGGCTCTGATATGATGAACCCATGTCGAAATCTTGCTGTCTCTGAAGCCACAAAATGTTAGTTCTAATGGCTTCTGGTGTAAGGTCAACTGAAGAGTTGTGGTGGGCAATGGTTTTGGAAGTGGGGTGGCGATGAGGTGGGTGTGAAGTGCTCAGAGCGAGAAGAGGATCGGGACATGTCACCACAACATTGTAGGCGGATCGCAGGTCCCAAAATGCTCTGAATACATGGTGGAGAGGGGGCTCTGGTGGCTTACCTTCTTCAGTAGTCGTAGGGGAAAGATAGTAGAAGGAATGAAGGAATGCAAGAAAAGAAAAGAGAGAGAAGGAAAGAGATAGAGGAATTAAGAGGAACGAGACTACGCGACACAAAGAATTGAGCATCAACACCCCACGGAGTCCACGCCCATGACTTCTAGGGCTCATCCCAAAAGGGAAATATTGTTTTGCCGGATTATCACAGAGCGGTGAAGACGATAAGACGGCGGTGTGCTGATCACGAATCTAGGCCTCAGGCATCAACGTCTGCCCCGCCAATGACAAATCCACATCCCAAACCTCGCCGAGGACATCAGGACGTGGAAGTTTGTGGAAAACTCGAGATTTAGACTCATTCAAACCCCCAATACCTCAGGGCCTCGGAAAATTGTGAAGTGCGGTGACAATTCGTTCGTGGCTGCATCATGACCCCATCAATCTATTCAAACTATCCACCTGAGCTGTCATCAGCGCAACAAAAGTTCCTCGTTACAGCTGTAAAGGACTGGGCTATTCAAAATGGTCTTGCTGTTCGCCCTTCGCCGGCGATTGTTGCAAACGAATCTAATCCAAATGGAGTGTTGGCAACGAACGCACCTGTCACTCTGTTCCCCAGCCCGTTCCCAAGAACATGCTTTACTGAAGCCAATGCTCTCCAAGAAGTCTACAACAAACTCTATGCCTCAATTACGTGCAATGAAGAATGGCTGGGTGAAATCGTGAAAGGGTAAGATCCTATACGTGATGAGTGGCACAGAACTAATCCACAAATATAACAGACTTATTGAAGTTGATGACTTTGTGTCTAACTTGTGGAAGGTCCACTTAGCTGTGCAGAAGGAGGGCTACGTCCAAAACTTAGCACTGGGACTCTTCCGGTCTGATTACATGGCCCATGTCTCCTCTTCGGGTGAGCCGGCTCTGAAGCAGGTTGAATTCAACACAATTTCCTCGTCATTTGGAGGTCTCTCAGCTCGAGTGCGACAAATGCACACCGAACTCCTGACATCGCCGCCAGGCCCATCAGTCAACTATCCATTCCATCCTCTGCTCAACTCTGAGGTTCCTCCCGAGAACACAGCGGTGGAAACTCTCTCATCCGGTCTTGCAGCAGCCCATGAAGCTTACGGGGTCTCCAAATCCACACCCACTCTCCCTCTTTGTGTGGTATTCGTTGTTCAGGCTACGGAGCGAAACGTCTTTGATCAGCACGCGCTTTCGGAGCACTTGAAGAAGGTCCACAAGATCCCAGTCTTCCGCGTGGCAAGCGTCGATATCTTGGAGCAAACTTTCATCCCTGGCGACAACTCCGCTCGCCCCTTGCTCTACCGTCCTCCTCAGTCGCCCGACTCCGTCTTCGAAGTTACCACCGTTTACCTCAGGGCCTACTACTCCCCCGACGAGTACACATCCAGCCGTGACTGGGATGCTCGGACCCACCTAGAGCGCTCTGCGGCGATCAAGTGTCCCACCGTACTCAACCAGCTGTCCGGCTGCAAGAAGGTTCAACAAATTTTGGCGGAGCCGACTGGACTGGATCATCTCTCTTCATTCCTGAAGGATGTCGATTCCAGTCTCGTCGAAAGAGTTCGAGGTACCTTCGCTCCGCAATATGATCTTTCGCCAGGCAGCAAGGGCCGCGAGCTTGCACTGAACCCGGTGACTGCTATGAACCACGTTCTCAAGCCCCAACGCGAGGGTGGTGGAAACAATATCTACAAGGCCGACATTCCCGAATTCCTACAGTCCCTGCCCGAGTCAGATTGGAAGGGTTGGGTGCTCATGGAGCTGATCAATCCCGCGCCCAATGCTCAAAATGTTGCCTTGCGCAACGATGGTGAAGTACTTCGTGGTGATGTCATCTCAGAGCTTGGTATCTATGGTACTATTCTGTGGGAAGACACGGGGAAGATCCTGCATAACAACCAAGGTGGATATCTCTTGAGAACCAAGGGTAAGGAAGTCAACGAAGGCGGCGTTGCTGCAGGATTCTCCAGTTTGGACAGCGTTCTTCTTTTCTAATTTTTTCTTGACTTTGAGAATAGAGATCAGAGGATCAATAGATGCATTTATCGGTTTTTCATAATCCTAGATTCGTTTACACAGGCATGGATTGGCCATCTTACAGCTCTCATCGTCGCTTTCACGCGAAGAGACAACTTTAGCACCTCTTTCCGTCGCACAGAAACAGCACGGAAAACATCCAAGTGGTCGGATGAATGAATCAATCGTGACCGATAGGCAGACCATTCTAGCTTTTTGCATTTTAGCATCACAACTGATCCTGGCGGCTATCAACACATTCCAGAGTTCCGCCAAGGCCTTGCTCAAGCATCATGGCTTTTCTGAATCTCTCTCTGAAGTTCTCCTCTTGCATCGGCCTTGACATCCATCTGGGCACAGTTCTTGTTTCACGCCCTCACAGCTTTGGCTGGCCGTGTGTTTCATCACGCTCAAAACCAGGTGGTCCATCGTATATTTCTTGTTCAATGAGCCTTGTGTTAATCTAGCAAGCGTACTTCCATCAGTGTCCGCATATCGCGCCTGCCATGTGTGAGGAGATGTTGTGTGCTGACTTACATGCTGTGGCCCAAGGTCCTTGACATGTCCCACGCCAAGTAAACGCATGCAAGTCTTTGTCTCTTCGCTCAAAACTATAAGTACTTGTCAGTAACATCCTCTAAAATCTCATATTCCCATCTTGCTCATACTTTCCAGTGTCCTCTTCACACCATCCACGCCCCCAGCTCCCAAGCCCCAGAGTGCAGCTCTTCCTATGCCAACTCCCCTTGCACCCAAACACAGGGCCTTAACCACATCTGTTCCTCTCTTGATGCCCCCGTCAATCCACACTTCAAGATTCTCAAATACCTCAGGGCAGTACTTCCTGATTTCAAGCAATGTGTGAACAGCAGGGGGTGCAGTGTCTAGAGAACGGCCTCCATGGTTAGATAGAATAATACCTTTAACCTGAGGGCCATGCTTCATGGCAATGTAAGCATCTTCGTGAGTCTGTATGCCTTTGAGGACAATCGGAAGAGTCGTATGCTTGGCCAACCACGCCAAAGCCTCCGTCCACGTAAGAGAAGGGTCCATTCCAGCAAACACCTGGTCTTCGGTTTGGTTCTCTGGTTTGATGGCATTGCTCTCCGAATGCTCGAATGGGCCTTCCGAGCTAGACTCGGTCATGGTATTGTTGACATTGCCGTGGCGTTGATCGTCCTCTCTTTTCCCACTCACAGGAGAATCAAGGGTAAGTGCGATGAACTTGATTGCTTTAAGCTTGCTTATACGAGCTAGCATCTTTTCGCTCTTGGTGCGATCGCTTTGCACGTAAAGCTGCCAACCAAATGATTGGTCCTCGGTCGCGTCGGCAACTATCTGCTCTGGTGTCATTGATGCGCTGTTCGAGATGATCTGCAGAGCTCCAAAGCTTCGACATGCTTCTGCGATGCCAGCTTCTCCAGCTGGGTGGCCTAGGCGAGCCATGGCTGCAGGGCACACGTAGATTGGAATGGAGACTGGGTTTCCTAGCAGGTTTGTGCTGAGATCACATTTGGTACAGTCGATGAAGACCTTCGGTCTAAGTTGGATTGAGCGGAAGGCCTCTGTGTTTCTGTTTTTGCTGATCTTGTCGTCGGATGCAGAGTAGTAGTACCCCCACGCCTTACGGCTCACTGTTTTGGTGGCCACATCTTCAATCTCGTCTAGGTTGAGCCAATTCTCGACAGGGGGTCCTTTGTCCATTTGGGTGACTTGTTTTCTGGTTGAACAGTAGATATGGATGAGGAGCTGTCAGATGTAGGAGAATTGCAATTTTTAATTATCGTGAGTTTCAAGGTTCCGGAATGACTTGCCGTTCGATCAACCCCGCGTTCTCCCACATGGCAGGAAACGATCTGTACTTGGAACCATGGAACCTTGAACCTTGGAAGTCAATATAGATGACCTACACATATCACATTTTGCAAAGAATTCAACCACTTCACATGAGAGGTCAGCCTGAGACTTGGTATACAGTGGTGCCTGGGATATGATGTGTTGGGTTTTGGGCCGACCGTAACATATTTCTCTTTTTTCACTGCTTGCCGTCAACCTCGGAACGGAAGAAACCATCGAACATAGTACTTTGTTTGCAGATTTCAATATTCTTTGAAGTCAAGTCACTCAAATCACCCACGCCATTATAGTTGCTTGAATTTCAAACTGCCTGTGCGGATGCTAGAATTTGAAAAGAATCCACACTCCCGAGTCGATGCCAGCGACGATCTGAGGGCTCATAAACTTGGCCAATACCTGTGTACGGAGTACCAAGGCTCTTGCTCGACTCCACACTCCCGAGTCTGTATGGTGCATGTACGGTGTATGGAGTGCGTTTTGTCGATTGGAACGGCTCGCATTTCAAGGTGAAGAAGGGGTAATGGCCAATGGGAGACTTTCTTTTCTCCGGTCCACTTTACGTCCAACTCTAAATGACCACGCATGCCACGAATGGCTTCTGATGCCTCAATGTATACGGAGTGTGGAGTCACTGGTTTCACCCATTAATTTTCGAGGCTTGAATATGTTGCTCACGGCATCCTCTTTGGACAACGTCCTTTCATCCAACTCCACACGAGGACATATTCCCCCACAAATGATTGACTGTAGTGGCAAAACAACCCGTTACAGGGGCTGTGTAGCAAATCCCTAAAAAATTTGCCCAAATCCTCGGCGAGCTAATCCCAAGCAGGACTAAACCGCCAAAACCCCTGGGCTAAAATTAAACATGCGGACGTGTCCGTCAGATCCACCCTGACGTGCGGTCTAGATCTCACTGAAACACCCCTTGTCAAGCCCCCCGGTGGTGTTTCACTTGTACTATTTCACTCCCTTTTCCTTTTTCTTTTCCTCTCTTTACAGTTGGTATACATTCGCTTCTTTTCCCTGTCTGTTTCTGCTTTTCAATCGTAGATCTCACGATTGAAACCCTGACCCACTTCGGGCCTCGCTGACCCTCTTTTATCTCTTTCTTTTCTTTTTTTACGTTCTTTTGTTCACAATGACGGACGGGCACAGTGCCCCTCCAGCCGATGCGCCGGCGCCCGCTGCAGCGGCCGACACTGCTACCGCGCCTGTTCCAGCCGACGTTCGCTCGCATGCTGTTCACCATGATGCGACCCCAGCCCATGAGAAGGAGCAGGCCTCCGTGGGTCGTATCACCCCGCGACCGACGTTTTTGGAACATCTAGCTACCTCGCGAGACTCGCAGTTCCATCTGGATCGACGAGATTCAAGTGAATTGGAGCGGTACTTTGTAAGTCGACGTCTATACCTTCAATGCCCTGCGCTTTTGTACAATACTATCTCAGGGTTGCCAATGAGTCGAAGAATCCAATTAACATACTCCTCACCAGCATGGTCCCCGCAACATGGAGAAGCACTCCAAGTGGCCCATCATGATGCGGATGCACGGCAGTGTCATGCCGAAGATGATTCTCCCGCTTTTGACTGTAGCTATTTGGTCGACTGCTGTCACTGTCTTTTCGAAAAAGGTCCATGATCGTGAGTTTATCCAATTGAAAATAGCATACAGTGATTGTAGCTGACGCGGAGTCTACAGTTGGTATCAACAACATCCTGCTCACCGTGCTGGGTTTCGTGGTGGGTTTGGCTCTGTCATTCCGCAGCTCGACTGCGTACGAGAGGTATATACTTGCATTCCCAAGAAACGTACTCAACATACTAATCTTTCTTGAACAGATGGGCTGATGGACGCAAATACTGGGCTCAACTCGTCCAAACATCCCGCAACCTATCACGTATAATCTGGATCAACACCGGCGAACGCGAAGGAGAGGAAGGAAAAGATGACATCCTGAGAAAACTGTTCGCACCCCGAGACCAAAGCTATTCCGAGAACCGTCGATTCTAACACTTACCTTCTAGCTCCGCGATGAACCTCATTCTCGCTTTCGCCGTCGCACTCAAACACAAACTTCGCTTCGAGCCCGATATCGCCTACGAAGATCTGGCTGGTTTGGCTGGACACCTGGACACTTTTGCCCGTGACGCTCATGACCGCATGGTTGTGAACCCCCCGTCAAAGACGATGTGGAAGTCCGCTGGCGAATACCTTGGTGTCTCATTTGCCGAGTCCAATCCTCGCAAATATGTCAAGCGATCGAAGAAGCCTTTGGGACATTTGCCCCTGGAGATCCTTAACCATATTTCCGCATATATCGATTCTTGCGTTACAAATGGCACTATGGTGTCGACCCTTCATCAAGGACAAGCTAGTGAGTTACCCTCGAGATTCTCTGTCAATCCAAGTCTAACCTAGCTAGTCACCATGGTCGGTACCCTGAATGAGGTTATGACAGGCATGGAACGTGTTTTGGACACTCCCTTGCCTACCGCATACAGCATTGCCATTGCTCAGATCTCATGGATCTACATCTTGGTTCTTCCATTCCAACTCTACAATGCTCTCTCCTGGATTACTATCCCGGCCTCAATCGGTAAGCACCGTCCTTGATTTATGTTGAAGGCTGTTCTAACAACGCTCAGTGGCTGCGTATATTATTCTCGGTCTAGCTACAATTGGTAGTGAAATCGAGAATCCTTTCGGTCAGGACGTGAACGATCTTCCCCTCGACAGTTACTGTCGCCAGATCGCCTTGGAAATCGACATCATGACCGCCACACCTCGACCGAACGTCGATGACTTCATGTCCCGCGATGATAACCTCGTTCTGTTCCCGCTCAGCCAGTCAGGATATCCTGAATGGAAGGATCGAAGCCTTGAGGATATTCGTGGGGCGCTCAGAACCAAGGTGGTCGTTGGTCCGTCGACTGCTGGTTCGGACAGTTCAACGCTTGTTGAAAATTTGTCAACCAAGAACAGTGGTCACTCAGTCTAGTCTTTGCGAAGCAGTGTCTTGATGACGGCTTTGTATTGACGGCAGGGCGGATACGAGATAGGATCGTGCATTTGAACCAGCGGCATCAAATTGTTTGAAAATTATTGAACAGCGAGTGTGTTAGGGCGTTTGAAATGAGTTGTAGTGACTCCAAAATTGAACAGATCAGGTTTCATTTCTAATCTTGGATTTCACGGTCAATTGACGACAGCCCCATGGAATGGGGCCTTTGCTATTTCTTAATCAAACCGAGCGACGTAGGAAATATCGGTACCAATCGTCGCTAGCGGACCTGTTCAGGACGATGTACATCTTCTTAATCGTCGCAAGGCCGCCTGGAGAATATGCCACCGTAGAAAAAGCGCGTTGATGTTAACGCCAAAAGTTCATCGAAGCTTGGATCGATCCTCGCATGCTTGGGGGAAGCGGCACAGCATTGTTGGTTGCATATACACGCACATCAGAGTAACCGGACCTGTGCATGACGCAACGCCACGCAGCATGCGTGCATCATCGACGAGTCATGGCCAATGCCATTGTCGGAGTGTCCACGAACAGACAGAGGGCGGTATGAAACCAACCATGCCTGCGAGTGTATTCATGTAGTGGTAGAACGCAAATCGCGTCATCGTCTAGGGGACGAACAAGTCCTCACCAGACCCGGCGATCAACGCACCCAGGAAGTTTCCTTTCGCGCAAATTCTCCACGCAACATCTGCAGTTCCCACGGATTTGTTTCCGCCCCCGATCCACGAGCTCACGGAGCTCACTACGGCGCCTGCGTCTTCGCGTGGAACGCGCAGCCAGATAGAGTCATATTTCTCGGTCGGAGACGCGTTCTCGATCTTCAAGATATCGATTGGAATGGCGGTTCCTGTTAAGCCGTAGAATTGCGACAGCGCGGAGGTGAGATATGTTCGCGCGGAAAGAGCATCGAGTGGTTGGGGGGTTTCGCCAGGCTGGGGGATCCTGTGAGTCTGGTCAGTTGGTGTTTGGGAGGCTGCGGATTGAGCTCGAGAGCTTACAGCTTGAGCTTGAAGTAGGTCCACGGCGGGTTGCGGGATGTGAAATGGATATTCTTTGACTTTGTATCAGGAGCTTTGCGCTTTGCAGCCTCCCCTGGAGTACTGTCAACGTCCATGGCGATGTCTGACATGTTGCGCAGGATGTGCGGGTGAACAGTCGCAGCTCCGAAAAAGATGGGATTCTGGCGTCACGGGATCTGCAAGTCCACCTGCCCACCTGGGCAGGTGAGCAACGATGAAATTCCAACTTCAATTTCAACGTTCGACCTAAGCGCGTCGCGAAATAGCGTCTTGTAGGCTTTTAGTTGCGCGCTGCAAAAATGCTTCTTCGCTGTCGATCTCCAGATCGGCAATGCAGAGCGTCTTCTCTCGCGACTTCGCACCCCGAATCACCCCCACACTTGATTTCGGGACCTTGAAGATCTTGGCATTCAGTTAGACAGGATACTTTTGCTCAGTACTGCTCTTCATTGAGTGACAGGGACATCCATACCTCGGCAAGAATCTGCGACACGGCAAGATTAGCTGCTCCATCGCGCGGAACAGCAGTCACGGACACGTCGATCTTGTCGCTGCCCACGGCCGTTACTCCGATGCGGCGAGACGCGTTGGCTTTCACATAACAAGGGATGTGGAGGCTGTACGTTTTACTGTTGGCCTTTGCGACAAGACGGAGGCAGGGTAGGGGCGACATTCCAGAAAGCGGCACTACGTCGAATTGTCACAATGGAAGAGAGTTCAACTCGAAGCTATGATATTCCTAGGAAGCAAAAGTATTGATACTGCTAATTAAATGGCCCTAGTCCGCCTTCAATCCCCGGGAGTCCGAGCCCCCACATAACCTGATTCATACTTATCCTGATTCTCATTCTCATATTCGCGACCTAGCAAGGGGAGCTCCATTGGTGACTTTTCATAAAACTGGATCAAGCGATCTCCACGTGAGGCTCAGCTTCGTTAGTCTTTCCATTCTTCTCAGCCCGAGTAGCGAGCTCGAAGGTTGCGTCGGGGCCATACTCAGGCGCAATCTGGTAGAGCTCTGGACAGACGGCGTCCCTGTGCATGAAGATGTACCGCTTTATCCACCAGGGAAGAACCTTAGTGAGCTGATACTTGGCGTGAGTTCGAGTCGGCACACCGAAGACATAGTCCAGTTCCTCGAGGGAACGCTGCATGGTCTCAGGCATGAACAGGAAGATCAAAACAAAGGCAACGAGATTCAAGCATGCATAGAACCCGAATGCACCCTGGGGAGTGAATGCACGCAGCATGTATGGGAATGTCAGCGAGAGAACCGAGGCCCAGAAGTTGTTTGTCGCAACGGCCCACGCCATTCCCACTTCTCGGTGGGACAGAGGGAACACTTCTGCGGAATAGGTGAACGGAACGGGGCCTTCTCCGGGGGAGTAAAACGCGTCGAAAAGATACACGAAGAATGCGATCATTCCGATGTGTGCGTTGCTGCTGGTGGGGATCCAGAAGCAGAACCCAGCTGCCAGGAGTGTCCAGCACATCTGGGGGAATGTGAAAAGCAACAGGCCTCGTCTTCCGAATGTATCGATTGTCCATACAGCAGGCCAGGCGAAGACAAAGTTGATAAGTCCAAATCCGAAGGAGGCAAGGAGCGCCTCGATGTTGGAAGCACCAGCCAGTTGGAAGATCGTCGAAGAGTAAAACGAGATGATGTTGACTGAAACTATTGTTAGCTCTGCTCACATACTCCAGTTCTGTCTGGTAACTCACTTCCACACATCTGCTGAGCGATCATCACAATTCCAGAGGCCTGAACCGCGCGTCGCAAACGAGGCACCGTGAAGAGCTCCACAAAGCGAACGAACATGTTATCGCTCTTGGAGAATCCAGCATCCCTAATTAGTTGCTTTTCCATTTCCAGTTGCGCATGGATGTAATACAGGTCTCTGGCAGCCTGTAAAGGACTCTTTCGCAACCTGAGCAGAGAAGCGTATGCCTTCTTGTGGTTACGCTTGGTCATCAGCCAACGAGGAGACTCGGGGCAAAACCAGATGCCAAGAATCAGAGGCACTGCTGGGATGAAGGCAGATCCTAACTGCAATCGCCAGGAGATCGCACCGGTGTTGGCTACGATCAAGTTGGCGCATGTTCCGAGGAAGATTCCGAAGGCTGTCCAGAGCTGCCAGGACATGACCAGGCCTCCTCGAATGTTGGTGGGTGCATTTTCTGCCTTGATTAGCTTCGATCTTGTGCCATAGAACGACATGCGGTCCCCGGGACTGGCTCGCATTCACATACCAGCAGAGTAAACTGGAACTGTCACTTCTTTAAGACCCATACCAATTCCAAGCAGCACACGACAAGCAACCAGCTGCCCCCAATGTTGCGTGAATCCGGAACCGAGAGGTGCGACAAGACTGAAGATTGCAGCCAGGAAGATCGTGCCCCGGCGGCCGAGGATATGGTTCAAGGGGTCCGAAAGCCAAGCAACGCTATCAATCAGTGTCAGCATTGAAATTTCCGAACATGCAGTTTTACACACAAGATACAGATGGTGATGTATGGAGTCGCATTGATAAACCCGACAATCCACTGGTTGCGCTTGCAGACAGATGCGTCCAAGCAGCCGCTGTTGGGAATGCCAAATTGAACATCGAAGGTCAGGTTGGCGCCGTTGGAACCTAGGAACCCTATCAGCTGCGTGGAACCACAAGCTAACGTAGTAATACTAACCGGTCTGGTCCCAGCCTTGAATGGCTGCTGCAATAGAGTTCAAGATGATGGTGTAGTACAGTGCGAAGGGGTGCTTCCAGCGGTGATTACGCTCTTCGGTCATGATGCGACGGTCGTTATCATCGAGTTCAGCGAGTCCTTCAATACCAGAGGGCGACTGCGCAACCAGGGCGCCTTTCTTGAGAAGAGGCAGGATGTTTTCCAGGTCATATTCGATAGCATAGGTAGCCACGTCGGCCATGAGCTGGTCGTGGGGAATACCGGCGAGGGGATTTTGGATTCTGTCATGTCAGTGACTCGATGCCAGTGGTGTGAGATGGTGGGTTGAGGCTATCTGGTGCTTTGTGTGCGAACTCCCAATGCAAAACTTACTCCCCAGTCGTATTCTCGGTCATTCTATTTTGTAAGTTAGCACTGATGGTTTGAACTGACAGGTGATGTCGATGTATTCACATACCCGCCAGCCGTGTCACTTCTGGCTGGATGAGACATCTTGATAGGGTATCTGGCACATTCAATATGCGTTAGACGATGTTTTGCACACGCATGTAGACAGCTGAGTTACCAAGGTGATACAGTGTTGATAAAACACAAGCAGAGAAAGCAGTTTGGAGGGGTGTAGGTAGATGATTGTTGATGAGGGTGACTGGAAAGGTGAGAGGAGCGGGAAAGGAGAAGAGCGAAAGAAAGAAAGAGAAGTAAAACACTCAAGTAACGAGGGAGAGTGTTGTCACCACTACGACTTCGGATGTCTTTTCTTCCTGCACAGCTACTTGTAAAATCTCACAGCAAATAAAACCTCGTCAGCAACCGTATTAGACCTTCAAAAGCATCCCTCGAGGTCATCCAGTGCCACCCAGATCTACGCTTACAGGGCAGATTTAATCACTGGTGCCCCTTGAGACTGAATAGCAGCTCAATCTATATCTCATCCTCGGTCTATAGGCAAGGCCATGAGGATGGGTCATACGAGACACAAGAAAGATGTACATAGCCTCGGAGATAACTCAATAGAGCCTCGAAAACGGTCTGGGAACACAAGTCGCCATGCTTCCAAGGTCGAGTCGAGGGGTTTCAGCTCCTGCAGTCATGGGAACACAAAATCCCGACGCGTCAGGACTCGGTTGCACTACCTCAGAAAGCGGGAAACAAATCAAGCTCACTCCATATCCCCGCAGAATATCAGATGACCCGAGTCTGTGGCGCAATTCTAAGCTCAAACGGTCTACTGTTGCTTAGTCTGTTTAAGCCGGGCCAAGTGACTTGGCACCCTGTTCCTGTCAGGCTCGATTCGAAGGCAATCAGCTCTTGGCTACCATGGTACCTAGGTAGTTATACGTTTGCAGCAATGCCTTGTCTCAGCAGCAGTACTCCAGTCTGGGAATGTTAGATCAGCTGCAGGTTTTAACCTTGGAAAGGTTGATCAAGAGCCTTGGTTCATATGGACAATTCACTTTCTCCGCAAACCCTAACAGAATCAAAAATGCGCGTTTGTATGCTCGGGCGAGTGTGAGGGCGATGGTGGATTTTCCTGTCCCGTCCATGCCGCTGACCCAATAGATCATCTTGGGATTGTCGCCATCAATCCATTGCCGTATTTGTTCCAACACCTCGACACGTGTGCCTCGAAGACAACTTGGCAGATGTTCTTTGTTTGCAGCATCAAAGGTTGCGTTATAAATCGCTTTCGGGAAGGACAATTCTGGAACTCTTTCTGTGATACTCGGTGATCAACGGCTGTACTGATTTGTGTTTTGTGGAACTCAAGGTTGATGTTAATTGTGCCCGTGTTGACACCCGCCTGCAACGAAACACCATCACCACTGGCATGGGTTTCGCCAAATCTGTTCTCGATACCCGATGGAATCTTTATTGACGACATGGTCAGCTCGAGGTTTCACCAGACATACTTCGTAGAATAAGAAACGCAAGTCCGTCTCTCTACGGAGCAATGGTCTCATCATCAGGAGGGGGCGATTTGGGCCCACACCGCATTAGGGACTGCGGCTGAGACGTGACGTGCCTTGGCAGGTGTTTGCCTAGAAACCTGTGCGGCAGGTCTTGCAGACTACAGCACTGACTGCTCAGGAAGAAGAGCCCGCGGGATAGTCATTTGCCTCGTCTTCCAAGGCTCACTTGTTTTCGCTTCCTCTTCACGCAACTCAGAGTCTTTGAAGGGTTGCTCTCGGTTTCATCTTCAGATCGATCGCAGCCCCACCCAGAACTGACTGTCCAATCATTCTCATGGATCTTTGGGGCATGTATGCACAGCTCGTGGCACACCTGTCCAAACTGCCTGTGTAATTGAAATGAGAGACATCTTTCAGATTCGAGAGTGAGGACCCCGAGGTGCAGTATGAAAAGAATGGAAGCACCTCGTCTCAAAACAAATTCACGGACAACGCGGTCAGGTGACCTTGTTCCCCAGCTGCCCCTTCTCTCGGCAGCAGGGTCAAGCCTCTTTCCAACCCGAGTCTACTCTGTACACTCCTTGTACCCCGTACTCTCGTCGTCATCTACTTTTGGAATGGCCGATTCCCTCATCTCCAATTCCGAACCATTCCATTCTTGAAGACTTTGAACCCAGCCCCCTTTTTTTTTTGAAGATGTTTCGGACGAGCACAAAATACTAATGGAATGTGTCGACTCGAAACACTCCAAACAAGATCCCAACGGTAGCCACAGAGTACTAGTACTCCGTGTGGAGCAGACGTGTCTGTCTTGGCGTCTGACCTTTAGCCGATTTCCGAATCCTTCCAAGGTTTAAACGCGCCCACATCCATCCACTTGGTTGAAATCAAGAGCTCAAAGAGGGCAATTGGACCGGTACCTTTGTTCCTCGTGCAATTTACCCAATTTTGAGCAGGGGTATTTGCGGTATTATTCCTGGTACAAAAGTACACTAAGGAGAGCGCCCCATCCGGTCAGTCGATGAAAGTACTCTGGAGACGGTGCCGATCATCTATATCCGCCAATTTCATACTTCAGTCCAATTGGCTGGAGAGAGACAACCCGACACATTGTACACGGAATACGAAGTATAGCGAGAACAGCTTCGTGGGCAAGACTGGATCTGTCGATCGTGACCCACATAGCAATCTAACCCCGAACAGACGTGTCAGATCCCCCAGGTGGATCTGATCAAGGCAAACCCCGCTAGGGCGTAGGCTGACAGGGGCGTGGGGCCTCGAAGTTCTTAGAATTGATGTGATCATCTTCTCATTAAGGAATTATGACGCTCTTTATCCTAAAGCCAAATGGTGCATCACTTTCGTGCCCCCGCAGAGCACGGCCAAACACGCTCAAACCTGAAGTGGAAACACCATATTCCGTACTTTGTGATCGGACAGAGCCCACTAGCGTGTCCATCCAATCTCACAATCTCCTTGCTTGTCGCCTGGCCTGGAGAACGAGGAAGCAGGGCATGCGGGAGACGCGTATACAACTTCATTGGTCGCGTCCGTGCTCTCAGCAGGACTGATGGCACGACATTGATGCTTGGTTTTTGTCTCCAAAGCAGCGCCCATTTTTATCTGACTGACATGGCTCGACTCGTTCCAGCTTTGCATCTCAATGGTGGGCATCATCTTGAGGTGATCGCTATCGTATTCGGCTTGGCACTCGGTTGAGTTCATCCGGGAGCTTCTAGAGCGAGCCGTTGAAGACCACGACTTCGGGTTACGGTTTCGGCGGTAGTAAGAGGATAAGCTCCGTTTCGATTTGAGCAGACGGGGTAAGAATGCTGCAGCAAGTGGGCGGAGCGCTGGGGCCGAAGAGCAGATCTGCGCATGGTTAGCATCGTGTAGAGCATTAACTGGACTCATGTGCATTACCAGGCCTAAGCTAATTTCGACCGTCGACGCGATGAGAATTGGCCATCCCATCCAGGTTAAATCATAGGAAACCATCATGCATTCCCATACATAAACGGTTCGTACAGTGCCTGCGACGTTCACAATGACTCCAAGACCGAATATGGAAATGACCGCCAGGCGTTGACGCGCCGGTAGCTTCAAGCTCCAGATAAGGGGCATGGGTAATGTTGTGACCATTAGATCAGTGAGGATGTTAATCACACTGCCGGAGAAGATGATTCCGACATCACTCATACAGTAATATGGCTCGGTGTGTATGATTTCCCAGTATGCATGAATTGGCCTGTGTTCAATATTAGTGACGTCAGGGAATTATAAAAGGGCGAGCACTCACGAGCACTGAAAAATGCTTAAAAAGACAAACAGCATGTTGTTAAAGCCAACGAATACCATCGCGATAATGAACAGCCAGTTGTATAATCGATGGGTGCCTTTGCTGATCAGTCGTCGACAAAACCATAATAATGAGATCTTGGTAAAGCATGAAGCTAACGCAAAAAGCATCTCCCAGGCTAGGTTGAGCTGTTGGATTGTAACAAGCTTTGGAATCTCGACATCCCAGAGATGACGATTCATTCCCCCGTATTCGGTCGATATTGAGGTTGCAACGGCCATTCCAATACCAAAGACTAAGCCGATGACGATAAGGACGTCATCAAAACCAGCGCTGGATGTGATGCAGGCTCGCGTATATACGCGCAAGAAGACAACTATCAAAGCCAAAGAGAAACAGACGATGTTCAAAATCATGACACCATGTCCGCGGGTTGGCGGGTCGATATAATTTGGCGTTGGCCATGTAGCCAGAACGGCGGGGCCGGGTAGTCTCATGGTGTGTTGAGTGAAAGAGAAGGGAAATTTTGTATAGAAGTGGGAAAGACTAAGATATCATCAACTTTGGGAGGGATTGAATGCTAGAAATTCAATCAGTTCCACGGACCCAACTCGAGTCAACGATTTGAAAGTAGAAAGATTGAGAGGAAGACTAGGCTCATAGTTGAATGGAGAAAGAGGGTGAAACCCAAACATTGGGGAATCATAGGTTTTATCCTCATCTTTAACTCTCCAATGTAGATCCAAGTCTAGACAATTCGGATGAGATTTTCTCAGGCATGTCCAAAACAACATTTCGTCAGAGCAGCTCTAGGGTATCGGGATCAGTTGAAAGCTCAACGCCAGACCGAAAAAAGCAACACATCCGATGTTCGATGTGGAGAGGTGATCCACCTAACGGTGATATGCAGCCTCCAAGCCACCCAACTTTAATCATCTTTTCTTTTTCTTTGTTCTCGAAACAAGAGCATGGCAAACCGGCGATGGCTCGTAGACCCTCGCTTGAGAGTTATGAGACCTAGAGAGCTGAAAGTGAATTTAAAACATCAATCCTATATGGAAATACGACATGGAGACTACGGTTACAGCTCAGGGATGTTCAAGTTTACATGTGCTATACCCATGTGCATCCAACAGATTGTTTAAAATTCCGATCTCCGCACTTCCAACGTTGGACTTTTAACTAATTGTAAGCACCACACATAGAACCTTCATTTTGGAGAGTTTACTATGTGTTATATCGAGTGATTAGAATACCCATCCGTACTCCGTACTTGTGCAAAAAATCAAATATATTAATTACCCAACTTCATCTAAGAAAATGACCTGTCAGATTATCAGGTGTCTGCCCGACAGGATATGTACTAGACAGCATTGAGATACCAATGCCCACCCGGGCACCTGTGCAATCACGGGGGATTACACTAGACTTGTGGCCATCCTGCCTGCACAAGGCTCTCTGCGATGTGTCCAGTCCCAGTACCCCATGCTCAGCGAGAGTCGAGACCCACAAACATACTCGCATAAGTGGCACCTGCTATATCCAAACGTCAGACTAGAAATCCTTTAATTTACGAGCTTAGCCTGACCAGGCTGAAATTCTAGATCTCATGGAGACGGCCCACTTCAAGGTTAAAGTCTGCGGCATTTTATTCTGATCCTGCGAAGCCATACGGTACAACTTCTATCTTGCAAATGTCGCCCAAATATTAAAACTCATTTCTTGGTCGCGGGGGCACTGAAAGCTACCTTACTGTAGTGAGTAGGGAAAGAAACAATCTGATCCCCCGATAAACCACTGGTCTTAGCTCTCTGAAGATCTCAAATCCCGATCTAATAAGCTCCTTATGCACGTGTCATACGAGTGACGGGTGCGCCAGACTGATCCGTATCCACTCGATCCACATCGTTGCACATCGCACGCCGAGGGCGGAATCCGGCCGAGTCAAAATTCCGGTGCTCTCTCACTTTTACTCGATCAACAAAATTCATGGAAATCTAGAAGCTCAAGATAGAGCTTTATCTCATACAATATTCATCAATGGCCCAGATAACACAGTAGAATGTGACTACCTAGTACCTAGGTAGAGCCGAGAGACTCTGCGTTTGTGCGATCTCTCCAAGTCCTTACTACTCCGTATTCATCTCTAAATGAAGCCCTAGTGGATTTAGAATGACATAGATGACACCGACACCAACAGGCAAACATCAAATCCCATCCCTTGTTCGAAATTTTGGGTTCCTGTATATGCAATTACCAATGTTCGGTTTTTCCATGCGACCATCACCAAACAAGTCCCCCAGGGTCGAGTGCAAGCCATTTTGAAGACTCGTGAAATTCCCGAATCGCGCTAAGGTTGAGAACGGGCCCGCTCTGTTCCACGGTAGATTGGTGGCATTCCAAGGTTGATGGACATGCGGAAGCTTAATCCCAACTTCCATTTTCCCCGATGCCTATCTTGAAGATGATTACATCGTGTCATCACAGTGTTCTTCTTCCCGAGGTCATGTCTTTGATTTAAGTAACTTCTCGTTTGTCAAAATACTGTGCTTCCAAAGTTACCTAGGTACGTAGTGGAAAGGTGCTCAGGTGCGCAGGTGTGTCGCTATATATAAAGGCACCCGCACGTATGAACGCAGACAGTACAGGGTATTTGTACCTAAAATCTTTCCTTTCTACTACCTAGGTATTTTGTTCCCAATTGGCTCTGTGAAGCATGGTAGTATTGCGATTTTCACGCATTACAAAGAATATCTACATCGCGACCATATTCCACCCTCGAAATCCCGACCGAAATTTACTTGAAGACAGCTTGTGTGTGAGTAAAGTTTTTTAGGCTTGTATTGCAAAAAAAACCAAGCCACTACCAATCAAATGGGCTTGTGGTTTAGTGGTATAATACTCCCTTAGCATGGGAGTGGTCCGGGGTTCGATTCCCCGCGAGTCCATTCTTTTTGCTTGTTGTCCCCCCTCTGGGCCCTCCCAGGCGAGGTACGGGGACAACATAATGAGGTGGTCTGCGATATTTCTATATCCCGACTGTTTTCTATTTTGGCCGATGCCTAAAAGAAATTTAACTACGTCCACGGGCCCAAGAAATCAAAACCCTTTTCAGACGTTAGGCCTCCACAGGGAACTCCAGGACGTGCTACAGACCGGTCGATCAATCGAAAACTTTCTAACTACTTGGATGCTAATGTGCTCATAGACTCCGAAGTCGTATAGAAATTCCAGAGCTTTCTGCAGTGAATACATTCCCCCGTGTGAACAGCTAGCCCAAGAAGTCGCTCCTGCACAATTGCGGGAGACTTCTTTTGCTTTTGAATAACCCACCTGTTGTAGATATTCTGCATGCTATTATCGCCCCGCTTCTCGCGCGAAACCGAAGATGTAAAAATAATGTATCTTGTTGACCAAAAAGGTTGCGGAGAATGTAGTCTATGATGCGAGCGCGTGTCATGAACCAAACCCGTGCTAACTTGGAAGTTGACAGTATTGTTCAATGGATCCACACAAATATTTTGATGCAACTGAAATACCAAACATGATGCGTGATCACTTGGTTGTTCGGCTTCATCCGGGCGTCAACTATCACTTCTCAGCACCGGGGGCCAACCAATTTCGGAAAGTACCAGTGGAAATCGTCGATGATTTATTCCGATTTCTTGATCGCCCGGATCAAATCTGCTTTGCACTAAGTTGCCAAGGTGTGTATGGCATATACAGACAGCGGAAAAACCTGAAGTCCTCACTGCGACATATGTCAGTGATAGAGGAAACATACCTGTGTCTTCGACTCCAAAATGAGCGCTGGGTGTATTGCACCAAGTGCGCCATTCCCCATTGGTGCTCTGCGTGGCACACGATTCAGTCATGGCTCGGCTTGAACCACGCTATCGAAAGGTGCCGCTCAGGTTATCAAATTTGGCACCGCCCTCCGTTCAAGGGACAAGTCGACCTCTGCCCCTGTAAGAGTTGGTCATTCTATCAACATCAACTCATTTCATATCTATGTCGAAATCCCGATTTAATATATAAGGCTCAGCCGCAACGACAACAAGGCACACGATCTCATCCTGATATTGGTTGTGACGAAGGCTTTGTTCTCTTTGTCCATGATTGTACCTTTGACAAACACCCATCGGTGGCCACTCAAATCAAAACCGCCTCTTGGTTCGATGAGACCTCCAAGACTGTCCGGGTGCTCAATCGGTTCAAGTTCGACATCTCCAAAGCTGGTTCCTCACATCTGGGTCCCTTTGGCAGAACGAGCTCGAACCTCTGTTTGCATAAAGACACCAAAAGATGGCTCGAGGACTTTTTTCGCCGTTCCAAATCAAGCTTTCACATCAACACCCAGGATCACAGTTGGTGTCAGTGGCTTGGCTGGGATACGTCTCATACATTTGAGGTTGTCTTACATAGGAACCTAGGAAAGAGCAAATGGCCTGATAGGAGGTGGAAAAGCCATTGCCACAAATAGCTGATTCGAAGTTAGATGAATTTCCTCGGATGTGAAAGCAAATTATTGCGGGCTAATAATGAATTCATCGATCTAGATATCGTAATTATGAATGAGTAGATGTCATTTGAGCTAATAGAACATTAAAATTTTGGTTTTGACGAACTCCAACGTTACCAATCGAGCTAATCTGAGGGCATACCGGTGGACGCGTGAACTACTGCCTGAGGCCAACGACGCGCCCCTGAGACTGTGAAGGTTTGCACTGTTTGTTTCCATCACCTTCTCCACACCTGTTTGTACTCGGAATGGGCTTGTTTTAATACTAGCATTTATAGTCTGTAGCCTATAAATCCAACCCGGTGCTAGGGCCGTATGGCGAAGGTAAGTACATCTTTGCAATGTCATGCCTGTTCATCCAGGGCCCATATCATGTTCACAAGAGTTGCCGTGAAGCAAATAGGCCAATCTAACCTTCAAAATACAGGAGTGGTGCCATCGTCGGAAGACTTTGCTTCAAGTCAAACAAGCTGATACGACCACCAGAGGCATCATCCCGAGCTCTGCATTCAAAAACCTAGTACCTTGCCTCTGGTGCACTTTGGATAAAGGGGGATATATTTGAAGCTGCCTTTTCCTTTCTAAAAACACTGCCTTTCGCGAATTCCCGAAATTTCAAAGGCCTCGAGCCATTCAAGCACGACCTTAGCAACCAGAGCCCTTCTTTGCCGCCCTTTTAGCCGCGCTAAGGGCGATACTCAGGAGTGAACCAACTGAGCCCTCGAATAAATCGGAGAGAGAAGACGCGAATTCTTCTCGTGAAGTCTCCCCAGAGCTCGCATATTCTGATCCTCCTGCCTCGGAAATCACTGCGCCAATGGCCACCTTTTCTGGCCAAACAACGCCCAGCGAGCATCCGACTCTTGGAAGCTTTGGAAGCTTGGACGAAACTTCGCGGCAGTTTGCGAGAATGAGCAGTTTGTCAAGTGTGAATCTCTCAATTTCATGACAGCTCTCAGAGTGCCAATTCCAGGC